GTCTGTCTGTTTGTTTGTTTGTTTGTTTGTTTGTCTGTCTGTTTGTTTGTTTGTTTTCTCTCAGCGGGGTTCAGGCGAAGCATGCGTCTGTGTCGGCGCCGCTCTCACAGCACCACCCAGCCGTCCTGTCACACCCGCTGCCCCAGCAGCTGCTACAGCGCCCTCAACAGCCCCTACGAGGAGGTGGTGCGCTACCAGCGCCACCCGCAGGACACACAGCGCCTCATCGCCCTGATAGGTAGAGAGCCGCTCATGCTGGGACTCTGCTGCTGTCGATCGTCTGTGAACGAGACTTTTTCTCACTTCCTCTTCTGACTGAGATCTAAACCTGGATCAGAAGAGTTCAAACATTGAAAAGATTTGATTCAGAGTCAACTTATCGAAGTTTTCAGAGAGGCTGAGTGTGATGAAGATGAACTGACTGATTCATTCATTCATTCACACTCAGGGGCGTCAGGTGTCGGTGTGAATGAACTCCGCAGACGGTTGATCGAACTGAACCCTAACGTCTTCCAAGGAGCCGTACCTCGTGAGTATCGATCACTGTTATTGGTGGATGATTATTGATCTTTTTTTTCTCTCTCTTTAATTTCGAGACCTTTGCTCTGTCTGATTTTCATTTTTCATTAAATCTCTTTTTCTTTCTTTCTGCAGACACGACGAGAGCGCCGAAAGGATACGAGGAGTGTGGCCGAGAATATCACTTCACCAGCAGGGAGGTCTTTGACAACATGGTTTACAACAACAGGTACAGTGACCTCTGCTGGGAGTCAATCAATCAATAATCAATAAATCCATGTTTCTGGAGATCCCACTGTGCTCTTTCACTCTGCCTACCACACATTCATCCGATCACACCCTCCGACTGAACAAACTCAAACATGTGCCCGTCATGCAGTTCTAATCCCCGTGTTTTGTCTGGCAGGTTTCTGGAGTACGGCGAGTATAAGGGGAATCTGTACGGCACCAGCATCGAGTCTGCGAGGGACGTTTTAAACGCCGGAAAGATCTGCGTCGTGGACATCGAGCCAAACGTAAGAAAAGGACCAGACACCCCAAAACATCCACCATTTAAAAAACTTCTTTAACCAAAGAGCAGCAGCTGCTTTAAGCTGATGAAGCTGGTCTCCATCTTTACCTTCAGGCTGTTCAGGCAGTGAGGACACATGAACTGAGGGCCTACGTCATCTACATCAAACCTCCACCTCTGCAGCGCCTCAGGGAGACCAGACAGCTGTCACACATCACCACCAACTACTACGTCAACAGACCCTTCAAAGTAAACTTTCCTCTCCGGACAAACTTTCATCAGACGACTTTTCTGACTCATAATTCAAAGAAAACCGTTTCAGCTCCTCACAAATCAAACTCTGTTTTTCTGTTTCCTGTAACAGGACGAGGACTTCCAGGAGATTGAAGAATCTGCCCGTAAGATCGAGTCTCAGTACTTGCAATTCTTCGACCATGTGATTGTCAACGAGGAGCTGCAGGACGCCTGCATGCAGCTGCTGACGGCGGTGAGGAAGGCGCAGGATGAGCCCCAGTGGGTTCCGGCCACCTGGATACGACCCACCGCCGAGTTGTAGAAGAGTGAACGAGGACGCAGGAGGCTGAGAGGGGCGTGGTCCCTCCGTTCAGTGTCATGGTGGGGATTTATTACTGTGAAATCTGGAAATCTGTGAATCATTTTGAAGTTTACACGACATATAAGGTCGTGAAAAGATCCTGATGGACTCAAGCCCAAAGAAATCCCTGAAAGTGTGTCAGAGTTTAGTGTCAGAGTTCAAATTCAGAGTGGGCTTCTAGTTTACAAGTGTGCTTACAGGTTTTAGTGCTAACCTTTCAAACAGTGAGGGAACATATGTGTCTGTCTCAGTCAGTAACAAAAAAATCAATGATTCACCCTTCAAAATAAAAAACGCACAAAAGATAGTTTATCTTTTTATTCCCACATCAGTGAAGCTTCTTCTCTCTTAAAGTGATGTTTACATATTAGAAAGTCGTGTTTTCTGGCTGAAAGTGAATTTGTAAGTTTTCTTTTACTGTGTGAATTTGTCTCATTGTTTTTTTGTGGTTGTGTAATTGCATGTATGTTCACTCATCTTGTACGTGTCTTTAAAAAATGTCACAAAGATAAGCTATGTTTGGTTATTACATCCACACTCTGTCTCCTTTTTTTGATAATATGAAGTTTTAGTATTAAAAAAATCTGATTAGTGTAATGATACTTTGATTGTGAAAATAATAAAGCACTTGTGACTGTTGTATTTGTTTGTTTTTCTGCCGTCTGTGAGGAAAACTCCTGTAAACTATTAAAGTTATATATATATATATATATATATTTATATATAGAATATACAGTCTACGGAGTACAGCCTTTAGCGCCGCATTAACCCGCCACTCCAGCTGGGGGCAGTAATGCGCCAAAACGTTGTTTCCCAAACGCCATAAAACACGAAGAAACCTTGAGTGTTACCTGAAAATCCCTCCGGGTAACGGTCCACTGTTTTGAGACTGTAAACAAATGTCGTTGGTGTTCGATAAAGCGGCAGTTTTAACAGTTTTTAGTCAATTTAACATGCCGACTAAAATACTATGATTGTACTAGATGGTTATTTTAACACGTAGGCTTTGAAGAAAGAGTAAAAAAATGTCTTCTGGAGGCTCAAAGGTGACTCATTTTTTCTAAATAACGGTTTCTGTAGTTTTCTGTGATGTTCGCGTGAAACTTCATCATTACATCTTATTATCGTTAATTTTCAATGCTTTAAAAATTTTCTGTTATTATATTTATTGATGAAATAACTCACAGACAAGTCAAACAGTGTGGTTATGGCGCATTTGTGAGTTTAAAAGTTCATTTCAAGTCTTTTTGTTTTATTCTGACAGAAAATGAGGCCCAGAGAGCTCCCTCCTCTCCCTCAGGTTGGTATAAATCTGCCTTTATATCAGAGATTATACGAAGAGGAGAGTTCCATGTTGGAGTTGATCTAAGTGAATAAGTGATCCTTGTTTAGTTGTGACAGACTTAAAGACCTTTACCTGTCAGAATCACCTGTATGACAGGATGAGCTGTCTTTGTCAGATACCCAGGATCAGCAGAGGGATCAGACCGGTCCAAACAGTCCCTCTTCAGTCTCACTGTCCCACAAACAAGCCTTGGTAAAGGTCTGAGTAGTCTGACCTCTGCCCTGAGTAATCCTCACACAGATTTAGCCCAGGATTTAGTCCTGTCACTCAGGATGTCACTTGTCGCTTCACTCTCTTCTCACTTGTTTCTCGGGGGGAATGGCCAGGAAGACCACGGTAAGGGTGTGTGATCCTGTCTGAGTGTGTGCTGGGACAGAAAAGCTGTAAAAAAAACAGATTCAATCTTTGCTGTTTGGGCACGTTCATGCTTTCAGGTCATATGTTAACGTGTTTACGCTGCTTTTAATGTGACCAAACACCTTTAAATCCTGTTTGACTCACTGACGGTCTGATTTGTCAGTATTAGAGGAATTAAACAGTTGAAATAAGATCTGTGAGAGTTTAATCTTGAAAGTTTAAAGCTGGTTTTTTACTTTTTATCCATATTGGGAAGTTCCACAAGAGTATCTGCAGATCTGAAGTGATGCTGGAGAAACAAAAGACCGAAATCATAAAATAGAGTTTTGATTTTCAATTGGATAAGCTATAACAGATACATAACAGATGTACACAGTTCATCAGTAAATATTTAGTTTGATTTGAGGTTATTTGAGTGTAATAACTGAACATGATGAATAAATCTCAGTTCTCTTTTCGTCTTCAGAGAGGCCAGCGAGCTCTCCCTACAATGCCGAGGTGGGTTTACTGCAGCTGTGAGGTGTTTTTTTAACATTGTCTTTATGTTGAAAAGTAGAATCAACTCTTTTCTTCTCTTTTCTTATTTTTGTGCGGAAACATGAAGTCAAGACACAGCAGGTGAGTCGAGATTAAAATACATCTTATATTTGATCTGAGGCTGTTGGTCTAATTTCCTCGTATTAATCGTCTCACAGGAGAAGTTTCAGCACCAAGACACAAGAAGAAGAGGGCGAGGAAGGAGACGAATGGAGTTGATGATATGGTTGGTGCGTAAACGGTTTTTGGACTTTTAGACGGTGAAGAACAATGACAGCATGTAAAGATTGTCCCATGAAGTTGTTGTTTCCAGAAGGATAAAGAGAGCATCATCATGAACTTCTGCTTTTCTCGGTTTCAGATCAGGGGATGGAGATGGGAGGCGTGGGCAGCCGGAGGGAATCTGAAGTTGGAGAGTCGCTGACACTTGAAGCCACGACTGACGCACCGCCACAGAGGAGAAAGAAGAAAAAGAAAACTGTTGTAACAGGTAAACCCACGAGTTTTCTGTCAAAAATGATAGAAGGTGTAAATGATGAAGTTGAGGCAGAGGACGATGATTCAGAGGTGTGTAAATTTATGCTCTTAGACCCGGATGATGACCAAGCAGACCTTGTGAACGGGGACGCAGCAGATCAGACGACTGATGGTGAAGAAGTGGTCAAAAAGACGAGAAAAAAGAAGTAAGAAAAAGTTTTTTTCAGAATCAACGAAAAATCTGAAGATTTCTGCAGGAAATAAAAGTTTCATGTTGATTGTTTTTATTATCTTCTGTTGTAAATATGTGGACAAATGCTGAAGTTTTTTTATGAGATAAAGCCAAAGTTGAAGAGCTAAAGTTAGAGTTAACTGCAGTGGGTTATTTTGTTCACCCTCACCCTCTATTTTTGTGATTTTAGGAGGTCAAAAGTCGTTGAATCACAGCTGCCTGACGAGCTGGATGTGACAGAGGATGATATTGTCACTGACACGCCTCCTCCGATCCCCCAGCATTCCCTGTTCACGGCCCCTCAGGGTCAGAGCCAGCCGGTGGGGAAAGTCTTTGTGGAGAGGAACAGTGAGTACAGAAGGAAGAAGATGAAGTGGATTCTGAGTCTGAGAGAGTTAGCGGTTCTTCACGGAGGGTGTGTTTTTACCTGCAGAGCGTTTCCAGGCTGCTGATCGCTCAGACTGGAGGAAAACAAGCGTCCAGATGGACAACATCACAGAATTTCACCATGTTCAGCCTCTCTGGACCACCAGAGAGGTTTCCATCAGAGTGCATGAAGGATTCAGGTGAAGGGAGAGTGTCTCAGAACAGGAGGAATCCTTCAGACCAGAGACCCCTGCTGTAAATGACCTCCTCTCCTCTCGTCACTGTGCAGGGTGTTCGGTCTGTACTGTCACGGCTTCCTGGCGGGCTACGCTGTGTGGAATGTGGTGGTGGTCTACATGTTAGCGGGGCAGCACCTCACCGCTCTGTCCAACCTACTGGAGCAGTACCACAGCCTGGCGTACCCCTCCCAGTCCCTGCTGTACATGCTGCTCGCCATCAGCACGGTGGCCGCCTTCGACAGGTAAAACTGACGTCCATCAGTAAAAGGAAAGTGTGCGGATGGAAATATTGAAATCCTTTCTTCTTGTTCTGTGTCTGAAAGTATGAGGAGTGATGCAGCTCATGATGTTGACCTTGAACTCTTATTTTCACAGAGTAAACCTGGCCAAAGGCTCCATGGCTCTGAGGGAGTTCATGACCTTGGAGCCCATCGCTCTCGCCTCGTTCTGTGAGTTCAAGCTGAGCTTTAAAACGTTGTTCCTCCTCACACAGAAGACTGTATTTGGTTTCATACTTTTGTTGTCGGTTTTTCTTCTTCTTAGTGTATTTCTCTGCGTTGGTCCTCTCTCTGAGCCAGCAAATGACCAGCGACAGGATCAACCTGTACCCCGCCTTCAACGAGACCTTATGGTGGGCTCACAGAGGTCATTTTATTGTCTATACTGCTCAATCATTTCTGGTCATGACAAACAAATATCTGTTTTTCTTTCCTAAGGCCACCTGGATCTGAGCACCAGATTCTTCATCCCTGGGTGACGGTGAACCTGGTGGTGGCTCTCCTGGTCGGTCTGGCCTGGATCTTCATCGCCACCCGACCAGAGAAAGACTACACTGAAAGTGAGAGAGGACACCTGTTTACCTCTGAGCTGTAGTGAAGTGAAGCGTGTGAAAATCAGGTGCTCATGTTTTCTTTCTCTCCTCAGGTTATCTGATGACCATGGAGCTCGAACCTCCTAAAGCGGAGGACAAATCTGAGATGACGGCCTGAGACGGAGAAGCTCAGACTCTCAGACTGGACAGCTTCACTGTGTTTGCACATGTTTTCATGTCGTTTTTCAACTCTGAGTGTATAGCATACTGTTTTTATATTTTTAAAGTGTGATGTAATGAACGTGTTGTCTCTTTTTAAATACAGTTTAATCCCAAACATCCAACTGTGTGTCTCAGTTAATCGGTTAAATAAGTGAGATTATCATATATAAGACTGATTATGTGTCAGAATGAGGCGTATATTAATAGGACTTCACTAGAAGGTAGAAGGAAACTGTTTTAGTGGTTTTATTGACGGCAACGTCATCATCAGATCAACTACTTTAGTCTGCCCTCCCTCCCTCCAGACTCTGTAATCGAACACAGAGAGGCGGTTCTGTTGACGTGGTAACGGTACCTGCTGTCAGTCCAGGTGGGAATCTTCACACATTCATGAGGAAGAATTAACACAGACGGGCTGTTTTAGAGGACGGAGTCATGCTGGACTTTGCCATCTTTGCTGTAACGTTTGTCATCATCCTGGTGGGCGCAGTTTTGTACTTGTACCCGGTAAGTTTCTCTAAGTTGAAAGTTAGCGGAGTTCATGTTAGCAGCGCGTTACTTACGGCGATATCCGCTCTAAATAGAGTGAATTTAATGTTTACTTTTGGTCTGAGAAGCTGAAATGTATTTATGAAATCGCTGAGGATCTCAAAGGATTTAGTTAAACCTCTTCCTCAGTTCGGCTGAAGTCTAACGTAGTTTCAGTGTTTATTTCTCATGTTTTTAATGGATCTCTTCATACTGGGTGAGACTTTAAAGCTCCTGCTCTGTTTGGACTTTGATCTAAGATGTATGAACACTGGTGTGGACACTGAGGGTTTAATATCAAAAATCATTACATATCAAAGTCATGGTTTCATGTCTCACTGACAGTCTCTGCTCTAAAGTTGATTTCCTCTCTTGTTTTCAGTCCTCCAGAAGGGCCTCTGGGGTCCCAGGTCTTAACCCCACAGATGAGAAGTAAGCTGTCCTCTTTACTCGTGTTAACTCTGATGTAAACGTGTAAAATAATATAATAATGAAGTGATAATGAAGTGTTATTGACTTCAGTGTTTCACAGTTTTCTGCCAATAACCCGGACATCCTGTCTTTCTGCTCTTTCAGGGATGGAAACCTGCAGGACATCGTGAACAGAGGCAGTCTGCATGAGTTCCTCGTCAGTCTACATCAGGAGTTTGGACCCGTCGCGTCTTTCTGGTTCGGAGGTCGGCCGGTGGTCAGCTTGGGGTCTGTGCAGCAGCTACGACAACACATCAACCCAAACCACACCAGTGAGTGCCGCTGCATCCTCCCTGCTTCTCACTGAGTCACAGCTTCACAGAGACTTTTCTATTGTTGTTTTTTTGAGTTATTAACGATGCTGTCCTTTGTTTTTTCTCAGCCGACTCCTTTGAAACGATGCTCAAGTCGTTGCTTGGTTACCAGTCAGGAATGGGAGGCGGTGCCACAGAGAGCATATTGAGGAAGAAGTCATACGAGGGTGCCATCAACAATACGTTAAAGAACAACTTTCCTCTCGTGCTCAAGGTTTGTAAAGCCGATACAAATCAACTCTCCCAGACTTGACCTTCCTCAGATCTGGTCTTCTGTGAGTGTTTTCTGTTTTTTAGCTGGTGGATGAGCTGGTGGGAAAGTGGAAGTCATTCCCGGAGGATCAACACATCCCTCTGTGCGCACACCTGCTGGGTCTCGCCATGAAGACGGTCACCCAGCTGGCTCTGGGCGAGAGCTTCAGAGACAACACCGAGGTCATTTCCTTCCGCAAGAACCACGATGCGGTGAGAGCTGAAACACAGATCTCTGAGAGGAGGAAACAGATTCTTTAGACACTGAGTAAATAAAGATGATGGTAGCTGACTTACTGTGGTTCTTCTGGGTTTAAAAAAGACCTGATGGGTTATTAAAAACTGGTCTGCTGATGAGTTTTTCTCTCTCCTCCTGTCTCGTGTTGGTGGATCAGATCTGGTCAGAAATCGGGAAAGGCTACTTGGACGGCTCCCTGGAGAAAAGCTCCAGCAGGAAAGGACATTATGAGAAGGGTGAGCTGGTTTATGGAAGGGTCCTGGACTTCACTCTGTCATCTGAGACTTGTAAACATATATTGATTAAAATTACTGAATTAATATTGAATAAAAGCATTTTTGACAGTGATCCCATGTTATTAGTTAGATATTCTCAGCTTTAACAGGTTTTCATTTCTGTATTTAGAGCTTTAGTTTGAACTTCTATTGTTATTCTGAAATCTGGAGAGTCGGGTTTATCGTCTGAATCTGGATTTTGGTCTCTCACTCCTGCTCTGTGTTGATTTGTTGGAGCTTCTTACGGCTGGAGAAACAGGAGGCAAAGTTTGCAGAAGCTTAGACATGATTTATGGCAGACAGGGAGCGTCTGAGAGCCAACACAGACTGTGTATAACCACCAGCTTAATCAATGAGCAGCAGCAGTTTTAGGGGGACTTTCATTGATTTTACTCCTAAAAACTCCAGCTTCTTAGGATGAATTTTTTATGCTGTCTGCAAACTTGGAAAAAAGAGACTGTGGCTCAAAATGAAGTCCTCTGAACCCCAGTGTGAGTGTGAGTCTGATGGTTGTGTTTGTGTATTTGCCTCCCGGGTGTTTAGCTCTGTCGGAGATGGAGTCTGTGCTGCTGTCAGTGGCGAGGGAGAGGAAAGCCCAGAGGAAGCAGACAGTGTTTGTGGACGCTCTGTTTCAGTCCAGCCTCACAGAGCGACAGGTGAATACAGATGAAGTCACATCCTCTGCTTTAACACTCTGACCCTGACTGCTCCCATTAAAGGAGGAAAAGGAGCTGAAAGTCTGTCTGTTTGGGTTTGTTCAGATCATGGAGGACTGCATGGTTTTCACTCTCGCCGGATGCGCCATCACTGCCAACTGTAAGTGAGGAGCAGGTCTAACCCTGACCCAGAACCTGATCAGAGGTGGATTTTCAGTGGTCCTGGTCAAACAGAATCACTTCATTTTAAATTTTGGTGACTTGAAGAACGAAGTCTCTGATGTTCTCCTGTTTCAGAGTCCATGTCACTGTAACGTCATTAACCCTTTAATGTGTTCCACGGTGAGAGTTGATTGTTGGGTGTTGTGTTTTTGGCAGTGTGTATCTGGGCGCTTCGCTTTCTGTCCGCTTCCGAAGAAGTCCAGGAAAAACTGCAGCAGGAGTTGGAGGAGGTTTTGGGCTCTGATCCAGTTTCCTTGGACAAAATCTCTCAGCTCAGGTAGGACCAGGGACTCAGGCTGAATGGACCCGGCACAGGTCCATAAATCATGTTATCACTGCGTCTGCATGACGAGAGAGGAAGACTTCAATGTCAACATTCATCCAAGCCTGATCGATGTGTTCAATAACCTCAGTCTTCTCATATTTCTGTACTCGCAAAGATACTGCCAGCAGGTCCTGAACGAGACGGTGAGGACAGCCAAGCTGACCCCCGTCGCGGCTCGGCTTCAGGAAGTAGAAGGCAAGGTCGATCAGCACGTCATCCCCAAAGAGGTATCTGCTTTCCTGCGTCCCCTATTTATACCTCCTCATGAAACAAAATCAGTGTGGTCGCCTGTGGAAAAAAACACGTACAGCTTCTATGTGGAGTTACACGTGTTTGAGAGACTTTACTCCAAGAACGCAAACGCCAAAAAGTGCTCTCCAACGAACTCATCATGGCAGACAGAGCGGTCCACGGGAATTTAGCTTCAGTGTCTGTTCTTGTTTCTCTCATTCCTGTTTTGTTTGGAGGCTTATTTCCCTGGAGATCTGCAGAAAAAAACTTGAGATATTAGATCCAGAAGAGGCGGAAATAAAGACAAAGGAAGGAAAGGAGGTTATTCAGGGCGTCTTACGTCAGACATAATGACAGAGACTCTGAAAAGGTTTACGAAGACATGCTGGACTGTTTTAAATCAGTTTATTTTGTCATTTCTCAGACTTTGGTCATCTACGCTTTGGGAGTGGTTCTGCAGGACTCTGAAACCTGGAGCACCCCGTACAGGTACTTCTTTTTCTTGAACCCCTAAGATTGTAGGTTTGAGCGTGACGCCTCTTTCATTTAGCTCAAGAACAGCCCAGAGGAGACTCTCATGTTTGTGTTTTTACTTGAATCTTTAGTTGAACTTCTTCTTCTGGCAGTTATCACCCTGAACGGTAGGAGGACATCAGGAGTGCAGTCGACCTCAAACACAGATCGACGTTGTTATTTTTCACCCCTCAGGTTTGACCCTGATAGATTCGAGGAGGACTCGGTCAGGAAGAGCTTCTGTCTGCTGGGGTTTTCTGGGAATCAGACGTGTCCAGAGCTCAGGTAAACTAACACTGACACTCCTCAAAGTGCTGAAGGGATTTTGTGTTTCGACTCTTCCTCTGAGCAAGGACTGAGACGATGAGAATGAGGGGAAATGTTCCTCTCCTGCTGCTGTGAAGCTGCTCTAACAGATGATGTGATCAATCCTGATGGTTCTCTCTGACAGGTTTGCATACACGGTCGCTACAGTCCTCCTCAGCACGTTGGTGCGGCAGCTGAAGCTCCGCCCGTTGAAGGGACAGGTCATGGAGGTCCGATCAGAGCTGGTGTCCACACCTAGAGATGAAACCTGGATCACCGTCAGCAGAAGAAGCTAGTCTTCAACTGCACCTCCAGCAGATATTACCATCAAAGTATTCCTTGAATGTTAAATCCAGAGAATATAAATTTTTCAACCAATAATTGACAATATGTCGGTCTTTTTCAGGGTTGTGGTTTTTTATTCTTGCACAGTTCTTCAGTTTTTGACCGCCACAGTCTGTCCATGATTGTCTTTCTGATGCTTTTAACTGAGCAGAGATCTGAGGCCTTACACACATGACTACACCTCCTGTCTGTCTGTCCACAGAGCAGACCTTCACCTGATGAAAACTCAGTCTCATGTGTGCTTTTGTCCTTTATTTTTACAGCCCACCTAGCATTCAGAAATGTCATTCCTTTTTATACAGAGCTGCATCTGAGAAATGATTAAACATGTACCAGGACTCTTCTGGTTGTTTGTGGTCTTTCCATTTTATGAATCCTGCTTATTAGTACGTAACTCTGGAGTAGGTTTTCTAAAAGAGGGGGCGAGTTTCTTGGATGGCAGTATCATGTGTCTTCATTCTGGTAGTAAGCCCATATCTGTGCTGCTGAAGGGCCTTTGGGCAAGTTTCTATTTCCTCCCCAGATCCAGGCCTGCTGCTCTGTGGCCGAGTCTGTGCAGAGGAAGTGATAAAAGAGGAATCCCTCAAAGGAGATCATTACAGTCTCATTTTTAATACTGCTGTCTTAATCATGATGTTATTAGCAAAGTAAAATACCTTTGTGCTGAAAACTAATAAAAAGATCACATCGGTTCACCTACATATATGTCGCTCAAAGACGATTTGTGCAAACAGTTCAACGACTAAACCGATCTGTGAGGAAGCTTGTTGAAAAATCTAATGAAATACACATTTAAGGTAAGATAAGGTAAGGTAGACTTTATTGATCCAGCAAAGGGGAAATTTATGGTTCAGCTGAGAGCACAAAAACTATGTTGTTTTTACTGTCTTCGTACAGCAGATCCATTTAGTGATGATGAATCTTCTCTCATTTAAAGTACATTTCCTCATCCTTGTTCTTTATTATTTCAGAATCAGAGTACTTTGTTAATTCTTCATTAATCCTAGGGCATTCTCAATAACTGTTTTATAAATGCCAAACATCGCTGTAGACTTTCTAATTCAGTAGAAAAGGAAAAAACACTGCTGTTTTTATTTTAATTTCTGTCTAACAAACATTTATTTGCCCTCTCTTTTTTTAGGGGGAGAAGACAATTGATTATGTTGAATGTCTGAACTATACTTTAACTGAACATGATGATTTATGTAGACAGGGCTGTGCCAATGAATTTATTTGTGTATTTAGTTTTAATTAGTATAACACCAATTTTTTTATTGTATGCATTGTATTTATGTAGTCCTAAACATTTTTATTATTTTTTTCTGTACGTATGTGCATATATAATATATGTATATATAAATATTTATTCTTTTTCTCTTGCTTTTTCTTCCTTTTTTTTTTTATTTTACAATCAGAGGCCAAATCAACAAGTGTTACTATTTTTATTACCATATATACTTTGTTTGATGTTAGCCTTTCCTGAGAAACAGATAAGAAAAAATTGTATGAATATGATTTTGATTCTGAACAGACCCTCAAATCTGCCACACTACGGTACACTTTGGGTGTTATTTATTAATTTATGTATGCACTTATTTAACCATTTTTTTCCTTTCTCTTTTCTCTGATTTGTTCTGAATTTATGTGAATGTGTTAATATGATTTATGTTTGATCAAACTAAATATTATGTTTAAAATAATAATAATTCTGTCTGAACATGATTAAATTTGGGAAGCCCTGCTCTCTCCTCCAATTGATGGGAGAGTCCTGCAGTACCCTCTACAGCCTGCAGTGGCGCCAGTGAGCCCTCTCTCTCCCACACACACACACACACACACATACACACACTGCTCTGATAAAGATGTGAAAATGGCGGAGTTACAAATGCTTCTGGAAGAAGAGATTCCAGCGGGACGAAGCGCTCTCTTAGACAGTTTTACTAACCTGGAGAGGGTAGCGGAGTACTGCGAGAGTAACTATGTCCAGGTAGGCGGAGACATTTATCCGAGAAACTTGGAGAAATGTGTGTTTTTGATGGAAATCTCTGAGAGAGGGGCGAGCTGAGGCTAGGAGGAGAGCTGATGCTAACGCTGCCGCCGCTGCTGCTGCTGTTAGCTGCTCAGCCTGCCTGAGCTAGCGCGAAAACAACCCGCTGTCATGACTTTTTATTTGACATTTACGTTTTACATTTTTAAATCTACTATTTGACTTTGTCAGGAGGTACCAGCTGTTACGATGTTACTGTATCCTCATGTTTCTAACATTGTGTGTGAGCAGTTCATCCACCGAGTGCTAACGCGTTAGCCTGTTAGCTAGCCAGCTGCTCGGGATCACCCCCCTCAGTCCAAAATCCGGTTCTCCTGCTCTCCAGGGGATCGACTACAGCCCGTCACCGAGGCCAGCTGATCATGTACCGGCTTTAGATGTATGTCGGGATTAGAGCAGATGAAACTGCAGTGATGTGAGGCTGACAGATGAGAAACCGCTGTGACAGGTTTTCCATCTGATTTATGATCCTGCACCCAAACCCAGAAACTGAACAGGAGGGCTGCTAGGACCGGAACCAGGACCGGGATCGGGAAGGGTAACCCCCCCAGTAACAAGTAGAAGTGAAACTACCGGTCTGTGAGTGTAGTAAGAGTACAGTGGTGGTGTTAAAGCGTGTTTTCCTTCACTAACAGACGGATTTACTCTACAGTCAGTCCAGGCTGAAGGGATTGAACACGTTTGTGTGTGTGTGTGTGTGTGTGTGTGTGTGTGTGTGTGTGTGTGTGTGTGTGTGTGTGTGTGTATCTGCAGCTTCATTTACCGGTGCTGGACTTCAGAGATGGACCCTGCACACTTCCAGTTTTCCCCAAACCTTTAAAGACTTTTCCAGAGACTCTGAACTAGGGCTGGGCGATACGGGCAAAAGTTTATCAGGATATAATTTTTCATTTCTGTCGACATCGATATAAACTACTGTATAAAGAAATAAATTTTTCATCTAGATTATTATTGTTTTATTGCCCAGCCCTACTTTAAACTCAAACTTTAAATAATACTGAGTACCAAATACTGAGCTGAATCTCTGAAAATCTCTAAACCTAATGTAGAGTCTCTCTTTCAGAGTTTTTGGTTAGATCCTCTCACTCCAGACTCTGCAGGCCTGTTGTCTAAAGGTTCGACTGTAGGACCACAGAGTCAGAGGAGGTTTGACTGAGCGTGATGCTGAAATTTGACATCCTCGAGGAACAGGGCTGATCAGGTCTGACAGGTCGCCCTGCGAAGGCGGCTCCTTGGATGTTGGCAGCTTCCTCGTCTGGCATGCTGCCCTGTTTTCTTTGCATGCTGCCAGGTTCTCCCAGCTGCTGTCGGATGGGTTTTCCCACTTCTAGATCAGCTGGACCCAAATCTTTGTTGTGGAGGATTTACCAGGATACCTGGTCTCTGGCTCTCAGGCCTGGTTTACATCCTCACTGTGCCACGTCTGAGTCTCAGCCCGGTTTAATGCTTCATTAGTCATGAAGGAGTGGACACTTGTTGAACTTGTTGGCTTGAATCATAAAAGCTTCTGTGAACAGGACGGTGTGGATACTTGATTAACCCTGTTGGACTTTAAATCCCACAGGTGTGTAAAGTTAGACCCCCCTCTCATTTTCAGCCTGATGTTTTGTGTTATAGAGTTATTTGTTGTTACTGTGAATGACCATGGTTAGACTGCTTGTTGTGTTTGGGCAGAGTGATAGTGAAACGGTGGAGAACTGCTGTGTAAATGCTTTTCACACACTCCGATTTTGGATGCACGGCGGGCCTCAGATATAATCTGCTGCTCCGTCAGTGTCGGGGTCAGCACAGACCACATTATCCTGATTAGGAGTCACTGAGATGTGACTGATCAATTAGAAATAAACGCAGCTCCTTCATCTGCTAAATATAATCCTCTACTGAGTGTTGAAGCACTCGTGGCATGAAATGAGGGTCTCATAAAGGATCCCACCGAGTTTGTCCAAGGGTTGTGTTGACTTAAATTTAGGAGGAAGAAGAAGGAAGCTCTCTGAGTGAGGATGGATAAGCAGCATGTGCTGGAGCGGAGGTCTGGGTATCAGGAGGGAAAGTCTGATCATGACACAATCATTCAATGGTCCCTAAAATTCAAGGTTAATGTGTGAATTTTCCTCTCCTCCTCCTCCTCCTGCTCCTCATCATCATGGCTGTGGTCTAACCCTAAAGGCGTTGAACAGTTTAGTGTGTCTCTCATCGGTCCACGCCTCCACCCTCTGCACCAACAGCAAACAGTATCAGACTAGTCTATCAGTGATAGTGGCTCATACATCAGAAATGTGGTTTTAGTGCCCTGCAGGAAGCAGCTCCACTCCTGACTTTGGTCACAGAACCTGTTTGTCTTCATGCTCCGGCTCTGCTGCACCCGCCTCTCTCGCTCTAATGATGCCGTTTGTTTGCAGACTGTGTCCCTGCCATCATTTCAGGGATTTAGTGGCCCTGGATTTCTCCAGAAATATATCGTGCATCACAGGCGCTCTCTGTTTGACATGAAAGAGAATGAACGTATGAGCTCGGAGGGGGCTGCTGCTGTTGGAGCGAGAGGGGACCCCCTCTTTGTGGCTTTATCGAATATTCATTCAAGCCCCAAAAAGATTTAAACACTGACTCTGATTTGGCTTTTATTTACTGTGTTATTCAGCGCTGAAGTTCAGTGGAACAGCAGGACAACAGAGTGTAAAACCCTCCGATAAATCTCTAAATAAATCAGTTCATCAGTTTGTCGGTCTGTCCTGACAGAAGTATGAAATCAATCCAGCAGTCGCAGCCTAAAGGCAGCGCTGACCCCAAGTGTTTTAATCAATCACTGATCATTTTCAGGATCAATCACTCAGCAGATTTGTCAAAGGTCAGACATGTAAAAAAGCTGATCACACCCAGTTTTAGTCCCAAACATCGTTAATTTGCTTTAATATTTTACAGAAAATCTTCATTATCTGTCAGATTCACTGATTCATTTGTTCGGATCAGCTTCTGTTGTGAGAGTATACTAGGTGTCTTAATAAAGCTCCAGTCTGCACATTTCAAACCTGCTAAAACAATCATCTGAATAGATAGATGGTAAAGTTCCAGCCCTGTTTCAGCTCTGCATGCCGTGCTTCCAGCAGTTTCAGTCAGAAACACAGTTTCCCAGCAGTCACATCAGCTGATCGGTCTGCCCTTTGATGCTCCCGTCGATGTGCCCACGCTGAACCCGCCATGGTCTGACGAGCTGCCTCTGAGGACTTATTCCACACCAGCTGCAGCTCCGTTAACTAAAGCTCACCGAGTACACCAGACCTTTTTCTTCAATTTGATTCCTGCATGAAAACCGTGTCAGAGTGAGAGGGTTCTCTGCAGGCTGTGAAATGCTCATCTATCTTTTTTATAAGTCTAATGTCACTCTTCTTCTTCTCCTTCAGTCTCCAGACAAGCAGAGGGCTCTGGAGGAAACCAAGAACTACACCACCCAGTCTCTGGCCAGCGTAGCCTACCTGATCAACACGCTGGCCAACAATGTGCTGCAGATGCTCGACATCCAGGCGTCGCAGCTCCGCCGTATGGAGTCCTCCATCAACCACATCTCACAGGTTAGAGACACGTTTTTTTTCAGAAATCTTAAAAAAGTGGGAATTTCAAGATTTAATCTAAAGAGCTGCAGGATTTCTGCTCTGCTGCTGATTCCCGGTGAAACAGTTTTGATTTGGCTTCAGTCAGCCATGTTACCTCCAGAAGAAGAAGAACCTGAACCTGCAGCTTCATGCAGAAACAGAGTTCACCAGGTTATCAAGTAAAGAGAGAGAGTCGTTGAAAAACCAAAGATCCAGACCTGACTCTATAGAGACCAGAAGAGAGCAGGGTGAATATTGTGATCCGGTTCATCAGGTGGACCTGCAGATAAATTCACCACACTCACTAAAGAACAGCAGCAGCAGCAGCAGTGTTGTGTTCAGACTGGTTTGTTTGTAGGTTTGAGTTTGTGGGAGTCTGAAGCAGTGATTTATTTAGCTCTTCACCTTACATGTGTGCATGCATAATTCAGTCCATCTGCAGTGTAGGCAGGTGCTGGAGCTGCACGCTGGGTTCAAAAAGGTGGTGTGTGTTTTTTACAGCTTAAATAAAGACGCTCCTCACTCTTCTTCTTCTTCATCTCTCTGTCAAAGTTACTGTGATAAAACTGAGGAGCAGCAGGTGTATTCGTGTTTGAATTCTCATAGAAATCCCCTCCTCTCTGTCTCCTCACTTAAGACGGTGGACATCCACAAAGAGAAGGTGGCCCGGCGGGAAATCGGCATCCTCACCACCAACAAAAACACGTCCCGCACACACAAGATCATCGCCCCAGCCAACCCCGAGAGGCCTGTGCGCTACATCCGCAAACCCATCGACTACAGCGTGCTGGATGACATGGGCCATGGTGTGAAGGTGGATGTTCTCTTCTCTATTCTCTCTTGTCTGATTGATGAAGATCATTGCAGAAGCCTGGAGTCAAACACTGGCATGACGACAAAATAAAACATGGTTGTGTTTTATTTGAACTTTATTGAAGTTATTGAAGGAAATGATGGATCTGAAGATGCTCCTCTCCTCTGCTGATAGTTGTTAGTGTTTTAGTCTGTTCATGTCAAAATAAAAGAGTTTACTCCTTTTTAAAGCTCGACCTTCTGAGACAAAGATGAGTTTGTTTTCCAGCTAATCAAACCTCTGACTTCCACCTTCCAGAGAACAGATTCCTCTGAGTTCACAGTCAGCCTTTGTTTCCTGAATCTAACCTGCATGAAGAATTGTTGTTTTTCTTTCCTCCTTCACAAACTAATTCTCTGATCTCTCTCTCTCTCTCTCTTTTTTTCTGCTTGCCTCATTTTGTCTTTATAACCGTAGTGGTTGCAAAGGTTTAAGGTAAGACTTTCAGAGAAGTGAGGGTGATGTTGAATGAGAAGTTGACCGTGTTACCCTGTTGCTGTGAGAGACTTCATTTTCACTCTGATTTCAGTTTGTCCGTTTGTTTTTGATCCGAGGACGAGTTTGACACTTTGGGACTCACTCTTATTTGCTGCTTTTGGTCCAGAGTGAGACCAGAAGATGAAAACCACTTTCCTTTCTGCCTGCTGAGTTTGAAGTGGAAACAAGAGGGAAACGGGAGTAGTAAAGCTGCACAAATTACCACCTTAAATCTCATTAGTTTAATCTGCTTTCCCACTTTTTGGAGGGATTAAACAAACAAGATCGAAGGTGGTAATCAGTGAGCTTTAGAGGATTTTGGCGGGCGAGCCTTTTCCTGTGTTTTCAGCCTTCAAAAAAGCGGGTTTAACGAAGTCCTGGCTCTGGAATCATCCGTAGGAGACAGAAATAGAAGACGAGACAAACTTTCTCATCAAAAGACTCGGAGCCTCAAATGTCAAACTTGTCCTTTCTTAAAGTTGTCCTTTCTTTTTTTGAGACGTGTGTCCAACCCGCTGTCTCCGCCCACAGGCCAGCGCTCAGAACATGAAAGCCGGAGGAGGCGGACTCCCTCACACCAACCCCCCCACACAGAAGCCCCCCAGCCCGCCCATGTCGGGTAAAGGGACCCTTGGGTATGTATGACACCCTGAGGTGTGCTCAGGTGGGTGTGTCCGTGGACACGGGCTGCTCAGAGCCTCACTGTATTTTTGTGCAGCTGTTCCAGTAAGTAGGAGGATCCAGTTACTCCCAGTTTCATCATCGCCCCTTCACCTCCCAGTTTAATGAGTGTCCTCAGGGTGGTTTAAGATCCAGTCACAGTGGGGGGACAGGGTCTGGAGGATCCCTCTCTCAGCCTAATGAGCTCCACTCTGACTTCCTCTTGTTTTGAACTCCATGCTGAAATTTGGAGCTTCTCACTGAAACAGATGGTGGAAACACTCTGGATCAGGTCTTGTTGTGTCAGGATGTTAAACACTGAGGTTCTGCTCCTTCAGGATTTGTCGGTCTCTTTTAACAGAAACATTAATGTTAAAAAGTCGTTTCCTGGTCTCAGAGCTGGATCTGTTTCCTCCTCTGTGTGTCTGATGGTGAAGGATCTCTGATAGTCCAGCTCCTTCACGTTGTGTTCTCCTCACCTGTGAGACCTTCCTGAGTGCTCTTTGTGTTCGTGTGTTCGTGTGTTCGTGTGTGTGTGTGTGTGTGTGTGTGTGTGTGTGTGTGTCCCTTCAAGATGCATGCTGATCAACCACAGCTCCAACCTTCCCATGATGCACCTCTTGCCGCAGCCTGAGGCTACGGGCGGCCATCTTTACTCGTGGTCATGAGTTAGATTGTCTCTCCTCTGTTGTTCCTCGTTTTTGGTTTTTGGACTTGACTTCCAGTTGTGTTTTGTTTTGTGACACCGTCCTCCCACTCCTGGCTGCCCCATAATCTCCATAGCAACCATAGCGACAGTGCTCAGAGTCGGGTCACCCGCTGTGTCAGCTGGTACATTTACATACCGGCCTCAGATCGATAAAGACCAGGGTTGTGTTTTTTCACTCACCACATTTTCAAACTGCGGAGCGCTGCTGTCGCCTAAAAAACACACACACACCTGTTCTGTTCAAGACAAAATGACTACGAGTGTGTGTGAGTGTGTGTGTAGGCAGGCAGGCAGGGAGTCAGCTGTCAGTTCAGACTTGGACAGTTATCTCTGAAAGGAGAAGGACTCACACACCTGAAGCTGAATACAAACAGACGACTAGTGTTTGATTTATACTGAAGGCTAAAACATACAGGAGGCGTATTTGGAGCGTGGCAGCAGCAGCGCCGCGTATCACGCATCGTGTCCAGAGCAGCTCTGCTAAAGAAGTGTGGCGAGTCGATTTTCGCTGCTCTGCGCTTCTAAAGCGCGTCAGTCCACACAGAGAAGATCGTTTCTAGACAGGACGAACCGCGCACGTCATCCGTTATTTCAAAATAAAACACCATACGCAAACTCCTGACTGTATCAGTTGGTGTAGATGAGAAATACTTCCTGGTTCTGGATTTATCAGTAACACAGAACAATCCAATGGTCGATTTCTGATCCATGTGGACCCAAACAGGACTTTGACCTGCTAACTCTGTCTGAAGGTAACAGCAGAAAGGAACAGAGTTTACTTTATTAAACGCCACTACGCTGCTGCTACACTCCAAACACACTGATCCTGTATGAGATAACCAACGCTGCTCTACAGAGAAAATACGGATCCTGTATGTTTTCAGCTTAAAGTATTTGAATGTGTTATAAAGAGCTTCTGTTTAACCTTCTAAAACTATCATTATACTCAGAGATGAGACATGAAGACAAACAGAGACACAAGCCTGAAAGTGTCTGACAGGACCTGTGAATGAATGGAACTGAGCTCCGGTCTTCAGCGGAGGGTTGAGCAGCGTGAGAGTGCGCAGGATCAGGTTTGGGGTTCAGAGCCGTAAAGTCGGTCCTTTTCTAACCCTTACATCGGTTCAGAGAAAACACCCCTTTGTCTGACAGGAAGTGTGATTTTTAGCCGACAGCAGCGACTGGTCCTGACTCCGCCCACCAACACCTGGGGATTCACCAACCAATCCCAGCGTCCACCACCTGTCACACCCCATTTTTTTAAGTTTGCACTTGTTTGTTTCTTGCTCTCCTCCTCCTCCTCCTCCTCCCCCTCTCCCCCTACACTTCTCTGTGGATGCCCCCTCCTCCTCCCCCCTCGACTCTGTCCTCCTGACCCTCTCGCAGGCGCCACTCCCCCTATAGGACGCTTGAGCCAGTGCGTCCGCCCGTTGTCCCTAACGACTACGTCTCAAGCCCGACGCGCAACATGGCGCACCCCCAGCAGAGCCCCGCACGCACTGCATCCGTAAATCAGAGGAACCGCACGTACAGGTACCCCCCTCCCAATACCCAGCATGCCTCTGTACACTTGTTAACACGCCCACTTCTTCCCTTGCCTCCTTCTTCTTCTCCTCCTCTTCCACAATGACAAAGTGAGCCAACATGCCTCTTCTTCTTCTTCTTCTTCTCCTTCTTCTTCTTCTTCTTCTTCTTCTTCTTCTTCTTCTTCTTCTTCTCCTTCTTCTTCTTCTTCTTCTTCTTCTCCTTCTTCTTCTTCTTCTTCTTCTTCTTCTTCTTCTTCTTCCTCTTCCTCTTCTTCTCCTCCTCCTGGAAAGTCTCTCTCAGTGTCCTCTCTCCATTTTTAAAAGTTTTGGTGCAGCTCTGAGGACACGCCCCAGTTTTTCGAACCCTCGCCTGTTCTGTCTCCTGTCTGCTCAGAAAAGGGCGAAGGGTGAAGACTCAGAGCCGTTTTTAGCACAGCGAGACGCAGGTTCCCGTGGTAATGGTCCTCAGATAGCCAGCGTGGCCCCCCTCAGTCCTGTCTCCATGATGAGACAGAAACCTGCAGTGGTTCCTGTCAGCTCTGAGAAGAGTCCAAACAGGAGGAACAGCCTGAAAATCCTCGTCCCCGCGCCCCATCTGTTGACCAAATGGTTTTGATATCTCTGCTCCGGAAATAGACCAGATAGCTTTCCCCTGACTCTCCTCTCAGCACGGGTCTTTGTGTGCACCGCTCCATCCACAGCTCATCTTCCTCATCACCCGGCCGTGCGCTCTCTCCTGTCTGCCCCATCTGTCTTTATGCTTCCAGCTTCTCCACTCTGTCATATCTGCGTCCTTGTCTCCTGCGTCACCTGTGTTGTGTGTCCTTGGCGAGGCTTCCAGCTGCTTCTTTTTATCACTGTGACATAGTCATTTCAAAGGCATAACGGCTCACGCTAACTCATCAACTCTCTGGACGCCGCCGCCAGAAAAACGGGAGATAAGAGAGGCTAAAACAGAGCTCACCTGAGCTGCATTAGTCCAGGATGGTTTCCCACCAGACACAGGGAGGGGTTTGTTCATAAATCACTGCAGCGTATCCAGAACAGTGCAAAGATAATCCATCAGATGTTGAGATGAAAGAAATGTCTCATGAAAACATATTTGCAGCAGGTCAAAATGTGACGTAGTTTTGGTGGACGCTGCATCCTCTGAAGTAGAGAGACCTTCACACTACAGATGATCCATATAAGGGCATACAGGAAGTTTGAGTGTGTGACAGACAGAGAGTGTGTGTGTGTGTGTGTGTGTTTTTGCTCTGACGTGTTTGTTGACATACTCACACCAGCAGCGGCAGCAGCGGCGGCAGCCACCCCAGCAGCAGTCGCAGCAGCAGCCGAGAGAACAGCGGCAGCGGCAGTGTGGGCGTGCCCATCGCCGTGCCGACCCCAGCCCCGCCCACAGCCTTCCCAGGTAACACCTGTAGCTCTCTCTCTGAGTGGAACTAACTGTACTAATGTCTGTGAGGCATCCAGAGTTCCTACAAGTCCTGAGGGGACGTTCCTGAACCAGGACTTGTAGGAACCCTGAATCGTGGAGTGGTGTCCTCCCTCTCACTCTGATCTGGTCTTGACTCCTTCACTTGTCCTTTCTCTTCTTTCTTTTCTGATTTAAACCCCCTCCGTTCAGCCTCTGCCCCCTCCAATCCCGCTAAACCTCCTCCCAACACCGCCACCACCCCTGGACCCCCCACTTCTGCCCTAGACGGCCCCCCACAGGCCCCAAACCCCCCTGTAGAGATCCCGCCTGTCCCCCCTCCCCCTCCCCAGCTCCCTGCCTCTGCGGCCCCCACCGGCACAGGCCCCGCAACTTACGGCAACCCTGCACAAGGTGAGTGTGACCCTGAGGGAGCAGCTCATCCACCCCTCCGCGCTCACCTCCTGCCTCTCCCCCCCGCCCTCCCTGACATTCATCCTCCTGAAACACCCAGACCCATCCACCAGAACCTCACGGCCACCTCAGTTATCATGAAGGTAAAAACTCAGTCAGCTCAGAGTATGAAACCGACCCGGGTCTCTTTGAACCTGAGTGAGCTGACACATCCTCTCTAAAGCAGCTCTTCATTCATAGATAAACACGGAGATGATGTCTGACACACAAATCAACAAACACACACACAGACACTGTGTCTGTTCCTGATACTGGGGTCCGGTCAGACAACACCGCAGGTATTTACTGAGAAGAAGGAGCTGAGGACGCAGACCTCCTCACTCTATTTTATAAAGTTAATGAGGAGAGATGAAGAACAACCAATCAGAGAGGAGTTTCTGAGGTCTGGGAGCAGCTCTCCTCCATCTCAGACTGAATCTTTGTTCTTAATAAAGACGTTCAGCTCTAAAGGTCACAGCCGAACTCTTAGTTTATGAATATTTGATCAAAACTGTCTGAGCGGTCCAAACTCCGGGTCGCCTGTCCAGAGCCCGGCTCTTCCTCCCACCTCCCTCCCTCCCTCCCAGGTTTCATTTCACACGGCTGATGGATGCTCCGCTCTTCATCCCTCACAGCTTTCATCAGCCGCCTGCATCTGTGATGATGATGATGATGATGATGTTGATGCATGAGCGCTGTGGTGAACCGCTTGCTCAGTGAATTCCTCATTCATAAGAACTCATTCAGGCCTTTATTCTGGGTGTCGTGTGTGTGTGTGTGTGTGTGTGTGTGTGTGTGGTGCTGCGATCAGAACCCTGCTGGTCCGACTTTAATCCAGATGGGTGTCGTTCTCCTGTAAACTTTGACTCTTGGTGATTCGTCTGTAACCTCACAGTCAAATAAAGCAGAGATCTGTGTGTCCAGCGGTGAAAAACAAACTCCGTCCTCTCCTGTCAGCTGGTGACTGTCCCTCTGCTGCCCTCTGCTGTTGTCTTTCTGCAGGTGCCGCTCAGTTTTACAGCATGAATCGACCCGCGCAGCCACCTCAGAACCAGCAGGTGGGGGGCTCGCTGCCGTACCGCAGACCCTCTTCTGTCACCAGTCAGCCCAACGTGGCCCACAACCAGACCCAGCTCAACGGGGGACCGCACTTTGCTCAGAACCAAGGTACAGAGGTTTTCCAGGAGGTCCGCTCCAGTTTGATCATCTCCAGTTTCTGCCCTGTACTGAACGCCAGGACGGCGTGGAGTCAGTTTTCTCCGTTTAGAGGATCCTCTTGTTCAGTGTTCTCATCACCTCACACCAAATTTCACTTCTATTTTCACTATTATTTTCTAATAAGACAGCTCCGTTCCTTCATCAACTGTTTTATCTGAAAACTCTCCTCTCATACTGAAACATTTTTGTTGGCAGAAGAATCAACTAAACCTTCTGACTAGTTTTATGAGAGTAAGTGTCCAGTCGCAGCTCTTGTCCGTATTTCAGTCTGTGGACCCTCTCAGAAGTATTTAAAGTGTTTGGTGTCAATAATCCAGAGAAGCAGATCTAACCTAGATGTCTCTCCTCCTCCGCTCTGTGTTTTCCTTCAGTCATCGTTCACATCCTGAGACTTTGACTAAATGCTGTTTTTTTTTTCTTCTTCTTCTCTCCTGTCCTTTAAACTGATGGTCTCATGTCCTGACTGTCTTTATGTCTGTCCTCCTCCTCCTCCTCCTCTCTGTGCGTGTTCATACTGTCGGGTGATAGCCGGCCCGCTCGCGCCCCCTCCCCCCTCCATGCAGATCACCCCTCAGCTGCCTCTGATGGGCTTTGTGGCCCGAGTTCAGGAGACTAGTAAGTGGCTCTCAGCCCTTCATCCCTCCCTGCATGTCCGCCATGGATTTATTTAGACCCCGACACCAGACCTTCACATATCTATCTGGAATATTCTGACGTGAACGAGTGGTCAACCTCCACCTGCAGGTCTGTGAGGGATCTGCTGCACTTACATCTGAGGGACAAACACATAAAAACGAAGGATTCATGTGTTTGACACAAAAACTACAAACACCAGAGCTCCTCTCTTTTCTGATCCAACACCTGTGGACTCAAAGCTCAAAGCTCATTGGTCCATCCTGAAGCTTTTTATTCTCATTTCATTAAAAAAAAAAACATTTTAGAGAGTTTGAGGCTGAGAGGAAACAAAAGAAACAACCTGAAAATCTGACGTTAGAGAAAGAAAAGAGGTTCCTCCTGCAGAGAGAGGCGGTGGTTGACCAGTCAGAAACAGAGCATGGTGTGAAGAATACTGAGGCGTGTGTGTGTGTGTGTGTGTGTGTGTGTGTGTGTGTGTGTGTGTGTGTGTGTGTGTGTGTGTGTGTGTGTGTGTGTGTGTGTGTGTGTGTGTGTGTGTGTGTGTGTGTGTCTTTACCCTGATTTCCTCCCTGAAAGCGTTTCAAAGTTTGTTCAGATTCACATTTTGTTTCCTGTCTCTAAACTCGATTTTCTTTGACCCCTGACCCCTGACCCCTGACCCTGCATGGACCGTGTCTGCTCCTCTTTCTGATGCATGACAGTACCAGTCCGTGCCCCCCCGACACTAATCCAGCCCTCTCTTTACGCCTCTCTAACTTGCTCTTATTTTCCTCCCGCCCGTCTGAAAACCACTCCTAGTCTCAGACGTGCCGCCCCCACCTCCACCCTCAGAGGAGCCGGTGTTTGAAGAGCCCACACCACCTCCTCCTCCACCAGAGGACTATGAAGATGATGAGGATGAAGAAGAGTCGGCGGTGGTGGAGTACAGTGACCCGTACGCAGAGGAGGACCCGCCCTGGGCCCCACGCAGTTACCTGGAAAAAGGTCAGCCTGGCTGCGCCCCCTGGTGGTGTCACAACATCAGCTCTTTGCTAACGTTTCTCCTTCACAGTGACCCGGGTCAAAGCGCTCACTCTTCTCTCCTCTTGTCTCCCAGTGGTGGCGATCTACGACTACACCCGGGACAAGGACGACGAGCTGTCGTTCCAGGAGGGCGCCATCATCTACGTGATCAAGAAGAACGACGACGGCTGGTACGAGGGCGTGATGAACGGGACCACGGGCCTCTTCCCCGGCAACTACGTCGAGTCCATCATGCACTACGCCGACTGAGCAATCCCCCACATCTGAGCGAATGTTGGATGGGGAAGGGAAAAAGGGGGAGGGAGGGGAGCCAAGGGTTAAAGGTCAAAGACTTTGATCAGACAGAGCATGATCACCTCCAGACGAAGAAAGAAAAAGAGACAGAAGAAGAAGAAGAAGAAGAAGAGGTTTATGAAGAAGTGGCAACATGACGAACTGAAGCCCGGTCACTCTCTCGACATCGGCGCCATTTACGACAACCACTACTCCTGATATATCCTTCCCTGTGATGTTTTCTTCTTTGGTTTCTGATTGGACAGAGCGGACTTTCAGAGTTTCCTGTTACTTTAAGGGGTCACTACATTGATTTTGCTTCTTTCTTTTTTTTTTGTCACGGTTTGACCAAGTTGCCCTTATTTTAAGGTCTATTTATTCGGATGTTTGTAGTGGAAGAAACGCTGAGGTAGAAGTTTGGGCTGCTGAGTTGGGATGACGGCGCTGCAGCTTCGAAGAAAGGGCTGGAGGAGAATGCCTTCAACGATTTTCTCCAAAACACTCCAGAGACGTTTTCCAGAGCTGACTCCTCTCTCTACACACACACACACACACACACACACACACATAAATATATATATGTACACACTTTAATGCAACAACCATATCCTCGACAAACACTAGTTTCTGTACTTGAGTAAATATTTGGTAGGTAGCTCAGTGGGGAGCGTGCCAAAGCTGACCTTCACTAAAGTCAAAAAAGCACATCTAATAATGTCTTAAGGTGACACATGAAGGGAGAGAGAGAGAGAGAGGAGTGGAGGAGGAGAGAGAGAGAGAGAGCTTTAAACTGAAGTTTGTCTGAACCCAAAGGAGCAAATTTAGTCCAGAGAAGGAATCGTCATCCAGCCCTCCGACTCCAGAGGAAGGCTCGATCCTCAGTTGCACAAGAACCTGGATTTTGAAGTCTGCAGCTCCTCTCATGAAGTGTTTTAGCGAAGTGCTAATCATTTGCAGTGTTTGTATGCATTTGAGATGATCTTTTTATTTCTGCTGTTTCACCAACGGGTCCAGAATCGGCGTTGTGCTTGCAGAGCGGCATGTTTGGAAGAGGGGAAAAAAAAAGTTCTTTTCTGCTCTACTGATGATTAATGTCTTAATATTTTTAGATATGGTGTGGTTTGGTTTTTGATATTCACCCACGACAAAGACTACGACCATGCATTGAGGTCATTTCCAAGACGCTTGTGCCATATTGAAGTGCGTGTTGCTGTTCAGAGGTTCTCACTTCATTTGCAATAAATCGGCCGGAGTGAAGTTTCATGGAACTACAAAAACGTTTCCTTTTCCAGTAAATCCCAGAGTTGTTTTCGATCAAAAGCACATACATTTGTAGTTTAAAAAAAAAAAAGGTGTAGAAGAAGAAATAATCTAAATGTGAGATGTATTATGTCCTACAACAGGACTCATTGAATATGATAAAGAAGCCAGCTGTTGTGTTGAAATGGTTTGAACCGTCGCGAGCCCCCGACACTCTTCAACGCCGTGGGTTGAGGCGTTGTTTGTCCTCCGTAAAGTTTCCGATCCGCTCGGCTGTTGGTGGTTTGCGAGGGCTCAGTGCTTGTACTTATGTCAGAGTTTTTATTTTCTATAAAAAAAGAAGAAATAATAACAAGTGGGTCTGTATGTGAGTCTTGCATGCCATTGTTCTTATCTGTACTGGTGTCCCAAAAAAACCTTACGTGGCCAGATCACCCATCCTCCTAAAGACAAGCAGCCCTGCAGCTCCCGCCAGGAACCACCAGCCTCATCCAAAGAGACTGTAACTCAAGCCCACGTCCGAGGAGCCGAGCTCTGACCTGAGGGGGAGGAGGGAGGGAGGGAGGGAGGGGAGGGAACCCGGCTCCCTCCCCCCTCTGACTGTAGCCGCTGTTACGTCCGTGGTGAATAACCCCATCATGTGTAAGCTGCTAGTGAACCCTGCGGACAGAGAAATCTCCCTGAGGTGACCGCCGATAACCCCGACACTCCGATCAATCGAAGCTTGTTTCATAACACTCAGAAGACCACACTGTCAAAGTCCAAGCCCTCGGTCTGCAGGAGTCACAGACGTCCTCGGGGATGTCAAGTTTAACAGTCCATAATGCCATTGTGTTGCACAGTTAAAGTTGAATTGCAGAAGTATCATATTTGTAAAATCATGAGAACAAAGACAATAAAATTATCAAGATTTATCCCTGCTGTGGAGCTTGGTCTTTGGGTTTACGGAGCTTCAGGAGGGCCTGACCTCTGGGGGTCCTTGTTTGTGTCGTTTCAAGTTTACATTTAAAGCTTCAACTTTCTGTCCCGAACTTTTTCAGCTCATCTCCAGGTTCACTTTTAAAGTCTTTATTATGTTACATACAGAGAGAGATAAAAGATCATCAATTTCAGACACTTTGAATAATTAAGAATGATCAAAGATTATTTTAAAGATGTTAAATCCATGTCGAGAAAAACCAATCTGAGAGAAGGGCTGATTTTATCGAAAAAAAGTCATGAACACTGAAAAAGTTTTAAAGATATAAAGACATTTTTGAAATATTGGATCAATAATTAGAGGTTAGGTATTATAGGGTGAGTTCAGACAGACAGACAGACAGACTGGGTCTTTATTATGAGAGGAAGTTAATTAAAAATAAACCATTTAAATATCAAGTCATTATTCAGAGGTATCAGTTCTGATAATATATTTTTATTATTATTATCATCACAGTACTTAAAATTATTATTATTATTGTAATAATTATAATAAAAGTAATAATAATATTACTATTATTATTATTATTATTATTGTAGTAATTATTTTAAAAAAGTAATAATAATAATAATTATTATTATTATTAATAAGAATAAGAATAATAATGACTTTTTGTTGTTGTTGTTGCCATGACGACTGTACAGTGGGCTGTCTGTCAGAGGAAAGCCCATATATGGACATCCTAAGGTGGAGGACATTCTCGTCCTTTCTTTACTTTCGGTTTCGTGGACCTGGTGGACGTGCTGGTATTCCGTTTATCTAACCCCCTTTTTTTAACGGGAATTTAACCCCAAACTCAAAGTTTGAACAGCAGACTGACTCAGCTGGACCTGGACTCACTTTAATCCGGACTAAGAAGATGCGGATCCTCGATAATCTGTGGGGTTTTATTGTGATCTCCGTGTGTCTGGTCTGGGCCCACGCCAGTAAGTTTACAGATAAACCCTGTTTTTTATGTTAGTGTTTATTAATGGAGTTACCTTTATTAAAGGTGTATGTGTGCTGAAAGGTGTGAACTGACACGCGGAAGTGTGTTTCCATTATCATTTAATCCGGATTAAGATGATGAAGACTCCAAACTTTAGTCCAGCTCAACTTCCTGAACTCTGCTCCTGTATTGATATGTGATTATTGTAACCAGAATGGTGATTATAAAGTTAATGATAAAGTTCAGCTGTCATGTAAAGTTAGATTTCTGTTGTGAGGTTCTGTTTGAAACTTTATTTGATTTCATTACGAACCGCTCCTGTTTCTGGCCTCCATGTTGGTCACACCCAGACCTGACTGTGGTTCTACTGAGTTAAGGTTCTCTCTTAGTGGGTCTTTTGGTCCACTTTTAATCAGGTCCAAACAGCTGATCATAAGAACAAAACACCTGCTATAAAATCCAAGCTCACCTGCTGTTCAGAGGTTTTTAAAGAGGGTGTTTTGACCTTTTCTCGTTTTGTTTGTAGGTGATGTGAAGTATGGAATAAAAGGACAGGATGTTACCCTCAGACCATCCCCTGTACCGTCTCCAATCACCAACATCCAGTGGAATCATGGGGAAGACATTGCTGCAGAGTGGTCTGTTCAGTTAGAGACGGACTGTTATCGCCAGTTTAAAGGTACTTTCACTCACAGTCTGAGTTTCTAAAAATGACCCTGGTTCTTTAAAACTGTTACACCTGAGAGAAATCAGAGAGTTCTCAGAGGGTTTTCATGATTTTTAGAGGTTATCTGACTCCATCACTACAATCCTCTGATTTTAGATTTGAAGTTCTGTTTTCTGTGTTTTTAAAGGTCGCTGCTCGCTGGATCAGTCGACTGGAGCGCTGAAGATTACAGGTCTTACTGGGAGCGATGGTGGCATCTACACAGTGGAGATCAATCATCAGCTGATTAACCCCAGGATTGAACTGTCTGTCATCTGTAGGTTCAGGAATGGAGGACAGAGTTTTACACTTTTAAATACAAGAGTCTTAAGGTCTTATTTTGGTTTCTTTTCACCCAGCTGAGGTCCCTAAACCCTCCATCTCTGAAAACTGTGACGCTGAAATGACCAACTGTGAGCTGACCTGTGAAGGCAACACTACAGGCGCTGGACCGGTCACCTACAAGTGGATTTTAGATGATACAGACGGACCTTCAGACAAGGTTCTCACTGTAAATAAGGTACGACGAGGCTGTAACCATGGGAACGTTTACGACAGAACGAGCTCGTTAAACTCGAAGATAATATTAGATTTGTATTTTTTTTTCTAGGAGACACCAGAGAATAGTTTCTACTGCCTGATGTCTAACCCGGTCAGCAATCACAGCAGTGGAAGGATCTCTAACCCCTTCATCGCTGAGAGTGAGACATCCACACATACTCTTCATTAACCAGAGTGTAACAGTACTTTCTAACCACGACCAGGTGGATTGTGGGAGTTTTAATCAACGTGTTGATTGATCAGTTGATTGAATAGTTACTCTCCTGTTATAGATACAGTTAAGACCCTGATCTCTACCTTTCTCTAACATGACAGTCACACACACACACACACACACACACACACACACACATACATGATTCTGAATTATCACACTGGAGCATCATGGAACAGCTGTCTGTTAAATTTTCTGTTTTATTGATCAGTTTATTGATTCTGTTCGCAGATCATCGAGTCAGACTGACATCCATCATCATACCTGTGATAATACTCGGGATTCTGGTGTTGGGTATCGTGGGTTTTGTAATTTTCTGCAGGAGAAGAAGAGGTAAGGAGCCACAAATACTGCGATGATCTCAAATGTGTTCAGAGTTTAAAAAGGATCAATTCTCAATATCAGGTCAGACTACTCTCAACGGAGGTAATCCAAGAGGAGCTAAAGCAACACCAGCAGGTGAGCTCCTGACTCTGCTCCTGTCCTGTAGACGTGTCTCATCGATGTGAATCATGTGATTAGCACATACATCATGATCCTTCTGTGTTTGACAGAAACCATGAGGATGATCCGATACGGCTCCAATGGCTGCGACGCGGCCCACCAACAACCAAACCACGTCAGCTGTGAGTGAAAAGTTCATCGTTTTAGAGCAAAGACAGTCAATCTATGATCTTCACACAATAATGGGGAATCTGTTTTAGCAGCTGGTTCAGAGGTCAGAGGTGAACCCGACCAGGGTTCAGCATCAGCCGGGTCCACTAACCATCTGAGTGGAGAGGGTGAGTGACACTGTGGTGGACCTGTCAGTTCCTCACAGCAGCAGCTGACTCTCTGTGATGGTGTTTCCTCTCACTCTCTCCTCATTTTGTCTCCTGTGTCTGTGGGTGAAGGAGAGCTCACTGAGGTCCAGATTAACGCCGAGACCCACAATCCCAGCCGGGACTCTGGTAAGTCAGGATACAGACCTGGAGGACATAGATGTTATTTAGGGACGCGTACTTTAGTCCTGGTTTATATGTCAGTCTGAACCTGTGACTCTTTCGGCAGCAGGAGCATCAGCCACTCCTGAGCAGAACCCAGCCGACACTGCACCTGCAGACATCACCATGGAAACAGCAGGTGAGTTCAAACCGATCTGACCCAAACGAGTTTATCTTCCTGTTACTATATTTCTAACCAGTTTAATAATTTACTAAAGAGATCCAGTCAGCTGTGGATGAAACATCCGACCAGGACCAGAGCGCTCCTGGATCTGTTAGTACCAGCAAGGAAACAGGTGAGTAATACTTGGACTCGCTCAGTCCTGTACGAAGGTTTTTATTATAGTCTGGGTCATGAGGTCTACATATTCGGATCAGTAAAAAGATCCAAAACCAGAAACTCCCTGATCAGCAGCAGCAAGAAGACTGCTGGGAATGAGAGGTTTGAACGTAGAAGAAAGACGCCGAATTTAACCAAATATTAGAAGTTCTGATGATCTTCAAAACTCTGTCTGAGTGAGACACAATGAGAGCTCTGAGGAGGGAGGTCCACGCTCAGCAGAAGAAGCAGACTTTTAGATCAGCCGTTCATTTTCAAAGATGAGATTCAGTAACTCTTCTGTCTCATGTGGCAGGAGACCCTGAGGACATCTCAGACGTCCAAGAGACAGCGGTCCGAGAGCCGACAGCAGGTGGTCCAGAAGATGCTGACTAGAGCTGAAGAATTTATTGAAAACAACAGAAGATTTGTGTGCAGAGATTAGAGTCGGAGTCCGCTCCATGGGGAGATGTTACAGGTGCTGATGGTTCCTGCTGTTACTGCGGGGGGGGGACTCGGGTCAGACATTTATGAGTCCACTCAGTCTGGAGGAGGAGGAGGAGGTTGATTCCTCACGGGTTTGAGGTCCAAAGAAGCATGACTGACCTAATGTACGATGAACTTCTACCATCAAGTCTGAGATCCAGGGTCGCCCCTTTTCACCAGGTCTGACTGAAACCCTCTGAACATGGAGCTGAGGTCCATGTGGGTTGGAGACCTCTGTAGAAGCTGTCTGCTGTCTGAATGCTGCTTTATTCTGTGTGTATGATGTCAATGGAGCTGCAGGGATGTGTGTTAAATTCAGTCTGACAACAAAGACATAAATAATCGAATAATCCTGAAGACGGTCACTCCTGAAGTGTGGGCTCTGGCCTCCTTGTGGACTCCTATGGTATTACATCCAGGCTGTGAGAGGAGGTCACTGAGGAAGAACCAATCAGACGTGAATGTGTTTAATTTAGACCGTCTGAAATTTGACTCACACTTTAAGTTATTAAAACAGATCATTTTTTCTATCATCTGAAATTGAACATGAAACACCTCGTCTTCGAGCAGAATCTCCTCAGAGGGATCGGTTAGAGGTTTGACCTCACAGCACCTCAAGATCTCAAACAACAGCTCTTTAAGGTGGTTTTTATTTAAGGAGGAAATGGAAATGTCTTCAATCAGCTGAATTTTATTACATGTTTCATTCCTGATCCCTGCAGCTGCAGCAGAAACTGTCCTCTTTGATTCTGTGAGGGACCAGGTCTCTGAACCCAGTCTGGGTCCAGAGTCTTAGAGTACCTGAGTCCTGCTCGTGGTGATAATTCCTGAGATTAGAGTTTCCATCAGACGATCATGCGGGTTTATATTTTTTTATTAAAGCTGCTTCGTTCAAAGTGACGACTCTTGAACTGTGCAGAAGGATCTCAGGGCCGGACGTCTGTTTCTACTTGAATATTTATCCGAGTTTTTTTGTTCCCGGTCTGTTTTTTTTTCTTTTGCACCAAAACCATCTGTTCAGTCTCTCTCATCAGCCAAAGCTGCGTTTGATCTCTCATGATTTCTTTGACAGTTAAATCACCAAAAAAGGAAATTAAACCTTTAAAAGGACAAAAATAGGATCTTTTAGATGTGTCATTTTAAAATGCTTTGATGCAAAATAACCACAGATGTTCTCAGTGAGCAGAGATGAGTAACTTATTTAAAATCTTGTGAATATATTTGAATTTCTTTAACAGTAAAATCATGAAAACATTTTTAAAACTTTGATAATCTGCCGCTGAAAACATCTGTTTTATGAAGCGTTTTTTTAATGCTGCTGAGTTCCTCTTTGTCCAGCAGAGGGCGTCGTCGAGCTGAAATCAAATAGATGTTCAGATCAGACAGGAGAAAGGCTTTTAAATGTTTAAAATGGACTTAATTCAATCAAAAATACATTTTATCACACATACACACTCCAGGAAAACCATTCCAATATTTATGACTTTCTTCTGTTGTTTTTCTTTTTATAGGTTTAAGTTGAAGTACTGTAAATGTTTGAATCTGTTACAGAAACCTGAGCTGTTGTTTGTTTATGTCCTAACCTTTCTGCACTGTTTATGTGAACAAAACAGTAAATCACTGTACAAACAGAAAACAGTCATTTTGAACTAACATGGCTCAATATGAACGACTCTGACAGAGAGAGAGAGCAGAGAGGAGGATTTATACCACACACTTATTTATTATTGTCATCTCTGAGGAGCTCCTCTGTTTACAATGAATCATCTCAGAGCTGCAGTCAAGTTCATCTTTAATCGTCTTTAAACACAGAGGTGGTGTGTCGTAGTTCTGGGACTCACCTCCATCATCCATCAGTGTTCAAGGTCTCAGAGGAATATTCAGAGATCATGATGGTTTTAAGCCGCAGTCTGCTGTGACGTCATTCTGTGGTTCCAGATCCTGTTACAAACACACAAAGGGAGGAGGTCCAGATGAGGAGCTTCAGTCCACAGGGACCTCCTGGTCCATTGTCACAGAGTCACTCAGCAGACGATCATATAACAGCAGGGACCTGATTCACGAGCTGCAGCCTCACCTCCGTTTGTTTGAGCTCAAATGAGAAATCACTCGTTTGATTGAGGAGGAGAAGGTTTGAACAGCTGGATCAAACAGCTGTTCGGTGCTGACATAGATCTATATATACATAGATGTATATATACATAGATGTATATCTATGGACCAACTAAAAGGGCCAAACTTGTTTGTACTTTTGTAAGAGTGTGATTTTTTTATTAATAAAGATGTTAGACCGGAGAGTGTGTGCTTTATCTTTACAGTTTCGTGTTTGATTATAAATTTGTTTCTGTCAAACTCTGCAAAGATGTTCATGGTTTCCAGAGGATAGACCTGGATCTGCATGTCAGCTTCGCTCCTCTGAGTACAAACCCTGAAGTGCAGATCTGGATTTCCTTTTTGTCTTCTCACCCACTCTGTTAAAATTCTCACAGACCTCTGGGACTCTTGGTTTTCACACTCGTGGTCATCCTCCTGTTTTCAGCTCTTTTTATTCTTTTCTCTTGTTTAAAAAGTTTTGCATGTTCAGAGAATTTCTTTTATCTCCTGAAATAAAAACTGTAGTTTGAAATAATCAAATAACTAAAAACTCTTTCCTCTCACAGTGTCTCTTTAAAGCTGATGGAAGAGTCAGACTGAAGCTCCTAGTTTGATGATGACGTGTTTGAAAGTTTGACACGGTTTATTGACATCCAGGTGGAACAGCTGATTTCATCTGGCAGGTACAGAAGAACAACCCCTCCCCTCCCGGATGGAGACCCACAATCCTCCTGGACTCTGGTATTGTGCCCTCAGACTGAAATGACAGGTGAGTGTCGCGGCGCTCATTTACAGGTCACATCTTAAGTGCTTCCTTCCAGATGAGTCTTCCTGAGCTCTGAGGGGAGAAGACGGATGGAATTCAGATTTGAAGAGAGTGACGAGAGGGAAAGAAGGCGGAGGGGGTCTTTACGACAACACATGCCCCCCCGAGAAGACAGCCGAGGGCGGAAAGTGGGGCTTATCTTTACCTGTGCACACTAGACTTCCAGAGGGAGAGATGTGTCAGAGGGATCTTTGTATTCAGCCGTTAAGTTCAGCTCTTTAGGAAGGCATGTTCTGACAAACCCTTTAATGCTGACTCCCATTTTCCTGAGCTATGAGGAAACAAAGAGAAGAAATCCATGAAAATACAAAAACAGCTTTAGTCAGATTTCATACAGGAAGATGTCGGGCTGTGTGTGGATAGAGGGTCTGTATTTATGGAGGATCTGTCATCATTAGAAACCTTTCTCTCTCGAAGGAATGTGGTTTTCAGACAGGTGTCACAGACATGTCTGAACAGAGGCGCTGAAACACACCGAGAACTGATATCAGCCGCTGATTTTCTCACTATCACAGCTATAAAGAGAGAGAGAACTTCAGATGTGGGGAGGACTTTACAGAAACAACATCTGAGCGGTTATGTAGAGGCTGTCTGCAGAGAGACGGACTTAAGAGAGGAGACTCCAGCAGCACCTGCACCATGAAATATGTTATTTTATCATCAAACAGAGGCTTCAGGTTTTCTGACCTTTTTCTGATTCAAAACTAAGTAAACAAGAAAAAACAGGATTTTATTTCTTTAAAAAAAAGCAAGAAATGCAGAATTACTGAGGATGGAAATAAACAAAAAGGAAAATATGGAAGAAGCTTTAACCAAACTAATCTGACTTTCTCATTTGAGATGAAGAAACTGAGACAAAAGTGAACAAACTTTGTCATTAATCTCAGGGTTGGTTTCTGTTTTCATTTTTACTCTGATTAAAGCTGGTTTTATTATTGTAACCTGATGATTTCCTGTTCATCTCTCATTATTTCTTACCTGCCCTGTGATACTGTGAGACTGTTATAGAGTCATAAACCAAGTTTAAAATAAAATAAAAACAGTCAGCTGTCGTAAATTTTAGTTGTAAAAATAAGTTGAACAGTTTTTGGATCCTGAGGGAAAGTCTTTCTTCATTCAGTCAGAGAAATGTTGAACCCTAAAGGCAGAAAAATCAGCACATATGTCAAGTTAACAAGTACGAGAGAGACATGTACCGGAAATCAAGAAGCTCATTTCAAAATAAAAGCAGATTTCTTAACGATTCTTGAGTTAATGTGAACAAAAATATTTGTTTCATTGGGTTTTAATGTAAAATAAAACTTACTCCAACATGACTGATTCAGACAAACAACATGATGATGAACTCTAAACTAAATCAGATTCACTCATTCATCCTTTTGTCATCGTTACATCCTCCAGTCCTGATGAGTTTCTGGACTCTAGAACTTTAATTTGAAAATCCTCACAGGAAGTTACATCACTCTCCTCACTCTTGACTCTCTGTCCTTTACTGCTGCAGATTGTCAAGGTGTGCACAGCCTCCTCCTCAGGTAGACAGGAGTTGGAGAAACAGCCCTCACGGTTATTTCTTTCCCCCTCCAGCTCCTGAAAGATGAAAACTCCTCCACCAAATCTCTGAAAGGATTTTATTTCATTTGTTTCTGCGTGGAAAACCGTGAATTCTCCCCGCGAGGATGGGTCAAAGCGACAGGTGGAGTGGAGTGAAGCTGCGGAGCTGCATCCTGCTGCTGTCGGTGTTTTCACAGATCCAGACTCAGAGACGTGGTGAGAAGCTGCTTCTTTTGTTTTTAATCCTGTTCTGACTTGGTTTTGTCTTTTTAACAGATTTCTCCCGCTGAAGTGAAACTTTTACTGTTGAAAAAGTTTGTAAAGGTGTGAGTGAGAGTGTTTTTAGAGGCAGTAAAAGACCTTGAGATGTTATTTTTTGGAGGAACTCTCAGCCTGAACCCTCCAGGCTGAGCTTGATTGAAATTCCCTCCATGATCTGCTTTCTCAGAATTATTCCCTGTTTGGACGCAGACACGTGAGCTGACAGCTTGGATCTGCAGGTCGGAATGAGGTTGAGGTTTGTGAGGATGTCTGGACTTGTCTATAAGGAATGATGAAGAGCCCACAGCAGCAGCAGCAGCAGCAGCAGCTCTGCTCTGTCAGAAGCTCATGAACTGTAACTTTGCTGAATCTGCAGCCGTTTCACTCTGTATTCATCTGATCCTGCTCTGACATGTTGGTCCAACCCTGGAGAAATGAAGTGGTTCTGATTTAATGTGTCTCTTTTAATGTGATGAATTTGCATTTAGTGCATCTGCTGCCAATTTGAAACCGAGTCTGAGAAATCCCCCACACCTCCTGAAGCAGACTGACAGACTCGGGTTCAGGCTGCAGCTGGAGCTGTTTTTATCTCCTTAAATCTCTCTCATCCTTTTGTGTCGATGAAGGAGTCAGTTTGGCATCCCTGAACATCCTGCTCTGACTATTCTGAGTCCCTCTGTTGGACTTGTTGTCATCCTTGAGGTTATTTTGAACTTTGAACAACTTTGAGGCACCCTGAAACCATTGTGCATCCCTGAACGTGTTCTTCATCCCTTAGCTGACAGTTAGCATCCTTAAACAGTTTCAGTCCTGGTTGTTGTCATGCTGGTGTGTTTCCCTCCTCATGCATGGTCATTGTCTGGCGTACGGCGCCCCCCTGACCTCCAGATCCTCAGGTCAGGTATCCCTCCCTGCATCTGCACTCTTGTCCCGGCTTGTTTTTGGGTCTAAAGTTGGTCTTTGGCAGATCTTCTAAAGGCTTAATATTCAGGATCAGAGTTAAGCATTGAGGCTCATGCAGGTGAAAGAAGCTGCTTGTGCAGGTGCTTGTCAGTGTGTTGTTGTTGTTGTGTAGCTCTCTTGGTTGAGTGTGTGTTTGTCTTTGTGTGTAAGGTGGTAATTTGCGGTCGGCTCAGATTTTCCCCTCTTCAGGGCTTGTTGGTTCCTCCTGTGGAAACAACAGAGACTCTTTATCCGTACCGCCTCATTTTAGCGGGCTGTGGTTGTCTGCTCTCTCTCTCACACACACACACACACACACACACGCACACACACACACACAGACATGCTGACATTTAGGCATGCCCTCATATACATGTAGAGACAGAGTATGTGCAGAGAGGATCTAATAAACTCTGCAGAAGAATTCAGGCTTGTGCATGAGAAGCAGCTTTAGGTGAAGCATTGTTCTGCTTCTTTTGTGTATCTTAGACGACTCTTCAACAAACACATGACAGTTTGAGTCCCAGTACCAGAGCTGGAGAGTGAAGATCTCTCTCTGACACTCCTCATGGCTGTGAAATCTTCCACTCTGCTGTTTTTTTATTACCTTCAGCTGCAGAGATGTGAACATTTACGAAGAGCTTTCACTGACTTTGCACATATTTCACTGGAGTATGGAAACCGAACTGATGGGAACAAGAATGACAATAAAAACAAGAGTGAATTTATTCAGTTCAGCTCCTCATGAGGTCACTCTCTGAAAGAGCTTTTATTGTGCCTCAAAAACATAACAGTCCCTGAAACTGAATAATGAAGTCCAGAAAAAGAACCGGTCCTGTCTTTGGAAAAGGGACTCGACCATATAAGGAGATTCCTGTCAACCCCGGAGCGTCATTATTGGCTGATTTACTGCCTAACAGTGTCAGAGAAAGTTAAGGTGGATGTTTCCTTGGAGTAAATCACCAAATGAACATCATGATAGTTTATAATATCTCTGCTCCTCTGTGTTGACACAACACGTGAACGCTCTCTGACGGCGTCTCTCCTGGGTGGGCGAGCAGTCCCTGTTTCCTGATATATGAGGCTGTATTTCATCAGAGCAGATCATAAATGAGTCTTATAGAAACAGAGGAGAGTGAGGAGCTGTGTTTGTGGGTACAGGATGTAAACTCTGAGATAATTCAGCGGATATTTACTCCATAATCACATCAGAGGGAAATGTTGGTGAAGTTTTCTGTCAGGGTTTTACGGCCTGTTTTTTCTGCCTGTCTGAACACGAGTCAGTTTCTGATCATAAAGTGTAAAAATAACTCCTGCAGGAGAACAAAGTGATGCTGGTTTATTTTAATGACTAAAGAAAAGTTTAAATTCATTTACAGTCTGTTTAAGTACAGATATATAAGGACAGACTCTTCTGTGCAGTAAATATTGACCCTCAAATATAATCCAGACTAGTAGGGATTAAACTCGACTGATCCAAACTGAACTAACCTGGACTTTAGGAGTTAGACTCAGTTTTACTCAGACTGATCTCATTTTAGATCATTTAAAGAGACTTCACTTTGTCAGACTGGAGCTCATTTTCATGTTTTCACCTGCACAGATCATTGAGTCACTTCTTCTTCTCATTATTATCAGGATGATTATTGTGTTCAGAGTCTCAGTTCCACTCTCTGATCTGCTTGAATCTGTTTTGAATGAAATCACAAAGTCTGAAAACATGTTTGAGTTGAAGGTCTGATCATTTGTCTGTGAGCGTCTCTGAAAGAGTTAAAGGCTGTGATGAAGACTCGGACTGTAAACGGGTCTGTGTTCATTCACTTCATGAGGGTCTGACTGCAGGTTGTTGTGATGTTGGGTTTTATCTTGATTATATCTTGTTTGAGAAAAACAAATGTGATCATCACAGGTGTGACGTGTGAAGCTCTTGGACTGACTTGTGTTGTTCCTGCTGGACTCCAATGTCTCATTGTCACGTCTCTTTAATCAGTCTTGACGTTATATTAGCTCCGCCCATGAGCAGATTAAAGGTTGGGCATGAAGGTCTGCAGGTCTGGAGGTGTTGGACTCTGGTCTTCAAAGAGCTTCTGTGGGCGTGAGTCTGCTCTTTGTCCTCGAATCTGGCGTCTCTGGAGCTGACCTTACACTTCTGTCCTGACTTGTTTTAATTTTGTCACACAGTGAAATCGAATGTTATTGATAGGATTATGTATTTATTAAGGCTGTCAAAGTTAACGCGTTATTGTCGCGTTAACTCGAGTGACTTTTATCGCCACTAATTTTTTTGACGCACGATTAACGCAAGCCTTAGCCTGGCTTGACCAATGACTAGACATATGAATTACCTTGTAGGACCACCATTACCATGAAAATCCACGATCTGTTCTCATGTTGATTCTTATGTTGATAAAAGTATACCAATTTGAAAAAGATCAATTTAGAATGGATCAAAAATATGCGATCAATTTGCGATTAATCATGATTAATCATGATCACAATTCGATTAATCGCGATTAAATATTTTAATCGATTGACAGCCCTAGTATTTATGTGTTTATTGACCAGGAGAGGACCAAGAAGAGTCCTGCAAACTTTTGGTCAAACATCTAGAAGATGAGATCAGTGTTTATTTTTTAGCCTAAGTTAGAAAAGACGCTCTAAAAAACCAGTTTAATCCAGTTTGCATTAAAATCAATGACTTTTCTTGTTGCTTATTGAGGCACAAAGTGTTTCAGTTTGGATATTATTGTAACACTGAGAATGATCGTTGTTTTATTGATCAGTCTGCAGATTTGATTGATTATTTGATCGATGTGAGAGTCCGTTAAGTCTGAGAAAAGTGAGAAAATGAAGCGGAGCGTTAAACTCAGTTCACGTCAAAGAAAGAGCGTGTCAAAGATGGCCGCTCGGTCTGAGGTGCAGTGGGTGAAGTTTAGCCCCTCTGGGTGTTTGTCTCCTCAGGTCGCCTCCTCTAAACAAACTCCCGGCACTCCTCTTCTTCACCTCCCATTTCATCTATAATTACAGCTTTTTATCCTGCGAGCGTCTCAGACTCATCAGCCGGAGCAGACTGTGACATGAAAGCTCTTTTACAGCTCCAGTGATCCCGTCAGTGTGAGCTCAGGGCTGTAAAAGCAGCTGTGGGTCTTTTCTACCTGCTCCAGGTCTGAAGGTGCGATGATCTCACGCTGACGGAGAGAGAGAGGATGTTTGCTTTTCCATCTTTTTCTGTGTGGCGCCTATCTGATCCTCCATCTTGACTGCTGGGTCAGCAGCAGGTTCCTCTCTGTCACTGGGGAATGCTTTGTTTTCCCAGCTGCACATACTGGTGGCTTTCAAGTGGTGAAAATGGTGATAATGGCGGCTGTGGTTCTGCTTCTCCCACCTGCTCGCCTCTTCAAGATCTAATCAGGACAATGTTTCCAAAATAGCGGGCCGAGGAAAGGGTTAATTCTGGCTCGGTTTGGAGATGGTGGCCGAGGTTAGAGCTTTGGGTTTGTGCCGAAACTATGAAGACGAGCGGTGTGTGATAAAAACATCAAAGTCCTTCACCCAGTCCTTCAGAAACACCACTGAGACCCGTTTAGTCTAACTTCTCTGCAGGCTAAACTTTACTCTAAACTTCCCTCAACCTGAACCACAGTCTTTGTCAACTTTTCCAGCCGGGTTTCGACATGTTCCCGTGTTGCACATCCCAGTCAGTGTTGCCACACTCGCTCCAATCCTCCGGAGGGAACTGGACGGCTGCCAGAGACTGCAGAGAGGCCGTGAAGTCTCAGCAGACTGACTCAGGAGGCTGTTAATCAGAGAGAGCGAAGGAGAGGCTCTTAGTGGAGTGACTGACATTTAGGAGGTGGATGGAGTTATTGATTTGGCAGCAGGAGTTTCCGTCCAGATCGAACTCTTGTCTTTGTAAATGAAAATGAGTGAATAAACTTTGATGTTAGTTCAGGGTGAAGAGAAGACTTGGTTGATCTCTGGTCTTAAATGTGAAAGCTTCTTGAATTGCATGAAGATTGAATCCAGACATGTGGACCATGAAGGTCTGATTGAGAGCAGCTCCGGGGTCTTTGTGTGGAGGGTACAGTAGCCGCTCTGTGGGAGTCTCTGCGGTTTTCGATCCTCAGTTTCCCTCTTCATGACTCACTGGGAGCTGAACCGGGTCATGAACAGGACCTGCCCTCTGGTCTAATATCTGCAGCAGGAATTTGAAGTGAAGCCTGGAGTTAGGAGGCCTTCACACTCCACTTGAATGTCACATCTCTTCAGGCTCATGCTGTAAAAATGTTCCTCTGACAGATGAGATCAGCAGGTAAAGACGAACACCGAGGAGGAGGAGGAGGAGGAGGAGGAGGAGGAGGAGGAGGAGGACCCTTTGGAGTCTAAATGACCTTTAATTACTGAAAAACCGCTTTAATTACTTTAATTTCTGCTGTCAGTCACGCCGTTAGAGGAGGCGTCAAACTTCCTCGCCTTGGAACAAAACTTCTCTCTTCCTACAGTCCCCACTAAACTTTTCTCCCATGATTCTTCACTGCCTGATTTCTGACACAAACGTCCTCTTTCACGTTGAGGATCCTCCAAACAACGGCCCGACTGTCTCGTCCTCCAGCACCCGTCTTCTTTAATGAATCGTGCATTGAGGCCCGACAACCGAACCGTCTCACACCCTCTTGTCTGAAAATGCTTTTGTCTGTGTGTGCCAAAAATCCCACTTCGACATACCGCAGGGGGGAAGGATTCAGGGGGAGGAGGGAAGGAGGGAAGGAGGGAAGGAGGGAAGGAGTCATGGGTGTTGATTTCTGGCAGGACGCCTCACAGAGAAGCTTATTTGCTTCTTCGCTGTAAAGAATTTGAGTAATTCAATAACTGGAAAGTTCAGATTGAAATCAGACCGCCGTGTTGATGATTGACTGCAGAGATTTAAACTAAATCCACATTTATTTAGAGCAGATTTGGTGAACAGTCAGGACATCTCTCTTTCTTCTGTTGTAGCTCAAACTGTCAGACAGCAGGTGGCAGCGTTTCACCGCTGCAGCAGAAACAAACAGAGATTAGCTGCACAAAATAAAGTCTGTTTAACATCCGCAAAAGTCACTTTGTGTTTGTCATCATCATTATTATATTATTATTATTATTATTATTATTATTATTATTATTATTATTATTATTTTATTATTATTATTATTATTATTATTATTATTATTATTATTATTATTTTTATTTTTATTATTATTATTTTTATTATTATTATTATTTTTTTATTATTATTATTTTTATCATTATTATTATTATTATTATTATTATTATTATTATTATTATTATTTTATTATTATTATTTTTATCATTATTATTATTATTATTATTATTATTTTTATTATTATTGTTTTTATCATTATTATTATTATTATTATTATTATTATTATTATTTTTATTATTATTATTTTATCATTATTATTATTATTATTATTATTTATTTATTTATTTTTTATCATTATTATTATTATTATTATTATTATTATTATTTTTATTAAAGTTTTTAATGAAGGTTATTTCTGCAGTATTCAGTCATTTTTAAGCTGCAAACATAAATCTAAACCAAAGAGGAGGACTGAGTAACTGAGGTTCGACCTCTTCAGCCTCTGCTCTGCTGCCATCTGCTGCTTCACGGAGGAACTGCAAGTCCACAAGTTTACACACAAAACACCAAACTTAGAAGGTGAAGTGAGCAAATCTCCTCAGCCTGTAACAGTGTGGAGTAAAACACAGAATATTCCTCTAACATACTTTTGTTCTGCGTTAAAGTCGTCGACATTTGAGTTCATTTCCAGTTTTTTAAGCTGCTGTCATGATTGCTGTGTGAGCAGTTATTAAAAAATGTCCATATTTGGGATTAAATGAGGAGGAGGAGGAGGAGGAGGAGGAGGTTTATGATGGAGCTGTGAGGCAGATAAAATCAGAGTGGTCAACTTTGCAGAGCGCAGACCTCCAACGTAAAAGTCAGATATTTGATTTCCTTATTGGACCTCCTAAAGTCTGTACCGACTCAGAGTTTGTGTGTGTGTGTGTGTGTGTGTGTGTGTGTGTGTGTGTGTGTGTGTGTGTGTGTGTGTGTGTGTGTGTGTGTGTGTGTGTGTGTGTGTGTGTGAGCTCATGTTCCCGGGCCCAGCAGCAGCCTCTTCTCTTCTTCTTCTTCTTCTTCTTCTCTCACTTTAATTGGTGTATCACGTTTCCGTCCCGCTGGGATTCTCCACGGTTCACACGCTCACATGGATGAAGCTGAGGAACAAACACACACATGTTCTCATGGTGAACCAGAGCAGCAGGAGCTCCTTCAGACCATGTTTTATGACCATTTTTCACCATCATGTCGTCACTTTGAAGCTGCAGAGTTACACGAGAACGTCATCTGATAGAAATATGGAGTTTAGTTTAACGTTGAGTTCAGACTGTTTCTATAAAAAGGCTTGAGAGAAAAGTTCAAAGGTGCAAACAGCAGGTTAGATACAGGTCTGTGTTTGTAAAACCTGCAGAATGAGTGCAGAAATATTCAAACGACCTGACCCTCAGTGTTCTGTAGAGTCAGTGTCGAAGTTTATTTATGTAGTTCTGAGTGAATAACAGAAGAGTTCAGGTGAAGAGGAAGAAGAAGAATATTCAAACTTCTATATTTATGATTCTCAGAAATAAGAAGAAGGTCGAGGACATGAAGGGAGTTCACCAAGACTGGGTTTAAGCAGGTCTCTGACCTCCAGGTCCAGTTTCAGTGAACATGCCTGGCCTCTGTGTGGTTACGGTCAGACGCTGCAAGGCATTCTGGGAAACGTATGATGGCAGAATTATGTTCGGAGAAAAATCATTTCTGTTTATGAAGAAAATGTTCTTTAAGAGGACGAATGACCCCCGACAGGAGCGTCTCTGTGCAGCTGCTGGACTGAGTGTGTGTGTGCAGCTGCATTCAACTGTATGTGTGTGTTAGTGTAGATACACACACACACACACACACACACACACACACACACACACACACACACACACACACACAGAGCCCCAGCTGCCTTCATGGTTCTGTGTTTACTCGCCCTGATCGCGGCCCTGTGCCGGTCAGAGCAGCTGTCTGTCAGCTCAAACTGATGAAAAGTGCTGCAAACACACACACACACACACACACACACACACACACACACACACACACACACACACACACACACACACACACACACACACACACACACACAAACTCTGTTTTGGTCTCCACCACTTTTGCATATAAAGTGACTCATTTCATTTTTACATTTTTAGAAGAATCTCAAAATCCTTTTTGTGGCTGATCTAACGTCTAAAAAGTGGAAAATATCTTAAAAACGTTAAATTCTGCTGTTTTCAAACTGTGACGGAGCTTTAAAGAATATTTTTGTCATGTCCGGGTTAGCGCTCTCCAAGAAGTCTCTTAAAACAGCTGCTTTCAGACTGAGTTTCTTATTTCCACTCTCTCTCTCTCTCTCTCTCTCTCTCTCTCTCTCTCTCTCTCTCTCTCTCTCTCTCTCTCTCTCTCTCTCTCATTTAACACACACACACGCTGACAGCAGTAGTCACATTGTTTAAATGCACAGATTACTGAAATGTGTCAGCTTCCAGGCCTCCAAATGTGGTGCAGGAGGAGCGGCGGCGGCGGCGTGGGCGTGGGAGGTCCGAGGGCTGGAATGTGCAGCAGCTGGATGTCTGAGCGTGGCAGATGAGGCGAGTATCTTCAGGATGATGGGGGCACACGGGGGCACACAGGGGAGGAGCCCTCCCTCCGCTTATCAGCCATCTGTGAGAACCTGGATGTGGTACATTTTCCGAGGATTTTCTCCGATGAAGCAATGGAGCGTTTCCCAGGGGAGCGGAGCTTAAGACATCAGCCCAATCAGATACGCCCTCGCCGGCTGCCTCGCCTTCTCAGCTGCTGTCTATCAGTCTTCCTCTCACACTCCCGCTGCTGTTTATCAAACTCTAAAAACTCTCCGAGGTTCAGTTTGTGGTTCTGACACTTTCTCAGTAAATCACTCCTCACTTCACCCTCATGTCACCGATGACCACGCTTTTCCTGATGATGCCCGCTCCGCCGCTCTGTTGTTGTTTGAAAAAGTAAATGAAATCCTTTTTTTTTCCTGATATTCCCGAGGTGTTATCAGGACCTGCCAGCTGCTGTCTCCATGACTCCAGCCTGAGTCATGCTTTTCTCCTGTGCACTGGTTAACCTCTCCTTCAGGAAGTCCGACCTCTGTTCCATCAGAATCAGGAGGACGCCGTGTGAAAGTCATGCAAAGATGTCAGATGTAGAGGTTGTTAAAAAGTAGATTCAGGTTTGTGTTTCTCATCGGGTGTCCTCAGTGAACCCAGTAGACCAGGACTCTTCTCCTACAGAGCCATACTGTTGTTATTCCTGCAGAATCTGGATGCAGCATCTATGATTTCTACTTCTTCGTTGGTGAAACGTCTCAATTAGGTCCAGTTGTCTTCTCCATGTGGTGATTCCCACTCCAGAGTCCTGTCTGTTTCTAATGCCCTGAAGATCAGGACCATCCACGGCCGTCACTCACAGTTTTGTGTATTAGTCAGGTGCAAATATGACTTGACCCCCAAAGGTTCCTCAGCTGTTTTTTTATAGTATCAGATGTTCTTAATAACAAACTCAAAGTTTACCGAAGTTTGACCACTAGAAAGGCGTCATTTTCAAGATGGCGTCCATGATGGTTGGAGACACCCCGGGTAAATAGGGTAAAATTTTAAACTAACAGATATCAGCATGAAACTTCCCAAGTTTATAATTTACATTAAGACAAATATTTTTTATATTACAAGTTTAGTCAAATGTTATGTTTGAATATGTACATGAGGTCATATCTAATTAATTATGCACTAATTTACAGACATTTACAGAAAACTGAAAACTGAACAATAGATTTCAAATTGTCCTTAAAACAACCATTACTCCTTTATATTCATTCTGGCGCCTGATACATGTTTGGACCATGTCATATTCTAATTAGCATATTTCTATGATAGAGAAGTGATTACAAGAACAACTAGTGACCCACGGTCTGTGTCACATGGAGATATTTGATTTTTTAGTGGTTGTTTCAGTATTTTCTCATTTACAGAGTGATAAACAGAGATCTCCAAAGTCCCTCCTTCTGACTCTAGTCTGTCAACAAAATAAAACAAGAATTTTAAAGGGTCTTTATCCATCGTTCAGTTTTCTGTAAATGTCTGTAAATGAAGTTATAAACTTGGGAAGTTTCATGGTGATATCACCCGGGGTGTCTCCTACCATCATGGACGCCATCTTGAAAATGACGCCTTTCTCGTGGTCAAACTTTGGTAAACTTTGAGTTTGTTATTAAGAACATCTGATACTATAAAAAACACTTAGTCAACCTTTGTTAGAAGTTTTTTAGGGTTAGCTGGTTATCACTCTCCTCTGCACTCGTCCACATCTGAAACTCAACCTCCTCTTTTCTCGCCCTCATTTACTTTTAAAGCCTCATATTTCTCCAAGGCGTGTGTCACCGTGGTAACGAGAAAACTCGTACACATTTTCTCCACGCTCCAGAAGAGGTCTTCAGGGACTCACTCATCAACTCAGACAGAGGAGGAGTTTTCACGCACTTCACTAACCAATAAGTTCCATCATGAGGGGGAAACAGGCCTGCCTCCACTCCTGGGTTTCCCCCCCGTCTGTCCGTCCGTCCGTCCGTCTGTCTGTGTGTGAAGGGCTGTTTTTTCACGCAGCAGCCCTGCAGAGGGAGGGTCTCTGAGAGGGAGTGGAGTTTTTATGCCTCTGTTTCCACTCGGCGGATGCTCAGTGGCCCTCGAACAGCCTGGATCGAAGAGCTGAGCGTCAGGCGGGCTGACAGGTGGCGTTGGAGGAAACAGTGAGAGCTCTGTGTGTGGAGGACTGTGAGGAGCACGATGAAGACCCAGACCTGGCTGCTTGTTCTGGTTCTCTGTGCTGGGAGCGTGCAGGCCTGGTTCTGGAAGAAGGACCCAGAACCAACAACAACAGCAGCCCCCGTGGAGAATAACGCAACCACGGCGACCATGAATGTCACCTCAGAGGCCAACGGCACCAAGAAGGTGGAGGACGATGACAACTTGTCCGGGGTTGGGGAGGAGATCCTCAACGTGGCCACAGGAATCCGTAAGTTTGTGGAGGCGTGGGACGCAACCCCGACCCCGACTCCGACCCTGACCGCCAGGACTACTAATGGAGGCCTGAAAGAGAAGGTGGAGAGCGCTAACCCAAACATGACGGGTAATCCAGACAGGTTCAGAGGGGAGAGGGGGGAAAGGGGGTCTGGGATCAGGGTACCAGATGGATCTGAGGTAGAATTGGAGCTGGTGTTGGAGGGTGATAGAGTCCGGTCTGGCGGTGAGGGGTCCACAAAGAACGGGACACTTCCTGCTCTTTCTTTTCCTGGTAGTCTCCTCCATAGTTCTGACTCACCTTGTCTCGCCCCGCCCTCCGATTGGCCGATTTGCTCCGGCAAACGTCCCCGATTTCTCTCGCTGCCCAACTTTTTCAACCACACCTCTTTGGCAGAGGTGGGGGCGGTCCTACGTGAGTGGGCGTGGCTCACAAGAGAAAGGTGTCACCCCGGTGCAGAGTGGTTCCTCTGCCTCCTGCTGGCGCCCAGGTGCACCCCCACCTCCGCGTCCTTTCACCTGCCCTGCCGCAGTTTCTGCCAGGTGCTGCAGGACAGCTGCTGGGCGTCTCTGGAGAACGGGCGTCTCCCGGTGGAGTGTCATGACCTTCCTGAGCGGCCGCAGGAGCGCGCTGGCCCTGCGTGCGTGTCAGTTAGTAACTGGAAAGGTAACCCGGCGGGTTAGAATGTATCCTGACTGTCGATACATTTTGAACCCGATGTCCCGTCCTGTTCTGTCGGTGTTTGGACTGTTCTGCTCTGTGTCTGCTTGTTGGGTGTCGGTAACAAACGCAGTCCCCAGTTCTCGCTTGTCTTTGGTCGATTTTGCATGTTTAACCCATTTTTGATGCAATCACAAGAACTCGGTGTCCAGGCTCTAGTTTGATGAAGGGTTCGAGGATGGTCAGGTGATTTGTCTGACTGGTGTCGCCCGTCCCGTGGCCTCTTCCTGTGCTGATTCAGCATCACTGCCACCGTCTCCTCACTTTTCTTCTTTGCAGTTATTTCAGTTTAACCAAGAGTTAATAACAACATTATCAGCCTTCAGAACCTGGATCCAGTTCACCTTAACACAAACAAACAGAGGCTGGAAACTGGTGATATTACAAGAATAGAAACTGCACCGCCAACTAGTGTCTGGGTGGAGTACTGCAGTGTGAGGCAGACACTCAGGGGTGTTAGTTTGTCATGTTCTCTGTGGAATAAGAAGAGTACAGAGTCAGTGCAGAAGAGTGAAGCGGGCCGCTACTCACACAGGTTAGCATGTTAGCATGTTAGCCGACAAAACCCAGTGCCTAGATACGGTGGCCGAGAACCGCTACCGCTGCAAATAAAAAAGAATGCAGAAAAAAAGAAGTCACGACGGAAGTTACCGATGCAAACAAAAAAAGAAACAGTGCAGATAAAAAAAGCCACAAAGAAATTTAACGATGCAAAAAAAAAGTGGCGATGAAAAAAAAGTTCCGTACTGCAAAAATAAAAGAATCCAAAACAAAAAAAAAGTTACAGCAGAAGTTACTGATGCAAAAAAAACAAAAAAAAACGAAGCTTGCTGAAAATAAAAAAGAAACTGTGCAGATAAAAAAAAAAGCCACAGCAGAAGTGACTGATGCAAAAGAAGAAACCAAAGACCACTGAAAATAAAAAAAGAAACCGTATTGGTCCCCGGCAGCTCACTTTCGTCGTGGCTTTTTTTAATTTGCATCCTTTTTTTTTGCTGTAACTTTTTATTTTTTATTTCTGCATCACCTCTTTATTTTTGCGTTGTTAACTTCCGTTGTGACTTCTTTGGTTTTTTTGCATTCTTTTTTAATTTGCAGCAGTGGCGGCTCTCAGCCACCATACCTAGATTACCCACAATGCAACATTACCACAGTTCGGCAGATCAGTTCAACACCAGCATAAATAGGTAATGCAGTACGGGAGCCTGTGAGGACATTTCCTCTTCCTTTCTTTTGTCAACCTTATATTTACTCTGACTGGAGTGACACTGACGGAGGAAAATAAGCTGAAAAAGAGAAAGTTTCTCTTCACTTTTCTGAGTTAAAAAAAAAAAACCTGCCCTCTCATGTCCTTCAGTCTCATCATTATAAATCTGGTTCTTTATTGTATTTGTTGGGACAGTGTTGGATTTGAGTCTTCAGTATCCCTCTAGTCTCTGCACACCTCATTATCATCAAATCTCAGCCTGTAAAGAGGAAAGTTGTTGTTGGTGTCAGTCATTGAAAGTCTGCTCTGAATGTGTGTACACATGCTAATCCTGTGGTGTCCCTCTCTGTGCAGTCTCTGTCTGAAGGAGGACGTTTAGCATGAATGCATGAGAAGAAACACCTGAGCTCACATTTCAGTCCTGGACTGCATGACGTCTTCCTGTGATCTTCTCTTCAGCTGTGCAGATCTGCGTCTGCAGGATCGACGTCACAGCTGCTCTCAATGTTTTCTCGCTCTCCACCTTTAAGTTCAGATTAGATAAATAGATTTAATAGACTTGAATATCATTGAATTTAAAACGTTTTCTTTTGTGGTTCAGTTTTTGTTTCCCAGTCAGTCAAAAAAAAAGAGTCAGAAGATTTCAGCTGCATCCACATGGAGACAGATGAAGTCAGAAACTGATTTACTCACTTCTTCAGCAGCTTAAAGACAGGAAATGCTCCAGAGGCCCGTGTCCGGCCTTGGAGTGGCGTCATAAATCCAGCTCTATAGACTCCCCTCTCTCTCTCTCTCTCTCTCTCTCTCTCTCTCTCTGTGGGAGGTTAACAGCCTGAACCCTGTTACATAAAACCGTCTTTATCATATGTTTCCCACAGGAGTATTTAATGTAAATGTTCCAGCTTCAAGTGGCAGATCATTGAGTTCCTTTCCATGAGCCACAGGAAGACTTCTTGTTAGGATAACCTTTGACCTTTGAGATGTTAAAGAAAATGGACTCTCTCAGATAAAGGAGCTGAGATTGAGTCTGAGTCTGCAGGTTTCTGTGGATTCTTGCTGTTCAGATGAAGTCAAAGTGTTTGTTTTTTGCACTACAGTGTGTTTGACTCTGCAGGTTTCCCTGTTCGCCTGTTTTTACTGAGTGTGAAACAGCTGCACTGACCTTTTCAGTGAGAACCTGCAGGTCGGAGCTCATTATTGTTCTGCAGACAAGGACAAACTCCAGCTTCACTTCGGCTTTTATCACTGCAGCTGCAACCGTTCAGGAGATGAACCCGCTCAGATTAGGGGAGTGGAGGAGGGTTCTGGTTGGATTAGTTTTTACTGTCAGAGAAAAAGGTTTTTGTTCTGTAGGTTTGAGAAAGACGTGACACATTTGAGGATTGAAAGACTTTAGTACGGAGGAGAGATGGTTTCCTACATGCCGCACATTTCATTAGACATCCAGCGCTCCCATCACTTCCTACTCTGGCATGCCGGTCGTCTCGCTCCGGGGTTATCTCCTCGTCATCATCGTGTTTCACAGTTTGTTCTGATCAGCTGTTTTGTGTGGAATCAGAGAGCGCTCGGTGTCTGAGAGGGAAACAATCGGGCCGTCTGTGGCGAGGAAGACGGGGCCGCCATGGCATTTACGATGGCGGCGGCGGCTGCGAGTGGGAAAACGAAGAGAGAGGACGGCGATTGTGTGATCCGTTTAGGAGAAACAACAGGGCCTTGTGACTGGGGTGGCCCAGAGTCTCTGCCAGGGGTCAGAGGTCAGCCAATTGCCCACCCTTTAAAACCAGTTAGACTTGATGGGTGGTAATGAAGTGATAGAAGTTTAGAGGATGAGCCGGAGAGAGAGAGAGAGAGAGAGAGAGAGAGAGGGCTTTATGTGAGCGGGAGGAAATAACAGGAAAGACACGACACGGTAATCTGCAGTCAGAGAGGACACGTCTTCTTCTTCTTCTTCTTCTTCTTCTTCTTCTTCTTTACTGCAGCCTTTCAGACGTTCATGACGTGAACCGTGAACAATAGTTCGTACCTAAATCCCCCACAGATCAGGAGAGTTCGTTCTCTCCAGGAGGAACTTTAGTTTGGGCAGAAAAAACGAGTCGATGTATATCGTAAAACAAACCAGCAGCCATGAAAACAAACGATAAAAAACGGAGACGGAGAGACTGAAGGTGTGTCGGCTTTTAGAAGACAGACATGAAGTCCTACGTGCAAACATGATCCAGGTCTCTGATACCTGTTGAAACTCACATTCCTCCAAGATTTACTCTGGACTGGAGCCAAAACCAACCTCCTTTATTTCTTGGGTTTTCGATCTGAACTCCGTGACTCTCCATCAGTCTCCGGCTCTAATTGGCCCTCCACGCCCCGGGTTTATTCAGACCTGGATTAAGGTCTGTCACAGCTGTCGCCCCCGTCTGATGTGTTGACTGGATTTGTGGGCATTTGAAGACGTGTGAAGTCCACTCGGTTTGGTCCCAGGAGGTTCAGACTACAGCTGGACGTGTTAATGGTTGAACTCGCCGGTTTAATTGGCGGTGGGCGGGGGTCACTCGGTCACTTGTTGGTGTGTGAATTGAAGTCTGTCATGGCTGATGGAGACTTTTTCTCCGAGTTTCTGCAGATTCCTACAAAATGCATCATTAGAGGAGAAGAAGAGTTTGTTATTGTAGCGCTGACTCTTCCAAATAAGGTCTGCAGGTTTCAGATGGAGTTATTCTGAGGCGTGTTTTTATGATGGTGTAACCGTCTTCAGTCTGACGGAGCAGAAAACATCATTAATGTGAAACTAAAGAAGAGTTTTCACTCGCTGATGGACTCTGACAGAGAAGAAACCGTGTTGAAGGTGGAGAAGGACTAGTCAGACGTTCTGGTCTGGTTTATCTGCGCTGACTTTAGTACAGGACTCAGACCTGAGTGTTTGACCTCTGCACTCAGACCAGTTTCATTTCATTTTCATTTCCTTTTTGTTTGTTAAAGAGGGACAGTGTACATTAATGAACATTTTAAAAAGATAAAATGTAAATGGATCCAATTGTAGCCACAAGGCTAGTTTCCATTGGTAGTCCCCCTGCCAGAAGGAACATGGCTACCTAAAAAGGTGGGAAATCAACAACTACATAAAAACAAACATAATACACAATATTTAAAACATCAACATAACCCACCCGAAAGCACGCCAACCAACTAATGATAACAAGTTTGGTTTTCAAGTAACCACCTCTTCAAATTTAAATGCTCTGTATGAATTGGACTCTCTTATGTTTTGTGGTATTGTGTTCCAATCCTTGCCTGCCCTACAAGAAAAAACTGACTGACCAAATAAAGATTTTCTAAGTGGGATCTGGCAGTCTCCTCTGGCCGCCCCTCTAGTACCACTAGTTGCTGGAGATCTAAACTGTATGAGGTTGCAGAGTGGGGGCGGAGCTACCCTATGACGGATTTTATATGTAAGACAGCAGTTTTTGAAAAGGACAAGATTGTTCCAGCTTAATAACCTATATTTTTGAAGAACTGTGCAATGATGAAAAGATCTTGTTTTTTTATCCAGAGTTTTGAGTGCTTGTTTGTATCGTGATATTAATGGGTTTAAAGTAGTGGGGTTTGCGGTGGACCAGGCGGGTAAACAATAATTAATATGGGACATTATAAGAGAAAACATGTACATTTTTGCCGCTTCTGTTGACATATGATTTCTGATGTGCCTGAAATTTCCAAGTGTGACCTTAAGAATTTTGCTTACTTTTTTAACATGATGTTTAAAAGTAAGATTACTGTCTAACACGATACCTAAATATTTATATTCATTTACAATTTGGATTCTTTGGTTTAGAGCGAGTTTTCAGTGACTGTAGCGTGGACGTATTTAAAGGTGGTCTGTCAGGATTAGATGAGACGTATCTGTACAAAAAAAGATGTGTTTGGATCCTGGACTCATGCATCTGCACACAAACTGGTGTTAGGAAACCAAACGTACTGAAGTCTCTGAGTCATCGTCTGCACGGCTGCACAGTTTTCTGGACCAGCACTCCGATTTTTTGTCCCCCTCTTTTCTTTCTCATGAGGAGACGCTCCTCTCTTCCCTACAATCACATTTCAGCCTGTTTCAGCTGGCATGTCTCCTCCATCCCGGCTTCTGGGACTGACTGGGTCTGTGTTCTCCATTCTATTCGAGTCCCTCATGGTCCATTTTCCCATGGACATCTGACACGCATTTCCTTCCTCTGCCTCCATCTGTGCGTCCGTCTGAGTCCTCACCAGCCTTTTTTTTTTCTCTGTGCACAGTACAACAGGCGGCAGAGGAAAATCCGCGGTAACAGAATCCACCAAGTCATTTTTCATCTCCAGATGCCCTCAGGCCTGAGAGGCGGGGCTTCAGGCCTGAGGGGCGGGGCTTCAGGCATGTTGTTCTTGGGTATAACGAGCTCCGTTAGCATGAAGGTCATCGGGGTTAACGCGATTATTTCATTGAAGGGTTCTCACGTTGTCGTGTTGTGCCAGCGTACATCTGTGGACTGGAGGAGAGCCAAGTTAAAGAAACAGCTGATCCACCACTTAAAGGAGCAGTCACACTAAAAACACAACACACACACACACACACACACACACACACAGATGAGTTTGTGCAGATCTGGACTTTGTGTGATCTGAAACTGACATCTATGAGGGTCTTCGGTTTGGGATTATTGGGGGTGTTACTTCTTACACAGCTGTTCGCACCGACGCAGGAGCCGCCATGAGGGTCTGTGTTGGTGGATCAGGTCCAGGTTTTGGCTGACCAGCTGACGGACTTGATTTTTATTGGTCCAGTTATTGAACAGGAGAGTCTTGTTTATATTTGGTTTCAGGATGTCTGCAGCTCTTCAGGCTTTAATCCGGGACACTGCAGACCTCGCCTGTGTTTTTGGAGTCCAGTTAAACCCTGGCAGATCCTGAGTCTGAGATCTGAGCGGGGATAAAGACGTGATGTTAGTCTTACATAATGGTCCTGTCAGCGCTCTGAAGAATAGGCTCACATTATTCTTCTTCATGGGAGCCTTAAACTGTGACCGTGTGTGTGGGAGCGCCGTGGTCGGCTGGACGCTTTCCAGATGTGAGTGTGTGTGTCCACGAGGTGAGACAGGAATTCACGGGCTGGTACCAAGAAGAAACTCTCTTTTCCTCGTTCATCATGTCCAACACTGAGTTTGACTTTCAGAGTCAGGTCCACCGCGCTCCTGCAACAGCTGCAGCAGCTGTGTCACTCGGAGATGAACCAATAGCAGGTGTCCTCAGTGGGAAGTTGACCACCCGGCGTGTCCCGTCCCAGCTCCAGTTGGACGAAATCCCACAAGATCCGGGCTTAGCTGCACTTTGAGACAACATAACACGGCATTCATACGACTGTGCAAATGAAGTGTTTGTGTGTGGAGGAACATGTGTTCAGGATTAGTCTCCGTCAGTGCCGGGGGGGCGGGGGTGAGTTAGGAGCTGATCGTCCCATCAGGAACTTCACATGATAGAGTTCTGCTCAGCGGGGCGGTGAGACCCTCGTCTGAGCAGGTAAAGGTGTGAGGAGATCCTCCTGAAGAAACAGCTGCTGAGTTACCGTGGAGATGATGATGATGATGATGATGATGATGATGAGGCAGTTAGGACGTGGAAAAGCTGGGAATTAACTCCATCTTTACAGAGCTTTTAAACAGATCTTTGTCATAAAAATAGACATTAAATATATAATAATAATAATATATAAATATTATTTTTATAATATAATAATAATATATATATATTATTTTTATCTTATAATAATATATAAATATAATAATAATATAATAATAATATATATAGATATTTTTATATTACAATAATATAATATAATACTAATATATAACCAAAGAAGCTCTCGCTGCTCTCTTTCAGACTTTTCACTCTGCATTTCTGAAACTTTGGGAATCCCCCGCGACCTCTGACCTCTGTGACCCTTTAATATACAGACCACTCGTTTTAGTGCTGTCATGAATCTGTGGCTGACAGCACATCCTCAGGAGACACTGAATGAAGTTTATGAGAGTGTAATCTTCGCTCTTCGGCTTTTTCCCCTCGGACTCTTTCTCTGTGTGGGAACTAAAGTTTCGTTCGCCTTCGTTCGCCCCACAGTTTCACCGGACGCACCAGGATAAAATTAGAAGATTTCAGCTGTGTTCCAGATTTACTGACGTTTGTTTCCGTCTTCAGGCCGTGGACTTAAATCAGACAGAAAATATTCTCTTTATTTCTGTTAAATAATAAAACAAACAGATTTAAAATCTCTTCAACTTTAGGATCTCATGTCTGCATGTGAAACTTTAAACTACAGAGAGAGTAAATGTAAATATCTGATACTTTTGGATCATCAGTGAACATTTGAACTTTGAACTTCATTTATTAGAAAAAAACAAAAACTGTTTTTACTCCGTTTTATTTGTTGGTTTTGTTCTTCTGTGGCGTTTCGTGAAGCGGCCCCCGGCCCTTTGACCTTTGAACCTCCTGTATGTTAGACTCCGGGGATGTGTGATTTAAACAGGTCTGTGGTTTGCCCTTTGACCCGGAGGTTCATTGTGGTTTGGGGTTTGTTGTTGCAGAATAAAACCATCTTCAGTTTCTCCTCAGTCCCGTTTCACAGATTTGTTTTTGTGTTTTTTTCTCGTCTCTCATTTTTCTCGCTCCTCTCTTGCAGAAGAAAGCGGCGTCTCTTTGCTCCAGCTGATCGGAGACCCTCCGCCCGACGCGATCACCAGGGTGTACGGTCCGAGGGGGGAGGCCTCCTACGTCTTCACTCCGGGCGCCTCGTCGGGCCAGCCGGCTCTGGCCCACGTCCCCAACCCTTTCCACCGCCACTTTTCCCTCATCTTCTACATCAAACCTTCGTCTCCGTCCGCCTCCGTCCTCTTCTCCATCACTGACGGGCCTCAGAAGCTCATGTACATCGGCGTCAAACTCGGCGCCGTGCGGTCCAAACGTCAGAGAGTGCAGTTCTTCTACACAGAGCCCGACTCCGAGGCTTCGTACGAGGCGGCCAGCTTCGACGTGCCGAGCATGGTGGGAACGTGGTCACGGTTCTCGCTCTCTGTCTTTGAGGAGACGGTGACCTTCTACCAGGGCTGTGACTCTGAGCCGCAGGTGGTCAAGTTCGAGCGCTCACCGGACCCCATGGAGCTGGACGCCGGGGCGGGGATCTTTGTGGGTCAGGCCGGAGGAGCAGACACAGACCGGTTCCAGGTGAGGATGTTAGACTCACACGTTTGTAAAGTTCTGAGACTTTGAGTTTGAGGCTCTTCTGTGGAAACTTTCAGGTCTTTCAATAACCGATCAAAGTGATTGATACTCTTTAAAAACAAAGCAGCACATGTTGAGTAACGGACACCAGGATGTAACTGTTGGACTTCATTAGATCACACAACATGATTTATAGAGACACACCTAATGGAGCGTGTAGCATCTGGAGGAGAAGTCCGTTCACCGAGCCTGAAGAGATGTTCGCTCGCCACGTTTCTGAGACAAACAGAAAAAACAACCATGAATCCTCCTCCTAACGTCACCCCCGGGAGTAAAACTCCGTCCGCTCAAACAGCAGGTGTGTCACAGCAGCAGGTTCGGGTCGAGGTCACAGCCGACCGGAAGAGCAGAAATTAACCTTCCTCTTTCTAGTAAATCTATTACTCCACTCCACCTCTCACCTTTGACCTCTGACCTGCACTCTGCTGCCGACCCTGGTGACCACATGTGACTCGGGGCTTTGAAAGTGAAAAAGGAAAGGACATAAATTGTGATCCCAGAGGTCTTTAAAGAGCGTCAATCCTTGTTTTCTGGGGTCATTATGAACTCCACCTGCTGAGAAGGAAAAAAAAGGTTAAAAAATGACCTTTGACCTTTGTTAAATCTGGTGAGTAAACTCTGTTTTTTATTCAGGGGGAGATCGCAGACTTCAGACTGGTGGGAAACCCTCGGGCTGCGGAGCGTCTGTGTGACGATGAGGACGACTCAGACGCCGTGAGTGTCCACGTTTTTTTAGATTTGACTTCAAAGTGTCTGAATGTGAATTACGAGAGACGTCTCTGTCTTCTGCAGGCGTCCGGGGACTTTGGCAGCGGGGACGGCGAGAGGAGACAGTCTGGAAGTACTGTGAAGGTGCAGCGGATATCATATTTACGATATTTATTTAAATGTTTGTAATGATGGTCTTTCACTGTCCAAGAGAATATGAGAATAAGTTTTCAGTCTTTGTCTTTTTTATTTTCTAGACCACCCCGGCCTCGCTCCGCCCGGTCCCTGAGCCTCCTGTGATTTCCTCACAGGGCAGCAGAGTCAGAGACCCAGGTAAACACACACACACACACACACACACACACACTGACTCAGCAGCTGCCAAAACGCTCTGCTCTGTCAACACACAGATGGATGAAAACATGTAATGGAAGTTTTTAATCACAGAGGAGCTGCTGCCAAAGAAACGTCCTATAGATCGACTTTCTTTGATGCAGAAATATGTGCAGAGCGGGGAGCGCTTGTCTGGACCTGACAGTGAGGAGTGTTTTCTGCAGGAGCCTGAAGTGGTCCAGGACTCTTTAGCTCCCCTTAGTGGCGAGTGAAAGAAGTGTAGGGGGGAAAAAATCCTTTTGAGAGTTTATTGATTCTTCTTCAGATGAAAAAAAGTCAACAGATCCACAGACCTGCAGACCTCTCACAGTCCGTCACCGTAAAGTCTTCTGTGTTGAATTGTAGATGTCAGGTACGGACAGTCGGTGGACTCCAGCCGGTCTGGACAGCCCGGTCCCAGAGGTGGGTTACAGCTCTGCAGATCAGGATTCTGTCCTGACCAACATCAGGCCATCCTATCAGGTATAGGATGAGCTGTGGGTGTGGCTTTGTGTGACCTCCAGCATGTCGTCGTGTCTCTGACGTGACAACATGAGCTTCACTCGGTGGGAGTGGTCTTCTCAGGACTGAGGATGCATGATGTTAGTAAAACCGCTTTGTGTTCGGACCCTGAGCGTCTGCTTGATGGAGGAAATGTGAGATTTTTCTGCAGTGACTCCTTTTAAATCAAATTATATAAGAAAAAAATATATGTTTTTCATTTTGAAGTCTATAATATCTAATCTAGATTTATATATCTAAGTCTATAATATCTAATCTAGATTTATATATCTAAGTCTATAATATCTAATCTAGATTTATATATCTAGTCTATAATATCTAATCTAGATTTATATATCTAGTCCATAATATCTAATCTAGATTTATATATCTAAGTCTATAATATCTAATCTAGATTTATATATCTAGTCTATAATATCTAATCTAGATTTATATATCTAGTCCATAATATCTAATCTAGATTTATATATCTAAGTCTATAATATCTAATCTAGATTTATATATCTAGTCTATAATATCTAATCTAGATTTATATATCTAGTCCATAATATCTAATCTAGATTTATATATCTAAGTCTATAATATCTAATCTAGATTTATATATCTAGTCTATAATATCTAATCTAGATTTATATATCTAGTCCATAATATCTAATCTAGATTTATATATCTAAGTCTATAATATCTAATCTAGATTTATATATCTAGTCTATAAGTCTTATCTAGATTTATATATCTAGTCTATAATATCTAATCTAGATTTATGTATCTAGTCCATAATATCTAATCTAGATTTATATATCTAGTCTATAATATCTAATCTAGATTTATATATCTAGTCCATAATATCTAATCTAGATTTATATATCTAAGTCTATAATATCTAATCTAGATTTTTATATCTAGTCTATAATATCTAATCTAGATTTATATATCTAGTCTATATGTCTAATCTAGATTTATATATCTAGTATATAATATCTAATCTAGATTTATATATCTAGTATATAATATCTAATCTAGATTTATATATCTAGTCTATAATATCTAATCTAGATTTTTATATCTAGTCTATAATATCTAATCTAGATTTGTATATCTAGTCTATATGTCTAATCTAGATTTATATATCTAGTATATAATATCTAATCTAGATTTATATATCTAGTCTATAATATCTAATCTAGATTTATATATCTAAGTCTATAATATCTAATCTAGATTTATATATCTAGTCCATAATATCTAATCTAGATTTATATATCTAGTCTATAATGTCTAATCTAGATTTATATATCTAGTCTATAATATCTAATCTAGATTTATATATCTAGTCTATAAGTCTTATCTAGATTTATATATCTAGTCTATAATATCTAATCTAGATTTATGTATCTAGTCCATAATATCTAATCTAGATTTATATATCTAGTCTATAATATCTAATCTAGATTTTTATATCTAGTCTATAATATCTAATCTAGATTTATATATCTAGTCTATAAGTCTTATCTAGATTTTTATATCTAGTCTATATGTCTAATCTAGATTTTTATATCTAGTCTATAATATCTAATCTAGATTTATATATCTAGTCTATAATATCTAATCTAGATTTTTATATCTAGTCTATAATATCTAATCTAGATTTATATATCTAGTCTATAAGTCTTATCTAGATTTATATATCTAGTCTATAATATCTAATCTAGATTTATGTATCTAGTCCATAATATCTAATCTAGATTTTTATATCTAGTCTATAATATCTAATCTAGATTTATATATCTAGTCTATAAGTCTTATCTAGATTTATATATCTAGTCTATAATATCTAATCTAGATTTATGTATCTAGTCTATAATATCTAATCTAGATTTATATATCTAGTCTATAATATCTAATCTAGATTTATATATCTAGTCTATATGTCTAATCTAGATTTATATATCTAGTATATAATATCTAATCTAGATTTATATATCTAGTCTATAATATCTAATCTAGATTTTTATATCTAGTCTATAATATCTAATCTAGATTTATATATCTAGTCTATAATATCTAATCTAGATTTTTATATCTAGTCTATAATATCTAATCTAGATTTATATATCTAGTCTATATGTCTAATCTAGATTTATATATCTAGTATATAATATCTAATCTAGATTTATATATCTAGTATATAATATCTAATCTAGATTTATATATCTAGTCTATAATATCTAATCTAGATTTTTATATCTAGTCTATAATATCTAATCTAGATTTGTATATCTAGTCTATATGTCTAATCTAGATTTATATATCTAGTATATAATATCTAATCTAGATTTATATATCTAGTCTATAATATCTAATCTAGATTTATATATCTAGTCTATATGTCTAATCTAGATTTATATATCTAGTCTATAATATCTAATCTAGATTTATATATCTAGTCTATATGTCTAATCTAGATTTATATATCTAGTCTATAATATCTAATCTAGATTTATATATCTAGTCTATAAGTCTTATCTAGATTTATATATCTAGTCTATAATATCTAATCTAGATTTATGTATCTAGTCCATAATATCTAATCTAGATTTATATATCTAGTCTATAATATCTAATCTAGATTTTTATATCTAGTCTATAATATCTAATCTAGATTTATATATCTAGTCTATAAGTCTTATCTAGATTTTTATATCTAGTCTATAATATCTAATCTAGATTTTTATATCTAGTCTATAATATCTAATCTAGATTTATATATCTAGTCTATAATATCTAATCTAGATTTTTATATCTAGTCTATAATATCTAATCTAGATTTATATATCTAGTCTATAAGTCTTATCTAGATTTATATATCTAGTCTATAATATCTAATCTAGATTTATGTATCTAGTCCATAATATCTAATCTAGATTTTTATATCTAGTCTATAATATCTAATCTAGATTTATATATCTAGTCTATAAGTCTTATCTAGATTTATATATCTAGTCTATAATATCTAATCTAGATTTATGTATCTAGTCTATAATATCTAATCTAGATTTATATATCTAGTCTATAATATCTAATCTAGATTTATATATCTAGTCTATATGTCTAATCTAGATTTATATATCTAGTATATAATATCTAATCTAGATTTATATATCTAGTCTATAATATCTAATCCACCTTTCTGAAGGCTGTAAAGTGGTGTAAGTGTGTGTGTGTGTGTGGGGGGGGGGGGTGTTTCTCCTAAGAACTTAAAAACTGACAGGACTCTGGAGTGGAATTAGTGGGATTAGTGAATACATGACAGTCCTCTTTGGAAATCCTGGACCCTCTCAAGAGTAGAAGGTCCACCTGTTCCCTGAAGGTCTGGGGATCATCAGAGTCCATGTCCTCTGTGAAGGCTCCATGAATGCTGGACTAGATCTCCAGGGTTAGGACCAACATCTGCTGACATCCAGACCAGGACTTCTTCAGAGAAGACCTTCAGATTTCAGGAGAACAGTGACGAACTCAAGTTGTATTGGAGGACTGAGGGAGGGTGATGGCTGATGCTGTAGCGCCCTCTGCAGGGCAGACAGCTGTACTACCTCTGGTAAAGATTGAAGATGAGTTTGTCATGTTCATGTTAATCCAGGTCAATAAAAACGTCCTGGATGAGAGGAGCGCTCCACTCAGAGGAGTACAGATAAAAAACACAATAAGGACTGAGAGGAAGACAATAAAATAATGACACAAAAACAAATTTATTAAAGACAAATCAAAGTAGAAGAGGAGGTGCAGTCGGTGCTGAGTGTGAATGTGTGAAATGGAGGATAGGTTGGTGGATAAATGAGGGATGAGAATGATCATATTACTCATGATCAATGATGGTGTTTGAATTGCTGTATTTCACACAAATATTTCACAGTTAAGTGGGTTAATGCTCCGAGTTTTGTCCGGTGGTCCTGTCAGGAGTTCAGTAAACAAAGTAAATGAGAAGAAGGACTTTTGACCTCCATCAGATCTTCTTCTTCTGTCATCGATCTCTGTCTGTAGTCCTCCTCCTCTCTTCCTGAAGCTTTCATCTGTTGGATTTACTCGCTCTTCTTCATCTCAGGGTTTTTCAGTTTTCTGCTCAGTCTGGTTTGATATTTTACAGGTGAACAGCTGCTGCTCGATTACTGACGGGTCTGATTTCCTCTGTTTTAGTCATAAAGTCCAAGTGTGTGGTTCTGTTCGCAGCAGGTCTGTTCAGGTCCTCCGGTCACCAAGTTCTTCTTCATTTTTTAACCCTGGTCTTCAGGTCCTGGTGGCGCCAAAGGTGAGAAAGGGGACCGGGGCGAGAAAGGCTCAAGGGGGGACATTGGTCCAGCCGGGCCGAAGGGAGAAGCGGGCTCCAGCTCTGGTTCTGGTTCTGGTTCAGCTCAGGGTGGAGGACGAGGACAGAAGGTAGATCCTCCCGAGTGTCTGATGGTGCAGGAATGAAAAATCACCTGAGAGTGTCTAACACACACACCTGTGTGTGTGTGTGTGTGTGTGTGTGTGTGTGTGTGTGTGTGTGTGTGTGTGTGTGTGTGTGTGTGTGTGTGTGTGTCGTTTCAGGGAGAAAAAGGAGTGAAGGTATGAAGTTCTTTTTTTTACTCACCTCTGAACTCACTGATGGGACCAGAACCTCTGACCCGGTTCAGGTTTCTGTAGTCACCCTCTCCCCGTGGTTTTCCTCACAGGGCAGCTCCGGGTTCGGATACTCCGGTAACAAAGGTGACCGTGGGGCTCCGGGACCTCCGGGGCCTCCTGGGCCTCCGGGACCTGCAGCTGAGGTGGTTCGACTCGGTGACGGTTCTGTTGTGCAGCAGGTGTCTGGACCAGCAGGACCAGCGGGACCAGCTGGCCCAGAAGGGGTTCCAGGACCTGCAGGAGCTGATGGAGAGCCTGTGAGTGCAGACGAGAGATCTGGACTTTTGTTGATTGGAGATTATTGATTATTATAGTTTATTATATCTATATTTGTGTGTGTGTGTGTGTGTGTGTGTGTGTGTGTGTGTGTGTGTGTGTGTGTGTGTGTGTGTGGTTTATTGTAATATTGTAAGGTGTTAAGATTGTAAAATGATTGATCAGTGATTGATTTGATCGGGTTTGTATCTTTCAGGGGGATCCAGGAGAGGACGGGAAAACTGTGAGCCTCGGTCTTTCTCCTTTAACAGACTGATATAAAACCAGGTTTTCAGAGGTACCCCCTTTTAATTCTTCTTTTGCTCCGGTCTTCAGGGTCCTGCTGGGCCGAAAGGTTTTCCGGGCACCCCTGGAGGTCCTGGTCCCAAAGGCCAAAAGGTTTCCATAAAAAGCGGATCATTAAAGGAGTCCGAACTTTGAGTGTTCTGGTTTGTTCTCACGGTTTCTCATGTTCTCAGGGTGAATCTGGAGCGGGTCAGCCAGGACCAAGAGGCCCTCCAGGTCCTCCAGGACCTCCTGGATCTGGCACTGGTGACCGCCCAGTAAGTGAATCCCTCACATATATATTGATCAGGTTTTACTGGTTCTCGGCCGACCCCTCACGGTTCTGGTTCATGTTTTGACAGACTTTCTTTGACATGGAGGGCTCAGGGTTCCCGGACTTGGACAAAATCCGGGTAAGGGGGACAGTCTGAACAGTTTTTGGTTTTAGTGTTTCCCACACAGCATAATAAGTGTGTAATCTGTTCTCCAGGGTCTACGTGGTCCTCCAGGCCCCCCGGGCCCTCCAGGGCCTCCTGGGACTTCAGTTGCTCTGGGTGCTAATGGTCCAGTAGCTTTTGGACCTCCTGGACCACCTGGACAGGATGGAGTACCGGGTCTACCAGTGAGTATTTGGACTTTTTTAGTCTAGTGTGACGGTCTCATGGAAAACCTCCAGTCTGCTTTAGTGGACTTCTGATCCTTTGGGGTCCAGTTCCAGGTCCTGTAAACTCTGAATAACTCTGTGGGCCCTGTGTGTGGTTTTAGGGTCCTCCTGGTCCTCCCGGTGCCCCAGGTCCACCAGGAACCCAAGGAACAAAGGTGAGCGATCACAGGTTGAGGATCTTTCCTCCTGATGCAGATCAAACATGAGGGTCCAGGTCCTCATTTATCAGCCGTGTGAGTCCTCATTGATCCACCTGAACCTGTTCTGAGGAACCAACTCTGAGCACTCTTACACTCAAACCCTAGTGGTAGAACAGGGGAACTACAACTAGAACCATTAAAGGATTCAGGCATTTTTAAAGGGATTGTTGATACCATATATGGTCAGTTGGAGGCGTGTCTGAATGTAAATGACCCTAACCATGATCGAGCACGCCAGGAAAGAACGGGCGGGAATCATCATCACCGATCACTGACGTGTGTGCGTACGACCGTGTCCAGGGTCCAGGTCTTTGAGGTCTATCTGTACCCAGTAAAGTGGACCTGACTGGACTCTCTGGACCTCCTCATGTCTCCTAATTAGAGTGAGACTCAGTTAAAGCTCCAGCTGAGGAGTAATACTCTGAGGGTCGTTGGAAAATGAAAACTGGTCCGCTCAGATGGTCTTGTGGTCTTTGTCTCTGCAGGGTGACGGCGGTGAGCTGGGTCTCCCTGGAGCAGCTGGAGAAAAGGTGAGCTGAGATCTGGACCCTGGTTTTTTCAGACATGAACATGTAAAGACTTTTGTGGCGGGTGTATCCGGATAGATCCTGTCCTCCGTGTTTGTCGCTTTCCTCTAGCAAGACTCGCAAGACTCCAACCCTTTCAGCAGCTTCTTCTCTTACTTTGCTCCGTCCTCTACGGTGTGTAATGGGCTCAGGTACTGGGGGAGGGTCTCTGCTCCTGTGGTTCCTCTCACTTCTCCATGATTCTGGTTTCTAATCCACATCCTCCCGTCCACGCTGACCTTCTGTAACCCCTCAGTAGTTTTAGAAGAGAGAGAGAGAGAGAGAGAGAGAGAGAGAGAGAGAGAGAGAGAGAGAGAGAGAGAGAGAGAGAGCTCCTCTGTAGTTGGTCTGCACTGACTCCTGTCTTTGACTTCTTCATGCACTACATTAGTTCCACACTCCTCCACGTCTGCTGCTCCTCCTCCTTGGTTCTTCTTCTTCTCTTTGATTCTTCTTCTTCTCTTTCGGTGTTCTCCTCCTCCTTGGCCCTCCTGCTCCTCCTCTTTGGTTCTTCTGCTCCTCTTTGGTTCTCCTGCTCCTCCTCTTTGGTTCTTCTCCTCCTCTTTGGTTCTCCTGCTCCTCCTCCTTGGCCCTCCTGCTCCTCCTCTTTGGTTCTTCTGCTCCTCTTTGGTTCTCCTGCTCCTCCTCTTTGGTTCTTCTCCCCCTCTTTGGTTCTTCTGCTCCTCTTTGGCTCTCCTGCTCCTCCTCTTTGGTTCTTCTCCTCCTCTTTGGTTCTCCTGCTCCTCCTCCTTGGCTCTCCTGCTCCTCCTCTCTGGTTCTCCTGCTCCTCCTCTTTGGTTCTTCTCCTCCTCCTTGGCTCTCCTGCTCCTCCTCCTCCTTGGCTCTCCTGCTCCTTATCTTTGGTTCTCCTGCTCCTCCTCTTTGGTTCTTCTCCTCCTCTTTGGCTCTCCTTCTCCTCCTCTCTGGCTCTCCTGCTCCTCCTCTCTGGTTCTCCTGCTCCTCCTCCTTGGCTCTCCTGCTCCTCCTCTCTGGTTCTCCTGCTCCTCCTCTTTGGTTCTTCTCCTCCTCTTTGCTCTCCTGCTCCTCCTCCTTGGCTCTCCTGCTCCTCCTCCTCTCTGGTTCTCCTTCTGCGGTTCGATTAACAGGAATGTCTAACCGACTTCAGAAGTTCGTCAAAGACTCAGTGAATTCTCGTGACCCACTTCTCCTCCCCACCTCAGGGTTCTCAGGGGGATTCAGGAAGGCCAGGCACACCTGGACAGACTGGACTTGCAGGTCTCCCAGGTCCCATGGGGCCAGTCGGACCCCCAGGACCTCCTGGACCCCCAGGTCCGCCGTATCGTGTTGGATTTGTAAGTAAAGTTTTTGAAGTCATTTAGATGAGTCCTGTAAAAACCACTCCAACAACCTGGACCAGGACCAGGACTGAGGACTAAAAATGTCCCCCATCTCTAAAGAGTCCTCTCTTTGTTCGGCCCACAGGGAAACGAGGTCGGGTTTGAAGGGACCGGTGGAGTATCCGGCCCACCTGGACCACAGGTACCCTGTGATCTGTACTAAATATTCCTGAGTCTTTCTTCCAGTCCGTACCTGACCTCCTGGTTTCCTGTTTTTCAGGGTCCACCTGGTGTTCCTGGACTCCCTGTGAGTACCTGTGAGACCATGACGGTCCCTGTACTTTGATAATAAGAACTAATGAATGAAGGACCATCCTTAAAGATTAAATCAAGTCTGAGAAAGTTCTGGTCTGACTGTGAATCCTCAGGGTAAACCAGGTCTACCAGGCAGCCATGGAAACAAAGGCTCAGAAGGACCTCGAGGACCTCCTGGGATACCAGGACTGGACGGGTTCTCTGGACAGCCGGTAAAGGACCGGATTAGATCCTGGATTACAGTTTTTTAGAGGCCCCTGTTTCACCTGTTTTTACTGTTCTTGTTTGATTTCAGGGTCAAAAAGGAGACAGAGGAGACAGAGGGGACGCGGTGAGTCATGTGATGTTCAAACGCCAATCAGAACCAAGCGGTTATGACCAGCTCTTTTAAACCCCGCCTCCTCAACAAAATGATCTATTCTTAATCTATTGTTATTATTATTATTGTTATAATGATTCATTAGACATTATAATCATTTTTATTATTATTATTTTCTTGAGTATTATTTTAATTTATTATTATTATTATTATTATTATTATTATTATTTTTTTATTATCTTTATTTTTATTATTATTATTATTTTATTATTATTATTATCTTAATTTTTGTTATTATTATTATTATTTTATTTTATTTTATTATTATCTTAATTTTTGTTGTTATTATTATTATTATTATTATTTTTATTTTATTTTATTTTATTATTATCTTATTTTATATTATTATTATCATCATTATCATTATTATTATCTTTATTTTTATTATTATCTTAATTTTTGTTATTATTATTATTACGTTGAGTTGTAATGTGAAGTGTGTGTGTATGTAGGATCCGACCTCACAGTCAGACCCGTCGTGTAAAGGAGGGACTGTTATCGGAGGTTTTGTTTTTATACATGTTTCAGGGTCTGCCGGGGCGAGACGGAGGGCCACCTGGACCTCCAGGGCCTCCAGGACCTCCAGGACCAGTGACCTACCAGACGAGTGATGTATGTGAAGTAGAGATTGAGTAGTCCTTGTGTAGATGGTAGAGTTTGTGCACGTACTTATATAGACTAACAGTCACGCCCGCTGGATGTCTGATCACCTGCACACTAACTGACCTAACTTTGTCTCGCTGTAGTATAATGACGTTTATTGGAACGAAGGACTCCAGGTGAGTCCTCCCTAACCACGCACGCCATCATCCTCACTAAACTTCCACCATACTGTCAAATCTGTGTGTGTGTCTGTGTGTGTGCTCGCGGCGTTTCTCCTCTTCTTCACGTGTTCCTACTCTTTCTTCTTCAGGGTGGACTTCCTGGTCGAGCAGGATTCCCAGTGAGTACCAGCCTCACCAGTACATGAACAAAAACCAGTCATGGGGAGAAAATTAAAGGAGGTTGACGTGTTTTTGTTTTTGTGCAGGGGCCCTCCGGACCAAAAGGAGACAAAGGAGACTCTGGTCCTCCAGGATACGCTCCTAAAGTAAGAGAAGCAGCAGTTAGTGAAACGTCCCTGAAGACGCTGTGAAGCTGTTCCTCTGCAGAGTTTTCATCGATCCCACCCTAAAAAACAAACTCAGGAAAGTGTTGTGGTGTTTTTTATCCAGCGCTGACTGTAAACTTGTTCTGTTCAGGGACAGAAAGGAGAACCTGGGGTCATCATGGGGTCTGACGGGAGACCTCTGTACCTCGGGGGTCTGGCTGGACTGCCGGTAAACAAACTCTGATATCATGAGGAAACATTCAGCAGAGTCTTTTTCTCCTTTGACATGACCGTGACCGTGTGGATGTGTTTCTCTGCAGGGGGATTCTGGACCTCCTGGCCCGACAGGACCTCCAGTACGTTCCTCTCTTAGATCTCACACATTCAGGGTTTGGGGGTCTGTCACTGCATCAGGGTAAAGGATCTTGTCTTTTCAGGGTCCGTACGGTCCTGCAGGTCAGAAGGGGGAGATCGGACTCCCGGGTCGACCGGTGAGTCTGTTTGATTCTGACCGGAGGAGTCTGAGCTGTCCTTAAACACACACACACACACACGTTTATTATGTCTGAGGTATGTCTGCTGTGCTGCAGGGTCGACCCGGTCTGAATGGGGCCCGAGGAGAGAAGGGGGACTCAGGCACTGGATCTGGATCTGGTTATGGTTATCCTGTGAGTGTCACAGTTTTTGGTTCAAGTCCCCAAAGTCTGAATTTTAACCCTGATCCTCCAGACCATGTAAATAACACACAGTGATGAATGTTCCTCAGGGTCCACCCGGCCCACCTGGACCTCCCGGACCTCCTGGATCTTCAGGTCCCTACGACAGGCATGGAGTGAGTGAAAACCCAAAGCGGTCTTTACTGCATCAGAACATGGATCTAAAACCTGAAGCTGACTCTGTAAACTCTCTTTCAGGGATACGATGATCACTCCAGACATTACCCGGGTAACTCTCCTCTGAACACGTTTTTATTCAGATCCTCTGTTCAATAAAAACACTTGAGTGTGAACACCAGAGAGAGAGTCAGGTGAGACACACAGGTGAGCAGGAGAAGGTCAAAGATGGAGGTTCGATTTTTCTTCTCTTTGTTTTTTAGCCACAAAAGGAGAGAAAGGAGAGCCTGGACCACCGGGGACCCTCGACATCTCAGGTACAAACACCGTTTCTGTCAGATCTTTGAGGGTTCCAGGATGAATCTAAAGGTGGTGTACGCTCTCTCTCTGTTCCAGGTTATGGGTCGGTGGACTTCTACACTCTCAGGGTAAGGGTCCTCAGAGTCGTCCTCATGGTCCTGTAGATCCACGTTGTTGTGAGTCGTTTGTGTTTTTGGATTTTTCATCTTTTTTTTGTGTCCAGAACGAGCTGAAAGGAGAAACAGGAAGTCCAGGTCTAAAGGGAGAAAAGGGAGAACCAGCCGGAGGATATTATGACCCCCGTTATGGGGGGAGTGGATTCCCAGGACCCCCAGTGAGACCCCCTTCATTTTTAAAGCACAGAGCTCCTTCAGGTCTGAAGGTCCAAATCTGATTGTTTTCTGTCTTCGTCCCGCCAGGGCCCGAAAGGGGACTCCATTATTGGCCCACCGGGCCCTCAGGGGCCCCCTGGTTCACCTGGAAGAGGCTACGATGGGCAGCCTGGACCACCAGGGCCCCCTGGACCACCAGGACCATCCCTACCTGGAGCCTACAGAGGCACACAGAGTGAGTTATGACCCTAAACGGATATTCCGGCGTTAAATTAAGTCATGGTCAAACACCGAGTTAGACCCCGCCCCCTCCAGAGATGAATGTTGTCGACCGCTTCCTTCTCTAGTTATACCAACTTTAGTAACGACCGCAGGATAGAAATACAGAGAGACACGCCCCCAACCAAAACGCCACTCTATAGCCACAAATAATGCTCAGAACAGCACCTAACTTCATCAACAGGACATACAGGGTCACAGACATAGTACTAGACCTCTAATGATCTCTGTGATTGACAGCCATCAACATTCCTGGACCTCCGGGACCACCTGGAGCACCTGGACTGCCTGGGCACTCTTCAGGGGTGAGACATGTTGAAGTATTCCTCTGATCGAACATGACGATGACGAGTTTCTCTAAAGAAACTCAAACCTGCGTCCACACTCCCCAAAGTTCAAAGGTCAGAGTTTTTCTCGTTGAAGGTCACCGTTCTGAGGACGTACGACACCATGACCGCCACGGCGCGGAGACAACCTGAGGGCTCCCTGGTTTACATTCTGGACCAAACAGACCTGTACTTACGGGTCCGTGACGGCGTTCGTCAAGTACAGGTGAAACTTGACTCTGTACCTGATGCAGAAGGTCAAAGTTCATCATCATCAGCTGTTGGATTAACCCCCTCTGTTGTTGTTGTTGTTTTTCAGCTGGGGAGCTACATCCCTCTGCCCAACGTAGACGTGAGTCTGGTTCTCCTCTTCCTCTGATCTGGATCCTGAAACTGTCCCCGTTTGAATCAAGTCTCCGCCTCTTTTTCAGGGTAATGAGGTCGCCGCCGTGCAGCCCCCACCCATGGTCCCCTACTCCCCGGACCTCCACTCACACACCGACACCTCTCAAAGGCAGCCGGAGAGTCCGGTCCACCACGGCACTGAGCATCACTCTCAGCCAGACCAGCATCAACCATCCAACCCGGATCCACGCTATCCGACCTACCTCGACCCCAGATACCAGCCGGACAACCGCTACCAGCCGGACCCTCGGTACCCAGCCCCCACAGACCCCAGGTTCCCCAGTTACTCAGACCGGCTGAACCAACCGGACAGCAGGTACACAACCGAGACTCGTCCTGCGTACCCGGACCCTCGCTACGCAGTCACCCCTCAGAGAAGACCGGCTCGTCCTGAACCCGAGACCCCGGTCCACCACCATCAGTCAGGTCCAGGGGTAAGAGGACTTTAAGACCATCATAATAGATGTTGATGGACTTCTGCAGATCCTGGACTCATGTTCAGTATCTATAAGATCCAGTAAACCTGCACAGACATCAGACCTTCTCTGTGTCCATCTCTACGGAGATAAATATGAACACTGTGAAAAAGGAAGGTCTGAAAACAAGATAAAAACAAGATAAAAACACTAGATCTGAGGGCAAAGGTCCTAAAAACAAGATAAAAACAAGATAAAAACACTGAAAACAAGATAAAAACACTGAAAACAAGATAAAAACAAGATAAAAACACTGAAAACAAGATAAAAACAAGATAAAAACACTGAAAACAAGATAAAAACACTAAAAACAAGATAAAAACACTAAAAACAAGATAAAACACTGAAAACAAGATAAAAACACTAAAAATAAGATAAAAACACTAAAAACAAGATAAAAACACTGAAAACAAGATAAAAACACTAAAAACAAGATAAAAACAAGATGAAAACACTAAAAACAAGATAAAAACACTAAAGACAAGATAAAAACAAGATGAAAATACTGAAAAGAAGATAAAAACAAGATGAAAACACTGAAAACAAGATAAAAACAAGATGAAAACACTGAAAACAAGATAAAAACACTAAAAACAAGATAAAAACACTGAAAACAAGATAAAAACACTAAATCTGAGGGAAAGGGTCCTAAAACAAGATAAAAAAACAAGATGAAAACAAGATAAAAACAAGATAAAAACACTAAATCTGAGGGAAAAGGGACTAAAAACAAGATCAATGATCTGTCCATGCAGCAAGATCATTTCACTAAACAAGATTTCTTGAATGAAGATTGTTCAGTCTAGAAATAATCATGTCTACAAATGTATTTGGAAGATTAAAGTCAGACAAACATGCTGGTTTAAGATCAGATGATTAAAATGTCACTTTTCCAGCCCTAAAATCAGTGAAATCGACTAAATCTAATCAATGACATATTTATTTTTCTTCCTTTGATCAAATGAAGCTGAAGATTAGTTCAACCAAAAATAGAAATGTAGAGAAAAAATACCCAGTATTAGTGAAGAATGACTAAACTCTGTCTCAATCCAAGCAGGCTGATCTTGAAACAAGGCTTACTGAATCTGAAAACAAGATTCCTTTGGATGAGACTAGAACTGATTTGAACAGTTATTTTTCTCATGTGAAGATTTCCTGACTATTGGAGACAAACAGAAGAGAAGGTTGTTGGAGAGAAGATTACAGTGGAAACTTAAAGACTTCAAATAGAACAGATGTTGTCTTCAATCGTCCGGTCAATAATCGAACCTTTAAACCCAGATGACTCCGTATCTAGTCCTGTCTGCGGTTCAGAGATCTAACGGTTCTGGTTTTTGTGGTTTCCACAGCTCCACCTCATCGCCCTGAACACTCCTCAGACCGGTTTCATGAGGGGGATCCGCGGTGCAGACTACATGTGCTTCACTCAGGCTCAGGCTGTGGGAATGAAGGGAACTTTCCGGGCCTTCCTGTCCGCCAAACTCCAAGACCTCCACAGCATCGTCCGAAAGGCCGACAGAGACCGACTGCCGATCGTCAACCTGAAGGTATGGAGGGAGGGAATGAAGACAGAGTCCAAACCCGTCATGGTTCACGTCTGAACTCTGATTTCATCTCTGTTCTCACTCTTAGGATGAGGTCCTGTTCGATAACTGGGACGCCATCTTTAATAATGGCAGGATGAAGGACGGCGTGTCCATCTATTCCTTCGATGGCAAAGACGTGATGAGTGACGCCACATGGTAACCACATCACTAAAGGAGAAGTTAGGTAATAAACATCTTCTCCAAGTTTTATTTTCTCACACTGCTCTTTTCTAAAACGTCTCAGGCCAGACAAGATGATGTGGCACGGGTCCACCAGCACCGGGCAGCGCCACGTGGACAGCTTCTGCGAGACGTGGCGAGTGGGTGACCGGGCGCTGACCGGCATGGCGTCGTCTCTGCAGGGCGGCGGCCTCCTGGATCAGAGCTCCAGCAGCTGCTCCAGCTCCTACGTGGTGCTGTGTGTGGAGAACAGCTACATCAGCCACTCCAGGAGATAGAGAGAGAGAGAGAGAGAGAGAGACACACACACACACACACACACACACAGATTCACTACAAACGGACAAACCCATGATGCTTTTGTCCGTCTTTGCGCCGTTTGCGGTGCGTGTAAATATGTTTTTTTTTCATATGCGTGATGATGTCATGTCGGTTAGCCCGCCATATTCGGTGCTACACGGGATTATTCCACAAGTAGAACCCAAGTTAAGCTCAGGGGACAGACAGTAGCGCCCTCCAGCAGCCGTGTGGGAAGTTAGTGGGCCTGAGAAAAGGTCTGTGAGTTGGAAAAGCTTCTTTCTTCAGTTTTCAGTATTTATCCAAATATCCAAGTTAGCGCTCTCTAAAGATTTACCCGTCACCTTCTGCTTTGAAAGTTTCAGGATTGTTCAAACATGTTTGAATACTTTGAATAAGACTCTACTTTATGGAGAGTAGTTTAAAAAAATAACTGTAAAGATTTAATAACCAAAGTGAAAATGAAAATGACCTGTTTGTCTGTCTTTAAGAAAACCAGCAGCTTTTTAAAAAAGAAGAGTTCTTCTCTAAAGATTATAAAATATCTTTCAATGCATGATGAAAACAAATTTTAACCTCCTTTTTTATCCATTTTCTAATTTAATAATCCAAAATAATACCAGCAAAAGCAATAAAGCTTAACTCAATTTAAACAATTTTCCCTTTCAGATGGACTCATGTCCTGTCAGAGTCAGAGTCATATCAGAGTCTGTGATGGAGGACTAAAGATGAAAACATCGACTATGTTCAAGTTTTTTTATTCCTAAAATGAAATGATGTGAACGTAGAAACAGACTAAATGTGAGACTCAGTGAAGCAGTGTTACCTTTAATTTTCAGGTATATGAAACTGTACAGTCAACCCGACATTTCCTCCAAAAAAACAGAAAATTAAGAATCTTTGTTTGTAAAATGTTTGTGTTTTTTTTTTACTTCTTTTACACTGATTATCTGTAACCACAGCACTTGACTATCTGCTTAATTTAGCTTCTTCCTTTCATAGGAAAATACTTTCAAATCTTATTTTCGTGTTAACAAAGGGATATTTATTTTTTACAAACTGTGCCTTTTTCAGCTTCAATGTGTGACGATTACATTCCCATTTAATCTTAAAACCATGACGTGAACCTGACGGAGAGTTTAGGGCAGAAGTTTGTGCTCAGTCATCGTAGCAGGATTCAGCCGAAGTTTGTTTGTTTGTCCATGCACTGTTGCTTTTTTATTATTTGTCTTTTTTTTTTACTCCAGAACAGAAAATGTACTGCAGCAGGAAACAAACACTGGTCACAAACTGAAGAGGGTTTTTCTTTTTTCTCAGCAGTGCCAAAGTCAGATTTCTGTTCACGTTTGCAGGTTTTTTAAATCTGTTTTCTTTCTGTGAAACTCTGCAGCTCATCGAATAAACCAGTGTGGTTATTGTTTATTACGTTTGTGTCACCTGACTCTGCAGATCAGCTGTTACTGTCAGCACACCTGTGACTCCTCTGATTGGCCGCACAGATGTCATTAATCATTAAATACACTTCACTAACCGTCACACACCGGCATTGACAGCAGTGCGATCAGCTGTTTTCTGTTTTTATTAACTTGCACTCTCCTTTAATCGAACCCCAGTGACAGTGAAGCTTTACTTTCTCCTGAACATTAAAAACACAGCTCAAAACACAGTACAGCTCTTTTAATCACAGTGTATAAAACAGTAGAAAATAGAAAAATATACAAATCTTGACATAATTCCTGTATGATATTTTAACATCAGTAACAAAGATATGTGACTTTGTAACATGAGGTTGAGTCCAAAGTGCGATAGAAAAAGAAACACAGAAAAGTTCAAACCGCTTCACAGAAATAAATGAGAAAAGACCTGATATATATAAATATTTAAAACCCTTCATGAGAAAATCGAACATTAAACCAGCTGATGAGGTCTGAGCAGGAACCCTCAAACAGGACCCCCTTTGAGCAGCTTGTAGTTCAGTCCGATCACAAGCGAGCAGAACTGACTGACGCCCACAAAGTCGCAGCAGAGGATGTTGACTCCGCCCACTTCAAGCTCACCTGGCTTCTGCTCGCTCGCCCATCCCAGCAGGAGAGAGAGCGCCTTCATCGTTATCTTCTTCATGCTCTGGAGAGGGTGGAGGAGGACGTAGGGGGTGTCTTCTGTCAGGTTCAGGCCGCTGACGTAAAAACCGGCTGAGAGACAAAGAAATCCATTTATGGAAATAAAGTAAACTTAAAAAAGTAAATCGATCTGAACCTCCAGATGATGAAAATACTTTCATTTATTTCAGGTACGTTGGCTGTGATGATGCAAAGGACTTAAAGTAGTAAAAAACAATTATTCTGTTTTGATTTTGACATTTAACACAGATTTTATTGACAGGACGTTTATTTTATGGACTATTATTTTATGATTTATGACCTCAGGCTGCAGCTCCCTACCTGGTCTTCCCTTGCTCTTCTGCTCCTCCAGGTAGGCGATCACCTTCTTTGGGTCTGGGCTGTCAGCATACCTGGAGACAGAGCGAGAGGCCGATAATGAACATGGATGATAATAAAAGTTTTGATTGCAGTGTGACATGAGCGGATCGATGAAGCGTCTCTCCTCTGTTTACCAGTAAGGAATTCCAGGCCACAGCTCAGGATGCTGCAGCAGCACCTGCTGGTCAGCGTAGGAAACAACAACCTGCTGACCTCTGGACCAGCAGGAACCCAGAGTCGGAATGTCCTGAAGATGATAATAAACACAAAGTAAGAGTTCCATCTATTTCTAGAAAACAGAGAATATAAGAAAAGAGAGAAAAAGTTTGAGCAAAGTTACGTTTGAGGGGCAGAGTTTGTTTCCAAACAGCATGAAGAGAAACTCCACCAGGTCGGCGTGATCTTCATCTGTCAGTGATTCAAAGTGTGAGCAGGAAATAATCACGATCTCTTTTGGATGAGCGTCCAGCCAGGTGGCAAGTTCATCCAGAGCCTCCTACACACACACACACACACACACACACACACCCATGAAAGTGTGAGCATGTGTATTCAGTCCCTCTCCAGGACTTTGTATGTGTCTGTTCTGGGAGTCGGTTTCAGAGGTCAGTAATGAGAGGAAGCATTCGTGTTGTGGTGTCATGTTGTGTTTGTCTTAACCTTCACAGTCATCAGTGTGTAGACACCGTGGGCGAAGAACAACTCGCTCTCTCTTTTTGGCTTCCTGGCGATCCTCAGGTCGAAGAAACGAATCCCGAGGTCGCACTGATGTGTGAGGACTGACTGCTGCAAACACACACGTACAGAGAAAGACACACTTCATAAATGTGCAGAAGATTATATTGTTTTATTAGAAACAGCTCCTCTAAGTTCTGCCTCCTGAAGTTTAGTTCTGGTCTGTTTTTACAGGATCGTTGACTAAGTGGAAAAATTAAAGAAATAGTCGTTATCACGCTGGTTTTGTAGGAGCTGTAGGGACGAGTACTGTCTGTCATTTCTATTTCAGATACACCCGACGGAGATTTAACATAGAAGACAACATGTGCACTTTGTTAAATTAATACTGAAACAACGAACCATCTATTTTTGTCATGTAACACAACACAAACATCCCGGGTTAACATTCATGAATGGATTAAACACAAAATTACAGTTTTTCCACAATGTATTTCTCTAGATAATGTTTCTTTTGGAACGATACGACCAAATAAAAATAATGAACTCTGTTGAACCGTAATCTTATAGGTCTTGGCAAATATTTCATCCAAAAGAATAAAGTTATGAGATCAACCCCCAGATTTACTCTTTTCATAAGCCAATTTAAAATGTATTTGATGAGAAGTTATATGACAACTTAGAGAATTTTCCCGCTGATATGAAGCGCCAAAAATTACATGCATTGTCGCTTTCCCATGTTGTTCAGTATTTCTCACGGATATGTTGAAATTAAAGTATTGAACTGATTCTGATATGTTTATAATTATAATTTTGTTGACTCTGAATAAAGCTTTAAAAAATAAAAGAAAGATAAAAAAAAAAAAGGTTCAGATAGACCTGCAGGACTATGTTTAGGACTACCTGTGTGGTGGCCCAGCGGGCTATACAGGGTCGAGTCCAGCAGGGGAGACACCTGTCAATCACTCTGAGGAGGCGGGGCTCTGACTTGAGGACAGGTGAGGAGACATCGAGACAGAAGGACATGCTGTCATGACTCCCTGTGAGGACAAACATTATAATATATATTTATAAAGATGATAAACTGAAGAAAAAGGAGACCAATCTGTCTGATCTGATTCAGTGACAGACAAAAATAAGAGTTTAGAGGCGGAACATGGACAATAAAACCGAAAATAGAAACATATTTAATCGTATACATATTTTCTCTACTTTACAGTTTGTTTCCTGGTCTAATTTCCTCTAAATAATCCAGTTTTTCCGTGTTACCGGGTACAGCCAGGTTCCACAGCGGGACTTCCTGCAGCTCTCCGGGTAACAGAGACATCCAGTCCGGGTTTTCCTCCTCCATGTCCTCCTTAAACTGTTAACCGACTAAACCATCCGTGTACCAGCTTTAAATCTGTCTTTAAGTGACTATTTCTTACAATATTTTCCTTCCGTTTCTGTCACATCTTGTTTACATCCGTCTTCTGTTCTTCTTCGTTGGTTTTAGGCAGCTGGTATTCGAGGTGTCGCGTTGGCGCCCTCTGCTGGACTAAATGTGCAGAGCAGAGACTGAGACTTATGTTTTCACAATGATAATGAAAAATGAATTCAGTGTTAAAAAGAATTGTTCTCTCAAAATATTTGTGTAGTAAAAATTGGACTAAAAAACTGTAAATAAAAAATTTAATGTAAAAAAATTAAACATAAAAATTTTTTTTAGTGTCAAAAAATTTTGTGTAAAAACAGACCGACTCAACATTCGGGTAATCAGGGAGAAACAATCGATTTATGGAAGTAAATCTGTGCCATCTTGAATTTGATTTTCTAAAGCTGAATTTTTTCGCATCCAAATCAGGCTTTGAATTACGAAACTGTTAAATTTCAAGCACCCATTTTTATTTGTGACACTTATTTTTTCACAACGATGAAATAAATTCAGTGTTAAAAAAATCAGTATCTCAAAAGATTTGTTTAGTAAAAATTCAACTTAAAAAACTGTAATTAAAAAAAAAAATTAAATGTCAAAAAATTCAACACAAAAAGAATATATTGTTAAAAAATTGACTGAGCCAGGAATCGATTGCTTCTCCCTGATTACCCGGATGTTGAGTCGTCTGTTTTACACTCAATTTTTTGACATTTAATTTTTTTTATTTACATTTTTTTTCAATGCTAAATTTTTTGTTTACACAGTTTTTTTGTTGTTGAATTTTTACTAAAAAAATCTTTTGAGAGACTTTTTTAAACACTGAATTTATTTTATCATTGTGAAAAAAAAGTGTCAGAAATGAAAATGCATGCTTGAAATTCAATGGTTTTATTATTTAAAATCTGACTCTGATGAAAAAAAAAAATCAACTTTAGAAATTCAGATTTAAAATCAGATGGCACAGATTGACTTCCACAGCTTAAACTCTCAAAATTAAAAGAGATTAAATGGAGGTCGGGTAAAACTTTAAAACTAAAAAAGCAGGTCATTCTCCAGGCACACTGACACTTTTCAAGAACTGAGGTCAGTGATTTACCTTAAACCTTTTAAAATGATTTGATTGGACTGAAATCTAAATTTACTCTGGAATAAATTATTCACCCTCTGTTTCTCAAGAAACCACATAATTTTATCAGGATTCGAAGAAAAGTTTCGATGAGAAAACAAACTTGGCTTTTGTTTTTCAGGTGAAAGTCAATAATCAGACAGAAGCTCCTATTATAGTTTTCTCCATGGACCTCCTGAGGGTTCAAAGACTTTTAAGACCCCTTCCTTCCCATGACCTCCTCTATTAGATTATCCTGATGTGTTTGCACCGTAGGCCCTGCAACAAAACATTGGAAAAAAAAGATAAAGACATATTGTGTGACTTGGTTTGTGCTCGTGTTAAATTCAAATCAACATGACGAGGCAGAAAATCTAATCTGAGGTACAAAGCAGGAAAAGTTTGGGTTATTTTCTCCTCTCTCACAGCTCATCTTTACTCTCATTGGAGTCACACATCGAGCGTTTAATGAAGTCAAACATTTCAGCGTCAGAAATGAGCTTAAGTACAGACCAGTGGTCGCTCTTTAGCTCTGACATGACACAGCTTTTCTCCGAACATGTAAAAAACAGAGTTTGGCTCTTCAGGAGGACGGAGCTTTTTAACCTCTCTAACCTTTTTAACCTTCATTACATGTTCTAGGTTGGACTCAGCTCATCTCGTGAATGCTGTCAAAGTTAAAGTTTGTTACAATTAATCTGATTAGGAGTGTTTTTCCTGGAGTGGATTTCTGTGTACTCCAGACACACTGACCATTTAAGGAACCACCAGACGAAAGAATCTAATAGCCCATTTTTAGAGTTTGTTTGTGTTTTTTGCTCTCTGAAGACACGTTCTCAACAGTTACTGATGTGCACGAAAAGAGAGACTGGATCAAGAGACAGTTTAGAGAAACACGACCGAGTTTCTTTTCCTCCTCCAACCCAATGGAAGGGTAAATCTGACATATACAGTCAATCTAATTTTGAAGAAAGTTACCGTCATTCCTGGAACTCTGATATATCTCCATGGTATGGGAAACATGTGGCTGAAAGGGTCCGTTGATTTAGAGAAAATTGGATGAACAGACAGGCTCTAAACGTAGTTTTACTCGGCTGAATTGGAAGTTACCCATGAAGTTTCAACAGTTGGAGATTTCATGATAAAATTAAAGTTGAGAAATGCTTCTTTAGGGAAACAGAGACCATTCAGGGTCAGCTTTCGGACGCACAGTGTGGCCTGAACCTGTACCAAGTTTTTCTTTTTTAACCATAAACATTTTTTTTCTGATTTTGTCAAAGTTTTTGTTTCTCTCTCTTCACATAATGACTCTCAAAATGTTTGAGGTCGTTTCTTTGAACTTTGAATAATGGAGGAGAATTCACGAGAAGAGTTATTTCATTAATAAAGGAATAATCCTGAATTTAAAGAGCTATTTTTGGATAATGAAAGGGAAATGACACGTATTTGATCCTGTGAGTAAACTTCCTGAAACTGCTCTGATCTTAACCAGGTCAGTTTATTTCAGTCACATCATCATTCAGTCTTCATGGGATTCATGCTGAGATTTTCAGTATTTGGTTTAATTCAATTAGACCCGCCCACTCTGGTCACATGACAGCCTCCGCTGCCCACCAGCATCAGTGAGGGTCACGGTCCGCTCCAGTTTTAAAAGGCAGATGGACCTCAGTGCTCAGTGGAGACTTCTGGACTCATCATCCAGACCACTCTGAGAGGTAAGACCTGAACCCTGTCTTCTTCAGGGTCTTTTTCCCTTTAAATCTCTTACTGATTATATTCTAAGAGCCTCGCTCAAACTGCATGAGAAGGTTTTTCTAAAAGGTGAGCGTCTTTGTCTTCAAGTAATCGTCAAAAATCAGGAATGAAGATGTCAGATTAGTTTACGGCTGATGCTCACAGACACTAATACTGTAAAGAGATAAAACTGTGACTTATAGAGGGGCGGCAGCAGCAATGAGGAGAGGACAGCTCTCAGGTAGGAACAGAGTTTGAGGGTTTGTGAATCAGAACCAGAACCAGAACACTTGATTTCTGATTCTGTATGTTTAGATGGAGTATAAAATAACAAAGGTGCATACGGCTTACAGAGAAGAGTTTAACTTCTGGATTTATATATTAAATTATTGATTACCTGTTACTTTTTCACATATCACTCCTTTTCTCTTTTTTCTGTTTCGTCTTATTACATAAAAATTTAAACCCACTCTCAGATGATTAGAGCCTGATAACTCTGTGTTTGGACTGCAGAGGAAATTGCTCCAATTTCCACCCTCTTAACTTAAATGTGAGTAAACCTGATTTAAAGTCACAACGTTTCAATTATGAAAGTGGAAGGTATGAACTCCACAGAGACATTTGTTGACCTAATTTGTTGTCTGTAGTTTTCAATTTAGTGACCATGGAGAAGCTGAGATCTTAGTCTGACCGAGGATTCACTTCAGAATCATGAGATAATCCGATTTAAACTTCATCAGAGCAGCTGAGAATCGAGAGTTAACACGCTGACACATCTGTGATAATGACTCTGGCTGCTTTTTGACGTTTTTCTACAGAGTCCAGTCAGCATGGCCGACCCCTACGACTGCACCAAGTGTGAGGAGAGTCTGTACGGGCTGAAGTACATCCTGAGGGAGGAGCAGCCGTACTGCACCAAGTGCTACGAGGAGCTTTTCTCCAGCAACTGTGAGGCCTGCAGTCTGCTCATCGGCTGCACCAGCAAGGTGAGAGTCTGAACCTTTACCGGGTCACGAGGAGTGACCGGGTCGTGTTTGTTTAGGGAAGAGCATGAAGAGGTTAGTTTCTTGTGTGTCTGGATCTGCGTCTCAGGGTTTCAGTTCTGAACACCGTGATGATCCGTGCACGTACAGAGAATGCTCATCTCATGGTTGCACTCTGTCCCTCATTGACTCTGCAGGATCTTTCATACAAGGACCGTCACTGGCACAGCAACTGTTTCCTCTGCATGAAGTGTGACTCCTCCCTGGTGGATCGACCTTTCGCCGCCAAAGACGACACGCTGATGTGCACCGACTGCTACAGCAACGAGTTCTCAGCCAGGTGCTGCGCCTGCCTGAAGACCATCATGCCAGGTGAGGAGGCCGAGCACATCTGGAGACACACTTTGGTGACATTCTGGATGAGTTAAAGCACTTTTTTCTAACCTTGATTTCAGACACACTGACACGTGTTAAAGTTGATTTAAAAAATCCAAATCTACAAATATTTAATACCAGCTCAACAAAAACGACGATACTTGACATTAAAACTTGAGTTTGACAGCCTTCGTGTCTGAGTTTGTTCCCCCTCTGACAGTTTTCACCAAAATCACTCAGAGAGCTTACACAACAGCAGCAGATCTCATTAGCTGTAATGAGTTTAAAGTGAGCACCATAGCAGTGGGACAGCAGGACTTACTGTACGCTTCATTATTGATGCAGACATTTAGAAATGCAGCACAGTGTGTCCTTCTGAGGAATATGACAGGACGCTCAAAATGAGCCTAAATCTTATTTTCTGCAGGAGAACAGCGTCTTCAGCATGGAAACTTGTTCTGCCTCCTTTTTTCATGTCTCCTCCTTCTTCTCCTCCGATCACCAGGCTCTAAGAAGATGGAGCACAAGGGCAACAGTTGGCACGAGAACTGCTTCACCTGCAACCGTTGCCAGCAACCCCTTGGCACCAAGAGCTTCGTCCAGAAGGACTCAAACAACTACTGCCTGCCGTGCTATGAGAAGCAGTTTGCTCAGCAGTGTGTCCACTGCAAGAAGGTAAAACCACGTCAAACTGCTGTGAAGTAAAGAAGAAATCTGTGTTTGTTTCTCTGCACATGTCGAAGTGCTTTCACTTTGCAGGAATCCTGTTTAAACTACAATTTCAGGACATAACTGAAATCCTCTGGATGTCCTGTAACAGAGACAAGTTTGAAACTTGAATTAGAATCATAAATTTAGTTTATTTTACTCTCTGGGACAAAAACTTTCAGCTTGGATGGTTCAGATGAAGAGAAATAGAGAGAAGGAAGAAAGAGGGCCGACATGTACGGTATATAAGAGCTATAGACAGGAAACAGATGGTCGCACAGGCAGGAGAATCGGAGGCGTCTTTTTGTGCTAAAAGCTGGTCGGTGAGACAGCAGGCATCTGGCTCGCCTGTGATTCAACAACTCAGAAACAACCGGCATTAAAGACGGAGAAATTCATCCGTGTGGAGCTGAACACGAGTGTGTAAGAGCTCCGGATCCTTAAAGACGGCTCTTAAACCACAGCAGAGAGCAAAACTGACAGGCCTGCTGGTCCTCCCAGCTAAATATTTGATGTTATAATGTCATTGAAGCTGCTCAGGGCTGTGCTGCAGCGTCTAAGAGTCCCTGTCATTTATATTAGGGAGATGGAGCCAAACCTGCAAATTTGATAAGATAATAAAAAATAATAGAAGATAACAGAAGAATAGATTTATTTATCCAAGAAAGGAAACTCACTGTGAGGTTGAACAGTTGCAGGAATCACCGAGGACTGAGTCAGACTTTGAGTTTAGTTCAGTCTCCTTAAAAACCTAACCCTCCAGCTCAGAGCCCACAGAACAGAATTCAGACCTGTAATGATTAATCTATAAATTAAATTCTTCAAATGAAGACACTGACTAATGCAGCAGCTTTGAGCTCTTTGTTTTAATCTGATTATCAGACAGCAAAAGATGCAGAAATGATCCTAATCGGCTAATCTGTCCTTAGATATTAAACAGACGAGCTGGGCATAAATAGGCTCATTTGGATCTGGACTCAAGTTGGTTAATTTGGGCTTTTAAAACACAGAGAAGTTACACAGAGTTGTTTTATGCCTCCATATCAAAGTTGACTGAATGATGCATCATTTTTGCAGTCATTGAGTTTTTATTTTAAGCCCATCACCACCGGAGGAGTGAACTACCATGATCAGCCGTGGCATAAGGAGTGTTTCGTCTGCATCGGCTGCAAGCAGCAGCTGGCCGGTCAGAGGTTCACCTCCAGGGACGACTTCGCCTACTGCCTCGACTGTTTCTGCAACCTGTTTGCTAAGAAATGTGCTCACTGCACCTCCCCGATCAGCGGTAAAGTACAGCTGTGTTTGTATCAGGTGTACTGCCTTTAAACGAGTCGGATTAGTCCATTAAATACGGAGAGATTATACCAAACTAACGTGACAACAGTCTTGTTTAAAACTTTCAGACAGCTAAATCATACTTTTATCAAAAGTCACGAAGAACATTTTATTCACTAGCTTTTATAGTGTGATAATCTCAGGTTTATTGACTTTAATACACAGTTTTTTGGACTCATTTTGTCCAACCCCGCCTGGTCACAGACCTCCAAAGTGCCTGTTTCATTCAGCAGTTCCATGTTTTAAGGTTTTGTCTGTAATTTCCTAGAAAGAGTATAACCTCAGTAGCTCAAATCAGTTGTGTCACAGAATAAACGGCACCATTTGCATTAAGGAAACCTTCCCCGGGTCACATGCTCCTGTCTGCATCCTGTGCATCCACTCACCAATAAACCAGTTACAGGGTTATTAAATTACAGGGATCATGAGACTGCTTGCAGGTTTTTGTAGGCCCCTCATTTTCTGATTTATCTGCTTTTCTTTCAGGTCTTGGTGGCAGTAAGTACATCTCATTTGAGCAGCGCCAGTGGCACAACGACTGCTTCAACTGCAAGAGGTGCAGCATGTCTCTGGTCGGCAGAGGTTTCCTGACCTGCAAAGACGACATCCTCTGCCCCGACTGTGGGAGAGACGTCTGAGAAATCTCTGAATCAGATAAGAGATGAATATCAGTCAGAGAGCAGCAGCAGTTAATCTCCTAACTCCACTATTACTGCATTCAGTGCATCATTTATTGGTTTCTCTCACATTAACTTGGCTCATATTTTCTTCATACACTGATAATACTGTTTCATTTTAATAATTATTATTATTTAAAGCCTTCATTATGAACTGTAGCTCCCCCTCAAGAAACGTTTTGTGTTGACTGCCATCACTTTTGTGAACTTTCATGCATTTCTGCAACAAGATCAGTCCTTTTTGCTTTGGTATAAACCTCTGTCATTACAATAAAACTATAACTACTTTAATAGATATTTTATGCAACATCTTCATTGTAACGGAGACACAATATTACTAACAGATATGTTAAATGAAGCTTAATAAAGAGTTTTGGGGAATTTGTGAATTTTTTCCCGTCATTAATGTTTGACCTGAATATACGATCTTTGGTCAGAATGTTTGACCTAAATATACGATCTTTGGTCGGCACACCGGAAGTGGGCAGCAGGTGCCACAGGAAGTCGGTGCAGGAGAATTAAAAGAAGCTAACGGAATTTGAATACAAAAAGCCGCTGAATAATTCCAAGGACAGAAAAATACCACAGAGTGTAAGATGTTCGTCTAATTTTCTGCGAGTAATTCTGTTATCGACTGGTCTAAGAAGTAGCTTCGTTGTTGCCTACTGTAAGGTTAGCGCTGGGGTGCTTAGGTTGTAAGCAGCTAGGCGGTTAGCGGTGTTAGCATGGCTTTGTTAGCTGAATGAGTGAAACTCTGCTGCTGAAAACGACGATTTAACTGATTATTTGTGTAATTTCTGCTTTAAAATGGACCAGGAATAATGTTGAAAGACACTCTACAACTCTATATTTACTCGTGAGTGTGCATCTTGTGCAGAGTAAGCTCACTGTATAATTTAATGTCTGTTCTTGATTTATCAGTGGTATCGATATTCATAAATATTAATACATAATTGTTCAAATTAACCCAATCTGAACATAATCACTAAATAAGAAACGCTTCGTTTTACAATTTTAAACATCCTTATTTCAACTCTGTCGATAAAAGAACGCGAACAATGTGTTCTTTGAAACATAACGCAAAATGTAATTAAAAAATACGACAATTTAGGTATTTTTCGCTTTTTACTAATGTTACAGAACATTCTGAGCAGGTTTTTATATGTTTTTTAATACTTAAGGTGTTCTGGAAAATTCGGCGCACTTAGAAGACAGTATGACTCCGATAATGTAGATTCTTTTACTGGTGTTAAGGTTAATTTTGTAAATTGTCGTAGAAGATAATTGAAAAACTGAAAACTATCTTTAAATCTTTAATAATTGAACACACAAAGATATGTAGGATCAAACAAAGCTTTTCATAAAAAACAGCAAACAGGAAGAAACTTTATTTTCAAATATTACAATCTAGTTTTTAATGCTTTTTCAACAACACCAGACTCTTTTTTTCCCAGCAGGGTTTACTGTAGTTAATTTATATTCTGGATATTTTGATAAATTTGTAGCACTTTTTTTACTCTTAGTGATTATATACTACCTAAAAATGTGATTTTTTTTTTTTAACTAGTGCAGGGCTCCAGACTGCATCCAAACGAACGCCTTTGCGACTAAAATCCGAGACAGTGCGAGTAAATTGCATGTGTAACTAGTGAATCTGCTGGTTTTTATTTTATTTTATATTTTTTGTTGCTTACAAATTTATGTACTACGGTGGCCAAGAACCGCCACTGCTGGACATAAAGAAATAGTGCAAAAAAAAAAAAAAGAAGACACGACGGAAGTTAACGACACAAAAAAAAGTGGTGGTGGGAAAAAAAAGAAATAATGAAGATGATGCCCCGGTGTTCTACGATCTTTTACGAACTGAAGTTAACACTACACTGACATCCTCCAGTTCAACTTCATATCAACTCAGGTGCTACATGGTCTAACCACATGACACATTAAACGTTTACGAAGAGTAATTAAACAATATCCTTTCCATTGACTTCTTTTCTCGTCCTCTGGTCAGCGTCTTCTGTGCCTAGATTGTAAAACACCAGTGCATCATCATTATTGGTCCCCAGCAGCTCACTTCCATTGTGGCTTTTTTTTATTTGCATCCTTTTATTTTCACAGTAAGTAACTTTTTATCTTTTTGCATCGCCACTTTTTTTTTTTGCATTCTTTTTTTATTTGCAGCAGTGGCGGTTCTCGGCCACCGTACTTATGCTCCACACTTCATCCCACTAGTTGGTGGTAATGCAAAAATGAACTGGTTTGCCAACCGACATTAACTCAAAAATATAAGAAGAAAGGAGACGAAAACAGAAGAAAAAGAAGGCTGGCCAATGTGAGAGCGGGGGGGGCGAATGATGACTGTTATAGGCTAGGGGGTGGGTCTTTGGGGTTATCCATTGTAAACGATGGCGGCGGAGAAGACTGTCAGTTATTACTTTCTCCCCTGTAAAAATAATGTACCTGAGGAGACAAATCTTAAGAATGAGTCCGACTCAGATTGTGAGGAAACGTTCGGAAAAATCCAGGAAATTCAGCTTTCGTCATGAGTGGCTGCGTGAGGTATTTCAGGGAGACGTATTGTGAAGCTCTATAACTGTCCACGATTGTCCAAGAACAAGACTTCTTTAAAGGGGGAATTTCACGTGTAAGAAGTGATGCTTCGGATTCAGAAAGAAAGTCCTGAGGATTGACTCTGCTCATCTCTCTGTTATCCTCTCCAGCTAAAATGAGCGCTGCAGTACCCAACCATCGAAGGACCAAGCCGGGTGGTGAGGCTTTATTAATAATGAGTGACTTTTGCATGCATTCTCGCTCCATTATGTGTCATGTATTTAAATACTTAAAGCTTTAAATATATTCAGTATTTCTCAAACTTAAAGGCATTAAATAATACCCAATAAATCAGGTCCTTTGATTTAATTGCAGGCATTAAGCCGGGGGTGGTGAACGCCGGCGTGACTGGACCATCCTCCCAGATTCCCGGTCTGTCTCAGACTGCTGATGAAAACACCAAAGTGGAGAGGGTCAGCGGACGGCGAGTGGGGATATTTGAGTCCGACTCTGAGTACGTCAAACTTGCAAAAGGCGGAGGACACAAAGGTAAAAGGGGGTGTCTTTGCAGAAGACTGTAGGTAACAGTTCTGCTTTTAGTATTTGGTGAACGCTTTAAATGCTACAAGTCTCTCCTTTCTCATATTTAGATGAGAAATCTGACGAACCTCCTTCTGTTCCTCAGAGTGAGGAGCGCACAATAGACTGAAACAGTGGAAGTTACCACATTTTGAGAATAAAACAACATCCCAGGGGAACCGTTTGATGTTGACAACTCTTTGAAATGCAAATCTTGAACAAGTTTCCTCTCGGATCTTGAAAAAGAGGATCTTTCCAGTTTTTTTAGAGGCAGTGTGGGAAAACATGACAAGCCCCCCTTTTGTTCTAAGAAAAGCAACATCACCGGCTTCAGCTGTCGGGGGAATAAAGTCGTTTCTGTTGCTGTACACACTTTTCTTTGGTACTGAAAAGTTCAATTTCAAGCTCCAGTCAGCGTGAATGAATCCTCTGCAATAAACGAGCTCGCCTGATATAAAACATCTGAAAACAGAAGCAGTTACGCCTTATTTAGTGAGCTGTAGCTCCTGCTTTTACCTTAATTAGCTGTTTTTCTCTCCTCACAGAAGTTCACCAGACGCATAACTTATCAATAATTATTGAACAAACAGCCAAAGTGCTCGTTGTTTTGAAGTATTTACAGCCGGGAGCCTCTGTTGTCACTTTTGACAAAAAACGTCTTTCATAAATCACCAGGAGGACGTTTTTTTTTGGTAATGGTACAGTATGCAAAGGATTTAATGAAAACAGTCTCAGAACGGGACCGTAGTAAAATTAAATTGAAGTGATAACTGAACAATGTTATATCAAACACAGCAGGATGAACATGAAGAGAGTCTTTTGCATTAACTGCAATTCTTGAATATTGTAAATAGAAGCTCCTGTTGAACACCCTTCTTCGTATTCCTGCGATGTTCGTCACGTCAGAGTAAATAAAAGGAGCCTGCTGTGATTTCTTGCATATGCCTCTTGATTATTAATTCGTAGGACAGTAATTGTAGAAGTCCCGGAGTTAAATGGCCTGAAGGCAAATATCACATTATGTTATTAGGGGTGAGATGCTGCTGCTGAACAACGCTTCATAGCAGCTCGCAGTGTTTTGACGCGCGTGTCTCCTTCTCCTGCAGGGCTGTTGAGTCATGACGTTGATGAGGATGATAAACCCAGGAAGCCGTACAATCCGACCAACTGGTTCAGCGGCGATGAGTCAAAGAGGTAAAAACACTGGTCACACAGGGACCAAACGTAGAAACAGAGACTCCTAGATTTAAATTACAGACAATTAACACACGTTTATTGTAAATGGGTTAAAAATATAGATGCTTGCATGGGTGGAAAACATTCAGAGCTCATATAAGTGGACTCTTCCAACATCCGTCTGTGAACCGTGAACTGTGACAGAGGATCCACACACTGTATTCATGAGACTTGCTGTGTGTGTAATGTTATGTGTCTTAACCATCAGAAACCAAAGAAATAAAGTCAGCAGGCTGAGAGCAGAAGGCTCAGGTGGTGTGTGTCAGTAAAGCAGAGGGAAACAGCGAGTCTAGAGTTTTCCTGTGTGCTCAGACTTGTTAGTTTTGTCAGCGTAGTGAAAATTTCCCTTCCTGACAAAAAAATCTCTTCCAGTTTTAAACCAGGCGACGGAAAACACAAAATTTCTAAATGAAATCAATAAAAGCAACAACCAAGTGATCCAGCCTCAGTCAGAGGTTGTGTAAGTGGCCTGCAGTCATTTCCTATATGTATTCTATTATATCACAGTGGTTTTGTATTTTCAGCAAAGTGATGTCTCCTGACAGCGAGATGAAGATGGGCTTTCAGCCTCTGGCTGCTCCTTTTGGCACTGATAACGGTACAGCCTGGGAGACCGATAGGTTCTCCCCCGGTAAAGAAAAGGTGAATAAACTGGACTAGAGTCACCCTCCGGCATCGATACCGCGCTCATCTCTTCCATCCATTTTGATTATTTATTTTGCATTTATTCCACCAAGCTCCCTTTTTATTTTTCACCTTATTTTGCTCCATCGCTGCATTCACAGTCTGGTAAAAATGGATATCCTGCTCGTGCTTTGGCTGTTTAATAGCTTTGAGGGAAGATTGCTCAAGTTTTAGGTAAGTACAGAGAGAGGACCCGACTAAACACAAATCTGTGTAGTCTTCTTTTTGTCTTTCTAAAACTAGTTAGTACATCAGGATAGTAGATCTTTTGTGCAGGTCAGTCAGATAAGAGGTGTTAAAGTCCTTCTCAGAGCTGTATGTTAGGTCAGTGTGGAAATCTTAGGTTATAAAAGTCTCAGAAAACCAGATCAGCACTTTTTCTCCTTTAAAGGATAAACTGAGATGATTCTGTTGTTTCTGGGTTTTGCTCATGCTTCCTCCAATCATTCCCTGTTGCATGACTTTTTTTTTCATTGGTAATTTTCTTCCATCATTTCATTCTTAGTTCTGTTAATTGCATGTATTTCGCTTCATAAAAATTCAGATTCATACGTTTGTAATTAGTGAAAGCTGGTTTTAGTGGCTGCAGAGCTCACAGCGTCTCCTTCCCTCAGATTTCCCCTGATGGTGTCGCCGGTCAGATGGAGGGTCTGTCTGTAGCCAACAAATACAAGAGGAGGTAAATAAACTGTGTTTTCTGTGTACTCAAACACAGACAGGTGAACTATTGAGGGAAGATGAATCCCTTTTATTACTCTTGGCTTGTGCTGCTAAGGTTCAGTCTGTCCAGATCAAAGTGTCTTTTTTACTTACCTGAAGGTTTCTGTAGAAGAGGTGATCCACCTAAGGCTCTTAAATGAACAATGATACAGTTTAAGACAAGGAAACAGTGAAATGTCCCTTTTCAGGGGCTGTAAAGGTCAGATATGTCGTTGTTTCATGAAGTAAAAGCCTGTGATGGTTAATGCTTGAATGTTGAGTAGTGATTGTGCTGCGTGTGGTCTCCTCAGGTCTTACGATAAGAAGACCACTCCAGTCAGCATGTCCAAACTGCTGAGTCATGGCTACGTTGAGGACAAGAAGAAGTCTCCCAACGATGATGATACCTCAAGTAAGAGACTCTTTCAAACAAAGGTAGAGGGACGCCCTCCCCCCTGCTCAAACATACTCAGGTTGATGGTTCTGAGACGCACCAGAGTGACCCATGAACAGATTTGTGTTCAAACCCGCTCTGCTGTTTCTCTTTTCAGGTGTGACTTCTGAACAGACCAGCACCATCATGACGGAGGACGTGGACGACCTGGAGTAGAGCGCCGAGGTCCTTGTCCAAAGGGAAAGGGGGTCCACCTAACACTGGTTCATGGTTTCACAAACCCACGACCACGCCACTCCGCCCTTCTCCAAATTCACTCACATTAATTGTATATCCACTGACTGTTCAGTTTTGTACTCATGTTTATGCAAAGGTACTGTTCTGGCTATTATTTATTTGCTTTAATTTGTAAAGACAGTTCACACAGATTCTGTTGAGTAGATGTGTCAGTGCTCGGTGATTCTTTATTTCTCAATTCCTCGATTTGAAAGACGAATTGTGCGCAGGGCAGGAAGCTAACATTCAGATCCAGAGAGGCGGGTTTAGTCTGATTTTTGACCTCAGAGGATGCTTCAGAGATTCACTTCAGCTAAATCTGTGTGGAGGCTGGTGTTAGTTTCCCTCCCTGGTTGTATGAAGATCGAGTTTGTGAGTTTTCAAACTATTAGTGCTAAAGAAACGTGGTTAAAGTGATGTGAGTTATGATTTCTGTTGACCAAGGGCTCCTGCTCTGTGAAGAGATGTTGGTGGCTTGTGTGTTTTCAGCTGCAGAGGTTTGAACGATCATTCGTAGAGACAGCCACCCGGCAGCTGGGACCACATGCCAAAGTGCAAACAGACGGCCACAGACAGCGCGGTTTTGTTTGGGCCAAAGGGGCCAAAAAATGATGTTTCAGTTTGCTGCTCTGCAGAAGGTTGGCCTTTTCTCATTTCGCTGTTTTTTAGTCTCCAATTTCCTGAAACAACAAAATTAACCCAGTGTTCAATCAGAATTTGACTTTGCAGCTCCAATAATATCAGAATATTGCTGATGGTTAATTAAATCTGTGTCTGTCCTGCCTAACAGCCCAAAACTCGAGCAGCGACAGGTAAAGTGGTTGGAGAAGGAGCCGCCTTCTGCAGAGATTCAAGCTGAAACTGAAATCCGGTGTCATTCCCTGTCAAGACTAACACAGACAGATATGAGTTCTGAACATGCCAACCAAGCAGTATGTCCCTGCTCGTGCAGTGTTTTTGACTTTAGAGACAGAAGTAGGAGATCGTAGTGTTAGTGCACAGCCCGCCCACGCCAACAAAACCTCCACCTCCTGAGAACTTCACTTTTTAGATTAGATTTCTGCAGCGACATTTTTCAAAACTTCAATCCAGAGGTGAAACTGTAATTTTACTATCAAAGACAAGAATCCGACAAAAATGATCAAATAATTGTTAGTGTCTTTTTGTTCAGTGCAAACACTAAAGAAAGTGAGTCAGTACCAGCTGTACAAGTGTTGTTAACAACCTCAACTCGTGAAGAAAAGTGTCAGAAATGAAGGAGATGAGTCAAAGAGACGACATGTCATCAGCTCAGAGGACCAGAGTCTGGATAAGGCTTCACTGAGTCACCAAAAAGCTTCACCTGGACCCCCTCAGACCTCCTCACAGAGGGTCTGCACCTCTACCTAAGTCTTCAAAACCAAGTCCTCTCAGCTCAGCTTTTCTGGGTTTCTTGTTACTTTGACTCTGAGTGTAACTGCAGGTGATATTAATGAGACTTTACAGAGTCTGGCTGCTGCTGTGGCTTCATTCTGGCTTCACTCACTTTGTTTCTGTAGGAAGTTGAATTTTTCAGACATTTATTATTTTCAGCACCTCTCTCTGTCTCTCTCTCTCTCTCTCTCTCTCTCAGTGGGTCTTATTTTTTGTTGTTGGATGGAGGAGTGAGGAAACAAACTGGTCAGACTGGTGAGTTTGGAAGCCAGATTTTAACGCCTTTTTTTTTTTTTGTTTGCTCTGTGAATTTCAACACTTAGTCAAGTTTGGATTTTGGCCTCACTTCACCCAAACTCCTGCAGACCAAACAAATGAGTCCTCTCCTCTTCTTCTTCTTCTTCTTCTTCTTGCTGGTGTGGTTGCAGGATAGATTTGCCTGTCAGGATACCTCCAAAATAAGTAATGGATTTCTTTGAGGCGTGATGGACAGCTGAGCCTTGACTCATTTTAACGGTTATTATTCTCTCAGCGTAACTGCGAACCTGACGGTGACAGTCAAATCCAAATCCTACAGGGACATTTGTCAGGTGGAGAAAATGCTCTTAAAATGAAAAAGGATGGGGATGATTTATTTGGGTATAACAGCCAGATTAACGCTCGGAGTCTGTCCCAGTAAATCCCCCAAATTCATCACCTCCGTCTCAAAATGAAGCTGCAGAAACAGACTCTCATTTGGAAACTCTCACAGGAGACGTGTCACCATCAACTTTACCGGATTAGGGTTGTCATTGTTTTTCCGGCGCAGTATTCGATGCATAGTTTCTCTTAATGATGTGGTGTTAACGGAGGTGTTTTCCTGTGTTTGGTGACTCTGGATTTAGTTTTGCGGTCATGGCGAATGTATCAAACAGGTACATATTCAGGTTCAGTATTTACAGTTAGGAACGGTGTTTTTGTCTGTTTTCCAAGTGAGTTTGTGTCATAAGTCTTAAGCTCCGCCCTGAAGTCGACCACCCTTCCTTTTTTTTTGCTTTTTCATCCGCTAAGTTTGAAGAGACTGATGTAAGACCCTGCTTCTCTTGACGGCTGCACACAAAAGCTGAATTATCATTTCAATAAATGGGCATGTGCATGTAACTGTGTTCTGTTGTCTTTTCTTTGACCAAAGGTAACCAAACATGCCACTTTTATATCTTTAAAGTAAGTAAGAAAACATCCTTCCTGTCAGGGTTCGACCTAAACTATCTTTGTAAAGTAACTTCAAAACGGATGAAATGGATCAGACTTTTGCTTTAAAATGTGTTTTTTAACCTCATATATTTCTAAAGTTTGTGACATGATTTTAGCTGAAACAGAGCAGGACAGCCCTCAGCTTCTCCTTCTCCTCTGTATTTCAGCTCAGATCTGTGACAGCTCGTGGAAAACCATCACCAAGCCTTCTGTTCTCGAGATTTTGGTCCTGTGGAGACGCAGATCTTTGATGGACACTAGGCGAGAGCAGACCCTCAGTCTAAACTGAGTTTGTGGGGTCAGTCCTCAGGATGTAGTGTATATTTCCAGTTTAAACTCCCAGTTTGATTCATGAGGACTTTGAGTGTAAAAACTTGATCTTAATGAAAATGAGATTTGATCTGAGAACGTCTCTTCCACTAATTTACAGTCAACCTCTCCATAAAGTTTCACTGCTGAGGAAATGATCCTGTGGGACTCCTTATAAGGATCAGTCAGGCCTACAGTGAGGGAGGATAAAACACACACACACATGCGCACGTGCACACGGGGACGCACGCGCGCGGTGCCCCCCCACCCCTCCTGCAGGCTGCATCTTCTCCTCCATCTGTGTTTGCACGGAGCAGCATCTCTCCGATCACGGATTTTGCAGCTGCAGCCCCGTGCACCCGTGCATCCGCGCGCTGATCGATCCCCGTATCGGGAAAATAATCCATAGCCGCATGGTGACGTCACGCCGTTAAACGGTAATAGTGGCTGGGCGGGCTGGTCGGTGGGCGGGTGGCTGCGAGGTGCCGCGCGGACGCCAGGGGTAGATAGATGGGTGCATTAAGAGCCAACACCGGATAAGAGAAAGGGAGAGAAATATCGCACGAGGGGTGCTTGTGGACGCGCACGGGGACTGTTTTGCTGTTTGTTTGCTCGTCGCGTCGGCGCGTGGGGGGATGTAGAAGCTGTCACGGCCGCCTGCAGGAGGAGGATGGATGCGTAACAGGACGGACCGAGCCAGCTGTGGCCTGCTTCTTACAGCAACATCTGGCCGGTGAGTCCGCGGACAGCCGCAGCCGCCGCTCGCCTGGCGCGCGGGCTTTACTGCTTATGTGAACCGGAGGGAGGGAGAGAGGGAGAGGGGGGAGCCGCAGCCGCGCTCCCCTCCTCGGTCTCCGGTCCGGTGAGTCGGTGTGACCTCGTCCTTGGCTGCCAGATGGTGGATGAGTGATTGATGTGCACGTTTGACAGACAGGCTGCGTGCAGCATATGATGAAGGCGCATCACGGATCGTGCTCGTGCTCCAATATGCAAGGGGGGGAATCATGAACGTGACATGCTGTTAAATGCCTCTCGTGCAGCGTGCATGCACACCTGCAAATGGAGTGAAAACCCCCAAATTTATGACTGTAGCAACTGGGAGAGTGTAATTCCATGCGTCATTTGAGGATTAGATCAGAATAATACCAGGAGATTAAGAGAAATACATGTCAGGGTTAGCTTCATAACCTCTTTGATTCATCCTATAGATATTGATCCCATGGATGCATGAAAATCAGCAATCACAGGGTGAGTATTGCAGGGATAGCATGTCATAAAGACACGTCAAGTCCGTGCAGAGATATGTGAGAGGTGTAAATACAAAAGAGCACAGAGGTTAAGGTCACAGTGAGTCCCTGTGGGGTTATTATAGGTGCTGAAACACAATCTGCTCCCTGTAAACTCACTCTTAAAGGCTATGACAGTGATTTTCTGCTCCCTGTGTCCCCTCCTTGTCCACATCTTCACCAGCTTGTAGTCCTCCTGCAGGGTCAGAGAGGGCGCCTCAGCAGCCAGCCAGCTCTGGACAATTGCGGGGAGGAGGTGGAGGAAGGGATGGAGATGGAGGAGGGGGATGCAGAGGGGGAAGGGCCCATGGCGGTCAGAGAGGGGCCGAGCGGTCATGGCCTCCAGCAGGATGACAACAGCAGCAGCAGCACAAGGACGACCAACAACACCACCACCACAAACCTGCTGGCCTCTGTGAAAGAACAGGTAAGAGGCTGAGGGTGCTGCAGTCACACCCATGCTGTGGGGAGCGCTTCAGTCTCCCACCTTTTGGTTATTTTGATCCCCACTCTTGGCTGAGTCTGCTCTGACAGCCCTCCTCCTGTTTTCCCAAGCTCATATCTAATCTCCCCTCCATTACACCGTAACCTCTGCAACCCCCGCTCAAATGGACTCGAACCGTCAGCTCTGACGTGGAGCGGTTTAAAAGAATTGTTCCCTCACTGCCTCTTCAGAGAGCCTGCAGCTACGAGCAGAAAATGAGATGTTGAGCTCCTGGACGTGGATCGAAAAAAGGCCTCTAACTCTCCTAGATAAGAGCGAGAACCAGACCCAGAGTAGACAGGAAACACAGCCTCAGTATTTGTCCTGGTTCATCCCAAACTCTTCATCTTTATGGCTGTTTTCATCACTTTGTGGATGTTATATATTCCTGTTGGACATGTTGCACCTTTCTCTTGTCATTGATCGTCCTCCTGTAGTTTTTAGAGTTCGGATTTGTCATCCTGTGGGAACTTTGTGGGATCTGCTTTGGTCACTTTAAGCTTTAAGGTCATTTTCTTTGTGGTTGGGTGACTCTGTGGGCCCTTTTCTTCCCTTTATCCCCACTGTAGTAATTCAACATCATGTATCTGAGTCTTTTTAGGTCTGACTGAAGTTATTTTGTTATTTTCTTTTAGAATCATGTAGTAAGACTCTTGGTAGTCATTTCACGTCCTCTGAAGACATCCTGTGTCGTTGTGCAGTAATTCCAGGTCTCCCTGCTCATTTAGAGTTGTGTTGGATGTCTTTGTGGTCATATTTTATATCCCTCACAGCCCTTTATTGGCACTGTGCTTCTCCTCTAATAATTAAATGTTTTATTGTTGTATTTCGGGTTCATTTGAGTTAATTTGCGGTTGATTTGTGGTTGTTTTGCAGCCTTCTCTTCACCCTGATGTAACGTTAGGGCCTCTTGTCTGGGTCGGTTATCTAAATCCATGTTGTGTCTCTTTGATTTCCTTTTCGTCTCTTTGTTAATTTCACAGCCTCGCCTTCATCTTGGGTCTCTCTGAGGTTGTTTTGAGTGTTTTTCTATGCGGTAACTTTGTGACCCGTTTTTATGTCTGTGGTTAGTTTTCTTCCTTTTGGATTGTGTTGAACCACCTTGTAGTCATTTTGCAGCCCTGTGTATTTTTCCTTCTGTATTAATGTGTGTATTTTGTTAATTTTTTGCACATTTTTGTGCTCGTTTAGAATCGATGAAAGGTTTTTGCGGTCGGCTGAAGGACCCTCTCAGAGGTGTTTTGTGTCTTTTAGGAAGTTGTTTGTATATTTTGTTTAGTTTAACCCTTTAATGCTCATTTTTTAAATCTTTTTATCATTTTGCTAATTGAGCATCTTAATTTATCATCATTCTGCATCCCTCCGTGTGTTCTTCGGGAATCCTGACGTGTATATTTCACATTTCCTCTAGGTCATTTAGCGTGGACTTGCGTGTCTCATCTTGGCTGTTTTGCGTCCTTCATGGGTTTTGTGAGTCTCTCTCTCTTTCTGGTTATTTTGCGTTTCTTTGTTGTCTCTGCAGCCTGTGGGGCTGTTGGTGTTTCTTTGTGGTGATTTTATTCGTTTCTCAGCAGTCAGAGTGGAGGTTCTTACAGAGACTCGGGTTCAGGGGTTGTAGGTCTTAATCCAAGTATCCTGTTTTGTAAACCATCCAAAAATACTAACAAGCCCACTTCTGACTCGGAGAGCGTCCCTGTGGCTCCGCCCCTGCTCGCAGGATAAATGAAGTCTGTGATTCACCCAAATTTACCGAGCAAATCCTGAGGATTATCTCCAGATGACACTGAAATGCAGTGGGTCTCCGTGCTGAGTGTTCCAAATCTACATTTAAATTCTATTAAAAGTGTCATTAATAATTTACTCTCCGAAAAAAAGGCAGAAACCAGAGTGAGGAGACAGTTTTCTGACAGGTTTCACACAGGAGGAGCGCTCTCTCTCTCTCTCTCTCTCTCTCTCTCTCTCTCGCTCTCTCTCTCTCTCTCTCTCTCTCTCATTACATGACTCATTCAGAGTGGACATATTTTCATATTGACTGTCGATGTGAACTGACAGACAGAGATGTTAACTTTTACTATTGACACGTCTAAAAGCTTCAAATCAGAGGAAAGAAGGAAGTATAAATCACAGACTTCCAGCTGCAGCCTCCATCCCTCCATCCCTCCATCCCTCTGTTCGTTCGTTCGTCCGTCCGTCTGTCTCTCATGATCCCTGCTGTTATTTTTATGCCTCTGTCTATCCCGTCAACATGGGACTCTGTCTGTTCTCCTGCTCTTAATTATGCCTGGACCGTGGCCACGCTCTCAACTTATTCCCTGGGTGTGTGACTCTGAATTCGGCACACTGCTATTTAAAGGCTTATGATGTCCAAGAAAGGAGAAGCTGCTCTCACTTTTAATCTGCAGTTTTCCTCACAGCCAGCAGACAAACACGTTGAAGTGGAGTTTGGGATGTTTGGCTGCCATGATGAGGCTTTGATATTCTTTTAACGCAGCAGGAGCCGCTTCACACTTCCATCGTATCTGAGGCCTAAAAATCTCCTCTTCTGCAGGAAACTCGTGTTACTCATGAAAACCACCAACCTGCAGATATGTCCTCATGTCAGGACAGGTGTCTCTCTTGTTTTAAGTTGAACAAACTGCTGTTTGAAGCTTTTATCACCATCATGAAAACTCAGTGATTTGAATAAATGAGGCTCGGTCGGTGTTTTTGCACCAACTCTCCAAACACTTCCTGTTCCAAACAACACAAACATTTGTCTGCCAGTATCAGAGTACTACAGACTTATCTGTAATCTTTGTTTTTTAATGTTGTTTATGGAGAGGACAGATACAGAACTTTGTACTTTCTGTGAAACATTATTCTGTTCAGTCTTGGTGAAAATGACTCCAGTATTGAGTCCCTGTTGGTAAACTCAGATCTGTAAAGGCCTGTAATTCTCATCTGCTTCACCTCTCGGGGGGAATCATACCGAGCTGCAGGTCTGTCCTTCCTCTTCTGTGACTTCAGGTTGTCTTGGAGCGTCTGGATCTGAACTTTTGAGTTTGAATAAAATAAACAAACCTGAGAGGTGAAGCCAAGGGCAGCTGCTGCTTTAAATCCCTGCAGACATTTGGCCTCTCATTGAAAAAGCTTCATCTCTCCTGATTGACTGGCGGGTAGTCTTGTTCGTTCGACCTCTGCAGGGATTGCTGAGGTCACATTTTGGCTGTAAATCCACCTGACTGTCATGTGAGAGCCTTTAGAGGGACACAAGTCAAGGCTTGAATGAGCTTTTATAATCCTGCTGGGGCGATCTGGACGCAGCGTCTTCACTCCTCCTATAGTTAGGTCGTACACCGCAGAAATGCAGTTCTGACTCCTGTCTTTCTAAACTGACTGAGAGAGCGTCTAATGACAGTAAGAAGTTATCTGACAGTAATGTGTGCAAGTGCATATGTGCTGCAGGAAGTAAAGGGTGGAGGTTGTTAGCAAACTGATTTTAGCAGCTCTCTGAAAATGTCTTTAATTTTGCAAAACATTTCATTTCTCTGTGCAGAGAAAAGAAAAGATTCTGATTATTCTGCAGCAGATGGACAGATGGAGAAACTGAGAGGGATGGCTGTAAATCCTCAGATATTTGACTGTTAATGAGGAGGACTCAAAGATGGACGACTGAGTCAGAAGATTTCTACTTTTAGTCAAAGTTGGACCTTTCACTCAGATTTTAGAGGTCACTGGAGGAAACGTTAGAGTCATTAAGGTCCATCAGTCATTTTCTGATATCTGTGTTGAAGTGTGGATAAAGATCTGCAGGATTCCTGTTCTTCACTCCGACTCCATCACTGCAGCGTCTGTCAGACACGTTCATCAGACTGTCAACATGAACCCCTGACAGCTGCACAAAAACGCTCGTCCTGCTCTGGATCTTTCGTCACATATCTGGAGATCCGTTGGCTCCATCAGAGGCCCGAACGTTTTGGCTCTGAGCCCCAGAATATTTGCAGAATCTCAGGCAGACCAGAGCTGACGGCTTCCCAGATTGCATTTCAGCAAAGTTGGTCCAGTTTCAGGATTTTGGTGTAATACACAATGAATTAAATGTGGAGCTGTTTCCTGTGTGAAACAGACGATTGGCAGAATTTAGGAGAGCGAATGAAAGCAGCAGTTTTGATCAGGATTTTCGTCTCCCTGACTCTTTGATAAACCTTTTTTTTTGTTATTTACATCAAGAATCTGCAGTTACCGATCAGAAAAGACGATTTCAAACATCATAGTTGTCTTTTTGTGGTTCAAACGTCCTTTTCAGCGCTTTGGGGAAACGGCTGATTTTTATCATTAAGTTGTTCGACTTGGATTAGAAAATATCAAAAGTTAAAAAAAACAAAAACTCCTCATAGCATGAGGACCTGTCCACACGCAGAATTTACGCGTGTCTTTATCGTGTCTCTTGTCTCAGACTGTCGAACAGGCTGCGGCTGTAAAATAGAATCAAGTTGCTCGACAACAACTGTCTGTGTCGAAAACGCACGCTGCAGTGCTGCTGAAGCGACAAATCCAGCGCCCGCAGTTCCTCCACAGAAATGTCAAATTAGACGTGCTAAATGGAGCACATCAGTTATTGCTTTCTATTGTGTTCAGGGCCTGATGCTTTTTCACTCCGCTCTCATTTAGCCCATTAAAAGTTGGAGATGTGATCGACGTGAGCGGGGAAATACCAAGGCTGGAGACCGGGGGAGACTTGGCAACATAAAACCCAAGCTGTGTCAGCGCTCACTTTAATTTTGTCACTTCTTGCGCAAACACTCCGATTGATTAGATGTTGAGACAACAGCCTGCAGCGGAGATGCTGCGAGTTGAAATATGACTCGGATGTTGCTGCTATTTGCATCGTTCAGTGAAATCAAGAGTGAAATATGTCTCTGATATCAGATGGTAAGTGTTCACAGAGCTCTTCGTAGAGACGAATCAGAGTTTGTTTGTTTGCTTGGTGCTGAAATGGACCCAGATGTTGACCTGGAGAATGACATCTGAGTGTGAGCGTCTGCAGGTTATCTAAAGATCATGTTGAATTTGTTTGTGGGACATTTTAAATGTCTAATTTGAACAATAAGGTCGTGTTTCCATCGTGTGTCCTCAGCTCTTCTTCTAAGTGAACTCAGGAGACCAGGTTCTGGAGTCTGGGAGGTGAACTGTTGTCTGATAGAGGATTTGCTGCATCAGTCCAGGACTCTTCTCCTACAGAGCCATGCTGTTGTCAGAATCTGGTCAGGGATCACATGAAGGTGGATGGACACAGATGTTGCTGCTAAACATGAGGAGGCAGCATCTATTATTTCCAGTTCTTCGTTGAAAGGACAACTGGACTTACTTGAGACGTTTCGCCTGAGTCCTGATGCTCCTAAACCCGTAGATCTTGTTCAGCGTTAATGTAGACCATCAGGGATGTTTAGTTCAAACCCGTATCAGGTCAGCTGTTACCGTCCTGGTTCCCTCTCCTTTGTTGAATCTCTATTTTCTCTATTTATTTTTGGATCCCCTCCTTCAGTTTAAGATAAACCTCTGATGGTTTCAACAGTTCTCGGCCACACAGCACTAACGCTCATTTGTGGCTCCAATAGTCTCTCCATCGTGGGCAAAGCAGGTCAATAAACCACAGAAACATCAGACTAACTCTTCCCTGGGCTGGTTTTGATTCTGTTACAGGGAAAACAAAGAGAGTTTGTGTTTGAATGTTTCTGAATTACAGAGGAATGACTGTTATTATCAGACACACTCATCTGAGGCTGGATGGAGCAGACTGTTGCTGTGTGTGTCGCAGCTCCCAGGTGTGAGAGCAGGGTCCCTGAGTCTGGATGTGACACATGGTGCAGCTGAAAAGGAACATGCACGCTCAGCGAAAGCCCTCCCAGGATAGGAAGGAGCTCGATAAAACAACAGCAACAACGTCAGCACTCTGCATGCTTGGATTGATTTCAACGATCAGGATCAGAAACAACACGCAGAACGGCGGAGTAAACTTATCCAACAGCTGAGCCCTGGAGAGACGGATCTCTGCAGGGGTCCCAGTCTGGATTTAGAGGGTTAAACCTGCTCTCTCAGGACAAGATCTGAGCATGTCTGAGGGACTAAACCGGATTTTAGTGTCATAGTTTTAAGAAAAGGAAAGACAACAGGTGGAGGAGGAAGACGCCGACTTTCTCTTCATCCATCACAGAGGAAAATTCACCCTCAGATACACTTTCAGATCACTTCACTCTGTCATCTTCTTTGCATTTCCAGAGGTTATTTACTCTCCGTTTGCCTCAGCTACTTAACCACTCCCACTGTCTCCCAGAATGCCTCATGACAGCCTTCAGAGAGCGGACGCAACTTGTTGTTTCCCATCAGAGGTGGGCGTTTGGGTGTTGAAAGAGACTTGAAGTGTTTTAATCCATCTGTGGGTCATGAGAGTGGGCAGAGAGAGCGAGAGAGACGGATAAACAAACGGATGTGCAGCACTCGGGTGGTGTGAGGCTGGAGTTGATGCTGCTGCAGCTTGAATATCTGCTTTTCCTTCGATGATGGTTGTACGTCAGAGGAAGAGAACCTCACACCGGAGACTCACATCATCATCACAGCCCTGAGTGTGTGCTTCAGCCTTTTCATCCTGTCGTCACAGATTTCCCTGTTTTTGTCTAAACAAGGTCACAGGATGTCTAAAACACTGAACTTCTAAATTCATCTGCTGCAGCGATAAAAACAATCCTGTGAATCATCTGGACTTTAAACCGTTATTCCGGTTCTGCAGAAATCAGAGCTCATTGTTTTAGTTTGTCTGTTATTGTTCCTGTTTTTTACCTGAAGTTTACCTGAAGATTTACACGAGCTTTGTCCAGACACAGCCAGGAGAAATGTCCTCCAGAGAGACGTTTCTTATCGTTGGTCTCTGAGGACAGTTTCATTCCTTCCTCAGCAGAGAGGTTGGATCGGTACTTTAGAAAATGAGCACTCTGCCACCTCTGCGTTCAAAGCGGTGTCGTGGAAGTGTGCCGCTGTATCAGGCATGTCTCATTTTGTCACGGCAGCCAGATATCGGTGAGAAAGTCTGAGTAATACTTCTTGAAGCAGCAAAATGGGTTTGAAAAGTGTTAAGCTGCCCTTTCTTAACAAAGTCTCCACGGGTGAGTTCTCGCTTTAAGACGGCGAGAGCAGCAATGAGTCCCAGCAGCAGAACTAGGCCGAACATTTCACGGATATCACAGATGCAGTCTGGATAAACTGAACCGCCGAGGCTATGATTAGACACGGCAGAGAAAGGGAGGCGGACGCAGAGGTCTGCGCTCCGTGTCACTGGAGAAGAGAGAGGAACGCTTTGTGACGCCGCCGTGAACAGTCCCCTAGCCTCCAGCCGGTACAAGACATCGCCTGGCACGGCCGTGCGTCGGTCTGGCAGGGCGAGCCGCGTCTCCAGACATCATGAGGTGACTGGTGCAGAGCAAGACGTGGCTCTGTTTGTCCCTGGAGGCTTACCGTAACAATGTGAGGCTGAAACAAGGAGAGCAGTGTGTTCCTGCGCCGTCTCCCTGCTGCTCCGAGGTGATGTGAGGAGACGTCAGCTCTGAACCACTCACAGCTTTGTCTTCTTGAAGACTGAATCACTTATCTGACGTTCACCTCAAACTTTCCGTGAAGTCTTTATGAACTCTTCTTCTCTGATAAACACCCCGAATCCTCCTTTTCTCTCCATCCATCCTCGTCCGGATGTTTTCTCCACATGGACCCTCGCAGGTTTTAATCTTACCTTTACGAATCACTCACTTTGTGCTTGTTTACCTTTCAAACAGACTTATTGATTTGCCTTAACAGCAAATCCGTGTCAACTCCAATCCCAGAGGGAGTTTTGAGTCAAGTTTCAGCTCTGCAGAAATCAATACATTTGCAGGGATTTATGTGATTCTCTGACCTGCTGAAGAAAGACGTTTCTCCGTTTATGGACATGTTTTTTTTTCACCAACAAGTCTGCATGTTTGTCATGAACCACTTCAGCTGCAGCGAGGTCATATTCATTCTCTTATTCCCTCTCAAAGTTTCAGAGCGCTCCAGTCTTTGGAGGATCGGCTCTCTAAATCCAGAAGAATCACTCACACAGACTTGTTTGCTGATCTCTTCTCTGTTTTATTTTATTTTTTTTAATTAAAACTTTTTATTCGTTTCTTGCAAAAATCTCCAAACTGGTCAAAGACTAAAAACTGGACCCTTGAGAGTCTCCTGGGAGCACCGATCAGAGCTGAAGTGTTTTTCTGAATCTTGCAGACTTGGCCCATAAGTGGACAAACATCTCTGCAATTACCTCGGAGTAAAATCAACCCTTATTAACAACACTGCAGCAGAGTGGGCTGTGTGTGCCCAGTGTCCGTCCTCATGGGCTCATTAACATTTCATCATGTGCAGACAGGCTGCTTCTAACACTGTATTTATGCACAGCATGTTTATCATGTGTCTGAGGTCAGAGGTCATGGAATCAGGACGGTTGACTCAGTTTTAGTTCTCAGTTCGAGATGAGAGGAAACGGCCGACACGATCAGACTCTGAACTAAATCACAGACAGAGGGGCTCTGACCGTCACATGACCACAGCTGACCCAAATACACAACAAGAGCTTTAATGCAGAGATGGAACCTCCACCCGGGCGTCTTTAAAGGATTATAATCTGAGGGACTTTTAACTCAGAGGTGGAGCAACCATTGATCGACCTCATTCGATCTCTGCATCCAAACATTTGAGCTCATCCACCAAAACCTCCTGAAGACACGGTCCGATCCATGACCCTGCGGAGTCCACAGCTGTAACCTCTCATCAAAACTGAGGAGTTTCTCAGATTTATCTCCTGATGCTACAGCAGCTGAAATGTCAAGTTAGGTCCACATCACCCAGATTACAGACTCTGAGGTCGGTTTCAAACCCGGCGGGGTGTATCAGACCCGGCAGCACCAGCCCCTGTTCAGACCTTTTGTTCCTGAATTAGCGCACAGCGAGGTTCCCCGAGCTCTTCTGTGTTTTCCAGCTGAGCACTTTTGTATTTAGACGTTATTTGCAGACAGCTAATTCTCCGGTGGACCTCGGTGATGACACCAGCTGTGTTTGTCTGAAGGTTTCCAAAGCAGCCAGGAAGCCTCGGCCTTACGTAACAGAATCCAAGCAGCCCGACGGTGACAGTCTGTAAACATCTGCTTCACTTTCACACCCTTGAGCAAGGCATTGGATCCCGACCAGCTTCTGGAGCGTTTGATCAGCAGAGCGTGTAGAAGTGTAGTCTGACGTTCGCGGGTCTTTAAGATATTTATCTGTGTGTTTGCAGCCTGTCAAATAAAGGGAACGTACAAACTGCTCAGGAATGCTCTGTGTGTTTATGGAGCTGAGGAAAGGCGAGTGTTTTCATCATCAGGAGCATCAAAAGCTGCGTGATTTATGAAGGAAAAAGTAGGGCATGGAGGTCCAGAATATGTGAAAATAAAAGAAAGTAAACTGGAATAAAAAGGTGCTTTTGAGCCACGAGAGATAATGAAGCACCAAACAAAAACACAGAAACTAGAGGATTTAAGGTTCCAGCACGTCTCCAACCATCATCAGTGAAGGTCGTTCAGGTGTAGACTGACATCTACAGACAGGAAGTCAGTCAGTCTTAAAGGACGGGAGGTGAAACCTGATGAGTTTAAATCCTGAACAATAACAGAGTAAACACACGAACCGTCAGTCTGCTCGTTTATTCTCCTTCACACAGACTAAATAAACATGAACTCTTACATGTATCAGGAGGCTCAGACTGCAGCGTCATGGCGATTGTTAATGAGTGCCGTAAATGTCCCCCAACAGGAGCTGCAGTTTGAGAGGCTGACTCGGGAGCTGGAGGAGGAGCGGCAGATCGTGGCGAGCCAGCTGGAGAGGTGCATGCTGGGAGCCGAGTCTCCAGGGGGAGACAGTAGCAGGTAGATTTGACGGTCTGATACTCCTGATACCCAAACCTTATGTAACTGTAATAAAGCAGCAAACAGGGATATTATCTCATTATTATTATTATACTGTCGTTTTATTCACTCTACCTGATCAGTTTCAGGTCTGATCTGAACAAAAACAGTTTTATTTTTTATTTTCTCCTTTTTTTTTTATCATAAACTCTCAAACTGTCCAAAGTTCGGTGAGGATCGTTCTGATTGGTTGTAGACCTCGCCGCCGCCGTCAGAGCTCATCACAGTCTGATCGGTCCTCACAGGAAGTGATGTGCGGATGGTTGACAGTCACATTGAGCTGTCATAACACACACACATCCACCTGCAGAGGTTCACATCAGCTGAACAGAGCTGCTCTGTAGTTTTCCACCGTCAGGTTCTGGATCCAGCCTGATGATGATCTGTTAGACATCAGTGTTTACCTGCTCAGGTAAAACAGTCTCTTTATCAGCAGAAGTCGTTGGTCTTCTCCTCGATGACAGACTTCAGGGTTATATAAGATCTGATCCCAGCTGGGCTCCACTTTTCATCAGTCTGAAGAGTAAACTGAAACTCACTCTGAGGCTTTTTTTACTGCAGACTGAATATGAGAAATAAATTTGTGGAGGATATTTATGTTTTCTCCTCTCCTCCTCTCCTCCTCTCCTCCTCTCCTCCTTCCTGGACTGATTGAATGTAAAGTCTATCACCCTGACTCTGATTTGATTTGTGTCTCTGCTCTCTCCTCTCCTCCATTTCCTCCTCCGCTCTTCTTCCGAAGCTCATCTGAGAAGTCGTTTGCATGGAGATCTGCAGGTACTTTTTCTTACATTTAACTCTTTTGTTTTTTCGATAGATGCTGTGTGATATTCAGTCGATGCTATGAAGCATTATCATCTGTAACTGTGGACTGAAGGTGTTACAGTTTAGGCTAAGATGGAGCGGACAGAGAAAGAGGTTTTAGCCTCCAGAATGCAGCTCAGACCATCGAAGCAAAACAGACCAATGTTTGGGCCAGAGTTTACGAGTTCTGAAATAGACCCATTTACTATTCTGTCAGCGATCCCTCTGCTCTGTTTCCTGCTTCATTCCTCACTGTCGGCTCTCCGATAAAGACAGGAGGGCTTTGAGATGTTTGATTCTTCTCTGTGGACGGAGCCTCTCTTTACTCTGATGCTGCATCGTTCATGAGTCCTGGTTAGATGTTCAGGGAAGGTCAAGCAGATGTTGGACAGAGTCACTCGATGGTCACTTCGATTGTTTCTGTCTGCAGGCGGGGAATCGCAGGGCGGAGCCATGGAGGCGTCTGGTCGTCACCTGGAGGCGGAGGAGGGACTCTTCCTGCCTGAGCCGGACCGCGCCTCCCTCCATGACAGTGAGGGTCTGTTACGTTTACACACCACATGGTCTGAAGGAGGTTTTAACCTGCGCTGTGCAGAATCAGAAGAAAACAACAACAACACCCTAAAATTTTAGTTTTTAACAGGCTTCAGTTTAACATCTCGAGGTTTCAGACTTCTAAAACAGCCGCATGTTTGTCTAAACACTGACTGAGATGAACCGAAATAAAACAGACACACCTTTTCAGGAAGTAACTGGAGGTGGTTCATACAGGAACACGTTATGATGCCGTCGGTTTACATTTGAGTAAATCTGAAGATCTGTGGGACTCACTGCTTTTACTTTGGAGCCCCTGAAACTCTGCTGTCAGATCTCAACTCTGTCCCTCTGTTCACATGAAAGATTCATGACTCTGAGTACATGAAGGAGAGGGAGAAAATCACATGTTCAGTTATTTATTTAGGACTTAATGCTGAAAAATTTACTTAATCATCGGGATTCTTGGTTTAATCTGAGCGGACTGACAACAGAAGTAAACAACTCCACCGCTGTCATCTGATAAATCCTCAATCAGGAACAGAAGTATCATGTCTAAAACTGAGGGTGCAGCATCTATGATTTCTAATTCTACGTTGAAAGGACAACTGGACTTAGTTGATTAAGGCGAAACGTAGGCCTGAACGATATATCGTTTGACTATCGTCATCGCGATGTACGTGTGCGCGATAGTCACATCGCAGAGCCTGCGATATTGGAGGTGAATGAACTCATTTAATTTCAAGGGTAACCGACTGAGATACACTCCATGTGACTCTGCATGTGCTGTGCAGCGATCCACCAATCACCTTCGTCCTTAACTCAGTTGCCAATCAGACTCACTTCTCAGCTGCCAATCAGACTACCCTGCCAGCTGTCAATCAAAATCAGGGAGGAGAAAACCCACCCCTGCACATGTTCTGCACATGGAGGGAGACGCGTGTCCGCTGAGAATCACTTTCGGAACATTCTTCATCACCGTTTAGCCCAACAAATAAGAACTGTATGGGTTTTAAATTGTACATTTCCGTGGACCACTCTACTATAAGCAGTGCGCGTTTTGCGAGGTGCATGCAATTCTCGGAGGACATGCGTTTCTCGGCACAACACCGCTAACAACAACAACAACGATCGCAAAATGAACAACGAACAAGCGAAAACCACCGAAAATGAAGATTTGTTGCCAAAAAGAAAAGTTAAGTCAGTTATCTGGAATTATTTCGGTTAAAAGAAGGATGATGTCGACCAAAACACGTCTTCTGTGTTCATCTGTTTCCACAATAACGTCCCAGCACAATAAAAGCTAAAAATATCTCTGAGACAGACAGAAGCCGTTCTACTAACATTCACAAAAAGAGGTAAGATCAGAGCAGATGAACTGTCCTCAAGATTTCAGCAGTGCAGTATAACATTAAGTGCTATTCAGGTCATCTGGTGAAAATACTGTATTTTTAATATCGCAATATATATCGCAGGGTTGAAAAAATCGCAATATTATTTTTTTCCAATATCGTGCAGCCTTAGCGAAACGTCTCAAGTAAGTCCAGTTGTCCTTTCAAAAGAGAGTTTGATTTTGATCCTTCACGGACATGTGATATTTAGCCCATGCGGTGACTCCAACTCCAGAGTCCTGATGGTCCTAAACCTGCAGATATTGTTCAGTGTTAATAGAAGATACCCCTGACATGGACTCTGATGGTCCCCATACATCTCAAACCAGATCCTGGAGTCTGTCTCTGCTGTAAATCTGTAAAAACCAGATATTTATTTTGGTGAATATTCAGCAGAAAGAGGACGAGAGCGTTTGTTGGTTTGACCAATCCTGTGATGGACTAATCCACATGTAGGGACCTGGTGGTTGTTTCAGGCAGTAGGACGATGTAGGTGGGATTAAATAGAAATAAAAGTCTGTTTGTGTGTCAGTGATGTCGTGTTTTAATGCTCTTTGATAAAAATAGAGCAGGGAGGACATCACTGTTGCTATATCAACAAATATTCACATTTCCTGACGCTCAAACCAAAATGAGTTGTTGGTGCAGAACTGTGGCGATGAAAACTTGTATTTCCCGTCTGCAGCTCCAGTTTTGCTCTTGATTTCTTCAACCTTGTTGTCAGGACAGTTCCTCATATATTCACACCTGGGAGCTCTGCAGAACAACCACAGCCGCTCTCTGTTGGACATTAGGCATCTTCACTGGAGCGGATGACATTTCGGTCCATCAAGCTCCCTCGCCGCTCGTGTTAAAGCACAAAAGATGGGAGGCCGACAGAGCGGAGCGCTGATGCAGTCAGTGCAGCTGTGAATCCTTTAGTGTGCAGGAGAGCTCCACTTTTATGATTTCATATCAGATGTAAGAGAAATAGATTTCTAAAGCTCTCATCAAATGTCAAACTGCAGCTTTAATGCGTCCAGAAGGAGCCCGACGAACAGATGATTCAACCTGCTTCTTATTACGATAATTACAGGATCCTGAGCAGGCTGTGTGATGTGAAAAATAAAACTTGTCTTTGGTCGTATTGACTTGGAGTGGACTGATAGATTCAGGGGAGATCTCCTCCTCTTCATCCTGCAGGAGCAGAAGTAGGCCAGCTGAGCAGTGTGTATATATGCAGATTGTTCCAGGAGCAGAAGAAAGGCTTAATGCAGATTTATACGCACATGCATTTATATGCATAATGTCTTTGAACAAGCTGAAAGCAGAGTGAGATAATATGTAAATGATGTGACAGCGGCGGCGGCGGTGGCGGCTGTAATCGGCCCTCCAACTTTCACAGAAACACTGAGATGTAATCATGTGGGCTTGGCGCTCCTCTCACCCTCTCATCTCCTCGTCCTCTCAGGTTCAGGAGGTCACTCGGCACACATGACCTCATATTCAGACAGCGGCTACCAGGACAGCAGCGTGAGTTACTACAGCAACCAGAACGTGGTGCGCTCCGAGCCCAGAGCGTCCATCTCCAGGAGCCCCAGAGCTGAAGGTCAAGCCTCTGGACAGGTAGGTCTGCTCCTCCTCCGTTTACAGTCATGGTTTTGTTTTATGAAGGAGGTGTGGGACTTTGACATGAGAGCGTCAGTGTGTAAAAACATGTTCCTCTACGGTCCAATCATCGATATCAACAGTTCTGGGTCTGCCACATGCTTACACTGCATCCATGGGCCTGGTCCAGATCCTTCTCTGTACCGTGGAGATAAGGACGCCGGGCGCAGAGATGGCGTCTTCTTTTCTAATCAAAGCTGGAACTGCGTCTCTCAGCTTTGGAGAGTTTTGCTCATTTGATGCTTTTACAGATTAGAGATCTCATAAGAGGAAGATTGACGGAGGCGGCGCAGATCTGCATCCAGCTGTCCAACTCTATAACATTAAAGGTTTGCTAATAAGGAGGACCGAATCGCTCAGTGAGAGGAGAGTCTCCGGAAATATCAGAGATGTTTTCAGCGTCTGTCTCAGTGGATTTAGACATGAACTCAAAGATGAAGCAGATAATGGTGCCGCTCATCAGCTGGGAGGAAGTGTCACATTACTGCTCAACGCTAAGTATATATAAATATACAGACGGACGGCTGCGCGGTGTAATTTTCTTTATTCTAAACGTTTATTGATAATAAAACAGAACAGATTATCACAAAACACATAAAATCGTCATTCGATGTTTTTGGCCACAAAATCACAGAGTCCTGATGAGTTCAGGCTGCAGATGAAAATTTCTCTCATTTGTTTTTTCAGACACTTCCTTTAAATTCTTGGACGTTTTGCTCCCTGTTTCCTGATCTTCATCATGTTTCTTTTCTCTGTTTTTCGGTTTGTTCTGAAGTCTGTTCTTACTGGATCAACAGCTCGTGTGTTTCCTGAGTGCTGATTTTAGAGGAAGAGGATTTTTGACTGATAATCGCTGAATCACTGTGACGTCATTTTGAAAGTGTAATTATAAAAAAATCATCTCAGATTAACAGCAGTGTGTGTTTTTTTATCCCGTGTCCCTTGGAGGTGTCTGGTCGGATGTTACGGCGGATGGCCTCCCTCCCCTCCAGGAGTCAGTCTCCTGGTTGTGGCACCGCTGGAACCGTCTCGCCCTCCCGCATCTCCCTGCGAACGTCCCAGGGCAGCACCTACGACTCCCCCATCCTCTCGGAGCCAAAACCTCTCGCTGCCGTGTTCCCGGGCACCTCCATGCCGCCTTCCTGCCCCTCACCCACCTCCCCGACTGACGGCACGCAGGCCCTGGGTGGCGGCGGTGGAGGAGGAGGAAATGTCGTTGGAGGAGGAATAGGAGGAGGAGGAGGAGGTCGTCTGGGGTCTACGCTGTCTCTAGTGGAGGGGCGGGGTTTGACGGGGTCACCGCTGCGGTCGGGGATGACAGCTGTGCCGCAGCATTACGGCTCCACGCTGCCCAGGCAGAGTCAGCCGCTGGCGTACGGAGCTGATCCATACGGGCTGTACCAGAGGAGCGCCCTGCCTCGCCCGGACTCCCTCATAGGTCAGTCTGAGACGTCCTCCGATCCGAACTCTGATCTGTGTTTGAATAGATCTGAAACAAGTCAAATAATCTCAGAACACAAATGTAAAATGAGGATAAATGATGAAGGTTATAAAAGTGATCGATCAGACTCTAAAACCCCAAATAATCTCAGATTATTCATCAGACACCGCTTCACCAAACTAACTATTTTTAATCCGTGTCTCTCTACCCTCCCTGTGAAAATACACTCATGAAAAAAACCCACACCATCTGCCTTTGGCTGCAGATTTGTGGTGCTTTCACATCGTGCTGCTCAGACAACACAGAGCAGACAACAGTGGGATCTGCTGAAGAAGTGGTCGGTGTGTTTCTGGAGCTGTTTTCATGAGTGAATAATCTCTGTCTCACTTCACTGAACCTTCCTGCTCTTTCTGCTGCTGATCAGTCATGAACCCAAAAGAAAAGATGTCCGACAGAGAGTGAACCCGGGACCTCACAGGGTGGATTTACTCTGACTTAGTGTGATTAAAAGGAGCTCAGTGTCTGCAGTTAGCAGCTGTAGATGACACCAAAACAAGCCCAACGTGCACAGATCTGAGGGTCCTGCAGGCTGGGGGTAGACTGAACAGATGTTTGTGTGAGCGCACCTTAAAGCTGCTTTAGAAGTCTGTATTTAACCATCAGGCAGATGTTTCACACTGTCAGACATTCAATTACAACAACAACCACAACAGAGGTCCTAAAAGTTCCTCCTGAAGGAACACCTCCTGAGTTTTGAGCTCTCTCTTTAGAAGTGTGTCATGACGTGAATAAGTCCGGTTTGCTCCTCCTGCAGGTTTCCTCTGGTCTCATCGTCGTGTTCGTGCTGTTCGGCTCGGCTCAGGTCATTCTGAGTCATCGTTTCTTCCTCCTGAATCACTTTTAGAAACAATCGTTGTGGTTTCCTGAAAAAATGAACCTTATGGAAGTAAAAGAAATAAAGTGAGTCTAAAGAAACGTCAGATTTCAGTCAGTGAGGAGCAGTGAGAGCAGATGGCAGTGATTCCTTCACGCTCTCAGAGATGAGCTGTTTAGACTTTCTGCGTTAAAATGAAGAATAAGGACGTGGCTTTGACTGATGATGTTTCTGCAGGCTAGGACACATTAAACTTAATGACATGATCAAACTCTTAGGGCCTCATTTACCACCCAGGAGGAGACACATCTGCATGCATGAACCTCTGCAGTCTTTACATCTTCAGTCCTTGTCTCCTGTGATGGAGCTTTGATATGATATTACACCCACACCATTAAATCTGTGTGTGAAGAGCTCGGTGAGGTCAGATCAGATCCAGCCGGGTTACTCACAGTCAGAGTTCTGAATCTGCAGAACCGGGTCTGAATGTGTGTGTGTGTGTGTGTGTGTGTGTGTGTGTTAGTGAAATATTTGCAGCAAACTCTTCCCCTTGTAAATAAACAAAGCCACGCTCCACAGCCTCCACAAGCATTTCCTCTGTTGATTTAATAACCCTTCCTTTGTCCGGGGGAAAGTTGACTGAGCAGCACTGATTTAATATTGTGGGCGGCTGCAGGATCCGTGCAGACAGAGTTTCTGTAGGATCAGACTGAGGCTGAGTTCAGGCTCTGCAGATGATGTTATCTGGTTATGGAGCCTCTGCAGATCATCTCATGCTGTTTTCAGTCCAATGATCTTCCTGCACTGCCAGCTCCTTCTGCTGGGTTTGATGAAAACACGTCTGATGATGCGGCTCTGAAAAGGAGCGTAATCTTGGAGGGAGGAGGAGGAGGATTTGACTCCCACAAGGTGGATGTTTTTAACTCATCCTTTCAGGTGATTGATCTGCTGCAGTTTGGGAGCGAACAATGCTGTGCAGAAAACACACACACACACAGATGAGTCACCGCTCCCGTTGTTGAGTGCTTTCTCTTGTGTCATTTAGAAAATTGATGCTGAGCAGAACAAACCACGTTAGTGAGAGTAGGTCTGGATGAAGTGTGGCAGAAAACAGCACTCTGTTCTGGTTCACCGTTTCCTCTGGACTTGTTTCATGCTGCTGAATCTGGACTGCACTGATCCGGTCTTGTTAGCAGATTGGCACTGATACAGTAATGCTTTGTTAATGGACTGTGGGCGTCCACGGAGCTCAATTTAAGATCAATATTTGGCCGTCTTCTGTCCTTCTGAATATTGATCAGTGATAGTTGAAATAAAAACATTTTAAAGCCAAACCAAACAGGGATTCAACATTTGAGCCGGACTTGGATCAGACAGCTGTGAAGTATTGTGTGTTTACACTCCCTCCTTCATTACACTGATGCTGAGGTGTAATTATCCCTCCAGTGGGTTCTGGTCCACCCTGGGGTGTCCTCCTGAACCGCCTCAGCTGACACCACGGGCAACCATCTCCCCAAAGTTTATTTCCATTTTTGGTAACACTTTCCTTGACTTCTATCTCTATAACACATTATAAATATATGTATAATGGGTTATAACCATGTTATAGCACCATATACCTATAGTTATAAACACTCATAAATGATCATAATGCTTTATAGCAATAATTATAACGCATTATAAATATATGTATAATGGGTTATAACCATGTTATAGCACTGTACTACTACCTACTACAGTTGTAAACACTCATAAATGATCATAATGCTTTATAGCAATAATTATAACGCATTATAAAGCATTTTATCATGACTGACAGGGTCAGCTATTATAATGTGTTATTCTTATTGTTATAAAGCCTTATAATAATTAATGAGTGTTTATAATGATAGTTATAGAAGTTTATTAGCAAATTATAACACATCATAAATATATGTATAATACATTATCTATGTGGGTATTGTCGGTGAGTTGTTAACAGTTATAACACATTATGATAAAATGCTTTATAATGTGTTATAATTATTGCTATAAAGCATTATGATCATTTCTGAGTGTTTATAACTTTAGTTATACGGTGCTATAACGTGATTATAACACATTATACATACATTTATAATGTGTTAAAGAGAGGCATCAATCAAAGTGTTACTCCATCAGGTTTTTATATTGTTGACTTGTTGGCGGTGGAAGTTTGACATGTCCCTAAACTCGACCAGCTGACCTCATCGAGTGGAAATAACGAGGTGCTGACAGACACCTGCCTCCCCAGGTGAAATCATTTCAGCTAATGAGCGTGACTCCCAGAGCTGCAGAATAACAGCCACTGTTTTCAGACGTCACTGCAGACATGGTGAGTGTGAGGACTATTGTCTGTGTTATTGATTAATCGGTCAGATGATGTCATATTCAATCACTCTTGGATTCATTGATGTGGACTTCACAAAGTTCATTCGCTGCAGTAAAAACAGAGGAAACATTTCCTTATATGGAAGAAACAGGAAGTCAGAAATATTTCATCTGCATATATATGAATTTCCATTATTTGTTACCGTGGCAACAGCTGCTCCTGCAGGGCAGCAGATGAATTTATATATAGTCGGTACATGTGGATATCACCTCTCTTAGCAACACAATAAGAAATAAGAAAAGAGTCGTTTATTTTCTGTTTGTGAAGAAATAAACTCTGAAAACAGTAAATTTAGTTCAACTCAAGGAGATAATCCTGCTGAGGAGACGTCTCTGAGACAGAAGCTGTGATAGGACATCAGACTCTGAAGATGCATGAGATACTTGAGGAGGTGGTTATTGAGGAACAAACCAAAACAAACGAACATCTGGAGGCTTTATCTGCTCGTCTTAATCATGGCTGTCAGGACCTGATGATGTTCAGGATGTTGTTTTTTAATGTCTGAAAATCTGGATTTATTATGGCCCCTCCTTTATTACCTGTCGTGGACGGCTCCAGCTCCAGCTCCACCGGCGCCGTGTTGCAGGATTGAGCGCTGAAGAGCTGCTGATGCTGCAGCAGAGACACAGATTTGTTCCTCCCTCCTGCCCTCTGTCACTTTACTAAGCCGTTTCCACTGACCCATATAGGCTTGTTTCTATCACAAAGCATCAGCATGTGATTATCAGCTGACGGCACTGGAAGCTTTATGATGCCGCCATCACTCTGTGTGTGTGTGAGTGTGTGTGCTTTAATTCCGCCCGTCATGTGACGTGTGTCCTTGTGTGTTTCTGCGTGAGCGTGATGATAATGTGTGTTTTTGTGGATGTGCACTTCCACTCATGCACCCTTTGTGTTTTGCTGCTGCTGCTGCTGCTGCTGCTGCGTGTGTGAAAAGAGGATGTGGGTGTGGAGGAGGCTGAGTCAGTGAACTAAATCTAATGCCTCCTATTCTCATCCTGCAGCTCTGCTAAGTGGCCTAATACTTCGCCTAATTCCTTCTTCCCTGCTATCCTACAGATCCAGCATAATCCCAGATTACATGAGACAGATAAGCAATAGATGGGGATACAAGATTAGGCTATTACCCATCGGCAGCACCCGTAGCTTAGGTAGTGAAACCTGGTGAGCAACCAAAACACAAACCTAAGCTGAGAGATGATCTCTGTTTTTGGGAAACGGACTGAATAACGTCACCGCCGGAGTGAACTCGAGCTTCAACACGAAGAAGAAGGAGGAGGAGGAGGAGAGATGAATTTACATGACTCAGCATTCAAAACACTCATGAGTCTGGAGTGGAAATCACCGCACAGGCTCAGAAACGCTCCACAAAACATGTGGAGAGTTTTTAAAGAGGAGGAACGCTTCAGTGTGCTGGTGGACGTGTTTTTATCTTCTGTGACATCTCAGCCCTTCATCAGCTTTTTCCTCTTTTCCTCCCCATGACGGCTGTTTGGAGTCCTCGAGGGAGACTCTGAAGTGGAGATGCAACAACATGGATTGACGACAGCGGCACATTTTCACTCTCTGCAGAGGAAATCTCCTCTTTGTGAAAAGACGGAGCGTTTCCGTGGTGTTGGCTCTGAGAGTTCTGGGAATGTAAGAGGAGAGAAGCGGCTCTGGGTGCAGATTGTGAGCTTCAGCCGCCGCTGCCGCCTCCCCCTCTGGTGCCCTGAAGCCTCTTTATAATTGGAGCGCTCTTTGAACTGATCTGCTCTGAGATTGGAGGATGGAAAAACCCTCCGCTCGGCTTGTTTGACTTGCTGATGACGGCGCCTGCAGCCCGCTCTGAACGACCTGAGTCTTGGCGGCTTTGATGAACACAACATCGTTTGGGGATGAGTCGGCGTTATGAAATACAGAGTTTGGTTCAAGCTCCATTTGCATGATGGCCTCACCTACAGATGACTCAACTGAGAGCTGAATAATGAGATGATTGACGACGGCAGGAAGAAGCTGTTTATGATATGATGATGAATGTTGGAGTCTGCACACAGGAGAGGGAGGAGGAACAGAGCTGCACCCTCGAGTTAAAGTCACATTCAGCGTGTTTATTATCTTTCTGAATCCCTCATTTATTTCAGCCCCCGTGCAATAAGAAAACCAGCAGAATTCAAGGATGGAGGATGATTGTTTCCTGGGAACAAAAGAGAAGCTTCAGCAGTGCAGCGCTCTCAACAGACGCTCCTCTGCTGCACAGCTTTAATGTCTGAGCTGCTGGGAGAGGTCGTGAAGAAACACCTCCAGGGTTTAATGGTCCTCAATAAAACACTTCCTCCAAAAGTCCGGTCTAAGGTGGTCAGTCTGAAGTCCGGGGGCATTAAGGGGGTTTTCATTAACGAGTAAAGTCCTGTTAAAGACCTCGTTATGATCTGTTGGCTGTAAATACACAAAAGCATCTGCAGCAAATAGATGATCTTTGTGAGAGTTTCAGGTTCGAGTTTCCTGGTTCATCAGGTGAGAACAGTTCAGCAGTTTTTCATGATCATCCTGACATTAGAGTGAAACTGATCAGTCTGATCGATCCGCCCTGTGATTGGTTAAAGTTTGTTTTTATAACTCTGGTGTTTTTTGTTTCTCTCCTCGCTCACCTGCAGGACTCCACAGCTCGTACGCCGGTCATGGCGGGCAGATCGACCCCGAGCTGAGGGCGGCGTTATCTCCAGACTGCCACATGACCCCTGTTTTCGATGAGCGCTCCTTTCACAGCCCGCTGTACCACAGCCCCACCCACGACACCCAGGGAGCCCTCTACAGGCCAAACACCGGTACTGCAACACCCAAAACAATCAAAATTAACATCAAATTTATTTATTTTGTGCCGTTTGATTAAACCCTTACTAACCCGAACCCTCATAATAATGTTGTCGCTAAGTGAGGCGTTTTCTCCGGGGGGGTGGAGCTAAATCTGTTTCTGCAGCAGAAATACAGACATGATGTTATCGTGATGTGGAGTGATTCCTTCACAGTATCTCTGAGAATTACTCCAACGAGCGTCAGCGTCCCTCGCTCCTCCGCTCCACATCGACTCTGAAGATTACTGCTCTCAAATCTGCGCTGAAATCAGGGTTTACAGGCGCAGGAAATGTTGTTATTATGGCTCCCCGAGGTCAGGACTTAATTAGGCTGAAACCTTTCATGTCCTCGGCTGCGTCTTAATTGAAGCTTCTGCAGAGTGATTTAAAGCTGAAGGCTCTGGGGTTTGATTGTGAGGATCTGAGGAGGCGTTTTCTCTTCGTTTAGTGGAGATTGAAACCGTTTTTTGGTTTTAGAGACGTCCTGCTGCTGCGGTTAAACGGCCCTCTGTGTTTCATACTTTCCTGTCTTTGTGACCTTGGATGTCCTTTAAAGCGCCTCCATTATTAAGAAAACAGAACCTGGGTTGGATTTGGTGCTCCTGAAGTATCCTGCTTTCATTTCCTCAGGTATGGGCACCCTCCCTCGGGCCACGAGTCACAGCAGCACGCTGCCGTACCAAAGAAGCAGCAGCTACGGGCTGAGCACCGCAGCTCTCTATGTCGACCCCTACAGGGTCTCAGCCGAGCCCGTCTTCACCCACCGGCACTCTGGGCTGGTGGACCGGGTCGGAACACGTACCCCGTCTATGGAGAGCATCCATAAAGACCCCAGGTGATCGGAGAGCAGACACGCAGATCTGCACATCCACGTTTGAGTCTGGACCTGCAGGAACTGAAGCTTTCTCTGTTTCAGGGAGTTTGCGTGGCGAGACCCCGAGCTGCCGGAGGTCATCCACATGCTGCAGCATCACTTCCCCTCCGTCCAGGCCAACGCCGCCGCCTACCTGCAGCACCTGTGCTACGGCGACAACAGGGTGAAGGTGGAGGTAAGGTGACATGACACGCTGTGAGCGAGTAAAAATAACATGACAGACGTCACAGACATGAGTCAGACAGGAGGAGGAGGAGGAGGAGGACGCTGCTGAGACATCTGATCGAACCCGAGGTTTGTGATCGACAAAAAAACAAAAACTGAAAATATCAGAGAAGAAGAAAGTTTGATTTCCTGGTTTTTATCTCTTTGTGTGAATAAACAAAGTGAACGTAAAATAACACATAAAGAGTTCAGCTTCAACAACAACAACCTGGAGGAACTGTTGCTGGTTCCTGTCTCAGATTAGTCCTCTTCTATCCCTGAACCGTCACTCACTATCTCCGCTTACAGGGTTTGAAATTGAGATTTTATTGGAGATGATTTCCGCCGCTCTCCGAGCCAAAGCGCCATCTGCTAAAATCAAACTTTTAGAAACGTCTCTGCCAAATGTGCCGACACGCTGAAACTCTCTGCTCTGCTTCCTGTGCGGTAAATAAGTCCAACAGGACAGCGAGAGCCTCTCCTCGTGCTGTTCGGTTTGTTTGGTGATGAGCTTTTAATTAGCCTTTGGAGCGGGCTGGACGCGCGCCTGCTCGTTTAGCCAGAAACAAATGTTTTCAGAGAGGGTTTGAACATCCAATCAGAGAGACGGGGAGCGTCTGCTGCTCTCCTGAGACGGCTCTTTATCTCCGAGATGACAGGAGGCCTCTGCATGATTCAGCTCCGGACCCGCTCCAGAATATTCTGCAGAATCAGAACCATCCCTGTTTCCTGTCTGCATCCTCTCTCTCTCTGTTATTGTTAGTCAGAGTTAAACTTCATTAATCATCTGTGCTCTTTAAAACGGGGACCTTATTTTGGAGGGATGGACGAGGAGAAGTTTGTTGTTGTGATCCATGAGGGTGAGGATCAGGATCAGCTGAGATCCTTCAGGGTCAAACTCAAATAAAGAACGAGTCTGTGGTTTCAGATTCAGATTTTAGATGATGTTTAGGTGATCGAGTCTCTGGTCTGCAGGTGTGTCACCTCGGAGGGATCCAGCACCTGGTGGACCAGCTGGATCACAAGGTTCCTGAGGTCCAGAAGAGCGCCTGCGGGGCCCTGAGGAACCTGGTGTACGGCAAAGCCACAGACAACAACAAGGTGGCGCTGAGGAACTGCGGCGGCGTGCCCGCTCTGCTGCGGCTCCTCAGGAAAACAACCGACAATGAAGTCCGAGAGCTGGTCACAGGTACGTCCTATCCTGGCTGTCAATCACAGGTAGCCCCGCCTCCTAGCCTGCTGTCCTATGATAGGACCTTCATTTAGATGATGTATGAAGACTGAACCGAGAGTTTGAAGAGAAGTTAGTCAGACCTGATGACACAGAAGCTGCAGAGAAACTGTGAACCTCAGTCTCCAGCAGGTGGCGTTTGTCGTAGTCCCCGCCCTGAGTCTGTCACGTCAGCGTCTGAGTCCTGAACACACACAAACTCAGAGCTCCACACTCTGATGCACGTGGGCGTCCACCCGCTCGTGAGGTTCACTGGCCGCCTAACTGGCCGAGCGTCGGTCTGTGTCACCGTCTGATTGGCTGCTGCCCGGCTGGCTGACTGACTGGATGTATTAATCGGAGTGTCGGCTGTTCTGTGGGCGGCGAGAGCGGCGGCGGCTCAAACACTCCGAGCTCGCTGTTGACAGAGCAGATCTCGGCACAGTCATCGGGACAGATGCTCAGATAGTGTGGTTTGGAAACAGACACACACACACACACACACACACACACACACACACACACACACACACACACACACACACACGCGCGCTCAGTGTAGTGTCAGGAGGAATGAAGCTGCCAGACGGCTCAGATTCATGAGGAAAGACGGAGAGGAGACTCTTCTTCCTCTGGTTAGAAATCTTCTGTTCTCATGGTGGAGCTCAAGTTTGGGTTTCTGAACATCTGAACATCTGAACATCTAAACATCTAAACATCTAAACATCTAAACATCTAAACATCTAAACATCTAAACATCTGAACATCTAAACATCTAAACATCTGAACATCTGAACTCTTCTCTGTTTCTTCACCTCTGCTCTTCACACACACCTGAAACAGTTCCTGTAGATTTAAGGGTTGATGATTTTTCACAGACAGAAACACCTGGAAACCTCCTCTCCTCCTCTCCTCCTCTCCTCCTCTCCTCCTCCTCCTCTCCTCCTCCTCTCCTCCTCCTCCTCTCTGTGTTTGTTCCTCTCTCTTGATTTAATAAAGTTTATTTGTTCTTGAACACACACGGAGTATCTTGGAGGAGCAGTGAGGCTCTAACACGTTGATCCTTGGATCTCCTCCCACGTTGAAGTCGGTGTCTGTGAATTTGATGTTTTCTTTTTATAGTTGTTCAGAGTTTCTTTGGCTCCTGTTTCCTCTAAAATATAAAAGTGACTTTTTTCAGGTGAAACAGGAGGACTGAACTTTTAAAGAGGGGAGTAAAAGTGACGGTGAAAACAACAAAGTTTTAGGAGGAGAAGAAGAAGAACGATCAAATCTCCTCTCTTGATTTCATCTTTCCTAACCTCCTCTTTCTTCTTCTTGGTTCCTGTCCCCGTAGGCGTCCTGTGGAACCTGTCCTCCTGTGACGCGGTGAAGATGACCATCATCCGCGACGCTCTCTCCACGCTCACCAACACCGTGGTCATCCCGCACTCGGGCTGGAGCAGCGTCTCGCACCGCGACGAGCACAAGGTCAAGTTCCAGTCGTCGCTGCTGCTGCGTAACACCACCGGCTGCCTGAGGTGAGAGACGAAACAAACGCGCCCCCTCAGATAAAAACGCAGAGTTTTCACTTCCTGTAAAAACCGTCCGAAGCCTCAGAATCGGTCTGTGCTGCAGCGTCTTCATTTTAAAGATGGTGTAAAGTCTCCGCTCATAATCACAGTCTCATCAAAAACTCGCTGATGGCGACGTTACGCAGCGAGGAGGTCTTAGGGACGCCTTTGACGGCGTGATCCTGCAGAGACGAGTCAGAGCAGAGAGAGAGGAGAGAGTCTGCAGACCTGAGACTCAGTCTGGTTCATGTTTGACTCAGACTGGGATGGTGTAGATGAGGTCCATAAAGACACTCTCAGGTCCCTGTCTCAGTCATGTGACCTCAGTAGGATCCAGACAACAGCGTTTCTTTAACGTCTGAGACAGATCCTCAGTTTCTCTCTCTGATGACCTCCTGATCGGCTCCAGATCAGACTAGTCCGACCTGCGGGGTCCACACGCCGCAGACTGACCTGACTGGACAAAAACCCGTTTTTGTTTTCAACAGTCAGGACTGAGGTCAGGTCTGTGTCTCCTGAAGAACCACCTCCCCCCACAAACCCAGCTCTGTAACCCGGACTCGGAGCAGCCTGCAGCGTCTCTCTGCTCTCACACTCAGGCTGGATCCTGATGGTACAGAAATGCATTGTGGGAGTGGTGTGCTGTTGTGCAGTCCTCCCGTGTCAGCTCTTCCATTAACACGGCTGCAGGCTCCTATTGGAGGATCGGCTCCTTCCTTTACTGTATCCGGGCAGGTTTTTCAGCCACCCTGTGGGGGAATCCACTCACTGCATCCACTCTCAACTATTGTGCATGTGTGTGTGTGTGTTTCTTCTGTGTGTGTGTGTGTGCGTGCGTGTTCATGTGTGTGTGTGTGAGGAACCTGAGCTCAGCCGGGGAGGAGGCGAGGAGTCAGCTGCGTTGTTGTGAAGGTTTGGTCGACTCGCTGCTTCACGTGCTCAAAGCCTGCGTCAACACCTCCGACTACGACAGCAAGGTGCAGCAGAAACACACACGCACACACACACACACACACATGCACACACACACACACGCACACACACACACAGAAGAAGCTGTTTTGTTGTTTTCTTTCATGTGTCTCCGTCCTCCTTCAGATCGTGGAGAACAGCGTTTGCACCCTGAGGAACCTCTCGTACCGCCTGGAGGTAGAGATGCCCTCCTCCCGTCTCCTCGGAAACCAGGAGCTGGACACCCTGCTGGGCTTCTCCTCCCCCGCCAAGGAGCTGGACTACCTCTGCTGGGGCAAGAGGAGGCGGGGCAGGAAGAGGGGCGGCTGGCCCGACGACAAGGTAGGAAGAACAGAGGGTGAGGAGGTGCTGGAGAAACGAGGAGAAACGAGGAGATGAGAGCGGGGGTCACACGGGGTCAAACTGAAATGACATCATGGCTCCAATAAGTCCAGCGTCTTCTGGTTCTGGTTCTGGTTCTGGTTCTGCTCAGTTCCAGTGAGAGTTTGTGCAGATGTTCACGTTCTGCTCCTCCTCATCGCTGTTTTTCCTGCAGTGGGACGGCGTCGGACCGATCCCGGGTTTCTCTCAGCCTCTCAGGGGGGCGGAGCTTCTGTGGCATCCTCTGGTGGTGAAGCCGTACCTCAACCTGCTGGCCGAGAGCTCCAACCCCGCCACTCTGGAGGGCGCCGCCGGTGCGCTGCAGAACCTCTCAGCTGGAAACTGGAAGGTAAATCTCACTGTCGGGTTTTTTATTTTCACGGATGATGTTGAAGTTTTCCCGCCGCCATGTGACCGTGTGCGTGTTCACAGTTCTCCGCCTACATCCGCGCCGCTGTGCGTAAGGAGAAAGGTCTGCCCATCCTGGTGGAGCTGCTGAGGATGGACAACGACCGGGTCGTCTGCTCCGTCGCCACCGCCCTGAGAAACATGTCGCTGGACACCCGCAACAAGGAGCTGATAGGTCCAAACACACACACACACACACACACACACACACACACACACACACACACACACACACTCAGTGAACAGACTGTGAAAAGATCATCTTCACACCAGAGTCAGGAACAGCTTGTCCTGAGCAGGTTGATGATGAGACAGCGCCCCCCTGTGGAGGGAAAGAGAGCTGAAGGTCTGAGTGTAGGTTCTGGAAACATCCGGGTTTTTTAAGACGGACTGAGTCCAAAGAGATCCAGAGCCTGTTAAAGAGGAACCCCAGATCTCTGTCAGTCAGGGACCTGAACCCAGACTTAGACTGAGATCCAGGTTCTCAAAGGTGTCAGAGTGAAATAGAGAAGGACCTGGTCTGAAGATCAGAGCTCATATCAGGGAGAACAGGAGACCATCAGACTTTAGAAAACCACAGAGGAAAAGATTTCAAGACTGTCGAACTCCAACAGTCTTCATATTAAACGTAGATTTGAAAAGGAGGGAGATTTGTTTAAATCTGAGGAGGAACAGAAAGATATCTGTAAATGATGGTGGAAAAACACAAATTCAGAGAGCTGGAGGGAATTCAGATGGAAAAACATCATGAAGTTTTTTTAAAACACCGACTCTGAGGAAACATCAGGTTGTTGGAGGATGTTTGGTCCAGATTTAGCGAAACATTCTCATTTATCTTTGGACTGTCTGAAACTTTAGATCTTCATGATTGTCTGGGATACATGTTTCAAATTACTACAGTTTAGTGTCAGTTTCATGTATTTCAGTACCATGGTATTACATACTCTGATATTACTGATCGGAGCAAAGAAGACAATAACAAGGAAGTGGTTAAGACCCAACTCACCGCCACTGAAGACTGGCGAGGAACTGTTCAGGAAACTGACATGATGGAGAGACGGACATTCGCTCAGAGACGACAGACGGAGAAGTTTAAGAGACGATGGATCAGATATTTAAGAGCAGGGAGAACTGAACTGAATACCTCTGAGTACTATTAAAGTACTATTGAAGTACTATTAAAGTACTGTTAAAGTACTATTACTATTAATGTACTATTAAATTACTATTACTATTAAAGTACTATTAAAGTACTATTAAAGTACTATTAAAGTACTATTGAAGTACTATTACTATTAAAGTACTATTACTATTAAAGTACTATTAAAGTACTATTAAAGTACTATTACTATTAAAGTACTATTAAAGTACTATTACTATTAAAGTACTGTTAAAGTACTCGGACAGCTGAGAAGTGATATTGGTAGATGTGAGTAAATGTGTCGTCTGTAGTTCAAATGTTCTTAATTTACATAAAATGAGAGGGAGAAGAAGTTGGTCTGACTGAACATGTTTGTTTGTTTGTTTGTTTGTTTGTTTGTTTGTTTGTGTGTAACTGTGATCGGACTCAAACAGACCTCAGTCCTCTCTTTAGTTTCAGTCTTTTAGTACGAGGACGTGGAGGACGAGGAGAAATCTGAAACATCCGGAGCTGCTGAGACCTCTGAGAGGTTCAGACCAAACTGTGGGTCAGGACAGAACCTCAGAGACTGGATCTGTAAAGGTCCCTCCTGACCTCTGACCCCTCTGTTTCTCCTGCAGGAAAGTACGCCATGAGGGATTTGGTGAACCGGCTCCCTGGCAGCAGCCCCAGCGTGCTGTCAGACGACACGGTGGCGTCCGTGTGCTGCACGCTGCACGAGGTCACGAGCCGCAACATGGAGAACGCCAAAGCTTTAGCGGACAGCGGAGGCATCGAGAAGCTGGTGGACATCAGCAAAGGACGGGGGAAAGGGTAGGTGGGCGGAGCCTGCAGACGTCTGTGACAGCTGTCCGTCACTCTTCTGTCTGAGGGTTTGACCTTTACCTGACGGTTTGACCTCCAGGTACTCCATGAAGGTGGTGAAGGCAGCAGCTCAGGTGTTGAACACGCTGTGGCAGTACAGAGAGCTGAGGACCCTCTACAAGCAGGTGAGTGCAGACCTTCAGGGAGCTCTACAGACCCTCTACAGACCTAAACAGACCTTCACAGACCTCCACAGACCTTCAGAAACCTTCACAGACCTCCACAGACCCTCACAGACCTCCACAGACCCTCACAGACCTTCACAGACCTCCACAGACCTTCACAGACCTTCACAGACCTTCACAGACCTTCACAGACCTTCACAGACCTTCAGAAACCTTCACAGACCCTCACAGACCTCCACAGACCTTAACAGACCTTCAGAAACCTTCACAGACCTCCACAGACCCTCACAGACCTTCATAGACCCTCACAGTCCTTCACAGACCTTCACAGACCCTCACAGACCTCCACAGACCCTCACAGACCTCCACAGACCCTCACAGACCTCCACAGACCTTCACAGACCTCCACAGACCCTCACAGACCTTCACAGACCCTCACAGACCTTCACAGACCTCCACAGACCCTCACAGACCTCCACAGACCTTCACAGACCTCCACAGACCCTCACAGACCTCCACAGACCCTCACAGACCTTCAGAAACCTTCACAGACCTTCACAGACTTTCACAGACCTCCATAGACCCTCACAGACCCTCACAGACCTCCACAGACCCCCACAGACCCTCACAGACCTTCATGGTTCCTCTCTGCAGTCTCTGAACTCTTCAGACCAGGGTGGACTTTGAGAGTTTGAGAGTTTTTGGTCTTTCTCTCAGTCAGGAGGACGGGGCTGCAGGAGGTCTGTGGTAAGAAAGTGTTTTTCAAACCTCCTCATGATCTTCTCCTGCTCCTCATCTAACCCTCACCACCATGAGAGGTAACCTTCTCACCGCTCTGAGCTTCACTGACGAGCTCTGATCCATTCTCCATCTTTGACCCTGAGAGGACCTGATGTTCTGAACCTCTGAGAACCTGTTCCTGCTCTCTGATCATGTGATCTTCTGTGCAGGACGGCTGGAACTACACCCACTTCGTCACCCCGGTCTCCACGCTGGAGAGAGACCGCTACCTGTCTCAGCCGACGCTGCCCACCAGCCCGCTGCAGATGTCCCCCGTTATCCAATCAGGTGAGAGAACGGGTGAGTGTGATCTGAGCTGTCTTCAGTGAGGTCCGGTGGACAGATCAGGAGTTTCTCCTCTCTGCTCAGGTGGAAGTGCGACCTCTTCTCCGGCGATGCTCGGGATCCGGAGACACAGCTCCAACTATCAGAGGGCGCAGTCATCTATGCAACTCGACACGTATTATGGAGACAACAGTTTACACAAACGGCAGTACACAGGTCAGTGTCCGCCTCCTCGGGGGAGGAGCTCGGCGGTTTCTGTCAGAGCGGGTTTCAACTCTTCTTCTCTTCACCTCAGGGTCTGAGAAGAAAACTCCGTACTTCATCGGGACGTACTCTTCTCAGTCAGGAGAGGATCTCAGACGGTCCCAGGTACGAGAGGTTTCCTCGCCTGTTTCCATAAACATCCACCCAAAAGTCTGTGAGCCTCTCTGAACCTCCGCCCTCTCTCCTCTCAGCACACAGAGCCATTTTACGACGAGCCCGACAGGAAGAACTACAACAGCTACAGAATGTACCTGTCGTCCCCTCAAGGCTACGGAGACGAGCACTACGAGGAAGAGCCGGTCCACCTGACCCCGTCCTCCCCTGACGGCTACGCCAGCCAGTCGCTCCGATTCAAAGCCAACACCAACTACGTGGACTTCTACTCCACCACGCGGAGGCCTTCAAACAGGGCGAACAAGTTTACCGGCTCCCCGGACTCCTGGGTGTAGAGACGAAGCAGACGCTGCGCACGTCCAGCTCTGTGTGTATCTGTGAGTGTGTGTGTGTGTGTGTGTGTGTGTGTGTGTGAGAGAGAGGGGGTGAGGATGCATGAGGATGTGTGTGCATCTGTGTTGAAACTGTGCAGAATGATCAGGGCTCGGTTTGATACAGGCGGCTTTTGACCAAGTTCCAGTTTGTGCCCAAGAGAAAAAATCAGACGAGTAAAAATTCTCCCGCCGTGAAAACTCGACCTTTAAAAAAAAGAATCAAAAGACTCAAATTAAAAAGACTTTCAACCTCAGAAATGAGGAAAACAGCAGCAGCAGGAAATTCAGCATGTAAAGTTTGTGCTGCAGTACACGTGATCGGCCACTAGATGGCAGACTGAACTCTGACATGTTTGAGGGTTCGGTGGTGAGATGAAGAAGAAAGGAGGTGAAATCATGAGACCAGAGACGAGACTTTCTCCTAAACTCAAATTTAATCACATTTAAGTTAAAAAAATCATTTATTTTTAAATGTTCTGGATCTTATTTTGCTGATTTACGTCCATCATGACTTTATTCTTATAAAATGACCACTTTCTTCTTCAGAAAGGTTCACCTCTAAACCCGACACACCTGTGAATGTGTGTCTTTATTTCTCATAAACTCGTTCTTTTTATTCTTATCAGTTCAGTTTTATTCTTTTTAATTTTCACACTTTTATGACTTTTTCTCCTCTAAATTTACGACCAAATCAAGTAAAATTAAACTTTTTACACACAACTAATCTGGACGAAATCATCCTGAATTTACTAGATCTTTAAATTATGGGAGAATTTTCTGCGTTACAGCAGAATTACATGAAGATTTGTGTTTGTTAAAGACTGAGACGATTATGTGGAAAGTATAATAATAATTCAGATTCCTTAAGGTCACACAGTCAGGGGTTTTCAGCTCTTCTAACCTGGACTCGGGTCACTCTCACGGGTCTGAGGAGGAGGAGGAGCAGGTGGAGAGAAAAGAGGCTCTGAGCGGCACAAAGACGGACTTGGTCAAAAGGAGCTTCCTGGACACAAACAGCCCAGACGTTGTTGTTCACCGGAGTGTTTCAGGTCAACAGATTTCATTTCCTCGGCAGTAAAGTGTGCAGTGTGTTGGCTTTCTGACATTACTATTGTTCGCCAGCATCATCATGAACACGAGAGAACGCTGTAAAAAGAAAAACGCCTGGGACTAATCTTCTCGGTCTTGAAGGACGGGGTGAGAAACCAACACGGACTCTGAGGCGGGCCTGAGACAAACCCGTCAAAGCCGTCGTGTCTGTGGACCCAAAAGTGCAGTATCTCATCAAAGCGTGTGAAATATGTGACAAAAACAACGTGTGGAAATCTATTTGTACAGATGCAATGGTTCAAGCGTCCTGTTACATTGTTGTACTCAATATGTAGAACTTTCTATGTGATTGTGTGAAAAAGATTTTCTATGATTTATTGATTCTTTTTATTAATTTAACCTGTGACCTGACCAAAATACCCCATCTGTCTGTTCTGTCCCCAAACTGAAGATGATCATGTGCAATGTTACAGAGGGAAATATATGTATAGGGATTAAAGATTATATCACCACCAACAGGACAGTTTGTCTTCTTTAAACAAGCGGAAACAGAAACGTCTTTATTTGCTTTAACTGCATCAGTTGTAGATATAGTAATAATAAGAGTAATGATCCCACAGCCTAAAGGAACAAACCAAACCAGATAGCGTCCACCTCCATCCATCCTCTGAACTAAAGATCCTGTTGACAAAGTTGAGGAACTTCTAAAAACCTTCTTGACTCTGTTTTGAAGATGTGATACTTCATAATTCACAGGTCCCTCTTCAGGATCAGGAGCGAATAACATTTGAGAATAAAGTGACATTATTTTAGAAACGATGTAAAAATGTTAAAAATGGTCACAGAATAATCACAGCACTCAGGGCTGAGCTTCTGTTTTTTAATAGGATAATATAAAGCTGGGAAATAATCACTTTACCACCTCTTTAGAGTTTACACCATAGACTGTATATAAGTCTTTGGCTGTGTCTCATTTCAGAGACTGCATCGAGCTAAGTGCCCTTCTGCACAGTCGACCGGTGCTTTTGAAGCGTGCATGACGTCACGACGGCGCGAACGGTGTCCCATTTAGCACGAGATGCTAAGAAATGCTAAGCGCGCTTAGCATGTTTTCAAGCGTGCACTTATGCACGCTTTCGTGCCGTCAGTATCCCAGAATTCTTTGCGTGCCGCTGCACAGCTGCGCATTTCAGGTGAGAGGCTGGACTCGCTCGGAGACACAGCGCGTCTTCAAAGAAATTACAAGCAATCCAAAACCAGCAGACAGTCAGCTCAGGCTGTATGAGAGCATGATCTCTGAACTCACTAAAATCTGTAAACCAAACATTATAGATTTAGAGACGAACTGATCCGCTCTGCTACAACAATCAAAAACATTAGAAATAAGAAAGCTGACAAAACTACAGCAGAGTATCAGGACAACATTGAGGTTTTTTTTAGCTTTTAAGATTTAGAGATTAAAGTTGTATAAAGTCATAAAGTAAATAAAGTCATAAAGTATATAAAGTCATAAAGCTGCTTTTGTGGAGGGGGAAATGACTGAAGCTGGTCACCTGCAGGGTTATCTGTGGATGTATCAGCGGGTCATTCAGAGAGATTTTGTGGTTTCTGAAGAAACAATCAAACTGATGATGATCAACATTTGTGATCCAGAGGGAGTCGAGCTCAGACGAGCACCACGTCTCTGACACCGGCGGTAACTTACACCTGCAGAGACACCAACACCTTATTATGGCATATGGATTCATATCATAAACTAAAGCTCAATGTCATTCACGGATATTTACGGCTGCATTGACAGGTATATCCTCAGCATATTCATTTCTGCCTCCACAAAAGCAGCGATTTCCTTCAAGTACACCAGTTTTTTCCCTGTGGAAAAGACGTATTTCTCATATATTCTTTTTTTAAAGTCTTTATACTTATGACAATGTGATGCTGATGTGCCAGAGGATGAAGTATCTCCTATCCTCCTTCTCAATATGGCCCTCATACTCCTTCATACAAAACAATCATTGGATTAATTTTGTGGGAATGATCTGTGCTTGTATGTATCTACTATTTTGTTTCTGTGCAAGGTCGCACAATTAAAACAATAAATGCTGCGCTCCGCAGCTTTTTTTCTGAGAGGTGACCAGATGCAGCGCAAGATGGCGGACCCAAAGATAGAAAACCACATTTACAAAACGCAATAAGTTCCTCCGATTGGCGGACCCAAAACAATTACTTCCGGTGGAAAGGCTTTCTCGTTGGCGGACTTCCGGCGCCGAAATACTTCAGGTAGTCGGATTTAGTCGCCGGATCCTTTTTTTTTTGCTCCGTTCATTCCATAAGAATCGAATTAAATTTATTATTGAGCTAAAAATCAAAATAAAACGTTTATGTATTAATTATGACTACTGTTTTGTTCTGATTTAATTCTGAAGTTTACAGTAATATGTATATATAGCCTGATGTCCTCATATTCTGATAATCTGTCAGAATAGGTAAATGTATGTAGAAGTTATCATCTTACTCAAATTCTTTTGTAAGAGTTTGCTACAAGTATGGACTGTTTTAACCTCTCGTTACACATCATATAACAGTGTTTTCTAACTTTTCTCTCCAATAGCTTTATTACACAGCACATCAATGTTTCTTAACTTCTCTGTGACCTTGTTTCTCCACTCCTATTAGGACCTCGTTTAATGTCAACAATGTTGCCCTGACCCTCACATATTTTCTGTTGTTCATAATTATGTTTTATGAGAGTGCTTATGTTGCTGCACAAATTTACTCCCCCCATCCTTTAGTAACATTGTGTAACCAGGGACATAATTTATGAAATGGTGTGCTTCCTGGTGAACCTCTTCAGGATTGCTTGACTGTGCAAAATCCAAGTATACAATAGTTGTAGAGACACAAGTCACATGATCTCTTTAAGGTTCAGAAGAGCCATATAGCAAAAACAATTGAATAGCGATATCATTACAGACTGTGTAAAGAAATGGGAAATTGTCATACAACTGCTTTGAAGATTTCTTTAATTTTTTCCAAACAAAATTGTGAACAGTAAAAAAAAATATATATATACAAAATTCAGCACTGCCGTCGGTGTGGTGGGGGGCTTAAAACACGTTGCCACAGGCCATCATCAGCTCTGCTCTGAACCGGGTGATGCCATGCTCCTTCAGTGCTTTGATCAAAAGCTGAAAAACAGTCAAATAATGTGAACAATTGAAGTTATGCAGTATGGGTTAATTGTTGTTCTTGAGCTTTCCAAATGAATAAGAACAACCTCTTAACAATATCATCAATTTTCAAAGCAAGCTATATAGTTTGATCTACTCACCTCTGGGAGCATGACGTCAAAAACGAAATCAAGCAGATGAATCTCGCCTCTCTTTATTTTTTTAGAAATGTTTGTTGCCACCTCAATGAACCGCAGGAGCTCGAACATCTATTGAAGAAAAACACAGAAAGTAAACACCTTTCAAATGTAACACCCCTGAGAGTAAAAATATTCATGATGGATGGCATTTTTACTTACGCGCTGCTCACTCCAACTTAGTGTCCTTATCTTAAGATGCTGCTTTAGTCGGAGTGAGGTGGCGGGATTCCTCCAAAGGAACATTCTGTTGGAGCGGATCTTTCCAGACAGTAGATCATCGTGTAATGTCTGAAACCAAAGAGCAAGAGACAAAAATGTAATAATCTGAAAAAGAAACGGTGGCTTTAACAACTGATAGTGCATTCAAAAGCAACCTTGATCTGTGTCTTAGAAAAGACAGCATGAATTCCTCAACTGTCAACAGCATCCTTGATCCTGCAGAGAAATAAGAAAAGAGCAAGCCTTCATTTTTTCATCCTTTGAGCCTCGTATTTTTGACTGATACTATGTTTCCTTGATAAATTATGTTATACCGAGGATGCTCAATGGAGTCCTCGCACCCGCAGTCAAACGGCTCCATTTCAATCCCAGCACAATCCTGATGCAGCCAGCCCCTGCACGTCTTGCACTGGACCCATTTTATGACGTTTACCTCAGGGTAAAGCAATCTGATCAAATGAGAGACAAACATAATATTCAAACAAACACGCTGTCCAATTGATTATACCTCTGCAGCACATTTGAATGTATAAATAATTTTCCTGCATGATTCGTGCATTTAAACTATATGTAAAAGTGGTCACTTCATGGAAAATCACTGAATAGGCCCCGATAATTGCATTTATTAAATTGAGTCTGCAACACACCTCTCTCCTGTGTTGTTCGATGTCTGGTAGACACAGAATTGCATTGAATCTGCCATGCACATTCTTTGGACATCCGATACCGTCTGCGTCATGGTTTCCTTGACAAGGCAATTTGAAAAGTAACATCAATTACCAAATACATCGAGACAATGTTGATCCATACAACTGTGTGCATTTTGAAGGACTCCCACTGAGATAATACTGTTTTTACAAGGCAATTTCTAACCTCTGTGTCCTGCTGCTCTGCCTTCCTCTTTAGACTGAAGACCGGAGTATGCTTTCCAGCAATGAGCTCTTGACATTCTTTGGTCCAGTGGGCGAAGATTTTCCCACAACTGTAATGACAATATGTCTTTAAGTACAATATATTGATTGTCTTCCAGTTAATTAGGACATCTAGTTTACTTAAACTGTCTACCTGTTCAAAGAATTGTTCTCCAGGAGCAACAGGCACCACCATCGCCGCCAAACAGGCATGTCATGCTGAAATTGTTGTTTGTATTTCATTTTAGTGCACAATACAAAATACAATCTTGAGGATGACACTGCGTGTTGAAAAGTACTTACAACTGAGTAGTCAAACTGTGACTCCATAACGATGTACATGGCAGACTTTAAAAAAAAATTATGAGACAACATGTGAGATAACTTTAAAAAAGTCCATGTTAGAAAGTTATTCTAGATACAATATTTGTGCATTACAGCTCGTTATGACCTACCATCAACATGAATATGCCACAGTCTGAGCCGAAGTCCTGGCTGGGGAAGCCCTGATTTAACAAAAGCAAACGTTAATCATCTTGTCACATACACTTTGTAGGAGCCAGATTGGGGTTTTGCAGTTTATTGTTATGTATTTTTTGTGCCAGCAGATGGTGCTATTGTGCCCGTCTATTTAATGGGTGGGTTGATTAGGAGAGGTGCGCACATAAAATGATGAATGAGTAAATAAATCAAAACAACAGAAAATGTGTGTGACATGTGACATTATTCCACCTGCGGGCACGCATCAACTCAAGCAAAAAGGTGTTCGCCACAAGTAACAGCATTGGAAAGCTGTTATACACTTTTCAACTGTAATATAGAGCATGCACAAATACCTCCAAATCTCTGCCCGTTTTCTCAGTCCATTGCCCAGGACATATCTTCTGCGCAATGTTCCTGTTAATTTGAGAGCGTCACTTAGATTTCCCATGATGGAAACAATGGAATGCAGGGTTAGGGTTAGTTTGAGTGGTCGGAGGTGAGATTGAATGAATGCGGACGGCTTGCTTCTTTTCAAACTTCCTGAGAGTTCTTCTTCTTCTGTAAATTTTGCCGTCAGAAAGTGTAGGTACATACCGCCACCTACTGTTCTGGCATCGCAAAGCAGAAGTTCAAAGTTCATGTTTTGGGTCCGCCAATCGGAGGTAATGCGGAAACTTATTGCGTTTTGTAAATGTGGTTTTTTATCTTTGGGTCCGCCATCTTGGCGCTGCATCTGGGTACTCTTGTTTTTTCTAGTCAGTCGTGACGTAAGCCTGAGGGCGGGGACATTTGGAGACCTTCGGAGGACTTCCTGGTGGTGGAAATCTCTGAATATTCAACCAATTTCATGGCAGACTGGGTACGAGCCAATTCAGGATGTCCGACACTAAAACCCCCCGCCATCTTCATGCTGTGATTTATAAGGTTTCCTGACAGGCATCACACTTGGTTTTGCAGTATGAAGTTATTCTTTGTCTTTGTTTTTGGACTCAGATGTGGTTTCAGAGCAGCAGAGATCGACTCCCTTTTTCCTGCTAAATAAATCAACGAGAGACTTTTGTACTGGGTCAGGTATACGACCTCCATTTGAGCCATTTTCACTCATGCATTTTTGGGCAACTCTTCTGAGATGATGAGATACACCCTGAAGAATGTGTGTACCAAATTTGGTGCTTTTATCCACCGCATAAAAATTTGGCCATTTTTTCAAGTTAACAGACCCTACTATGAGGTGGTGTGTTCGAGCCTTTTTCGGGACAAGTTGAATTTTGAAGTCTAGTGTCTAGACAGAAGAGTGAAAGAGGAAACAAGTGGTATAATCCTGTGTCTCCAAGTGGCTCAGAGTATAAGAACACTGACTGGGATTCCTGAGGTCATATGTTCGAGTCCAACCTTACCCACTTCTTGGTGAATTTTGAAGGTCTAGAGTCTAAAAAGTACAGTGATATATGAAAAAAAACATAATTGTCTTGTGTGTCCACATGGCTCACGGGATAAGGAGACTGACTGGTACTCCTGAGGTGGAGTGTTCGAACCTTTTTTGGGACAAGGTGAATTTTGAAGTCTAGTGTCTAGACAGGAAAGTGAAAGAGGAAACAAGTGGTATAATCCTGTGTCTCCAAGTGGCTCAGGGGATAAGAAGACTGACTGGGACTCCTAAGGTCATAGGTTCAAGTCCTACCTTGCCCACTTCTATTTTGAAGGTCTAGAGTCTACAAAGTACAGTGATATATGAAAAAAAAACACATTTCTCTTGTGTGTCCACATGAGTCACGGGATAAGGAGACTGACTGGTACTCCTGAGGTGGTGTGTTCCAGCCTTTTTTGGGACAAGGTGAATTTTGAAGTCTAGTGTCAAGACAGTAAAGTGAAAGAGGAAACAAGTGGTATACTCCTGTGTCTCCAAGTGGCTCAGGGGATAAGAACACTGACTGGAACTCCTGAGGTCACAGGTTCGAGTCCAACCTTGCCCACTTCTTGGTGAATTTTGAAGGTCTAGAGTCTATAAAGTACAGTGATATATGAAAAAAAACACATTTCTCTTGTGTGTCCACATGGCTCACGGGATAAGGAGACTGACTGGTACTCCTGAGGTGGTGTGTTCGAGCCTTTTTTGGGACAAGGTGAATTTTGAAGTCTAGTGTCTAGACATGAAATTGAAAGAGGAAACAAATGGTATAATCATGTGTGTCCAAGTGGCTCAGGGGATGAGAACACTGACTGGAACTCGTGAGGTCACAGGTTCGAGTCCAACCTTGCCCACTTCTTGGTGAATTTTGAAGGTCTAGAGACTAAAAAGTACAGCGATATGTGAAAAAAAAAACACATTTCTCTTGTGTGTCCACATGGCTCACGGGATAAGGAGACTGACTGGTACTCCTGAGGTGGAGTGTTCCAACCTTTTTTGGGACAAGGTGAATTTTGAAGTCTAGTGTCTAGACAAGAAAGTGAAAGAGGAAACAAGTGGTATAATCCTGTATGTCCAAGTGGCTCAGATGATAAGTACACTGACTGGAACTCTTGAGGTCATAGGTTCGAGTCCTACGTTACCTAGTTTTTGGTGAATTTTAAAGTCTTGAGTCCACAAAGGACAGCGATATGTGAAAAAAAACCTGATTGTCTTGTGTGCCAACATGGCTCACGGGATAAGGAGACTGGCTGGTACTCCTGAGGTGGTGTGTTCGAGCCTTTTTTGGGACAAGGTGAATTTTGAAGTCTAGTGTCTAGACAGTAAAGTGAAAGAGGAAACAAATGGTATAATCCTGTGTGTCCAAGTGGCTCAGGGGATAAGAACACTGACTGGAACTCCTGAGGTCACAGGTTCGAGTCCAACCTTGCCCACTTCTTGGTGAATTTTGAAGGTCTAGAGTCTAAAAAGTACAGTGATATATGAAAAAAAACATAATTGTCTTGTGTGTCCACATGGCTCACGGGATAAGGAGACTGACTGGTACTCCTGAGGTGGTGTGTTTGAGCCTTTTTTGGGACAAGGTGAATTTTGAAGTCTAGTGTCTAGACAGGAAAGTGAAAGAGGAAAGAAGTGGTATAATCCTGTGTCTCCAAGTGGCTCAGGGGATAAGAAGACTGACTGGGACTCCTGAGGTCATAGGTTCAAGTCCTACCTTGCCCACTTCTATTTTGAAGGTCTAGAGTCTACAAAGTACAGTGATATATGTAAAAAAAACATGATTGTCTCGTGTGTCCACATGAGTCAGTGGCTTCAATCCTTATTGTGGTTACGCCCTCTGCTCAGGCCCCCGGTCATCGGCCGCCGCGCCCCCCCTATAATCCCCCCCCGCAACCCTTCTTCCCACCCTTACTCTAAAGTTCAGCCTGCTCTGACTTCCTGTAGCATAACCCCCCTATTTTATCTCTCTGGAAACACCGGGGGGGGGGGTAACCACACACCCCTGGGCTTGAGCGGGTTTCGAACCAGGAGCCGGTCTTCAACCAGAACACATGGCTCACATTAGGGTGTGAGATGTCTACTACACTGCGCCACCGGAGACCATCCACAGTTGGGGATGAGCTCTGCGTGCTTTCATCTTGGTACTTTTGCTCCTGGACTTTAAAATTCATCCTGAATAAGGTTTGAACCTCAGGAGTCCCATGCTGCGTCCGAACTGCCCGCTCGGATACTACATGCTACTGCTACGTGCTACTGCTAGATCCTACTCCTACATGCTAAAAACGTTGGCCCAATTCGGACACACTAGACGAGCGGTGGGGAAAGACGACCCCCCCAGGCAGAGAGTAGGTACTGCGCCCGTGCAGACAGTGGTAACTGAAGCCCCTCATCTGCGGGCCTGGCTGTAGTACTGCAGCTGTGCAGTTTAATGATGGAATAAGTGAGCTTTACCTCCATGATGTCGCCACTTGCTCATAAAATGATTACTTGGGCAAATATGACACCATGACATGACAAAGAGATACGACCGCACATTTTTAGGACAGTGTGTGAAGTTACATGAAACTTACATCTGTACTGCTGCGGTCCCGCCTGCTGCTGCTCCGACATGGTGCGCGCTGCTGTGGCCAGCCGGCGTTCGCGACACTTTTAAATAGGCAGAGCAGCTGGTGGCGCTAGCATCACATGCGCTTCTACAACTTTTAAGAGGACGAAGAAGAAGCCCGCGGTGCATTTTGGGTCAGTAGCATGCCCGTAGGATGCACCGAGACCAACCTACAATGTGGGCGTGTCTAGCATCTGAAGTAGTATCTGAAGTAGCATGCTACTCGCTCCGGTGGCCAATTCGGACATGCTAGATACTACTTCGACTACTACTTCGACTACTACTTGGCAATTCGGACGCAGCTCTAGTCAATGTTCTTATCCTGTGAGCCATGTGGACACACAAGCCACATGGCCTACTATAAGGATATAGAGGTATAAGTTTGTCCACAAGGGGGTGCCAAACTCCAGACAGAGGCTTTAAATAAATTATTGCTAACTCAATTCTGGAGTAAAATCACTTTATCCCTTCAGTACATTCATAGTACTTCTCAGTTAATAATAATAATAATAATAATAATAATGATAATAAAGAAACCAAAAACACAAATAATCCAAAAGATTAGGGAGTTAACATCAGCAGCTTTTTTCTTAAAACAAAAACAAACACAAGCTCCAACTTTCAATTGCAATTTATTTCAAGTGATGCTAAAATGAAAATCTATGTTTAAAAAACTTATAAACAGGATCTAGCAGTAGTATGTAGCAGTAGCATGTAGTATCCGAGCGGGCAATTCGGACGCAGCATGTGTTAGAGGCAGAAAAGCGTAAACCAATGCCTTGTCCGAATTGCCCGCTCGGATACTACATGCTACTGCTACATACTACTGCTAGATCCTACTCCTACATACTAAACACAAAGAAACTGTGCTGGAAACTGACGCAAAGCAGAGAAGCAAAACCACTCACAGTGCGAAAAAAGTAAATAAATGGCTGTGTGTATGAATGAAAGTATGAATGTATTATATGTTTTTGTTTGGGTATACATGTATGAATATATGCATATACATGTTTAGTGAAGATTGCAACTTTTTTTAAGCTTTATTCAGAGTTAACAAAATAACAGTTCTAAACATAGCAGAATCAGTTCAATACAGTAATTTCAATATTTAAATAACATGTCAGTGAGAAATATAAAGTAGTTAGTGAAGAACAACAAGCAAACAGAAACATAAAAGTAACTTAAATAAAATAATTTATGCCATGCAAAACTTTACAAGGGTTTTCTTTCTTTTTCAAAACATTTTTAGCTGTTCAAATCAGTGGGAAAATTCTTTAAGTTATCATACAACATTTGTTCCTTCAAACCAGTAAAATTTAAATTTGTTTATGAATACAATAAATCTGGGGGATGATCTCAGAACTTTAATCTTCAGGATGAAATATTTGGCAACAGAGATCATCGTTTTGTTCGGTCATGACATTCCAAAAGTAACATTATCTAAGTGTCAGTCTTTGTGGATGTGCTTGTTTATCAGCTGTCTAACTTGGCTAACAGGCTAGCTGTGAGTGAGACCAAGTACATATTACAAAGTTGATCAATTTTACATCAGTTGGAGAGGCAGAAATGCTCTTTCATTTCAACATAACTTAAATTGCACACAATTTCCAAACTGTTTGGTTTGTTAAAACATCTAAAATGGCAAAACAAGGCAGACATTTATTTTAAAAATAAATATTTATATATGTTTTCGCTATATGTTATTATAGTTATCCCTGTAATAGAAATATTACTGACATAACATACATGAAATAATTAAATGTTTTATACATAAATGATTAAATACAACTGCCTTGTGTGTGTAGGCCTATAGCTATTGCTGCTTAATGCTTATTTATGTAAATCCATGGTTAAAATTATTTTTGAGTATGCAGGCACATAACTGAAACTCTGAGGTTTTAAACAAACCAAACCTTAAAGAACATCCGTTTAAAATTAAGCAATTTATGGTTATTTAAATGCTACATGCACCGTAGACTGTAATGTTATAAATGGGCGAGCTACCTGAAGCAAGATGGCCGCCATGCGCCGACGTCCGATCGGTAGGTTTCGACTGCGCACGTGCGACACGTAGTATACGCCCCCACCACTGAGCCACTTCCGGTTGTAGCTCGCCACAGCTGTGTTTCGCCAAACTTTGCATGAGAGGAGGGCGCCGACAGCGAGTTTGTTTTTCGAGTCGCGCGGGGGTAAACAAAAAAACTCTGAGAAGAGGTCGACGAGTGACGAGCTAGTGTTCAGAATATCAAAGTGTACAGTCAACGCGCTCCGCTCCAGGTATGTTGTGGACCTTTGTGTTGTTTGTCAGTGTTTATATTTTGGCGCCGGCATGAAGTAGGTGGTTTATGCAGAGCAGTGGATTAAAACAGTGGCTTTAACCCACTGCTGTGGGTTTATGGGTCATGTAGGCAGTAACGCGTCACGAGTGGGTCTGTTTTGTTGGTGTGCATCGCAGCAGTTGTGTGTGCACTGTGCAGTAGTTTTGAATAAAGTATATATACAAGTCACAATTACATACTTTGGGATATTTAATTGTAAATTTGAGTCAGGTTTTTGTCTGTGATTGTATCTGACTCTTTGTTGAACTAATTAATGTGTTTTTGCTACATAAACATGAGGTTTTCTACCTTTTTTTTTAAATAAGAACTAACATTTCCTTTGCTGAATGTTCCAAATATAGACTGTATATGGTTCTAACCTGTGCAAAAATTGTTATGCTGGCCATTAAATTGATCAAATAAATGGTGATTTAAGCTGATAATAGTTTATAAAAACAATAATGATATTAAGTCCTAAATCTGTTTTACTCATTCAACTGTTTGATTCTTAGGTTAGTTTGGTCAAAATAGATATTTGACTTAAAATAGAGAATATTTAAAGTTTTTTAAGTATACTAGAGAAAGATCAAAGGAGGGTGATCCAGATGGTAAAAGTGTGTAACTGTAAAAATCCTTAAAAGCACCCGTTCATATATGAACACAAGTAGACAAACAATCCTTGTCTCTCATTTTGTATTAATCTTTTTTAATATCTTGGAGCTGTAATCCAGCTACAGGGAATTTTCTGTGGCTGAAGTTGTCTTTTTAAACTTTATGTTAACTCAATTAGTCTGTGGAAATATAGATATACACAGCTTGTTCCACCCACAATTTTTCATAGATATTCATCATTACTGAACTGAAAAACAGCTGACCTGAGAGTGTGCCTAAATAAAAAGTTTTAATACAATTAAAAAACCAGAGAGCTGTCTCTCTGTCAAAGTTGTTTAAAGTTGTATTTTCACTCTTGCAGATCTGTGGGCATGATGGACGTCACGCTGGGAGAAGAAGGACGGAGTGGTCATCTTTCCTGAGCTGTAGCTCTAAGGTAAGAGGTTTTTCTTTGTACCACAGCTGCAGTTTCATGTTTCAGCGCTGAGTTTCAACAGCTTAGAGTTGAGCTGATTTTTAGGCTCCTTTGGTTCAAGTTTAACTATAGAGAAAATTATCTGACTCTGTTACTCACAGAAACCTCTCTGCAGCCTCAATAGTAGCACAATGAAGGTTTCAACATGAGCTAAAGGAGCCAAAGCTCTGTGCTTATGTTTATGAATATTAGATAGATTCTCTTTAGCTTGGATTAAAGATGTACTTAGCACAGATTAATAGACATTAAAGTGACATTATTCTGTATTTCAACACAACAGAGTTAAAAAGTGGAGAGAAGCTGAAAACTAGAAATCAGGTCTCAAATGACAGATTTATCATTTTTAATGTTATTGTTTTGCATTTAATGAAGTAATAGAAACAAAAATACCCGAAACAAAATTGCTAGACTTGAGTGAACTTTGGTACATTAAAATATTATGACAACTCAACTCAACTCAACTTTATTTGTAAAGCACTTTAAAACAACCACAGCTGAACAAAGTGCTGTACATAAATATTTAACAGAACTGAACTAGACTGCACATGATAGGAGATTAAAAACTGTCTGTAGTGATGAGTATAAATAGATGTCAGGTATGCTTCACCTTAAAAACTACATTTTTCTCTTGTTTGCTCAACCCACAATTTTTCATAGATATTCACACCGGACCGTCCCTGGAGTCGGGTGGACCACCATCTTCATGTGGCGGCCTTCCTCCCACGGCGTCCCGCTCAGGTCGAGGCGCTCAGCTGCTACTGTGACGCTGTTCAGAGTCTGATTATCAGTCCATCTTTTTACTGACTGATCAGAGACTGAGAGTGAAGCTGTGGACATAAATGGAGACTCCTCTTTAGGTGGAACTACCTCTTTAAGATAAACTCAAATTCTGATGAACTATCTATTGTATTTTATGGTACAAGTGCTCGCAGTTGGACTCAACATATTAGAAGAAGAGGAAGATCATCAAACAGAGCAGTGGTAATGTTATTTATCATCTGTGTTTTTAAGATTCATCAGTGTTTTCTTTTCTGGAAAACAATTACTGCGTTGTAGATGAGACACGACTGAAAGAAAACGTAGAGCTCGAAACATCAGGGGTACGATTGAATGAATTTCTTGACCAAAAATCACAAATCAGCTGATATTAAAGTATTTTTAATTAAGTTTGCGGCCTGAAAAAAAAAAACAAGCAGAAGTATGATTGAATTTCCTGTAAATGTTTCTGTAAATTAAATCAGTCTAAGGTTATTTGGTCATGACTTTAAAGTTATGGTCTGATTAAAGCAGCTGCATTTTTATATAATGTTGTTTTGAAACCAGATAAATATGGACAAAGTTAAACAAGTAGTCTTAAGGTAAAAAGTCTGTAATGTTATGCTAACAATAATAACTCGCTATAATAAGATATATATAATGGATATAATAATAAATTTTCATCTTTAAATCTTGAATTCTAGCTGTAAACTCTGGTGGTTTCTAAAAAAGAACAAAACTCAATAAAATATAACTGTCCACCAGATGGTGCTGTTTCTACACAAAACTGCCCTGGCCTTAATAATGACTCGTATTTTTCCATTTAATTTAAAATAAGAAATCATATACCAACATATTTAATACATTTGGCAATTCTGTGTTTTTCCTATTTAACTCTCCTTTCTAGATGATCTATGATTTAAATTTTTTCATGTTCCAGTTCTAATTATTTTGGCCAAAATCTTTTATTTTGAAATAAAGATAAACTACTTATTAGATTTATTTTTAATTACTTATCTAATGACAAGATTTCCTCTGGAAAAAGGAACTTGTTCATGATGTTTTGATTCTAGTTTTATGACATGCACCTAGTATTGTCTTAAGTTAAAATTATCAGCATTTATCTGAAAAAAAAAAAAGAAAATGTTTTTATTCTAAACTTTACTTCAAAGCTTCAACAAACCTGTGAACACTGAGATCTGATCTATCTCTGTACACCTGAGCTGCATTTAAAAAGTCCACTATGTCAAAAACAAAAGTTATAATCTGAGCTGTAACTACAAACTCTGTCCTTATACATCTGCAGAATGAAAACACAGCAGTAGCTGAATATTACAGTAAAAACAGACACGACAGCTGCTGAAAACATCAACAACAATATCAGGGACCTTGAAGACCCTGAAGGGGCTGAGCCAACAACACAACCACCAGAGTGACCTATTGGTCGACATAAATACTATTATTTGAAATCAATTTCTGGTCTTTTGGTCACATGACATGGAAGCTATTGAAGGAAAGGTTCAAAATTTGGTCTTAGATTTAACCCAAATATTTTTGGAGGACAAATTTAAGAAAAAAAGAGGTGTGACTTATCGTTCGACCTTAGTACTATTATTTGAAACCAATTTGAGGTCATTTGGTCACATGGCGTGGAAGCTATTGAAGGAAAACAGCCTTTTTTAAGAACATCAACTGAAAACAGTCAATTAGTCAATTCGCACACATCTATTTTTAGTCGCAAATACGAGTGTCAAGCCTTGGTCGGGGGGACTCACAATTTTATTATAAATAAAAAAACACACAACCACACTGTGGATCCAAGTTTATACATTACAAAAAAAGATTGTGACTGTGTCTCTTTATTGTAATCAGACCCCCCCCCAGGCCTCCTGCTCCCTCCTTCTCCTGTGTCTCCCTCAGGTTGAAATTCATCTGCTCTATGATGCTTAGTTTTGTTCCTGATTTTAGTGGTAGGAAAGTTTAGTCTGATTTTATTATTTCACCTTTTCACTGAGTGTTTAAAGACTTGAGTGTTTAAAGACTTAAGTCTTAAGACTTGAAATATATATGCTTTGAATGGAAATGCTAAACAATATTTCAGTGCACCAACATTTCCATTCAAAAGCAAAGATTTAAAGTCTAAAGATAATTTCAACTAGAAAATAATTCAGTCGGAACTACAGACACTGGCCTTGAAGATTCACCTAGACCTGGATCAGGATCAGGATCAAACATAGGTTGAGGTTTAAAGTCCAGGAGCCAAAGTACCAAAATAAAAGGACGCGCGACTCCTACCCAAGTGTGGATCGTATCTTGTAGCATGTGTGTTAGTCAATTGACTCTCAATGTGTGGACCCCGGTTCGATTCCAGCTAGTGACGGGGTAGTTAAAAGTAATGAAATGATGAAAATTTCCTTCTATACCGTAATCGGTATAGACTCCTGAAGAAGTGATGGTTCACTTCTAATGATGGCTAATTCTGATCGTTACTAATACTCTCCAGCCACGAGTTGGTATCAAACCAGGCCCCATTGGGTGCCAATAGACTTCCATGCAGTGCCATTAGATAGGATCCACACTAGGGCATGCGGAATGCCCGCTTTTATCATCTTACTTTGGCTAAAGGACTTAAAAATTCAACTAGATGTGGGTAAGGTGAGGCTTGAACCCACAACCTCAAGAGTCACAGTCCGTCTCCTTATCCTCTGAGCTATGTGGACACACAGGGCAATTCCGGGTTTGTCCTATTTCAGTCTCCATTTTAGACACTAGACTTTAAATTTCACTGCGAGTGTATAAGGCAAGGCTTGAACCCACAACCTCAGGAGTCCCAGTCAGTCTCTCTATCCTCTGAGCTATGTAGACACACAGGGGATTTCGGGGTTTGTCCTATTTCACTCTCCTTTCTAGACACTAGACTTTAAATTTCACTGCGAGTGTATAAGGCAAGGCTTGAACCCACAACCTCAGGAGTCCCAGTCCGTCTCCTTAACCTCTGAGCTACATGGACACACAGGGGAGTTTCGGGTTTTTCCTATTTCACCCTTTTTTTCTAGACACTAGACTTTAAATTTCACTGTGAGTTTATAAGGCATCCACACTAGGGCATGTGGAATGCCCGCTTTTATCATCTTACTTTGGGTAAAGGACTTAAAAATTCAACTAGATGTGGGTAAGGTAAGGCTTGAACCCACGACCTCAGGAGTGTCAGTCCGTCTCCTTATCCTCTGAGCCACATGGACACTCAGGCCGCATGTGTGAGTTTCCTTTTTGACTCTCCTCTGTAAACAGTGGACTGTAAAATGTATCTGGAGCTGGTTGAGATGGAAATAAAGCCACACAGAGTCAGAGTGTGTTGGTGTGTTTTTATTTCTAAACTTGATCCCCAGAGTTGGTCCTGAAAGAGAAGAAGAAGAAGAGAGACGCTGAGTTGGTCAGCTGGAAGTCCGTCAAGAACAAGACAAGTTTGGAGTTTTGAAGGTGAAGCAGACCTGACATCTACTTCTACTCATCACTACAGACAGGTTTGATTCCCCGATCATGTGCAGTCTTGGTTCAGTACATAAAGTTCAGCTGCCGTTCAGCCATCAAAACAGCAGCAGAGTGAGACGTCTTCCTTTTCCTCATAGCACTGTCATTACTCATCGGCGCCCTCCGGTGGCCAAAACTGTAACTGCATATGGATTAATGAAGATTGTGATGAGACGCTAAGGAGCAGGAGTCAGAGTGACATTTCTGCAGCTGTTTGAGGACGAACCGTGAAGAGAGGCTGATTATGGCGACGGAAAAACAAAAGATGGACAATCGAGAAACAAACTAAACTCTGTCTGAACAAACACAGAATCTCTCTGATAGTTTTAGATGGAGAAGAAGAAGAAGATGGGTTTTAAAGCGCTTTATTGTGTCTGGATCATCTTCTACTCAGGTAAGAAAGAGAAATCTCCTTTAAAGGACTGAATCACTCTAAAGTACGGGGTTTCTTCTTTTAAAAAGTACCAAACTAAACACTTTTTAGTCCTAATGAGCACTTTAGTGAGGTTTAATAACAGTTTTTAGAGGAATAATCGGTAATTCAGTGATTTCATAAAAAACTGGAGCTTAATATTTTTTACAGCATTAAAAAGGATTTTAAGTCTTTTACTGATCAGAAAACTGTCAATATTGTCAGTCTAAGACACATTATTACAAAGACTGTAAAGTAAAATGTTAAATATTTATTTAAAAATAAAATAAAAAGATGACTCCACATTTTAGTTATTTCAAATCACAAATAATGTTAATTATTGTTGCATTTTACTGCATGTTAATGCTGTTTATTGTATCATCACCATTATAGTTGTTATTAGTAGTAGTAGTAGATGTGGTGGTATTTTGTTCGTGTATTATACTGATAAGCAAATCTCTTATGTTTTAAAACAGAGAAAGTTTTATGGGCAGAAAAATCTCCAACAAGAATCAAGTTGTCACCTTTTTTGTGTTTATCAGATCATTTTTTTAAACATCAACATTTCTTAAAAGATATTTTAGAGTCAGACTGAAAATCAATGAAACCCTCAAAGACTCTCGTTCAACATCAGACGACAGCAGAAAGTATAAAGTCATCTTAAACAGCTGATCAGAGGTGGATTCAGCAGAAAAGTCCTCTTTGGTTTCATTTGCACTAAAAACTCAAATTTCAACAATAACTTGTGATACTAATGTGGACTTTTCTACGTGTCCCTGTTTTTAGTAGAGATAATTCAGTTTCAGTGTTTTGCTGTTAAAAATTCAATGACTGTCAGATGTTTCACCTTGTTGCAGATCTTCTTTATACCTGAGAGGAAAGTGAACCTCTGACACCTGAAAAGATTTCTCTGATGATCCCACTGAGAGCAGCAGCCGTGCCTCTGAATTCAGGTTCAAAGTCTTTAGAAAAGGACAATTACACATAAAAAAACATCTTTGAGCAGCGGCAGCGTAGAGACAAACACATGATTGTTGGGATCGTGACAGCAGAGTGATCTGATGTAAAGGAGGTGGAGATCATAAAGAAAGAGTCTGTGTTTTTCAGTCCTGAATCATAATCCTTAAAAACATGTTATCTGTGTCTGCTGCTCTGGCACCGCCTCACCTGAAACCTCCTTTTCTGGATTATAAATAGACGATATAATCTCAGGAACTGGCACCACACACAGTTTGTGCTCTTGGCTTGTGGTTTCTTGCACGGGTTAATCCTGAATTGCTCGCCGATGATGCCAGACTGCTCGCCAAAGTTCAGAGGGAAAAACGATTGATGCTCCTGAAGTGAGCAGAAACAGGAGAAGAGGTTTGAGCACGTGCCGCCTCCCTCCGCCCGCGAGACAAATCAAATCACAGCGACACAAAAGGTTGAACAGCAGAGATTCGAGAGGTTTATTTCAAGCATGAAATGATGACTGATGACTGCTGGGAAAACTTGGCTAAGTGTTGCTCAATTATCTCCAACTGTTCTGCTGCGTAACGTGGAATTAAAAGAGGATCCGCCGTAGATCAGGGCGAGAATCTCCGACGTTTTATGAACAATAAAGTTCAGGTAATTGCTTTTTTCCAGAGAGAGGAGACACAAGATTTTTGACCCTCTCAGCTAAAACACCCCGAGCAGAAGGAGGGGGGAGAGAGAGAGAGAGGGGGAATAGTCCTTTAAAGAGGGGGAATAGACCTTTAAAGAGGGAGAATAGTCCTTTAAAGAGGGAGAATAGACCTTTAAAGAGGAGAAATAGTCCTTTAAAGAAGGGGAATAGACCTTTAAAGAGGGGGAATAGTCCTTTAAAGAGGGAGACTAGTCCTTTAAAGAGCGGGAATAGACCTTTAAAGAGGGGGAATAGACCTTTAAAGAGGAGAAATAGTCCTTTAAAGAAGGGGAATAGACCTTTAAAGAGGAGGAATAGACCTTTAAAAAGGGGGAATAGTCCTTTAAAGAGGGAGAATAGTCCTTTAAAGAGGGGGAATAGTCCTTTAAAGAGGGAGAATAGTCCTTTAAAAAGGGGGAATAGTCCTTTAAAGAAGAGGAATAGTCCTTTAAAGAGGAGAAATAGTCCTTTAAAGAGGGAGAATAGTCCTTTAAAGAAGAGGAATAGTCCTTTAAAGAGGAGAAATAGTCCTTTAAAGAGGGAGAATAGTCCTTTAAAGAGGGGGAATAGTCCTTTAAAGAAGAGGAATAGTCCTTTAAAGAGGAGATATAGTCCTTTAAAGAGGGAGAATAGTCCTTTAAAAAGGGGGAATAGTCCTTTAAAGAAGAGAAATAGTCCTTTAAAGAGGGGGAATAGTCCTCTAAAGAAGAGGAATAGACCTTTAAAGAGGAGAAATAGTCCTTTAAAGAGGGGGAATAGTCCTTTAAAGAAGAGGAATAGTCCTTTAAAGAGGGAGACTAGACCTTTAAAGAGGGGGAATAGTCCTTTAAAGAGGGGAAATAGTCCTTTAAAGAGGGAGAATAGTCCTTTAAAGAAGAGGAATAGTCCTTTAAAGAGGAGAAATAGTCCTTTAAAGAGGGAGAGTAGTCCTTTAAAGAGGGGGAATAGTCCTTTAAAGAAGAGGAATAGTCCTTTAAAGAGGAGAAATAGTCCTTTAAAGAGGGAGAATAGTCCTTTAAAAAGGGGGAATAGTCCTTTAAAGAAGAGGAATAGTCCTTTAAAGAGGAGATATAGTCCTTTAAAGAGGGAGAATAGTCCTTTAAAAAGGGGGAATAGTCCTTTAAAGAAGAGAAATAGTCCTTTAAAGAGGGGGAATAGTCCTCTAAAGAAGAGGAATAGACCTTTAAAGAGGAGAAATAGTCCTTTAAAGAGGGAGAATAGTCCTTTAAAAAGGGGGAATAGTCCTTTAAAGAAGAGAAATAGTCCTTTAAAGAGGGGGAATAGTCCTCTAAAGAAGAGGAATAGACCTTTAAAGAGGAGAAATAGTCCTTTAAAGAGGGGGAATAGTCCTTTAAAGAAGAGGAATAGTCCTTTAAAGAGGGAGACTAGACCTTTAAAGAGGGGGAATAGTCCTTTAAAGAGGGGAAATAGTCCTTTAAAGAGGGAGAATAGTCCTTTAAAGAAGAGGAATAGTCCTTTAAAGAGGAGAAATAGTCCTTTAAAGAGGGAGAGTAGTCCTTTAAAGAGGGGGAATAGTCCTTTAAAGAAGAGGAATAGTCCTTTAAAGAGGAGAAATAGTCCTTTAAAGAGGGAGAATAGTCCTTTAAAAAGGGGGAATAGTCCTTTAAAGAAGAGGAATAGTCCTATAAAGAGGAGAAATAGTCCTTTAAAGAGGGAGAATAGTCCTTTAAAAAGGGGGAATAGTCCTTTAAAGAAGAGAAATAGTCCTTTAAAGAGGGGGAATAGTCCTCTAAAGAAGAGGAATAGACCTTTAAAGAGGAGAAATAGTCCTTTAAAGAGGGAGACTAGACCTTTAAAGAGGGGGAATAGTCCTTTAAAGAGGGGAAATAGTCCTTTAAAGAGGGAGAATAGTCCTTTAAAGAAGAGGAATAGTCCTTTAAAGAGGAGAAATAGTCCTTTAAAGAGGGAGAATAGTCCTTTAAAGAAGAGGAATAGTCCTTTAAAGAGGAGAAATAGTCCTTTAAAGAGGGAGAATAGTCCTTTAAAGAGGGGGAATAGTCCTCTTAAGAAGAGGAATAGACCTTTAAAGAGGAGAAATAGTCCTTTAAAGAGGGGGAATAGTCCTTTAAAGAAGAGGAATAGTCCTTTAAAGAGGGAGACTAGACCTTTAAAGAGGGGGAATAGTCCTTTAAAGAGGGGGAATAGTCCTTTAAAGAGGGAGAATAGTCCTTTAAAGAGGGAGAATAGTCCTTTAAAGAGGGAGGGAGAATAGATCTTTAAAAAGGGGGAATAGTCCTTTAAAGAAGAGGAATAGTCCTTTAAAGAGGAGAAATAGTCCTTTAAAGAGGGAGAATAGTCCTTTAAAGAAGAGGAATAGTCCTTTAAAGAGGAGAAATAGTCCTTTAAAAAGGGAGAATAGTCCTTTAAAGAGGGGGAATAGTCCTTTAAAGAAGAGGAATAGTCCTTTAAAGAGGAGAAATAGTCCTTTAAAGAGGGAGAATAGTCCTTTAAAGAAGAGGAATAGTCCTTTAAAGAGGAGAAATAGTCCTTTAAAGAGGGAGAATAGTCCTTTAAAAAGGGGGAATAGTCCTTTAAAGAAGAGAAATAGTCCTTTAAAGAGGGGGAATAGTCCTCTAAAGAAGAGGAATAGACCTTTAAAGAGGAGAAATAGTCCTTTAAAGAGGGGGAATAGTCCTTTAAAGAGGGAGAATAGTCCTTTAAAGAGGGAGAATAGTCCTTTAAAAAGGGGGAATAGTCCTTTAAAGAAGAGGAACAGTCCTCTAAAAAGGGGGAATAGTCCTTAAAAGAGGGAGAATAGTCCTTTAAAGAAGAGGAATAGTCCTTTAAAGAGGGGGAATAGTCCTTTAAAGAGGGAGAATAGTCCTTTAAAGAGGGAGAATAGTTCTTTAAAGAAGAGGAACAGTCCTCTAAAAAGGGGGAATAGTTCTCTAGAGAGGAGGAATAGACCTTTAAAGAGGGAGAAATAGTCCTTTAAAGAAGAGGAACAGTCCTCTAAAAAGGGGGAATAGTTCTCTAGAGAGGAGGAATAGACCTTTAAAGAGGGAGAATAGTCCTTTAAAGAAGAGGAATAGTCCTTTAAAGAAGAGGAACAGTCCTCTAAAAAGGGGGAATAGACCTTTAAAGAGGGAGACTAGTCCTTTAAATAAGAGGAACAGTCCTCTAAAGAGGGGGAATAGACCTTTAAAGAAGGAGAATAGTCCTTTAAAGAGGGGGAATAGTCCTTTAAAGAGGGAGAATAGTCCTTTAAAGAGGGGGAATAGTCCTTTAAAGAGGGAGAATAGTCCTTTAAAGAGGGGGAATAGTCCTTTAAAGAGGGAGAATAGTCCTTTAAAAAGGGGGAATAGTCCTTTAAAGAAGGGGAATAGTCCTTTAAATGTTTAAAGGTTCAGGATGTCTCTCTCTCTCCCTCTGTTTCTCTCTCTCTCCCTCTGTCTCTCTGTCTCTCTCTGTCTGTCCCTCAGCTCTCTGTGAGGACTGGACTCGTCTCCACACGGAGGACGACCTCTTCAGGAGTCTGTTCGGACGTTACAGCAAGTGGACCCGCCCGGCGAGAAACGTCAGCGACGTGGTCATCGTGAAGTTCGGCCTCTCCATCGCTCAGCTCATCGACGTGGTCAGAACTTCTCTCTTCCTCTCTGTCTTATTCGGAGACACTCTGAAGCTTCACTCATCAGCTCTTCTGTTTGTCCTTCACAACAGGATGAGAAGAACCAGATGATGACCACCAACGTTTGGCTGAAGCAGGTAAAGACTCGGAGGATTTTGTCTTGTGTGTTTGTGAGAAGGATCTCCTAACCTGAGCTGGTGTCTGCAGGAGTGGACGGACTACAAGCTGCAGTGGACGCCCTCAGACTTCGACAACGTGACGTCCATCAGAGTTCCCTCAGAGCTCATCTGGGTGCCGGACATCGTGCTCTACAACAAGTAAGAACCAGCGCTTGAGTGTTGCAGAGGTCAGAAACCCTCGGTGATCTTCTCAGACGTTAAACCAGATTTCTCTCCGAGGGAAAGGTCGTCTCTCTACAGTCGTGTTTTCAGATGAACCATAAAGTGTGAGGGTGATTGTAATTTTCTGCATGTTGAATATTGAAAGGGTGGGATCACTGCTCTGTAACGGACAGACTCTCTGCAGGTGAAATGATCTGTAGTGATCAATTACCTGCTTGATCTGTAACAAGCTGCTGCAGAGCTCCTGAAGAGAGAAGGTCAGGTGGAGCAGCTTCATCGTTTCACAGGATTTCTGCAGGTTCCTGAGTGAGAAATGCAAATCAGACCTCCGACTTAATGAGGCCGATTCCAGCGCTGTTGCATCACACTCTTGTGGTCTGGTTCCTCCCCCCCACGGGGCGCCAGGAAGTGTTCAGTCTGAGCTGAAACTTCCTCCTCCTCTTCCTCCTCTTCCTCCCTCTGCACTTGTTTAAATAAAGTTGCATCATGGGTGTCGCGTCGCGAACATCCAGTCATCAATAATTAATGTGAGTCTGTGTGAATTAGAAACAGCCAGAGGATCAATGTTCCCCATCGGAGAGAGAGACACCGAGGAGGAGGGGGAGGAGAGGAGAGGAGGAGGAGGAGGAGAGGAGGGAGAGGAGAGGAGGAGAAGAGTTTTCAGTCTGTGGAGCAGAAAAAAAGACAAAGGAGACACTTTTATCGGAGGAAACTTCAGTTCAGGAGTCTGATCCTCTCTCTATACCTCTCTCTCTTTTTTATCTCTTCTTTCCTCTCTCTCTCCCTTCCTCTCTCCTCTTTCCTCCCCCCTCTCTCTCTCTTCTTTCCTTCCTCTCTCTCTCTCTCTCTCTCTCTCTCTCCCTCTCTCTCTCTCCCTCCCTGTCTTCCTCTCTCCCTCTTCCTCCCTCTCTCTCCCTCTCTCTCTCCCTCCCTCCCTCCCTCTCTCTTCCTCTCTCTCTCTCTCTCTCCCTCTCTCTTCCTCTCTCTCTCTCTTTTCTCTCTCTCTCCCCCTCTCTCTTTTCTCTCTCTTCTTTCCTCCCTCTCTCTCTCTTCTTTCCTTCCCCTCTCTCTCTCTCCCTCTCTCTCTCTCTCTCTCTCTCTTCTCTCCTCTCTCTCTCTCTCTCTCTCCCTCTCTCCCTCTCTCTCTCTCTCTTTGTTTCTTCACCTGAAAATGAAAAACCTTAAATCTCATCAAACAGAAACTCAGAAGTCTCTGACCTTCTCTGGTTCTGACCCGCCGTTGGTCTTGTTCTTGCAGTGACCCGGTTCTGATCCCCTCCTGTTTCCTGGTCTGCAGGTCCGGACTCTGACCCCGCCTCCTCCATCTTTCCCTGAAACTCCACTTCCTGTCTCAGCGTTCTTCTCTTCCTCCTCCTCAGTGCAGACGGAGAGTTCGCCGTCACCCACATGACCAAGGCCCACCTCTTCCACACGGGTCGGGTCCGCTGGGTTCCCCCCGCCATCTACAAGTCGTCCTGCTCCATCGACGTCACCTTCTTCCCCTTCGACCAGCAGAGCTGCAAGATGAAGTTCGGCTCCTGGACGTACGACCGCGCCAAGATCGACCTGGAGCCGTTTGAGACCACGGTGGACCTGAAGGTCAGACTCCACGTCCACGCACACACACACACGCACGCACCGACCACGCGTTGGACTCAAACTCCTCTGACTTTCAGAACTACTGGGAGAGCGGCGAGTGGGCCATCGTCAACGCCGTGGGCACCTACAACATCAAGAAGTACGACTGCTGCCACGAGATCTACCCCGACATCACGTACTACTTCGTCATCCGCCGCCTCCCGCTCTTCTACACCATCAACCTCATCATCCCCTGCCTCCTCATCTCCTGCCTCACCGTCCTCGTCTTCTACCTGCCCTCCGACTGCGGCGAGAAGATCACGCTGTGCATCTCCGTGCTGCTGTCGCTCACCGTCTTCCTGCTGCTCATCACGGAGATCATCCCGTCCACGTCGCTGGTCATCCCGCTGATCGGCGAGTATCTGCTCTTCACCATGATCTTCGTCACGCTGTCCATCGTCATCACCGTCTTCGTGCTGAACGTGCACCATCGCTCCTCGGCCACTCACAGGATGCCACGCTGGGTTCGCAGCCTGTTCCTGTCGGCGGTCCCGCGCTGGCTGTGCATGAAGCGTCCGGTCCACAGGTCGGCAGGGATGGGGGGGTATTTCAGGATTATGTTACAATGCATTGTGGGAATTATAGACGGATTGATCAAGAGAATCTCACTTTCCCTCTCTCTGTCTCAGGCGCCGTCACCTCGCTGAAAAACTCCTCCCACTCCGCTCTCCAGGATCCTCCTACTTCAACCCCACCTGGATCACTCAGGAGTCCGACATCGATCTCCATGGTTACGAGAACGCCAACCTTCGCCACAGCAGCCACCAGCTGGACTTGTTGGGCGCCAAAGAGGAAGTGAAGTTCTGCGACCTCCACAGCTTCTCCAACAGCGATCACCTGGAGAGGTTCGGGGCGAAGGTTTGCGGTCAGCAGAGGATTTCCTCGCTCTCGCCGCCGTCAGCCCGATGCCTCGGCTACACCATCCTCCCGGAGAGACGCTCCACCTTCAGCCTGGACTGGGACGCCCCTCCTGTGGAGCCTGGTACGATCCAGACCTCGGCGTCTTCTGTTCTGTCTCCGGCGGTGGTTTCGGCTCTCGAAGGGGTGACCTACATCGCCGAGCATCTCAGAGCGGAGGACGCCGACTTCTCGGTGAGTCATGACGCTCAGAGGTGGATCAGACGGTTTTCAGGACTTTGACCCTCTCTGTCTCTGCAGGTGAAAGAAGACTGGAAGTACGTGGCCATGGTGGTGGACCGGATCTTCCTCTGGATGTTCATCATCGTGTGTCTGCTCGGGACCATCGGACTCTTCCTGCCGCCGTGGCTCTCCGGGATGTTCTAGGAGAAACTCTGAGAGGTCATGTGATCCTACTGGGAGACGAACCGGAGCGGCTGATTGGACAGAGCTGCTTACCTGCATGAAACAAACTATTAGATACCAATCAATAGAAGTATTGATGATACTAAACTGTCCGTGTCCTCTTTACAGCCGTGGTCGAGAGTTTCGAGAACGACACAAATATTCAGTTTTTTAAGGCGGTAATCTGCAGATACTCCAGAATGTTCTGAGCAGTGATCAGATTAAAGTCCTTAAAGGATCAGCTGAGATCATTTCAGTGATCCTCTCGTTAACACAGGTGAGAGTGTTGATGAGGACGAGGCTGGAGATCGATCTGTCCGACTGATGGAGTAGGAATAACAGAAGGTGGAGCTCCAAATCACTGCTCCTCTTCTGTTGACCAGGAAACACCTGCGGTCTTTACTTCGGCTTCACAGGGAAGGATATCGCTGTTAGTCAGATCACACCCAGAACAATCATTAATCAGATCATCAAGATCTTCAAGGAGAGAGGTTCAGTTATTGTGAAGAAGTCCATCAAGAGTCAGGACTGTCTCCTAAAGTGGATTCAGCTGCAGGGACGGGGAACCACGAGTACAGAGTTCAGGTGAGGAGAAGGACAGCAAAGGAGAACATCAGGGACAGACGGATATTCTCTGATTGTTTGTAGAAGAGAAGGTGAGTGCCACCATCAGCCCTGACAGCAGTAAAGCATCCTGGGATTGTTCATGAGAGGGTTTCTTCTCAGTCAGGGGAGTGGGCTCACAAACACAGTCATGAATGAAGAACCAAAACATCCTCAGAGAGCGACTTCTCCAACCATCAAAGATCAGTTTGGTGACGAACAACGATGGAGACGATGGAGCGCCTCACCATGAGGACAAAGTCAGAACTAAAACTACAGATTTGAGGTCTCCAATCCTCAGATCTTAATCCCACAGAGACCTCGTGGTCAATCCTCAACAAACAAAAACTTGTTTGTATTTAAACTTTAACACAGAAACATCGGAGAAAAGATCGGAAAACACCGAAGCAGCAGAGTTTGTGAAAATGTCTGTTTGTGTCATTCTTGAAAACGTTCGTCCACGGCTGTAGATCCTGGTCTGCAGGAGGACCTGGTCGAACCTTCACTGTTTGATCTGTTTTATAACCAGCTGGAAACTCCTCCTACCAGCTTTAACCAACAGGACTGAGAGGTTAGCTGGACTCCAGAGACACCCTGTTCAGGGGGTCTCTGAGGGTCATCAGCGCTCACGTTCAGGTGTCGGAGGGTCAACTCTCTCCTCTCTTATTAAACAGAAATCTTGACGACCTTTGAGCGTGAAATCCCGTTTGTTCGGCTGCTTTTCTTCCATAAATCTATAAACTCTCTTTTCTATCTTTGACTCTGAGTTTATGAAACGGCTCTTTGCTTTCCAAGAACTTGTTTTGGTTTTATTTTAGGAGCTCCTCCGTCTCCTCGAACCCATGACCACTGGCAGAGAGTCTCCTTCTCAGCATGACCGGATGAGTCTGACCCACCAGAACAAAGACCCTCCAGACACGGTCATGAGACAGCTCCGACACCCCGCTCAATGGGTTGTGTAAAGGTTTATATAAACTCTGTTTGTGATTGGTTAAGACCGCCGGCACATCCACTCAAAGGTCGTTTCACAGAGCTTCAGGGAAAACTGCGGTTTGACTCAGAAACTGGATCACAGTGACGACGGCAGAAAAAGAGAACCAAAGAGGAGGTTTGGGCCGATCCCAGTGAGGTTTACTGTCACACACACACACACACACACACACACACACACACACACACACACACACACACATCTGAGTCTGTGTGTTTATACTCGCTCAAACAAACCGGTTCATTCATGAAAGTGGAGACCAGCAGACGTACAAACTTTTATTCTCACAGTTTTTATACAGAGGGTCACAGAGGTTACTACAGGTCAACAGGAAGTGTCAGATATGGCCGCCTACTTGGCGTAGAGCATCTCTTTCCTTTTGTTGTACATGGAGCTGAGCGTGAACACGGCGTCGGTGAGGGTGGTGGGGAGGAAGGGGAGGAGCTTAAAGAAGCACATATCCATAGAGGACGCCAGCAGGTATCTGTGCTTGGGATTAGCCGCCGTGACGGCGTGCAGCATGGCGTTGATGACCAGGTCGGCATCCTTGAAGCCGCTCTTCGTGGTGGACAGGAAGTACTCGTTGGCGAGTTTGATGTACTGCTGGTTGAACCTTTGTTTTCGATCGTCGTCCAGTTTCTCCCAGATGTCGTAGGCGGTTTTCATCTTCACGATGTTGGTGGCGCGGCCGAAGTTCCCGGGCTGGATGATGCTCACCTGAAAGTCACAGAGAGAAGGTCACATCAGAACGAAGCTTCGCCATCAGAGGACGTAAGAGAATCAGAGCTGCTCTCTAAATCAGCCTGTCAACATGAAAACATTAAAGCTCCTGTAGGGAACTTTCTGTCAGGGTTTTACTGCCCCCCAGTGGTCTTTCTTTGACGTACCTTCACTCCGAAACTGGCCATCTCCACCCTGAGGCAGTCTGCGAACGCCTCCACTCCTCTCTTGGACACGCTGTAGGCCCCCATGTTCAGGCAGTAAAAGAAGGAGAAGATGCTCGACATGAAGACCATCCGACCTGCAGAGGTGAAGACACCAGATTTGAACCCGTGACCTTGAAATGAGTGAAGGACATGAGGTGACTGAGGCGGACCCCTGAGCTGACCTTTAGCAGCGCGGACCAGAGGGAGGAAGGCGATGGAGGTCCTGATGCTGCCGAAGAGGTTGATGTCCACCATGTTGTGGAAATCCTCGATGGTGCTCCACTCGATCTCAGCCCAGTCGGAGATACCGGCGTTGTTCACCACGGCCCACAGACCTGGAGACGGGTTCGACTGTGGTTAATAAATCTGATGTATTTCAGAGCTGAAGGATCGTCACGAGTTTAACGTCCGACACAAAAACAAACACGTTAAAGGAGAGGAATGAGAGGCTGTAAAAGTTTTATCTTTAGCATGAACTACGGAAGCCTACAGCTGCCAAAAAGGAAAATAAAAACTTATGACCTACTTCATAAAAAGGAAAGTCAGCATGCAGAAAGAGAAGAAGAGACCTGTTAGAGTTTTAACTCTCCTGAACTCGAACCCGAGCCCTCCTGACCCCCTCTCCCCGCCCGACTCTCACCTCTCTCCGGTAGGTTCTCCTGCACGGTCTTCTTCGCCTGCTGCACGTCGTGGTCGCTGGTCACGTCCAGTTTGAGGATCTTCAGGTTCCTGGAGCTCTGACTCTGCAGGCTCAGGGCTCCGGCTCCTTCTGGACACAAACACCCCGCAAAAACCACGAACCCTTTGTGGTCCAAACATCGAGCCAGCTGGTGCCCAAAGCCGCTGTCGCAGCCCGTTATCAGCACCGCGTAGCCGTGACCGTCCGGCACGATGACGGGTTGGCGGCAAACCAGCTTGGCGAGGAGAAAGATCAAAACGGCGGAAACTGAGAAGATGCCAATGATCTGGCCGATTAGGAAGATGTGATTCATGCTGAAGTCTTCGGAGGCTGTGAGTGTCGGCTAACGCTGCCAGCTGCTCATGATACGGCGGATCAGAGGGGACCCGGGTTCACTGTGGGGCCCGCTTGTCTTTCCCTCCTCAGATATACTCGTCCTGATTTCACGCCATTCGTTCCCGTTCACATGTGACTGTGAGGAGACACTTCACACTTGTGTTTGTGATTTCTCACGGTTTAACTCTCGGCTGAAATCCTGCAGAGTTATCAGAGCGGCGTGAGGAGCCCCGTGGCCCCGTCTAATACCTGGAACAACCTTGGAGCTGAAGGACTTCCTGTCAGAAAGGTCTCTCTCTGAGAATCGAGACCAGATACTAAATCTGGGGCTGGTTTTGGGTTTTACTGGATCAGAGATGGATCTATCTGTTTGGCCCGGTGGTTTCTGATCGGGGTTTTCCGCCAAAGTCTGTCCCCGCAGACTGAAGCGATGAACCGAGAACTTCGACTCTTCTGTTTTCTGAACTTTGTACCGAACACTGAGCAGCTGTCAGAGCCTCCTCGGAGGGTCGAAAACACTCTTTGTCAGGATAAAAACAGATGAGAAATGTGGGGAAGTTTGTTTTTAAACTACAGACACATTTTCTTTTTCCGGCCGATCAGCTGTCTGCAGAGTTTATGAGTTTTCTCTACGCTGATCGTCATCTTTAAAGAAATAAAATCAGTCTGAGGAGGATCGAAGCTCAGCATCCACACAGACTCGGAGCCTGGAGAGATCCAAGCTGAACTTTAGAGATGAAATAAACGTCCTTTTTAGATTTTTCTCCTTAAGTAAACAAACACGCCTGTTGTCCCACAGACACACTGACTGCTTTGTGTGTTTTACAGGAAAAATTAGGACAGAGATTGAGCAGAAATCAGAGAAACTCCTGCAGCAGTTTTACTTTGAAGAGCCGAGCCTTTTTTTCCTGACGGATAACAAACTGTGAAGGATAATAGTCCATAAATCCTGGACTCTGTGGTCCTCAGTCTGAGGAAGAACATGTCCTTGGCTCCAGGTCTGAGACTCTTTTAGATCAGTGTTACTAAGACTCACAGGAAGAAGGTCTAAATCGGGGGGCAGTCATGTGCCACGGAGGGCCGAGAGGCTGCAGGTTTCCTCTCCAACCCAAAACTCCAGCAGGTGATTTCACTGATGAGTCCCTGCTCTCTACTTGGAGGTAATCAGTGAAATCACCTGCTGGAGTTTTGGGGTGGACAGGAAACCTGCAGCCTCTCGGCCCTCCGTGGCCGCCCTCTCGGCCCCCCTGGTCTAAAGACTGAGAGGAGACCTCACAGAGGATCCTCTTGAAGACCACGGAGGGGTGACTCATTCTGGGCCTTTGGGGTCAAATCAATCAGAACTGAGGGCAGACCCACAATCCTTCAGTGTGTCCTGATTCTGATATCAGGGGCTCAGCTCTTCTTCTGCTTTAAAGCTCCTCTTGGACTTTCTCTGATCCACATCTGCAGGTTTTATAAATCTGGACTGGAGCAGACTCTGCAGACGCGGACTCTGCTGGACTCGTCTCTGTTCCTGCGTGAAAAACACTTTACTTTGCACACCTGGTCATCGTAATGCTAGTGCCCCCTACAGGACTGGAGGTCTGGTCTCAGGATTATTTTGGGTTCGTCTCTCTGAACTTTCACCTCTGCTGAGCGTCATCCTGGACCATCTTCAGCTGATGGTGAATCAAAGTCCACACTTATTGAAACGTCTCCTCCTCCTGGACTCTGTCGGCGGTCATGAATGATCTGAATGTTTTCTGTCTCTCTGTCAGGCGTCCCCTGCAGTGACCCTGATCGTGCTGATCCTGTTATCGATGAATGACCCTTTAGACTAAGAGCGAAGCTGAAGATGAAACTCCTACAGGGGAGGATGTCATGGGTGCAGAGGCGTAAAATGAGAGTCAAATGTTTTGCACAAATGTTCGTCTCCCTGGGACTGAAGTTTGTGTAACACAACAAGAAGAAGAGTGATCGGGAGGATTTTACCACGCTGCCTCGGGTTGTTTTTTTAATCCTCTCTGTCTTGTGTTTGTCCTTTAACCAGATCTTGAATTTATGTAATTTAGACAGAAGTCATAGGAAGTTATTTCAGACTCACTGTTACGTGTTGTTGTTGTTTTTGTAAAAAAGTCGGGTTTTCCAAAAACTACGTCTGGGTGGAGTCTCAAACCTCCGCTCACTGTCCCGAGTTCATCCTGATTTTCCCTGAAAGGTTATAAAAGGTGAAGCCGTCCTTCTTGTATAAGACAGACGGAGTTATCTAAGTAAATGATCACAACAGTCTGTTCGAGTTTAGACTGAAGACATGAGTGTAAATAACTGAAGTTTCCTGACTGTGGCCCTCTGTGGGGTTTAGTGATCTGTTTTTAATCACAGGTTTCCTCTGAAATGACATCCTGAGCTGATTACTGACGTGTGTCTCTGTTTTAAATCTAAAGGTTATTATTATTGACCCATAAAGGTTATGAGCTTCATTAACTCCGAGTTAATTATCAGGATATTAAATCAAAGCTCCAGAAAAACTGAATTAGTACAAATAAAACTTCAAAATTCAGCATAACGACTAAATCCAAAGTGGAGTAAATGTTGAAGCTGTCTGCTGAAGAGCGCTGCTGCCCTCTTGTGGTCACTGCAGACAGCTGCGTCCTCTCAAACCTCCAGCTCAGCCTCAGAGGGTTCATAAGAAAACATCCACACAGTGACAGGACGAAAAGGCCATGTTGGTTTAATTCTGTGTTTTGCTGAAAGGAACTGCGGCAGCAGCTGGTGGAGCTGATTTCATATGAGGCTAAAGCTGCGGTCTGTGTCTGACGGAGGTTTTCAAAGCTGAACGTTTCTCTGTTTTTATATAATGAGCTTCGGTTAAAGACCTCCTGACCGCACACTCCTACAGTGATCATGTAGAAACAGATATACATTCATATATACAAGTGAACATGTCTAACGTTAATGATATCAGTGCTTGGTCAGGGTGAGGCAGTGCTGTTCAGAAAAATCCTTCTCTGCATAAGAAACTAGTACAGTACTTAAAAACAGCTGTTTCCTGTTTGACCTCAGCCTCCCGTCTCCCCGAGGTCAGATCAGGTCTCCACTTTCCCGTAGGTCCCGTCAGGAGGTCGATAGTGTTTGGGGAAAGCTTTGAGCTGGAGCGAGTTAAAGGCGTATTTTCGGCTGCCCACGTTCTTCACGGTGTTTTCACGTCTGCAGCCCTCACTGAGGAGACACAACAAATAACACAGACGTGATATTTGGCGAAAACAAAGATGGAAACCCCAAATTCTCCTTTTTTGACCCGAAACAGAAAATAACATTTAATCTGAAGTTATGAGAAACTACACAAACTACACAAACAGACAAAGACACAAAGAAAAATGGACTCATTAGAGACCGAATTTCCTCTGAGCAGTCTAAACTGAGCCGGTTTAGGTTGTTGCAATTACACTTTATCACCATTAGGGGTCAGTAAAGACTGTGAAACTGCTTTAGAGGACCACATGATAGAAAAACAATAAAAACACAAATATAACACACACATCCACACACTCACGGACACACACACACACACAGGAAGGAGAGAGGTGGAGAAAAATCCACAGATTGAGGTGAGAGAGCAGGAAAGGCAGCAGAGCGGTTTCTATTCTGCAGGTGGAGGCAGAACACCTTTATTACAGCAGGAGTGTGGCGTTCAGGGACACACTGACTGTAGGATTCTGGGGTTTGTGGTACATTAAGAGCAACATGGGAGGCAGCAAGGCGAAAGCTTTGGAGGCTGAACAGCTGCTGAGTCTCAGAGAGAAAGCACAACCGGCGATTATTGAGAAAATCAGAAATATGTTGATGCTGTGAACTAAAAACACTTAAAACACGTTTAAAAACCATCTCTACGGAATCAGGAGGAGGAGGAGACATGCTGGAGGGACATTAACCTATGAAAACTGATCAGAACCTCCTCCGAAGAACCCGACACCGCTCCGTTATCGAACATGATCATGTGAGCGAAGAGTAAAAATACAGAGTAAATCAGGAGCTGAGTAAAAACATCATCCACAGAGATATAAAGTGACGACAGCATGACACTCATGGCACAGGCATTCTCAGAGAAGACCAAGCATTATCATACTATTATATACATTTACATATATATATATATATTTATCTTTATACACTCTCTGCCTCTGACGAAGACATCGCTCACATTAGCATGTTGACAGTACAAGCTTTAAATACAGTATTAATATACAGGAGTACAAATATATTCTATCATCTCAGATCTGACAGAAAATAACTGTGAAGATTTAGAGTCAATCTTGAATTATAACTTTAGAAAGCACTTCATTGTAATTGCACATGTCAGTTTGGGGGTAAAAGAACATCAGGGTAAATAAATCCTAAATCAATCCCATCCCTGCTGCTGCTGCTGCTGTGGTCATAGATCAGATCATCTAACACCGTCTTAAATCAACTCTGATTTTTCTAACAGAGGTAGTTTTAAACTAAAACCACTAAATTATCCTAAAAACAAACGGTTCAATCCTGTCGATTCATTTACAGCTGGAGAAGACTGAAAACAGGTTTGTGAGTTCAATACAAAGAAAGTTCATCAGGAGAAAACTAAAACTGAGAGAAGGTCTTTCTTCTGTTTCCTGAAGTCGAACCCTGACTGAAGCATTTGGCACAAGCATGGAGAGCTACATCCTTTATAACTTCAATATTCAAGAATAAATCAGAGCTTTACTCAACACAACACCAGCTGAAGGAGCGGAGAGGAGCTGTTAAAGCTGCAGTGAGCGTCTCTCTGTTCAACAACAGAGCAAAGTAAACGGACAGACCTAAACGCTCCAGAAGCTGCAGAAGTCCATCAAATCTACCTAACAAATATCTATAATAAGACCTTTAAACTTCGAACGAAACGAGAAGCTGCAGACTGAACTTTGTCAATCTTTACTGCATTTGGTGAGAAAAGCTGATGAGCTGGATCTGATACGACCAGGAGGGACTCAAGTCTCTGAACCTGAACGCTCTACGGCTCTGAAGGTCCGAGACTCTAACGTCAGCACCTTTAGGGATGCACTGAAGCCACAGCAGGAACATCTCGATGGGAGTTAGAGACAGGCGAGCGAGAAGCAGGGGCAGAAAAGCAACTAAACTAAAAAAAAACTAAAAAACAACAAAACTAAAACAACAACAAAACAACAAAACAAAAAAAAAACTAAAAAACAACAAAACTAAAAAAACAACAAAACAAAAAAAAAACTAAACTAAAAAAAAACTAAAAAAAACACACAAAAAAACAATAAAACCAACAAAACTAAAAAAACTACCAAAAAAAAAACAACAAAATAACAAAAGAATAACTTAAAAACAATAAAACTAAAAAAAAACTAAAACAACAAAACTAAAAAAACAACAAAACAAAAAAAATAACTAAAAAACAATAAAACTAAAAAAACTACAAAATTAAAAAAACTAAAAAAACAGCAAAACTAAAAAAACAACAAAACAAAAAATGCTGCGTCATGCTTCAAGAGACCTGATCCCTGAACCTCCCGGTCTGCTCATTTTTCTAAGGTGAGGTATGTGAGGTATCTAAACCACGTTGGGAATGAGGGACAGGGTCACACAGAGACCTCTGAGGAACATATTTCATACATAAACAAGAGTTAAAGGACATTTTAAAGAAGCTGGAGTGTGACGGCGGCTTCAGTTCATTCACGTCTAATCAGATCCAGATCTGCTGCAAAGTGCACGTGTGGAAGAAGAAGAAGAAGAAGAAGCAAACTTTGGAGTAAAGCAGGAAGACCTAAAGAAAAAAGAGCGACAAAAACATGTCTGAGCTGAAGGAAGCTTCAGTGTTTCTCTGCGTTCACTCGTCAGTGCATCGGCACATGGAAGACGATGATCATCAAACTAAAGCTTCAACCATCTCGGAGATCTTTGCTGAATCAAAGCTACCGATACCTCTGTCCTGAGACCGGAGTCTGGGGCACAAACACACAAACTCTGACTCTACCACCACACATCTGTCCACCGGAGGGCGCCACACACCACAAACAGGCTCAGTGAAATCAAACATGTGACTCTGGTAAAAGTGGGGCTGCAGTTAAAGGATAAAGTTCAGGTTAGTGAGGGTGCAGACTTTTACAGACATGACCCAGAGACCCCACAGCAGCTCCAGGTGGACCAACAGGGTCTCCTGATCATGTCAGCAGGGGTCTAAAAACTTAATAATCCCTCAGACGTCAAACCATCCAAACAAACCAGAGAGAGGGCGGGGCCTGGCTGCAGACGGACCGACCCGGGGCGTCAGGTGTGTAAAGCCCTTAGAGGGGGACGGTGGTAAATGCTGTAGAGTATCAGTGTGTATGAGTTTCACACACACACTCACACACACACACACACAGGACAGTGGCACAGTTCAGAAACACAGAGTCTGTTTGGAGAAGTCCCCGCTCTTCCTCACGGACTCTGGACTTTGGTTCAGTCCTCTTCTTCAGCTGCAGCGGAGCTTCGACAGGAAGTACGCCACGCTGAGGAAGATCCACACCACCAGGAGGTTGGGACTGAGAGCCAGCAGGGGCAGAGAGTACAGGAGGCTGGGGTCCAGACGGAGGTCACGCACCGGCAGCACTCCGCACAGGTTCTTCTGGATCACCCCCTCCCTCGTCCCAATGCTGCCGGGGTCACGAGGAGTGGGGAGGAGGAGGAGGAGGAGGAGGAAGAGGAGGAGATGTGGAGCAGCAAAAATGGTCGGTGATGTAGAGAGGAGGGAGGAAATGGGAGGTGAGAGGAGAAGCAAAGGGATAAAGGAGGAGGAGGAGGAAATAAAAGAGGAGGAGGAGGAGAGAGGGAGGCGTGTGCAGCAAACGAAGATGACGTGCATGAAGGTGAGACGGCAAATAATCAGGTGATCCCAGCAAAACGTCACGACAGGGAAGAATCCACAGCCAGCAGAGTTTCCATGGTATGAGCGTAAATAAAGAACATAAATCAGTAATAAAGAACATAAAGAGCACATGTAGGAAACATAACAACATGATCCAACCACAGAGAACAGAGGAGGAGGAGGAGGAGGAGGAGGAGGGAGGAGAGAGAGAGAGAAACAAGAGAAAATTAAGAAAGATGTCCTCCAGAAAAGAAGAAAACTCTCTCTCCATGTTCACCGTCTCTCAGACATGGATGAAAAAGAGGGCGGGGCAGGGCGGGGGGCGGGGCAGCAGCAGGACACGCCTTTAAAACTCCAGAACATATCTGCTCCACAGATATGAAACATGCAGAGGAACTCCAGGTTTTAAAGGCGTCTGAACGTCTCCTCAGACCTCCAGTCTTCAGAGGAGCTACAGGGAGAACGAAGGAGGAGGGGAGTGAGAGCTTCAGAACCAAACATCTGTCAACATCTCAAACTGATCCGAGAAGCTGTTTTCATGCTCGTCGACTGAAGATGAAGAGGGGAGAAACAAACGAAGGAGAGATGAGAGAGGAGGAGGAGGAGAGGGAGGAGGAGGAGGAGAGAGTGCAGCTTTATTGAGCACAAATATATCAGACAGGAGGTGCTGTTACATCTCTGTACAACAAACACGGTCAGGACGACATGAGGTTCGAACACACGCAGAAACACGGACTCTGAGTCCTCCTCCATCAGACCTGGACAGCTGTCTCTGAGGAGTCCCTGCACTCCTCCTCCTCCTCCTTCATGCACTCCTTCTCTCTTCTAAAACAGCAGGTTCTCATGCTCTCCGCTCGTTTTTGTTTCTCTGTGTTCTCCTGGTGAATCTCGGAGGTTTCTGTCTCCATGCAGAAAAACGAGGAAACTGAAATCGTGTCAAAGAGGTTCAGTCCTGACTCCGACTGAATCCCTCTGAGCACACTTTCAGACGTGGAGAGGAAGAACAGGCAGGAGAGGGAGACGAGAGGAGGACAGAGATGGTTTGATGCTCTCAAAGAAAACACACAAACACACACTCACAAACACACACACCCAAAGGAGGATCCTCGGACTCCAACAGGCTCCTCCTTTCAGACCTCAGAAACCACACACCAGCAAAATAAAGGATCCAGCTCTCCCAGAGGACCAGCTGGGATGTGGTTTTTGTGATCCTACCTGCGCATACAGTCCAGGGCCTGGGTGAAGACCTGCGGCGCCATGCCGTGCTCGTGCTGCAGGATCAGGCACTGCTCCAGGGTCACAGACATGGCGGTGCGGTCTTTGGCGCTTTTACAGCTGGTGAACCGAACCCCGTTCAGACGGCGACAGATCTGGGACAAAGAGACAGAGAAAGTCCTCCTTCAACAAACTCTGGAGCAGGTTCTCCTGAACTTCATCACAGTTCCACTCATGAACATTAAACTCTATCAGGACTCCGAACACGGCAGAGTTTCACCTCGGCCGCCTGCCACAGGATGTCCACGTTCTTGTTTTTCCTGGCGTGGACGTTCTGCCCCAGAAACCTCAGCAGCTCAGGGAGACAGGTCTGAGAGCGGGACCTGGGGAGGCCTGGGGGGGAGGAGAGGACAGGAAACAGAGGGATGAGGAGGAGGGTAGAAGAAGAAGAAGAGGAGTGGTTTGTTTGAGTGCCGTACTCACAGTCCTCAGGCAGGACTTCTTTGAACTGCTCGTAGTACGAGTTTAACCTGGACAGACTCTCCAGGTTGATGACCTCCTGCAGGGACGTGTCTCCAAACCTGCAGACAGAGAAACAGTCCCGTCACTCTCAGACTCACTCTGCTGCTGCCGCCGCCGCCGCTCCTCTCAAGCTCCTCCCACTCACTTCTCCGCCAGCGTCTGCTGCTCGTTGATGCCCACGTTGAAGTGCACCGGCTGCACCCTGAGCAGCATCCCGCTCTGGATTTCTCGAGGTAACGCGTCAAACATGGACCCCGGCAGCGGGATCCTGACGTTGAAGCCGTCTCTGTTCCCTGTGATGATGGGCAGCATGTCGGGGGCGGAGTTACCTGTGGCCTGGGTCACCTGGGAGTGATGAAAGCGGGGTTAAGATGAAGACAGAACCACAGAAGAAGAGTTCCACACAGCTGCAGCTCCTCAGTACCTTAAAGGTCACGTTACGAAGATCCATGATGCCCACGCTCATGTCCTCCAACATGGCCAGCTCCTCTCCTGAAACCACAGTGATGACACCCAACCGTCAGGGGGCGGGGCCAAAAAAAACTCTGTATGAGTGTGTGTGTGTGTGTGTGTGTGTGTGTGTGTGTGTGTGTGTACCGTAGGTGCTGAGCAGGGACTCAAACTGAGCCAGCAGGCCGATGGTGTAGAGCTGTCGGAGGAATCCGTTGTCTCGGAGACAGTTCCTCAGTTTGAGAATGAACCCACAGATGAGAGCAGTGAGCTGTAACACACACACACACACACACACACACACACACACACACACACACACACACACACACACACACACACACACACACACACACACCAGCATCAGCTTTCAATCCTCTGAGTGTTTGTGTGTCTGAGAATCAGCTGCAGATGATTCATGCAGGAATAAGAAAGTCCACCTTTGATGAAGAACCGCAGTTTAACCAGTTTAACCAGTTTAACCAGAGTTTAACCAGTTTAACCAGTCTAACCAGAGTTTAACCAGTCTAACCAGTCTAACCAGTTTAACCAGAGTTTAACCAGTCTAACCAGAGTTTAACCAGTTTAACCAGTTTAACCAAAGTTTAACCAGTTTAACCAGTTTAACCAGAGTTTAACCAGTTTAACCAGAGTCTAACCAGTTTAACCAGAGTCTAACCAGTCTAACCAGAGTCTAACCAGTTTAACCAGTCTAACCAGTTTAACAAGTCTAACCAGTCTAACCAGAGTCTAACCAGTCTAACCAGTTTAACCAGTCTAACCAGTTTAACCAGTCTAACCAGAGTCTAACCAGTCTTACCAGTTTAACCAGTCTAACCAGAGTCTAACCAGTCTAACCAGAGCCTAACCAGTCTAACCAGTTTAACCAGTCTAACCAGAGTCTAACCAGTCTAACCAGAGCCTAACCAGTCTAACCAGTCTAACCAGAGTCTAACCAGTCTAACCAGTCTAACCAGAGTCTAACCAGTCTAACCAGTCTAACCAGAGTCTAACCAGTCTAACCAGTCTAACCAGAGTCTAACCAGAGTCTAACCAGTCTAACCAGTCTAACCAGAGCCTAACCAGTCTAACCAGTTTAACCAGTTTAACCAGTCTAACCAGAGTTTAACCAGTTTAACCAGTCTAACCAGAGTTTAACCAGTTTAACCAGTTTAACCAGAGTTTAACCAGTTTAACCAGTCTAACCAGAGTTTAACCAGTCTAACCAGTCTAACCAGTTTAACCAGAGTTTAACCAGTCTAACCAGAGTTTAACCAGTTTAACCAGTTTAACCAGTCTAACCAAAGTTTAACCAGTTTAACCAGTTTAACCAGAGTTTAAACAGTTTAACCAGAGTCTAACCAGTTTAACCAGAGTCTAACCAGTCTAACCAGAGTCTAACCAGTTTAACCAGTCTAACCAGTCTAACCAGAGTCTAACCAGTCTAACCAGTTTAACCAGTCTAACCAGTTTAACCAGTCTAACCAGAGTCTAACCAGTCTTACCAGTTTAACCACTTTAACCAGTCTAACCAGTTTAACCAGTCTAACCAGAGTCTAACCAGTCTAACCAGAGCCTAACCAGTCTAACCAGAGTCTAACCAGTCTAACCAGTCTAACCAGAGTCTAACCAGTCTAACCAGTCTAACCAGAGCCTAACCAGTCTAACCAGTTTAACCAGTTTAACCAGTCTAACCAGAGTTTAACCAGTTTAACCAGTCTAACCAGAGTTTAACCAGTTTAACCAGTTTAACCAGAGTTTAACCAGTTTAACCAGTCTAACCAGAGTCTAACCAGTTTAACCAGAGTCTAACCAGTCTAACCAGAGTCTAACCAGTCTAACCAGTTTAACCAGTCTAACCAGAGTCTAACCAGTCTTACCAGTTTAACCACTTTAACCACTTTAACCAGTTTAACCAGTCTAACCAGAGTCTAACCAGTTTAACCAGTCTAACCAGTCTAACCAGTTTAACCAGTCTAACCAGTCTAACCAGAGTCTAACCAGTCTAACCAGTTTAACCAGTCTAACCAGAGTCTAACCAGTCTTACCAGTTTAACCACTTTAACCACTTTAACCAGTTTAACCAGTCTAACCAGTCTAACCAGTTTAACCAGTTTAATCAGTCTAACCAGTTTAACCAGTTTAATCAATCTAACCAGTTTAACCAGTCTAACCAGAGTCTAACCAGTTTAACCAGTCTAACCAGTTTAACCAGAGTCTAACCAGTTTAACCAGTCTAACCAGTCTAACCAGTTTAACCAGTCTAACCAGTCTAACCAGAGTTTAACCAGTCTAACTAGTCTAACCAGTTTAACCAGTTTAACCAGTTTAACCAGTTTAACCAGTCTAACTAGAGTCTAACCAGTCTAACCAGTTTAACCAGTCTAACCAGTTTAACCAGTCTAACCAGAGTTTAACCAGTCTAACTAGTCTAACCAGTTTAACCAGTTTAACCAGTCTAACCAGTCTAACCAGTTTAACCAGAGTCTAACCAGTTTAACCAGAGTCTAACCAGTCTAACCAGTTTACCCAGTCATCAGGGGAATATAACGTCACATGTTTGTATGAAAATATGACTCAGCCTATCAGCTCTGCTTTGACTCCAGACATGAAGAGGATCATGGGTAATCGGCCTCTGCTGAGACTCAAATCTCTGCAGAGAGCGGCGTGCTGAGTCAGCGTGCTGAGTCAGCGTGCAGCGGCCCAAAAATAGAGGACTTGAAAACACCAGGAAATCCACTACCTGGACCGGTTCTGGACTCTCTTCAGGTCTGAACCTGAAACGTCTCTGCACAGCAGAGTGGGAGTGGAGAAACCCCGCCTCTCCGTTTCCTGTTCCCTCTACCATGTTTGATGATCACATGACCACTCACCGTCTGACAGAAGACGACGTCACGGCGATACTGCAGCGACAGGTCCATGGCTATCGTCGGGGCGCTGTCCTGCATCAGCAGGAAGACCATGGACTTCTTGGCCGTGTCGCTCATCATGGCGACGCACTCTGTGAGCGTGGTGAGGAGGGGGTACAGCGCCTCGCTCCACTCGCCTGAGAGACACACGTGCGGGCGTGAGAAGGTGTGAGCAGGTAGATACTGATGTCAGAGATCATATTTAGAGCTGCATGAAGAAGGAGCAGAGAGACCACAGAGGGGGACTAACTCAGAGCAGGTGGTCTTCCTCAAACCTTCTCACTTTTCCATGAAGACCACCAGCTGACACGTCCTTTAGAGGACGTCTTTATCAAGCAGAAACTATCTTCTCTGTCTAGACCCTCAGATCGAACCTCTAACAGGGTCTTTGGTGTCAGTGCTCAGCTGGTCTAACGTCTCCACGCTCAAATCTAACTGGTGTGGTGTCGAGACAGAAGCAGAGCGAAGACAGAAGCTCTTACCTGGGTACGCCTCCTCAGCCACCGGGCTTCCATCTGGAAGAGGGGATGGAGGTGCAACGTGCATGATTAGCAGCACATACGCCACAGGGGGCAGCAGAGACACACAGAGAAAACATGGAGACCAGGGTCCAGGACCGATCAGAGACACAGAACCGGAGTGAGAGAGAGTCTCAGCGGAGGACAGTTTCAGTCAGAGACAGCGTCCTCACTCTCAGTTCTTCAGGTATTTTCAAAATAAAAGCTCAGATAGATCCTGACCCTGGTCCGCTACAACACGGAGAGTAAGCACAAAACCTCAGGAACGACCGCGAAGCTCCAGACTAAAGCAGCTGATCTGATCTTCTACATCATGGAGACACAAAGAGACTCTTTTCTCATCATGTCGACCTTCATCCTGATGAAAAGGTGAAAAAACGACGCAACAGAAGATGACAGGAAACAGTAAAAACTCATAAACCTACGGGGCTGATGGTCAGGGCTGGGAGGACATGCAGAGGAGAGAGCAGAGGATGAGGAGGGTGGAGGTGGCTGTGATGAAGATGATGATGAGGATGAAGAGGATGATGATGAGGATGATGGTAGAGATGCAGCTTCCTGAGATGAAGAGTCTGGGTTGATCCAGAAAGCTCTCGTCTTTCCATCACCTTTTCACAGGCATGAATAATCGAGTCAGAGAAGAGCTCTAAATACAGTCAGCTGTTTATTTCAGTGAACTCGGAGTTTTTAGTCTGAGCTCTACGCCTGAGAAAACACGTTTATGAAGAGAGAAGAAGAACGAAACAGAACCTGAACTAAGACTCCTTCACAGACACGTTTTAAAAACTTCCTAACTTTCAACGTCTCCATCTGAAGGTCACCTTTCTTAGTGGCGCCGCCCTGCAGGTCAGCCTGCCCGCTGTCCTGACTGCTGACACTCGGTCTCCTCTCCTTCTGCAGCAGCTTGTCCACACGCTGGATGATGCACTCCAGGGACTTGTCCACGTTCACCCAGACCTTCTCCTGAAAAGAGGCGGAGACACGTTCACGGTTAGCGTGTCTGAAAACTGAGAGGACACCGAGGGGAGGGATCAGGAGGCGCGCTCGTACCCACTCCTCTTCATGCCAGTCCACCTGCAGAGAAGACCGGCTGTTACTGCCGCTCCACTTGGCCAGCAGGGTGTCCTGGTCGTTACGGAGAACTACTTGTTCTGCGTCGGCGGAGGGGGACGCTTTAGAGGCGATGTACTCGGGCCGTGCGGCGTTCAGGGCCTGGATGGCTGAAGCCAGAAGTTTACAGTCGCACACCGTCACCAGCTGACGAGTCTGAGAGGAAGAACAAACGCACGGTCAGATCCCTGCTGGAGAGGAGAGGAGCTCTGAATCCGACCTGAGGTTCGACTCAAATACCTTATCAGCCAGGATGGCCAGGGTCCGCTCCAGTCCGCTGGCAGAGCGGTCTTTGGCGGCTCTGGAGAGTCTCTCGGCGTAGTAACTGACCTGCGTCTTCAGCGTGTTGATGTGGGCGATGATCTCTTTGGCTCTGACGATGTCCTGCGGGATGTAGACGATGGACTGTGAGCTGGAGAGGGCGCTGCTGCGGAGAGGAGGACACAGACAAACGCTGATGATCCGCTCTTCTTCTTCTTCTTCTCTGCCTCCACATAAACCTGAACTCTGTGAGCTGCTGCGGTCAACAGACAACAACACAACAGCAACAACGACAACATGCACATGCCTGCTCTTCACAATGGTGTTTGGACGTGAGTTAAAGAGACACAAACAGGAGAGTGACGGCGTGCACGTCAACGACTCAGAGAGACCTCCTCTGTGAAGGTTTTCAGTTTGTCCGTGTGTGAAACAAAAACCAGACACTGATAAGACAAACACATCCATCTAGACGTGAGTCTGCAGCTCACCCATCCACAGACGGCTCACAGACACAGTGGAGGTGGTCTACAGTGAACAAACCAATGAGAACAAGCAGAGCAGCGCCAAAACTCACCATTCCTCCTCAAATACGCTGATCAAAAACAAACCAACAAAAACCAAAGTTAACGGAAAAACAGTCAGTAAAGGCAGCAAACCATAAAAGAGAGAAGTTTCCTGAGAGACTACATGATAGATGAGAAGAATGAACCATGAGAAGAGGACGTGCAGACATCACTGTTTCTCTCAAACTCACTGTTTCTTCGCCTCCTCAAACTTCTGGAGGAGTTTCCTCAAACCGCTGTTTTTAAAACCTTGGCAGTGAGCGGCCGGCGCCCCGATGGTCAGCACGTCGTACGTGTGCTCTGTGTGAGTTCAGAGAGAAACCAGAGCTCTGTCAGATCTTTGGAGACCACCTGGTACAGACCGACGTGGACCTGTTTTTGACTCACCGAAGCCCAGCTCGTCCTGCACCCTCATCCTCTGGACGTGTAGGTTTGTGGGCATGAACTCCAGTTTCCTCTCGGCCTTCAGGTTACTGGCTTTGAATGATGGACCTGAAGGGGGAGGGGTTAGACTCTCAGAGAACTTTCCCAGAAAACAACACGTCTGTGTGGGAGTCTTCGGAGGAGACTGACCTCTGTAGTTGTTGAGGTCGGACAGCGTTTCCTGGTACGAGAGGATGATGGTTTGGTACTGAGACACGATCTGTCGCCTCAGGTTTTCCCAGCATGGCGACAACTCGCCCAGCTCCTCCAGCTCGCACACCCTGGAGACGAAGAACGGAGACGAGTCAACAAAGGTGTCAACGCCTGAGGAGGTCAGTAAGATTAGAGAAGACGTTTTTTTTCTGATTCAGTCGTAGCGGACGGTTTAACCTCGGATAAATACGTGTTTTTTTATACCTGACCATCTTCTATGGAAGCCCATTTCCGCCAGTCAAAAAAAAAAAAAAAGTCGAAATTATGAGATTAAAAGTCAAAATTATGAGATAAAAAGTAAAAATTATGAGATAAAAAGTCTAAATTATGAGATAAAAGTCAATTATGAGATAAAAGTCAATTATGAGATAAAAGTCGAAATTATGAGATAAAAAGTTGAAATTATGAGATAAAAAGTCAAAATTACGAGATTAAAAAGTCAAAATTATGAGATAAAAAGATGAAATTATGAGATAAAAAGTCAAAATTATGAGATAAAAGTCAATTATGAGATAAAAGTCAATAATGAGATAAAAAGTTGAAATTATGAGATAAAAAGTCAAAATTATGAGATTAAAAAGTCATAATTATGAGATAAAAAGTCAAAATTACGAGATTAAAAAGTCAAAATTATGAGATAAAAAGATGAAATTATGAGATAAAAAGTCAAAATTATGAGATAAAAGTCAATTATGAGATAAAAGTCAATTATGAGATAAAAAGTCGAAATTATGAGATAAAAAGTTGAAATTATGAGATAAAAAGTCTAAATTATGAGATAAAAAGTCTAAATTATGAGATAAAAGTCAATTATGAGATAAAAGTCAATTATGATATAAAAGTCAATTATGAGATAAAAAGTTGAAATTATGAGATAAAAAGTCAAAATTATGAGATTAAAAAGTCAAAGTTACGAGATTAAAAAGTCAGAATTATGAGATAAAAAGTCAAAATTATGAGATAAAAAGTCAAAATTACGAGATTAAAATGTCAAAATTATGAGATAAAAAGATGAAATTATGAGATAAAAAGTCTAAATTATGAGATAAAAAGTCAAAATTACGAGATTAAAAAGTCAAAATTATGAGATAAAAAGTTGAAATTATGAGATAAAAAGTCTAAATTATGAGATAAAAGTCAATTATGAGATAAAAGTCAATTATGAGATAAAAGTCGAAATTATGAGATAAAAAGTCAAAATTATGAGATTAAAAAGTCATAATTATGAGATAAAAAGTCAAAATTACAAGATTAAAAAGTCAAAATTATGAGATAAAAAGATGAAATTATGAGATAAAAAGTCTAAATTATGAGATAAAAGTCAATTATGAGATAAAAGTCAATTATGAGATAAAAAGTCGAAATTATGAGATAAAAAGTCGAAATTATGAGATAAAAAGTCTAAATTATGAGATAAAAGTCAATTATGAGATAAAAGTCAATTATGAGATAAAAGTCAATTATGAGATAAAAAGTCAAAATTATGAGATAAAAAGTCAAAATTATGAGATTAAAAAGTCAAAGTTACGAGATTAAAAAGTCAAAATTATGAGATAAAAAGTCAAAATTATGAGATAAAAAGTCAAAATTACGAGATTAAAAAATCAAAATTATGAGATAAAAAGTCTAAATTATGAGATAAAAGTCAATTATGAGATAAAAGTCAATTATGAGATAAAAAGTCAAAATTATGAGATAAAAAGTCAAAATTATGAGATTAAAAAGATGAAATTATGAGATAAAAAGTCTAAATTATGAGATAAAAGTCAATTATGAGATAAAAGTCAATTATGAGATAAAAAGTTGAAATTATGAGATAAAAGTCAAAATTATGAGATTAAAAAGTCATAATTATGAGATAAAAAGTCAAAATTACGAGATTAAAAAGTCAAAATTATGAGATAAAAAGATGAAATTATGAGATAAAAAGATGAAATTATGAGATAAAAAGTCTAAATTATGAGATAAAAGTCAATTATGAGATAAAAGTCAATTATGAGATAAAAAGTCGAAATTATGAGGTAAAAAGGTGAAATTATGAGATAAAAAGTTGAAATTATGAGATAAAAAGTCAAAATTATGAGATAAAAAGTCTAAATTATGAGATAAAAAGTCTAAATTATGAGATAAAAGTCAATTATGAGATAAAAGTCAATTTTGAGATAAAAAGTTGAAATTATGAGATAAAAAGTCTAAATTATGAGATAAAAAGTCTAAATTATGAGATTAAAAATTGAAATTATGTGATAGTTAGTGCGCATGTTTTATGGTGCCGTCTTCAAGGTCTCACTTCACCTCACTGGACGCACCATGCAAACGATACTCATCAGTAAATTAGGAAATTATTTTAGGTGTGTTTGATAGATATTAAATATTACTATTCATTTAATCAGTCCGTCCGTGCTGCTAAACAAATTACGTTATTTTGACAATATCTTTCAGCTGTCAGTGAATCATCGTTTTGAAGTAACGTTTATGCCACTAGATACAATCTCATAATTATGACTTTTAAATCTCATAATTATGACTTTTTATCTCATAATTTCGACTTTTTTTTTTTTTTTGACTGGCGGAAATGGGCTTCCATAATTTTCAGACACATAGTTGTAAAAATAAAAACAGGGAGCCTAAGATGAAACCCCGTGTTCGGTACCTGGCTGCATCCTCCTCCAGCAGCAGTTTGACAAACTGTCTGGGGATGTTCAGTGACAGGACACTCTCCGCCATCTGCTCCAGCACCCGTAGGTGGTTCCCATCCGTGGTGGGGAAGCGGTACATCCTGGACATGGTGCCGCCGAACACTGAAGTGGCAGAAAACCCAGTTAGTCTGTAAATCGGACTGATGGAAACAAAGACGGATCAGGAGTGTCGGCTTCAATCCACTTTTACCTCTGAGGTAAAGAGGCCCCTCCCACCCACTGATGGCGATCAATACACCTGGACCTGGTGATGGGATTAGAGCTCTAAACACGGAGCCGCTCTATATTTACCTCAGACTCATTTGGGTTTGAGAGAAAGCTTCCAGGACGAGTTAGTGTCGAGTTTCTGATCGATATAAATATATTATAAAAATAAAAACAGGAACACGTGAACACGGCGGGTTTCTGCTTTTTTAAGAGAGTGTGAATCTGAGATCTCTGTGACTGAAGAGGAGAAACTGCAGATAACCGCCGGAGGGTCCGTCATTTCAGACCATCATCTCAGGCCCTGAAACTTGGAGGAAGCTACGCCATCGGGCCAGTTCTGGTTCTGGTTCTGGTGTGTAACTTTCTGGACCGAGCGTGTGGATGTTTGAGTCTCAGGAGTGTTTGCAGGTATGAAACCATGAACTACATTCAGCTGTCGTCCCCGAAACTAGGAGTCCTTCACACACATGGAGGGTCATACCTGAGCGCAGCAGGCTGTCTTTGCACAGAGAGGCGTACTTGATCCGGACGCCCATCGACTCTGTGAGGCTCTCGAGGCTCTCGTCAACACACACACACACTGCACACACACACACACACACACACACACACACACACACACACACACACACACACACACACACACACGTTAACACCCTGCCTCTCTTTTAAACAGATGTGAGATATTAAAGCGTCGTTACCCGGCCGTTGATGCTGTCCGGCAGCCGACTGACCGCCATCCTCTGATCCGCTCTGTCCTCCATCTGCCAGGCTGCGATGGCGATGTTTCCCACCCGCTGGTTCTCTGCTGATCTGTCCGTGAAACTCGTGTTAGACTTTTACCCCCAGCATGAACCAGTCAGGAAGAAAACCAAGAACTCTTTAATGATCCTGAAGGTGTTTTCTAATGAAACAGGTTCCCGCTCACAGAACCGATCACTCAAATCAAAGTTTCTGACACTTTCCTGTTTCCTGTCACCGAGCAGACAGGAAGTAAGAACATGATTTCACATAAATCCACTTCCTGTTCTCTCTCTAATGTCTGAGCTCCAGTTTTAACACCCGACAGTCAACCATCTAAAGAGTCAACAACCTTCACAGTAAGAGACTCTTCTGACGGGTTTATATTCTTATAATGAAGAGGAAGAATCCACACCTGGAGGAGGAGGAGGAGGAGGAGGAGGAGGAGGAGGAGCCTGTGTTACCTGAGCTCGAGTTGTAATCTGTGGCTCCTCTCCTGCAGCAGCTCCTTCACAGGAAATAAGGCCGAGCCCAACATGTACATCTGAGGAGACAGGAGGACACCGTGAGCTGCTGTGAGCCTGGACCTGGACCTGGACCCGGCGGAGAACTAAAGGGTTAAAGCGTCCGTCAGTTTAGAAACCGTAAACCTGAAAGCGCCGCGTACCGTTCCCTGGGAGCGGTCCTTCACGTCGTACACGGCCAGTTTGACCTGCGTCTGCTGGGTGATGTTGGACTCCTGGAAGAAGGCGATGCTGCTGAGGAAGATGGGGTTGTTGGTGCCCTGTGAACGACAGCAGGTTCACCCTCAGTACCTCTGTGTCTGTTTGCACCGGTTTTTAAATAAAGCTTTGTTTATTTGACGCTGTGGCAGAAACACAAACACCATCATATCTGGGAAGTCGTTTGCGTCTCTTTGTTGACTCATCGTCCCGCATTAGTGGGCCGAACAAATCAAACGAGCTCCAAACGAGCACTTCACCTCTGAGAGCGCGCTGAAGAGAGGTGGAGGTGTGTGTTTGTGTGTGTGTGTGTGTGTGTGTGTGTCCGCTCATCTCCCCCTCCTCATTTACAGCACAGACCAGGGAGGAGTGGGCGGATGAAAACGGTCCTCCACAGACACAGAATCAGACACGGTTCCTCTCTAAGTGAGCGGCGTTATGAGGAGGAGATCTATGTGAGACGGATCTGGAGACTCTGACCTCGATGACCTCGGTCTGGGCGTGTTTGGTCCAGAAGGCCTGCGGCGGCGTCGTGCAGCTCACTGCTACAAAGCTGTTGGGTTTTCGATCCAAAGCAGGAGTCAGCAGGTCTGTGCAGGCTGTGGAGACACACACACACACACACACACACACACACACACACATGATGGACCTACACACACTCTGCAGTGAAAACACGTGACTCATTCAGGAGTGATACTGACCCACACTGAACTCCAGCACAGGCTCATCTGGGTCCTGACTATTTCCTGGGAACACAAACAGACCAGAGGTTAGACAGAGGACAGTGACCCGAGTCTGAGGGACATTTACCGTAATGAAGGCAGTAAATGTGAACGTCCTTTTTGATAAGTGTGAGTTTAACGCGCTCTGACACTCTGGGTAATCTTAGCTGATATGAAGAGTGATGAAGAGCCGCTCCACGGGCTGGAGAGGCCACAGACACCCACACAGCTGAGCGTGTGTCAGAGGTTTCAGTTTACACCGACTCCAACATCAGCATCTAAGAACGGAGCGAGGAGAGAAAGCGCCGCTCTACCTGCCAGCGCCAGGCCGATCATCTCGCTGGACAGCTCGAACGTGTTGGCGCGGTACACCGACCACGGCCGCTGTATCCGGGAGCCGCGCTCTCTGCCCCCCGCCATGCCTGTCCAGGAAGAGCGGGCGACGGCAGGAGGCCAGAACACACACCGTCACACACACCGTCACACACTCCCATGTGATGTGGTCCTCTTTCTGCTCGGGTCCAGAGCCGCCCCAGAATCTGGTGTGCCCCTCTGAAAAGGAAAGGAGGAAAGGAGAGGAGTTAGGGAGTAAAGGAAGCTTCTGAGGAACGACAGAAACATTTATGAAAATCAAAAATCAAAGAAATCTTCGTCACCGAACTTCTGCTGGGAAATCTTCCCACAAACCAAAAACCAAAAACAAACTAAAGTTAGATCTGTTTTTAAAGAGCAGCGGCGTGAGCGACGAAATCAAGAACCGAAACGAGGAACAAGAGACAGAAAGTGGACGTCTGTAAAAGTGAAAGTGCAGCTTTGAAGGTCCAGAAACACGACCTGCTGCTCAACCTTCAGCAGACGTTCCTCAGACTCTGAATCCATCGCTGCAGAAACCTTCAGCTGATGAAGAGTTTGTTTCAGGAGGTCGAACTCTGGGAGACGTTTATGGGACCTTCAGGATTCAGAGAGACTTCCTGTAAACGTTTTAGTTATCCTTCATAAGAAAACAAAACTTAATTTTAACTATTAAGTGGAATAAAAACTTTATTTAAATGATAAATGAACTCTTTAAATCTCAAACATCCATCTCTTCCCTCCAACTTCAGATGGTCGTACACTCTCCAACAGTTAAAGTAATTAAATTAAGATTGTCGTGTTTCTAAAAAAGCTCCAGAGGTGAATCTGAGCGCTCCTCCTCCTCCTCCTCCTCCTCCTCCTGCTGTCAACTTCTCCTCCTTTTTATTTTATATATTTCTATGATTGTGAAAGGTTATCATATTTGATTATCACACAGAGAAAGTTCGTGTTTCCTGACCGCAGTGAGCGGAGATCCTCATGACGGTGTGAACATACGGGACAGACGGAGGAGCACGTGTTTGTGAACATGCCGCTGAGCCTCATCACCTCTGCATCCATGAGCAGCATCATCCTCTCATCAGCATCAACACGTGCGCTCCCCTCTGCACACATGCACGAGTGTGCAGAGAGTCAGTGCAGCTCTGCCCACAGACAAACTTACACATTTGCATCAGTCAGTCTGTTCGGATCATCAGATGTTGATGTTGCTAAGAGACTGAGGCGTTTCTTCTTTCCTTCCTCCTCATTTTTCACGTTTATCATCTTCTCTAAAGTCTTTCTCCTGCTCCTGATTCCACCTGAGCTCCTCCACCCACTCTCTCTCTCTCCACATCCACTCTTTTTTGCTCCATTTCCTCTAAATCTTCTCTCCTTTGAGACCCGTTTTCCCCAAAGGTTTCAGCCTGTGGATGAGGAACAGTCCCGCTCTCTGTCGCCTCTCCTGCTCTCCTTCCTTCTGTCCCATTTTATTAAAGAGCAATTAGCCCATTTGCAGTGAAGTGGTGAAGCAGAGGGACAGAAGCTGGCTCTGACGGAGAGTCAGCGTGGTCTAGTTGGCTGATGGAGACGTGTCGTCAGGTCTATTTACGCTCAGAAATGAGGTTCAGAGATTCAGAGACAAACTCTCGTCTTTTTCTCACAGTTTGGACTCGATCGTCATCATCCATCTTCCACAAACGGGCCGACAAAGCGATCTGGTTTTGATTGTGGTTCTGGGTCAGAAGTGTGTGTCCTACATCGGTCCGGCTCTGGACCCACTTCCAGTCTGGATCAGCTGTTTCTCACAGTTTGACGTTAACCTCTCGGTTTTAAATCTGCACATTCACGTCACTCCAGGTTTATCCTCTTCACTGACTTCCTGTCAGTTTGAGAACTGATTTGAAGATTTTATTGATTACTTTTAAAGCTCTTAAAGGACTTGATCAGAGCTCCATTTTACAGGTTTTACTCCCTCATGAGTAAAACTCTCAGATCCTCTCTCTTAAAGTCCTCCTGGTCGTTCCAAAGTCTCTAAACTGAAGCTGATCGATGTTTCTCCATCAGAGCTCCTCGACTTTGGAACGACCTTCAGAGGAGAGAAGGAGAACAGCAGAGACAGACGCTTCTTTACGTTAGAAACTCACTTTTACAGACTTTATTTATGTGATGACGACTTTTATCTTATTTCTGCTTTTCTGTCTTTTCATCTTTTATTAAACTTGAACTCTTTTCTTATTTAACCTTTTATTGTTTTATCTTTTCTGTTGCTCTATTTTATCATTACTATGATTCTCAGTATTACCTGTTATTATTTTATCATCATTGTTGATATTGTCTTTTATATTTACTATCCTGTCTCCACTTTCAACCCTCCATTTTTATTACATTTTCCTTTTTCTTCTTTTTATTTTGGTCTCATTTTGATCTCGTCTGGTTCTTGTATTATCCGGGTTCCTTCAGTTCCATTCTTAACGGAGCTTCTTGTTTTATTTGTCTTTATTTCCATGAGATTTTTGACTGTCTGTCAAAGTTATTATTATTATAATTAAAGGACAAAGAAACTGAGACGTCCTCGAACCAAAGACCTCACCGACACGTTTCCCTCCATCTTCCAGGTCCAGACACAGAGTGAGTGAAACCTGCAGCTCAATCAAACCCACTCTCAGACCGAACAGAACCACTGAACCTCCGTCAGACTCTTTAATCCGGTCTGTGAGGCTCGACTCAGACCGACCTGAGCCCTGCAGGTCCAGAACTAACCTGGTACTCAAACACCTGCAGGTGGATCCTTATGAAACACTTAGTTGGCGCTATATTAGCTTATAAATCACGTCAGTGTAACGATGACAGACAGACAGAGCGTGCTGGATTATGGTCAAAGCTCCACGGCTCGATATCGGGCTTTTCTCGAGCACACGGTGTACCTGCAGCAGCAGCGTCTCCAGAGGAGGCTGTTTGTGCAAATATTCAATATTAATGTGAGAACAGGAGCTCTGACAGCGAGGGCAGAGACAAACAGGAGCAGACATGTGATCACATTCAAGTGGGGCCTCCACAAACACTCAGTCATCAGCCTGTGGGGCACCGGGGCCGAGCTGCAGGAGTGCTGGACTGATGAGAGGAGACACTCGCAAGTAAATAAAGACGAGTGGAGGGAGGGAGGGAGAGAGAGGGGCGTTCGAGATCAGCACTACAGGAACAAACATCAGGACGTACAGGGACAGAGGTCTCCTTCACAACGTCCAGTTAGAGTCAAATCAGTGTCCAAGAGACAGAAACAGAAAGATCTCCATGTCCTCGAACCTGAGTCTGTTTCTGTGAGACTGCTGCACCAGCCAGAGCGGCTCCGTCTCCGTCTCACTTCAGATTTATGAATCATGATGCTTGGACAGCCCACACACACACACACACACACACACACACACACACACACACACACACACACACACACACACACACACACTCATCAAAGACTCCTCGGCTCGGTTCCTCCGTCCCAGAACATGCAGACAGCAGACTCAGACGTCCTCCAGGACTCTGGGTCAGCCTCAAAGGTCCAGGAGCAGGACTACTTCATGAAGGACCGACGTGCTTCAGTCTGTCTCCATCAAAGCTTCACCCTGATCACACAGACGTCAACATCTCTGCTCCTCTGGACGTCAGTGAGGGACACTAACTCAACTACACCTGCAGCAACACACAGCTCTGATTCTTCACTAACAGGTGTACCACAGAGTGACCCGGTCCAAAGCAGGACTCTCATGGGTCCTGGTTCTCAAAGAGCAGCTCCATGATCTGGAAATCCTCTAAAAGCAGCAAACAGGAAGTGAAACTCTTCTTCTTCATGTTCACTGAGGGGCGGGCGGGGGGGCGCTGCCTTATATGGGAGCTCCAGATTTATCCCCCAGAGTTATGTGTGTGTAGGTTTGTGAGTCACATGAATGGGGGCACGCACACACACACACACACACACACGGATGCTTCAAAGACCTGAGTTAATCCAGACCAGAGCTCCTGACACATTAGACTAAAATCCAGAAACTACAGGAGCTCTTTAGGACCATTGAAGCAGAAATCAGGCGTCTCTCACTTCCTTTAACTTTGTGCTGTTTGGATCAGAACTCATCAAACAGCTGTGGAGGGGTACACACACACACACACACACACACACACACACACACACACACACACAAACACACACACACACACACACACACACACACACACACACACACACACACACACACACACAGACTCCTGCTTGTGTAAACGACGTGTTTAAAGACGGAGTCTCCGTTTGAAGACAGAGAGCCCCGCAGTGAGAGTCCAGCTGACCATAGATGGTCAAACCCACTTTTACAGCTGCTCCTCTGCCAGGAGACGAGGAGGGTCACATCTCCTCTCAGACGGACGCCACCACACTTTGTCTAAATTTGGTTCTTTTTACTCGATGAGCCTACAGCAGGTCAGTGTGAGGAGGAGATCTTTCACACAAACCCAGGAGGAGCTTCATGATGGAGGTGAGACGAGGAGACAGTGAGGAGAGTCTGTCCTGCACAAACACACAGCATAATACACCGAGAGAAACCTGATACATACTCACAGTGAAACGACAGAGTGAAGGAGGAGAGGAGGAGGAGGAGGAGGAGGAGGAGGAGGAGGCTGATCCAGGATCAGGGAGGACCGGGTTCAGAACCAGAGTGGCAGAAAGTCTGAAACAGAGAAACAGAGAAATCAACGAGACCCCGAAACAAACTCAAAGACGAGGTCAGGATTTACAGGCTGCTACTGTGTGTGTGTGTGTGTGTGTGTGTGTGTGTCTGTGTGTCTGTGTGTGTGTGTGTGTGTGTGTATGCGCGTGTTTGTGTGTATGTATGTGTGTGTGTGTGTGTGTGTACCCTGTGGGATCAACATTAGAATAAAGCATGAATAATTTCTTTGGAGGGACAGAGCAGCTGTAGCCCCTTTCACATGAAAATGAGCATCACACACACACACACACACACACACACACACACACACACACACACACACACACACACACACACACACACACACACACACACAAACACAAACACACACAGTCTCCTCTCTCTCCTCTTGCAGTCTCGTCCTCAGATTAGAAACGTTGCAGCTGTAAAAGAGTCTGAAAGGACTCGACAGGACGCACAAACACAGACACACAAACACAGACGCACAAACACAGACGCACAAACACAGACACACAAACACAGACACACAAACACAGACGCACAAACACAGACGCACAAACACAGACACACAAACACAGACGCACAAACACAGACGTACAAACACAGACACACAAACACAGACACACAAACACAGACACACAAACACAGACGCACAAACACACAAACACAGACACACAAACACAGACACACAAACACAGACACACAAACACAGACACACAAACACAGACACACAAACACACAAACACAGACACACAAACACAGACACACACAAACACAGACACACAAACACAGACGCACAAACACAGACGCACAAACACAGACACACAAACACAGACACACAAACACAGACACACAAACACACAAACACAGACGCACAAACACAGACGCACAAACACAGACGCACAAACACAGACACACAAACACAGACGCACAAACACAGACACACAGACACAGACACACAAACACAGACACACAAACACAGACGCACAAACACAGACGCACAAACACAGACGCACAAACACACAAACACAACACACAAACACAGACACACAAACACAGACACACACACACACACAGACACACAAACACAGACGCACAAACACAGACGCACAAACACAGACACACAAACACAGACACACAAACACACAAACACAGACACACAAACACACAAACACAGACGCACAAACACAGACGCACAAACACAGACGCACAAACACAGACGCACAAACACAGACACACAAACACAGAAACACAAACACAGACACACAAACACAGACACAGAAACACAAACACAGACACACAAACACAGAAACACAAACACAGACACACAAACACAGACGCACAAACACACACACAAACACAGACACACAAACACACAAACACAGACGCACAAACACAGACACACAAACACACAGACACACAAACACAGACACAGACACACAGACACAGACACACAAACACAGACACACAGACACAGACACACAAACACAGACACACAGACACAGACACACAAACACAGACACACAAACACAGACACACAAACACAGACACACAGACACAGACACACAAACACAGACACAGACACACAAACACAGACACACAAACACACAGGTACTGCCTCTCCAGGTTCCCTGAACGTTCACGTTTCAGATCATCAGTCTTTGTTTTCATCAACATCCCAGACTGTCCTCAGAGGTCAGACAGACCTGAACCAGGACTAACCCTAACCCAGGACCCAGGACTAACCCTGTAAAGACTCCTGGTCTGAGCTCACTGGACTTCTAACAGCAGCTACATGCAGAACTAACCACAGCAGACTTCCTGCTCGAGTGTGAAACCGCGTCTTGGTTCACGTGACTTCCTCCTGTGGGTTAGGGAGCGTCTGAAACCGTCTGAGAAACTTCTTCTTCTTCTGACGCACAGACCCTCACTTTGACAACCCCTGACTGTTTTATTTCAGGGCTCGTTCAGACGAACGTGACTCAGCGGTGAACACAGTCCTCACATCTGTTGAGCTTCTCTTCAGAGTTTCTGAGGGTCACGGTTTAGAGGAAACATGCTCCGTGTTTCTGCTCCTGTCTGAGGCGGTCCGTCTGCTCCTGCTCTCACCCTCTCTGCTGAAAACACACACAGCACTTTCCAACAAAACAAAGGTTAGAAATGAGGAACAACAGCTGACACGCCTCTCTGCCTCGTCTGAAACTGTGACAGAGCGGGAACTTATTAAAACTAACGCTGTTTTACAGTCAGGGTTAGCAGGAGGAACCAGCATGATGCTGCGTTTTCTCTCGGCTCCGGTGTCATCCTAAAGACGTGTTTGAGAGCGCCGCTCTGCTGCTCTGTGTGAAAACGCTCAGGAATCTGAACAGATGGCTGTCTGAGTTTACACACAAACCCGAGGAGGAAGGATGTAAACAAACTCACGCAGCTGCTGCTGATGATGATGATGAGGATGAGGATGATGCTGCTGATGCTGCGGACGCCGTCACGAGGCAGAGAGAGACTGCAGCTGCCGCCTGTGCACTCGCCCTCTCCTCTTCTTCCTGCTCCCCATCCCTCTCTCTCTCCCCCTCTGCTCCTCACCCTTCAGTCTCTCTCTAGCGGCTCGCTGCCTCACAAACATTCAAGCCAATTAACTCTTGGTGTGCCAGGTCTGCAGCAAAAACAGGAAACACCAGTGAGGTTGTCTGACGAACGGCGAGTTAACGGCGAGTTAACGGCGAGCTACGTGAGGACGAGTATAAACAGAAATAAGAGGAGAGTCATACTCCGATATTTCTGAGAGTGGAGACAGACTGGAGAGAGACCCCGGGGAGAGGAGGAGTCACGTTTTCAGCCACGCTCCACACACACACACACACACACACACACACACACACACACACACACACACACACACACACACACACACACACACACACACACACACACACACACACACACAGGTTTGTGATGCCCCTCCATTTTCCCCAAAGCTTATTAATAATTAATCAGACTGTTGCATGAAAGCATCAGCAGACAGTCTGTCTGTTTATTATCAACCAACACATGTTCACTTACAGGAGGTGTGTGCACGGCACGCTGCAGCCCACTGTACATGCATGAAGCGTGTGTGTGTGTGTGTGTGTGGAATCTCTCTGCAGCCTAAAAGCATGAACATGAAGAGCTTCTGTTTCCTCCTGTAATTATAATGAAGCTCAAAGTGAAGGAAACCCTTTTTTAATCTGCGTTTGCATCCTCACTTCTTCTTTGTGTCCATCAGTTTGAAACGTGAAGAAATGAACCTGAACTCTTTATCCTGAGATCGTTTCAGCCAAGAGCTCCACAGTTTTGTCGCAAAAACAACAGAGAGGTAAAAAAAGGAGAAAACTTGTTTTTATTGCTCGTCTTTTCTTTAACTCTATTTTCTATAACGGAGGATCTTACTCAGCAAGCCTCACAGGAACTTCTTGTCCTCAAAGGCCACCGTAGCTTCAGCCAGGAGAAGGGTGAGAAAGGGAGGCGTCTGCTGCTAATCACTTCATATTCTCGTTTCCTCACCCTGAACCTCCGACTGTTTCTGATCTTCAGCAGCTGCAGCATCAGCTCCTGCACATGTTAGGAAATAATGGGTTTAATCGATGGCGCACGTTAGTGTCAGTCTGAACCTTCTTCCTGTTTGTGTTTAGTTTCATAACCTCCTTCCTGTGTGAACTCGATGATGACAGTGGCGGTTTAACACGGCGATTCACTTATGAAGAGGACGATGACACGGCTCATTACTTACAGTGTGCCACTGTCTCCCTCTATCCCTCCATTATGTCAGTGATACGCTCGTCTTCCTCCATCTCCACAGAACCAGACGGCCAATAAGAGAGCGGGAACAACGGCGGCAAAGACCGGTCACTAAAAACACTGTAACTGACCACGACGGGGACGAGGGGGAGACACAGGAGAGGAGAGAGAATCTAAAGGCTTCTGCTCAAACCCCTGGAGCTGAGTGGGAGACTTTGATGAGTCACACACACACACACACACACACACACTGAGGTATGATGGACACCAACCAAGGGATTCCCAACACAGTGCACAGCATCAACACAGATGTGACCGAGTCAAAAAAGGTAAACAAGAGAAATGCTCCATCATGTCAGAGAGGAGAGAATCATGTCCAGGAGAGTCTTAGAGAAACTGCTTCATAGTCACAACATCCTCTTTACCTTCTTACCTCAATAAACACCTCAGACTGCTACTACTTTGCAGTTGGTTGATACTTGGTTCTAATTCAGAACATGATTGGTTCAGACCTGGAGAAACTCCCCTTCTCATTGGCTGTTCGTATAGTCGACCAAAACATGTCAGAATGACGACTATTGAAAAGGATATTGATCATGTTTTATATTGATATTGAGTGAAATTTTGAATTATCGTTTTATTGCCCAGCCCTAGTTGAAAGTATATTTCTAAATGACTAAAGTTTGTAAAGTCCCACAGGAACCTTTAAATGAGACTAAACAGTGACTTCATGCTGTTTAACTCTGTATTAACAGTTGCTGTGCAGCCCTCGCCGTGCACAAAACCACAACTTGCACTTATTCAAATCTCAAATTTTGCAAGTGGGCGTGGATTTGTGCTCATTTTGCACAAGAACAGATGACAACCCTCACACAACTCCCACCTGAAGCCACTTCCTGAGTCAAACTTTGCATCTGACCACACACAACATCTGATGCACGGCCTCGTCCTGAAACAGGTCCCTGTCCTCCTCCTCCACCTGAAAACCACCACCAGCAGCAGCAGCTCTGAGGATCCACGTCCACGCTGACCTTGACTCCTGAACACTGAAACCCAAAACCACCTCAGCAGAGACACTGCACTGCAACACACACACACACACACATGCAGAGGAAGTGCGTGTGTTCACCAGAGTCAGCACACACACACACACACACACAGTCATCAGGATGAGAGGAACACACCTGTCATGGTACCATGATTCGGGACCAGAACAGGGTCAGAACCTGTTTGTTTACCCTCAGCAGCAGCAGCAGGAGGAGGAGGAGGAGGAACCTTTCTGAAGAACTTATGTAATCCTGACAGCAGCAGGAGGAGCAGGAGTGTTTCTGCAGCTGTGACCCTCCTGAAGGAGACACTAACACAGAGCAACAACAATAATAACAATAATCAATAATAATAATAATGCTTATTATTGATTATTTCCTCCTTTCTTGACCCGCACTCTGAGCCCCCTCCTCTCTCCTCACATCCTCCCTCAGCCTCAGAACTCTGCTGCTCTCTTTTCTTCCATGTTCTCAGAGTTATGAGGACAAACATTCACCTTTAATCGACCAAACAAACTTCAGCTCCCCTTCCTCCAACTTAACGATTACCGAATAAACACCGACGGAACCGAGAGCAGCGTCAGCTCTGCGGCGGGAAAAGGACGACATAAACTACGCACTTTCCGTGGAGATGACCCGTTAGTGTTTGTTTCTTACCGGTTCTGCTGGTTTTGGTGGTAAAATCTCCGATAATAAGTCGAAGAAACAGTTTTGAAGAGTGTCTGTGTCCTCCCGTGACTGACGCCGCTCCGCCGCCGCCGCCGCACTGTGGACGTGAGGCTCTACCGGGCTGTGGGCGGAGCCAGAGGGGGGAAGAGGCTGAACACGCCCCCTGCGCAGAGAGTTAGTGGCGTCATCACGCAAGTCACTGAGGAATACGGTGGCCCTGAAGGTCAACTGCATGAAACCTAATTGGTTTCACTGGTTTGACGTACTGTATGTAAAGATTTCAACAAAAACTGTCACAAAAACACATATTTACGGGAAAGAGAGGAAAAAAATACACAAAAATAGTTTTGAAAAAGGATAAAATATACAAAAAATGATTGAAAAAGAGGATAAAATGTACTAAAAATGATCAGAAAAGAAGAAAAAATATACAAAAAAATGATCAAAAAATAAGAAAAAATGTACAAAAAATTATTGAAAAAGAGGATAAAATATAAAATAATGATCAGAAAAAAAGAAAAAATATACAAAAAATGATTGAAAAAGAGGATAAAATAAAAGTGGTTAAAAAAAGAAGAGAAAATATATAAGAATGAAAAAAGGAGAGAAAATATACAAAAGTAATCAAAAAAGAGGATTAAACAAGCAAAAGTGATCAAAATAGAGAAGAAAATTTACAAAAATGATTAAAAAAGAAAATATACAAATATCATCAATAAAGTGGAGAAAATATACAAAAGTGATCCAAAAAGAGAGGAAAACATACAGGAGTGATCAAAATAGAGAAGAAAACAAGCAATAGTGATCAAAAAAGAGGGAATTATCTAAAAGTGATGAAACATTTACAAAAAATATATTTTTTTTTAAGAACTTGTGTGAATGTTTTCAAGATTTTTGTGTGTAAAATATTTCTCCTGTTTAATGACACATTTTGTAATATTATTAAAAGTTAACTCAATCATTTATGTCTTGGATTAAATATGTTTTATGTCCTAAAATACTTTAATAAACTCTTCAGCTTTCCAAGATTTCAGCTACTGTCTCTTAGAATATCACTCCACTGTTGCTTCAGAAGCCTCCTCCACTGTTGTCATCCTATCATTCTGTGTTTCTCAGTTTAAAATGTCAAATTTATGGGGTATGGACACATTTTTGGACCTAAAACATGACCGGTAAAGTTTGGAAAAGGACAATATGAAAACAAATCAAACCTTTTGACATGAGAGTTTCACTGATGTCACTGTTTGACACTTTAACTGTCACTCTTTGTACAAGCCGTGGAGAGCATCCTGCTGTCTCATCCTGGGATCTTTCAAACACACCTTTACTTTACTTTATAATCTGAAATGGAAAAAAATGAAGATAATTCTGTAATTGATGGTCTAGAAGAGAAGGTCTGAGCACTGAATCCATCACTGTCCTCTGCTGAAATGAAAACAGCTCCAGAGTAAAGTTATCCTTTGCTGCCATCTAAAGGCCCTTTGAGAGTTTACCATCGAGTCAATCTTTTACTTCTGCTGACACCAAGTGGAAACCCTCTGGTCCTGCATGTTTAGAGCTTTAAAACTCTTCCCTCTGTGTTTGTAAAGTTGTTGTTTTTTGAACTGGGTTTGGTCAAACAGTAAAACACCAACACAGTCCGGCTCCTCCTCATGTTTTAATGCCCTGAAGGACTCCACCCAGTAGGCAGGGCGCACAGGTGAAGTGACAAGCAGGTTCAGCAACAGTTGAAACCAGAAACGTGCTGCACCTCAGGCAGGATCCTGTTGGAGCTGTTTTAAAGAAAGGAACTTTAGAGAGCGGCGGGACATGGACCTGCCTAAAGAAGTTTCAGAGGTTTCCAGGGCTAAGACATGACCGATTTTGATCTGACCCTGACCCGAGGCTGCTGAAGTGGACTCCCTCTCAGTGTCATGGACTTGATATTTTGACGTTGGCTTTACTGGAGGGACTCTTGATAGAAAATGGGGACCTCTGTGTTGTTTGCGTTCAGGACTGAAAGAGGAGCCTTTGGTTTGCTGCTGCTCCTCTTACTGTGCTGCTGGGGAGGAAAATGTGAGCTCCAGGAGTCCAAACCTGCAGGGACGGCCAACATCCCTGCTGTCAAACCTTTTGAAAACCAACCCCAGGCCTTCCCCAATGAGGAGAGGTCCAACCTGCCTGTGTTCACCATGGACTACCCTCGGATCCAGGTCCCCTTCGAGTTCACGTTGTGGGTTCTGCTCGCATCTTTTGCAAAGATTGGTACGTTTGGATCAGTCTTATGAGAGCTCTCAGGGTTTGGACGACAGCTAAAGAGTCAAATCTTTTCTTTTCACTCTTCCAGGTTTCCACATTTACCACAAAATCACAATCTGGATCCCCGAGTCCTGCCTCCTGATCAGCATCGGCCTCATTGTGGGCGCCATCATGCATGCTGTCAAAGAGGAGCCCCCTGCGGTCCTCAGGTCCACCGTCTTCTTCCTCTACATGCTTCCACCCATCGTCCTCGACAACGGCTACTTCATGCCCACACGGCCGTTCTTCGAGAACGTGGGCACGGTGCTGTGGTACGCCGTGGTCGGCACTCTGTGGAACAGCGTCGGCATCGGGATCTCCCTCTTTGCGATCTGCCAGATTGAGGCCTTTGGAGTTCAGGATATCAACCTGCAGGTCAGTGAGAGGAAGGTCAAAGGTCAGGTGGAGGCGTTTGTGTTTTTGATGAAACTTTCATAAACTAAAATAAGATCACTGAGAGGAGAAGATCGATTCAGGAGCTTCTCTTTGGTTCCTGTGGCCCATTGTAGTCCCTGTTTCCACGTGTCCCGAGGTCTTATGCAAAACATGCAAATCAGACCGATAGCAGATAGAGAGCTAGTCCAGGACAGTTTCTGCTGCAGGTGTGAGTAAATAAAAGTAAAGCATCCCTCACTCCTCCACCTTTCTGACCCCGTCTCTGTAAATGAAGCATCTTTGAATGAAAACAACGAGTCGGTCTCCCATAAAACAGAGCCGTAGAGTTTATTTATATGTTCTCGTAGTTCCAGAGTAAAGCTCCTAAAGCCTCTAAAAACTGCTCCAGTGTTCTCTAATCCTTGTGGTCCAGCGACACATAAAGGTTCTTGTGTTTGGTCTTGGGCTCCGCTGCAGGAGAACATACTCTTCGCCTCCATCATCTCTGCCGTGGACCCCGTCGCCGCTCTGAATGTGTTTGAGGACATCGGGGTGAACGAGCAGATCTACATCGTCATATTTGGAGAGGGGCTTTTCAACGATGCTGTCACTGTGGTGAGTTCAGGTGGAGGGTGGACCCCATGTCAGCTCCGACTCCTGTCTGAGGACTGATTTATGTTGTGTGTGAACAGGTCGTCTCACTCTTCAAAAGGGTTCTGACCGATCAGAATCAATCATTATACAAATGAAACCAGTGTGTGTGTGTGTGTGTGTGCAGCGACAGGAAACTCCTTGAATCTTCCAGTGCAGTTTCATGGTTGTGTACGTTTTAAAGACACATGTTCGGTCTCCCTGGGGGCATAAACAGCTCAGGTCTGCGTGCCCCTGAATCTTCCCCTCAGTCTCGTCTGTCCAGTTCCACATTGCTGAATGCAGACGTCAGCTGTACAAAGACACCTTCACTCTGGCCCAGTTTCACTCGAGAGGCTGGTTTCACTTCCTGTAGTCTTTTGTTGAATCCTCTCTCCAAGGAATCCACCCAACAGTCAGCGCTCGGGCCAGCTCCTGCCAACTGTTGATGATGCAGATGATGTGAGGCGTGAAAAGAGAGACACAGTTTCTGTTTGGAGAGAATTCTTCAGATTTCTGAGACGTCAAACCTACAAATCAGTGAACTGTCTGTGTTCATGCTCCTCCATTCTGACTCAGAGTTAAACATGTAATCACCTTCTTTCCCTCCTCAGGTGCTTTACAACATGTTCACCTTCCTGGCAGACTTGCCTGAGGTCGAATCCCTGGACGTGGTCCTGGGAGTGGCCCGCTTCATTGTGGTGGCGGTGGGGGGCGTCTTCTTTGGCGTTCTGTTTGGACTCACAGCAGCGTTCACCACACGTTTCACCCACAATGTGCGTCAGATCGAGCCCCTCTTCGTCTTCATGTACAGCTACCTGGCGTACCTCATCGCCGAGTGTTTCTCCCTCTCCAGCGTCCTGGCGTAAGTCACATGACCTTGGATGAATGAAGTCAACATGTCAGCCCCCATATCAGTGAAGAAGGCGTTTCAGTTAGAGGTCAAAATACAGACATGAAGTCAGCAGAATACACTCAAATATACTCCAGATCTACACATCAGGATAAACTGTATATATATGATTGGAAACAGATTTTTAATATTGCAAATTTAAGTCGAGACAAAAACACAAAAAAAGACACCACAACAACAACAGCTGATCTAAACACAAGCTGCGACAGCATGCATCCTCTCCCCGGTGATACCGATCATCTTTATCCTCCAGAGTCTTTACATGTTTGTGCAGCCGACAGAAACCTGTTCTTCCAGCTGACTTTACACCCTCTGAGTCTGAGGCGAGTTTAAAGCAACACGTGTGTCATCATGAACACGTGGTTCCTGTCATGTGGGCGTCGCAGGTAAAGACGAGCTCTCAGTGTTTCCTGGGTGACTGTAAATACAGCTGATGGTGCACCAAAGTAAGAAGAGTTAAAGGCAAATTTCTGCTGAAAACAAACAAAAGTTTCACAAATGTCACATGACTTAAAAAAAGTTTCTCTAAATGTTCACCTTCAACTGTTTTAATGAGGTTCCTGCAGCTTTGACCTAAGGGTTTAGGGGGTTTCTCCGTGTTTAGGCGCCAATAACTGGGATTTAGAAACTTCCCAGTTATTGTTAAAAACAAGCAGCAACACTGAATCTGGAGAAATGAAGCCAAAACCTGCAGTTCCGTGGGTGTCCACTAGAGGCCGGCTCTAAAGCCTGTAAAAACCACACACACACTCATTTAAAAAAGTCAGACGTGAACAGGTTAGCATGTTTATGTCGCCCCCTCTCTGCACACAGGCTGAATTTCTCTCATTAGCTTTGTAAACATGGTCGTTAAGGTTATGGGTTTTGCATAATCGGGGGCGTGGCTGACTTGATTGACAGGTGGGCAGACTGCACACACGTGTATTCATCTATTTCTCCTTTTCTCGTGTTCTCCAGAATTATCACATGTGCTATAACCATGAAGTACTACGTGGAGGAGAACGTGTCTCAGAGATCCTGCACCACCATCCGCCACGTCATCAAGATGCTGTCCACCATCTCTGAGACCCTCATCTTCTTCTTCCTGGGTGTGGTCACCATAACAACCGAACACGAGTGGAACTGGGCCTACATCATATTCACGCTGGTGTTTGCCTTCGTCTGGAGAGGACTTGGTGAGAGTCTGAGCTGATCTGAACAAAGCTGCCTCAACATAATCCGGGTTATAAAAACCGCTGTATGCCCTACACTTTGTCTGGCAGGCATCCTGGTGCTGAGCCAGATCATCAATCCGTTCCGTACCATCCAGTTCAACTACAAGGACCAGTTTAGTCTCTCCTACGGAGGCCTGCGAGGGGCAATCTGCTTCGCCCTGGCCTTTACCTTACCCAACACCATCAACAGGAGGACGCTGTTTGTCACCGCCTCTATCGCTGTCATTATATTCACCGTTTTCTTACAGGTGAGACCTTCAGAGTGTGCTTCTTCGGGTGATTTCAACCTTCAAAGACCGAGTGCTCTCTCTGCCCCGACTGAAACATCTCTTTTCTGCATTTTTCTCTCTCAGGGCATCAGTATCCGTCCCATCCTGGAATATCTCAACGTCAGGAAAACCAACAAAGACCTGAACACCATCAATGTGGAGATTCACACCAGGGCAAGTAACCCATGAATCCTGAAGGTCAGAGCAGCTGTGAATGGGCCTCAGCTGACATGTTTGTGTGCTTGTGTTTGGTCCAGGCCATGGAGCACATCATCACCGGCATCGAGGACCTGTGTGGACAGTGGAGCCGCTTCTACTGGAAGGACAAGTATGAGCTCAAGACCGAGTGTTAAATAAGAACACGGCTGTTTCTTACAGAGTAGTGTTGTGTTGTTCGCGGACGATTCGTTCAAAAGAACCAAATCTTTTACGTGAATGTATTGAACCGAATCACTTCCTTAAGTGATTCGTTCGTTTCTCACTTCAGTTGAGCTGAAGTGAGAAACAGACACCTGAATCACTTAACGAACGAATCACGCATTGAACTTCACACTCTGGAATCATTTTTGTCAGACAAAACTAACTTTAAAAAAAAAATTTACTGATAAATTGCCACCATAACAACTTTCATACAATAGGACACAGCATGGAACATGTGGTTCATTAAACCCGCAGCATCCTGTCATCGCAGCGGTTCGCGAGGGAACGGTTCAGGTTTGGTTTGAATTCTTCTAAATGTTCAGTGAACGAATCACTCACTGAGTCTAGACCTGATAAATATCATACCATAGGACACTTCAAACATCATGACTTATAAACAAGTTCATCTTTACAAACCTGTTTGTCAAAGAAACACAGACACTCAAACAAAACTCTGATCTGAACTGAATCCTGAACCGTTCAGTTCAGGAGGTCGGAGTCGCAGGCTTCTCCCGACAAGCACCACATGATTCTGTGATTTGGTGAACGAATCTTTTGAACGAATCTTTTTAGTGAACTGATTCTAGTGATTCAGTACACCTAAAAGAACAGAGTTTTTATTTGTTTTGTTGGTTCCAGGTTTAAAAAGTTCAACGATCGGGTTTTGAGGCGTATCCTGGTCCGGGATAACAGAGCAGAGTCCAGCATCGTGTCTTTGTACAAGAAACTGGAGCTGCAGCACGCCATCGATTTACTGGACACACCTATGGGAGACCTCAGTGCAGCGCCATCTATTGTTTCTTTGAGGTAGGACAGACATGTTTGATGGTGTTTTATCAAGAGTGGATTTATAGATGACTGCGGGGCTGGAAAACAGTTTCTACTTCACTAAAGTTTAATTACTGTACGACCCAGTAAGTCCAATCTGTGCCTCAGCTAAATCAGACTTAATGTCTTCTCCTCCAGATAAACATGTTCTTCCTGCAGGTTTCAATGTTCCCATCCTCAGCAATGATAACAGACGATATATCATCATTATCTCTCATTTCCTTTCAGCGACGAGAGGAGGGAGACGTCGAGATCCAAGAGGATGTTCAAGGCGGCCGACATCAGGAAGATGCACGACATCCTGTCCAAGAACATGTACAAGATCAGACAGAAGGTAGATCTGTCAGAGCCTGTGAGGGTCACCTGAGATGGTCTGGACTCTGGTTCAAACCTCTGCTCATGTTTTACAGACTATGGCCTACACAAGCAAATACAATCTACCCGACGACAGCAAAACCAGGGAGATTCTGATTCGTCGACACGCGAGTATAAGACGCAGCCTTCGCTCGGAGAGTTTCCGTGAGCAGGTGGGTTTCTTTTTTTTTTTAAGTGGATATGAAAGTTAACGTTTTCTCACTTCTCTGACCTTTACTGTTCCTCGTGTTCCAGACTGATCAAAACTTTACCAGATCCCAAAAGTACTACTCGCTGCAGCCTGGGGGGAGTCTGGAGGCCGCCCTCCCCCTCAGAAGACGAAGTCATGGTGGGTTCAGGATCAGATACTCAATAATGTTCACACTGATCATTAACCGATCAGTTTTAACCATCGCTGTTGTTTTCTAGCTGGCGGCGGCGATGTGCCCACCCATCCTCCATCGTTTGGTTTGACGCCGCGCTCCTCGTCTCACTCTTTGACTCCTTCGAGGAGGCTGAACACCATCAGAGAGGCTGGAGGTACGGGACAGAGGACGTCCGCTTCTGTCCATCAGCCTTCATCATCCCCTGGGGGGGATTTTCAGGACACGAGGGGGCCCGGGAGTGTGGCAGGATCCAGCATGAGGGGTAAAAAACCTCCAGCACCTGAACCCAGGAGGCGGGGTTCAGATCGGGTGGATGGAGACGCAGACCCTGAAAGTACAGGACAAACAGGAGAACCATTACGCCCGCCCCGCCTTCCACCGCCACGTGTTTGGGCCCCTGAGAACCAGGATCCCAGAGAGGAAGGGGCAGGAGACCCCTTAATCCGACATCCTTCACAGGGCCCTCGGAGCTCGGGCAGATTCTGACGAGCGAGAGACAAAAACACAAAAACGACAAATCAGGAAACGCTGTGAGCGAAGAAAGAACGTTTTTATAGACTTTAAAAACAGACTGATCTTCACCCTCAGTCAGTCAGTCAGTCAGTCAGTCTGTCAGTCAGTCAGTCAGTCAGTCAGTCTGTCAGTCGGTCTGTGTTTCACTAACTGTGACGTGTACGCTGTATTGAAGTCCATATCTGACATGTTGATTACAGCTGTGTGTGAATAAATGTGTTTTTAATTAAGCAGCGATAATCTCAGAGCAGGATCAACACCAGCTCTCCATGATCTTCAGGAGTAAAAATAGATGAGGAGGAGGAGGAGGAGGAGGAGGAGGAGGAGGAGCCTGTAATACAGACGGATTAATGAGGATTATCTGACCTGCCTATCAAGAGTCCGTACAGCAGCGGCGGATAGACTGAGGAAGAGGAGGGACCGACGAGGAAGACTTACTCTTACTTTAAAAAGGAGCTCAGAGACAGTCTGAAAATAAATGAACAACTAAATAAAGTGAAATTCAGTCGACCGTGATGTTTAAATAAGATTCCTCTGGAGGTCAGCGGAAAATTACAGATCCTCCCTTTAAAGGTCTCTGCAGAGATTTTTCACTAATTCAGCTAACTGTAAAAACATGTGAGGGCTCATTACACACACACACACACACACACACACACCCTGTTATTAGCTGCGTCTCATTATTTACGATGAGACTCTGAAGTAAATGAAGTATTTTCTAACGAGGAGAAGAAAGCCGATGATAAATTGGAAGAAATGAAGATAAATATGTTCATTTACAGAGAAACACACAACCGTGTTAAAAAGCATTAATTCAAGTTAGATACCGACCTTTGACCTTACAGTGAGGCGTCACGGCGAGCCTCAGGAACCACGAGGTTCATGAATATTTGATGGAGTGTCACAGACTGATGTATGAGGTGTTTCAGTGAGCCCCTAAATCTCATTAGACTCTTTCAGACAGACGTAGAGCCTGAACTCACAGCAGCTCCTCAGAGAGTAAACATACGTTCAACATCGGTAATGAGTTCTTTATCTGCTGGTTTGGTGTATAAACTCACACATGTGGGATTAAATCTCATCCTGTGTCCCTCTGTTATTCTGGACACTATCTAACAGACAAAATCAACGAAATCAAACTTTATATTTTCAGTGAAATACTGAACCAAAAGTCTGATTCTCAGTGTTTATCATGTGAACATGTTTTTTATGAAGACCTCCTCATGTTGGTCATGATATTAAACCCTCTCACTTTCTGTTACTCAGTACCTTTCCATCTGCAAACACTTTGATTTTACCCTGAAACAAGAATAACTCCTGTGCAGACTCAGTGTGTGTTTTTTTGTCTTGTTCCTCATGTTGTTGTTGTACTTGTGCACAGATCTAACAGCCTTCAGTTAAAGTTACATCTGTCTCATGGCAACAGGCCCTCTCTCTAAGAGGTTAACTTCAGTGCAGACAGCATTTGTGTTTCTTTTGGGTGGAACAAACAAACAGCAGTAGCAGCAGGTTGTTCAGGGTCAGAGAGGGAGCTCGTTCATCAGCGTGTTCAAACATCTGTCGTCCAAACTCCAAACCCCCTCTTTGCTGCGAGACGCCTGGTCTCTGCAAACGTCAGAGAGCTCCAACCATCGGCTGCATTATCCTCCGCCTGCAGCCGAATTAAGATAGTGATGAAGAGAAACGTGGTGGTATGTGGGAGGCTCTGGCAAACCTCCTGCTCTATGAAGGGTCTGTCAGCTGCTGCAGCGAAGAAGAAGAGGAAGAGGAGAGGGAGCGTGGTTTACTGAGGAAGAACAAAGGAGGGAAATCAGCCTGTGTGTTTGAATGAATGTGCTGAAGCTGCTGAAACAACCAGGGAGGACAGATTCTCTCAGATCACATCAGGAAACTTTCCAAATCCAACCAAACAGGAATCTAACCGAGCGTCTGTTTCATCAACTAAAGGAGCATTCTGTAAAAAACTGAGGAGCAGACATGAACCAAACAGCATCTGTTTCTCATCAGATTGACTGCCAACCAGCCAAGGATACGAAGGTGAGATCTGATTTACTGTATCTGTCACACAGCTCTGTGGGCTTCACTCTCTCTCTACGACCAGTCACTCTTTTATTTCACAAACATCAAATCAGTTCATCATCGACTTTATCATAAAAATATGTGTAATCCTTTCAAAGTGAGTTTTTAAACAAAAGCTTGGAGACGTCAGACGTCATCATCTCTACACAGAAGTCTGTCATCATTAACAAAACTCACTTATTCATCACATTATCTCCATGTTATCATCAAGTTATCACCAAGTTATCCTCATGTTATCTTCATGTTTTCATCATGTTATCTTCAAGTTATCATCACATTATCCTCACATTATCGTCAAGTTATCATCAAGTTATCATCATGTTATCAGAAGTTTTGTTTGCATTAATTTTATGCTATCTTCACATTGTCTTGAAGTCATGTTCACATTTTCTTCATGTTATATTCACTTTATCTTTACATTATCTTGAAGTTATGTTAGCATTAAATTTATGTTATCTTTACATTATCTTCATGTTATTTTCACATTATCTGAAGTCATGTTTACATTATCTTCACATTATCTCTGAGTTATTGTCTTCATGTAGATAACTTCACATCTATGAACTTTTCAAACTTTGATCCTTTTAAAAGTTGTTAAATCTCATCCACCTGAGTATCTTTCTATTTTAATCTCCTCTGGTTTTTATAAATATTATAATTTCTTATTTCTCTAAATCAACATGAGAGACCGGATCAGGACCAGAGTAGACCATGTCTCTATCAGTCTGATCCTGTCAGGATATAAATCTGTAAGAATCGATCACAGCTGACGGTGAAGATGTCAGACTCTTCTCCTAACACAGCTGAGCTCCACGGTCTTCAGCAGAAGTTCATCTAACAGGTGCACTGATGGGGACTATTTTCAGCAGCGGATGAATACACTCTCAGGTCTCCAGTTAGATTTACAGTCAGAAGCCTCACTGTGGGTGTAAACTCTGTGACTTCAGCTCTGTCAACTTTAACCTCCTGTCAGTGTCAGATTTGAAACCCAGAGCGCTGAACTTCACTCTCTGACCTCCTCGAGTCTCATGACTGATATCTGCAGAAAATCATCACTGACAGCAGCGAGCAGGAAAGAAAGCTCCAACACTAAAGAGCTTCATTATTACCCGCAGTTTATGCAAAGCAGTTCTTAGCTGGAGGACGAGCAGCCAGAGTATAATCCTGAAGAATCCTGCAGCTGCAGGGTGGGACTAATCTGGCAGTTTTGGCTACTTGTGCAAAGAAAATGCTGCTTTACACTTTTTATGGGATTTCAGACTTTAACAGGTACACAAGGCTTCATGTTTGAGGGAAAACACGTCCTAATCTGATGTAAAAACCTGCTCAACTCGACCAGAAAGACTGAAAGTGGGTCAACAAACGCTGCAAAACGAGCTGGGACGCTTTGTTGCTCTTCACATTTAGTCCAAGTGGTTTTAATTGTGTCATAAATCACAGCTCAGTAATCCTCCCTCATGTGCTGCTTCATGAATAAGCTGAAGCCTCCTGAGAAACATGAGCTGTGGATTTACAACACAAAGCTGCTCATGCTAATGGAGGGACTGATTTCAGTTCTTTGGCATATTTAACGGTGAGAACCCGAGTCTTTTCATGATACTGTGAGAACATACAGGAAACCTGAAATCAGCCTCCACTGATTTCACAGGAACAGTCTCCAAGCGTTGGTTTGATGCCCACGCAGGACCTGCTGTGGTGAAAAGGTGACCCGCTGCAGTCCAACAGAGCCGCTCCGTGACCCTCAATGTAAACGGCGAGGCGAGCCTCCCTGCAGCCTTACAGCCTGTCAATCATCTCTCTGTCAGCACAAACCAAAGGTGGTCTGTGGGCGTGAGTCTAAACATAGACGCTGCCAAAGCAGGAATTACAAATTAGAGCTGATTCAGGAGAGACTCTCATTCAGATTTACTCTCATTAAAGCTTTTTTAAGACCACCTGGATGCAGACCCCCCACCTGTGGAGATGGACCACCTGGAGAGATAATCGTCTGATTAATAATAAAAGCTGAACATTTATTTAGTTACCAGTATTAGAACATTTAAAGTCTTCACTGAGAATGAAGTCCAACAGTTTCATTATCACTCACTCCCTCTGTTTCCTCATTTACTACAGCTTTGGTGGTCATGCGTACTGTTGCTAGGTTACATATTATTCTGGTGCATATTTATCATATATGTATATATATTTATAGACTCATATCAGTCAAACCCCTCTGCAGAGGTCAGAGAGTGGGGGTGTTTTCACAGACGGACAGCTGTTAAACTCTCTCTCTCTCTCTCTCTCTCTCTCTCTCTCTCTCTCTCTCCGTAATAATCGTTTTTTTATTTTTTAATGTCACTGATCTTTAAGTCTGACCTTCACTTTAAAGGTCCGTTTTGATCATCGGGTTTTTTAGGTTCTGGAAAGCAGAATTTCTTCCTTCTTTCATCTACTTCTGCTGTGTCCATGCTAAGCTAACTCGCATATTTCGCTTTTCTTCATACGAAGAGAAAGTCGGGCATGTTTGGTCTCGATCTTCTTCTCCTAATCTCCTCTGGAAAGTGATTTATCAACTTTGAACACTATTTTCAACTCAAACTGCAAAAAGATAAAAAAGATGAAATAAAAATACAGAGACTTCAGATGATCTTGGCTCTTGGTTCCCATCTTACATCCTTCAGAGGAAACCAGAACTCAGTCAGAACTTTTCCTGGGCTGGACTCCAGACCCTGAAACCTGTGAAACTGAACAGACTGCCGTCATAACCGAGTTTAACAGCCTGTGCAGCTCCCCGTCAGCGCCGTCAAAAACCACTGAATGTTAACATTAGCCCCATGTCGTCACTCGCCATCTGTTACCGCGTTGATGGACATCATTTAGTGAAGAGGCTCATTAGTGTGTGAGCTTAAGAGGGAAGATGATGATAAATCCTGTTTGACTTATATCTGGAGGATAATGCTCCCAAGGTGCTCCTGATGAGCATGTCAGCATTAGTCTGCATCACAAGTCTTTGTGTGTTTGTGGATCTGAAGGTCTCCTTTCATAGAGAGGAGCGCCTACACTGTTATTGTGTGAAAGCCAGACTGTGTGTGAGAAGGAAACTCTGCTGCCAAGTTACTGAGACACAGAGAAGAAGTGAGAGAAGAATGAAACTCACCCTCTCCTGTGGTGAAAGCAGAGTGAAAAGAGCTGCTCTAGAGACATGAAGAAGAGGTCATTGTGCGGTAACATGCTGTTTTTACATGCATGAGTGTTAATGTTACAGTTAACGGCTTTAATCTGAGCTGCTTTACAAACTCATCCTGCTCTATAACAGATGAACTCAACATGTTTCTTAAAAAGTGTGTATGTGTCTTTAAAAGCAGAAACCTCTGCATTTCAAATTCACCCTCCTGACCAATACTGTTGGAGGAACTCATGCTGCTTTCAGGTGGAATTGGAAAATTCGGCTTCTGATTGAGAAACTCCACACAAAGTTGGATAAAGTAACAGAGAAAATATGACCTTCAGTGATGGACAGAGTTGAACCTGACCAAAGTGGATGTTGATGAGCAGCAGCGACGTGGATTTATTCTTCACCATAGAGTGAAGCACATTTATCTCCACCATCAGTGCAGAATCATTTTACTGAGTAAAGCACAGAGAGCTGGAAGAGAGGTCTCCAAAAAAACAGACGATTTCAGATGGACCTGAATGCATCACCAGCCTCCACCTACCAGAGCACTCCTGAACTGATATCAGGCCTCTGTCAGACTCTGCTCAGGTTCTCCGTTTGTCAGCTGTGAGGTGTTGATCTGTCCAGATGTTTCCTCCTGTTAGAGCCGCAGACCTGTGACTTCAGTAAGTTCGTTTTTCCTGTTCATCTAAAACGGAGAAGTCTTTAAAGGGTGAGATTTGATTCTGAACTTTGTCTGTGTTTTCACTTGACTTTCAGCCGCTGCACCAAAAAGTCATGAACACACGGTGCAGACGGAGTTTCAGGCCTTCTGATAGAAACAGGCTATAAACTATCAGGATCTATGGAAGTCAATCTGTGCCATCTGATTCTCAATTTGATTTTCTAAAGCTGAAGTTTTTTACATCAAAGTCAGACTTTGAATTTCGCAACTATGACATTTCAAGCATGCATTTTTATTTCTGACACTTATTTTTTTTTTCTACAATGATGAAATAAATTCAGTGTTAAAAAAAAAATCAGTCTCTCAAGTATTTGTTTAGTAAAAATTCACCAAAAAAAAAAAAAAAAAACTAAATAAAAAAATTCAGTGTCAAAAAATTCAACATAAAAAAAATTCAACATAAAACAAATTCCAGTGTAAAAAAATATAGTGTAAAACAGACCAACTCAACATCCGGGTAATCAGGGAGAAGCAAACCTCAATTCCTCAATCTTCCACTAGGGTCGTTTTTTTTAAAGTTGAATTTTTACTGTTTAAATTTTTAAAGAAACCGATTTTTTTTTTTTATACCGGATTTATTTCAACATTGTGAAAAAATAAGTGTCAGAAATAAAAATGCGTTCCTGAAATTCAATGGCTTTAAAATTCAAAGTCTGATTTTGATGCAAAAAAATTCAGCTTTAAAAATTCAAATTCAAAATCAGATGGCACAGATTGACTTCCATAAATCGATTGCTTCTCCCTGATTACTCAGATGTTGAGTTGATCTGTTTTAGACTATATTTTTTGACACTGGATTTTATTTTATTTATTTTTTTTTAAGTTGAATTTTTACTACACGAATATTTAAGAGACCGATTTCTTTTACACTGAATTTATTTCATCATCGTAAAAAAAAAATAAGTGTCAGAAATAAAAATACGTGCTTGAAATTAAAGTCTGATTTATCAACTCATAAAACTCGTAAAATTCAAATTCAAAATCAGATGTCTCAGATTGACTTCCGTAGTATTCATCCAAAATCAAACCACCTAAAACAGAAATGACTGCAAGACCGCTGATAACCACAGGAGGGCAGTCTCACACAGGACAGCTGCTGTTAATGGGTTTTATTCATGACCTCAGAATCAGACACCTGAGACCTCACCTGGATAATAACACGTTTAAATAAAGATGAAGCATATGAAGATAATCCAGATTACCAAAATCATTAAAGACATGCGGCGCTCCTGTCTGAGTCCGCCTCCTCTGAGACCCCCTGGTCCTTGTTTCTGCCTTCACTCGAGTTTTCTTTGGGGGGTCAGTGAGTCACACTCTGCGGCTCATGAGGAATCCTCTGCGGTCGGACAGCTGTGAAGTATAATTGTACAAACCAAGGTCACCGCTGTGAAGGCTGCAGCCGGAGGCAAAGGAGAAACTGATGGATGTTTTCTTTCTTCAGCTGCACTTCTTTCAACTCCAGCAAATAGAGGAAAACAGCAGGACTGGGGGGCGAACGACATGAAGACCAACGTTTAGAGGAACGACTCTGCAGACACCGTTTCAGACTCTGACTCTAAATACTGTCTCAGAGCGGATCTGAAAGAAGAGTCTAATAATACGTCTGACCCCAATGACCTTTACTCTGAACACATATCTCTGACCGTGACCGACAATAACAGTCGTGTCTTTTAATTCATGCTGTTCAGTCTCCTCCTCCTTCATGGACGTCTTCTGCTGCACTAAACAGCATGTAGCATCAAGCTAATAACCACCATCACTGAAAACAGCAGGTACCTTCAGCTTTCCTCCACGTGGATTCATCTTCATCTCCAGTCGAGCCGCAGAAAAAGCCTCTTATTGTTCAGTAATGATGTTATGTCTGAGGTTATTATCTGTTTCAATGATTAAACTCAGCGCACAGCCTCAGGCCTGCACATCAGCCGTAAAACAACCAGATTTTTACTCATTTCTGTGTTTTTGGATCAAAATATTCAAGTGTTTCTGGATTTAATTTAACTGTAAAGAGAGAGAGAGAGAGAGAGAGAGAGAGAGAGAGAGAGAGAGAGAGAGAGAGAGAGAGAGAGAGAGAGAGAGAGAGAGAGAGAGAGAGAGAGAGAGAGAGAACAGCTTCTGACCAATAAGAGCTTTCCTCTTAATCAGTCATGAACTCTGTGATCGGTGGCGTCTCTCCGGATGCCGAGGATGATGATGATGATGATGATGATGATGGAGGTTAGAGAAGAAGAAGAAGAGAGGACTGAGTGTGTGTGCAGATGTGGACTTTAGAGACCAGAAGAAGCCTTTAAATGATTTCTATTCTCCTGAACTGAAACAGGATTTTTATGTTTCTTCTGACACATCAGGAAAAACAGGTCTCTGCAGGTGCAGAGTGTGGAACACTTTAAACTTTAAAAGCTTTTATTTTGAACCATTTATTAAACCACGCCCACCTGTCCACAGTCCTGAACTACCCGACGCTCCGAAGCATCTACAAAACAAATCTCTGTTGGACTACACCGACACCTGAGTCTCATTTAGTAGATTATTGGAGTTTTCTTCTGGACACGATCATGAAGTTCTCCTCCTTTAACTTAGCGAATGATCACAACAAAAAGACTTCACATAGGAGAAGAGAACGACCAACTGTTTTCTAAAAGAGAGATTTCTCTTCATAACAACACAGGTCTGTCAAAGTGTCCCTCTCTGAATCAGAGACCGGTCACTGGTGTAACAGGAAACTACTCGGGTCACAGTTTTTGTCTCTCTGTTGAGCTCTCCTGAGGTCTACGAGTTTCACTTTGAGCTCCTGCAGAGTCAAAGTCACAGTTTAAATCCTGAGACCTCTTTGGGACTTCCTTTCTTACCTGTCAGTCTTTGTGCTGCTGACTGAAGCGTCGACTTCTGAAACCTTAAATGAGACACAGCAGCGTGTTAAAGAGGATGTTTTTGTTTCTTTACAGCCTTTTGTTTCTCTAATTGTCCTTTTAACACAGAAAACTCCTTGAGTTGATCTCAGAGGGCCTGAGTGTCACCGTCAGATGAATCCTCCCTGCAGAGAGATTATCAGACTAATGACGCTGAGTGAAAGTGGGTTGACTGATTGTACTTATGAATGACACCATTTTTCAGGTAGAAAATCAGAGCAGGAAGCGTGTGAGCCGGACGTGTGTTTACTCCGAGGAGAGACGGCAGACAGACACACGGACACACTGGCGGCACAGTCGGGCTGTCTGACTGATTCTGCAGCTTTTTAAGGACATTTTAACACAGAAGTTTCTGATTTTTTATCTTTTTTTAACTTGCAAATTTTGAGCTTGAGAGAAAGTTGAAGCTGAAGTTTGGAGTGTTTTGATTCTGCCCGAGTTTGACAGCAGAGGCTTCAAAATGATGGACCCAGAGCTCCGATTTCAAGAGGTGAGGTGTCACTGCACTCGTATTTTTAGAAACCATGTCGCTGTTTTTTTTCTTGTAGAAGATGCTGACAGAGTGTCTCGGCGTGCAGGCCTGCAGAAGTGGCAGGAGATGTTGAGAAATAGCATCATTAGGTTCCTTTAAAGCTGGAGGATCAGTGTGGAAGAGTGACATGTAGGTTTGTGTGCGTGTCTGTGTGTGTTATCATGAAGTCTCAGGAGTGTGTGCGTCCTCCTGGGAGAGTCTGAGAAACAGAAACACATCCTCAGGGACTCAAAGTGTGTCAGGACGCCGAGTAAATGATGAATGGGCTGTGTTTGAGGTTTGGCCAATCAAACGACAGGACCCGCTCTTGACAAACAGCGTTGGTTTTTGAGCGAATCCACGTTTTTGATTTTGTTCTTTGAGGTTATGATGGAGGCAAAACTGAAGCAAACAAAACTTGACAGACCTGAAACACTCCGATTTGTTTGAGAGGCTGTTTACTGACATTTGGGAACATATTAGAGGAAAAGAAGTCCCTGAGAAAAGACTCCTGATCACCTTTGCTGTGTAAAAGCCTGACGACTTTAACGCTGAAGAAAACATCTTTTCTCCTTTCTTATTGTGTTTTCTACCTTTGAGACCAAGGTTACAAACTTTCTGTTGGAATAAAATGACTAATAACAGAGTCGCTCACTTTGGTTTGAGTAGTTTGAAAGAAAAGGTGGATAACCTTTCTAAATCTAAAGTTACTGTAGACAGAGAAACTAAATCCAACCTACCGTCCTGTATCTTCCTTTCTTTAGAGCTTATTGTCCTTTCAGAGAAGGAAATCACTCTTCCTCTCTGTTTATGAAACTTTAACCTGCTCTTATCAGGACGTCTGGGCCCACTTACCCACTCAGGAACCTTTCTTATCATAAAAAGGCTTTTCCTCCAAACCTCAGTGGTCCCAGACTTCAGCCCTGCAGGTTCCCATTAAGTCTGCAGGTTAATTACATTCACCTGTTGTCCCAGGTGAGTCGGCAGGAGCGAGGGAAACTCAGGAGGGTTAGGATATATGAGGAGGAGGAACCTCGACTTTTCTGTGCTGTTAAAGTAACAGCCTGATTTTCACCAACATCTGTGGATCCTGATGAGTTCGAGGTTTGTTGGTCTCAGTCTGATTCTTGTTTGATTTTTGGTTGAGTCTGAGAAAAACTAAACAGAGCAGGAGCAACACTGAACATCACAAGAAGGTGGTGTGGTTAGGGTCACACTCTTCTACGCAGTCTAAAGACTCGAGCAGGAGTGCGTAAATACATGCATGCCTGGGTTGGCAACACGAACGCAGATGCATCAGCTGAACTTTGCGGTGTGCAGACTGTGGAGAAGGTTTGAGCCTCGGGGACATCAGTGAACTTCCCAAACAGCAGCAGAGGTCAGAGAGAGATCATTTCCACGTGCGCTCTGATTCCACCTGTTTAATATTTAATGGAGGAAGGAAGAGAGTCCAACACAGGCTGGGAGGATCTCTTCCGCCCTCTCTCACCGCTGCGCTCCTTCAGGTTCTCCTTTTCATCCATCAAGCCCTTCTCTCTTTGTCTTTTCAGTCTGCTGCCATTTTCTCCTCGTTCACTCCTCAGTCACCTCAAGCCTTTCCTCTCATCTCCATTCAGGCACTTACACGGCTCGTTCAGTCAAAGGCATGTTGATTTTGGCGCCCCCTGTGGACAAAGTGATATCTCTTGCACCATGTTCTGCCGATAAAAGTCTCTGCTGCTCCTTTTTAACAGTCAGATATGATTTCTCCTCTTAACTGACTCCATCTCCCTCTCTGTCTCAGGGTTTACTAATGTGATATGGAGCTCAGAGTGTGTGAGTTGGAGGTCATTAGTATCTTCAGGCTTTCCTCTTTGACACCCATCCATTTGCATTTAGTCAGCAGCAGATGAAGACCAGCTGGTTCCTGATCTGCTCGATTGTCTCGCTTCGTTCCCCTCTGAAGGGATTTCTCTCTGAGCCTCGGCCGCGGTTTATTCTCCGTCGATACGCCGAGTTTTAATCCTATCATTTTATAACCGAGGGGTGTATTCTAATAGAAGATATCACACAGGAGCGCTTATAATCTCTGAAGTGATACCGTAGGAGGAGTAGATGACATCATGAGAGGTAAAAATACCACAAAGTGTGAGACACAGGCCCACTGTAAAGCCCTGTGGGGGTATTAGACTGCTGCAGAATACTGTGGATACGAGGGAGCAGCTCAACATTTGATGATTTCAACACATGAGCATGAAAAGAACCCAAAATGAAAAGCTCTACAGAGTGATGGGATAATTAAAAAGGCTGTCTTTTACATTTTTAATAGGAAGGCCTGTGCCGTGAAGCATCATTTGTCAGGATTAATTAAACTACAGACATGCTTTTTAGCTTAATTAATGACTAATTTCAAGTTTTAAATTGCTTTAATTAACAGGGGGAGGCATAAGACTGTTTAATGTGCTGGAGCAGGAAATTTAACTCCAAATTTGACACCAAACTGAGTTTTAATCAGACTGAATGTGAGTTGATGGACGGCATAGAACAGAAAAGAAAACTTGTCACCATTTTTTCTACCATACCACAGAAACTGAAGGTGATAAACTTTGGTAAACTTTGTACTTTGGTAAAATTTCACATGCTTTATATCATTTTTCTAAATACCAGGAGAAACTTTGAAATCTTCACGTTTGATTTGAAACATTTACTAGACGAAGTTTGACTTTAACAATAAACAGCATCTTAATTTTCACTAATTATCTTTTTATTTTTCTCTTAATGTTCATTTTAATCCATGTTCTTCATGTTTATTTTGTGTTATTTTATCAATCATCTCTGTTCTGAATATTTTTCCTAATTCTCGTCTCAGAGGTTTTTACTTCTTTTACCCCTTAAATATGGTAAACAGCTCTTACTTATCTGTTTATTTAATGTCATTTTCTTGTTTTAGTCCATCAGGTTTTACTCTTTATTTCTAACATTTTTATATTTTTATCTCCAGTGTTTCCTGAAGGTCGCTCTTTCCTAACGTAATGTCTCGGTGTCAGGTCATGTGTCTATAACAATATATCTTAAATTCTCACTTTGTGTGCGCTTGTGAGTGAGTGTCCGTGTTAACTGGTTTAAATTCACAAACTAATCAGCTGTTTTTAAAGTATTTAGTGCTTCCTTCTCCAGCTGCAGCACAAAGTGATAAATAAGAAAGATTGGAGTAAATAACTGATGTGTTATGTTACTTTAAGTCTATGTCCATCCTGACTGTCCTGGTGATGCACACAGGTCTGAGTCAGACTCTCTTTTTTAATTTAAAGTTCACCATCATGAAAATAACTCCGTGTGTTCGTGATGTTTGTTTGTACCCACTGTTTGGGATGATCGATAGCGCTTTAATTATTCACACACAGCCCTGAAATAACAGTACTTACAGGGAGGAGGGGGGAGACTCAGCTTCAGCACCACGGACAGCGCTCAGTCAGACCGGATGTCAGCAACCCTAAAAAAATAAAAGCACGTGGAAAAAAATTAAGACACTGCTGACACTGTTAAATAAGGCGCAAATAGGGCTGTTATACGACCGAGTATTAGGGCCACATTAAGAGAAAAAAAACCCAAGATTTTGAAATTTAAGTCTTTAACTTACAAGAATATAGTCAAAACAAAGTATATATATAGTATAGTATATATATATATATATATATATATGTATATATATATATATATATATATATATTTATTCTTTCAACCAAGCGTAGCTCATTGGATGGGTCTGTACCCTTTTGAGTACACTTCTGTATTACAAATTGTTTATGCATTTTTTTGGACTATCTTTATAATCATATTGACACGACGTCTTATTAGTTCCATTATTAGTGTATGTTTGTGTTCTGTATTTCCTTTTCCTTTATTTTGGTTAAACCTAAGTTTGTACTCTTATACAGTCATAACTATGAAGTCTCCATTTTTATTATTATTATATTTATCTATATTATTTATATCTTTTTCAGCTCTTTTGTTCGTGTAAAAATTTAGCAAAAACTATTTACCTTATTCGCACTCTTCAATTTAAATTTAAAAATATCATTATAAAAAAAATGTCTTCAAAGTTGTAAAGTTGTGATAAACCGTGTGTCTTTTTTGTAAAATCAGTCACACTAAAATCCTCTCAGAAACACGTTTGCACTACAGGACTTTTATTTTGGAGGTTCCACACGGAAGTAGTCCCGTCTCGAGCTCAGTTGGCTTACCGCTCGTGCTCCTAAATTGCCGCGCGCTCGCTCGGTGTTGGACCTTATTAGCGGGAGAGGGACCAGAGAACCACGACCGAGCAGCAGAACCGACACCGAGGTACCGGGGGAACAATGACCGCGTCCAAAGACCCGACAAAGAAGAAGCCGAAAGAGGGGCAGCAGGACGAGGTAAAACACCGGAAAATTCACCGGGAAAAAAACCGTAAATGTTGATTTAAATTCGGTTCGTTCGGCCGTTAGGAGGTGAAGCAGCTCCGGTGACGGGGACCGGCTGGACCTGCTGCTTTTTACCGATTAATTAGCAGCGAAATACCGTAGAAACGAGGAAAATATCCGAATTAAAGGAAGTACAGTAAGTTAGATATACAGCTGAGGAATATAGTGACAAATGTGAGCACTTTTACTCTCATTTAAAGGTCTTATCAGGTGTTTAATTAGTCCGTTAAAAGTCCGTTAAAGTAAAATATATATAATTATGAACGAGGCTTTTCAGACTCATAGTATATATAACTGTATTATAATGAGTGATATAATAATGAATAGGGGAGAGTGGGGTAAGTTGATCCACCCCCTGTTGTTTGGAAATGGTCAAAGAAATTGATCATAAGACCAAATATTGAGGAGATGGTCATCAATTCATGGAGTCTGTGAAGGTTAGAAGCTCATGGGTGAAGAAGAGGTTAGACATTTATTTATAAAACAACATTTTTCTTCACTCTGTAAAGTGAATTTAGTCTGTCATCAGTTTGATTAGAATTGTGTTCAGACCAAAAAAGATCATTTTAAATGTGTTTTATACATCAACTGTGGTATTTATGACATAAAAGTCCACCATTTTATCTCAGAGGACTAATAAAGTCATCATAGTAGTTCAGGGGGAGCAGAGACAGTAAAGGAGTCTGAGGAGAGGATCAGAGTTTACCTTCAGATTAATGAAATGTTTGACTTTTTCTTTCTCATTCTCATCTTCAAATGTTTTTTTTTTTCCAAACAGCTTTTTAGCAGTCAATGTAATAGTAATAAAAAGAATTAATGTACCAGTTGAATAGAGTATAATAGATAAAAACACGGATAAACACTCGGGGTAAGTTGACCATAGGAGACCACTTTTTTTTTGTCCTGCTATATTCTGAAGATGACAGTTCTGTTTACACTCATTCTGTTGGTTTACAGGGATGAACAACATCCTGAAATATCTGCAGATACACGAGTTAAAGACTAAACTAGGACTGACTTGATGTAGTGATCCCAAATATGAAAAATGGATCATCTTACCCCAGTCTCCCCTACATCACTTTAATGTTGCAGCTGGTTAAGGTGAAGATGATTTCATCTTCTTAATATGCCGTTAAAAGTCTCACTCATTGAAAAGGACATCATAGTTAAAATAACTTCAAATGGGTTTTTTATTTACCTACTAATACCTGCTAAATTGTATGCGGTGTTTTCAAATTCAGTCTCGTTTTAGTATGAGAAATGTCTCAACAGAACACCAAAGTTTGACCCTTCTCTCCTCGGGTACAGCCCGTCGACCTGCTCTCTTCTCTGTCCGCTTCATGTATCTTCTCTGATGGGTCTTCTCTGTGTTTGAAGCTCTGTGAACGCTGAATTGAACATCTTTTTACTGTCACAGCTTCCTGTAGTGTCTCTGCTGGAAACCTTCATATCCACACCCTGTTTTTTTTTAGACCAGCCCCTCCCTCACATCATTTCACCGTCCACGCTTCAGGTGACTTACATCATCCTGGCATGAAGCGGGAGAGGAAGGATGAGTCCAGAGAAATGATGTAACCCTTGAGCCCCTCCACAGAAGGCCATGAAATTCAAAGTTTGAGATGAGCAGGAGTCTTTTCCTGAAAGACTGAAAACAGCAGATCCACATCTCTCCATCTCAGGCCCGAGTGGTTAACTTTATTTACTTTTTGGGACAAATATTTAAACTCCGATGGCTCATTTTGGTGGATAATCAGCACTCTGTCTAGACTGGATGATATAAGTGTGTGTGCAGTTATATAAGAGGAACTACTGCACTGCAACACTGGAAGATTAATTCACGTAGTTAGACGCCAAAAACAACTGCAAACAAGTCTGAGAGAGGTTTAATCAAAGAGTCACCAGGTTCTGTGTGTTAGGTTAACTTTCACAACAACAACGATGATGATGATGATGAGGGGCGGATGTTTCCATGGTCACAGATACAACCCTGATAATCTGTGTGTTTTTGTCTGCAGGAGTTTGTGGATGTAAGCCCCCCGCAGAGGAACTGGAAAGGCATCGCCATCTCTCTGCTGGTGATCGTGGCGGTCTGCTCACTCATCACTATGTCTGTGGTCGTCCTCACGCCTGGTATTTACGCCTTTACCGTCTTTCTTTCTGTTTCTGTCTTCACGAGCTGAAGTTATAAGAATAAACTCCACATTTGACGTGAGTTTGCTCCGTTTTCTCAGCCGAGCTCCCCGGCAGCAGCAGGTCCAGACTGACCGTGGCGGATCTGTACAAACCGGAGTTCAGAGTTCACAACCCTGAGGCCAGGTGGATCAGCGGTGAGTACTTGATGTTTCCTTCTCCAGCTGTCTCTGTGATGGAAGAATATTACTTGTTCCAGGTCGAGGTGAGCGCTCAGTGTTGAGTCAGGAGGTGAGGATGAGGTGACAGAGAGAGGAAGGTGATGGTGATGTAACAGGTGAGGATAAAAAAAGAGTGACTTTGAAGAATAAGAAGTTTGTGCTGTCGGACTGCGAGTATTCACAAGGGTTTCTGTCCCCTCAGCGAGCTCATCACATCCAGTTTGGAGTGATTTTATCGAAGGACCACACTGTCCAGCCCTGAAAGACTGTAAACTTATCAAGCTACATGTGATAATAAATCACTTTTAAATTCACTTTGAATTGGATAAAATCTAGAGATGACTTTGAGACTTAAACGAGACAAAGAAGAAAAACACGCACTCGTTTTTTCTCGTTAGCAGCGACTGACAGCCTGAGGCGGCTCTGCGATCACTGTCTCTGGTATTTACAGTAACGTCAGGCTTAGTGCATAAATGCATGAAGTAATGTAAGCGACCCCTGCTGACCTGCATGACAAACACAGATGGTCTCACAGTGTCATGTTGAATCAAGAGCAGTGACTCAGAGTCACCCACACCTTTACCCTGTGATAGAACATCGTCAGTAATAACGCTCTGTTAGTACTGGAATTACTCAGTGCTTATGGGCCACATTAAATCACGATCAGGGAGGAGACCCGAGCTTTAAGTCCAACTGTGTTTCATCATTAACACACTTATGGGCTCAGCTGAGTGTGCGGCACACTCACACCCAGCGCTGTGTGCCTTAAAACTGCTTCTACGTGCAAGGGTAAGAGTAGGTCTGTAATTAAATGATATTAAAATTTAATGCCCAGCCATTAAAGTGCTGAAAGAAAGAAAGTAGAAGTCGATCTTTAGCAGAAAGTTCAGTGAAAATGAGCCAGACAGTCTGTTCTTTTCTGGTCAATTATTCCTGCAGATGTGAGCGAGCTTAAAAAACAGTGAAACAGAGAAGTGGGTTTCTTTTCTGGAGGGGAAGGATGTTCAGAAATGAAGCAAAAGCATCAGGTAGCTGTGATGTATCAGTAACAGTGAAGTCACAGCTGTTCAAACCTGATATTCTTTTATTATAACCAGGAGAAACGTTTCCTCCTTCACTCCCCGTTGACCTTTCCTCTCCCTAATCTCCCCCAAGGCCACATCACCTACACCCCCCCACCACACTTTCCCCTTTGTGTTACATAAGACCTGCTCTGTTGGAGGAGTTACAGCACATCCTCCATCCGTGTTGGAGCGTTTCACTGTGTGTGTGTCACACAGTATGAACAGGCTGCACTGTTCCTCCACATGTTCAAGTCCAAGTCCTGAATTTCACATCACTGCATCCAAACGTGCGTGCTGTTTAACTGGCTTCTTGACGGCGTGACAGATTGTGTTTGCATTCAGAAAGAACAGATTACAGAGGAGGACAGAGAGAGAGAGAGAGAGAGAGAGAGGAGGAGGAAAATATCGTCTCCAGCTGACGGAGGCGAACAGAAACGATGAAATATCGCGACGGTTTGTTGACAGCATGACAGCTAAATTATTGTTCTAATGGCATACAGAAGGAAGGGGGGGGACTCAGTCTACCCTGAACAGTCTTCTGGAGACCTGCTGGGAGTGACACAGACGAGGACAGAGGTGGAAGGAGACAGCCAGAGACGACTTTGAGCTCAGGAGATGAAACAGAGACCCTCCGCCTGCTGCGCCCTCCCCCTCCACTGAGAGATAATACTAATGACTTGTCCTGTGGCCTGTGGCTTCTCATTATGGCTCTGCTGTGGAGAGCCTTTAACAAACACACGCACACACACACACACACACACACACACACACACACACACACACACAGACAGTATGTCTTAGCGTCAGTGCGGGCACGTTTGATCTCAACCTGCGTCATCTCTCAGCCGAACGGATCCGACCCGGTTCTGAGCAGTTTGTAAAATCATACGACCAAGAAGTTTGAAGCAGCTCCGGTCAATAATTTTAACACGACTCCCATAAAACCGAGAGTCTGAGTCACAGAGATGTTTCAGATCTATCAGGGGTGAAAGGAAGAAGACTCGACATGCAGCTTTCTGTGCAGGTCGGTCTGTCTGCCTGTCTGCCTGTCTGTCTGTCGGTCTGTCGGTCTGTCTGTCGGTCTGTCTGTCTGTCTGTCGGTCTGTCTGTCTGTCTGTCTGTCAGTCAGTCAGTCTGTCTATCGGTCTGTCTGTAGTGGAAGTGTGTCTTATACACAGGATTTGGTGGCCAACACTGAGAGAGTACTTTAGCTCTGATGAACAGGCAGATACTTTGAAGGAAACCAGACTCACGGGTAGACAGCCATCTGCCTCAGCTGTAAGACGTCTGCTGGACTCCTGGAGAACTTTGAGGAGTCTCAGAATTCTTCATAACTCAGGTGAAACGAGGTTATGAGCTTCAGTATCCCTACTGAACACGCAGACACAACCTGGACTCGATTTCCGATCGGGTCGATTGATGATGGACTAAATCTATGTGGATGTATATTTCTAAACTCTGAGCTTTGAGTCGAGGTTGTTAAAGCTCACCTGGCAGAGAGAGAGAGAGAGAGAACTAAACAGTTGTTGTTGTTGTTGTCGCTCAGTGATGAATTTTTCAGCTCAACAGGGTCAGCTGTCCCATTAGCTGCATTGCTGAGATCTATGGTGAAGTTGGGAAATTACTCGCTGACACGCTGCATGGTGTAAATCTATTGTAGGCTGTTTGCGGAGAGCTGAGGGTCCGTGAAGACGCTCGTGGTCTGGGTCTGGATTTACAGCCGGGTGTCCTGTGGGGGTGTTTTGGGTGTAATTCAAACATGTCTGATGGAAATTGCTTCCTTGAAAACCGCTAACTTATTTCCTCTCCCTTCTCCTCGTACCCTCATAGGCTTCAGGGCCCACTCCCTCTCATTCATCAGCCCGACACGCGCTGTGATCTGTTAAACCGCACCTTTACCGATCTAAAGCAAAGCACGAGGATTCATGTGACGATCACGTCCAGACACTCTGAAGACCGAGAGATAATCTAAGAAATGAAGACGCAGCGTGGCAGCTCCTCGACTTCGGCGGCTTTTCCTGCTTTTTAAACAGGCGCTGAACGGCATCGAGACGAAACCCGAGAACAACAATCAAACACACAAGTGTCCAAATCTTCGTCCTGAGAGCTCAGAGCACGTTTCTGCAGCACAACACGGAGGGATGAGTGATGGGAGCAACGAATGCACTCAAGCACACAACCTGTAGATGAGATCCTGAGTGTCAGTCTGTCCCGGTTCTCTGAAGTGTTTGAACATCTCATTTTGTGACTCACTTGTTTTCTTCACTTTCTTGCTGAGAGTTAAATTGAGAGTTTTGATTCCACTTTGCTGTGTTCGGCAGATAAATAACCACCATAAGCCGAGTTAGATTAACATAAACGCTGGAAACAAAGAAAAGCTACCGCCGCTTTCCCCGCTCGCTATTTTCAATGTGGACCCTCCCGTTTCCAAAGGCTCTGAACTCTGATACCGACACCGCAGAGGTTTCTTTGTCTCCTGAATTAAACTGGGAACGAAGAAGCTCGGCTGACCTTCACTCCGACCTTCTGAAGACGTGATTGAGTGGAGGTTTGGGCCGCTTTGGCGAGGATATGCCTACTAGCTTGAGTGAAGTAGAAGTCTGCAGAGATGGTCTGCTCCTGCTGTAACACCAACAACAAAGTTCTCGACCTTTCAAATGGTTTTCAGACGGTGACAAAGTGAAATCTCCCACTCTCAAACCGTGCTAACACTGGGCTCCTGGAAACCAAACTAATATTTTCAGGCGGGACTGAGTGAGCGGTCGCCGTTACATGAAGATGTGAGTGAACGGAGAACCTGATGGACGAACATCGATGCTTCTCTCCTCTCCTAGATTTGATCAGATCTCAGAATTATGATCGAGATTTCGTGCTGTAGTTCTGACGTCTGCGTGCGTGTGCGCGCTCTCAGTCTTATTAACGCCGTTCTTACATTATCATCAGCCGCTCCACGCGCTCCTGATGAATGAGCGTTTTCTCGGCCCTCGCCGTGGATTCAGATCTGTTTTGGCGTTCCCGTTAGTGCTGCAGTCACGGGGTCACTGTTGTGTATGAGTGAATTATTCATGGAGATGTTGTTTACGTTTCCTGTTCTTAATGTACTGCTGATGTGAAGTCGAGCTCGTATGTTTCAGATGAAGAAGACATTCAGGTGCTTACATAAGAGAGAGATTCATAGAGTGTGTGTGTGTGTGTGTGTGTGTGTGTGTGTGTGTGTGTGTTCAGATGATGTTCTGGATGAGTGCCTCGCGCTGCTTGGCTTGTCATACATGATTCCTAATGAGGTTTGTTCATACAATAGGCTACGTCTCCAGCAGTGACCCGTATGAATTAAACATCATGAATAATAGATGATCTGTAAGGGTCTTATGTAAAGTAAGTACACTATGTTCAAGGAGGAGCAGTTTTTTTCTTCAGTTTTATTTCACCTCTAATCAAACCCTCAATTACTGCCACACAGAGGCCCCCAGACACGCTCGCTGCACGCCCTTTCTTTACTCCTTATTTATGCTTCTTAACTGAAGCACATCCAGCCTAAAAGCCGCCCGTCCTCAGCCGCAGCGCTGAGCGATGCCCTCCCCTGCAATCAGCCACATATTCACTCCAAATGAGCTGCAGGAGAGCGTCAGGGGGAGGGTGGAGGCGCAGCTGCCTGTGGTTGAGTTTGAGGGGGATGTAAAGAAAACATGCCTTCAATAAGAGCCTCGGCGTGAAAACCAGGCACTGGAGTTTGGTCTGAGACAAGCTCATTAACGTCCGTACACTTTGTCTTCATGTCTTCTTCTGTCAACGGGACGAGGAGAGCAACAACTGATGTGGAAACTTCTTCTTCTTCTGGCTCTAAATGCATTAAAATACCCCACAGTTGTTGCTTCCTTCCACATGATCTGGTGCTGCTCTGCACATGTGCGGAGAGTCTCAGTCTGCAGGTAGATTGATCATGATTCTTGATATTTGCAGGAGCGTTGAGAAGCAGCTGCTGTTTGTAGTTTGTTGCTGCTGTCAGGGACGCATTAATGTGACAGCAGGTCTGGTAGGTGTAGCAGTGACCTACGTAAGATTAAAGAAACCAGGACAGCATTCACTGTGTGTGTGAGTGTGTGTGTGTGAGTGTGTGTGAGTGTGTAGTAACATGCCAGCTACCTGAGTGTAGCCATGAATTGAAAATGTTCCCGGCGGACAGACGGCTGGTTCAGAGCGACGGTGGCTGATGAAGTGACAGGCTCTTTTCTTCTCTGCAGCAGGTGCTGCGCCTCTTGTTTCCTGTTTATTTTCCTGAGAAGAAGAAGAAGAAGAATTACACCCTCAGGATTAGCTTTCATTATCAATCATCTCCTGCTGATTGATGTTGATTTAATTTTTCACTGCCAGGCGATCGAGTCCTTACTTTTTATCACAGGTATAAACGAAGGTCAGAGGATGTAAAATAAGGGTGGTATGTCCTAACTGAGCCTGTGAATCACAAAAAATCAAACAAAACGAATCAATCTGGAGCGTGAGAGTGTGAGAGGAAAACCCTTTTATACTGAGTATCTGCTGCTTTTTTTGGGCGGATGCCTCGCAGGTTTATTCGTTCTTCCTCTGAAGCTCGGTGACCTTCTTTAAGGGACTGCTGGGTCTGTTGACTGTGTCTCTGTGTCCTCTTTCAGATTCTGAGGTGGTGTACAGGAACTGTGACGGCCACGTCATCAAGTTCAACTTTGAGACGAACGAGACGGAGGTCATTCTGAGCAACAGCACCTTTGTGAGTGTTTGTGTGTGTCTGCTGTCTGAACCATCACTGTAGTAAGCAGAGGCTTCGGTTGTTGTCGTGGAAGAGAGGACCTCTGTTACGGACTTTAACGTGGAGTAAAGTGCAGAGAAAACAAGTTTGATTTGACTCATAGAAAGATGCTGAAGTCACAGAAGGCTGATCTGCATCTCTGGACTCTGCTTCTGTAAATATGATGAACTCTCACTTCTTTCTGTTAACTCAAGTATTTTTATTCCAGGTAAAAATGTTCTTTTAATGAAATAGAGAGGTAATAGGGACTTTTGGAGAGCTAGGGTCCCTGGAGGTTTGAATTATTCTAATTTTCATCTTTCTAAACCCTAAAATCAGAGTTCCTGTTCGCCTGGCTGCTCTGAGCTTGTCTAGCTGGTGTGATTGGATCCTCAGAGGCAGCAGGAAAACATGTCAGAGCCGCCGACAGCACCTCATCACTCTCACACCTGCAGAATCACAATATGATAATATCCTGCTGAGCGGGTCGTGTATCCAGCTGTCGGCGCGGCGGGCGAGCCCGGGCCTTTGAGGCGCTTTTGAATCTGCTCAGCTCACCTCAGCTCACCTCTGCACAATCAGCAGGAAGAGAGAGAACATGATCATCGGGTTTGGGAGGCAATCAAATCACTGAATAGATCCTGATTGAGCTCCTTAATTTACATTTTCTGTGATCGCACAAACAAACGTCCAGGAACATGAAAACATGTCAGCATCTGTGATCGTATTATCCTCTCAATGCTTGCATAAGCTCTCCAGGAAAACCGGAGCAGGCCTAATTTAGCCGCTTTCTAATTGCATCATTATAATCTGGTTATTTCATAACCCTCGTGCACTGTAAAAAGATAATCCTAAAAAAAGTCCACGTGGAGTCTCTTTTTTGATGAAGCTGTTCAACAGGCTCTCTCTCTCTTCATTTTGCCAAATTTTTCCACCTCGCTGCAGCTCGTGCTTTTTATGGTTACATAAGTGGGATCTGAGGAGGATTTGAGGTCCCGTGGTAAACTCATCAAACCATAAAAATCAAATCCAACCATCCAGCATCCAAACCCAACATCAGCTCGCTCAGCTTCTGGATCTACAGCTGTCCGACCTGAGAGGCAGAGGAGGAGGAGGAGGAGACCTAAACCACGTCTTTAAGGTTGGGCGTGTGATCGCTCAGTCCCTCTGCACAGCCGTTGAAAAGTGACTCTGGACAGGTTTGAAATGTCGGGTGTAAAATATCCGTCCACCCCGTCCTCTCGCAGAAATGTCACAACCCGCTGCAGCTCCCTCGTGGGTTTATGGCCTTTAGTTGCTAGATTAGTTTTCAGCCGCCACATTGTTCGACATTTTCATGGGATGAAAGCTGGAAACATGAACAATGTCGCTGACACAAAAAAGCAATCACAGCCTGTCAAACCCGAACCCCGGACACCTGAGGCGTTTTCCCCCCTTTGTGTTTTTGGCTCACCGCTGCTGACATGTTTGGAAAGTGTCCGAAGTTTTTGGTGATTCCTGCAGCTGCTGGAACCGTCGTGGTCGTTCATTCACATGTTTATTTTGACAGGGTTACTGCACCACAGTCAGGTAGTTACCTTCACACTCAGACTCTGAAGAAAAACCCAGCAGACGTCTTTGTTATCGAGGACTTTTCTCATCCAAATCTCCATCAAACATTCGTTCATTTTCCCCGGGTATTTTCCAGATTCATCCGTCCTCTGCAGGTATTTCACAGTTCAGCTGATGCCTCTCTTGATGCTCTGTGTTTGTGTTTTTTTCAGGTGTCATTTAAGGTGGCGAAGTACTCGCTCTCTGCAGACCTGAAGTATGCGCTCTTTGCTTACGACGTCAAACCGGTGAGCTTCGAATGAAACGACTCTGAACTTTATAACCTTAAAAAAACACAAACAGGTTTTATTTCTTTATAATCTGCGCTCCTCCTTCCTGACGACCACACAAGCTGTGATCGGTGTTGTTGACCGTCCTCGGCGTGAGCAGCCATTCCTCTCATCTCTGTTTACTCCCCAGCTGGCTGTGGTTTACATTGTGCTGTGTGCCGTCCTCAGGGATGCTGCCACTCACTCATCTGCATGCTCAAACTAAACCAAAACCATGTATCTGCATGTTTGTCATGTGCTTTATTTATCTGTAAATGCATGTATGTTTGTTCTTGACTCAGGTTTAAAAGGTTAAGTTTTTTTCTGAATACTCTCTCGTTCTGCACCACCTGCTCCGCACAGGTGTCTGTTTATTTGTTGAGTTTCTGTTTTGTTAGCCTTTTCGAGTGTTCATCTTTGCATTGCGGTTCTGTGTTTGTCGGTGTGTTTCTCTGTCTGTTAACACTCAGTCACCCACTGCTAGGCATTCCTCTCTTCTCAAAGTCAAGGTTTTTCTATTGATTTTTAGATTTGTTTGCAAACAGATGGATCGAGGCGCAGGTTTGGGAACGCTGCTGCTGCAGGAGAAACAGAGGAGGACGTCTGTTTGTCCCGCAGTATCCTCTGTAAACATCCTCAGACATCACAAACACGTTCACGGGCCTCTCAGTGGGATACATTTATGCAAAAGAAAAGTATATATAGAGACATTGATTTTCTCTCCTCCTCCTCTGCATATGGAGCCTAATTGATTGCACTTTGGTTTTATTTGTTGCCAGGGAAACATGAATTCCCCTGGAGGTATGAGACGTAGGATAACCCACCGAGATTTAGCTGCTCTTAATTGAATTTTTTCACTCATTGCACCGAGTGTGTAAGAGAATCAGCTGTGCAGGAAGCATGTTACACCCTCCAGCAGAGAGTTCAGAGTTTGTCTCAAACTTTTTATTGATCCAGACTTCCTCTACGAACACGTCAGGCTGCGTTGGACTGAAAAAGTGCACAAATATAATGGAGTTTAACGCTGAAGTTTTAATTTTCTGCAGACAGGATATCTTTGAGGAGATGAAACTCTGCTATTGTTGGTCGGTTCACTCATCTCCACGTTTATCAGCTATTTGTCTGTTTGACTTCATATGTCTGCTGCTGGTTCCTCACATCTCTTAGTTTTCATGTAACAATCTCTATTCCAGCTGCACCGCTTTAAACATACATGTTCTGGGTTTAAAACACAGGGTTGATCTATTAATACTAGTGATGCACGATATGAAAAATTTCAACCGATACCGATAACCGATAATTTTCTTCTTCTCATGGCCGATACCGATACCGATAACCGATAAATTCATATTTTGACATTTATTATAATCTTCATATAATCTGCAGTTTGTGCAGGATGCAGCGATTGAAAACTGATGTTTTTGTTGCTCTGGCCTATCTAGAACAACAAACAAAAGTTTTTGGCTCTTCAAATGTGGTCATTTGCTATAAATAACAATAACAGAGCAAAAAGCAGAACTTCATTTGATCCCCTGAACTGTTCAACAGAACTGTAAACTGTAAAGGAGCTATTATGAGACGTTAGGCTTCGCATGCTGACCGGACTAACATCTGACGTCCATATGTCTGTGGTAAAACTCACGTGTAGTCCGTTCTTGTCGATCAGGTTGTGAATGTATGTGGCGACAATATCATAGAGTGCAGGAAGAGACACATCCGAGAAGAAGCGGCGGCTTGGGAGAGTGTAACGTGGCTCCAAGTGTGCTATTAACTTGCGAAAACCCGGGTTCTCAACGACGGAAAAAGGCTGGTCTGAACTCCATCACTTTGTCGTTAATGGCTTTAGCCTTTTCGCTGTCTCTTGAGAAGCTTTTGCAGTTTTTAAACGCCCGCTGAATGGGGACATCGATCCTCCGTAGTGTTGTTGTCTTAGCTTTAGTACCGCTAGCAGCTTCGGCGGCTGTCTCATATTCTTTTACTACCGCTTCGCCGCGATGGCGACTTTTCAGATGAGCTATCAGATTCGCTGTGTTAATACTTGACGTCTTCTTTCCTCCTCTCGGAATCCTCGCTGAACAGGTTTTGCATATAGCAGCTGTTGTCATCTTCTGCCACTGAGAGAAACGACCATGCTGGTGAAGACATTTTATTATCTGTCAGGTAGTGACGGGGTCAGGCTTGGGACCTGCGAGTAAGGCGCGATAGATGACGTAACCAGCGCGTCTCGGACGGGCGGCTACTCCGCCTGCAAACGTTACTCGTAATTTCATTAATATATCGGATCTTTCTATCGGAAAAATGCACCTATCGGACCGATAAAAAATGACGTAATTTTCCCCCCAAATCGGCCGATATTTTATCGGTCCGATAAATATCGTGCATCCCTAATTAATACCTCATTAAACCTGTTCAACATCGAGGTCAACAGATTTCTCTGATTTGTTTTCTGGTTGTTTATCTGGAAAGTCTTCATCTCTTTAGTTTTAACAGCCGAATGTTTTTTTTTCTGTTGTGAGGAAATCCACTAAACTAAATCACAGTTTGGCATTGAAATAAATCAAGAGCTTTTGGTATTCAGTCTGTCTGCCTTTAAAACCCATTTTCGGTTGTTTCTCTGTTTTCCGTAGATTTTCCAGCTTTATTTGTTGCTCCGCTGACTTTGTTCCCACTCGTGGAGGTCCGGGGTTTCTCTCTGGCCCTGAGGTTTCACAAACAGATTGATGTTTGCATTTTGTGAAGAGTTTATCTCTCTTGTTGCAGATGTACAGATATTCCTACACCGCCTCTTACATTGTTTACAACATCTACACCAGGTGAGCAGCTTTCTCTGGTGGGGACAGATCTCTGACTGTTTGGATGAAACCATTTCAGCATCTGACGCACGTACACGTCCGGAAACAGATGGCTGCTGATGTATTTCTTTTTGATTGTGTTTCAGGGAAGTTTGGGAGTTAAACCCTCCGGAGGTGCACAACGCGGTGCTCCAACACGCAGCGTGGGGAAGACAAGGACAGCAGCTGGTGAGGCTGAGCGTCTCTGTCGTCGGCTTTTTCTCGTCTTACTGTCTTTTAATGAAAAACCGCGCTGCCTCCGCTCTCTGGAGATACTGACTCCATCAGTTCCGCCTTTATTTCTCACAGTATAGACTCTGTTTACATCCTCACAGAGCTTATTTCTGCTCTTCTGTCTGCGTCGAGAAGTCAGGCACAGCTGCAGGTGACCTAAATTTGACATCATAACACACTGAAGGTGAACGGAGAGCTGAGCAACAACCTGCGTCTCTGAGAAAGACGACAGATAAATGATGGAGTCGTGGTTCAGGATGCTCATGATCGTGATTGTAATGTCACAGGTGCAACAGGTGTAACGGAGCTAACAGGAGAGTTTGGGAGCTGTCAGTCAAACACAGTCTGCAGCACAGAATCACAGTCCTGGAAGAAACGACGACTGAAGCGAAAAAAGGAAAATCTCCAGAGAGCAGACGACATTAAGAAAACAAGCTGCTGTTCAGGACCGTCAGAAACATTCGGATATTTCTACATCAGAGTCAGGACCTCAGAGTCAGGACCTCAGAGTCAGGACCTCAGTCAGGGCGCTGTTGTTTGGACAGAGAGTACGATCATTTCTGCTGCTTTTACCTTCAGTACAGTTCGGTGTTTTACTGCAGGTGGAGGCCGTATTTTCAGCCATTCTCCAACATAAATACTAAATCTTTAACTGGATTTGTCTGCAGGATTTGCATGATGTTGCTGTGTGACTTTTATCCACATGGAAACGAGGTGAAAACTGAATTGAGAGGACTCGGGATGTTGGAGATCATGCAGGATGTTGTGGGCTGATCAAATGCAAATAGAAAAACAGTGATGAAGGAGGAGGGGTGAACATGTTTTATCATGGCGTAGGAAGATAGAGCAGTAGGATTTAATGTGAAAAACAACATCTTTATATTTGAGAGAAAATGGAGAACATCAAAGTGACGAGGAAACAGTTAATAAAGTTTATTTTAAGAATCTCTTTCTTTTCTCTCCAGATCTACATCTTTGAGAACAACATCTACTATCAGTCGGACGTGAGGAGTAACTCTCTGAGGATCACCTCCTCGGGGATGGAGGGAGTCATCTTTAACGGACTCTCTGACTGGCTCTATGAAGGTGGGTCCAGACTGAAGATGTCAAACTAAATAAATTATTTTCAAAGTTAATGTCAGAAAGTTCCTGAACCTCTGTGAGCTGCTTCAGGCTGAAACTTCCTGTCCTCTCTTCCTTTGGCGTCGGCGAGGAGACAGACATGTTTGATTATCAGTGAGGGATTTTCAGTCTCCCCGCCATCCTCGGTCCGCCTGTTTAAAGTCTTTCACAGATTTGTCTTTAGCATTAAAACCGCAGCAGAGCCGCCCAGACAAACCAAACAGAGCGGCGATGAGAAATCAGCCACAAGCCTCTCCGATCCATTAAGTCTGTGTGTAAACAGATTCAGCCATGATGTGATGGTCGCTGCAGTTTGCACAAACGCAGGCTGATGGGAACATTATAGAATCATTTCTGTTTGCACGGCTCCTGCCGAGCTGTGAGCTCTCTCCTCGTTTGGTTTTCCACTGTTACCATTTGGCTGATGTTTTTACAGGAGAGGAGAGAGCAGGAGGAGCGTTAAATACTGCTTCAACAATCAAGAACACAGTCTAACAATAACCACCACGAAGAAGAGAGACGTCAGAGAGAATCCTGAAAATGTCTGAGAGAGGATGAGAAAACTCTGTGTCTGTATTTTCACAGAGGAGGTTCTGCGCTCACACTTGGCTCACTGGTGGTCCCCTGACGGAGAGAGACTGGCTTTTCTCACCCTCAACGACACCCTGGTACCAAACATGGTCCTGCCCCAGTTCACCGGCACCGCCTACCCTAAAGGACTACAGTACCCGTATCCCATGGTCAGTCTGGACTCTGCAGAGGGATTATCCATCACTTCATTCACTGACCTGCAGCATGATTTCAGTTCACACACGTATATTCAGTGTTTTTTTTAATTTAATCTCAGTGTGAAACAGAAACAGTTTGAAGGAGCAGCTGATGAACTTTCCTCAGACTCAGGATCAGCCTGAACTTTAATCTTGTGTGTTTCTGTCAGGCCGGCCAGATCAACCCTGCTGTCAGGTTATCGGTGGTCAACCTGTTTGGGGCGACTCACACTCAGGAGCTGCAGCCTCCGGACCAGTTTAGACACAGGTAACTCACACAGGAGTCCAGAACACACGGACCACGTAGTCCCAGTCTGACCCCCCAGTCTGACCCCCCAGTCTGACCCCCCACCGCGTGTCTCCTCCTCAGGGATTTCTACATCACCATGGTGAGGTGGATCAGTAACACTCACCTGGCGGTGCGCTGGCTCAGCCGGCCCCAGAATGCTTCACTGCTGACGGTGTGTGACGCCACGATTGGAGCGTGTGTTCAGGTGAGCGTCGGATTATACAGATATCTGTAACCGCACCTACAACCAAACCGCCTGATTGGTCGTTGAGTTAAAGGAGTTTAAAGTTTGTCCCACATTAAAAACAATAACGTCTAATGATATGATTCGTTTGCTTCTGTCTGATCCAGAGACACGGGGAGTCTTCAGACACGTGGCTCTCCAGACAGGTAAACATAGAAACACTCTGATAGCATCTCCAGCTGCTCTACAGCCTCTTCAGAACCATATACGCTGTTCCATTATTGAGGCAGAGACTCCGGGACGCGTTCATGCGTACAGTCAGCTCTCCGTTTGTGTCTGCAGAGACAGCAGCCGCTCTTCTCCAAGGACAGGAGCAGGTTCTTCCTCACGCTGCCTGTCAAACAAGGAGGGCAGGGAGATTTCCAGCACATCACCATGTTCACCAGAAAGGTGACGGGGAGAAATACGTCACCCTCTCTTTGGGTTTACGATTATCTGCTCACTGCAGAAAATGTTCATTTGATTGAAACTGTTTCTTTTTCAGCTACGAAGTGACCAGGATGAAATTCGACATTTGACCTCAGGAGACTGGGAGGTCACAAACATCGTGGCTTACGATGAGAACGACCAGATCCTGTGAGTTTCAGTTTCAATGACGTTAAATCTAAACTCAGTCACCTTCCCTCCCTCTCCGTGAACTCGCCTTATTTCTGCAAACATCAGTGGAAACCTTCTCCGTGTTGAGTTTAACACGCTCTGTAAGCTGCAGGGTTCATGACTGTGTAAATCCGTGCAGCGATGAGGGGAGGTGGATGGAGAATGGATCTGTGACCTTGTCCTACTTTCTCCTCTCTTTTCTCTCAGATACTTCATGAGCACCGAGGACTCGGCTCAGCACAGACACTTATACAGGTGAACCAACCAATCACAGTCTGTCTCTGCAGCCTTTTCATCCAAACGCTCATTTTTAACTCTGTCCTTCCGCTCTTTCTCTCCCCTCTCACAGCGTGTCCACGCTCGGGCTGTTTCCACGCCGATGCCTCACCTGTGGGCTGAAGGATGAGTGTTTGTTCTTTGATGCTGATGTCAGTCCAGATGCTCAGCACGCCATCCTGCACTGCAGAGGTCAGAGAAAGGCAGAGCGGTGATTTATGTGATGTTTAAGAGATATACGTCAGCCTCCTGACAAAATACGATGACAAAGAAAGGAGCGAGTTCATTCAGGTGCCACTTTTAGAAGATACTGCTCCATGTTGGCGGTGAGGAGGAGAGGGAGTCGTGTCCATTAGAGTCCCGCTGGTTCTCAAAGACAATAAAAACCTGCCCGTTAAGTCGAGTCGGGTCTCTAAAGGGCCGTCTCCAGCTCTCTGCCTCTGAGCTTCACGTTTTCATCATCGTCAGAGGGTGTGTGTTGGTAAAGCAGAGGGACAGAGAGAGGCAGTTTAACACGTGTGTGCTGCAGATTGATCAGAGTAAACGTGATCAATCACTGTGATAAATCAATCATCGTTTCAGGACGTTGTTTTATCTTTCCTGTGGAGTGTCGTCCTCCTCCATGGACTCGTGTTTCCAGACGATTCTTCACACTTGAGGAATGAATCTAAAGAAACTCTATTTCTCTGTCGTCTCCCCCTGCAGGTCCCGGGGTTCCAGCTGTCCTCCTCCTAAGTTTTGACGACATCGACTGTAAGTTTTAGTTCTCCTCTCTTTCCGTTTGTTGATTTTGCGTCTGTGCAGATGTGCCTCTGCTCTGAAATGGAAAATAATTTGCAGCAATTACGTCTCGTCGTCTCATTTGTGTGAAAACATCAGCAGCTGTTGGATTTGGTGTTCTGCCAAATTGAGCGGGTTTGTACATTTCAAGATGTTTAATGTTTTTCACTCTTTAAACGGCTGCGATTCGTCTTCTGGATCGTTGTTTTGGACGGCGCACAGTCAGCGCCCGTCTGATTTATTGATGGATTAGAGAGAAAAATTCAGTTAAAAGCTGTTTGAAAGGATAACAAGTCCCAACCATTTCACTTTTTCACCTCCTGCCATTTATGGACTCCAAATATTTCACATATGAAGCAGCTGGAAGTGAAATATTGAGAACGTTGTTATTATTTAATGGTACAAGTGCAGAACAGGAAGACCGCCTGCCACTGTACATGGATTAGTGGTTATAAAATAAAGATGGAGTCGTGCTCCTCCATTGAAGTGGATCACACGCTCAATATTTCATGTGAGCTGTTATCTTTAGGTCACCTATACAAAACATGAAAATATGATGATGTTATTTTATCCTGGTGAAGTCCAAAGGTGATATAAATACTGAAGATCAGATCCATCATCTGTCTGTGTGCCGTTTCCGTTTTAAAAAACTCTTTTTGAGCTTTTAGGTCTTTAATAAACGGGATTTTCTTACTTCACAGCATATTTCATCTTGGAGAACAACCTCCCTCTGCGGTCGGCGCTGGAGAAGAAAAAGACGATCCAGACGGAAACACGGACGATCAGTAACGACAACTTTGGTACGAATGATCTGCAGCTGACAGCCTCGTTCACAAACCACACACATCCTCATGAGACCGAGCTGCTCAGAGGACGAAGTGGACGAGCTGCTGCGTGTGTGTGTGTGTGTGTCCTCTCCTTCAGTAAACGTGTGTGTTCTCCTCCTCCTCCTCCTCTTCCTGCAGAGCTGCTGCTGAAGCTCATCTATCCTCCAGACTTCTCCGAGTCCTTCCTCTACGGCCTCCTGCTCGTGGTGTAAGCCGGCTGCTCTTTATTACTCTGACACCGTCTGCGGAGCTGCGAGCTCACACAGCTCCTCTCCACCTGCAGGCTGTTCAGAAGTTCACCAACAAACACTTAGAAGCTGATTTTGAGGATTTTCTGTGAAACCAAAAACAGAGGATGTTGGAGAGGAGAATCACGGTGGGTTTTTACTCTCTTCTCGCAGTGGCAGCTCTCCAGGTGAGCAGGTGGTTACAGAGGAGTTCCGGCTGGACTGGGACTGGGTCCTGGTGGGTTCAGAGCAGGTCATCGTAGCCCGGCTGGACGGCAGAGGGTCAGGGTTCAGAGGTCAAAGGTACAGAAAGCAGGACGGACTTCCTGTTGAAGGTTCTGGTGTTGACTTACTTCATTTTTAACTCGTTGTTCTCCTCCTCCTCCTCCAGGATCTTACAGCAGGTCCATCAGGGTCTGGGCTCCGTGGATGCAGAGGACCAGATCCAAGCTCTGGAGTACGTAACATGTTCAGTAGATCTGTTTCAATAACTCAGAGAGCGAGGAGGATTTTTCTTTTTCTTAGAGACTCATAGTTGAAGCTGCTTCTGTCAGAGCGCAGACTCTGAATCAGCTGTTTTTAAAGGAGGTGTAGATGGACTCTGAGAGTATCGGGCAGATGTTGTTGTATCTCTGGAGTGTATCTGGACATCAAAAATCTGCACGTGAGGATCAGGAGACGCCTGGTTCTTGAGTGTATTCAGGGATGCTGTTTTCTCCAGTTTTTCACTGCGCCGGTTTGTAGATCTAAAACGCAGCAGTGGGTGCTGTGTGTCTCCGTCTCTCATTTCTTTTCCCAGCGATGCTCTCTCCCATGATCAGTGAAGGCATCACAGGAGAGAGGCGGTAATCCTCTGCAGCTCTGACCTTCGACCTCCTCACTCTTGGTGTCTGTGAATCCGAACTCTTTGTTTCTAAGCGCTGTGATTGAAACCGCTCCTCTTCTGTCCCGTTCAGGTACCTGACGAAGCTGCCGTTCATCGACCGCACTCGTGTCGGCGTCTTTGGAGAGGTTCGTCACTCATCTTTGCTGTACCGCTGCTTAATCACTGAGGCGTTTCTGGACGTCCTTCGATGAGGGTTTAGAGTCAGCGGGAGAACTTGAAAGTTTTTATTGAAACTTTTCTGAAACACTAAGAAAAAAACTGTAGATGATGTAAATCTTACTCTTGGTATGTTTTAGGTCTTGACTCCTCGTTTACAGCTGAAGAGACTTTTTATTATCATTTTAAGAGACAGAAGAGACGAAAAAAGTGGAGTGAAAAGAGTTTTTTGTCTCCGCTGTTTCCTGATGACTGATCTGAGTTTCCGTGAACCTGACAGGACTATGGAGGCTTCCTGACCCTGATGATGCTGAAGTCGACAGAGAAGCTGATCCGCTGTGCTGCAGCTCAGGCTCCTATCATCGACTGGTCCATGTACGGTGAGTCAAATCACACGTTTCCTCTTCTGAACACAGCGGCGACGAGGCGACTGTTTATTACCTCTGCTGCCTCACCCACATGTTTATCCTGCACACTGCTTTGTCTGGGTATCTCAACTTTAATCATCTCCAGGTCCTGCTCGGGGGATTCAGTCTGGTTTCTTCGTTTCTGTACGTCAGAGAAGACAATGCTGTGCTTTTACCTCCGTCTGCAATAAAAGGATCTCTAGAAGCAGAAAAAGACCGATTTGAACATGTGATCGTGTTTTTAGTTCAGCATCTTCTTGTTAAACTCCTAAAAACACTCTTCCTCTCTTTCCTCAGCTTCTGCGTTCTCAGAGAGATACCTCGGCTCGCCCTCAGCTGAGGAGAACAAATACACCGTGAGTCGTTTTTACCAATCCTCTCAAGTTTACCTGAAACATAAAGGCCACATTTACCATATCAGACAAAATCAAGGTCGGACTTGGTACAAAATTCAGGTTCAGTGTTTTTCCAGAGAGTCTGAGTTTTCTACCTTTTTATTCGGTGAAATCTTTCACGGCGGCGCTAAAGGTCAGACTTAATGAAAACACACTCTGCTCTGGTTCTCCTCACAAACACACGGTCCAAAATAAAGAGAGAACGTGACCCGCAGCATTTCTGCTCCAAAATATTTGTCCTTTGCTGCACTGGAGGAGAAAAACACACGGACGTGGAAAAGCGCCCGGGGCAGAGGCTGAAAGAGAAAAATTACACTATTGTCCTCTGGTTGAAGGTTGCAGTCGGAGTGTTTTTCCTCTGAAGTGGGTTGGCTTTCCTTTAACTGGGCCAGAGGACGCTATTTTTGTGACTCTCACAGCTGGAGGTCTGACGGGGGACTGGGGGGGTCTGCTTTCAATGACACCACAGAAGAAGAAAATGTGTCACCATGTGATCAGACGATAATCAGCAGGACGCCATCACTCAGCCCGTCCTCGGAGGTTTTAGAGCCGTCCTCCTGCTGGTTTGATCCCCCCCAAAAATAAAAACCTGATTGATGATCCAGATTGATCCAAAAACATCTGCAGCAACAGACAGAAACACAGTTCTCCATGTTTCATTTTCATTCATGGTCAGGTTCCTCCGCGCTGCAGAGGTCGACTCCATTCCTCTCCTCTGGGACAGAAATGGTCTTAAAATAGTCTTTATGAGCGCTGTGGTCAGTTTCTTCATTTCTGTTACTGACGACTCACCGCAGAGTAATTAAGACACTTTCATTTAGATGAGAAGATCCAGACAGTTAAAGATTTTAACCATCTGTGACTCAGACAAGGAAGCATGAAGTGAGAATGAGACAAGGTCATCATGTGGCTGCTGGACTGAGCGCGACCAGAACCACTTTTAGAACATTCTTCAGAACCACCTTCAGAACAACCTTCAGAACCACCTTAGAACCACCTTAGAACCACCTTCAGAACCACCTTAGAACCACCTTAGAACCACCTTCAGAACCACCTTCAGAACCACCTTCAGAACAACCTTAGAAACAACTTTCAGAACCACCTTCAGAACATTCTTCAGAACCACCTTCAGAACCACCTTCAGAACATTCTTCAGAACCACCTTCAGAACCACCTTCAGAACCATCTTCAAAACAACCTTAGAAACAACCTTCAGAACAACCTTCAGAACATTCTTCAGAACCACCTTCAGAACCACCTTCAGAACCACCTTCAGAACCACCTCCCTGTTCAGGAGAGTTTGTGTTTTTGTTGAAAACACCATAAAATAATCAGATTTCCTCATCCCTGTTAAACATTAAAGTGGATTTCAGCTCTTTGGGACCAAACCGGGCCAGCAGGTCTGACCTGTTTCTACCTTGAAAAAAACCCTCATTAATGAGTCTTTGTTGTGTGCAGGCGTCCAAAGTGCTGTCCAACATGAAGGGTCTGCAGGGAGGGACTCTGTTTCTGGCTCACGGCACGGCTGACGGTACGAGCGTCTGTTCGCTGATGGAGAGAGTTTTTAAGTTTGACCTCCATGAAGCTGCTGCTGAGTTCAGCCCTCTGACACACATTTCTCTGATTTCCTCCACAGCAAACGTCCATTTTCAGCACTCTGCAGAGCTCATCAAACACCTAATAAAGATCGGGGCCAACTACACTATGCAGGTAAATACTCCACATATTAGTGGAGACACAGAGGGTGACGACAGACAGCCTCATAAGTTTCTCTTTTTAACCTCACTGCTCATTTTGAGTCTAAACATGAAGATGATCCAGTGAATCATTTCAAAACAAAACCAGAGAATAAAAACGGAGAATAAAAACGGAGAATACTCAGAGATAGAGAAGTTTTCAGCTGTGGCTGCTTTAGCTGATTGACGAGATTTTAATCACTTCCCAATGTCCGTTCTTGGATTTAAAGCTCCGTCTTTGGCTCATAAAGCTTTTATTGAAGACACTCAGCCTCCGTCACACAGACATAAAACCAAAAACAAGGATTATTCCTCTTCATGATTCAGGAATAATCTCAGCTCCTGACTCTCTCTCTCATCCCTGCTCCGGTCTGCAGATGAATTCGGCTCGTTCGTGTAGTTCTCATGCTGAAGTGTTAAACAGGAGCTAAACAAACTTTCCCTAAAGATGACAAAGACTGTGTTTGTGGGTCCGAAGCTCCAGAACAAACCCACAGTTTAAGTGGACCTGAGTCCGGACGGATTGGTGATTTATTCTGGTTTCAAGAGCTAAATTGTTGTTTTCCTGACAGGATTGATGGTTTAGTGTCTGCTTTACTCGTATATCTCTCGTGTTTTTCCCGCAGATTTACCCAGACGAGGGACACTTCCTGTCAAAACGCAGCCGCGTCCAGCTGACTCACTCCCTAATTGGTTACTTTAGAGGATGTCTGCTCGACGCGTCGTCATTACTCGACCAGGAAAAGAGGGACGACGAGTGAGAGGCTGCGTGTGCGTGAGTTTGTTCTTGTCAGTGTGTGTGTGTGCGTGCGTGTGTGTGTGTTTTATACTTGTAGCACAAACATTTGAGGGACGACACGAGCTTGTTTTTGGCGTACGGGACTGAATCTGTCACACCATCCAGTCACCGGGGGCAGTAAAGAGAACAGAGTAGATTAGACTGGTTTTAATGGCGTCTCTCAGCACAGTCTTAAATGTGAAATGAGCACAGATTATGGTGCACTATCACACCTGTTGTGTTTCATTTGTGTTATGTGCTTTTTTGAAGCCTAAATGTCATTAAAGTAGGACGAAGGTAAAAACGGTAAAAATGAAGATGAAACTCCCTCAGAGGGAAAAGTGTAAATTTAAAACCGGATCATTTTGCACTTATTTCTAAAACTCCTAAATCCTGTTTTTGTTTCTCCTGGTAGATTTACTGACGGACTGTCGGAGCCGTTTCTCTGAGTGTTTCTGTTGAAATGCTGTTTGACATCCAACTCTTCCTGTCCACAAACTTTTCTCTCACAAACACCCGTTCAAAGTTTCACCGACCTCCACCACATCCAGGGTAGTCCTGTATTATTGACCTGTTTCATCGCCGTCATTGTAACCTGAAGACTTGTATATTTTTGGAGATCCACTCGAGTGTGTGTGTGTGTTTTTATGTGATTTAGCGGCAGGTGTACAGAGTTTAAGTTTGACATATTTATATCAGTGTTTCTACTGAGCTGTGATTATCGTGTCAGCGGTCCTTTTGAGAAATAAAAATCACTCTTTCTGCAGATTTCATGAGATTACCAACGTTTCAAACTCACCTGAGCAGGTTTATCAGAGATGGACCGTCAGTTCTGCTGACTCAGACTTTGTGCTGTTTTATTTTCGGATGGTCACAGAATTATTTTTGCTATTTATTTCAAATGTTTTTATATTTTCTACCAGTTGCCAAAATCCACTTAAAGGTTGTAGAATATTTATTCAGCTGTTGCAGAAACTTGAATTCACACTCACGCTAACTGCTGTAGAGGATGAATCATCTCAAGTGCAATTTCTCTCCACTTTGTGCTTCAGATTATTTTTTTGGTTTCTGAGTCAAACGCTCTGAAAACACTCCAGGTTTAGGAGTTACCCACAAAGCTTTGCAGCAGTAAAGGGCCCGGTGAGCGTCAGAGGGTCACGATGACTGTCTGTGGACAGGAAAGCCATAAACCACCTCGATGCTGTAGTTATGTGTGAGACGTTTAACTTTAGAGACACAGCTGAGAAAAGTGGAGAATGAGCCTGTATGAACACGAGTTTATCCTAAAAAAGACAAACAGAGCTGTGTGTGTGTGTGTGTGTGTGTGCGTGTGTGTGTGTGTGTGTGTGTGTGTGCGTGTGTGTGTGTGTGCTCTGAGAAACTCTGTACGGAGTCATATTTGATGTTTCTATCAGGGTTTGCCCGTCCGTCACTCTGTCTTTCTTTTCTATTCTTTGGACGTTCAGAGGAGGATCTATGAAAACCTGTTGTATATTTCGGCTGTTTTATTATTAAAGTACAAAAATGAGCCGTTGATTTGGTGTTTTCTTTGTTTCCTTCTCCTCTAACAGAAATAACAAACTTTACTCTGTCCTGATTTTTTCACATTTGTTTTCTGAGTACGAGACGTCAGGTTTATTGACTCTGTCTTCTAATAATGACGAAACTCCTAAAAACTCCAGATGTTTCCTCAAAGTGTAGATGTATTTTTCTTCTTACACCAGGTTAAGAAAGCTTGTTTTTTTGTGATCTAGAAATCAGGATATCAGGCAGGTCACAGAGGTAGTTCAGACCAGGACAGTCCGCACCGCTGTCACCGTTGTCTCTAAAATGAGGTGAGTTCAATATTTGTTCATTTTGTGCTTTTACAACCCTGGGAATACGACTTATGATTGTCCACTTTGGGCCTCCGTAGGCTGAACTCTTGCAGTCTATTAATCTTTTAATGCTTTTATTCGTTTTTGCACCTTTTCCTTTCAATAATCAGCTCTAACCCTTCTGTGGTTTTACATAAGATACCAGCACCTTTAGACTCAGAGAGATCCTGCCGCTCTACAGCCTCTGCTGCTGAGCCCCTTTAACTTCCTCTCTGAGAGGAAAGTGTAAGGCAAATCTCATCGGCGTGAAGCTGCTACTCATACAAAAGCCAGAAATTGTCTTTATCTCCCTCTCAGTGCTGTCTGACCTTTTTCAAATCCCCTGTCCACACTCTGCAGAGACTCTGTTCAAACTCAGCCTTAATTACCTCAAAGCAATTACAGAGCCAAGGATGGAGGCTGGCAGCACCGAGGAGGGAGACCGAGTCCAGCAGAAACTTCACGAACTGTGAGTTAAACTTGGTTTTCAGATCGGGTCGGACTCTGGGGGCTCCTCAAAGATAAATACAGCAGTCTCTAACTTCTGCCCACAGCTCCACTCAGGACTTTGACGGGTTTGTGACGTTTGTGGCAAAAAAAAAAAAAAGGGTATCTTCATGTTTTCAGGGCTTGTGCTGATGTCTATTGTTGATGATATTTTGCATCCCTCAGAAAAGATGCCAGGGCCCTCCAAAATAAAAGCCCCAGAGACTCACAGACTCCAGGTGAGTCAGTCTGTGTAACTCAATATAAACTCAAACCTCCATATTTGTTTATCCTTCTACGTAAATGAAACATTAAAAGACTAAATTTAGACGGTTTCCATCAGTGTTGTGTGACCCCCCCCCCCCCCCCCCACACACACACACACTGTCTTTGGTGTCAGGAGTTCAGTGTGTGATTTTATAAATAATACACCTTCATGATAAGCCGGCTCGTCTCTGCTGAGCTCCTCCACACGTCCTTCTTGGAGCAGAGGTTTCATGGATAGGTAACATTACACTGCCCTCTTGTGGTCGAACCACCACAGCAACACCAAGAGGAACAAAAAGATTTTCCAAATACGTAAAATCAGTGAATGATTTTGTACGTCCAAAAACTTTGAGCCTTTTTGTCTGTTGTCCTGATATTCTGATTTATTTCAGTCCAGACATTAACAGAACTTTTTCTCTGGTTTTAGGAAATTATAAAATCCTTTGAACAGTTATTGTGCTCATGAGTGATGAAGTATAATCTCTGAATGACTAATAAACACACAATTTTACATTAACATAATTTTAGATCATTTTCCTAAAGTTAATCTGTTTAAAGCTCATGTAAGGAGTTTTTAGATGTTTCTGGAATAGCCTGAACTTTACATCGATGATCTGATGATTTTGATTTAGTTATGTTTTAAATGCCTGAAGTTCAAGGGGGTTAGGTTAGCTAGATATATTTACAGACGACAAATAATCTGAAGGATCTGAAGTCAAAGCTCTGTCTGTGTTTGACTTTAGGATCAGATTTGAACAGGAAACAGTCGAGGACGAAGGTGTGGTGTGAACAGCTTTTATTTAGAAAAGGCATTAAAGGCACTTAAACCGAACACGGTGGGATCGATTCTGAACAAACTGCTCCTCGCAGCGACACTCGTCTTTATTACGGTCTACAAACATCAGAACATTAACCTGTTACATCAGAGAAACCTTCGCCCATCTTTAAAACTCCTCCTCCAACAAGTCGACTCCCACCTTCACCCCTCTTTGTTACTCCTCCCCCTCTTCATCCTCCTCCAACGAGTCGACTCCCACCGTCACCCCTCTTTAATACTCCTCCCCCTCTTCGTCCTCATCGAACGAGTCGACTCCCACCTCCTCGTAGTCCTTCTCCAGGGCCGCCATGTCCTCCCTGGCCTCCGAGAACTCGCCCTCCTCCATCCCCTCTCCCACGTACCAGTGCACGAAGGCCCTCTTGGCGTACATGAGGTCGAACTTGTGGTCGAGTCGTGCCCAAGCCTCTGCGATGGCGGTGGTGTTGCTCAGCATGCACACGGCACGCTGCACCTTGGCGAGATCTCCTCCGGGAACCACGGTGGGAGGCTGGTAGTTGATTCCTACCTTGAACCCAGTGGGGCACCAGTCCACGAACTGGATGCTGCGTTTGGTTTTGATGTTGCTGATTGCTGTGTTGACATCTTTGGGGACGACATCGCCACGGTACAGCAGGCAGCACGCCATGTACTTCCCGTGACGCGGGTCGCATTTCACCATCTGATTGGCCGGTTCGAAGCAGGAGTTGGTGATTTCTGCAACCGTCAGCTGCTCGTGGTACGCCTTTTCAGCAGAGATGACCGGCGCGTAGGTGGCCAGAGGGAAGTGGATTCTTGGGTAGGGAACCAAGTTGGTCTGGAACTCTGTCAAGTCCACGTTCAGGGCGCCGTCGAAGCGCAGGGAAGCGGTTATGGAGGAGACGATCTGACTGATGAGACGGTTCAGGTTGGTGTACGAAGGACGCTCGATGTCCAGGTTCCTGCGGCAGATGTCGTAGATGGCCTCGTTGTCCACCATGAAGGCGCAGTCGGAGTGCTCCAGCGTGGTGTGGGTGGTCAGGATGGAGTTGTACGGCTCCACCACAGCTGTGGACACCTGAGGAGCCGGGTAGATCGCAAACTCCAGCTTGGACTTCTTCCCAAAGTCGACTGAGAGGCGCTCCATCAGCAGGGAGGTGAAGCCTGAGCCGGTTCCTCCGCCGAAGGAGTGGAAGACCAGGAAACCTTGGAGTCCGGTACACTGGTCAGACTGGGAGAAGAAGGTCAAACTTGGGGTCAAAAACACATCTGAAACCAGCTTCTTCAGGACAGAACAGTGTTTTCTCGATATTTTCATACCAGTTTGCGGATCCTGTCGAGCACAGAGTCGATGTGCTCCTTCCCCACGGTGTAGTGACCACGGGCGTAGTTATTGGCGGCGTCTTCCTTTCCTGAGATCAGCTGCTCAGGGTGGAAGAGCTGGCGGTACGTACCGGTACGAACCTCGTCTGTAACGGAGGAAAGACTCAGATGAAGCTGCAGAGGTCGGTCATCTGCAAGTATCTCTCTGCTTTTCTTAAACTCAGGTTTATTTTTTTCTCCTCTGGAGACATAAAAGCTGCAGTTCCACCATGCGGTCCAGTCCAGCTCACAATTACTGTTTTTAAAAAGGTGAGAAAGAACTAATCTGCTCTCCTTTCTGCTCGGGTTCCCTGACTTATCTTTGAGAGAGTAGGTGACATGATAGTCGTAGTAAATGATCAGCTAGTTTAATCTTTATGACTTTATTATCACGAGGGGATTCTTCAGCTCTCTGTTCTCAAGTTTTACCTCAGGTCTTTCCAAACTCAACCTCATTTCGTTTCGACAGTAAATGTCTGCAGAAAATTACAGCTCTCTGTTTTTTGGAAAAGTTCCCCTCAGACTCACCGATGACCGTGGGCTCCAGGTCCACAAAGATGGCTCTGGGGACGTACTTCCCAGTGCCGGTCTCGCTGAAGAATGTGGTGAAGGAGTCGTCGTAGCCGGTGGAGGGTTTCTCGCTGGGCATGTGGCCGTCCGGCTGGATGCCGTGCTCCAGGCAGTACAGCTCCCAGCAGGTGTTGCCCATCTGGACGCCGGCCTGGCCCACATGGATGGAGATACACTCGCGCTGAAGGGAAGAAAGGCAGGTGTTAGTGTGTGAGACTTTAAAATCCAAGATAAATTCATCTTACTAAACAAACTGTTTCAAACATATTTGAGCTGAACTACATTACTGGATGGCTAAACGTCATTATTTCTGCTTTGCACCTGCTTGAAAATAGACCGAGGTGGAGCCGGCAAACAAACACCGTTCCAGTTTCATACGTATTTAGGTCAAACCATCCGGCGGGTGAACTCAATAACCTGATTTCTGCTGGAAACCCTCAGTTACAACAAAAACTCTGGAGCCAGCAAATTGTAAATTAGATCTTAATTATGCAAACCAAACCCCATTCAGATTATCTGCATTTTTAGGTCACAGTATTAAGCTGGGTAACCTAGTTCTGATATTTCTGCCCACACCTGTCCAAACTTGCAGAACATGAAAGGTGTAAGGTGGAGCCAGCAAACCAAACCCCATTCAGATTTGGGTCAAAGCATTTTTTTAAGTTAGCGTAGCAACAACATTTGTGTTATAACCTGCAGGAAACATCAGCTGAGAGTCAGGAAACACTTCAGGGAACTTTGAGCTCCACTTCCCTGTAAACTTCACAGAAAACTGTAAATCTTCAGAGGAGGATGTGACAAGTCCGATCAGCAGTCAGTGATCTAAATACTCTGTGAAAAGTGATTAACACCAACACGTCAGAGTGTCCCAGAGGCCAAAGGGCCTCCACGCCCTGCTGAGGCATGCCTGCTGGAGATGTGGGAGGGAGTGGAGGGTGAGTGGTTTGGCAGGACTGAAACAAGTTTGGTCTCATCATTTGAGAGGGAAATTTTTGCCTCTGGAGTTAAAAAAGAAACAGCCTGTGCTGGAGCCGGTGCCTTCAGAGGAGATAAACCTGATAAGAGATGCAAATGCGTGAAAGACAAACCCCTCGTGAGGTACCGACTCGTCTGTTTGCTGATAAAACTGCTTCAGCCTCCTGCTGTGTGTGTTTGCATTATTGCAGCAGTTGGTCTGTCAACATGAGGCCAGCTGTTCTCCGTAACACGAGACAAACACGACAGACCTGCAGATCATTGAGTCTGCTCTTATACCTGCCAAGACAAGAGTCAGGGCAAACGCAACCCTGATACCTCTGTAAAGTGAGGCAGCTGCAGCGAAACTCGACCTTTGACCTCATTTTTAGTGAGCGCACACGGGCCGGTGAAATTTTCGTGTTGTTGTGAAAGTCTGAGGATGTAGGGCTGTCTCTGAATCTGAAGCTGAAAGAGCGGACGGTCGTGTTTTTCTGGAGAAACCTCTTTAACAGAACAAACAACAAGCTCAGTCACTGCGTGTTCGGGAAAACACCCTGACCTCGTCTGATGGTGTGATGAGGATCAGGGCGAGAGGATCGCTCATTTACAGACGCAGGGACGAACCGCTGAGAAGGACTTTATCAGGACGTCTGACAGCGAGCGAGAGATGATTTTTTAACTCAGTATTTAAATGTCAAATCAGTGAATCTGCAGAAACACCTTTTCAAGTGGAAGTGATGAAAAAGTCCAGGAAACATTAACCTGAGACGATGATAAAGTTTCACCAACAGCAGATGAAACTCTGACTTTATTTGGTTATAAAACTGTGACCTGTTTCTTCAGATGTTACAGCGTTACTCCTCTGCTCGACTAAAAGCTTTCAACGTGTGAGATAATTAGCTCACATTAATGAGTTAATAACCGCCTCATTAAAATAAAAGGACATAAATCTGCTGAGACCCTCAGAGACAGGAAGTTAGAGCCTCAGCGGTGAAGAGGTTGTTCCTGTCGTTCTTCCTCTCATCCTGGACTTTTGGCTTGTTGTGAATTTTGATCCCTCTGTCCCCCCCTCCCCCTTGAAAAGGCCTGTGATTGGAGGCTGACAGGAGGGGTCTCTGTCCCGCATCGTGACACGGGAGTTGCCAAGTATGGCGATGGCGGCCAGCTCAGCAGCTGCTATTTTAGTGAAGGTTCAATCACGCAGCACACAGAGACACAGACAGCTTTACTCTCACCCACTGACCTGTTTGTGCGGCGGCAGAAAAACTGGGATCGTTCACAGACGCCATATTCAACAGGAACCTTCAGTTTTTCCACAGAGCCTCACCATGTGTTAGAAATGTGGAAGTGGAGCTCTGCTGGCTCTGCTGTGTTGCAACATGCCACATCCGCTCATGTTTACACAGACACACGGCCTGTGAAATCCACTCCACGGTGGTACACCCAGTTATTTTCTGCTTCCTCAGTCGGCTCCTGAAACTACGTCACAGCTGGCGCTTTGGGCCTTGACTATAAAGAAGAGCTTTGTGCTTGAAGCCTGATGTTCAGCGCAGATTCGAGGAATCTGATCAAAAGTTCAGATTGAAAAACTTCACGGGTGTTCATTCAGCTTTAATGTGAGCTCTTCTCCACTTGAATGACCCCTCTGGAGAGTTTTCAGGCCTACAGACCAAACTTTAACGTGGAGAAGACGGACTTTGAAGCTCTTTAGGCAGCTCCAAAGACAGGAAGCGTCCCCACACCTCCTCCCCTTTATGTTGCATACCAAACGGCCCCACAGGAAAGTGTCAGCATATGTGAAAAGCAGACTTTCGCTCCGTTTACTCACTCCTGGATTTCTGCACGGGCCTGCAAACATTACAACACGCCATCTGTTTGCCGCCAAGTCACAAAGGAACAAAGTCAAAAGGGAAAAGGTCAGCTTCCTGGACTCTGAAGAATAAACTTATGGTTCTTGAGCCTGTAAAAATGTTGATCCCAGGCTTATCATCATGTGCCTGCTCTTAGAAAAATGCAGGAGCTGCTTTTTGCTGCAGATTTGTTCGATATGTCTGCACGTGGTGTGCCTGTGTGCATTAATCTGGAAGGTCTGACAGCAGAGGAATGCAGCAGCTTATCAGCGTGATGTTGAGCAGCAGAAATAGAAATGTAAAACACACACAAACAGGCAGGGCCTCCATATGGAAACAGTTAACCTTTACTGGAGCCAGAGCCACATGCCTGCTAGCATGTTTCCACTGATTGACTTTATGTTTCAGATAAATACACAAGCTTTATGTGCTGGAGAACGGCTGGAAACTTATCCCAGAGACAGCCTGGGGTCCAGTAAAGTAGAAACAACAGACTAAAGCTGGACTGTGAGGAGGAGAAGCAACAAGAAATCTACAGTCAGTCCACAGGAACCACTCAGAGACAGAAAAACAGCCTCTGAAATATCACCACGGTGACTTTTTTCAGGGTTTTATCCAGGAAGTAGCAGTAGGATGTTGTGGTACTCACCATTTTCAGCTCTGGATGTCTTTTTTTGGAGTAGAAGAAGAAGTCTGAGGTCTCACAGTGCACCTATAATGAGATCCCTGTGAGTGTAGTCCTCTCAGCGTCACACACACTCTCTTTTATAGCTACTACAGGGGGAGGAAGAGGAGGAGGAGGAGGAGGAGGAGCCTTCAGCAGCTGCAACCTTGTTCTCTTTCAATCCTTCATACAGTGACATGACTTCCTGTTTGACCTTTTCAGAATAAAAGCAAACAGAGCACTCTATTGAAGGTAAAATAGTTGACATTGAAATCCCTCTGATATTATCTGAAATCATAAATTCCTCACAGCATATCGATCATTAATGTTTGGAAAAGCTCCTGTAGGGAACTCTTGGTGTATGGTGGTTTGGCGCCCCCCTGTGGACAGAGCTGCACCTTTGCTGCTTTTTCTGATTTCATCACATGTGTATAAATTCAGTTTTCTTCTTCAACAGGCTGGAGAAGCTGTGGGTGGTGTGAAGGTCTGGTCCGGGGTTGTCTCCTCTGATCGCAGCAGTAAAGTGTAAACTCTGCTGCTGAGGCTCATGTGAGTTTTTATGCTTCATTAACGGTTTTAATCATGATCTGTAATCACTCTCTTTAACTTCAGTCGGACATTAGTGTCAACACCAGTCTGCTTTACCACCTCACTTCAGAACTCCTAAGTTCCCACTGCAGGCATGTCTGTTCATCTTCCTGATGTAATACACTTGACTGCCACTAGATGGAGCCCTCACCTCGCTGTATGCGGTTTTGGAGCTTCAGTTTGATTTGTATTAGAGAGAAATTTCCTCTTGGACTCTGATTGTTTGTGTTTGAGTGATTCGGTCTCACCGGGTCGGTTTTACAGAGAGAGAGATCAGAAACACGATTTTAGGAGAACAGAGCTGATGTTCTGTGAAACACCAGATTTATTTCACCTTAACTTTGTCTCTGCAAACACAGCAGAGTGGAGGTGCATCTTTAAAAGTCACATCTGTTTGCAAAGCCTTGGTTATTCTTCTGCTGAATGCTCTATTGTTCTGGTCACATGATAACCAGCTCAGCTTCAGTCACCGTCTGTTGGCTCGGCCTTCTTCAGCCGTTTCTAAAAAGGAGAGTTGATATGTAACAGACCGTTTAAGGGGATAAAAGCTTCAGTTTTCATCTCTCACCTATCTGAGTTTGTGAACTCGGCCTGTCCATCACTCTTTACAGGAATGCAGAGCTGATCCAGGATCCTTCAGAGGCCGGGGCTCATCTCTGCAGGCCTTCAGCTCTGAATGTAAACGTCCTCATAATCCTCAAACAGACCCTCCAGCCTGCAGGAGCCTATAGCTCCATCCCTCAGACCCTCATTCCTCTTCAAACACTCCCCTAAGCATCTTTTCTTTTCTTGTTTTGGATGGTGGAGATATTCGAGTGATGGAAGGATAATGGAGATCTTTTTCAAGTCCTGTGTTTTGTCCTCCTGCCCCCTCGGAGGTCCATGGGTGTCTTTTCTTTTACATCCTCCTCAGCAGTGAGGCTGTAAACTCTGTCCGTCTCTGTGTCCTGATGTTATAAAGGTGAAATAAAGGTGTAAATGTCAGAAAAACACACAGAGGAGGATCTTCAGTGGATCTCATTTCTGTTATTTCTTCTTCTTAATGTCGGTTTATTCATCGTTTTATCCTTTTAATCCTCACAGAGACACGGACGTCTCCTCACAGATGATTTCAGCGCTGACCTCACCTGCTGAGGAGACAGGTGAGTCACTTTAACTCTGAATACATGAACACTGTTGACCAGCTCCTGTTGGGTTGATCTAATCATGACTCTAAACCCCTTAGATAAGGAGGAAACCTGTAATTCTATATGATGTTATATTATATATATATATTATATGATGTATTAGCAGATCTGTGGCTGGTGTCTGTCAGAGCAGATGAAGACGCAGACACAGAAAAACATCCTCTCCAAACAGGAATATGACGTCTGCTTCATCTCAATCCCACCTTTAATATGTTTGCAGAATGTGTGATTGATTTGTGGATTATTCGGCTGTTGGGCGGCTGAAAAGACTTAATTTACAGGCAGTTTAAACGGCACAGATTAAGGGATTGGAGTGCACCTTGTGTAGAACAGACAACAAACAAAGAGGGGATCAGTTAGATGCTTAATATCTATCTCAGCATCAGTAATCTGTTATAATCTGTATTGGATTACATGTTGAAAGTAAGCAGGGTCCCTGCCTGTAAATCCGTCTCCATGCCGGCGGTCTCTGTGCTGGCGGTGATAAGGGTTAAGCTGTATTGAAGCTGGATGGATGCAGAGATCAAAGTCGGCGGTCAGAGCCTCCCACCAGTCCTGCTCTCCAGATAAAAACCCCTGACGCTCCTCTGACACCTGGACCGGCCCGAGGGCTTCAGGAGGCGGCAGGATCCCCCGAAACAACCTGTTTCTGCTGGTGCTGAGCTGCAGTGAGCTCCTGCAGGTCAGTGCAGATCTCAGAGCGTCCTTATGCTCGTGTTGATGCGCTCAGATTAATGTAGGAGGGCCGGACTTTGTGCAGGTGAAACCTCAGAGCCATGCACGGTTTAATCTCAGCTCTAATTCTGTTTGATTTTCATCCCTGTGATATGAAGGAGGTCTTCAAACATCCTGTACGACCAGACCACAGCAACATCTCCTCTCTCTCTCTCTCTCTCTCTCTGCCTGTCAATCAGAGACTCCATCAGAATAAATTGGATCTTTTCCCAATACTGTTATTGATTCATTTCTATCTCTTTCTGTCACACTGGAGCATCGAACAGCCTCCACTATTGATCTGCAGCCTTATTAAAACCTCTGCGGGAACATCATCCCATTTTTTATAAAGAGGACCTTTTCCAAACCAGAAATCGATGGTTTTCTGCCACAAGGAGAGAAAGAACACGTCACGTTGTTGCAGACAAGTGCGAACCAGCCGGGGTGTCAATAATGATTCCACCTCTCCCAGGTAATCTGCTTCAGATTTAATTCACAATAATTCAGAGAGCAGAACGGCACAGCTGTCCTCGTGCTGCTTTCTCTGTGACGTCAGGATGACAAACAGGAGATTTTATTTAGGGACTTTTATTTTTACCAGCAGCAGCAGCAGGACGGACTTCTTTAATGCCACATGTAACCGAAGGGCTGAGGAAATGTCAGGCAGCTCAGGGCCGTAAACACACACACACGCACACTCCTTCAGTCTATTCGGCCTCGCTGGAAAACCTCTCAGATAATTTAAGGCCCCCCTTGACCTTTGACCTCCATGAACACGTACAGTCTGCAGGCATTAACAAACGCACTAAAGGTAAAGGACGTGAGCGTTCGAGTTTTTCTCTGTGCAGCCGAAGAAAATTAAAAATGGATTTATTTAAAGTGAAACAGCTTTTTGACCCTCAAATGCACCAATAAACTGTCATCGATAAAAACCAACCGTCTGCAGACAAAATCAAAACTGTCAAACATCATCGAGAAGAAACTAAAAAAATAGAAACGTAGAAAAAAAAAGACGATAACAAATCTGAAATGAATGAAAGTCCAGCAGCAGAAATTTTCATGTATTTATTAAAACATGAACATTGACAGTTAATTTAAAGCTACAACAGTCTAACAATTATTATTCTGTTATAATTACCACTTTATGACGAACTGATGGGGTTAAAAAAGCAGGAGGGACACCTTTGTATCAAACTTGATCCACACAAAACTAAAACCTGGAAATGGTTGAACAGACTCTTTAGCTGCCAAACATGTAAAAATGAGACGATTTTATTCAGTATTTCAGGGGAAATGTCTAAACCTGAACTTGGGGCTTGAAATGGTCGGTAATCTGATGCACAGATGTCTTTGTATCCTGAATGATTAAAAAAAAAACTCCTCCTCTTCTTCCTCGGCTCTAAAACGGCAGCGTGTCCAGGAATAACTTATCTATTATTGCAGGCGGCGCCACCAGATCCTCCAGCTTCAGGTAGAAAATCCTCTGCAGGCCCTGGATGCACAGAGTGCGCAGTTCACGCAGTTTTTCCAGAAGTCTGCTCAGAGTGCTGGACCAGCAGTCCGAGCCGCCGTCTCCCTCCTTCAGGCAGCGGATGATGTTGTTCTGCAGCTCCTCCACCTTCTTGGGCTCCTTCAGCCCGTGACGCTCTGAGGGCCCGTCAGTCCCACCATAGACACAGGTGCATCAGAACACACACATGTTAATCTCATGACATTTACAGACAGGATTTAATGAACGCTCTGATCAGAGGGACGCTTATCTTTGTCGATTATACAGATATATTTACTACGACACGTTTACTGTGAGCAGCAGGTCTGACGTTTGAAATTACTTTTGTCAAGTTTAAGTTCATCAAAGCATTAAAGTCCCACTCTGTCAACAGGGGGCGCCAAAATCAAGGAAACCTGAGAGTCGCTCACAGGAGCTTTAAGTTTGAATGACAGTTTGGGTTTTACTGGGCCAGTCTGTTTGGTCTAACTGAGTGTTATCGCTGAGATGGGATGGTTTTCTGTGTGAGAGCGTCTCACCTGTGATCAGGGCGAGCGTGCAAATGCAGGAGAAGGTGGACACGTCCAGGTTCATCCTCTGCAGACCAGCAGAGAATTCAACGATGCTGTCGATCCACTCCCCAAAGCCCCGCAGACACTGGAGCCGGTGCCACACCGAGCCGTCGCAGAAGATCAGCTTCCCCTCCTCTGGTTTGGATCTGAAACAGAATTTCAGTTTTTTTTTTAACAGAGAATGAAGCAGAGAAAGCGATCTGAGGTCTTCTGCCCTGACCCGGTGTCACCATCTTTGCTTTGTGCCAAAGAAGAACAAGTCCACTCTCGCACCACCACAAGAACAGTTGTTCCCCTTGTTTACCTGTAGGACAGCCTTAAAACGAAGAGCTCCAGGAAGGCCGAGTAGAAGAGGAGGTCTTGGTCGTGTTTGGGGAGCGAGGTGAAACCCGGGATCTTCTGCGCCCAGCCCCGGATCACCTCCATGGATCTGGTCAGGAGGTCGTAAAACTGCCTCACGTGCTGAGCGTCGTCCTCCGGAGGACTTGCCGGACTCTCCTTGAACTTTAGAAAGGTCACTGTTTAGATTCGGTACCAGCACGCCTCTCCACGACAATGAGAGATGAACCAACATCTACACCTACTTTGAAGTAGTCGAGGAGAGACGGCGGAGGGTTTGATTCCACGTGTGCCCTGATGAGGGCGCTCAGGAGGGAGCTGACAGGAGCAGAGGAGTCTGGGAGGGCTTTGGGTTTGGACGGCAGGCGACCCCGGCGACCTTTCAGGCTGTCTGTCCTCACCACTGCGGAGGAGCCGGACACTTCTCAGACTGAGAGCCTCACAATCTTTCCTGTTAGTGCTCTCAAAGGAGGAAGACCACAGGTTCATCCTCCGCTTGATTTATCCTCCTCTGAACACTCTCTGCATGTTTCACTCAGAAAGAGTCTCAATGCTGTGAAATTATTTACAAAAACAGACATCTCACCTCACCTCAGATACCGGACATGTTTGAAGGCTTTACCTTCTTTGACCATTCCCACTGCCAGGCACTTCTGGAAGCGACAGTACTGACACCGGTTCCTCCTGCGTTTGTCCACAGGGCAGCTTTTGGCGGCCAGGCACACGTACTTGGCGTTTTTTTGTACCGTTCGCTGGCGGAGAGAGAGAGAAACACAGAGATGAAGGTGGCAGAAAACATGAAATGATGATCGTTGAGGCTCACTCGGAGTGAAATCAGCCTGAATTTAGAGACAAAAATCTCCCGTTTTTCTTAAAGGAGTATTGGTTAAGCTGAAGATTGTGTGTTTCTGTTTCTCCAATTCTTTCTTGTGCAAAATGAATTAAAACAACGACATTAAAATCCTAAAAACACTCTGAACCATCGGCATCAGTCCTCTTTGACAGGTTCCTCTGCAGCATTTTAGTCAGTGGGGTCTTTAAAGAGCATTTAAGCTCAATATTAGTCTCCTGACAACCAATTACACGCACGGCTGTTCCAAAAGGTTCACTTTATGGTGACAGATTTGGCTTCTCCTTGTTTTTTTGAGTTGGTGGCATTGGAAACCTTTCTGAGACTCTCTGGGATCGTTTAACATAAAGAATCTTTTTTATTTTCACTTAAAAGCCTGAAATGATCCTCTGAAAATGACCAGCAGCACTTCTGCTCCTGTGGGCCATCTGAGGCAGCCTGAAGCATTCAGCTGAGCGGACAGGGCAGTCTGGGTAAATACAGGGTCGTGGTCATTCATAATTTGGAGACTCGCCCCCCGGGAATCTCCTCCAGAGAGAAGAAGGGGAGGGTTTCTGATTCCGGGCACGTCGGTGCTCATTTTCATACAGGACATTTGGCCCTAAAACGCTCAAGTGTCAAGAGATGGGAACGTGTTTGAGAAGAAGAATGACCAGTTTAGAGGTCCCGGAGGAGATCTGAGATGAGCCATTATTACTGCAATTACGCTTTTATTAGACTGCAGGGTTTCTTTGACTTTCCCTTCTGGTATTCTGGTAAAATCATGCACTTCATCCCTGAAACATGTATTAATTTTAGGATGAACTGTTGCCTGTGAATATTGCAGCTGTTGCCCGTTTTTATTTCCTGCAGCTTTTTAACAGCGCAGCTCTGAACTCATACCTTAAAGAAACCTTTGCAGCCCTCACATGTGCGCACTCCGTAGTGTTGGCACGCTGCGTTATCCCCGCACACCGCGCACAGCCCCTCCGTGCTGAGCGCTCCTCGGCCGGGAGCAGAGGAGGTGTGGTGGTAGTCCATGAAGTGGTGGCCGTGTGAGAGCTGGAGAGGGTGAGGAAAACCCACTCCGTGCTGCTTCCCCAAAACCCCGGAGCTGTCCAGCTGCTGGTGCGCCCCGGCGGAGTCCAGGCTCATGGACACGTGGAGGGATCCGTCAAATTTCATGTGGTGGCTGCCGTGCGGCGCGTGTTTGAGAGAAAAGAGAGAAAATCTGGAGAGTGTGTTTTTTCTGTGCGCTGCAGCCAAATACTCTTGTCGAAGAGTGTAGAGAGAGCCGGAGTCCTCCCATAAATGTCCGGGGGGAGTCTGGAAGTTGGCCGTGATGTTGTGCGGTGATGGAGAGCGGTAGTAGTACACAGAAGCAGGCGAGGTGATCAGCTCCTCTGACGGGTGCGGGTTCGGCTGATACCGGGGACAGCCGTGCGCATCCTCCACCTTTACGCACGGAAGCTCCCCCTGCACCGGCATCTGGAAGAGACACGGGGGCTTCACGTCGTAGCCGGAGCTGAAAGTGTCACCAAGAGGACTAAAGCTCTGACCCGAAGCTGCTGCAGAGACTTCGCTGTTCGTTAGATCCATGCTGAACTTGACAAACTCCGGGGTGAGGAAATCGCAGCTGCGCTCTCCGCTGGCGCTCTGAGAGGCCGGGCTGGCTCCTGCTGGAGAGGAGCCGCACTGGGTCTGGACGCACGGCATGGCCCCTGTGAACGTGTGCGTAAAGCAGTCAGAGGAGAGTGGAAGTGTACTTTGATAGTGGAAACTTGATGTAAAATGGATGATTTTTCATTTCCCTGATTGGAAAGAGTTAAAAATGTATTTTTACAGAAAAGAAACCCCGTCCTGCGTGGAGGGACCTGAGCGGATCATTACCTTAAGGCTTCAGTTGTCTTCTTTTCCAGAGGAGGTTGATGCCCGTTACACTTTCCCTGGTATAGAACAAGAAAATCGGGGAATTGATTTACAGACTTATCGTTAAAAATGTGGTCAAAGAAAATAAGACCCGGCGCACCCACCTCAGACCTCCATGCATGGCAGGACAGGGTGCAGTGATCCCATCTCTGTGGAGCTGCAGCGGAGACTGGAGAAGTGTGGAGGGCAGAGGAAATGACTGCTCACTTCTCCCACTCTGTGACTTCCACTCTGGCTGCCAGTGACACCGACAATGTGCTTTTGTTTACGCAGTGCGCACCAGCGTGCCAAGCCCTATTACGCACGAGCACCGAAGGGGAGGGGGCGGCGTGTGTGTGTGTGTGTGTGTGTGTGTGTGTGTGTGTGTGTGTGCGTGTGTGTGTGTGTGTGTGTGTGTATTGCTCGTTGCCCACTGTCCTGACGGTTTTCGTGGACCGCTCCGTGGAGCAGATTTCTTTCGGCTCTGATGGATCCAAGTTTGAAGTGGGATCTTGTTGGACAGCTGTTGTTTAATCTGTGCTGATTACAGAGCGGGATTTGACAGATTACGTCTCACTAAAGTGTGAGGAAACGTGAAAAACTCTGCAGATGTGTTGGTGTTTTTTTTTGTGATGAAACACAAAGACACGGACAGCTGGTGCTTCTGTCTCCTCTCATTATTATCCTTGGATGAATAGGGAAGACCGGAGTTGCGCAATCTTACCTCTTTTTACGTCAGCGGCCTAGACCCGCCTCTAACCGAACACCATTGGACGAGCGCACTCGAGCGCTGAGTTCCTATTGGCCCCCCGCTCCGTCGCTCCCCGCCTCTCAGCTTCCTGGTTGTAGCTGTCAAACCCAGGCTAGATAACAGCCGATGTCCTCAGTCGCCGCCCAGCATCGCCCCGAGCGAGATTTCCTCCGACACAAAAGCAGAGAAGCTGTAAGTGAAACGCCTCATGTACCGCGAAGTGAGTCCTGGACCTTCTTAGAGGGTCCGAGAGGGTTTAGACCCCGGGTTTTATCGGCAGGGAGCGGTAGAGCAGGACCTCGGAGCTCTCACCATGACAACCATGAAATAATCTCCTGTGTGTGTGTGTGTGTGTGATCTCCAGGCTAATGTGTGTTCGGCTGTTGTTGTGTGAAACCATCCTCTCTGAGCTCCCACAGACGGTCTGTGTCTGTGGGGACAGTCTGTGTCTGTGAGGACAGTCTGTGTCTGTGAAGACCAGGCTCTCTGCTGCTGGTTTCCTTACAGGATCTCCAGGTCAGAAAAAAAGGCCACTTCCTGATGTGAGGGCAGAACCACCGTAATAAAACTGATATGATAGCGTTGATCGTTATATGACCACCTGCTGCTGCTGTCGTGGATTTATGTCAGAGTCAAACTCAGAAATACTCCGAGTGTAAAGAGAGAGAGAGGAGTGGGATTAAATCCTGGATGTCATTACTGAACAGAGTCACAGATCCAGACCGAGGTGGAGGTCTGCTGGGTAATCCCAGGATGAGTCTGCGTCTTCATGGTCTTAGTAGAACAGAAGGTTTCTTAAATACTCTGAACAAACGCTGAGTTTCTCTGTTATAGTAACCCTGTTATCCCTCCCTTTACTTCGGTCCAGGTCTCACATATGTGGACAAATGTCCGTTTTTCATTGAAGATAAAGAAATGCAGGTTCACTGAGTGGAAACAGCTGAGCAACAGTGGACCAGGATCCAGGGATGCTGGGGTCCAGAATGTTCAGTTCTGGACTCTGGGATGTGATTAAGGGACAGGGCTGAACTTAATAACTACTACTCTGTTACATGGCAACAGCAGAAGAGGGTCCTTAAATGTTGGGTTCAGACTCTGGATGGAGGTTTTCCAAAGACTCCCCTCAGAGTCATGTAAAGATCCTACAGAGAGGAACAGAACCAGCTCTGACGGTGGGTGCGGGGGTGTTTGGCTCTCTTTTAGGCGTGGTTTTGTCCCTCTGATAGTTTCTAAAGAGGCTCAGTCACGTGTCTCTAAAAGAGGCAGCCCCCTCTACAGTCAGGAAGCCCCCTCTTGTGCTGACTCATAATGAGTGTGCGGGTCCAGGAGTGAAAGGGGGCCGCTGTGTGAAAGAGCACGAAGAGTTAAATTTCTTTTGGTTCAGCTCCTTCAGTCTTCCTCCAGGCTCATTGTCGTCATGTTTGTTCCCGGTCTGGAATTAAGACCTGACTGTGACAGGCTGCAGGTCTGAGTCTGATGGTTCAGGTGGTTTTGGGGGCAGAGGTGTGTTTTTATTATTCAGTTATGAAGTAAGATGATAACTGCTTCATCCTCTGAGTTGACCCAGTCCTTCACTGTAAGAACTCTGTTAACACACCGACACAGACCGTGCACTGCGCTCATGTATGCACTGCCTGCAGCACCATGTCTGCAGTTGAAGTGAACAGTTGAACAGGTTAGTCCAGACCCTCATCTGCCTAAAACAAGTTAAACTTTGACTGTCAGCCCTCATCGTCGTCCTGCGCTCAGAGCAGGTCCAGTTGGACAGTTTGGTCGGACGCTGTCAGTCAAAGTGTGGATCTGATGTTGATGTCACTGACCTTTGTGCCATCTGTAGCTGTGTTGAATTAAAATGCATTAGAATCTGCTCCAGCGTATGCCGCTCCCTGGAAAGCTGCATTCGAACCTTGATTTAAATTCTTTATTTGGAGCCGCCCCTGCTGGGATTGGAGGCTCTGCCAGAGCGGGCGTCATGTTCAGCTCATTATGGTGCTCAGGGTCATTATGAAAACCTGGAAACATTATCCTGCAAATGTTTATCCTACTGTCTGCCACCAAAGATGTTCAGGAGCTTCATTACCGTTTAGAGCCAAAAAGTCACCGACTAACGCTGTTAGATTCCTGTACAGTGACTCTGACAGGAAACGGTAGAAGCTGGAGGGGAAATGAAAACAACATTTTATTTACTAACTAATACTTTCAGATGTAAAAGTGTTTCTGTCGATGATCAAACACTTGAAATAATCCAGAAACATGAAAAAAACCTTAAAAAAAACTAGTGTCAGTGTCGACGTTTGTGCCGGACCACACGGTGGTTCTTCAGCTCTCTTCAGGTCTGGATCAGTCTCAGGACAAACTCAGACCTCAGCGAGCGTCTGCAGTTTCTTTTCTGACTTTTTAATGTAAAATTAAAGAATATAAAAAACAGGAATCTATGAGTTTATAAAAGAAGTGATTATCATGTCTCTGTGTGGTCCTCTGAAGTCTGTCCTCTTCAGCAGATATAACCTCTGATATTAACACAGTGTTCAGCTGTCTCTGAACTGTCCACTTCCACTCTGTTTTGGACCCTCCCACCCCCCTGACTGACTGACTTCTCCTCCCTCTCCTCCTCCTCCTCCTCCTCCTCCTCAGTTGCATGCTTCCTTCACATGATCAGCTGTTATGTCTGGAGACTTGTAACCCGGCTGCGTCTCCTCACTGCGCTTCACTTTCTTTCCTCCACAGGGCCAACCATGGCGTTCAGGAAGGCTCTGAAGCGGACGGCGGTCATAGGCGGCGGGGCGGTCGCTGCAGTGTTTGGCCTGTCTCAGCTCATGGAGTACAGGAAGACTCAGGTAAGTCCAGTGGAAACACGTCCTCTCAGCTTGTGCTGCGTTGCTTTTTGTTGTTGCACGAGTTCAAGATTTCCAGTTTTGCAGGATTTGAGTGCAGATCCATTTAAAAGCAAACACGATTTTCTGTCACTCTGAATTTTTTCGACACTTTTCCATCTCAGAAGGTAAAAAACTTTGAGATGTTTGTTTAATCTGAGCTGAAAAATCCTACAAAGCAGTGAAGGAGCGTCTCACCGGGCATGTCCTGTCTCGATCTAGGAATGCGCTCTCTGTCGTCCACAAAGTCTGTTTACCTTTTTTTTTTTAATCATCTGCTTCCTGTTGTGCAGCATGCTTCAGCTCACTGCACCAGACCCCGAGCTGCTCAGGAATGATGTGAAATCAGACTTTTACAGGCCCAGGTAACGGAGACGCTGTAGGGAGGGGCAGGTGTCGAGTTATTCATGGAGAAACGCAGGATTAGAAATGACAGAGAAGTTACAGGAAGAAGGTCTGCTGTTGAGTTTCTGTTTGTTTACCTGCAGTTCATGAGCCTGTGTGCAGCTGTCTCACCAAACTGAACATAGAGACAGGTATCAGGCAGCCAGAGGACAGTTCAGGTCCCAGAGTCGGTTCAGTTCAGGTCCCAGAGTCGGTTCTGTTCAGGTCCCAGAGTCGCTTCAGTTCAGGTCCCAGAGTCGGTTCAGTTCAGGTCCCAGAAATGCTTCAGTTCAGGTCCCAGAGACGGTTCAGTTCAGGTCCCAGAGTCGGTTCAGTTCAGGTCCCAGAGTCGGTTCAGTTCAGGTCCCAGAGTCGGTTCAGTTCAGGTCCCAGAGACGGTTCAGTTCAGGTCCCAGAGTCGGTTCAGTTCAGGTCCCAGAGTCGCTTCAGTTCAGGTCCCAGAGTCGGTTCAGTTCAGGTCCCAGAGTCGGTTCTGTTCAGGTCCCAGAGTCGGTTCTGTTCGAGTGAAGACATGAACTGGTCTACAGCAGGACTTCTTTTCAGATCCAGGTCCTGTCATGATGACCTTCACCGTTCCACTGAGGAGTTTTCTCGTGTTTTCCTGTCATGTAACTGCAGCGGGGGTGAAGCTGTTTCTCTGAGTGATGGTTGCCATGGAAACACAACTCCACAACATCACCCAGCCTCTCGGCCGGTTCAGTCATTTCACTTTGAAGAAGGAGTGAATTCAGAGGAGTAACTGTGACAGTAACTGAGCCTGTTTTTCTGTCGGGTCTTTACGATGTTACTGATCAGAAGGTTCGAGTTCTGGACTTGGTCCTGAAACTCCTGGGTCTGTCTGGGTCTTGAATGGCTCTTTGTAACAGGGTAGAAACTGGGTCTCTCAGCATGACTGTGTAAAGTGAAAGAACGGTGGAATCAGAGAGAACAGGCCGAGCTCGCTCAGGAATCTCACCTCATGACGGGTGACACAGAGACACTCGAAACTCCATCAGTGACCATCGCCGTGAGCAGAAATAACCACGAGGTGTGACTGCGGTAAACGGACAGCAGGCAGCTGTGTGTTCCCCTGACCTTTGACCTGGTCTGGGCCTATTTCAGGCCTGCCTCACAGCTACATACCAGCCTTTATGTGACTGTACATCCTAATGTGAACTCTGTTTTGTGTCCTGACACCGTACCTCTGTTCGCACCCCTCCGTCCTCTGCGCCCAGACTGGATTGGTAAGCACAGCAGTCGACCTGATGAATTACATTTATTTTCACAATAGTTTGTAATCATGCATGCCTCTAATCCCAGTAATTGCACCTCTGATGACAGCAGCGTCCGTCTTGTCTCCTCACAAGGGCGTATGGCTTGGAGAAGTTTTCACTTCGACGGCGGCCGATTGGCTATTAGCATGGGCCGCGCTGTGCCTTAACTTGATTACGGGGGCCACGCTGGCGCTTAATTCTGCAGTGGTGTCTGTGCATCATCAGAAATAGACAATGATTATATCACCGTCTTTGTTTGCGGTCGCAGGCGCAAATTACAAACGCCCGCCTCTATTTGCAAGTCAAATGCGGTGTTTGCTTCAAAGCAGCTTGATGCAATCATTTAGCTCCAACTGCTAAATGGAAGAATGAATAAATCTTTCATTAGAGGTGAAATCCCACCTCATCACATCAGAGGGGAGCTGTGCTTTTCTTTATTTGCTGTCATTCTCTCCTTAAATTCATTACTCTGCTAATCAAACTGTAGACGCTCAGAGACGCTGGTGTGTTTTTGTTTTCTGTTTCAGAGCTGAGCAGCATGTGGCAGCGCGTAGTCACCCTCATCAAACTTTCCTCTCCCACTAATCACACGACCACTGTCCTCTGACCGACACTTGAGGTGAAACTGAGACATCATGAGCGAAGCGTACGATCCCGTCCAGGAATGAGCTTCAGATTACTAATCTGAGAGAGAGATTAAGAGCTCATCCTTGGAGGGACAAACTTTGAATGAACGAGTGAACTCTGTCCATGTGTCAGATTTGAAATCGATTAGGGATGGGAATTGATTATAAAGTATATTAAGTAAATAACAAAGACTAAATACATATATAGACATAGGGCAAGGTGTTGTGCCGCATTCAGTCCGGGGCATGCGGGGGTTGGGATGGGGGTCTGGGGGCCTGGGGGGATGCAGGCGGGTCTCGCGCGAGTGGGAAGGGACCCGAGGTGGTCCACAAATCCCTTCTTCTTCTTCTTCTTCTTCTTCTTCTTATTATTACTATTATTGTTGTTATTATTATTATTGTTATTATTATTATTATTATTATTATTATTATTATTATTATTATTGTTATTATTATTATTATTATTATTATTATTATTATTATTATTATTATTATTATTATTATTATTATTATTATTGTTCGTGTAGTATAATTTTCTTTTTCTTTTGCTTGTCTGACAATTGTAATATTTATTTATTTATTTATTTTTATTATTATTCACATATATACTATATACTTGTATTGTCACACTGCACAAATTTAAAAAAAAAAAAAAAAAGGGAATTGATAAGATGTTATCGATTGATTTAAGGATTCCCTTATCAATGTCTTTCTCCGATCAAAAACAAAAGTAGACTTTAGGTTTTTCACCGTTGACTCCAGATTTGAGTCTCTGATAACAGAAAAAGATGTACGTCAGTGAGAGTCTGAAAATAATCAAACAGAATACTTTTTAACAGCGTTTACTTCCGTCAGTATAAAGTCAAATTAGGGGGACCACATTCTGGAGCCCCAAAAAGACGACACTGCTACGGGGGGTGGAGTCACTCCAACAACACGTTTCCAACTCAGTCAGTCTGACATGCTACACAAATTCAAAACGTCCATAAAAAAACCCCGGACATTTGACATTTATGAGTCACACACTTCCTGCTTACTTTTCGTACCTCCACCACGTTTCTTAAAGTCTCTGGTCCCTCAGAAGACCGTTTTTCAGGCGCCTGGAGAAAAGAATCGTCGAGGGAATCGTTGAGATAAAACATCAATGATGTCGATGGATTAAACCATTCCCATCCCTAAAATTAATCAGGGTATAATTTTCAGATATCTGCAGAATAAAGACAGTCACTCAGACCTGACTGTGGTCACTGTGTCGACCTCTTCAACATGGAGGGTGAATTTATTACAGCTCAGTGTGAGGCCGACAACCACCTCATTACACTTTCACCTGATATACATTCTGTATGAAGATGATTGGGAGTCACACACACACACACACACACACACACACACACACACACACACACACACACACGGATGATGCTCATGATGTCTCAGACCTCAAAGGGAGTGTTGCTGCTTTTATTTAACGTTGAACAAAGTTTTGCATGATTGATGATGATGATGATAATATTATATTTATTGTTGTTATTATTAGTCCTCTCTCTCTCTCTCTCTCTCTCTCTCTCTCTCTCTCTCTCTCTCTGTGTGGTGACGCTGTTGTGTCTGTGTCGAACCCAGGCCCGCTTAGCTCATGTGGCTGCAGAAGCAGAGCTACAGGTCCCCTTCGCGGACGAGTTCCCCTCTCGGCAGGCGCAGCTCGCCAAGCTGCAGAACACCGAGGAGTTCGACGTCCTGGTCGTGGGAGGCGGAGCCACGGGGGCGGGATGTGCCTTAGATGCTGTCACACGCAGTAAGATCCCCGTCTGTACGCCGTCCTCACTGTGATGTCACAGGTATCACTCTGCAGAGGAAACGCCTGACACGCTGGCAGATGACCAGCTGGAGAGAGTCCCAGTGTGACGCTGAGGAAGGACCTGAGGCCATCCAGCAGGACACACACACACACACACACGCGCGGCACCCACTGAGACTCCGCCCACTTTTACAGCCAGTTCACAACATGAGCTTTTTTCTTCTGACGTTGGTGAAGTTGGATGTGCTCTCGTAGAGGATTTCATCGTTCGTTGATCTTGAATAAAGTCTGAATTCAAATCTCTTCTTATCCTCCTTTTCTTCAGACCTCAAAACTGCCCTCGTGGAGAGAAGCGACTTCTCTTCAGGGACGAGCAGTCGCAGCACAAAGCTGATCCACGGCGGCGTCCGCTATCTCCAGAAGGCCATCATGAACGTGGACTACGAACAGGTCTCTCTGCGGCCCTGTCTTTAGATCTTGGTGGTTTTTTCTCGGTTTCCTTCACCCTCTTCTCCTCTCCTGTCCTCTCAAACAGTACATGATGGTGAAGGAGGCCCTGCATGAGCGAGCCAACCTCCTGGAGATCGCACCTCACCTGTCTGCACCGCTGCCAATCATGCTTCCTGTTTACAAGTGAGTCCACGCTCTACCTGAGGGAAGGTGGGACAGTGCCGATCACGTGACAAACATGTTCCCTCCTCAGATGGTGGCAGCTGCCTTACTACTGGGCGGGGATCAAGATGTACGACCTGGTGGCTGGGATCCAGTGCCTGAAGAGCAGCTACATCCTCAGTAAGAGCAAAGCTCTGGAGCTGTTCCCCATGCTGAAGAAGGACAAGCTGGTGGGAGCCATCGTCTACTACGACGGTGAGTGAGCACGCCATGGTCGTGTGTGGACGCTCATCTCAAACACTGTTGCTCTCTCCTGTCATGACTCCTTCCCTCAGTGACGGTGAGTCTGCCATCAGCATGTTCACCTTAGTACACCATCTAACCATAAACAGGAAGTCAGGGGGACTCTTCTCTTCAGAACATCTGAAGGTCTTCCCTGAAAAACTCTTTGTCTGGATGGACGCAGATGTTCGTCCTAAACCTTCATGCTGCTTAGAGAGGACACGATTTCTGAAAAGAAGAAGTTTAATCACAGAAAAATAACCGGCCGCTGAATTTAAAAACCCGTCCCTGCTTTGGTTCCTACTGAAACAGGATAAACTGCAGAAGAAGAAGAAGAAGACGACGCTCTTGGTGCAGAGCAGCATATGTTTGATTTCCACCTCCCACCCCTCCTCCATCACCCTCCATCATCTGCTGCTGCTGCGAGGGGGAGGGGTGGAGCGTCTTTTCTCCAATTATGCCGTCTGGAACAATCACGCCGGTGACATTTCAAAATCTGACCTTCTCTCCCGGCGATGTAGAGCGCGGAGGAGCGTTGTTGGCGGTCGGAGCGTCTGAGCAGCAGCAGCAGCAGATATTTGTGCGGATGTCTGGGTGACTCCTGCAGAAACAACAACAGAGGGAGGAGGAGGTGTTTGTTCTCACACGGTCCTTCAGCGCCGTCTGTGGGGTTCATGTCCGTCTGTACGGCACACAGACGAAACAGACTCATGACATTTACTCCGTCACCTCCACGTCTCCAGAGAAGCTTTAAATCAGCGCCCCTCCTCATAATCCCTCACTTTAAGCACCTCCTTTAACTCCTCTATCTCCTCATTTTTAAGGTCAGCACAACGACGCCCGGATGAACCTCGCCATCGCCCTTACCTCTGCTCGGTATGGCGCCGCCGTCGCCAACTACACTGAAGTGGTCCACCTACTGAAGACCAAGGACCCTGAGACGGGCGGCGAGAGGGTGTGTGGAGCTCACTGCAGAGACGTCATCACAGGTAAGACTCACCTGGACAGGTCTTAGAAACCTACCAGGAATGAAGACCCTGAACCTGATCCACTTTCTGACCCGTTTCCACTTCCTTCTCTCAGGAAACCAGTTTGACGTGAGGGCCAAGTGTGTGATCAACGCCACCGGACCCTTCACAGACTCTCTGAGGAAGATGGACAACCAGGAGACGGCAAACATCTGCCAGCCGAGCGCCGGCGTCCACATCGTCATCCCCGGTTACTACAGGTACCAAAGGTTCCTGGTATTTCCCTGACAGAGCTCTGTGCAGCCCTCCATCAGTGTCCCTTCTTCAGTGTCCCTCCTTCAGTGTCCCTCCATCAGTGTCCCTCCATCAGTGTCCCTCCTTCAGTGTCCCTCCATCAGTGTCCCTCCTTCAGTGTCCCTCCATCAGTGTCCCTCCTCCAGTGTGAGCGCAGATATGAGCTGACATATAACTTCATACACAGGACGCTCTCCTCTGCTCCAGGACAGAGAAATGGAGACGCTTTTTAAAGTTCAGCTTATAGAGCGAAACCCCAGGGAGCCCGAAACCTTTGAAGGGGCCGCACAAATGCCAAACACCTCCTCCTCCTCCTCCTCCTCCTCCTGCTGCCACTATCTGTCCCCTCACCACCTCCTCCTCCTCCTCCTGCTGCCACTATCTGCCCCCTCACCACCTCCTCCTCCTCCTCCTCCTCTTCCTCCTCCTCCTCCTCCTGCTGCCACTATCTGTCCCCTCACCTCCTCCTCCTCCTCCTCCTCCTCCTCCTGCTGCCACTATCTGTCCCCTCACCACCTCCTCCTCCTTCTTCTCCTGCTGCCACTATCTGTCCCCTCACCACCTCCTCCTCCTCCTCCTGCTGCCACTATCTGTCCCCTCACCACCTCCTCCTCCTCCTCCTGCTGACACTATCTGTCCCCTCACCACCTCCTCCTCCTCCTCCTCCTGCTGCCACTATCTGTCCCCTCACCACCTCCTCTCCTCCTCCTCCTCCTGCTGCCACTATCTGTCCCCTCACCACCTCCTCCTCCTCCTCCTCCTCCTGCTGCCACTATCTGTCCCCTCACCTCCTCCTCCTCCTCCTCCTCCTCCTCCTCCTGCTGCCACTATCTGTCCCCTCACCTCCTCCTCCTCCTCCTCCTTCTCCTCCTGCTGCCACTATCTGTCCCCTCACCTCTTCCTCCTCCTTCTCCTCCTGCTGCCACTATCTGTCCCCTCACCACCTCCTCCTCCTCCTCCTGCTGCCACTATCTGTCCCCTCACCACCTCCTCCTCCTCCTCCTTCTCCTCCTGCTGCCACTATCTGTCCCCTCACCTCCTCCTCCTCCTCCTCCTCCTCCTCCTCCTGCTGCCACTATCTGTCCCCTCACCTCCTCCTCCTCCTCCTCCTTCTCCTCCTGCTGCCACTCTCTGTCCCCTCACCACCTCCTCCTCCTCCTCCTCCTGCTGCCACGCTCTGTCCCCTCACCTCCTCCTCCTCCTCCTCCTCCTGCTGCCACTATCTGTCCCCTCACCTCCTCCTCCTCCTCCTCCTTCTCCTCCTGCTGCCACTCTCTGTCCCCTCACCTCCTCCTCCTCCTCTTCCTCCTGCTGCCACTATCTGTCCCCTCACCTCCTCCTCCTCCTCCTGCTGCCACTCTCTGTCCCCTCACCTCCTCCTCCTCCTCCTCCTTCTCCTCCTGCTGCCACTCTCTGTCCCCTCACCACCTCCTCCTCCTCCTCCTCCTCTCTGGCTCCCATAAAAACCCTCTTCCTGTCTTTTATCGACCCACAGCCCAGACAACATGGGTCTCCTCGATCCAGCCACAAGTGACGGGCGCGTCATCTTCTTCCTGCCCTGGGAGAAAATGACCATCGCCGGGACGACGGACACGCCCACTAACGTGACAGCCCACCCAATCCCGGGAGAGGACGACATCAACTTCATCCTGAGGGAGGTCCGAAACTACCTCAGCCCTGACGTGGAAGGTACGAATGTTTGATGATGGTGTGAAAAAAAGAGGAAGTTCTGGGAGTGAGGAGACCCGGTTAATCGACCCGCGGCGTTTTAATTTACCCTCACACTCGTTAAACTCTCGTGTTTGACCAGAACGTCTCCACAGTTTGTCCCCGAGTGTGTAGATGAGGAAGGTTTGATTTCATCAGTCTGAGAAAGTCACTCATCTTTACTTTAAGGCCTCTCGGCTCTGGTTCTGGTTCTGGTTCTGATGTGCTTTTGTGGTCCACAGTGCGCCGAGGAGACGTGTTGGCGGCGTGGAGCGGCATCCGTCCTCTGGTGACGGACCCGAACTCCAAAGACACTCAGTCCATCTGCAGGAACCACATCGTCAGCATCAGCGACAGCGGGCTGGTCACCATCGCAGGTCAGTGAACCCGGAACCTCCGCGGACTCTGTGATAACCGCGGTAACCATGGTAACCGCAGCTTTCTATTCTCCGCCCAGGGGGGAAGTGGACCACCTACCGGTCCATGGCGGAGGAGACTCTGGACGCGGCCGTCAAATCTCACGACCTCCCGGCCAAACCCTGCAAGACGGTGGGTCTGATGCTGGAGGGAGCGAAGGGCTGGACGCCGACGCTCTACATCCGCCTGGTGCAGGACTACGGACTGGAGAACGAGGTGAGGACTCAGAACACGGACTCAGGCTGAGAGAGAGAGAGGGGGGGAGGGGGGAGAGAGAGAGAGGGAGAGAGAGACAGAGACAGAGAGAGAGAGGGAGAGGGAGACAGACAGACAGACAGACAGAGACAGAGAGAGAGAGAGAGAGAGAGAGAGGGAGGTCTGAACCAGTCAGGGTTTTAGAAGAGGAGAGGACTCAGCTGCTCACACACACACCCTCACACACACCCTCACACACACTCTCACACACACACACCTCACACACACACACACCCTCACACAGACACCCTCACACACACACACACACTCACACACACACCCTCACACACCCTCTCACACACACTCTCACACACACACACCCTCACACACACCCTCACACACTCTCACTCACACACACACACACACACTCACACACACACACACTCACACACACACACACCCTCTCACACCCTCACACACCCTCACTCTCACTCACACCCTCACACACACCCTCACACTCACACACACACACACCCTCACTCACACACACCCTCTCACACACACCCTCTCACACACACCCTCTCACACACACCCTCACACTCACACACACACACACCCTCTCACACTCACCCTCACACACCCTCACCCTCTCACATACACACTCTCACACACACCCTCACTCACCCTCACACACCCTCACTCTCACACACACTCTCACACACACCCTCACTCACACCCTCACACTCTCACACACACCCTCACTCACTCACACTCACCCTCACACACCCTCTCTCACACCCTCACCCTCTCCTGTGACATTAAAGCTGCTGCAGGAACTACACTGACATTTCTGCTGCACTAAAGACTCACACAGGTGGAGCTGCTCTCTGCGCTCCTATCAGCAGCAGTAAGTAAGGCCGCATTGATTTACATCTCCTACACGCCTCCTCTCCAATAATTAGGCCCGGCGTTTTCCTGAAACCCGATAGAACACGGTTTCACGGAGGAAAAGTCCCGGTGCCGTCTACTTACTCCTCATTAGAGCCGCTCTGCAGCGAAACGCCGTAAAGGTCACTGTTGATATTTGGACGGCGTTTGCCCTTTCCTATGATCTGCACGCCCACATCTGAATCGCAAATCAGCCTCTCATGTTCTGTAAACACATGACCACTCGGACCTGCTGCAGACCCCCCCGTTTCAGTCCGGCGGTGTGTTCAGGTGTCGGGTTAGTCGAACATTAAAGCTTCAGTCGTGAGTTTTTCACCCTGATTCTGCGTCTGAACTGAAACCTCGAACTGTGACCGACCACATCGTCTTTCCCTCTGCGCACAGGTGGCCCAGCACCTGGCCGCCACCTACGGAGGAAAGGCTTTCGATGTGGCCAAGATGGCTCAGGTCACCGGACAAAGATGGCCGATCGTTGGGAAGAGACTGGTGTCCGAGTTTCCGTACATCGAAGGCGAGGTGAGTCCAGATTTCAGCCTCTTTTCTTCGCTCTTTTTCGTTTCCAGTTAACCTTTCATGGTTTTCTTCTCTCAGGTGTTGTACGCCATTAAGGAGTACGCCTGCACGGCCATCGACGTGATCGCCAGACGGACACGTTTGGGCTTCCTGAACGTGCAGGCGGCTGATGAAGCCCTGCCTCGCATCGTGCAGATCATGGGGAAGGAGCTGGGCTGGAGCGAGGAGAAGAAGACGGTGAGTGAAAACAGGCTTTCCTCCACACAATGCTCCGCTCCCTGGTGGTTTCTTCAGGTTGTGATTGTGTTTCTTCTGCGATCAGTGCACAATAGAGGAGGTCCACACCCTGTTCGCCCTCAGAGAAGAGGCCCTGTGTTTGCATGAAAGAGAAGAAATGATATGTGTGTGCATGAAAGCTGAACTCTGAGCTATTTTAAGATCTCATTGTTAGGTGGGGACACAGAGAACTCTCGCCGCAGCACAAACATCAACCCAAAACCTCCGACCGTTGAACGGCGGTTTGATAAAGACGGATGTTTCCACTCTGAGCTGATGACCCGTGTTTCTATGAAGACGTATCTGACGTCTGCACAGACTCCTGATCATTCTGCTCATGTGTCCCTCAGGCCGAGCTCGAGGCGGCTAAGAAGTTCCTGTACCATGAGATGGGCTACAGGTCGCGCTCTGAGCAGCTGACCAAGACGTCTGAGATCAACCTGGACTACCAGGAGGTGGTCAGGTAAAGGTTCCTCCTCCTGTGAAATGTGACTTTAATGAACGAATCCAAAGATCAGACAGAGGAGGTTAAATCTGTGAATAATCTGTGTTCAGGTATAAGAAGCGTTTCCACAAGTTTGACAAAGAGAGTAAAGGATTCATCACCACGGTGGACGTGCAGCAGGTTCTGGATGTGAGTCCTCCCTCTCCATCTCTCTCTCCTTCTTTTTCTCGTCCTCCTTTCTTTTCCTCTTTACTCACCGCTCGTCTCTCTGCTCGGTTTTTCACGCTCTCTCTCTCTCTCCTTCCTGGTTTCTGCAGAGCATCAACGTCCAGATTGATGAAAACGCTCTGCATGAGATCCTGAACGAGGTGGACCTGAACAAGAACGGACAGGTGGAGATCGATGAATTCCTGCAGGTATGAAACTCTGACCTCTGAGCGTTTTTTCTGTCACTGCACCACTTTAGATTCTTCTCAACGAACGGTTCAGAGTCCGGGGTTTAACGTGCAGCAGACCTTTTCTACGTGTTTGAGGAGAGGAGGCGTTTCTCCGTGTAGTTCTGTATCATTTATGACAATTAAGAGTTTTTATGTATTCACTCGCCTTTAAAAGAAGGACAAAACATTAGGTCCTAAAGAGCAGGTCCCAGGATTGTTCTAGAAAACAGATGTTTCAGTTCGACGTGGATTTTTCCTCTTCTGCCGGTTTGATCAGGATCTGAATTTGTTTTTAAAAATGAGGATCTGCAGGAAAACCTTCACAGATGTTCGTCCTATTAAAGGTTAACACCTCTGTCAGTACCTGCAGAACCGACAGGGCTGGAGACGTGAAGACCGGATAATAGAAACCCCGGGGACCAGGGTCCATCACACACACACACACACACACACACACACACTTCTTATTTCCGTGTCTGATCCCGGGTTTCGGACTCCTCTCTGATCAGACCAGATCAGCTGTTCTCAGGTCGGTGGTTTCACAGATCCTGTTGCAGCACGTTGACATGTCGTTAAAGAGGAGAGCGGATCTTCCTCCTCCTCCTCCTCCTCCTGCTAACAGGAGGTGTGAAGTCCTCACTAATTAAAGAGGAGAGTCTCCAACAGCAGCTCCTAATGAGGCCTGAAGAGTGTCCGATAACTGACTGTCTCACCCGCGTCCAGAGGAGGAGTCATTACAGACCAGCTGATGAGGTCTTCATTAGAGAGGAGCTGCAGAAAACCTCCAGACGGATGTTTCAACTGTCTGTAGTTCCATGTGTCTGTAGTTTCATGTGTCTGTAGTTTCATGTGTCTGTAGTTCCATGTGTCTGTAGTTTCATGTGTCTGTGGTTCCATGTGTCTGTAGTTTCATGTGTCCGTAGTTTCATGTGTCTGTAGTTCTATGTGTCTGTAGTTTCATGTGTCTGTAGTTTCATGTGTCTGTAGTTTCATGTGTCTGTAGTTCCATGTGTCTGTAGTTTCATGTGTCTGTAGTTCCATGTGTCTGTAGTTTCATGTGTCTGTAGTTTCATGTGTCTGTGGTTCCATGTGTCTGTAGTTCCATGTGTCTGTAGTTTCATGTGTCTGTAGTTTCATGTGTCTGTAGTTTCATGTGTCTGTAGTTCCATGTGTCTGTAGTTCCATGTGTCTGTAGTTTCATGTGTCTGTAGTTCCATGTGTCTGTAGTTTCATGTGTCTGTAGTTCCATGTGTCTGTAGTTTCATGTGTCTGTAGTTTCATGTGTCTGTAGTTCCATGTGTCTGTAGTTTCATGTGTCTGTAGTTTCATGTGTCTGTAGTTTCATGTGTCTGTAGTTTCATGTGTCTGTAGTTTCATGTGTCTGTAGTTTCATGTGTCTGTAGTTTCATGTGTCTGTAGTTTCATGTGTCTGTAGTTCTGGATGGCCCCTGTTTTGACTGTGCTGATGCTGAATGTCTGTTTTGTCTGTGTGTATCCGTCTGACCTTCACGGCCTCGTCTTAGAGACCTCCAACAGGTAGAGTACTCGATGGAAACAGACACGTCTGTAGTTCAAACCTTTGACTTTAACAATAAAGGGACATTTCACTGAACTGAGGTCCTGTGGTGAACGGAGGCGAGGACAAACACGAGTGTGACAGAGGTGTCGAAGCTGAACCAGAGAAGCTCCGAGAATATAAACGCTCTGATTTCATGTTGTTCCTGCTGTCAGCGAAGTTCATCAGAGACTGAAACAAACTGACCTTCATCTTCAAATCTTCATCTCTGCTCTGAGTAACGACCCATTTTTTAATGAGTGGTTTAAGAGCCGGCCTCTAGTGGACACTGGAGGACCTGCAGGGTCAGAGTTTTAAAGACGGTTCACTCCTCAGCAGAAAGTAGTCCCTGCGGATGTGGTCGTGTTTGTTTCACTCTGAGAGGATCTGCTGACAGCTGGAAACATCCAGAATCATCCTGAAGGAGTCTTCAGTCAGACCCGTCCACAGACATGGGGAGGTGGTCCGGGTTCGAGGTGACCGTGTTGGACAGGTCTCCACTTTGGTTTCATCAGGTGACGGATTCTAGTTCAGCTTGGACACGCAGACAAACACCGGGGGTGTGGGGGTCCGGGTCTAGTCTGGGTCCGGGTTATAAAGGTGGTCGTCGGTCGTCGTTGTTGTGGGTATTTCTGAGGACCTGGAGGTAGTTTTGCCCTCAGTTTGGTTTGACAGGTTCACCTTGATTCGCCCTGACGCTCTCTGCCTTCTCCCATGCAGCTGATGAGCGCCGTGAAGAAGGGGCTCCTGTCCGACAGCCGCCTCGCCATCCTGATGAAATCTGCCGAGGAGACTCTGGATAAGAGAGGCCCGGTGACGGTGGACCGCAGCGGGGGCGGAGTCTAACACCAGCGAGGAGGATTTGTGGTCATTTAAAAGGCGAGGAGGGCGAATGCAAACCGCTCCATCTGAATGACAATAACACAATCAAGGCTGCGGAGACGAGTTCAGCCAATCAGCATCACTCCTGAGTGTTGGGAGTGAATCTGATGATGGAGGCGGAGTTTCTTTGTCATCATCAGGTGCCTCTGGTTCCACGCTCTGTCTTTAACCTCTTTTCTACTGTCGTTAAACCAACACTCACCCTTCATCTGCAGACCTCCACACCAAGCTCTTCAGGTGGGCCTCATCTCACAGGTCCTCGTCTCCTCAGCTCCAAGAAACACAAACACGTCTTTAATATCAGGCTCACATTTTGACCCAAAGTACCAGGAACTTTGATCTTCAGTGAATGTAACCCAGAACAGCTGGACTGAAAGAGTCCGGTCAGAACCCGAACCCTCGTCTTCCTGCCTGCGTTCCCATCTCTTGCACTAAAATGAACCAGTACTGACACTGAGGTTAGGGGGCGGGGTTTAGCTGTTACCCATAGACTGTATCTAGAATGGACGCCGTCTGCCTCCTCCTCCACTCTGAGAACAGCGCCCTCTGCAGTATAGGTCCTAAACCCCGCCTCCTTATGGAGCTGTGGACAAACTTTCTAAATGAATGACACAGAATATAAATGTTTCTCCCCCCTGGTTGTGATGTTGACATGTAGTTACTGTCAGACTGGTTTGTGCTCAAGTCCTCTTTTTTCTGTACAGCTCCATTTTTAAAAGTTATTAGGGGGTTCATGTTTTCTATGATTGACACCTGATACAGCCAATGGGAGGACAGAGATTGAGGAGATCACCGGGGGATACGCTGTTTGAGCCGAGCGTCATCACAGCGACTCTCCCGCCAAATACGTACAACGCTACTGCGTAATGTTGGTTTCAGGAAGTGGAGAAAAATCACAGAAATACAGAGAGCGTTTCAGCTTCAGACCTGTAACCAGGCGGGAGGCGGAGCTAAGTCGTCCAGAGTAAATACAGTCTATGGTGGTACCTGTGTGTCTGAAACTAAAGATTCTAAGTGAACTATAGAGTCCGGGTCGTAAAGGGATCTTTGTTTCCTCGCTGCATGCCTCTCCTCCTCCTTCTCCTCCTCCTCCTCCTCCTTCTCCTCCTCCTCCTCCTCCTCTGAGTCTGTACAGATGATTTTTAAATTTCTCCTGTTTGAAGTGGATTTCAGTCTTTTATTTCTGTGTTTGAGGGACTTCTGCTGTTTTACGCACACCTGGTCTGTCTGCTGCAGACTGTCAGATGATGTATGGATTTATGGATGTTTATATTCATATATATTTACAGTATATATATATATATATAGTATGGGTTGAATTCTGCTCTGCATGCTGAAAGCTCCTTTTTCATGTGACGTTCAGTGAGTGAAACTGAAAGGCAAAGCACAAAGTGAATGTATGATTGGTGCCTTGACGTGCCTCTGAGACATTTTCACTCCGACACAAAGACAGGACCGTGTTTAAGGACGTTCAAAGACCAGCTGGTAGAAAAAGAGAAAAGTATTCCAGATGTCTCCGTGTGTTTTTTGTCGAGCAGAGAGAGTGAGCCGCCGTGTTGGAGGAGTCCAGGACTTTAAGGTCTGAAACACTCCCCTCCAACCACCAAAGGAGTCACCGTCAGGTCAACAATTAAAGCTCCTGTGGGGAGATTTTAGCTGCTCATGAAGTTACCCACTGGAGCTTTAAAAGGAACATCAAATAAATCAAGTCAATAAAAATCCCCAGCTCTGTTTTTGAGCTTTCCTTACTGTTTTTAAGAACAGGTTTGGGTGTTATTTCCCCTGAAATTTGTCTCTCAGGCTGTTAAAAACCTGATGACCCGGCTCTGAAGGTGGTCACAGAGATCCCGGTCCTGGTCCTCCAACACGGCCGGCCTGGCTCTGGATCTGTCTCTGAACCTTTTATATTGTAAAAGTGTTTGTTTGTGTGTTTCTTCACTGCCTTCATCTTAAAGTTTATACTCAGATTTTCTGCAGACGTCTTCATCATTCCTCTCAGTGTGTGTGTGTGTGTGTGTGTGTGTCTGCCTCTAAACCTGGACCCTTCAAACTGCCGCCGCCGTGGTCGTGGTCGTCCCCGTGGAGAATAGCTGGTGGGCAGCGTGACTGAGCCCTCCGTCCTGAGGTTGGATTGTTTTTGGTTTGGATGAAATTTCAGCTTTATCCACGCTCAAAGAGGGCTCAATAACGTCTTTTTAGTGTCCCCTGGACTCTGTAAGAACACAGAAAGAGTCGAACTTCAGGTTAAAAAAAGAAAACGCTGCAATTATCTCATTAAATGTATCTGGTTGCTGAGAGCTTTGTGTGGACATCACTCATACGAGGAGTCAGAACATGTGACGGCATGAGAAACACGGCAGCATGTTTACTGTACGAGCAGCTCGCTGACTTCTACTGTCTCCATCATCTTCAACAGTTTCTCTACAAACACAGAAAAATCAGCTCAGCTCTTTATAATCAACGGTGATGTTCATCTGAAAACAGGAGTCTGTAAAAAGATGGTTATTTACTTTTGACGTTCTCATCCTGGAGTTATTATCAGCAGAAACCATCTCTCAGCACCGTCCTCGTGTTACAGAGAAACAGTTTCTGTTTAAAGGGATAAAAAAAATATATATATATATATATATTTTTTTTTTTTAAATATATATATATATAAATAAAAAAAATATATAAAAAAAAATATATATATAAAAGAAAATATCTCTCTCTCTCTATATATATATATATATATATATATATTAAAATATATATATATATATTTATATATATATATTTATTTTTTTTAAATATATATATATATAAAAGACAAAAATATATATATATATTAAAATATATATATATTTTTTTTAATATATATATATAAAAGAAAATATATATATATCTATTTATATATATATATATATATTAATATATATATAGATATAGATATATATATTTTAATATATATATATATATATATTAAAAAATATATATATATATGTATTAAAATATATATATATATATTTGTCTGAATTTGTTTAGATGTTAATTCTGCTGCTTCTTTATTGTTTTTGTCTTTTAAATTCAGCAGAGGAGTTTTTAGAAATGAGCTGAAGATTTCTTCTTGCTGAGTTTTCTGTAGCTGTCGAGAGTCCAGTCAGATGGTCCTTCAGTGAGGGGGTCTGAGGTCCAAACCAAAAGCCCGTTTAAAGATTTCAGTCCGTAAAGAGCTCCCTCTGACCTTTGACCTCTGCAGGTGAACCGTGTGGATAGTGATGCAGGCGGCGTTCACCTGTCCTGTCTTCATTGACTCACACTGACGGGTCCTCACAAAGATAGAAGAGCTTCATAAACCGGGTGAAAAACTCTTTTTTTTTTTTTTTCTCTCCTAAAGGTCAGCGCCGTGTTTGAGTGACAGCTTTAAGTCCCGGCTCATATTTCACTCTGCAGCTTCCTGGGAAAAGGCCGCCGGAGGAACGAGGGGAAGTAATTAATTGTGATGAATAATGGGACAAATGTGGTTAGCATATGAGCGCTGATGCTCCTCCTCCTCCTCCTCCTCCTGCTCTCTAATTGAAAGCTGACTACGTTCCTCCTCCAGATTCTCCTCAGTCTTCCTCGTCTCAATGTTCCTCCTTCTTTCTGAGCACAATCACCTGAAAACAAACATCAGCACCTTTTCAGTCGCTCGTGAACTTCATCCACTCCTCCTGATCCTCACGGTCTGCAAAGCCGGGAAGCTGATGTTGTGATTCAGGTCTTTTTATCCCCCTTCACATGAGCCGTGTTGTTGTTGTCGTTCACGCCGTCATTTCCTCCAGAGGGTTTTATTCGAAGATGAGACACAAACAGATTGAATATGAGTGGATAAGGGCTGCAGGTTGGCTCTAAACGTGACTCCTTCTGCGTTTTGTGTCAAATACGACATTTGCATCTTAATTTGTGTTGTTTGCAGGGTTTGATGGAGGACCGTGCTTCATTTTTACCCCTTTAAGTCCCTTTGTTCAGCGTTCATGCTCAAGTATCAGAGCTGGTTATTATAAGAGAAAGATTATCAGAGATTCTCCAGATTTTTGCATGAATACTAAACCTCAAAACGATGATGTTTTTAGGAGTTTTAATTAGAAGTGTGAGTGAGAGCATCAGGGACCACCAGGCCCCAAAACAACCTGACAAACCCCTGACTTACTCAGCCGGTAACCACGGTAAATAAGCAGATAATTAACGGAGAAATGAATCCCAGCGGCTCCTGTGAGGACGAAAAGTTCAAGGGAACCAATAATTGATCAGTGTCATCTGTGCATTTGAGACTAATTGCAGGTAAAATCATGAAAGAGGATGTTTTTGAAACCTGAGGCACAAACATCACGACCTAAAGGTCAATATCTGAGACGGTGAGAGGGTCTGGAGGAGGTTTGGGTCCGAAATGAAAGACAAAGAGGATCAAAATGCCCTGAAACCAGGAGAAATCTCGGCTCTTCGAGGAGAATAATGGTCCAAACCTTTCCAGGGCCAGGCTCGAACCTCCCTCCTGACATTTACCTGGGTCACTCTCAGGCTTTGTGTGCAGCAGGAAGCTCTTTCACACACATTTCAATAGCAGCCTGCCAATCAAGAGAACATTTTTACATCCTCCAAACCCAAGAAAAGGGGGATATCAGCATCCGTGCAGCAAATCAAACCCTCTTTTTGCTGTTACACAGAGCCTGTTTGTCTCCACATGTGTCCCACTGGCGCCATCAGAGACCAAACATCTCCTCTGGAGGACAGTGGACAGACGTCTCTGTGTGTTTGCTGACGGCAGTGGGTTCATTGCGGTTCCTCCCACGCAGTGAGAATGAAGCACGAAGAGTCCTCCTCATCCTCGTCTTCCTCAGATTGTGTGCCATGTTGTGTTTCTTCCTTTCTGCCCGGCAACAATGGCGCCTTTCACACCCAGAATCTGGACGGTGAGTCACCATCATGAAGGTCTCTGAGCTGAGTTTGGAGATGGAGAACATGTCAAAGAATTGAATGATTCTCTTTACTTCTAGACTTTACATCTATGACTTTTATTTTCTGTAAATGTGTATCTAGTAGAGGATTCAGTGTAGTGGAGATTGTGTCGTTTGTTCCTGATGTATCCTGACCATAACTCTGTTTCTTCTGTTATTTTCTGACACTGTTAACAAAGACACCACAGAGGCGCCTTCAGAAATACATGCACTACCGTCCATGACCACAGGAGGGCGCTGTTTCCCCTTAGTAATAAACAGCTGTGGCAAAGGGTCACCTTTCTCCTGGTTTTAGCTCACACTCCCTGAAAAGATGAGGTCAGTTTTTTACGATCAGTCCTGGAGAGCAGAATGAAAATCTGATGAACATGAGTAAAAAGATACACTGAGGTGACCTTTCAGTCTTTTATACAGAATAAACAAGATAGAAATCCTGCTGGTGTCTTAAATAACAACGCACAATCTCATTATCGGTGAATAGTGAGAGCTGTAGTAACGCGACATGTCCACAGGAGGGCAGCAAACATCCGGGATCTATGAAGCCGACATGAGCGCTGACTGTACGGTGAGCCGTTCATGTAAAATAACTGAATTATGATCAATAGAAATAATCAAATTAAATGTAAAAACCTCAGAGGCTCACTTACATGATCGACACTTCGAGTTAATATGGAGCTAAAACAATAAAACACGGAGAAAAAAGGAGACAAGTGTTGGTATTAGATATTCTGGTCCACACTCCTAACCAGCAGGTGGCGGAAATGCTCCATTTCGTTGTTTACCAAGCGCCAATTAAACTCAAGAAGAAGAAGAGGAGGTGCACGGTAAATCCTTTTGTTGTTGTAAATCAGTGTTTTTCGGTGTTTATTAGTGACCAAAGACTGGATCTGTGTCTTATGTTTCAGTGATTTAAAATAACACTTTAACAGACAAACAAACGAACGACGTACGAACGTCCTCCTGTGTGAGAGAGAGAGATATTATGTTGCTCTAAATTGAACAGATTTCTGTAAGAAATCCGGGAACATCCAGGGGGTGCTGTTGTGTCGTTCACGAACGATTCGTTCAAAAGAACCAAATCTTTAAGTGAACGTACTGAACTGAATCACTTCCTCTCGGTAAACATTGAACTTCACTCTCTGGAATCATTTTTGTCCGACAGAACTACCTTCTTTTTTTTTTACTGCTAAATTTTCAACACGACAACTTTTGTACTTTTGTAATGATTCCACATACTAATGTATGCTACATCAAATTTATTAGACAGGATCTATTTTTGGATTAAACACGTGTTTTAGTACATAAAAGGATAACTTAAGCATGATTAATCAAGATTAAATCGACATGAAATAGGATGAATATGTGCCATAATCCACACCAACACACTGGGAGTGATTTAGTTTCCCTGCTTTGCGTCAGTTTCCAGCAGAGTTTCTTTGACTGTGTGAATATATCGTCTTTGTACACGGGAAGGGAATAAAGCAGCTTCAGTGAGGACGTCTCAGACCTGTCAATCACATATTTATGATATTAGATAATATTATATCAAATAATATCAAATATACAAATAAAATGACAGTATATCGGCACGTTTCTGGACATATCTAAGTACAAACATAAATGGATATTGTTTACAATCTTTGTCAAGTTTCTGCTCTTTTTAACCAAACTTCTCAGGTTTTATTTGACTGCAACATCAATGAGCTAAATGTCAATGCTGCTTCCACTGAACCCTGGAGTCCTCAGGAACCAGCAAAAGTTTTGTCCACAGGAGGGCGCCACAATCAGCAAAAGCCAAAAGTTACCCACAGGAGCCTTAAAAGCTCAAACTGAGTAACAGGAGATACAGGTGCAGCTCAAAAACTTTAAATGTCCTGAAGAAGTTCTGTTTTTCTCCTTTAATTCAATTCAGGAAGGTGAAATGAAATCAGAAAAGTGTCTACAGCTGGTTAAAGTTGATCAGGACAAGCAGCGATGGTGCTTTAACATGTTTTTGTCAAAAATTTTGAAGTTTTTACAAACTAAATTCGACTCAAACCGGAAGCTAAATCTTATTAACACATCATTCTCTACAGGGTCTCCATTTATTGAAGCACAACCACATATCATTGATTTCACCAATGCTGAAAACCATGAATCATTTTTCACTGTTTATCTTCCCCCACAGTTTGTGTTAACACTGGTCCCAGGCCGCCTGAATACGTCCAGGTCTTGCATAAGAAGACTACAGTAAAAGAGCTGCTCATGATGAAACCCCAGGTGAGTCTCAGGTGGAACAAGTACCGACACATGAGAGAGGTTCCTGAGTACAGCAGGACATGTAGACACACCAACACTCTCAAACACTTGGCTCGCACTGCTCCCTCTGGGCACATTCAGCAGCATCTTCAGGCCATCATGATATCCCACCTTGAGTCTCTGCACAGAGCTCCTTTTGTAGTGCCGCCACAAGAGGGCAGTATACGAACACTGGGGTGCAGAAAGTTTTAAAAAGAGTGATCTTCACGGACAGGTGATCAGTCAGAAGATGTCCTGAGTATTTGACTTCTTCACATGTTTTATGGACAGTAGCAGAGGAGACAGGAAGACAGGAAATGACCATTTATTGTCTATCATGATGTTGCTCTTTTTTTCATGACATTTTAAACCTAATACTAGGACAGTTTTTTCATACAAAAATTGAAATATTTAATCAAACTATACTATGACATTTTTTAACATATTATATTATGACATTTTTAAACATACTATATTTGATATCTTTAACATACAAAAATTTGAAATTTTTTATCATACTATATTATGACATTTTTTAACATATTTTATTCTGACCTGTTTTTAAACTAAACTATGACATTTCTTTTCATTCAGAAATTTCAAAAGTCTTAACACACTAAACTATAACCTTTTTTCTTCAAATTTTTAATTATTGTATCATGCTAATTGATGACATTTTAATCATACTATACTTTGACATTTTTATTAAACTATACTGTGATATTTTTTATATACTATACTATGACATTTTCATACCAAAATTTGAGATATTTTATCATGCTTTATAATGACATTTTGTAACATACTATACTATGACATATTTTTTTTCCATACCAAAATTCGAAATAAAAAAAAAAACAGTGCACTGGAAAATAGAACAGGATCTGTTTAATATCTGACAGGTATCGCATGGAAACAGCAGAGGGCAGCAATACGCCACGGATGCGTCTAGTATTCCAAAACCAAAGAAGAAGAAGTTTATAAATTCCCGGAAGTCACGTGAGAGAATCCTTTTTTTTTTTTTTTTTTTTTTTTATTATTGAATAAGACAGACAGTACAATCAACGAGAAACACATCACAACAACAACGACAAAAACAGAAAACAAAACACAGACAAACAACAGCCAGAGGACTTACAGTTCAATGGTACAGAATTTCTTCATTATAGAGTAAGTTTTTGTAGCTTTCTTGTTCTTAATATCCTTGATCGTGGCAGCATAACGGAGCAGTTCATTTTTGAAGGGTGCAATGTTTGGCTTAGATTTGGCCCATTTGTTTTTGTGGATATGGAATTTCCCCAAGCTCAAGATCAACTGACAAAAAAAGCACAGATCTTTGTCCCGGTCATCATAATAAATAAAAATATGTTTTTCCTGGAAACTGATCGTTCCTCCTGTTTTCTCGTGCACAAATTGTTGGACATCAATCCAAAAGGTTTTACTGTAGGTACAATGATAGAATAAATGAGAGATGGTTTCATCTTCAAGTCCACAGAAATCACATAAATATTCAATGTCCAGTTTGAATCTTCCAAGAGTTTTCTTTGCAGGGTAAATCTGATGTAATATTTTAAAAGAGACTTCTTTGACCTTGTTATTGAGACAGAATTTTTCACCAACCAGCCATGCATTACTCCAGTTAATTTCTCCCAGTTGTACAGACCAGTTAGTTTGACCTCTAGGCAGTGTCTTTGGTTGTAGGCAGCTTCTCAACAGTCTATTCGAGCAGGCTCTTTTTGTAATGTCTATTCCGCCCACAAATATATCACAGGTGTAATTTCCTGGAGTAGCAGCCGTTCTTTCAGACCCTTTAAGAAGTTGTAGCACCCCCTGAGGTAATGCATCAAAAACCACTGCATATTGTTTTGGGGTGACCAGGAGTTGAAATTTTAACATAAATTCTTCATAAGAAAGTAAAAAGCCATGGTCGTTAAGAAGTTGGTCGACTAGTAAAATGTTGTGCTCCATCCAGTCTAACTATAACTATAATGGTGATGATACAATAAACAGCATTAACATGCAGTAAAATGCAACACTAATTAACATTTTTTGTGATTTGAAATAACTAAAATGTGGAGTCATTTTTTTATTTTATGTTTAAATAAATATTAATCATGTATTTTACTTTACAGTCTTTGTAATAATGTGTCTTAGACTGACAATATTGACAGTTTTCTGATCAGTAAAAGACTTAAACTCCTTTTTAATGCTGTAAAAAATAATATTAAGCTCCAGTTTTTTTATGAAATCACTGAATTACCGATTATTCCTTTAAAAACTGTTATTAAACCTCACTAAGTGCTCATTAGTGCTAAACAGTGTTTAGTTTGGTACTTTAGAGTGATTCAGTCCTTTAAAGGAGATTTCTCTTTCTTACCTGAGTAGAAGATGATCCAGACACAATAAAGCGCTTTAAAACCCATCTTCTTCTTCTTCTCCATCTAAAACTATCAAAGAGATTCTGTGTTTGTTCAGACAGAGTTTAGTTTGTTTCTCGATTGTCCATCTTTTGTTTTTCCGTCGCCATAATCAGCCTCTCTTCACGGTTCGTCCTCAAACAGCTGCAGAAATGTCACTCTGACTCCTGCTCCTTAGCGTCTCATCACAATCTTCATTAATCCATATGCAGTTACAGTTTATGGCCACCGGAGGGCGCTGATGAGTAATGACAATGGTATGAGGTAAAGGAAGACGTCTCACTCTGCTGCTGTTTTGATGGCTGAACGGCAGCTGAACTTTATGTACTGAACCAAGACTGCACATGATCGGAGAATCAAGCCTGTCTGTAGTGATGAGTAGAAGTAGATGTCAGGTCTGCTTCACCTTCAAAACTCCAAACTTGTCTTGTTCTTGACGGACTTCCAGCTGACTGGCTGGGACTCCTGAGGTCGTGGGTTCAATCTTTACCTTATTCAGCTTGAGGTAAAATTTAAAGTCTCATGTATTGAAAGGAGAGTGAAATAGAAAAAATATAGAGCTAGCCTCTGTGTCCACATAGCTCAGTAGATAAGAAGACTGACTGTGACTCCTGAGGTCATGGGTTCAAGCCTTACCTTATTCAGCTTGAGATGAAATTTAAAGTCTTGTGTCTAGAAATGAGAGTGAAATAGGACAAACCCGGAATTAGTCTGTGTGTCCACATGGCTCAGAGCATAAGAAGACCGACTGGGACTCCTGAGGTTGTGGGTTCGATCCTTACCTTATCCAGGTCTAGATGAATTTTGAAGTCCATTAGCCAAAGTGCCAAGATAAAAGGGCACACAGCTCCTACCTAAGTGTGGATCGTATCTTGTAGCATGTGTGTTAGTCAATTGACTCTCAATGTGTGGACCCCGGTTCGATTCCGGTTAGTGACGGGGTAGTTAAAAGTAATGAAATGATGAAAATTTCCTTCTATACCGTAATCGGTATAGATTCCTGAAGAAGTGATGGTTTACTTCTAATGATGGCTAATTCTGATCGTTACTAATACTCTCCAGCCACGAGTTGGTATCAAACCAGGCCCCATTGGGTGCCAATAGACTTCCATGCAGTGCCATTAGATAGGATCCACACTAGGGCATGCGGAATGCCCGCTTTTATCATCTTACTTTGGCTAAAGGACTTAAAAGTTCAACTAGATGTGGCTAAGGTGAGGCTTGAACCCACAACCTCAAGAACTTCAATCCGTCTCCTTATCCTGTGAGCTATGTGGACACACAGGGCAATTCCGGGTTTGTCCTATTTCAGTCTCCATTTTAGACACTAGACTTTAAATTTCACTGCGAGTGTATAAGGCAAGGCTTGAACCCACAACCTCAGGAGTCCCAGTCAGTCTCTCTATCCTCTGAGCTATGTAGACACACAGGGGATTTCGGGGTTTGTCCTATTTCAGTCTCCATTTTAGACACTAGACTTTTAATTTCACTGCGAGTGTATAAGGCAAGGCTTGAACCCACAACCTCAGGAGTCCCAGTCAGTCTCCTTAACCTCTGAGCTACATGGACACACAGGGAACTTTCGGGTTTTTCCTATTTGAGTGTCTTTTGTAGACAGTAGAGTTTAAAACTTGTCCAGGACAAGACTTGAACCCACGACCTCAGGAGTCCTGGTCAGTCTTCTTATCCTCTGAGCTATGTGGACACAAAGGCTAAATCCAGGTTTTTCCTATTTGAGAGTCTTTTGTAGATGGTAGAGTTTAAAATTTGTCTGAAGGTGGGTAAGGTAAGGCTTGAACCCACAACCTCAGGAGTGTCAGTCCGTCTCCTTATCCTCTGAGCCACATGGACACTCAGGCCGGGTGTGTGAGTTTCCTCTTTGACTCTCCTCTGTAAACAGTGGACTGTAAAATGTATCTGGAGCTGGTTGAGATGGAAATAAAGCCACACAGAGTCAGAGTGTGTTGGTGTGTTTTTATTTCTAAACTTGATCCCCAGAGTTGGTCCTGAAAGAGAAGAAGAAGAGAGACGATGAGTTGGTCAGCTGGAAGTCCATCAAGAACAAGACAAGTTTGGAGTTTTGAAGGTGAAGCAGACTTGACATCTACTTCTACTCATCACTACAGACAGGTGTCATGTTCTGTCTCTCTCTCCCCTCTCCCTCACCTATTCTCTCTCTCTCTCCTTTCCTCTATGTTGTTCTCTCTCTGGTGTCTGTCTAACATCAGTCTGGTCCTCTCCAGGGTTTCTGCCTGTTAAAGGAAGTTTCTCCTCTCCACTGTCACTCATGTTAGATAAGATGGTACCAAACACAGGAGCCAAAAAACAGCTGTTCGATCTCCTCTGTTCAAACCTGAAAGTCCAGCTGTGATCCAAAGGAAATCCTCTGACCTTCGAGTTGGAGGTAAAAAGGAGAATTCAGGTCCAGAAAATTGACCGTAGCTGCTCCAAAATATGAGAAGAAGATGAGAAGAAGCTGAGAGAGATTGTTAGTCTCTGTGTTTGGATGGAAACAGCTGCAGTGATTGGCTCATTTCCTTCAGTGCAGAGTCAGCAGTTTTGACGGCGAAGCTCCGCCCCCCTGTGGGCGGAGGTCGTAACTGTGGGCAGTTGTAAACTCTAAAGAGGTGGTAAAGTGATCATTTCCCAGCTTTACATTATCCTATTAAAAACAGAAGCTCAGCCCTGAGTGCTGTGATTATTCTGTGATAATGTCACTTTGTTTTCTAAATTTGTCCGCTCCTGATCCTGAAGAGACACGTAGAATTTTTTAAGTCCAGTAGCTATAAATCGGAGTCAAACAGGTTTATAGAACTTCCTCCACAGATACCACAGTATCTCAATAATTCAGAGGTAGAGAAATTGGCTAACATTACAGAGGTCTAGAGTTCGAGTCCCGACGGTGACTTAATTCTTTTCAGAGCCTGAATATATGACTATCCCAGAGTTCTGATCCACAAATAATCTGTGGTGTTACAATCAGAAACGGATCGTAGTTAAGAGGTAGTTCACTTATATCTTCATATCTTCGCTCCGGGGCTTTAAAATTCGCGGTTTCTCCCGGGGCTTGAACCTCATCCTCCCGAGTCCGAGGCAGTTAAACTATCCTCTGACCTGTTGGGACAGAGAGGAGACACGGATCATCATCCATTTGTTGATGAATTCTAAAGTCCAGAGGTCAAAGTTCGAGGGTAAAAGAAGTTTAAAGTGATGAACTGATAATAAAAACAAACTTTATAATCCTCCAGACTGAAGGAGTGATGAATAATCAGGATTAGTTCTAATGAAGTTAATCCGATCATCTCTTCGTAGAGTAGTATCTCCTTTCTAGACACTGGACTTGAATATTTAACAGGACCTAAATAAGGATTTGAACCTTCAACCTCAGGAGTCTAAGTCAGTCTTTTCCCCCTATGAACCACAGAGACTCTGAAATCCTCCTTCTGGACTAAGATCCAGCATGTCTCCAACATATTTCCACTCTCTGGTTTTAGATTCACCGTCTTTTTGTCCATCCTCCATTACATCTGTCACCTACAGATATTTAAGGAGGATTCACTTGTTTTTAAGGTGGTTTAAGTTAATGTTAGTGTCCTAGTCTGGTTAATGAAAATGACTTCAATCCTCTGTTAGCCTCTGTTCTACTCTGACTGTTAGAGAAAGGAGAGAAGAAAAGAGGACAACTCAGATATAAAGGAAAACAAACCAACAAGAAGAACATTAAAATACATTAAATTCACTAAAAGGGTCCATGGACAAACATAAAAACACACAGGTTTAACTTTTTTTTATTTGGGTTTATTTTAAGAAATAAATGAACTCAGAGTGTGATGGAGTTTGGCAACAACAAACTGACAGCTTTTCTGTCCATTTTCAGCTCAGAAACCGGTATTAAATACAAAAATAGATGAAAATCGTTCACTATTAAAGTCTGCTGATCTAAACAGAGTTTCACGTTGGCGCCATCTAGTGGACTGCCTCAAACCCTTCTTCTTCTTCTTCTTCTTCTTCTTCTTCTTCTTCTCCATCTAAAACTATCAAAGAGATTCTGTGTTTGTTCAGACAGAGTTTAGTTTGTTTCTCGATTGTCCATCTTTAGTTTTTCCGTCGCCATAATCAGCCTCTCTTCACGGTTCGTCCTCAAACAGCTGCAGAAATGTCACTCTGACTCCTGCTCCTTAACGTCTCATCACAATCTTCATTAATCCATATGCAGTTACAGTTTTGGCCACCGGAGGGCGCCGATGAGTAATGACAGTGCTATGAGGAAAAGGAAGACGTCTCACTCTGCTGCTGTTTTGATGGCTGAACAGCAGCTGAACTTTATGTTCCGGTTTCTGAGCTGAAAATGGACAAGAAAAGCTGTCAGTCTGTTGCTGCCAAACTCCATCACACTCACACAGTTAATTTATATGTTGTGACGCTCAGATCAGTGTAAAAGAATGAAAGGACACCTCAGCATTTCTCCAGCCTTGCAGCCCACCTCCGCTCCTCTCCTCCACGAACCATACAAACAAAGAGCAAAGATGTTCGTGGATTGAAGCCTTCACCGGCGTCCATATTACTGAGGTCTTCTTCTTCTTCTTCGTTGGTTTTGGCAGAGGGCGGCATCTATCATAGACTGTCTAAACACTAGATGACTCATTCCAGTCTACAGTTGACCATAGATAGTTTAATTTTAAACTGATTTTTAGACAGTTTGGTTTGTTTCAAACCTCAGAGTTTTAGTTTTGTTCCTGAATACTCAAGAATAATTTTAACCTCAGATTTTCATAAATAAACAATAATTAGATAGGTAGAGCAATAGCTATAGGCCTACACACACAAGGTTGAACATTAAATCATTTATATATAAAATATTTAATCAGTCAGTGAATGTTATATGAGTAATATTTCTGTTAAAATTATAACTATAACAACATATAACATCAACATATCTGTATTCATTTTCAATATAAATATCTTTCTCTTGTTGCCTTTCTGTATATCTGTTCTGTGAGATATCTATCTATATATACAGTATACATGTGTGTTTTTCTCCTTTTGCTTTAGTAACCCCTTTTCAGATTTCTGGATCAAAGTCTAAGAGACGACCACCTGTTGTTTAGAAAACTAAATCTAGAATATCGTTGATGTCCTGCAGAAATCTCCTATCTTCATATTTGACCTTTTTTTGTTAGATGTGTGGATTTGTCCTCCACATACTTTGAATGAACAATAACCTTAGAGAGAATATCACCAATAAAAACACATGAATCAACTGTGCTGCATGATTAAGTTTGTTTTTCTCAAAGAAAAGCTTCAATTTCAACATGTCCAAACACCTCAGAGCCACAATCACTCTGCTGTGAGACTGAAGTCTTCAAACCTGACGGGGATCACAGACTTTATCTTTGAGTCCAACAGGAAGTTTGATTTCCAAGAAAAGACGATCAAATCAAAGTTCCTGTTTAATAAAAACTAAGACCAACTAAACACACCGACTTTCCTTCACGCAGCGTCCTCCAGCCTCAGCTGAATCAAGGCTTTGAGTCTCTATGATCCACTACCGTATTGACCTGAATATAGGAGCACCCTGATGAGAAAACCTTCCTCCACTTTTCAGACTCACTTTGAGGACTTTTTTAAGACCAAATCTAGTTTTTGTTTGGATGAAAAATAATAATAATAATCAATTGGACACAGTGACTGAAACAAGCTGAGTTGATGTTTTTAACATGTTTTGGTTTAAATAAAGTTTTTATTGTCTTTAAATGACATTGTTACAGTGAAATGAAATAAAAAATGATCTGGTGTAAATGAAGAACCAACATAGAGTTACACAGACAGAGCATAGATCTATTGATACTAGATAAACTGAAGAGGACAGATCTGTTCACAATAGTTCTATGTTTAATGTTTCTCTGCTGTGATCAGACTGTGACATGAGCTGTCCTGACTTTTGTTAGGACCTTTACAGGTCAGCTGATGGCAGATACAGCCTCTGATTGGCTAACAACAGAAATGACACTTTGTTACTGAAATGAATCCATAAACCATCAGATTATTTTCATTTTGGAGGGATGGGATCAGGAAGGTCTCTGAAAACACACCGATCTTCTCTGTGGGATAGAAAAGCTTTGGAGTGTCACAGAAACACAAACTGATCTCCTGAAAGCTGACGGTCTCACAAAGACAGTGGATTTTACAGGAAGTCACTCCACTGTAGCATCAATTTATGAAGCTGAGATTGTAATCAACAACACTGAGTTTATAAAACAGCATCGACCACGTTAATGACTTCACCCTGAATAGATGCTGATCTCACTTTTTCCAGACTCCAGTCAATACGGTTATTTTTGTCTGTCAGAGGAAAACTTCTCCATCATAATAAAGTAAAAATAATGTTTTTGTTTTTGTTCAAGAATCTTTCCTTTGACTGATTATATTTCACACATTTTACTCTCAGGTCTCATTTATGGTTTAATAATTGTGTTTGTTCATCCAAACTGAAGGGAATCGATTATTGATGAGCACAAAGATGATCTGAAAACAAAAACATGAAAAGAAAAAGAAAATAATGTCTAATAATATAAAATAAGGTCAATTTACGTCCAATCAATGTTTACAATCATTTCAGAAACTGAAGAAGAAAACGGATGAATAAAAATAATCAAGTGAAAGAATAAAGCTTCAGATTTTTGTTAAAACCCCAAACCCTGTCCTCCTCCTCCTCCTCCCTTCACCTCCATCTCTCCTCACTTCTCTTCCTCTCCCTTCAGTTTATATTCGGTCTCTAACGGTGAAAAGGAAAGAAAAAACCTTTGGGTTTAATCTGAACTTCTGACTGATCTACTCTCACACATGGTATCAACTCCTGCTGCAGAAATATGTGGGAATAAATCAACTCCACCTCTTTATATTTCCACTGGGTGGCGCTGCATCATGGTAAAAACAAAGTAATCCAATCAAAGTGTAAATTTATGATCATGTTTCCATCAACAAAACAAACCTGTTCAGACTGTTTGATCCCAGAATATGAGGGAAAATATCAAATATCCAGAGTCCAGGTCCTGAGCTGATCTCAGAGCAGGTCAAAGTGCAGCTCCCAGAGTCCTCTCCGCCCGCTGTGATTGGTCAGTCAGTCTCTCAGTCAGAGACTCACCTCACCCTCACTGCTGCTGCCTCCACCTCTCTGATCGTCAGGAAACACATGATCCTCTTCTTAATCACTCTGACAGATGTTACCTCCATCTGAGGAGAGAAAAACAGACGATCAGTGTTTCCACTCTGAGACTCACTTCATCAGCTGGACTGAAGAACATCCAGTTTACAGACCAGCAGGTCTCAGTCCTGCTCAGACCAGAAGTGATGGTGTAAAGCAGCAGGTTTCCTCACAAATAAACCAACATCATCAAAATAAAGAAATCATTCCTGTCAAATGTGTTAAAGCTGATCGAACAAACCTGCTGTGAAAATAACAAGTATAAAGAACAGCTGTCTGTTTTCAGACTTAGAGCTCAAAATCAACAAGTTAGCAGAGAAATAAAGTCTGTGTTGAATACAGAGAACTATAAACTGGACTTCAGAGCAGAAACTGAACATTTCTGTTTCATTATGTCTCATTTCTACATTTGATCTGAAATATAGAGACGAGGAGACACTTTTTTCATCACTGACACTCTTACACTCCTGGTTTGATGATTTCTGTTCTCACAGCTTCACTAAAGAAAGAATCCTCTGAGAGGGTCGAAGAGTCAGCAGGAAATACTGAATATCTGCTGTGATACTGTGTGGAGAGGAACAGGAGAGACCAGCACAGACTAACTCCAACTCTATACTGACTTCAGAGTCTCCAGTCTGTAGTCTGGACTCTTCTGAAGATCACACAGCAGCTTCATGTCTGAATCCTGCAGCATGTTTCCATACAGCCACAGAGTTTTCAGATGGGAGGGGTTGGACTTCAGAGCTGAGGCCAGAGAAGAACAGCTGATCTTTGTCAAACTGCAATAATTCAACCTAAATAAAGAGGAAATAATGAGATTTTAGAGAAAAATGATCCAGTTTGAAACCTGATGTCTTAAATCTGTAGAGTTCAGGGGAAAGGTTTGGAAAGTCTGAATCAGAGAAAAGTGACGCTCCAAAGAGCTGAACCAAACAGGAAGTCAGTTTGAAACAGTGAATTCAAAAACACATTAAATAGTGAAATAAAAAACTCAGAGACTTTTTTACTGATTGTAGATGCAGATCAATATTTTCAGAAAATGTCAGCGACTTCAGGACGGATGGGAAATAAAGGATGTTCAGAATATTTTCACTTTGCTGAACCAAAAATATCACGTCTTTGAGAGGTAAATATTTCAGTCTAAACACAGCAAGGTCTCAGAAAAGTGAAGATAAACCAGAAAATTCAGATTTTCACACAAAGATTCAGAAACAAAATTCAAAGTAACAGAGCTGGACTTTCATCAGAGTCAGAAACTAAACTCTGAGTTTTTTCTATTCCCTGATCTTGTCCTGAACAAAAGTTTGAATGGTTCTCGTCTGACAAATCTCCCCCTGCTTCTGTTTTCTGTCTGAATGAGCTTCTCACTGTGAACTCTACAAAGAGTTTTCTTCTTGGGTTCAGGTTTTAATTCACTGGAGCTCAGCAGTGATCGAACTGGAGTCAATCAAATAATCCACTGATGCAGAAAATCTACTCTGGACTGAAGGTGTTCAGTCTGGGTCAGTATTTCAGTCCTGAGTCAGCAGTTTAGTGTCATCATCACAAACAAATCATGATCATGTTTGAATGGAGGAAAAAGTCTGACCTCAGAGTCTCCAGTTTACAGTTTGGACTCTGCAGAGAGTCACACAGCAGCTTCACTCCTGAATCCTGCAGCTTGTTTCCATTCAGCCACAGATCTTTCAGATGGGAGGGGTTGGACTTCAGAGCTGAGACCAGAGAAGAACAGCTGATCTCTGACAAACTGCAGTCCCACAGTCTGAAAAAAGTAAAGAGAATGAAGATAAAAATAATTAATAATCAAACTTCAGGTGTTCAGGTTTAAAATATGGAGCTTAGAGAACTCCAACAGGAGACCTTTGGACCAGATCCAGTCTGTCAGAGCTCATGATCTGGTCTGCTCTGACCCTCCATGTAAAATAACAGACAAGACATCAGATGTGATGGAGAACTGGTTTGGATTAGAGGTTCAGATGATCAGAAGGTGGAGTCCTTGTTGAAGCAGTTGCTGGTTGGACTCCCATGATCCTTTGCTGTAAGTCCTCCCTCACTCTCTACTCCTGGTTTCCTGTTCCTCTTCAGCGCTCGGATCAATCAAAGTCTTCAAAATGAACTTGAACTGTGACATGGAGGAAACAGGAGGATCTTTGTCTGCCTTCATCCCTCACTGTACACTGATCTTCAACAAGAACACTCAACCCAGAATAACAGACTGTGTTGTCTCTACTGTCAGAACTGGACCGGACCAGCCAGCAATCCTCCAGATCTGAGTTCATGGAAGTCAGAGACAAACCAGAAATACTCTCAACCAAGAAGAGCTCAGAGAGAGTCACCCAGGACACTGAGCCCACCTCCCTCAACCAGGCTGGTCTCAAGAGTTCGTATTGAGCAGATCCAGCCCATGTGAAGCTGAACCTGAATGTGCTCTCAGACTGTAACATCAGCGCTCTGCCAAACAGAGAATGGATGAGACTCTGATGAGACAGGTCAGCTGACTCTGTCTGCAACAACATCACCTTTACTGCTTTACTCTTCTCCCTCACCTTCATCAGGATCAACAAGGTCAGACAGCAGACAGATCCACTCTTCCTCTCACTTTGTCATTGATTCACTGATGGCTGAGTTCACTCACATTTCATTTAGTCCACTCTCTAATCGGGTTTCACTGCAGGAACCTTTCAAACCATATGAGCAGTTATTGAGCTGCAGAAAAGAGGCAGTGGAGCCGAAACAGGAACCTGATCAATCTGATCATTAATATTGATCAGGAGAAAAATCAAAATGATTCAAATAATGTTGAGAAGAAGAAAATCTGAGAGTTTGGTTCTTTAACTTCTTTGGTTCAATCATAAAAGTGACGAAGAAAACTTTGTTTTTGTGACTTCAGTCATCACAGCAAAGAGACAGAGAGGAACATCTCTGTGTGTCTGTGTCTGTGTGTCTGTGTCTCTGTCTGTGTTTGTGTGTCTGTGTCTCTGTCTGTGTGTCTGTGTCTCTATCTGTTTGTGTGTCTGTGTCTCTGTCTGTGTTTGTGTGTCTGTGTCTCTGTCTGTGTTTGTGTTTGTGTGTCTGTGTCTCTGTCTGTGTTTGTGTGTCTGTGTCTCTGTCTGTGTTTGTGTGTCTGTCTGTGTCTCTGTCTGTGTGTCTGTGTCTCTGTCTGTCTGTTTCTCTGTCTGTTTGTGTGTCTGTCTGTGTGTGTGTGTGTGTGTGTGTGTGTCTCTGTCTGTGTCTCTGTCTGTGTTTGTCTCTCTGTCTGTCTCTGTCTGTGTTTGTGTGTCTGTCAGTGTAAATTCAGACGTCTGTGTCTCTGTCTGTGTCTGTGTGTCTGTCTGTTTCTCTGTCTGTGTTTCTCTGTCTGTGTTTGTGTGTCTCTGTTTGTGTGTCTGTGTCTCTCTGTCTGTCTGTCAGTGTAAATTCAGGCGTCTGTCTCTCTGTCTCTGTCTGTGTCTCTCTCTGTCTGTGTTTGTCTCTGTCTGTCTCTGTCTGTGTCTGTGTGTCTCTCTGTCTGTCTCTGTCTGTGTTTGTCTCTCTGTCAGTGTAAATTCAGGCGTCTGTGTTTCTCACTGTCAGAGCAGATCTTTCTCGTTTCCTCCTCATGAAAACTCAAACCTCATGTTCTGACCGATTAAACTCATTTGATGAAAAAGTGGATTTTTTTCAGATTTGGTTTGTTTGGTGTTTTTTTGTGACTCTGAATTTATGAAGCATCATTATTACTTTAATAACTGTGATGAAAACAATGATGCTAGCTGAAGAAACAACAACAAGGAAACTGGGAGCCCAAGTTTAGTCCATGACTTTATCCTCATTATTCTAACGTGTCAAAAAGACTAATAAACACCTGTCACACTCCTGTCTGATATCAGTATGATATGGTTGTAATTCATGAATATTAACTCATGAATATGTTCAAAATGTCTCTGAAATTTAAAGACTAAAACTCCAAATCTAAAAGTTCATTTAAAAAAACAGCTGTCACATTATCATGACAAACTAAATTCAGTTTCAACAATTTAAAGTTTGTGTGGAAACATCAAAATCACAAAAACCATCAAATCTAAAGAGATGAGGGAAAACTCTGGGACTGCTGATCTGGTTGAATAAAGGGACGCACAGACGTCATGAAGCCTGATCTAATGTCTGCCACCGCTGTCTTTGTCTCAGGAGGTTTGGTTGAATTCACTCCAGCATGTCCTCTAGACATGAAAACATCATCAACATGAGTCAACTCTGCATGAGCCGTGGACACCTGAATTTTCCAACCACTTCAAAGTTTGTATCCTGGACTGTTTGGATGAAATCTCTGCTAACAGCTGATTGTTGTTGTTGTTGTGACTAAAGCAGCATGTTGTGAGGATGTGCTCACAGGGTCTGGTCTGTGCTGAGGAGTTATACAGAGGGTTGAAATGACGGAGCTCTGATAGCGAGGTTTGTGACTGAAGCTGCTGACTGATGGGACTTTAACACACCTTTGTTGTTGACAAAGTTTCCTGTATGAAAAAGATGAGCTGTGTTCCTGAGCTGCATGGATAGTGAGTTCACTGCATCCTTGAACATTTGACTGATTTAGAGACCGAGGAAGTAAACCCGTCAACATCACTGCAGTGATCATCTGAACCATTTATAAAAAATCATCAACATTCAATCAACAAAATAACTCACAGTTTTCCTCCATCTGTATCTGACTGATGATTCAATAAAAAACTATGAATTTATGTGAGAAAGAAGAAAGTTCTGGAAATATTAAAGAATTCTATGAACATTTGAATTGGGTTAAAAAACTGAATAAACATAAAAATCTACAACAGAAACAGACAAAGACTAAACTTACTCCAGAGTCTCCAGTTTACAGTTTGGACTCTGCAGAAAGTCACACAGAAGCTTCACTCCTGAATCCTGCAGATTGTTTACACCCAGGTCCAAATGTCTCAGATGGGAGGGGTTGGACTTCAGAGCTGAGGCCAGAGAAGAACAGCTGATCTCTGACAACCTGCAGCGACACAGTCTGAAAAAAGAAAAAATCATGTAACCTCTGAAGAAACTGTTCCTGTTTTTAATGATTCAATGTTCTTGAGCTCCTGAAGGACATGGAAGGAGAACTTTTTCAGAGTTGATCTTGAGGAACTTTGTAAAATCCTCTCTAAACTTTTTGAAGATCTTGAGGAATTTTTCAGAAAACCAACAGATCATTGATCAGAGAGGTTTTTATGGACCAACTGGACAAGATGATGTTCATGTTCAACAAACTGAAGTGAAAACTGCAGAAAAATCTGGATCTGGTTTTTACATTTGAACACGACTGAGCAAAGAAGAAATTCAAGTTTTCAAGAGTTTCCAAATGAAATCTCCAGAGTTGGATTAACTTTGTTCTTCAGGTTTCAATCTGCAGCTCCTCATTTCTCTGACACTTCATTCATTCATTAGTGATCACATTAACTGTGGATCAGTTCAGTATCAGCCTTTAGTCTGTGCTGCTCCTGCCCTCTACAAGCATGTGTAATATTTGTGGACTGATTTTCTCCTGCTTCCTTTCTACATCCATCGTTCTCCTCAAAGTCGACTCTGAAATGTCGGATTTTTCTTCCTGTGTTGAAGTTTTACGACGACAAATTCAAACTGCTCGACCAAAGTTGATGGAAAAACCACAGAGAAAAATCTAAGGCAGCAGCTGTCACATCTTATTGTTAGATCAGAAGGAAATGGTGTCTCACTTCAGAGTCTCCAGTCTGCAGTTTGGACTCTCCAGTCCTGCAGAGAGAAGCTTCACTCCTGAATCCTTCAGATCGTTGACACTCAGGTTCAGATGTCTCAGATGGGAGGGGTTGGACTTCAGAGCTGAGGCCACAACTTCACAGTGAGTCTCTGAGAGTTCACAGTATGAAAGTCTGTAACAACATAAATATCAACAATATTTCATTAAAGGGTAATTTGATGTTTCTCTTCACCAAAAACAAACATGATCTTTGGTTTGACAGACGGCCTGTTTTTAACCAGACAGATACTAATATCAGGACCACAGCCATGAGAGAAGACAGGAAGTCAAAGTTTAGAAGAAAAAAAAACTGTTCAGATGTTCAAGACAAACGACTCCATGACTTATTTTAGTCCTTCTGTTCTCTAACAGTGTTGTCTTCATGTTAGTGCAGCTGGATCATTATGACTGAGTGAATTCTTGAGTTCTGGTTGGAGAAGGGGACTGAGAACCAGGTTTTTGGTCCTGGTATGTGATTGGTTAGTATCCAAAGTACCTCTTGGAGGATCAGTGCTCCTCTCAGTGTTTAATGTTGACATCCTGCTGTAATGTAAGTCTGTCCATAGACACTGACTGTTGACCAATCAGAGGACGACTCACTAAATCACAGCAGCTCCGTCTTCTCTGATTGGTTCAGATAAAATCGTTTTTTAGCAGGTTAGAGCTGGTTTGACTCTGAACATTTGAAGAGTTGAAGATTTCTTTGTTTTCACAATCAAAGTTTTTTCTTCATGTAACATTCGCTTCAGCAGCAGAAACACGTTTATAAAACCTGATGGATCCAGAGAGACCTTTAAGAGACAGAAACAAAGACCCACTGAACCTCTGTCTTTGGGAAGAGAGAGAGAGGGAGAGAGAGAGAGAGAGAGAGAGAGAGAGAGAGAGAGAGAGAGAGAGAGAGAGAGAGAGAGAGAGACATTAACATCCTATCTCCACCACTGTTTTCAGACTCATGGAGCTGCTGTCCAAATACCTCCTGTGTTCTCATCATTCATATGTTCTAGTCCAGCAGATCATCTCCAGTGAGTGGTGGAAAATGATGTTAGTTTTCATGGTTGTATTGATGATGAATATTGAATGATGAACATGATGGTACAGAGACAGTTCTGCCACTGTGTAGAAAATGATCCAGTTCTATTTTCACCATCAATGCTGTCAACACCCTCATTTACAACAGATTCATCATTTCCAACCTGAAAACCAGCAGGAAGAAGCTGCAGACACCTTCTTCAAACTCAAGTTCACCACAACTGACTGAGATGTTGATCTGGACTGATACCATCATCAGAAGACCTCTGTGTGTCCTCAGATATGGTCGCTGATTTGTCCTCAAAGTTCCACTTTATTCATTACAGACACGATTCAAAACAAAGAGGTCCTCCACAATCAGGACAAGTTCTCAGGGGTCCACAGGTAGACCTCATCCTGGGCTAACAGGACTTTAGACACCAGGATCAGGTTTTTGCTAAAGAAACCCCCTCCCTGATATTTGATTTCTATTTGAAGAAGAACATCATCAGTAACGTGGACATTAGAAGAACTACAGGGATCATTTACACTATTCTGAGAATAAAACCTGGACTTACTCAGCCTTTCTGCAGTTCCTCACAGCTGGGATCAGTCTCAGTCGTCCCTGGATTGATGTTCTATAGTTCCTTAAGTCCAACTCCTCCAGAACCTCCTCTGACATCTGCAGCATGTAGGCCAGAGCAGAGCACTGGAACACTGAGAGTTCCTTCTCTGATCTGTTCTCTGACTTCAGGAACTCTTGGATCTCCTGATGAACTGACAGATCGTTCATCTCCATCAGACAGTGGAAGATGTTGATGCTTCTGTCAGGAGAGATATCTCTACTGTTCATCTTCTTCAGGTTCTTGATGACTCTTTGGATCATTCCTGGACTGTTGTCTGTGTGACCCAGCAGACCTCCTAAGAGTCTCTGGTTTGACTCCACAGAGAGTCCATGAAGGAAGCGAACGAACAGGTCCAGGTGACCATTTTTACTGAGAAGAGATTTCATCATGACTCTATTCAGGAAGACATCCAGGTTTTTAAAAGAATTAAAAAACATCTTGAAAGAAAACATTTTGTCTTCGTTGCCTCTTAGGAAAGTCTCCAGATCTTCTGCGTTTAGGAAAGTCTTGAGAACTTCTGTCTTACTGGTTGTGAAACTGTGGATCATGTAGACTGCAGACAGAAACTCCTGAACGCTCAGATGAACGAAACAGTAAACAGTTTTCTTGAAGATCACACTCTCTCTTCTGAAGATCTCTGTACAAACTCCTGAGTACACCGAGGCCTCTGAGACATCCAGACCACACCGCTCCAGGTCTTCTTGGTAGAACATGATGTCTCCTTTCTCCAGATGTTCAAAGGCCAGCCTCCCCAGCTTCAGGAGGACTTCACTGTCAGCCTCCGTCAGCTCCTGAGGACTTGTCTCATGTCCTCCTTCATACTTCTGCTTCTTCCTCTTAGTCTGGACCAGCAGGAAGTGTGAGTACATGTCTGTCAGGGTCTTGGGCAGCTCTCCTCTCTGCTCTCTGCTCATCATGTCCTCCAGAACTGTCGCAGTGATCCAGCAGAAGACCGGGATCTGACACATGATGTGGAGGCTCCTGGAGGACTTGATGTGTGAGATGATTCTTCTGGACAGATCTTCATCTCTGAACCTCTTCCTGAAGTACTCCTCCTTCTGGGCGTCAGTGAAGCCTCGTACTTCTGTTACCCTGTCCACACGTGAAGGAGGGATCTGATTGGCTGCTGCAGGCCGAGAAGTTATCCAGATGAGAGCTGAGGGGAGCAGGTTCCCCTTGATGAGGTTTGTTAACAGAACGTTCAGTGAAGACGTCTGTGTGACGTCAGACACCACCTCAGAGTCTGTGAAATCCAGAGACAGTCTGCTTTCATCCAGACCGTCAAAGATGAACAGAAGTTTACAGACAGCCAGCGTCTCTGCTGTGACCTTCTCTAGTGTTGGATGGAAAACATGGAGCAGACTCTGAAGACTGTAGCGCTCTTCTCTGATCAGGTTCAGCTCCCTGAATGAAAGCAGGACCACCAGATGGAGGTCTTGGTTCTCCAAACCCTCTGCCCAGTCCAGAGTGAACTTCTGCACTGAGAAGGTTTTTCCAACACCAGCCACGCCGTTGGTCAGAACCACTCTGATGACCTTCTCCTGTTGGTCAGGTAAGGGTTCAAAGATCTCATGACACTTGATGGGTTCGTCATGGAGGGTCTCCATCTTTGAAGCTGTCTCCAGCTGTCTCACCTCATGTTGGGTGTTCACCTCTTCACTCAGTCCCTCTGTGATGTAGAGCTCAGTGAAGATCCTGTTGAGGAGGGTTTGACTACTTCCTGTTTCATCACTTCCTTCATTCACACGTTCACATCTCCTCTTCAGACTGATCTTATGTTCATCTAAAACCTCCTGCAGACCGCCATCTTCTGAAAGAGAAGAACAATAAAATGAACCAAACTTCTCAACACTAATAAACACACAGTTGTATTTATTTAACCTGTTTTTGCTCTTTGAGAGACAGCACTCCAACGTTTTTGTTGTAAATATGTTTGATACTCTTCAAATTTCTGAGTTCAAATGAAAAATCTGTTCATGAAGATTTTCTGTTTTTTAAAACTCAAAAAATCTTATTTTGTTTTTGAGTTTTTCTTTATCTTAAAATGTTAAAACACTCTTTTAACAGACAGTAAACTGTAAATGACAGACAGATATTGAAAGTTCAAAGTGTTCTGGAAAAATGTGTTAAAACACTCAAAGGACATTTTCTGTTGATTTTATGGTTAAAATAAACAAAATATTCCAGGTGGAAATTGTGTAATTTAGGGTTTAAAGGACAGATGTTCAGACTTACTTCCATCAGAGCTGGACAGCTTCTTCACAGAGTCACATCTCTGAGTCTCTCTGTGGAAATAAAGAACATTTATTTTCTTTATTATTTCATGTTTGAAGATTCAGAATAAGAAACATTTATTAAACCAGAGTTTCTCTTTTCTCTAACATAAAACAGTAAAATATTCAGCTGCTGCTGCCTCAAAGTGTGGAGACAGGAGAAAAAACTCAACTGTGATTTTTGAAGGTCGAGAGATTTTCTCTGACAGTTTCAAACATTTTTTAACAATCAGATCTAAAGGTCTAATAACAGACTGATGCTCTGAATGAGTTTTTATTTCTCAGGATTTATTTCTTCTTTGGTCTTCTGGTATTTTCTGACCCACAGACTGTTTTCTGGGGTCTATACACCACAGTCCAAAGACTAACAGGCTCAAAACGTCCCAAACACAGGAACCAAATCAGAAAATACAAGAGGTCAGGATCCTTTTCTAATGCTGTTTTATACCACCTTCATTTTTATCAACATCAGGAATAATAAGTAAATCTGAGCTCAGTGACTTTGTCTTTACCAGACCTTTATCCAGGTTGGAGGTTCAAGAGGAAAATCAGCGTTTTCAGAGCAGAGGAGAAAACAGAGGGGTCAGGATTTAAAGTTCTGATTTTGAAACATCAGCTGTTGTTGTTTGAGAGTTTGGAGGGTGAAAAGTGTTTCTCTTACTGTGAATCTGAGGGTCCTGGTTCTTTACTGAAGTATACAGGAAGATCTTTAGACCTGTCACTCTTCATAGACAGACAGTCGGACATAACAGACTCTGCTCTGCCCTCCTCTGAGGGTCCTGGTTCTTTACTGAAGTATAGAGGTTCATCTTTAGACCAGTCACTCTTCATAGACAGACAGTCAGACATATCAGACTTTTGGTCTGCCCTCCTCTTCCTCAACACCATCTTCTCCATCTTCTGTTGTGTAAATTTATGGAAGATGAAACCGAGTTCTACAACCTGAGGACAAAGTAGACAAACAGGTGAGACACAAACAGGAAGAGAGAGTTTCAAAATAAAAGAGGAATCAGAAAGGAAGTACAGAGTCTGAAAACAGCTTCATCCCCCTCTTTAAGAGTTATACAGGTTTAATCATAGATATATGTATATAAACCTTTCTTATATATGTCTATGGGTTTAATATCCAGGACCTTCTGATGTCTCCCCACCCTGCAGGGCCTCTCTCTGATCCTTGTCTGATTCATGGTCCAAACAAAATCAGCTGTGAGGTCCCTGAACTCTCAGAAAAACTTAAGGAACTGGATTAAAGTTGAAATGAGAGGCTAAAAAGATTCAGATTTTAGTTTTTACCACAAAGACAAGTCTGAACAAAGAGGAGGAAGAACTGCACGTACACAGTTTCTGTACGAAGAACTGATCCAGCTCTTTGTCTGCTCAGGTTTCTTTGTTTTAGAGTTTTTAAGTGTTTTAGTCAGTAAATCATTTTTCATTAACGGATAAAACAGATAAAGAGTTTGACATTAAAACTAAAACAGAGTAAACACTCACCCTGTCTCCTCGTCCTCTCCTCTCTCTTCGTTTCTCAAAATGGAGTCTGTTTTTCAGCTCACTTACTTTCACTTTCACTCTGACTGTTTTCACTGAAACCTAAACCACCAGATCACAGATTCTTCTCCTCATTTACTGACAGTTTTTCATCATCTTTTAAGTTCAGTATTCCTGACAAACATCTTCCTCTCCTGAGTCCAAATTCAAAGTTCACTAAAACAGGAACTTGTTTGGTTGGTTGAGTCTCAGTTTATTGTTAATGCAGCAGCTCCACCTGCTGGTCAAACCAACAAACTACAGATGAGCGCTCCTCTCCTCATCCCCCAATAAATGTGAAGATTTGGTTGAACAGGTTTTTACTTGTTTTTTTACTTGAGGCCTACACACACAAGGCAGTTATATCAACTCAACTATATATAAAACATTTAATTATTCCATGTGTGTTATATTAGTAATATTTCTATGACAGGGATAACTATAACAACATATAACAATAACATAAATGTATTTATTTTCTATCTAAATTTCTGCCTCATGTTTCCATTTTAGATGTTTTTAACAAACCAAACAATTTGGAAATCATGAACAACTGAAGTTATGTTGAAAAGAAAGAGCATTACTGCCTCTTTAACTGATGTAAAACTACTGCGTCAACTTTGTAATATGTACTTTATCTCACTCACACTTAATAAACCAAAATAAACCGCTTTTACCACCAGTAAGTGGCCGTAAGCAGAGTGAAACACGTTTAGCGGTAATGTGAAACAAGTTTTACCGTCAAAAGGGAAGTAGAGGAAGATGAAACAGCGGTATGAGGAGAAAAGCTGTCAGTTTGTTGCTGCCAAACTAGCTCAGAGTGTGATGGAGTTTGGTAGCAACAAACTGACAGCTTTTCTGTCCATTTTCAGCTCAGAAACCGGTAAATAAAGTTCAGCCATCAAAACAGCAGCAGAGTGAGACGTCTTACTTTTCCTCATCGCACTGTCATTACTCCTCGGCGCCCTCCGGTGGCCAAAACTGTAACTGCATATGGATTAATGACGCTTGTGATGAGACGGTAAGGAGCAGGAGTCAGAGTGACATTTCTGCAGCTGTTTGAGGACGAACCGTGAAGAGAGGCTGATTATGGCGACGGAACAACAAAAGATGGACAATCGAGAAACAAACTAAACTCTGTCTGAACAAACACAGAATCTCTTTGATAGTTTTAGATGGAGAAGAAGAAGAAGAAGAAGACTAGGGCCCCGTTGGGGCACTGGCGGGCCCGAGCTGTGTCACGCCGCCCCCAACACGACCGCCTCTCCCTCCCGATCGCGTCACACTCAAGGTTCAACGATGGTGTGCGCACTTGTCTGTGGTCATTTACCATTATAATGAATGGGAGGCGCAGTTTCTACCAAAACACTCGCTGCAGACAAACTACATGTCCTATTTGAAAAAAGTCTGGACCATGAGTGAGGGCACAAACACAGCTAGGATATATCCAAATGGCAAGTTGCTCCTCCTTTCGTTTTTTTCCGAGAGAGCGATGTGTTTGAGCCATTGAGCGATGGGCAGGAAAAACTTGACTTTTTCTCCTGCCATGGGGGGGCACTCTTTTAGGGAGAAAAAATTCCTTCACAAATGTGTTGATGGCTAGACATTGCATCATCCTAGAAAACTTTGAAGCCAGTGAGGACAAAAATGAAAAGTTATAAGACTTTTAAGAATGTGGATTTTTGGGTTATCTTTGGCGACCCCTAGAACGTAAACCGTGGGGTGCAGCATCATGATTTGTACAACTTTTAATGGCCATGGGGTGTAGATTGGCCTGGGCAAATTTGGTGCCGGTGGAACGAAAGCTTTAGGAGGAGTTAGCCACATTCCAATGTGTGCGAATCAACCAAAAATGCGAAATAGCCCTTTAACCGTACATTTTGCAGACACGTGCGCATTGACTTTTTCGTAGATCTTATTGAGATTCACGTGATTATCAAATTTTGTTTCAATATGACAAAGCGTACAGGCGTGACACTCAACAATGTGTATTTTCACCTTATGGGACAAGAAAAAATGGCCTTTTTTCTCCTGCCATGGGGGGGCGCTCTTTTCGGGAGTAAAAATTCCTTCACAAATGTGTTGATGGCTGGACATTGCATCATCCTAGAAAACTTGGAGGCCAGTGAGGACAGAAATAAAAAGTTATAAGACTTGTAAGAATGTGGATTTTTGGGTTATCTTTGGCGACCCCTAGAACGTAAACCGTGGGGTGCAGCGTCATGATTTGTACAACTTTTAATGGCCATGGGGTGTAGATTGGCCTGAGCAAATTTGGTGCCGGTGGAACGAAAGCTTTAGGAGGAGTTAGCCACATTCCAATGTGTGCAAATCAACCAAAAATGCGAAATAGCCCTTTAACCGTACATTTTGCAGACACGTGCGCATTGACTTTTTCGTAGATCTTATTGAGATACACGTGATTATCAAATTTTGTTTCAATATGACAAAGCGTACAGGCGTGACACTCAACAATGTGTATTTTCACCTTATGGGACAAGAAAAAATGGCCTTTTTTCTCCTGCCATGGGGGGGGCGCTCTTTTCGGGAGTAAAAATTCCTTCACAAATGTGTTGATGGCTGGACATTGCATCATCCTAGAAAACTTGGAGGCCAGTGAGGACAGAAATAAAAAGTTATAAGACTTGTAAGAATGTGGATTTTTGGGTTATCTTTGGCGCCCCCTACAACGTAAACCGTGGGGTGCAGCGTCATGATTTGTACAACTTTGAATGGCCATGGGGGTTAGATTGGCCTGTGCAAATTTGGTGCCGGTGGAACGAAAGCCTTCGGAGGAGTTAGCGAAATTCCAATGTGTGCGGATCGGCAAAAAATGCGAAATAGCCCTTTAAACGTACATTTGACAGATACGCCCGCACTGACTTTTTTGTAGATCTTATTGAGATACACGTGTGTGTCAAATTTTGTGTCATTTTGACAAAGCGTACAGGCGTGACACTCAATCATGTGAATTTTTCACCTTAGGGGGCGCTATGGAGCCATTTTGCATTTGATTGTTTGGGTGACTTCAGAATATCGAATTTTTCACCAGGCCCGGTCGTCCTGCCAAATTTCATGAGTTTTCACCAGTGGGAAGTGGGCCATTTTCCAGTTCAAAGGGGCAGAAAAATAACTAGGACCCCGGTGGGGCACTGTCGGGCCCGAGCCGCGTTGCGCCGCCCCCAGCGCGACCGCCTCCCCCTCCCGATCGCGTCACACTCAAGGTCCAAAGATGGTGTGCGCACTTGTCTGTGGTCATTTCCCATTATAATGAATGGGAGGCGCAGTTTCTACCAAAACACTCGCTGCAGACAAACTACATGTCCTATTTGAAAAAAGTCTGGACCATGAGTGAGGGCACAAACACAGCTAGGATATATCCAAACGGCAAGTTGCTCCTCGTTACGGTGTTGCCGGGAGAGTGATGCGATTGAGCCATTGAGTGATGGGAAGGAAAAACTTGACTGTTTCTCCTGCCATGGGGGATGGGGGATGGGGGGGGGGGTGTGGATTCTTTTAAGAATGTGGATATTTGGGTCATCTTTGGCGCCCCCTAGAACGTAAACCGTGGGGTGCAGCGTCATGATTTTTACAACTTTGAATGGCCATGGGGTGTAGATTGGCCTGAGCAAATTTGGTGTCAGTGGGACGAAAGCCTTAGGAGGAGTTAGCCAAATTCCAATGTGTGCGGATCTGCAAAAAATGTGAAATAACCCTTTAACTGTACATTTTACATATACGTGGCTATTGACTTTTTCGAAGATCTTATTGAAATACACATGTATGTCAAATTTTGTGTCATTTTGACAAAGCGTACAGGCGTGACACTCTACAATGTGTATTTTCACCTTAGGGGACAAGAAAAAATGGACTTTTTTCTCCTGCCATGGGGGGGCGCTCTTTTGGGGAGTAAAAATTCCTTCACAAATGTGTTGATGGCTGGACATTGCATCATCCTAGAAAACTTGGAGGCCAGTGAGGACAAAAATAAAAAGTTATTAGACTTTTAAGAATGTGGATTTTTGGGTTATCTTTGGCGCCCCCTAGAATGTAAACCGTGGGGTGCAGCATCATTATTTGTACAACTTTTAATGGCCATGGGGTGTAGATTGTCCTGAGCAAATTTGGTGCCGGTGGAACGAAAGCCTTCGGAGGAGTTAGCGAAATTCCAATGTGTGCGGATCGGCAAAAAATGCGAAATAGCCCTTTAACGGTACATTTGACAGATATGCCCACACTGACTTTTTTGTAGATCTTATTGAGATACACATGTGTGTCAAATTTTGTGTCATTTTGACAAAGCGTACAGGCGTCAGGTGAGTTTTCACCATAGGGGGCGCTATGGAGCCATTTTTCAATTTTTTGTTTGGGCGACTTCAGAATATCGAATTTTTCACCAGGCCCGGTCGTCCTGCCAAATTTCCTGAGTTTTCGCCAGTGGGAAGTGGGCCATTTTCCAGTTTAAAGCGGAGGAAAAATAACGAAAGAAGAATCCATCAGGAACAAGAGGGCTCTCGCAGCTGCTTAGAAGCTACGCTCGGGCCCTAATAAGAAGAAGAAGAAGAAGAACTAGGGCCCCGTTGGGGCACTGGCGGGCCCGAGCCGTGTCGCACCCCCCCCCCCCCCCCCCAACGCGCTGCCTCCCCGTCCCATTCGTGTCCTCTGGCCATCGCCCTCTCTGGTAACGCCCATCACTGCAAAGACCCTTTTCCTTCATCGGCGTTTGCTGTTCTTCCTGCCAGTGTGTGTTGCTTTCACTTACACTTGCCACAGCCAGCCTCGTGAGTGCCTAGCCTATTGGATATCACTGTCACCTACACAGGACAGTCATACTTTGTTTTTTAATTTCACATTAATTTCCATATTGTATAAACGACTGGAAAAAACTTGAGCCCCTGCCCCTGTATTATCATGTGCACGTCCCTGTTCTAGCTCCAAGGTGAATCTTCACTGCTCATGTTCTCCTCAGAAGCAGTCACCTCACTCCCCTCAGGTTACTGTACACATGCACCAACTGCCTGCTTCAGGTTTGGATGGAGCTTCATGGTTGTCTTTTGGAGAAATGAGCAGTCAAGTTGTGTTTGAAATTTGATTTTTTTCAGGGGCAAAAGGAAGCCTCTGCATTCTTGTCAAATATGTAAATAGCATGTTTTTGCAGGTGCTAAAAAACAGACTCTGAGTGTGTGTGTGTGTGTGTGTGTGTGTGTGTGTGTGTGTGTGTGTGTGTGTGTGTGCGTGTGTGTCTGTGTGTGTGTGTGTGTGTATCCTGCAGTACTCTGAGAAGAATAATAAGCATATTTCTGAGGTGAATTTTGAAGATTCATCTGAGAGTTAGGTTTGATTCGATTCGATTGACGCTCCCCAGCGTTCAAGTCACATGACATATTTAACCGGATGTAGCTGCAAGACGGAGCCTCGTTAACTCTCCGTTTCAACTTATCTCAAAAGTGAGGACCTCAACCTATATACCAGTTTTTAAATTGTGTTGATAGGCCAAATAAAACCAGAGTTATGATAAATTATGTCCGCGATACTTTTTTTCTGCTTATTTTGATCACGTTCGGCGCTCGATTGCGCTGTATGAGACAGGAAAACATAGCATGCAGACATTAGCGACAGGTCTTACAGGCGGAAAAGGCTTGCCAAAAGAAAAAAAAAAACACCACAACATCTCTCCTATTGGTGGAAAACTTCACCACAACAACCAATCCAAAATTATATGGTGACTGATTGACAAGGGGCGGGCGCTTACGTTCTTCCTGCAATATGAGAAGGGAGGGAGGGACTCTCAGCAGGGATGCAGTCTGGGACACGTAGTTGCAAACCTAGCGACTGTGTTGTTAGATTCAATGACTTTTCAGACCCCCTAACGACTTTTTTTTAGAAAGAAAGGGACTTTTATCGACTTCTTCTGGAGTTTAGAGACTCTGACATGAAGCAGGCTTTCCTTACTGAGGAGTTAGCAACGCTGCTAAGGGTGCAGAGCCACACATGCGCTCCGAGCTCTGCATGGGAGACTGAAGCTGACAGAGCTGCAGCAGTTAGCAGGTTTCACCCTCAGAGACCACCAGGGGTTCATGTTGAGGCATTTTCAGTTTTTGTTTTTTTTTGCCATAGACTGTCAGCACAATCTGCAGTTACACTAACAAAAATGCTGCAAAAAACAAAGAATTATGGAAAAATTACACATGGACTGACATAGAGGAGGATCTACACAAGTTTTTTACATCATGTTTTACATCATGCATCATTTACATCATGTTTTTTTGTAGTGGCATAAATAAAAAGTGACATTTGTGAGACTATACAGTGTTTTGTAAATAATTTTACAAAGAACGCCTGGGCCATTGCCTGCATTTTGATGTAAATAGAGGTAAATTACTATGTTCTTTGTTAAAAATTTGCATATGTTTTGAAGTTTACAATTTTTATTTGAAGTTTAAGTTTTAAAAACAGTTCATCACACATATTTGTGTTTTAATTTCACATTAATTTCCATATTGTATAAATGACTGGAAAAATCTTGAGCCCCTGCCCCTGTATTATCATGTGCACGTCCCTGTTCTAGCTCCAAGGTGAATCTTCACTGCTCATGTTCTCCTCAGAAATAGTCACCTCACTCCCCTCAGGTTACTGTACACATGCACCAACTATCTGCTTCAGGTTTGGATGGAGCTTCATGGTTGTCTTTTGGAGAAATGAACAGTCAAGTTGTGTTTGAAATCTGATTTTTTTCAGGGGCAAAAGGAAGCCTCTGCATTCTTGTCAAATATGTAAACAGCATGTTTTTGCAGGTGCTAAAAAACAGACTCTGAGTGTGTGTGTGTGTGTGTGTGTGTGTGTGTGTGTGTGTGTGTGTGTGTGTGTGTGTGTGTGTGTGTGTGTATCCTGCAGTACTCTGTACTCCTGCAGTGGCCAAAAAGACTTTTAAGAATGTGGATTTTTGGGTCATCTTTGGCGCCCCCTAGAACTGCAGTACTCTGTACTCCTGCAGTGGCCAAAATGACTTTTAAGAATGTGGATTTTTGGGTCATCTTTGGCGCCCCCTAGAACGTAAACCGTGGGGTGCAGCGTCATGATTTTTACAACTTTGAATGGCCATGGGATGTAGATCGGCCTGAGCAAATTTGGTGTTGGTGGGACGAAAGCCTTAGGAGGAGTTAGCGAAATTCCAATGTGTGCGGATCGGGAAAAAATGCGAAATAGCCCTTTAACCATACATTATACAGATACGCGCTCTTTGACTTTTTCGTAGATCTTATTGAGATACACGTGATTGTCAAATTTTGTGTCAATATGACAAAGCGTTCAGGCGTGACACTCTACAATGTGTATTTTCATGTTAGGGGACAAGAAAAAATGGACTTTTTTCACCTGCCATGGGGGGGCGCTCTTTTGGGGAGTAAAAATTCCTTCACAAATGTGTTGATGGCTGGACATTGCATCATCCTAGAAAACTTGGAGGCCAGTGAGGACAAAAATAAAAAGTTATAAGACTTTTAAGAATGTGGATTTTTGGGTTATCTTTGGCGCCCCCTAGAACGTAAACCGTGGGGTGCAGCGTCATGATTTGTACAACTTTTAATGGCCATGGGGTGTAGATTGGCCTGAGCAAATTTGGTGCCGGTGGAACGAAAGCCTTCGGAGGAGTTAGCGAAATTCCAATGTGTGCGGATCGGCAAAAAATGCAAAATAGCCCTTTAACGGTACATTTGACAGATACGCCCGCACTGACTTTTTTGTAGATCGTATTGAGATACACATGTGTGTCAAATTTTGTGTCAATTTGACAAAGCGTACAGGCGTCAGGTGAATTTTCACCATAGGGGGCGCTATGGAGCCATTTTTCATTTTTTTGTTTGGGCGACTTCAGAATATCAAATTTTTCACCAGGCCCGGTCGTCCTGCCAAATTTCCTGAGTTTTCGCCAGTGGGAAGTGGGCCATTTTCCAGTTTAAAGCGGAGGAAAAATAACGAAAGAAGAATCCATCAGGAACAAGAGGGCTCTCGCAGCTGCTTAGCAGCTACGCTCGGGCCCTAAAAAGTGACATTTGTGAGACTATACAGTGTTTTGTAAATAATTTTACAAAGAACGCCTGGGCCATTGCCTGCATTTTGATGTAAATAGAGGTAAATTACTATGTTCTTTGTTAAAAATTTGCATATGTTTTGAAGTTTACAATTTTTATTTGAAGTTTAAGTTTTAAAAACAGTTCATCACACATATTTGTGGTTTAATTTCACATTAATTTCCATATTGTATAAATGACTGGAAAAAACTTGAGCCCCTGCCCCTGTATAATCATGTGCACGTCCCTGTTCTAGCTCCAAGGTGAATCGTCACTGCTCATGTTCTCCTCAGAAATAGTCACCTCACTCCCCTCAGGTTACTGTACACATGCACCAACTATCTGCTTCAGGTTTGGATGGAGCTTCATGGTTGTCTTTTGGAGAAATGAACAGTCAAGTTGTGTTTGAAATCTGATTTTTTTCAGGGGGAAAAGGAAGCCTCTGCATTGTTGTCAAATATGTAAATAGCATGTTTTTGCAGGTGCTAAAAAACAGACTCTGAGTGTGTGTGTGTGTGTGTGTGTGTGTGTGTGTGTGTGTGTGTGTGTGTGTATGTGTGTGTATCCTGCAGTACTCTGTACTCCTGCAGTGGCCAAAAAGACTTTTAAGAATGTGGATTTTTGGGTCATCTTTGGCGCCCCCTAGAACTGCAGTACTCTGTACTCCTGCAGTGGCCAAAATGACTTTTAAGAATGTGGATTTTTGGGTCATCTTTGGCGCCCCCTAGAACGTAAACCGTGGGGTGCAGCGTCATGATTTTTACAACTTTGAATGGCCATGGGGTGTAGATTGCCCTGAGCAAATTTGGTATTGGTGGGACGAAAGCCTTAGGAGGGGATAGCCACATTCCAATGTGTGCGAATCGGCAAAAAATGCGAAATAGCCCTTTAACCGTACATTATACAGATACGCGCTTTTTGACTTTTTCGTAGATCTAATTGAGATACACATGATTGTCAATTTTTGTGTCAATATGACAAAGCGTTCAGGCGTGACACTCAACAATGTGTGTTTTCATGTAAGGGGACAAGAAAAAATTGACTTTTTTCTCCTGCCATGGGGGGGCGCTCTTTTGGGGAGTAAAAATTCCTTCACAAATGTGTTGATGGCTGGACATTGCATCATCCTAGAAAACTTGGAGGGCAGTGAGGACAAAAATAAAAAGTTATAAGACTTTTAAGAATGTGGATTTTGGGTTATCTTTGGCGCCCCCTAGAACCTAAACCGTGGGGTGCAGCGTCATGATTTGTACAACTTTTAATGGCCATGGGGGGTAGATTGGCCTGCGCAAATGTGGTGCCGGTCGAACGAAAGCCTTCGGAGGAGTTAGCGAAATTCCAATGTGTGCAGATCTGCAAAAAATGCAAAATAACCCATTAACCGTACATTTGACAGATACGCCCGCACTGACTTTTTTGTAGATCTTATTGAGATACATGTGTGTGTCAATTTTTGTGTCAATATGACAAAGCGTACAGCCGTCATGTGAATTTTCACCTTAGGGGGCGCTATGGAGCCATTTTGCATTTTATTGTTTGGGCGACTTCAGAATATCGAATTTTTCACCAGGCCCGGTCGTCCTGCCAAATTTCCTGAGTTTTCGCCAGTGGGAAGTGGGCCATTTTCCAGTTTAAAGCGGAGGAAAAATAATAACGAAAGAAGGAAACATGCAGGAACAAGAGGGCTCTCGCAGCTGCTTAGCAGCTACGCTCGGGCCCTAAAGAAGAATCCATCAGGAATAATAGGGCTCTCGCAGCTGCTTAGCAGCTACGCTCGGGCCCTAAAGAAGAAGAAGATGGGTTTGAGGCAGTCCACTAGATGGCGCCAACGTGAAACTCTGTTTAGATCAGCAGACTTTAATAGTGAACGAGTTTCATCTGTTTTTGTATTTAATTCTGTTCAATATCAAAAATATTGACTACAAAACAGTTTTCAAACACCGCTATTTGGTTTCAGTTAAAGTGAAAAAAAAAAAAAAATTTAATGAAAAACAACAATTTTGTTAAATGAAAAATATGAAATAAAATGCACAAACATTTTTAAACCAAAAAAATATATATTGTGAAACAAAAATGAATGTAATTGACCCACAAACATAAGAAAAGCACAAAAAGGACAATATTTAGTCTCAATATTTGTTCGGCAGCAAACAGACAGACAATAGAGAAGGTAGCTCTCCTGCCACAGGTGCTTTATATAGGAGGGGAGGGAAAAGGGGGAGGAGCTGATCTAGTTTTGGAGAGACTGAACAGCATGCAGCCTCCAAAGAGAGAGATTCAGAGAAAACACTGGAGGGATTAAACCCCCTCCTCTTCATCCACTCGTCTTGGGGCGAGCCGTGACTTTTTGTCATTTCTTCCCTTTTTTCCTTAAATGTTTTGATTCTCTAGTTTTGACCTCTCTGGATCGTTGAATTCCCAAATATCTCATTTTTTACAGGGATTGACTCAAGTTCATTATCATTGCAGTCGTGAAGTGGAAACAGTTCACATTTTTGAAGACAAAGACCTGATGCCCGAGAGAAAACCCAGAGGACTTCTAAAGCTTTCCTGAGGACTGATTTATTTTTCAAAACAATGACAGTATCATCAGCAAACTGACTTATTTCAAATCCAGTATCAAACATTTTCATTGATTATTTGTTATGAGAGAAGCCATTAATTTTATGCAGAGAATAATAATAATTATTATTATTATTAGCAATTTCAATCGACAAAGTAAACAGGTAAGTCCATATTGTAAAAAAACAGAAAAGAGAAAAAAAAGGGGAAAAAATAGAAGAAAGAACATCGTTAGGGGAAACAAATTACAGGCACACCATATAGAATCTATAGACAGATATTAAACAAAGTGCAGGCTGTAATATGATATAATATTGTATTTAATAATATGTAATAGTTTATATTAATACACATAACACTGTTTTTAATTATTAGAAGATGTTCATTGGTGGCGAAAACGTTCAGGATTGTTGCTCCATGTTAATGTGTGACAGATTTAACAGTAGAGCTGTAGTAACGCGACATATCCACAGGAGGGCAGCAAACATCCGGGGTCTATGAAGCCGACATGAGCGCTGACTGTACGGTGAACTGTTCATGTAAAATAACTGAATCATGATCAACAGAAATAATCAAATTAAATGTAAAAACCTCAGAGACTCACTTACATGATCGACACTTCGAGTTAATATGGAGCTAAAACAATAAAACACGGAGAAAAAAAGGAGACAAGTGTTGGTATTAGATATTCTGGTCCACACTCCTAACCAGCAGGTGGCGGAAATGCTCCATTTCGTTGTTTACCAAGCGCCAATCAAACTCAAGAAGAAGAAGAAGAGGTTAACGGTAAATCCTTTTATTGTTGTAAATCTGTGTTTTTCGGTGTTTATTAGTGACCAAAGACTGGATCTGTGTCTTATGTTTCAGTGATTTAAAATAACACTTTAACAGACAAACAAACGAACGACGTACGAACGTCCTCCTGTGTGTGAGAGAGATATTATGTTGCTCTAAATTGAACAGATTTCTGTAAGAAATCCGGGAACATCCAGGGGGTGCTGTTGTGTCGTTCACGAACGATTCGTTCAAAAGAACCAAATCTTTAAGTGAACGTACTGAACTGAATCACTTCCTCTAGTGATTTGTTCGTTTCTCACTTGAGTTGAGCTGTCAGCAGGGTAGATGCTAACGCAGAGTGAGGGAATCACTCGGTAAACATTGAACTTCACTCTCTGGAATCATTTTTGTCCGACAGAACTACCTTTTTTAAATTTTTTACTGCTAAATTTTCAACACGACAACTTTTGTACAATAGGACACAGCATGGAACAAAGTCGTCCATTAAATCCACAGCAGCCTATCACTGCAGCGGTTTGTGAGGGAACGGTTCATGTTCAGTGTGAACGAATCACTGAGTCCAGACCTGATAAATAACATACCATAGGACACTTCAAAATATCGTGGCCAAAAAAAGCTGTAGTATACTTTATGCTTTATTTGAAAAGGACTTCATCTCTGTTTGTAGTTTCTCACTCCAGACTTGAAGTGGAAAAGAATCTGGTGCCTTCCTTCTAAATTTCTGATTATAAACAAGATTAATAAAGTTTCTTCTAAAACGATCCGCAGGATTTATCCCGGCTCATTATTTTGACATAGAGAGAAAAAAGACATGAATGTGGACTGTTCAGAAGATCGTGATCATCTGTTCTGCTCCTGTCCCTTTTCATCTGTTTTCAGGCGAGATGTTTGTACATTTATTTCCCAGAATATCTTGTCTGGTGTGTCTCTTACTTGTGTGAATGTGCTGTTTGGGTTCCACTCCTATCCTGCGAACAACAAACATCATTACTATATCATCAACTTGCTTGTTCGACTTGCTAAATACCAGATTCACTGATCACAATCCATCATTTTTAATTTTTGAGAAGGAACTCAAACAAAACTTCACGACTATCCGAGTTTCATCAAACGAAAAAGCTTTGATCAGTTATTGAACTGAACTAATAACAATTCATTGTTTTCTGTCGGAATACTGCGACCCCCTGAAATTATATCATTGTTCTTCGTTTTGATGTGATTCCTGACGTGTCGATAAAGTCTGGAGAAAAAGAAAAAAAAGCTTAAATCGGGGACATTTCTGCGGACATCTTTAGCCGGGGACAGGTCATCCAAAACGGGGACTGTCACTGGAGATCAGGGGCGTCTGCTCAGCTTCTGTTACGCTCACAGACTCCTCTTTTTATTGTAACTGTGATAAAGTGATGCAGAAGATAGCTGTTCATTTATGCCTTCACAGAGAAATATCAACATGTCTGTCAGATTTAACATGTCTGTATATTTAGTATTTATCACAGTTTACTGTCTGCTTCAAAAAACCCTCATGACTCCATGATTCCACATACTAATGTATGCTACATCAAATTTATTAGACAGGATCTATTTTTGGATTAAACACGTGTTTTAGTACATAAAAGGATAACTTAAGCATGATTAATCAAGATTAAATCGACATGAAATAGGATGAATATGTGCCATAATCCACACCAACACACTGGGAGTGATTTAGTTTCCCTGCTTTGCGTCAGTTTCCAGCAGAGTTTCTTTGACTGTGTGAATATATCGTCTTTGTACACGGGAAGGGAATAAAGCAGCTTCAGTGAGGACGTCTCAGACCTGTCAATCACATATTTATGATATTAGATAATATTATATCAAATAATATCAAATATACAAATGACAGTATATCAGCACGTTTCTGGACATATCTAAGTACAAACATAAATGGATTTTGTTTACAATCTTTGTCAAGTTTCTGCTCTTTTTAACCAAACTTCTCAGGTTTTATTTGACTGCAACATCAATGAGCTAAATGTCAATGCTGCTTCCACTGAACCCTGGAGTCCTCAGGAACCAGCAAAAGTTTTGTCCACAGGAGGGCGCCACAATCAGCAAAAGCCAAAAGTTACCCACAGGAGCCTTAAAAGCTCAAACTGAGTAACAGGAGATACAGGTGCAGCTCAAAAACTTTAAATGTCCTGAAGAAGTTCTGTTTTTCTCCTTTAATTCAATTCAGGAGGTGAAATGAAATAAGAAAAGTGTCTACAGCTGGTTAAAGTTGATCAGGACAAGCAGCGATGGTGCTTTAACATGTTTTTGTCAAACATTTTGAAGTTTTTACAAACTAAATTCGACTCAAACCGGAAGTTAAATCTTATTAACACATCATTCTCTACAGGGTCTCCATTTATTGAAGCACAACCACATATCATTGATTTCACCAATGATGAAAACCATGAATCATTTTTCACTGTTTATCTCCCCCCCCCAGGCCGCCTGAATACGTCCAAGTCTTGCATAAGAAGACTACAGTAAAAGAGCTGCTCATGATGAAACCCCAGGTGAGTCTCAGGTGGAACAAGTACCGACACATGAGAGAGGTTCATGAGTACAGCAGGACATGTAGGCTGTGTCTCATTTCACAGACCGCATCGACCTAAGTGCCCTTCTGCACCGTCGAACGGTGCATTTGAAGCGTGCATGACGTCACGACGGTGCGAACGGTGTCCCATTTGGCACGAGATGCTAAAAAATGCTAAGCGCGCTTAGCATGTTTTCAAGCGTGGATTTATGCGCGCTTTCGTGCCGTCGGTATCCCAGAATGCTTTGCGTGCCGCTGCACAGCTGCGCATTTCAGGTGAGAGGCTGGACTCGCTTGGAGACACAGCGCGTCTTCAAAGAAAATACAAGAAATCCAAAACCATCAGACAGTCAGCTCAGGCTGTATGAGAGCATGATCTCTGAACTCACTAAAATCTGTTAACCAAACATTATAGATTTAGAGACGAACTGATCCGCTGTGTTACAACTATCAAAAACATTAGAAATGAGAAAGCTGACAAAACTACAGCAGAGGATCAGGACAACATTGAGGTTTTTTTCTTTTAAGATTTAGAGATTAAAGTTGTAAATTTAGGAGAATAAAGTCATAAAGTAAATAAAGTCATAAAGCTGCTTTTGTGGAGGGGGAAATGACTGAAGCTGGTCATCTGCAGGGTTATCTGTGGATGTATCAGCGGGTCATTCAGAGAGATTTTGTGGTTTCTGAAGAAACAATCAAACTGATGATGATCAACATTTGTGATCCAGAGGGAGTCGAGCTCCGACGAGCACCACGTCTCTGACACCGGCCGTAGCCTACACCTGCAGAGACACCAACACCTTATTATGGCATATGGATTCATATCATAAATTACAGCTCAATGTCATTCACGGATATTTACGGCTGCATTGACAGATATATCCTCAGCATATTCATTTCTGCCTCCACAAAAGCAGCGATTTCCTTCAAGTACACCAGTTTTTTTCCCCGTGGAAAAGACGTATTTCTCATATATTCTTTTTTAATTTTTTTTTTCTTTATACTTATGACAATGTGATGCTGATGTGCCAGAGGATGAAGTATCTCCTATCCTCCTTCTCAATAGGGCCCTCATACTCCTTCATACAAAACAATCATTGGATTAATTTTGTGGGAATGATCTGTGCTTGTATGTATCTACTATTTTGTGTCTGTGCAAGGTCGCACAATTAAAACAATACATGCTGCGCTCCGCAGCTTTTTTTCTAATCAGTCGTGACGTAAGCCTGAGGGCGGGGACATTTGGAGACCTTCGGAGGACTTCCTGGTGGAGTTGCCAAATGTCCCCGCCCTCAGGCTCGCGTCACGACTGACTTAAAGGAAACCCGCGGAGCGCAGCATTTATTGTTTTAATTGTGCGACCTTGCACAGACACAAAATAGTAGATACATACAAGCACAATTCATCCAATGATTGTTTTGTAAGAAGGAGTATGAGGGCCATATTGAGATTTAAGACTTTAAGGACTTCGAGATTTAAGTCGTGAATTTACGAGAATAAAGTCATTAATTTATGAGAATGAAGTCATAACCTGTTATTTCAGAGAGACTTGTTAAAATTAGGGCCATGAAGCATTTGAAGGAACTGTGCTTCAGTATAGGTTTCACAAACAAGGAGATTCTTCATCCTCTGGCACATCAGCATAACATTGTCATAAGTATAAAGACTTTAAAAAGAATATATGAGAAATACGTCTTTTCCACAGGGAAAAAAACTGGTGTACTTGAAGGAAATCGCTGCTTTTGTGGAGGCAGAAATGAATATGCTGAGGATATATCTGTCAATGCAGCCGTAAATATCCGTGAATGACATTGAGCTTTAATTTATGATATGAATCCATATGCCGTAATAAGGTGTTGGTGTCTCTGCAGGTGTAGGCTACCGCCGGTGTCAGAGACGTGGTGCTCGTCGGAGCTCGACTCCCTCTGGATCACAAATGTTGATCATCATCAGTTTGATTGTTTCTTCAGAAACCACAAAATCTCTCTGAATGACCCGCTGATACATCCACAGATAACCCTGCAGATGACCAGCTTCAGTCATTTCCCCCTCCGCAAAAGCAGCTTTATGACTTTATTTACTTTATGATTTTATTCTCCTAAATTTACAACTTTAATCTCTAAATCTTAAAAGAAAAAAAAACCTCAATGTTGTCCTGATACTCTGCTGTAGTTTTGTCAGCTTTCTCATTTCTAATGTTTTTGATAGTTGTAACACAGCGGATCAGTTCGTCTCTAAATCTATAATGTTTGGTTTACAGATTTTAGTGAGTTCAGAGATCATGCTCTCATACAGCCTGAGATGACAGTCTGCTGGTTTTGGATTGCTTGTATTTTCTTCGAAGACGCGCTGTGTCTCCAAGCGAGTCCAGCCTCTCACCTGAAATGCACAGCTGTGCAGCGGCACGCAAAGAATTCTGGGATACCGACGGCACGAAAGCGTGCATACATGCACGCTTGAAAACGAGGCGGGGGTAGTGTGGTTTTGAGACCGAATTTGAAGCGCGCTTAGTATTTTGTGCCAAACGGGACACCGTTCGTGCCGCGTGGTGACCTCACGTACGCGTCAGATGCGCCGTTCGATGGCTGCTGTATCTGAAATGGGACACAGGAAGGGCACAGAACGGCGCAAAACGGCGTAAAACGGCTCAAAACGGCAGTGCACTCAGCTAAGCGCCGTTAAGCGCGCTTATCACGATGCGGTCTCTGAAATGAGACACAGCCGTAGACACACCAACACTCTCAAACACTTGGCTCGCACTGCTCCCTCTGGGCACATTCAGCAGCATCTTCAGGCCATCATGATATCCCACCTTGGCTGTGTCTCATTTCAGAGACCGCATCGACCTAAGTGTCCTTCTGCACCGTCGAACGGTGCATTTGAAGTGTGCATGACGTCACGACGGTGCGAACGGTGTCCCGTTTGGCACGAGATGCTAAAAAATGCTAAGCGCGCTTAGCATGTTTTCAAGCGTGCATTTATCCACGCTTTCGTGCCGTCGGTATCCCAGAATCCTTTGCGTGCCGCTGCACAGCTGCGCATTTCAGGTGAGAGGCTGGACTCGCTTGGAGACGCAGCGCGTCTTCAAAGAAATTACAAGCAATCCAAAAACAGCAGACAGTCAGCTCAGGCTGTATGAGAGCATGATCTCTGAACTCACTAAAATCTGTAAACCAAACATTATAGATTTAGAGACGAACTGATCCGCTCTGCTTCAACTATCAAAAACATTAGAAATGAGAAAGCTGACAAAACTACAGCAGAGTATCAGGACAACATTGAGGTTTTTTTTTTTTTTTAAGATTTAGAGATTAAAGTTGTAAATTTAGGAGAATAAACTCATAAAGTAAATAAAGTCATAAAGCTGCTTTTGTGGAGGGGGAAATGACTGAAGCTGGTCATCTGCAGGGTTATCTGTGGATGTATCAGCGGGTCATTCAGAGAGATTTTGTGGTTTCTGAAGAAACAATCAAACTGATGATGATCAACATTTGTGATCCAGAGGGAGTCGAGCTCCGACGAGCACCACGTCTCTGACACCGGCCGTAGCCTACACCTGCAGAGACACCAACACCTTATTATGGCATATGGATTCATATCATAAATTAAAGCTCAATGTCATTCACGGATATTTACGGCTGCATTGACAGATATATCCTCAGCATATTCATTTCTGCCTCCACAAAAGCAGCGATTTCCTTCAAGTACACCAGTTTTTTTCCCCGTGGAAAAGACGTATTTCTCATATATTCTTTTTTTAAAGTCTTTATAGTTATGACAATGTGATGCTGATGTGCCAGAGGATGAAGTATCTCCTATCCTCCTTCTCAATAGGGCCCTCATACTCCTTCATACAAAACAATCATTGGATTAATTTTGTGGGAATGATCTGTGCTTGTATGTATCTACTATTTTGTGTCTGTGCAAGGTCGCACAATTAAAACAATACATGCTGCGCTCCGCAGCTTTTTTCTAATCAGTCGTGACGTAAGCCTGAGGGCGGGGACATTTGGAGACCTTCGGAGGACTTCCTGGTGGAGTTGCCAAATGTCCCCGCCCTCAGGCTCGCGTCACGACTGACTTAAAGGAAACCCGCGGAGCGCAGCATTTATTGTTTTAATTGTGCAACCTTGCACAGACACAAAATAGTAGATACATACAAGCACAATTCATCCAATGATTGTTTTGTAAGAAGGAGTATGAGGGCCATATTGAGATTTAAGACTTTAAGGACTTCGAGATTTAAGTCGTGAATTTACGAGAATAAAGTCATTAATTTATGAGAATGAAGTCATAACCTGTTATTTCAGAGAGACTTGTTAAAATTAGGGCCATGAAGCATTTGAAGGAACTGTGCTTCAGTATAGGTTTCACAAACAAGGAGATTCTTCATCCTCTGGCACATCAGCATAACATTGTCATAAGTATAAAGACTTTAAAAAGAATATATGAGAAATACGTCTTTTCCACGGGGGAAAAATATTGGTGTACTTGAAGGAAATCGCTGCTTTTGTGGAGACAGAAATGAATATGCTGAGGATATACCTGTCAATGCAGCCGTTAATATCCGTGAATGACATTGAGCTTTAATTTATGATATGAATCCATATGCCGTAATAAGGTGTTGGTGTCTCTGCAGGTGTAGGCTACGGCCGGTGTCAGAGACGTGGTGCTCGTCGGAGCTCGACTCCCTCTGGATCACAAATGTTGATCATCATCAGTTTGATTGTTTCTTCAGAAACCACAAAATCTCTCTTAATGACCCGCTGATACATCCACAGATAACCCTGCAGATGACCAGCTTCAGTCATTTCCCCCTCCACAAAAGCAGCTTTATGACTTTATTTACTTTATGACTTTATTCTCCTAAATTTACAACTTTAATCTCTAAATCTTAAAAGAAAAAAAAAACCTCAATGTTGTCCTGATACTCTGCTGTAGTTTTGTCAGCTTTCTCATTTCTAATGTTTTTGATAGTTGTAACACAGCGGATCAGTTTGTCTCTAAATCTATAATGTTTGGTTTACAGATTTTAGTGAGTTCAGAGATCATGCTCTCATACAGCCTGAGCTGACTGTCTGATGGTTTTGGATTGCTTGTATTTTCTTCGAAGACGCGCTGTGTCTCCAAGCGAGTCCAGCCTCTCACCTGAAATGCACAGCTGTGCAGCGGCACGCAAAGAATTCTGGGATACCGACGGCACGAAAGCGTGCATACATGCACGCTTGAAAACGAGGCGGGGGTAGTGTGGTTTTGAGACCGAATTTGAAGCGCGCTTAGTATTTTGTGCCAAACGGGACACCGTTCGTGCCGCGTGGTGACCTCACGTACGCGTCAGATGCGCCGTTCGATGGCTGCTGTATCTGAAATGGGACACAGGAAGGGCACAGAACGGCGCAAAACGGCGTAAAACGGCTCAAAACGGCAGTGCACTCAGCTAAGCGCTGTTAAGCGCGCTTATCACGATGCGGTCTCTGAAATGAGACACAGCCCTTGAGTCTCTGCACAGAGCTCCTTTTGTAGTGCCGCCACAAGAGGGCAGTATACGAACACTGGGGTGCAGAAAGTTTTAAAAAGAGTGATCTTCACGGACAGGTGATCAGTCAGAAGATGTCCTGAGTATTTGACTTCTTCACATGTTTTATGGACAGTAGCAGAGACTGAGAAGACAGGAAATGACCATTTATTGTCTATCATGACGTTGTTCTTTTTTCCATCAAATTTAAAATCAAAGTCAGAACCATATTAAGAACATATTCTGAGTAACTGTCAAAGTCCAGTCCAATCATACAGCCTGCTCAGCTGGTTGGATAACTCGTCCATATCAATATGAAAAAGACATGGAGATGAAATACTCCCCTGCCTAACTCCATATGTTGAATGGGGCAGATGTAAAGTCACCCCATTTCACAAACGCTTTCTGGTGAAAAATCAGGATTCTTATAAGAGACATGGGAACCCCTCGGTTTTGCAGTTTTGTATATTTTAATCATACAATACTGTGACATTTTTATCATACTATACTATAACCTTTTTAAACATACTATACTATGATATTTTTTAACATACTATACTATGACATTTTAATCACACAATCCTATGAATTTTTTTTTCATACAAAAACATGACATTTTTTATGATACTATACTATGACATTATTTTAATACAAACAATTGAACTTTTTTTAATCAAACTGTACTATGACATTTTTTTCATATAAAAATTTGTAATTTTTTATCACACTGTACAAGGCTGTTTTTTAACATAATATTCCATAACATTTCTGAACATACTATACTATGACATTTTAATCATACTATACTATGACATTTTTTGTACAAAAATTCGAATTTTTTTCTATACTATACTCTGACATTCTTATCATTCTATACCATGATTTTTAATCATACAATACTCTGACATTTTTTTTATACTAAAATTTAAAATATTTTTATACTTTACGATGATGTTTCATTCATACTATACTTTGACATTTTTATACAAAAATTGGATATTTTTTCGTACTATACCTTGACATTTTTATCAAACTATACTATGACATTTAAATCAGTCTAGACTAAGACTACTTTTATTATATACTATGACATTTTAAACCTAATACTAGGACAGTTTTTTCATACAAAAATTGAAATATTTAATCATACTATACTATGACATTTTTTAACATATTATATTATGACATTTTAATCATACTTTATTTTGATATTTTTAACATACAAAAATTTGAAATATTTTATCATACTATATTATGACATTTTTTAACATGTTTTATTTTGACCTGTTTCTAAACTAAACTATGACATTTTTTTCATATAAAAATTTGTAATTTTTTATCACGCTGTTTTTTAAGAAAATATCCCATAACATTTCTGAACATACTATCCTATGACCTTTTTTGTACAAAAATTCGAATTTTTTCTATACTATACTCTGACATTCTTATCATTCTATACCATGATTTTTAATCATACAATACTCTGCCTTTTATTTTCATACTAAAATTTAAAATATTTTTATACTTTACGATGACATTTCATTCATACTATACTTTGACATTTTATACAAAAATTTGATATTTTTTCTTACTATACTTTGACATTTAATTATACTATACTATGACATGTTTTCATACAAAAAAGTAGTTTATCATGCTATACTATGACATTTTGTTACATTCTATACTATGAAATTTTTAAACATGCTATACTATGACATTTTTACGTAAAAAAATCTTATAATTCTTATCATAGTATACTGATATTTTAATCATGCTGTACTTTAAAATTTTTCAATATTGGTAATCATGGTAATCTATGAACTTTTAATCATACTATACTATGACATTTTTATCAAACTATACTATGACATTTTTATCATACTATTCTGTGACATTTTTATCATACTATTCTGTGACATTTTTATCATTCAAAAATTTGAACTTTTTATCACACTATACTATGATGTTTTTTAAAACATTATACCATGACATTTTCGACATACTATACTATGACATTTTTCACAAACTATACAATAACATTGTAATCATACTAGACTATAACAATTTTATCATACTATACTATAACATTTTTAACATACTATACGATGACATTTTAATCATACTATACTAGGATTTTTTTTTCACACAAAGAATTGACATTTTTTATTCTACTTTGCAATGACATTTTTTAAGCACTATACTATGACATTTTTTTCATATAAAGATTAGAACTTTTTATCACACTATACTATGATTTTTTTTAGCATACTATATTCTAACATTTTTAACATACTGTACTACAACATTTAAATGAATCTATACTATGACATCTTTTATTATATACTATGACATTTTAAACCTATAATACTAGGACACTTTTTTCAAACAAAAATTGAAATATGTAATCATACTATAGTATGATATTTTTAAAATATTATAGTATGACATTTTTTAACATATTTTATTCTGACCTGTTTCTAAACTAAACTATGACATTTCTTTTCATACAGAAATTTCAAAAATCTTAACACACTAAACTATAACCTTTTTTCTTCAAATTTTTAATTATTGTATCATGCTAATTGATGACATTTTAATCATACTTTGACATTTTTATCAAACTATACTGTGATATTTTTTAAATACTATACTATGACATTTTCATACCAAAATTTGAAATATTTTATCATGCTTTATAATGACATTTTGTAACATACTATACTATGACATTTTTTTTTCTTACCAAAATTCGAAATAAAATAAAAACAGTGCACTGGAAAATAGAACAGGATCTGTTTAATATCTGACAGGTATCGCATGGAAACAGCAGAGGGCAGCAATACGCCACGGATGCATCTAGTCTTCCAAAACCAAAGAAGAAGAAGTTTATAAATTCCCGGAAGTCACGTGAGAGAATCCTCACTTCATCGCGGCGTCTCCATCGGACAGTATCTCCTGCTGTCATTCCGAATTTAGTGAGTAACTGTTGTTTTTTAGCGTCGGAGGAACTCTGGAGGGCTGTTAATCCTTCAGCCGGAGTTGATTTTAGCCACTAAAACTCTCGTTTTGTCCGTAAATTTCTCGATAAAGTAGTTTGTGTCTGATTGTTGCAGCCTCTGTCCCGGTGACAGTGGAAGTCTGAGACGGTAAAAAGGCTAAAAAACATTTTAAAATGACTATTTAATGACCCCGTCGACATTTAAAAGGCTTAAAAACATTTAAAATGACTATTTAATGACCCCGTCAACATTTATAAGGCTTTAAAAACATTTAAAATGACTATTTAATGACCCCGTCGACATTTTAAAGGCTTTAAAAACATTTTAAAATGACTACTTAATGACCCCGTCGACATTTTAAAGGCTTTTAAATTGGCGGGTATTTAATCTCAAGGTTTTGTTTGTTAGCTCAAGTGCTGATTGGCTGTTTAATCCGGATCACCTGGCGCCATTAGAACCTGTAGTTTTATTGATACTTTGATCCGATAATTGATCCTGCTCTGAAATCCTCTAAATGTATTTCACTCTCCGTTATTTGATTTTAAAACTTTAAACAAAAGAGAGTATTACTGATATTTTTAACCATCTTTGATGTAATGTCAGTATTATTTGTAACTGTTTAAGAGTGTCTTTGCTCAGAAGAACCAATAAAAACATCAGGCCTGGTACTTTTGAAAACTTTAATCAAGTTATATCCAAACTGACCACCAGGCGGCGCCTTTTCTGGATTATGCCTTTTACTTAATGTAACTGGGTCCTGAACTCCAGATCCTCATGTCTTCTTTTCCTTGTTTGATCCTCAGGTGTCTGCAGGAGGACTGGAGACTCGGTGGAGACCTGCAGAGGACGAGTCCTGGTGTTGGCTCAGCTCCTTCAGGGTCCCTGATGGCTCTGTCGATGTTTTCAGCAGTGTTGGTGTTCATTTATGTAAAGCTACGGCTGCTTTTGTGTTTTTATTCAGCAGATCTGTAGAAAAACACAACAGCAGCTTTAGCGTTACATAAATGAACACTACACCTGCTGAAAACATCGACAGAACCACCAGGAACCCTGAAGGGGTGGGGGGGTCCACAAGGTTCTAATAAAAACCAGAAAACCCTTAATACACTGTGTCTTTATTTTAATCAGCTTTATAAATGTGACCCTCTTGCTGTGTTTCTACTTAATAAAAGGAAGAGGTTTTATTTTGTGTGTGTTTTACGCTTTCAAAGCAAACGTCATCTTTTAAAGCACTTCAGTTTGTTTTAACCTTTAAAAAGAAGAAAAAGACAAGGTTCAATTTTACAGAGAAAGAAATCTTTATTTAAACAACCAATTCAGAAATCAGTGAAACAACTGAAGACCAGGGACACCAACACCAGGAACCGTCAGCTTCCAGCAACTGAAAAAAAAAAAATTAGTGGACTCAGTCAAGAGAAATAACAAACCTAAAATAATGTTAAATTACAATTAAATAATAAAAACGACCCAGAATCCATAATGGACTTTATGCACAGCTCCTCTACCTCCTGAACTTGAAGCAGCTTTTTCATTTTCTGTCTTGATTATTGGACAAACTGATTAATCCAGGTGTGTCTGAGGAATCAATGATCAGACACACCTGGATCAATCAGTTTGTCCAATAATTAAGACAGAAAATAAAAGAGCTGCTTCAAGTTCAGGAGGTAGAGGAGCTGTGCGTAAAGTCCATTAATAGAAATAAACTAAAGATGTTCCCCACAAACTCCAGACAAAGAGATAAACCCCACACAGAAAAACAAACTACAGAACTAAAGTTAACCCCATAATGACCTCAACCACCCTCTAAAATCTGCAGCAGAGTTAGCAAACAGACGACCAGGGGCGGGAAAACCGCCAAGCAGCCCAGGAAGAGGCGAAGACACGACCCTGAGACAGAAAATTAACTCTGGTTAGTTTCAGAAGATGGAGGTACAGACTTGTTATACTGTCAGACGGCATACATACCGATCAGAACCACCGATCAGGAGCACCGATCAGAACCGCTTGAGAAACCCTAGAGGGACAGAAGGAACCGAGCACGTGTTAACTGTTCGGATGACTCCAGATCCACGGGGCCGTTAACACCGAGTCTGAAAACAAACGGAAACAAAGAAATCCGCGTGAGAAGTGACCTGTGAGCGGGTTCAGCAGACACCGCTGACTCACCTGCACAGGTGCTGGCGTGAGGAGAGGCGACCCGGAAGTGGATGGACAGGCCAGAGCAGGAGGAAGGGTAGGCTTCTCCTCCTCCCCCTTTTATAGAGTGTCCGCGTGAGTTAATTGACTGACAGGACCCCCGGTTTGGACCGGAGCAGCTCGGCTGAAGGAGGATTGCTGAGGTTCGATCAATAATTAGTCAATATCTACTGACAACAGGAAACCAGGACAGGGCTGTATCAATATAGTTCAACATGTTTGTAGAATCAGAGGTGATCGCACAGAAAGAAGCCGCAGACGTGTTCAAAGTTCGGAAGTTAGGAGGTTTTATTTTTATTTTAACAACAACAAATGACGGAGAACTGCGAGAAACTGGACTAAAGAGAAACATCTGAAGAAACAATTAAAGATAAAAAATAAAGAACAACATCCGAAGAAATAAATAGAGATAAAAAATAAAGAACATCTGATTTAACAAGACTCCGGTAGAGGGCAGAAAAAGGTCCTGCGGAGTCTACTCTGCCGGAAATAAAGAAGAAGAGGAAGAACGATTCTTCTTCTTCTTGTTTCCTTTTAATGGCGGATTGTAAGCACCGTTCAGGCGTTTACCGCCCCCTAGTGTCCATGAGAGTGTACCGTCATATCTCCACCTTTAAATTCTACCCTGCAGTTTAGAGTCTTGAAGAAAACTGAAGCACGCTTTCCTCCCATCTGAGATCTCTCCCCCTCTGATACAGACAGATTCTAACTGTTTTATTTTTTAATTTCACTTTAAAAGTGACCATAATTCTTCAGTTACAGTCAGTGGGTTAATAAAATCAAACTAAAGCAGAGCTGCTCTAACTCTGTCTCTTTAATGAATCATTATTATTGTTATTATATGTCCCCGTTTTCTCTCACTATTCCTTCGTTTTGTCGTTCAGAGCAGAAGGAGCAGCTCGAAACTTCGTCTTTATGATTTCTTCTCTTCTTTTCTTTCAAGTTTTCTGCTCCGACCGGTTCTTGGACGTCGTGGAGGAACGCTTCCGGGTTGAGGGGATTTCCTTCAGTGCAGAGTCAGCAGCGTTGACGGCGAAGCTCCGCCCCCCTGTGGGCGGAGGTCGTAACTGTGGGCACTCCAGTTGTAAACTCTGAAGAGGTGGTAAAGTGATTATTTCCCAGCTTTACATTATCCTATTAAAAAAACAGAAGCTCAGCCCTGAGTGCTGTGATTATTCTGTGATAATGTCACTTTGTTTTCAAATGTTATTTGTTCCTGATCCTGAGGAGACACGTAGAATTTTTTAAGTCCAGTAGCTATAAATCAGAGTCAAACAGGTTTATAGAACTTCCTCCACAGAGCATACAGTGTCTCGATAGTTCAGGGGTAGAGAAGAAGAGTAACACTGCAGAGGTCTCGAGTTCGAGTCCCGAAGGCGACTTAGTTCTTTTCAGAGCCTGAGTTATGACTATCCCAGAGTTCTGATCCACAAATGATCTGTGGTGTTACAATCAGAAACGGATCGTAGTTAAGAGGTAGTTCACTTATATCTTCATATCTTCGCTCCTAGACTTTAAAATTCGCGGTCTCCCCCGGGGCTCGAACCCCATCCTCCCGAGTCCCAGTCCGTTAAACTATCCTCTGACCCAGTGGGACAGAGAGACAAGAATGATCAGCATCCATCTATCGATGAATTCTGAAGTCAAAGTTCGAAGGTAAAAGAGCGCAGAGCTCGTGCATGTGTGGATGGTATATGGTGCGGGGGGAAGGTTTGCTACCAGCTCTCGAACATTAAGTTTAAAGTGATGAACTGATAATAAAAAGACACTTTATTGATGAATAATCAGGATTAGTTCTAATGAAGTTAATCCGATCATGGCTTCGTAGAGTAGTATCTCCTTTCTAGACACTGGACTTGAATATTTAACAGGACCTAAATAAGGATTTGAACCTTCAACCTCAGGAGTCTAAGTCAGTCTTTTCCCCCTATGAACCACAGAGACTCTGAAATCCTCCTTCTGGACTAAGATCCAGCATGTCTCCAACATATTTCCACTCTCTGGTTTTAGATTCACCGTCTTTTTGTCCATCCTCCATTAAATCTGTCACCTACAGATATTTAAGGAGGATTCACTTGTTTTTAAGGTGGTTTAAGTTAATGTTAGTGTCCTAGTCTGGTTAATGAAAATGACTTCAATCCTCTGTTAGCCTCTGTTCTACTCTGACTGTTAGAGAAAGGAGAGAAGAAAAGAGGACAACTCAGATATAAAGGAAAACAAACCAACAAGAAGAACATTAAAATACATTAAATTCACTAAAAGGGTCCATGGACAAACATAAAAACACACAGGTTTAACTTTTTTTTATTTGGGTTTATTTTAAGAAATAAATGAACTCAGAGTGTGATGGAGTTTGGCAACAACAACAAACTGACAGCTTTTCTGTCCATTTTCAGCTCAGAAACCGGTATTAAAAACAAAAATAGATGAAAATCGTTCACTATTAAAGTCTGCTGATCTAAACAGAGTTTCACGTTGGCGCCATCTAGTGGACTGCCTCAAACCCATCTTCTTCTTCTTCTTCTTCTTCTTCTTCTTCTTCTTCTTCTTCTTCTCCATCTAAAACTATCAAAGAGATTCTGTGTTTGTTCAGACAGAGTTTAGTTTGTTTCTCGATTGTCCATCTTTTGTTGTTCCGTCGCCATAATCAGCCTCTCTTCACGGTTCGTCCTCAAACAGCTGCAGAAATGTCACTCTGACTCCTGCTCCTTAGCGTCTCATCACAATCTTCATTAATCCATATGCAGTTACAGTTTTGGCCACCGGAGGGCGCCGAGGAGTCATGACAGTGCTATGAGGAAAAGTAAGACGTCTCACTCTGCTGCTGTTTTGATGGCTGAACAGCAGCTGAACTTTATGTTCCGGTTTCTGAGCTGAAAATGGACAAGAAAAGCTGTCAGTTTGTTGCTGCCAAACTCCATCACACTCACACAGTTAATTTATATGTTGTGACACTCAGATCAGTGTAAAAGAATGAAAGGACACCTCAGCATTTCTCCAGCCTTGCAGCCCACCTCCGCTCCTCTCCTCCAGGGATTTGTAACGTGGAGTTGGAGGGACGCTTAGCCGCGGATGCTATTAGCCTAGCTCCGGCATGAAATCAAGTTTCGAGGCGGGAGGTGAAGTGGAGGGATTTCCACACTGAACATTTATTCACACATACGAACCATACAAACAAAGAGCAAAGATGTTCGTGGATTGAAGCCTTCAACGGCGTCCATATTACTGAGGTCTTCTTCTTCTTCTTCGTTGGTTTTGGCAGAGGGCGGCATCTATCATAGACTGTCTAAACACTAGATGACTCATTCCAGTCTACAGTTGACCATAGATTGTTTAATTTTAAACTGATTTTTAGACAGTTTGGTTTGTTTCAAACCTCAGAGTTTTAGTTTTGTTCCTGAATACTCAAGAATAATTTTAACCTCAGATTTTCATAAATAAACAATAATTAGATAGGTAGAGCAATAGCTATAGGCCTACACACACAAGGTTGAATATTAAATCATTTATATATAAAACATTTAATCAGTCAGTGAATGTTATATGAGTAATATTTCTGTTAAAATTATAACTATAAAAACATATAACATCAACATATCTGTATTCATTTTCAATATAAATATCTTTCTCTTGTTGCCTTTCTGTATATCTGTTCTGTGAGATATCTATCTATATATACAGTATACATGTGTGTTTTTCTCCTTTTGCTTTAGTAACCCCTTTTCAGATTTCTGGATCAAAGTATAAGAGACGACCACCTGTTGTTTAGAAAACTAAATCTAGAATATCGTTGATGTCCTGCAGAAATCTCCTATCTTCATATTTGACCTTTTTTTGTTAGATGTGTGGATTTGTCCTCCACATACTTTGAATGAACAATAACCTTAGAGAGAATATCAGCAATAAAAACACATGAATCAACTGTGCTGCATGATTAAGTTTGTTTTTCTCAAAGAAAAGCTTCAATTTCAACATGTCCAAACACCTCAGAGCCACAATCACTCTGCTGTGAGACTAAAGTCTTCAAACCTGACGGGGATCACAGACTTTATCTTTGAGTCCAACAGGAAGTTTGATTTCCAAGAAAAGACGATCAAATCAAAGTTCCTGTTTAATAAAAACTAAGACCAACTAAACACACCGACTTTCCTTCACGCAGCGTCCTCCAGCCTCAGCTGAATCAAGGCTTTGAGTCTCTATGATCCACTACCGTATTGACCTGAATATAGGAGCACCCTGATGAGAAAACCTTCCTCCACTTTTCAGACTCACTTTGGGGACTTTTTAAAGACCAAATCTAGTTTTTGTTTGGATGAAAAATAATAATAATCAACTGGACACAGTGACTGAAACAAGCTGAGTTGATGTTTTTAACATGTTTTGGTTTAAATAAAGTTTTTATTGTCTTTAAATGACATTGTTACAGTGAAATGAAATCAAAAATGATCTGGTGTAAATGAAGAACCAACATAGAGTTACACAGACAGAGCATAGATCTATTGATACTAGATAAACTGAAGAGGACAGATCTGTTCACAATAGTTCTATGTTTAATGTTTCTCTGCTGTGATCAGACTGTGACATGAGCTGTCCTGACTTCTGATTGGATCTTTACAGGTCAGCTGACGGCAGATACAGCCTCTGATTGGCTAACAACAGAAATGACACTTTGTTACTGAGATTAATCCATAAACCATCAGATGATTTTCATTTTGGAGGGATGGGATCAGGAAGGTCTCTGAAAACACACCGATCTTCTCTGTGGGATAGAAAAGCTTTGGAGTGTCACAGAAACACAAACTGATCTCCTGAAAGCTGACGGTCTCACAAAGCCAGTGGATTTTACAGGAAGTCACTCCACTGTAGCATCAATTAATGAAGCTGAGATTGTAATCAACAACACTGAGTTTATAAAACAGCATCGACCACGTTAATGACTTCACCCTGAATAGATGCTGATCTCACTTTTTCCAGACTCCGGTCAATACGGTTATTTTTGTCTGTCAGAGGAAAACTTCTCCATCATAATCAAGTAAAAATAATGTTTTTGTTTTTGTTCAAGAATCTTTCCTTTGACTGATTATATTTCACACATTTTACTCTCAGGTCTCATTTATGGTTTAATAATTGTGTTTGTTCATCCAAACTGAAGGGAATCGATTATTGATTAGCACAAAGATGATCTGAAAACAAAAACATGAAAAGAAAAAGAAAATAATGTCTAATAATATAAAATAAGGTCAATTTACGTCCAATCAATATTTACAATCATTTCAGAAACTGAAGAAGAAAACGGATGAATAAAAATAATCAAGTGAAAGAATAAAGCTTCAGATTTTTGTTAAAACCCCAAACCCTGTCCTCCTCCTCCTCCTCCCTTCACCTCCATCTCTCCTCACTTCTCTTCCTCTCCCTTCAGTTTATATTCGGTCTCTAACGGTGCAAAGGAAAGAAAAAACCTTTGGGTTTAATCTGAACTTCTGACTGATCTACTCTCACACATGGTATCAACTCCTGCTGCAGAAATATGGGGGAATAAATCAACTCCACCTCTTTATATTTCCACTGGGTGGCGCTGCATCATGGTAAAAACAAAGTAATCCAATCAAAGTGTAAATTTATGATCATGTTTCCATCAACAAAACAAACCTGTTCAGACTGTTTGATCCCAGAATATGAGGGAAAAGATCAAATATCCAGAGTCCAGGTCCTGAGCTGATCTCAGAGCAGGTCAAAGTGCAGCTCCCAGAGTCCTCTCCGCCCGCTGTGATTGGTCAGTCAGTCTCTCAGTCAGAGACTCACCTCACCCTCACTGCTGCTGCCTCCACCTCTCTGATCGTCAGGAAACACATGATCCTCTTTCTAATCACAACTGCAGGGTTTTCTTCCATCTGAGGAGAGAAAAACAGACGATCAGTGTTTCCACTCTGAGACTCACTTCATCAGCTGGACTGAAGAACATCCAGTTTACAGACCAGCAGGTCTCAGTCCTGCTCAGACCAGAAGTGATGGTGTAAAGCAGCAGGTTTCCTCACAAATAAACCAACATCATCAAAATAAAGAAATCATTCCTGTCAAATGTGTTAAAGCTGATCGAACAAACCTGCTGTGAAAATAACAAGTATAAAGAACAGCTGTCTGTTTTCAGACTTAGAGCTCAAAATCAACAAGTTAGCAGAGAAATAAAGTCTGTGTTGAATACAGAGAACTATAAACTGGACTTCAGAGCAGAAACTGAACATTTCTGTTTCATTATGTCTCATTTCTACATTTGATCTGAAATATAGAGACGAGGAGACACTTTTTTCATCACTGACACTCTTACACTCCTGGTTTGATGATTTCTGTTCTCACAGCTTCACTAAAGAAAGAATCCTCTGAGAGGGTCGAAGAGTCAGCAGGAAATACTGAATATCTGCTGTGATACTGTGTGGAGAGGAACAGGAGAGATCAGCACAGACTAACTCCAACTCTATACTGACCCCAGAGTCTCCAGTCTGTAGTCTGGACTCTTCTGAAGATCACACAGCAGCTTCACGTCTGAATCCTGCAGATTGTTTCCATTCAGCCACAGATCTTTCAGATGGGAGGGGTTGGACTTCAGAGCTGAGGCCAGAGAAGAACAGCTGATCTTTGTCAAACTGCATTTATACAACCTAAATAAAGAGAAAATAATGAGATTTTAGAGAAAAATGATCCAGTTTGAAACCTGATGTCTTAAATCTGTCGAGTTCAGGGGAAAGGTTTGGAAAGTCTGAATCACAGAAAAGTGACGCTCCAAAGAGCTGAACCAAACAGGAAGTCAGTTTGAAACAGTGAATTCAAAAACACATTAAATAGTGAAATAAAAAACTCAGAGACTTTTTTACTGATTGTAGATGCAGATCAATATTTTCAGAAAATGTCAGCGACTTCAGGACGGATGGGAAATAAAGGATGTTCAGAATATTTTCACTTTGCTGAACCAAAAATATCACGTCTTTGAGAGGTAAATATTTCAGTCTAAACACAGCAAGGCTTCAGAAAAGTGAAGATAAACCAGAAAATTCAGATTTTCACACAAAGATTCAAAAACAAAATTCAAAGTAACAGAGCTGGACTTTCATCAGAGTCAGAAACTAAACTCTGAGTTTTTTCTGTTCCCTGATCTTGTCCTGAACAAAAGTTTGAATGGTTCTCGTCTGACAAATCTCCCCCTGCTTCTGTTTTCTGTCTGAATGTTCTTCTCACTGTGAACTCTACAAAGAGTTTTCTTCTTGGGTTCAGGTTTTAATTCACTGGAGCTCAGCAGTGATCGAACTGGAGTCAATCAAATAATCCACTGATGCAGAAAATCTACTCTGGACTGAAGGTGTTCAGTCTGGGTCAGTATTTCAGTCCTGAGTCAGCAGTTTAGTGTCATCATCACAAACAAATCATGATCATGTTTGAATGGAGGAGAAAAGTCTGACCACAGAGTCTCCAGTTTACAGTTTGGACTCTGCAGAAAGTCACACAGCAGCTTCACTCCTGAATCCTGCAGCTTGTTTTCACCCAGGTTCAGATGTCTCAGATGGGAGGGGTTGGACTTCAGAGCTGAGACCAGAGAAGAACAGCTGATCTCTGACAAACTGCAGTACCTCAGTCTGAAAAAAGTAAAGAGAATGAAGATAAAAATAATTAATAATCAAACTTCAGGTGTTCAGGTTTAAAATATGGAGCTTAGAGAACTCCAACAGGAGACCTTTGGACCAGATCCAGTCTGTCAGAGCTCATGATCTGGTCTGCTCTGACCCTCCATGTAAAATAACAGACAAGACATCAGATGTGATGGAGAACTGGTTTGGATTAGAGGTTCAGGTGATCAGAAGGTGGAGTCCTTGTTGCAGCAGTTTCTGGTTGGACTCCCATGATCCTTTGCTGTAAGTCCTCCCTCACTCTCTACTCCTCGTTTCCTGTTCCTCTTCAGCGCTCGGATCAATCAAAGTCTTCAAAATGAACTTGAACTGTGACATGGAGGAAACAGGAGGATCTTTGTCTGCCTTCATCCCTCACTGTACACTGATCTTCAACAAGAACACTCAACCCAGAATAACAGACTGTGTTGTCTCTACTGTCAGAACTGGACCGGACCAGCCAGCAATCCTCCAGATCTGAGTTCATGGAAGTCAGAGACAAACCAGAAATACTCTCAACCAAGAAGAGCTCAGAGAGAGTCACCCAGGACACTGAGCCCACCTCCCTCAACCAGGCTGGTCTCAAGAGTTTGTATTGAGCAGATCCAGCCCATGTGAAGCTGAACCTGAATGTGCTCTCAGACTGTAACATCAGCGCTCTGCCAAACAGAGAATGGATGAGACTCTGATGAGACAGGTCAGCTGACTCTGTCTGCAACAACATCACCTTTACTGCTTTACTCTTCTCCCTCACCTTCATCAGGATCAACAAGGTCAGACAGCAGACAGATCCACTCTTCCTCTCACTTTGTCATTGATTCACTGATGGCTGAGTTCACTCACATTTCATTTAGTCCACTCTCTAATCGGGTTTTTACTGCAGGAACCTTTCAAACCATATGAGCAGTTACTGAGCTGCAGAAAAGAGGCAGTGGAGCCAAAACAGGAACCTGATCAATCTGATCATTAATATTGATCAGGAGAAAAATCTAAATGGTTCAAATAATATTGAGAAGAAGAAAATCTGAGAGTTTGGTTCTTTAACTTCTTTGGTTCAATCATAAAAGTGACGAAGAAAACTTTGTTTTTGTGACTTCAGTCATCACAGCAAAGAGACGAAGAGGAACATCTCTGTGTGTCTGTGTCTGTGTTTGTGTGTCTGTGTCTCTGTCTGTTAGTCTGTATTGGTGTGTCTGTGTCTCTCTGTCTGTGTTTGTGTGTCTGTGTCTGTCTGTGTCTCTCTGTCTGTGTTTGTCTGTCTGTGTTTGTGTGTCTGTGTTTCTCTGTCTGTGTTTGTGTGTCTGTGTCTGTCTGTGTCTCTCTCTGTCTGTGTTTGTCTGTCTGTGTTTGTGTGTCTGTGTTTGAGTGTCTGTGTTTCTCTGTCTGTGTTTGAGTGTCTGTCTGTCTGTGTTTGTGTCTCTGTGTCTCTGTCTCTCTGTCTGTTTCTCTGTCTGTGTCTCTCTCTGTCTGTGTTTGTCTCTCTGTCTGTCTCTGTCTGTGTCTCTCTCTGTCAGTGTAAATTCAGACGTCTGTGTTTCTGTCAGAGCAGATCTTTCTCGTTTCCTCCTCATGAAAACTCAAACCTCATGTTCTGACCGATTAAACTCATTTGATGAAAAAGTGGATTTTTTTCAGATTTGGTTTGTTTGGTGTTTTTTTGTGACTCTGAATTTATGAAGCATCATTATTACTTTAATAACTGAGATGAAAACAATGATGCTAGCTGAAGAAACAACAACAAGGAAACTGGGAGGACAAGTTTAGTCCATGACTTTATCCTCATTATTGTAACGTGTCAAAAAGACGAATAAACACCTGTCACACTCCTGTCTGATATCAGTATGATATGGTTGTAATTCATGAATATTAACTCATGAATATGTTCAAAATGTCTCTGAAATTAAAAGACTAAAACTCCAAATCTAAAAGTTTATTTAAAAAAACAGCTGTCACATTATCATGACAAACTAAATTCAGTTTCAACTATTTAAAGTTTGTGTGGAAACATCAAAATCACAAAAACCATCAAATCTAAAGAGATGAGGGAAAACTCTGGGACTGCTGATCTGGTTGAATAAAGGGACGCACAGACGTCATGAAGCCTGATCTAATGTCTGCCACCGCTGTCTTTGTCTCAGGAGGTTTGGTTGAATTCACTCCAGCATGTCCTCTAGACATGAAAACATCATCAACATGAGTCAACTCTGCATGAGCGGTGGACACCTGAATTTTCCAACCACTTCAAAGTTTGTATCCTGGACTGTTTGGATGAAATCTCTGCTAACAGCTGATTGTTGTTGTTGTTGTGACTAAAGCAGCATGTTGTGAGGATGTGCTCACAGGGTCTGGTCTGTGCTGAGGAGTTATACAGAGGGTTGAAATGACGGAGCTCTGACAGCGAGGTTTCTGACTGAAGCTGCTGACTGATGGGACTTTAACACACCTTTGTTGTTGACAAAGTTTCCTGTATGAAAAAGATGAGCTGTGTTCCTGAGCTGCATGGATAGTGAGTTCACTGCATCCTTGAACATTTGAATGATTTAGAGACCGAGGAAGTAAACCCGTCAACATGACTGCAGTGATCATCTGAACCATTTATAAAAAATCATCAACATTCAATCAACAAAATAACTCACAGTTTTCCTCCATCTGTATCTGACTGATGATTCAATAAAAAAAAACTATGAATTTATGTGAGAAAGAAGAAAGTTCTGGAAATATTAAAGAATTCTATGAACATTTGAATTAAAAAAACTGAATAAACATAAAAATCTACAACAGAAACAGACAAAGACTAAACTTACTCCAGAGTCTCCAGTTTACAGTTTGGACTCTGCAGAAAGTCACACAGAAGCTTCACTCCTGAATCCTGCAGATTGTTTTTACCCAGGTCCAGATGTCTCAGATGGGAGGGGTTGGACTTCAGAGCTGAGACCAGAGAAGAACAGCTGATCTCTGACAAACTGCAGTCCCACAGTCTGAAAAAAGAAAAAATCATGTAACCTCTGAAGAAACTGTTCCTGCTCTTAATGATTCAATGTTCTTGAGCTCCTGAAGGTCATAGAAGAACTTTTTCAGAGTTGATCTTGAGGAACTTTGTAAAATCCTCTCTAAACTTTTTGAAGATATTGAGGAATTTTTCAGAAAACTTTAGTGAGATCCTGAGAAACTCCTGTGAGAAATCTCAAAGATTTTTTTGTCGTCCTGAATTCTTCATGAAGATTAAAACAGTCAGGAGTTTATTCAGGGGTCTGTCCGTCTGCTGTCAACAACTGACAAACTACTCTTAAATAAACCAACAGATCATTGATCAGAGAGGTTTTTATGGACCAACTGGACAAGATGATGTTCATGTTCAACAAACTGAAGTGAAAACTGCAGAAAAATCTGGATCTGGTTTTTACATTTGAACACGACTGAGCAAAGAAGAAATTCAAGTTTTCAAGAGTTTCCAAATGAAATCTCCAGAGTTGGATTAACTTTGTTCTTCAGGTTTCAATCTGCAGCTCCTCATTTCTCTGACACTTCATTCATTCATTAGTGATCACATTAACTGTGGATCAGTTCAATATCAGCCTTTAGTCTGTGCTGCTCCTGCCCTCTACAAGCATGTGTAATATTTGTGGGACTGATTTTCTCCTGCTTCCTTTCTACATCCATCGTTCTCCTCAAAGTCAACTCTGAAATGTCGGATTTTTCTTCCTGTGTCGAAGTTTTACAACGACAAATTCAAACTGCTCGACCAAAGTTGATGGAAAAACCACAGAGAAAAATCTAAGGCAGCAGCTGTCACATCTTATTGTTAGATCAGAAGGAAATGGTGTCTCACTTCAGAGTCTCCAGTCTGCAGTTTGGACTCTCCAGTCCTGCAGAGAGAAGCTTCACTCCTGAATCCTGCAGTTTGTTTCCACTCAGGTCCAGATGTCTCAGATGGGAGGGGTTGGACTTCAGAGCTGAGGCCACAACTTCACAGTGAGTCTCTGAGAGTCCACATTTAATAAATCTGTAACAACATAAATATCAACAATATTTCATTAAAGGGTAATTTGATGTTTCTCTTCCCCAAAAACAAACATGATCTTTGGTTTGACAGACGGCCTGTTTTTAACCAGACAGATACTAATATCAGGACCACAGCCATGAGAGAAGACAGGAAGTCAAAGTTTAGAAGAAAAAAAAACTGTTCAGATGTTCAAGACGAATGAGTCCATGACTTATTTTAGTCCTTCTGTTCTCTAACAGTGTTGTCTTCATGTTAGTGCAGCTGGATCATTATGACTGAGTGAATTCTTGAGTTCTGGTTGGAGAAGGGGACTGAGAACCAGGTTTTTGGTCCTGGTATGTGATTGGTTAGTATCCAAAGTACCTCTTGGAGGATCAGTGCTCCTCTCAGTGTTTAATGTTGACATCCTGCTGTAATGTAAGTCTTTCCATAGACACTGACTGTTGACCAATCAGAGGACGACTCACTAAATCACAGCAGCTCCGTCTTCTCTGATTGGTTCAGATAAAATCGTTTTTTAGCAGGTTAGAGCTGGTTTGACTCTGAACATTTGAAGAGTTGAAGATTTCTTTGTTTTCACAATCAAAGTTTTTTCTTCATGTAACATTCGCTTCAGCAGCAGAAACACGTTTATAAAGCCTGATGGATCCAGAGAGACCTTTAAGAGACAGAAACAAAGACCCACTGAACCTCTGTCTTTGGGAAGAGAGAGAGAGAGAGAGAGAGAGAGAGAGAGAGAGAGAGAGAGAGAGAGAGAGAGACATTAACATCCTATCTCCACCACTGTTTTCAGACTCATGGAGCTGCTGTCCAAATACCTCCTGTGTTCTCATCATTCATATGTTCTAGTCCAGCAGATCATCTCCAGTGAGTGGTGGAAAATGATGTTAGTTTTCATGGTTGTATTGATGATGAATATTGAATGATGAACATGATGGTACAGAGACAGTTCTGCCACTGTGTAGAAAATGATCCAGTTCTATTTTCACCATCAATGCTGTCAACACCCTCATTTACAACAGATTCATCATTTCCAACCTGAAAACCAGCAGGAAGAAGCTGCAGACACCTTCTTCAAACTCAAGTTCACCACAACTGACTGAGATGTTGATCTGGACTGATACCATCATCAGAAGACCTCTGTGTGTCCTCAGATATGGTCGCTGATTTGTCCTCAAAGTTCCACTTTATTCATTACAGACACGATTCAAAACAAAGAGGTCCTCCACAATCAGGACAAGTTCTCAGGGGTCCACAGGTAGACCTCATCCTGGGCTAACAGGACTTTAGACACCAGGATCAGGTTTTTGATAAAGAAACCCCCTCCCTGATATTTGAGTGGATTTCTATTTGAAGAAGAACATCATCAGGAATGTGGACATTAGAAGAACTACAGGGATCATTTACACTATTCTGAGAATAAAACCTGGACTTACTGAGCCGTTCTGCAGTTCCTCACAGCTGGGATCAGTCTCAGTCGTCCCTGCTCTGATGTGTTATACTTATGTAAGTCCAACTCCTCCAGAACCTCCTCTGACATCTGCAGCATGTAGGCCAGAGCAGAGCAGTGGATCTCTGAGAGTTCCTTCTCTGATCTGTTCTCTGACTTCAGGAACTCTTGGATCTCCTGATGAACTGACAGATCGTTCATCTCCATCAGACAGTGGAAGATGTTGATGCTTCTGTCAGGAGAGATATCTTCACTGTTCATCTTCTTCAGGTTCTTGATGACTCTTTGGATCATTTCTGGACTGTTGTCTGTGTGACCCAGCAGACCTCCTAAGAGTCTCTGGTTTGACTCCACAGGGAGTCCATGAAGGAAGCGAACAAACAGGTCCAGGTGACCGTTTTTACTGAGAAGAGATTTCATCATGACTCTATTCAGGAAGACATCCAGAGATGAGAAACAGTCATCCAGGTTTTCAAAAGAATTAAAAAACATCTTGAAAGAAAACATTTTGTCTTCGTCTTTGTTGCCTCTTAGGAAAGTCTCCAGAGCTTCTGTGTTCCTCTTCTTTGTGAAACTGTGGATCATGTAGACTGCAGACAGAAACTCCTGAACGCTCAGATGAACGAAACAGTAAACAGTTTTCTGGAAGATCACACTCTCTCTTCTGAAGATCTCTGTACAAACTCCTGAGTACACCGAGGCCTCTGAGACATCCAGACCACACCGCTCCAGGTCTTCTTGGTAGAACATGATGTCTCCTTTCTCCAGATGTTCAAAGGCCAGTCTCCCCAGCTTCAGGAGGACTTCACTGTCAGCCTCAGTCAGCTCCTGAGGACTTGTCTCATGTCCTCCTTCATACTTCTGCTTCTTCCTCTTAGTCTGGACCAGCAGGAAGTGTGAGTACATGTCAGTCAGGGTCTTGGGCAGCTCTCCTCTCTGCTCTCTGCTCATCATGTCCTCCAGAACTGTCGCAGTGATCCAGCAGAAGACCGGGATCTGACACATGATGTGGAGGCTCCTGGAGGACTTGATGTGTGAGATGATTCTTCTGGACAGATCTTCATCTGTGAACCTCTTCCTGAAGTACTCCTCCTTCTGGTCGTCAGTGAAGCCTCGTACTTCTGTTACCCTGTCCACACATGAAGGAGGGATCTGATTGGCTGCTGCAGGTCGAGAAGTTATCCAGATGAGAGCTGAGGGGAGCAGGTTCCCCTTGATGAGGTTTGTTAACAGAACGTTCAGTGAAGACTTCTGTGTGACGTCAGACACCACCTCAGAGTCTGTGAAATCCAGAGACAGTCTGCTTTCATCCAGACCGTCAAAGATGAACAGAAGTTTACAGACAGCCAGCGTCTCTGCTGTGACCTTCTCTAGTGTTGGATGGAAAACATGGAGCAGACTCAGAAGACTGAAGCGCTCATCTCTGATCAGGTTCAGCTCCCTGAATGAAAGCAGAACCACCAGATGGAGGTCTTGGTTCTCCAAACCCTCTGCCCAGTCCAGAGTGAACTTCTGCACTGAGAAGGTTTTTCCAACACCAGCCACGCCGTTGGTCAGAACCACTCTGATGACCTTCTCCTGTTGGTCAGGTAAGGTTTTAAAGATCTCATGACACCTGATGGGTTCGTCATGGAGGGTCTTCATCTTTGAAGCTGTCTCCAGCTGTCTCACCTCATGTTGGGTGTTCACCTCTTCACTCAGTCCCTCTGTGATGTAGAGCTCAGTGAAGATCCTGTTGAGGAGGGTTTGACTACTTCCTGTTTCATCACTTCCTTCATTCACACGTTCACATCTCCTCTTCAGACTGATCTTATGTTCATCTAAAACCTCCTGCAGACCACCATCTTCTGAAAGAGAAGAAAAATAAAATGAACCAAACTTCTCAACACTAATAAACACACAGTTGTATTTATTTAACCTGTTTTTGCTCTTTGAGAGACAGCACTCCAAAGTTTTTGTTGTAAATATGTTTGATACTCTTCAAATTTCTGAGTTCAATGAAAAATCTGTTCATGAAGATTTTCTGTTTTTTAAAACTCAAAAAATCTTATTTTGTTTTTGAGTTTTTCTTTATCTTAAAATGTTAAAACACTCTTTTAACAGACAGTAAACTGTAAATGACAGACAGATATTGAAAGTTCAAAGTGTTCTGGAAAAATGTGTTAAAACACTCAAAGGACATTTTCTGTTGATTTTATGGTTAAAATAAACAAAATATTCCAGGTGGAAATTGTGTAATTTAGGGTTTAAAGGACAGATGTTCAGACTTCTTCCATCAGAGCTGGACAGCTTCTTCACAGAGTCACATCTCTGAGTCTCTGGATCCTTCAGTGACATAAAGAAATAAAGAACATTTATTTTCTTTATTATTTCATGTTTGAAGATTCAGAATAAGAAACATTTATTAAACCAGAGTTTCTCTTTTCTCTAACATAAAACAGTAAAATATTCAGCTGCTGCTGCCTCAAAGTGTGGAGACAGGAGAAAAAACTCAACTGTGATTTTTGAAGGTCGAGAGATTTTCTCTGACAGTTTCAAACATTTTTTAACAATCAGATCTAAAGGTCTAATAACAGACTGATGCTCTGAATGAGTTTTTATTTCTCAGGATTTATTTCTTCTTTGGTCTTCTGGTATTTTCTGACCCACAGACTGTTTTCTGGGGTCTATACACCACAGTCCAAAGACTAACAGGCTCAAAACGTCCCAAACACAGGAACCAAATCAGAAAATACAAGAGGTCAGGATCCTTTTCTAATGCTGTTTTATACCACCTTCATTTTTATCAACATCAGGAATAATAAGTAAATCTGAGCTCAGTGACTTTGTCTTTACCAGACCTTTATCCAGGTTGGAGGTTCAAGAGGAAAATCAGCGTTTTCAGAGCAGAGGAGAAAACAGAGGGGTCAGGATTTAAAGTTCAGATTTTGAAACATCAGCTGTTGTTGTTTGAGAGTTTGGAGGGTGAAAAGTGTTTCTCTTACTGTGAATCTGAGGGTCCTGGTTCTTTACTGAAGTATACAGGAAGATCTTTAGACCGTCACTCTTCATAGACAGACAGTCGGACATAACAGACTCTGCTCTGCCCTCCTCTGAGGGTCCTGGTTCTTTACTGAAGTATAGAGGTTCATCTTTAGACCAGTCACTCTTCATAGACAGACAGTCAGACATATCAGACTCTGCTCTGCCCTCCTCTTCCTCATACAACACTCATCTTCTCCATCTTCTGTTGTGTAAATTTATGGAAGATGAAACCGAGTTCTACAACCTGAGGACAAAGTAGACAAACAGGTGAGACACAAACAGGAAGAGAGAGTTTCAAAATAAAAGAGGAATCAGAAAGGAAGTACAGAGTCTGAAAACAGCTTCATCCCCCTCTTTAAGAGTTATACAGGTTTAATCATAGATATATGTATATAAACCTTTCTTATATATGTCTATGGGTTTAATATCCAGGACCTTCTGATGTCTCCCCACCCTGCAGGGCCTCTCTCTGATCCTTGTCTGATTCATGGTCCAAACAAAATCAGCTGTGAGGTCCCTGAACTCTCAGAAAAACTTAAGGAACTGGATTAAAGTTGAAATGAGAGGCTAAAAAGATTCAGATTTTAGTTTTTACCACAAAGACAAGTCTGAACAAAGAGGAGGAAGAACTGCACGTACACAGTTTCTGTACGAAGAACTGATCCAGCTCTTTGTCTGCTCAGGTTTCTTTGTTTTAGAGTTTTTAAGTGTTTTAGTCAGTAAATCATTTTTCATTAACGGATAAAACAGATAAAGAGTTTGACATTAAAACTAAAACAGAGTAAACACTCACCCTGTCTCCTCGTCCTCTCCTCTCTCTTCGTTTCTCAAAATGGAGTCTGTTTTTCAGCTCACATACTTTCACTTTCACTCTGACTGTTTTCACTGAAACCTAAACCACCAGATCACAGATTCTTCTCCTCATTTACTGACAGTTTTTCATCATCTTTTAAGTTCAGTATTCCTGACAAACATCTTCCTCTCCTGAGTCCAAATTCAAAGTTCACTAAAACAGGAACTTGTTTGGTTGGTTGAGTCTCAGTTTATTGTTAATGCAGCAGCTCCACCTGCTGGTCAAACCAACAAACTACAGATGAGCGCTCCTCTCCTCATACCCCAATAAATGTGAAGATTTGGTTGAACAGGTTTTTACTTGTTTTTTTACTTGAGGCCTACACACACAAGGCAGTTATATCAACTCAACTATATATAAAACATTTAATTATTCCATGTGTGTTATATAAGTAATATTTCTATGACAGGGATAACTATAACAACATATAACAATAACATAAATGTATTTATTTTCTATCTAAATTTCTGCCTCATGTTTCCATTTTAGATGTTTTTAACAAACCAAACAGTTTGGAAATCATGAACAACTGAAGTTATGTTGAAAAGAAAGAGCATTACTGCCTCTTTAACTGATGTAAAACTACTGCGTCAACTTTGTAATATGTACTTTATCTCACTCACACTTAATAAACCAAAATAAACCGCTTTTACCACCAGTAAGTGGCCGTAAGCAGAGTGAAACACGTTTAGCGGTAATGTGAAACAAGTTTTACCGTCAAAAGGGAAGTAGAGGAAGATGAAACAGCGGTATGAGGAGAAAAGCTGTCAGTTTGTTGCTGCCAAACTAACTCAGAGTGTGATGGAGTTTGGTAGCAACAAACTGACAGCTTTTCTGTCCATTTTCAGCTCAGAAACCGGTAAATAAAGTTCAGCCATCAAAACAGCAGCAGAGTGAGACGTCTTACTTTTCCTCATCGCACTGTCATGACTCATCGGCGCCCTCCGGTGGCCAAAACTGTAACTGCATATGGATTAATGAAGCTTGTGATGAGACGGTAAGGAGCAGGAGTCAGAGTGACATTTCTGCAGCTGTTTGAGGACGAACCGTGAAGAGAGGCTGATTATGGCGACGGAACAACAAAAGATGGACAATCGAGAAACAAACTAAACTCTGTCTGAACAAACACAGAATATCTCTGATAGTTTTAGATGGAGAAGAAGAAGAAGATGAAGAAGATGGGTTTGAGGCAGTCCACTAGATGGCGCCAACGTGAAACTCTGTTTAGATCAGCAGACTTTAATAGTGAACGATTTTCATCTGTTTTTGTATTTAATTCTGTTCAATATCAAAAATATTGACTACAAAACAGTTTTCAAACACCGCTATTTGGTTTCTGTTAAAGTGAAGAAAAAAAAACTTTTAATGAAAAACAACAATTTTGTTAAATGAAAAATATGAAATAAAATGCACAAACATTTTTAAACCAAAAAAATATATATTGTGAAACAAAAATGAATGTAATTGACCCACAAACATAAGAAAAGCACAAAAAGGACAATATTTAGTCTCAATCTTTGTTCGGCAGCAAACAGACAATAGAGAAGGTAGCTCTCCTGCCACAGGTGCTTTATATAGGAGGGGAGGGAAAAGGGGGAGGAGCTGATCTAGTTTTGGAGAGACTGAACAGCATGCAGCCTCCAAAGAGAGAGATTCAGAGAAAACACTGGATGGATTAAACCCCCTCCTCTTCATCCACTCATCTTGGGGCGAGCCGTGACTTTTTGTCATTTCTTCCCTTTTTTCCTTAAATGTTTTGATTCTCTAGTTTTGACCTCTCTGGATCGTTGAATTCCCAAATATTTCATTTTTTACAGGGATTGACTCAAGTTCATTATCATTGCAGTCGTGAAGTGGAAACAGTTCACATTTTTGAAGACAAAGACCTGATGCCCGAGAGAAAACCCAGAGGACTTCTAAAGCTTTCCTGAGGACTGATTTATTTTTCAAAACAATGACAGTATCATCAGCAAACTGACTTATTTCAAATCCAGTATCAAACATTTTCATTGATTATTTGTTATGAGAGAAGCCATTAATTTTATGCAGAGAATAATAATAATTATTATTATTTGCAATTTCAAGCGACAAAGTAAACAGGTAAGTCCATATTGTAAAAAAACAGAAAAGAGAAAAAAAAGGGGAAAAAATAGAAGAAAGAACATCGTTAGGGGAAACAAATTACAGGTACACCATATAGAATCTATAGACAGATATTAAACAAAGTGCAGGCTGTAATATGATATAATATTGTATTTAACAATATGTAATAGTTTATATTAATACACATAACACTGTTTTTAATTATTAGAAGATGTTCATTGGTGGCGAAAACGTTCAGGATTGTTGCTCCATGTTAATGTGTGACAGATTTAACAGTAGAGTTGTAGTAACGCGACATATCCACAGGAGGGCAGCAAACATCCGGGGTCTATGAAGCCGACATGAGCGCTGACTGTACGGTGAACTGTTCATGTAAAATAACTGAATCATGATCAACAGAAATAATCAAATTAAATATAAAAACCTCAGAGGCTCACTTACATGATCGACACTTCGAGTTAATATGGAGCTAAAACAATAAAACACGGAGAAAAAAAAGGAGACAAGTGTTGGTATTAGATATTCTGGTCCACACTCCTAACCAGCAGGTGGCGGAAATGCTCCATTTCGTTGTTTACCAAGCGCCAATCAAACTCAAGAAGAAGAAGAAGAGGTTAACGGTAAATCCTTTTGTTGTTGTAAATCTGTGTTTTTCGGTGTTTATTAGTGACCAAAGACTGGATCTGTGTCTTATGTTTCAGTGATTTAAAATAACACTTTAACAGACAAACAAACGAACGACGTACGAACGTCCTCCTGTGTGTGAGAGAGATATTATGTTGCTCTAAATTGAACAGATTTCTGTAAGAAATCCGGGAACATCCAGGGGGTGCTGTTGTGTCGTTCACGAACGATTCGTTCAAAAGAACCAAATCTTTAAGTGAACGTACTGAACTGAATCACTTCCTCTCGGTAAACATTGAACTTCACTCTCTGGAATCATTTTTGTCCGACAGAACTACCTTCTTTTTTTTTTACTGCTAAATTTTCAACACGACAACTTTTGTACTTTTGTAATGATTCCACATACTAATGTATGCTACATCAAATTTATTAGACAGGATCTATTTTTGGATTAAACACGTGTTTTAGTACATAAAAGGATAACTTAAGCATTATTAATCAAGATTAAATCGACATGAAATAGGATGAATATGTGCCATAATCCACACCAACACACTGGGAGTGATTTAGTTTCTCTGCTTTGCGTCAGTTTCCAGCAGAGTTTCTTTGACTGTGTGAATATATCGTCTTTGTACACGGGAAGGGAATAAAGCAGCTTCAGTGAGGACGTCTCAGACCTGTCAATCACATATTTATGATATTAGATAATATTATATCAAATAATATCAAATATACAAATAAAATGACAGTATATCGGCAGGTTTCTGGACATATCTAAGTACAAACATAAATGGATATTGTTTACAATCTTTGTCAAGTTTCTGCTCTTTTTAACCAAACTTCTCAGGTTTTATTTGACTGCAACATCAATGAGCTAAATGTCAATGCTGCTTCCACTGAACCCTGGAGTCCTCAGGAACCAGCAAAAGTTTTGTCCACAGGAGGGCGCCACAATCAGCAAAAGCCAAACGTTACCCACAGGAGCCTTAAAAGCTCAAACTGAGTAACAGGAGATACAGGTGCAGCTCAAAAACTTTAAATGTCCTGAAGAAGTTCTGTTTTTCTCCTTTAATTCAATTCAGGAGGTGAAATGAAATAAGAAAAGTGTCTACAGCTGGTTAAAGTTGATCAGGACAAGCAGCGATGGTGCTTTAACATGTTTTTGTCAAACATTTTGAAGTTTTTACAAACTAAATTCGACTCAAACCGGAAGTTAAATCTTATTAACACATCATTCTCTACAGGGTCTCCATTTATTGAAGCACAACCACATATCATTGATTTCACCAATGCTGAAAACCATGAATCATTTTTCACTGTTTATCTTCCCCCACAGTTTGTGTTAACACTGGTCCCAGGCCGCCTGAATACGTCCAGGTCTTGCATAAGAAGACTACAGTAAAAGAGCTGCTCATGATGAAACCCCAGGTGAGTCTCAGGTGGAACAAGTACCGACACATGAGAGAGGTTCCTGAGTACAGCAGGACATGTAGACACACCAACACTCACAAACACTTGGCTCGCACTGCTCCCTCTGGGCACATTCAGCAGCATCTTCAGGCCATCATGATATACCACCTTGAGTCTCTGCACAAAGCTCCTTTTGTAGTGCCACCACAAGAGGGCAGTATACGAACACTGGGGTGCAGAAAGTTTTAAAAAGAGTGATCTTCACGGACAGGTGATCAGTCAGAAGATGTCCTGAGTATTTGACTTCTTCACATGTTTTATGGACAGTAGCAGAGACTGAGAAGACAGGAAATGACCATTTATTGTCTATCATGACGTTGTTCTTTTTTCCATCAAATTTAAAATCAAAGTCAGAACCATATTAAGAACATATTCTGAGTAACTGTCAAAGTCCAGTCCAATCATACAGCCTGCTCAGCTGGTTGGATAACTCGTCCATATCGATATGAAAAAGACATGGAGATGAAATACTCCCCTGCCTAACTCCATATGTTGAATGGGGCAGATGTAAAGTCACCCCATTTCACAAACACTTTCTGGTGAAAAATCAGGATTCTTATAAGAGACATGGGAACCCCTCGGTTTTGCAGTTTTGTATATTTTAATCATACAATACTGTGACATTTTTATCATACTATACTATAACCTTTTTAAACATACTATACTATGATATTTTTTAACATACTATACTATGACATTTTAATCACACAATCCTATGAATTTTTTTTTCATACAAAAACATGACATTTTTTATGATACTATACTATGACATTATTTTAATACAAAAAATTGAACTTTTTTTAATCAAACTGTACTATGACATTTTTTTCATATAAAAATTTGTAATTTTTTATCACACTGTACAAGGCTGTTTTTTAACATAATATTCCATAACATTTCTGAACATACTATACTATGACATTTTAATCATACTATACTATGACATTTTAATCATACTATACTATGACATTTTTTGTACAAAAATTCGAATTTTTTCTATACTATACTCTGACATTCTTATCATTCTATACCATGATTTTTAATCATACAATACTCTGACATTTTTTTTCATACTAAAATTTAAAATATTTTTATACTTTACGATGACGTTTCATTCATACTATACTTTGACATTTTTATACAAAAATTTGATATTTTTTCGTACTATACCTTGACATTTTTATCAAACTATACTATGACATTTAAATCAGTCTAGACTAAGACTACTTTTATTATATACTATGACATTTTAAACCTAATACTAGGACAGTTTTTTCATACAAAAATTGAAATATTTAATCATACTATACTATGACATTTTTTAACATATTATATTATGACATTTTAATCATACTTTATTTTGATATTTTTAACATACAAAAATTTGAAATATTTTATCATACTATATTATGACATTTTTTAACATGTTTTATTTTGACCTGTTTCTAAACTAAACTATGACATTTTTTTCATATAAAAATTTGTAATTTTTCATCACGCTGTTTTTTAAGAAAATATCCCATAACATTTCTGAACATACTATCCTATGACCTTTTTTGTACAAAAATTCGAATTTTTTCTATACTATACTCTGACATTCTTATCATTCTATACCATGATTTTTAATCATACAATACTCTGCCTTTTATTTTCATACTAAAATTTAAAATATTTTTATACTTTACGATGACATTTCATTCATACTATACTTTGACATTTTATACAAAAATTTGATATTTTTTCTTACTATACTTTGACATTTAATTATACTATACTATGACATGTTTTCATACAAAAAAGTAGTTTATCATGCTATACTATGACATTTTGTTACATTCTATACTATGAAATTTTTAAACATGCTATACTATGACATTTTTACGTAAAAAAATCTTATAATTCTTATCATAGTATACTGATATTTTAATCATGCTGTACTTTAAAATTTTTCAATATTGGTAATCATGGTAATCTATGAACTTTTAATCATACTATACTATGACATTTTTATCAAACTATACTATGACATTTTTATCATACTATTCTGTGACATTTTTATCATACTATTCTGTGACATTTTTATCATTCAAAAATTTGAACTTTTTATCACACTATACTATGATGTTTTTTAAAACATTATACCATGACATTTTCGACATACTATACTATGACATTTTTCACAAACTATACAATAACATTGTAATCATACTAGACTATAACAATTTTATCATACTATACTATAACATTTTTAACATACTATACGATGACATTTTAATCATACTATACTAGGATTTTTTTTTCACACAAAGAATTGACATTTTTTATTCTACTTTGCAATGACATTTTTTAAGCACTATACTATGACATTTTTTTCATATAAAGATTAGAACTTTTTATCACACTATACTATGATTTTTTTTAGCATACTATATTCTAACATTTTTAACATACTGTACTACAACATTTAAATGAATCTATACTATGACATCTTTTATTATATACTATGACATTTTAAACCTATAATACTAGGACACTTTTTTCAAACAAAAATTGAAATATGTAATCATACTATAGTATGATATTTTTTAACATATTATAGTATGACATTTTTTAACATATTTTATTCTGACCTGTTTCTAAACTAAACTATGACATTTCTTTTCATACAGAAATTTCAAAAATCTTAACACACTAAACTATAACCTTTTTTCTTCAAATTTTTAATTATTGTATCATGCTAGTTGATGACATTTTAATCATACTTTGACATTTTTATCAAACTATACTGTGATATTTTTTAAATACTATACTATGACATTTTCATACCAAAATTTGAAATATTTTATCATGCTTTATAATGACATTTTGTAACATACTATACTATGACATTTTTTTTTCTTACCAAAATTCGAAATAAAATAAAAACAGTGCACTGGAAAATAGAACAGGATCTGTTTAATATCTGACAGGTATCGCATGGAAACAGCAGAGGGCAGCAATACGCCACGGATGCATCTAGTCTTCCAAAACCAAAGAAGAAGAAGTTTATAAATTCCCGGAAGTCACGTGAGAGAATCCTCACTTCATCGCGGCGTCTCCATCGGACAGTATCTCCTGCTGTCATTCCGAATTTAGTGAGTAACTGTTGTTTTTTAGCGTCGGAGGAACTCTGACGGGCTGTTATTCCTTCAGCCGGAGTTGATTTTAGCCACTAAAACTCTCGTTTTGTCCGTAAATTTCTCGATAAAGTAGTTTGTGTCTGATTGTTGCAGCCTCTGTCCCGGTGACAGTGGAAGTCTGAGACGGTAAAAAGGCTTAAAAACATTTAAAATGACTATTTAATGACCCCGTCGACATTTAAAAGGCTTAAAAACATTTAAAATGACTATGTAATGACCCCGTCGACATTTTAAAGGCTTTAAAAACATTTTAAAATGACTACTTAATGACCCCGTCGACATTTTAAAGGCTTTAAAAACATTTTAAAATGACTACTTAATGACCCCGTCGACATTTTAAAGGCTTTTAAACTTGGCGGGTATTTAATCTCAAGGTTTTGTTTGTTAGCTCAAGTGCTGATTGGCTGTTTAATCCGGATCACCTGGCGCCATTAGAACCTGTAGTTTATTGATACTTTGATCTGATAATTGATCCTGCTCTGAAATCCTCTAAATGTATTTCACTCTCCGTTATTTGATTTTAAAACTTTAAACAAAAGAGAGTATTACTGATATTTTTAACCATCTTTGATGTAATGTCAGTATTATTTGTAACTGTTTAAGAGTGTCTTTGCTCAGAAGAACCAATAAAAACATCAGGCCTGGTACTTTTGAAAACTTTAATCAAGTTATATCCAAACTGACCACCAGGCGGCGCCTTTTCTGGATTATGCCTTTTACTTAATGTAACTGGGTCCTGAACTCCAGATCCTCATGTCTTCTTTTCCTTGTTTGATCCTCAGGTGTCTTCAGGAGGACTGGAGACTCGGTGGAGACCTGCAGAGGACGAGTCCTGGTGTTGGCTCAGCTCCTTCAGGGTCCCTGATGGCTCTGTCGATGTTTTCAGCAGTGTTGGTGTTCATTTATGTAAAGCTACGGCTGCTTTTGTGTTTTTATTCAGCAGATCTGTAGAAAAACACAACAGCAGCTTTAGCGTTACATAAATGAACACTACACCTGCTGAAAACATCAACAGAACCACCAGGAACCCTGAAGGGGTGGGGGGGTCCACAAGGTTGTAATAAAAACCAGAAAACCCTTAATACACTGTCTGTCTTTATTTTAATCAGCTTTATCAAGTTTATAAATGTGACCCTCTTGCTGTGTTTCTACTTAATAAAAGGAAGAGGTTTTATTTTGTGTGTGTTTTACGCTTTCAAAGCAAACGTCATCTTTTAAAGCACTCCAGTTTGTTTTAACCTTTAAAAAGAAGAAAAAGACAAGGTTCAATTTTAAAGAGAAAGAAATCTTTATTTAAACAACCAATTCAGAAATCAGTGAAACAACTGAAGACCAGGGACACCAACACCAGGAACCGTCAGCTTCCAGCAACTGAAAAAAAAAATTAGTGGACTCAGTCAAGAGAAATAACAAACCTAAAATAATGTTAAATTACAATTAAATAATAAAAACGACCCAGAATCCATAATGGACTTTATGCACAGCTCCTCTACCTCCTGAACTTGAAGCAGCTTTTTCATTTTCTGTCTTGATTATTGGACAAACTGATTAATCCAGGTGTGTCTGAGGAATCAATGATCAGACACACCTGGATCAATCAGTTTGTCCAATAATTAAGACAGAAAATAAAAGAGCTGCTTCAAGTTCAGGAGGTAGAGGAGCTGTGCGTAAAGTCCATTAATAGAAATAAACTAAAGATGTTCCCCACAAACTCCAGACAAAGAGATAAACCCCACACAGAAAAACAAACTACAGAACTAAAGTTAACCCCATAATGACCTCAACCACCCTCCAAAATCTGCAGCAGAGTTAGCAAACAGACGACCAGGGGCGGGAAAACCGCCAAGCAGCCCAGGAAGAGGCGAAGACACGACCCTGAGACAGAAAATTAACTCTGGTTAGTTTCAGAAGATGGAGGTACAGACTTGTTATACTGTCAGACGGCATACATACCGATCAGGAGCACCGATCAGAACCACCGATCAGGAGCACCGATCAGAACCGCTTGAGAAACCCTAGAGGGACAGAAGGAACCGAGCACGTGTTAACTGTTCGGATGACTCCAGATCCACGGGGCCGTTAACACCGAGTCTGAAAACAAACGGAAACAAAGAAATCCGCGTGAGAAGTGACCTGTGAGCGGGTTCAGCAGACACCGCTGACTCACCTGCACAGGTGCTGGCGTGAGGAGAGGCGACCCGGAAGTGGATGGACAGGCCAGAGCAGGAGGAAGGGTAGGCTTCTCCTCCTCCCCCTTTTATAGAGTGTCCGCGTGAGTTAATTGACTGACAGGACCCCCGGTTTGGACCGGAGCAGCTCGGCTGAAGGAGGATTGCTGAGGTTCGATCAATAATTAGTCAATATCTACTGACAACAGGAAACCAGGACAGGGCTGTATCAATATAGTTCAACATGTTTGTAGAATCAGAGGTGATCGCACAGAAAGAAGCCGCAGACGTGTTCAAAGTTCGGAAGTTAGGAGGTTTTATTTTTATTTTAACAACAACAAATGACGGAGAACTGCGAGAAACTGGACTAAAGAGAAACATCTGAAGAAACAATTAAAGATAAAAAATAAAGAACAACATCCGAAGAAATAAATAGAGATAAAAAATAAAGAACATCTGATTTAACAAGACTCCGGTAGAGGGCAGAAAAAGGTCCTGCGGAGTCTACTCTGCCGGAAATAAAGAAGAAGAGGAAGAACGATTCTTCTTCTTCTTGTTTCCTTTTAATGGCGGATTGTAAGCACCGTTCAGGCGTTTACCGCCCCCTAGTGTCCATGAGAGTGTACCGTCATATCTCCACCTTTAAATTCTACCCTGCAGTTTCGAGTCTTGAAGAAAACTGAAGCACGCTTTCCTCCCATCTGGGATCTCTCCCCCTCTGATACAGACAGATTCTAACTGTTTTATTTTTTAATTTCACTTTAAAATTGACCATAATTCTTCAGTTACAGTCAGTGGGTTAATAAAATCAAACTAAAGCAGAGCTGCTCTAACTCTGTCTCTTTAATGAATCATTATTATTATTATTATATGTCCCCGTTTTCTCTCACTATTCCTTCGTTTTGTCGTTCAGAGCAGAAGGAGCAGCTCGAAACTTCGTCTTTATGATTTCTTCTCTTCTTTTCTTTCAAGTTTTCTGCTCCGACCGGTTCTTGGACGTCGTGGAGGAACGCTTCCGGGTTGAGGGGATTTCCTTCAGTGCAGAGTCAGCAGCTTTGACGGCGAAGCTCCGCCCCCCTGTGGGCGGAGGTCGTAACTGTGGGCACTCCAGTTGTAAACTCTGAAGAGGTGGTAAAGTGATTATTTCCCAGCTTTACATTATCCTATTAAAAAAACAGAAGCTCAGCCCTGAGTGCTGTGATTATTCTGTGATAATGTCACTTTATTTTCAAATGTTATTTGTTCCTGATCCTGAGGAGACACGTAGAATTTTTTAAGTCCAGTAGCTATAAATCAGAGTCAAACAGGTTTATAGAACTTTCTCCACAGGGCATACAGTGTCTCAATAATTCAGAGGTAGAGAAGTAGAGTAACACTGCAGAGGTCTCGAGTTCGAGTCCCGAAGGCGACTTAGTTCTTTTCAGAGCCTGAATATATGACTATCCCAGAGTTCTGATCCACAAATGATCTGTGGTGTTACAATTAGAAACGGATCGTAGTTAAGAGGTAGTTCACTTATATCTTCATATCTTCGCTCCTAGACTTTAAAATTCGCGGTCTCCCCCGGGGCTCGAACCCCATCCTCCCGAGTCCCAGTCCGTTAAACTATCCTCTGACCCAGTGGGACAGAGACACATGATCAGCATCCATCTATCGATGAATTCTGAAGTCAAAGTTCGAAGGTAAAAGAGCGCAGAGCTCGTGCATGTGTGGATGGTATATGGTGCGGGGGGAAGGTTTGCTACCAGCTCTCGAACATTAAGTTTAAAGTGATGAACTGATAATAAAAAGACACTTTATTGATGAATAATCAGGATTAGTTCTAATGAAGTTAATCCGATCATGGCTTCGTAGAGTAGTATCTCCTTTCTAGACACTGGACTTGAATATTTAACAGGACCTAAATAAGGATTTGAACCTTCAACCTCAGGAGTCTAAGTCAGTCTTTTCCCCCTATGAACCACAGAGACTCTGAAATCCTCCTTCTGGACTAAGATCCAGCATGTCTCCAACATATTTCCACTCTCTGGTTTTAGATTCACCGTCTTTTTGTCCATCCTCCATTAAATCTGTCACCTACAGATATTTAAGGAGGATTCACTTGTTTTTAAGGTGGTTTAAGTTAATGTTAGTGTCCTAGTCTGGTTAATGAAAATGACTTCAATCCTCTGTTAGCCTCTGTTCTACTCTGACTGTTAGAGAAAGGAGAGAAGAAAAGAGGACAACTCAGATATAAAGGAAAACAAACCAACAAGAAGAACATTAAAATACATTAAATTCACTAAAAGGGTCCATGGACAAACATAAAAACACACAGGTTTAACTTTTTTTTATTTGGGTTTATTTTAAGAAATAAATGAACTCAGAGTGTGATGGAGTTTGGCAACAACAAACTGACAGCTTTTCTGTCCATTTTCAGCTCAGAAACCGGTATTAAATACAAAAACAGATGAAAATCGTTCACTATTAAAGTCTGCTGATCTAAACAGAGTTTCACGTTGGCGCCATCTAGTGGACTGCCTCAAACCCATCTTCTTCTTCTTCATCTTCTTCTTCTTCTTCTTCTCCATCTAAAACTATCAAAGAGATTCTGTGTTTGTTCAGACAGAGTTTAGTTTGTTTCTCGATTGTCCATCTTTTGTTTTTCCATCGCCATAATCAGCCTCTCTTCACGGTTCGTCCTCAAACAGCTGCAGAAATGTCACTCTGACTCCTGCTCCTTAGCGTCTCATCACAATCTTCATTAATCCATATGCAGTTACAGTTTTGGCCACCGGAGGGCGCCGATGAGTAATGACAGTGGTATGAGGAAAAGGAAGACGTCTCACTCTGCTGCTGTTTTGATGGCTGAACAGCAGCTGAACTTTATGTTCCGGTTTCTGAGCTGAAAATGGACAAGAAAAGCTGTCAGTCTGTTGCTGCCAAACTCCATCACACTCACACAGATAATTTATATGTTGTGACGCTCAGATCAGTGTAAAAGAATGAAAGGACACCTCAGCATTTCTCCAGCCTTGCAGCCCACCTCCGCTCCTCTCCTCCACGGATTTGTAACGTGGAGTTGGAGGGACGCTTAGCCGCGGATGCTATTAGCCTAGCTCCGGCATGAAATCAAGTTTCGAGGCGGGAGGTGAAGTGGAGGGATTTCCACACTGAACATTTATTCACACATACGAACCATACACACAAAGAGCAAAGATGTTCGTGGATTGAAGCCTTCACCGGCGTCCATATTACTGAGGTCTTCTTCTTCTTCTTCTTCGTTGGTTTTGGCAGAGGGCGGCATCTATCATAGACTGTCTAAACACTAGATGACACATTCCAGTCTACAGTTGACCATAGATTGTTTAATTTTAAACTGATTTTTAGACAGTTTGGTTTGTTTCAAACCTCAGAGTTTTAGTTTTGTTCCTGAATACTCAAGAATAATTTTAACCTCAGATTTTCATAAATAAACAATAATTAGATAGGTAGAGCAATAGCTATAGGCCTACACACACAAGGTAGAATATCAAATCATTTATATATAAAATATTTTATCAGTCAGTGAATGTTATATGAGTAATATTTCTGTTAAAATTATAACTATAAAAACATATAACATCAACATATCTGTATTCATTTTCAATATAAATATCTTTCTCTTGTTGCCTTTCTGTATATCTGTTCTGTGAGATATCTATCTATACATACAGTATACATGTGTGTTTTTCTCCTTTTGCTTTAGTAACCCCTTTTCAGATTTCTGGATCAAAGTATAAGAGACGACCACCTGTTGTTTAGAAAACTAAATCTAGAATATCGTTGATGTCCTGCAGAAATCTCCTATCTTCATATTTGACCTTTTTTTGTTAGATGTGTGGATTTGTCCTCCACATACTTTGAATGAACAATAACCTTAGAGAGAATATCACCAATAAAAACACATGAATCAACTGTGCTGCATGATTAAGTTTGTTTTTCTCAAAGAAAAGCTTCAATTTCAACATGTCCAAACATCTCAGAGCCACAATCACTCTGCTGTGAGACTGAAGTCTTCAAACCTGACGGGGATCACAGACTTTATCTTTGAGTCCAACAGGAAGTTTGATTTCCAAGAAAAGACGATCAAATCAAAGTTCCTGTTTAATAAAAACTAAGACCAACTAAACACACCGACTTTCCTTCACGCAGCGTCCTCCAGCCTCAGCTGAATCAAGGCTTTGAGTCTCTATGATCCACTACCGTATTGACCTGAATATAGGAGCACCCTGATGAGAAAACCTTCCTCCACTTTTCAGACTCACTTTGAGGACTTTTTAAAGACCAAATCTAGTTTTTGTTTGGATGAAAAATAATAATAATAATCAATTGGACACAGTGACTGAAACAAGCTGAGTTGATGTTTTTAACATGTTTTGGTTCAAATAAAGTTTTTATTGTCTTTAAATGACATTGTTACAGTGAAATGAAATCAAAAATGATCTGGTGTAAATGAAGAACCAACATAGAGTTACACAGACAGAGCATAGATCTATTGATACTAGATAAACTGAAGAGGACAGATCTGTTCACAATAGTTCTATGTTTAATGTTTCTCTACTGTGATCAGACTGTGACATGAGCTGTCCTGACTTCTGATTGGATCTTTACAGGTCAGCTGACGGCAGATACAGCCTCTGATTGGCTAACAACAGAAATGACACTTTGTTACTGAGATTAATCCATAAACCATCAGATTATTTTCATTTTGGAGGGATGGGATCAGGAAGGTCTCTGAAAACACACCGACCTTCTCTGTGGGATAGAAAAGCTTTGGAGTGTCACAGAAACACAAACTGATCTCCTGAAAGCTGACGGTCTCACAAAGACAGTGGATTTTACAGGAAGTCACTCCACTGTAGCATCAATTTATGAAGCTGAGATTGTAATCAACAACACTGAGTTTATAAAACAGCATCGACCACGTTAATGACTTCACCCTGAATAGATGCTGATCTCACTTTTTCCAGACTCCAGTCAATACGGTTATTTTTGTCTGTCAGAGGAAAACTTCTCCGTCATAATAAAGTAAAAATAATGTTTTTGTTTTTGTTCAAGAATCTTTCCTTTGACTGATTATATTTCACACATTTTACTCTCAGGTCTCATTTATGGTTTAATAATTGTGTTTGTTCATCCAAACTGAAGGGAATCGATTATTGATTAGCACAAAGATGATCTGAAAACAAAAACATGTAAAGAAACGAAAAATAATGTCTAATAATATAAAATAAGGTCAATATACCTCCAGTCAATATTTACAATCATTTCAGAAAATGAAGAAGAAAACGGATGAATAAAAATAATCAAGTGAAAGAATAAAGCTTCAGATTTTTGTTAAAACCCCAAACCCTGTCCTCCTCCTCCTCCTCCCTTCACCTCCATCTCTCCTCACTTCTCTTCCTCTCCCTTCAGTTTATATTCGGTCTCTAACGGTGAAAAGGAAAGAAAAAACCTTTGGGTTTAATCAGAACTTCTGACTGATCTACTCTCACACATGGTATCAACTCCTGCTGCAGAAATATGTGGGAATAAATCAACTCCACCTCTTTATATCTCCACTGGGTGGCGCTGCATCATGGTAAAAACAAAGTAATCCAATCAAAGTGTAAATTTACGATCATGTTTCCATCAACAAAACAAACCTGTTCAGACTGTTTGATCCCAGAATATGAGGGAAAAGATCAAATATCCAGAGTCCAGGTCCTGAGCTGATCTCAGAGCAGGTCAAAGTGCAGCTCCCAGAGTCCTCTCCGCCCGCTGTGATTGGTCAGTCAGTCTCTCAGTCAGAGACTCACCTCACCCTCACTGCTGCTGCCTCCACCTCTCTGATCGTCAGGAAACAGATGATCCTCTTCTTAATCACTCTGACAGCTAATACCTCCATCTGAGGAGAGAAAAACAGACGATCAGTGTTTCCACTCTGAGACTCACTTCATCAGCTAGACTGAAGAACATCCAGTTTACAGACCAGCAGGTCTCAGTCCTGCTCAGACCAGAAGTGATGGTGTAAAGCAGCAGGTTTCCTCACAAATAAACCAACATCATCAAAATAAAGAAATCATTCCTGTCAAATGTGTTAAAGCTGATCGAACAAACCTGCTGTGAAAATAACAAGTATAAAGAACAGCTGTCTGTTTTCAGACTTAGAGCTCAAAATCAACAAGTTAGCAGAGAAATAAAGTCTGTGTTGAATACAGAGAACTATAAACTGGACTTCAGAGCAGAAACTGAACATTTCTGTTTCATTATGTCTCATTTCTACATTTGATCTGAAATATAGAGACGAGGAGACACTTTTTTCATCACTGACACTCTTACACTCCTGGTTTGATGATTTCTGTTCTCACAGCTTCACTAAAGAAAGAATCCTCTGAGAGGGTCGAAGAGTCAGCAGGAAATACTGAATATCTGCTGTGATACTGTGTGGAGAGGAACAGGAGAGATCAGCACAGACTAACTCCAACTCTATACTGACTTCAGAGTCTCCAGTCTGTAGTCTGGACTCTTCTGAAGATCACGCAGCAGCTTCACGTCTGAATCCTGCAGCTTGTTTCCATACAGCCACAGAGTTTTCAGATGGGAGGGGTTGGACTTCAGAGCTGAGGCCAGAGAAGAACAGCTGATCTTTGTCAAACTGCAGCCACTCAACCTAAATAAAGAGGAAATAATGAGATTTTAGACAAAAATGATCCAGTTTGAAACCTGATGTCTTAAATCTGTAGAGTTCAGGGGAAAGGTTTGGAAAGTCTGAATCACAGAAAAGTGACGCTCCAAAGAGCTGAACCAAACAGGAAGTCAGTTTGAAACAGTGAATTCAAAAACACATTAAATAGTGAAATAAAAAACTCAGAGACTTTTTTACTGATTGTAGATGCAGATCAATATTTTCAGAAAATGTCAGCGACTTCAGGACGGATGGGAAATAAAGGATGTTCAGACTATTTTCACTTTGCTGAACCAAAAATATCACGTCTTTGAGAGGTAAATATTTCAGTCTAAACACAGCAAGGCTTCAGAAAAGTGCAGATAAACCAGAAAATTCAGATTTTCACACAAAGATTCAAAAACAAAATTCAAAGTAACAGAGCTGGACTTTCATCAGAGTCAGAAACTAAACTCTGAGTTTTTTCTGTTCCCTGATCTTGTCCTGAACTAAAGTTTGAATGGTTCTCGTCTGACAAATCTCCCCCTGCTTCTGTTTTCTGTCTGAATGAGCTTCTCACTGTGAACTCTACAAAGAGTTTTCTTCTTGGGTTCAGGTTTTAATTCACTGGAGCTCAGCAGTGATCGAACTGGAGTCAATCAAATAATCCACTGATGCAGAAAATCTACTCTGGACTGAAGGTGTTCAGTCTGGGTCAGTATTTCAGTCCTGAGTCAGCAGTTTAGTGTCATCATCACAAACAAATCATGATCATGTTTGAATGGAGGAAAAAAGTCTGACCTCAGAGTCTCCAGTTTACAGTTTGGACTCTGCAGAGAGTCACACAGCAGCTCCACTCCTGAATCCTGCAGATTGTTGTCACTCAGGCTCAGACGTCTCAGATGGGAGGGGTTGGACTTCAGAGCTGAGACCAGAGAAGAACAGCTGATCTCTGACAAACTGCAGCTCCACAGTCTGAAAAAAGGAAAGAGAATGAAGATAAAAATAATTAATAATCAAACTTCAGGTGTTCAGGTTTAAAATATGGAGCTTAGAGAACTCCAACAGGAGACCTTTGGACCAGATCCAGTCTGTCAGAGCTCATGATCTGGTCTGCTCTGACCCTCCATGTAAAATAACAGACAAGACATCAGATGTGATGGAGCACTGGTTTGGATTAGAGGTTCAGGTGATCAGAAGGTGGAGTCCTTGTTGAAGCAGTTGCTGGTTGGACTCCCATGATCCTCTGCTGTAAGTCCTCCCTCACTCTCTACTCCTCGTTTCCTGTTCCTCTTCAGCGCTCGGATCAATAAAAGTCTTCAAAATGAACTTGAACTGTGACATGGAGGAAACAGGAGGATCTTTGTCTGCCTTCATCCCTCACTGTACACTGATCTTCAACAAGAACACTCAACCCAGAATAACAGACTGTGTTGTCTCTACTGTCAGAACTGGACCGGACCAGCCAGCAATCCTCCAGATCTGAGTTCATGGAAGTCAGAGACAAACCAGAAATACTCTCAACCAAGAAGAGCTCAGAGAGAGTCACCCAGGACACTGAGCCCACCTCCCTCAACCAGGCTGGAGCCAAAACAGGAACCTGATCAATCTGATCATTGAATATTGATCAGGAGAAAAATCTAAATGGTTCAAATAATATTGAGAAGAAGAAAATCTGAGAGTTTGGTTCTTTAACTTCTTTGGTTCAATCATAAAAGTGACGAAGAAAACTTTGTTTTTGTGACTTCAGTCATCACAGCAAAGAGACGAAGAGGAAAATCTCTGAGTGTCTGTGTTTGTGTGTCTGTGTCTGTGTGTCTGTGTCTGTGTGTCTGTGTTTGTGTGTCTGTGTTTGTGTGTCTGTGTTTGTGTGTCTGTGTTTGTGTGTGTGTGTCTGTGTGTCTGTGTTTGTGTGTCTGTGTCTGTGTGTCTGTGTTTGTGTGTCTGTGTTTGTGTGTCTGTGTCTGTGTTTGTCTGTCTGTGTCTCTCTGTCTGTGTCTCTGTCTGTGTTTGTGTGTCTCTGTCTGTGTCTGTGTGTCTGTGTCTGTGTTTGTCTGTCTGTGTCTCTCTGTCTGTATTTGTGTGTCTGTGTTTGTGTGTCTGTGTCTCTGTCTGTGTGTCTTTGTCTGTGTCCCTGTTTATCTGTCTGTCTCTCTGTTTGTATTTGTCTCTCTGTCTGTGTTTGTCTCTCTGTCTCTCTCTGTCTGTATTTTTGTGTCTGTCAGTGTAAATTCAGACGTCTGTGTCTCTGTCTGTGTCTGTGTGTCTGTCTGTTTCTCTGTCTGTGTTTCTCTGTCTGTGTTTGTGTGTCTGTCAGTGTAAATTCAGACGTCTGTGTCTCTGTCTGTGTCTCTGTCTGTCTCTCTGTCTGTGTGTCTCTGTCTGTGTTTGTGTGTCTCTGTCTGTGTTTGTGTGTCTGTGTCTCTGTCTGTGTTTGTGTGTCTGTGTTTGTGTGTCTCTGTCTCTGTCTGTGTTTGTCTCTCTGTCTCTCTCTGTCTGTGTTTGTGTGTCTGTGTCTCTGTCTGTGTTTGTGTGTCTGTCAGTGTAAATTCAGACGTCTGTGTTTCTCACTGTCAGAGCAGATCTTTCTCGTTTCCTCCTCATGAAAACTCAAACCTCATGTTCTGACCGATTAAACTCATTTGATGAAAAAGTGGATTTTTTTCAGATTTGGTTTGTTTGGTGTTTTTTTGTGACTCTGAATTTATGAAGCATCATTATTACTTTAATAACTGAGATGAAAACAATGATGCTAGCTGAAGAAACAACAACAAGGAAACTGGGAGCCCAAGTTTAGTCCATGACTTTATCCTCATGATTGTAACGTGTCAAAAAGACTAATAAACACCTGTCACACTCCTGTCTGATATCAGTATGATATGGTTGTAATTCATGAATATTAACTCATGAATATGTTCAAAATGTCTCTGAAATTAAAAGACTAAAACTCCAAATCTAAAAGTTTATTTAAAAAAACAGCTGTCACATTATCATGACAAACTAAATTCAGTTTCAACTATTTAAAGTTTGTGTGGAAACATCAAAATCACAAAAACCATCAAATCTAAAGAGATGAGGGAAAACTCTGGGACTGCTGATCTGGTTGAATAAAGGGACGCACAGACGTCATGAAGCCTGATCTAATGTCTGCCACCGCTGTCTTTTTCTCAGGAGGTTTGGTTGAATTCACTCCAGCATGTCCTCTAGACATGAAAACATCATCAACATGAGTCAACTCTGCATGAGCGGTGGACACCTGAATTTTCCAACCACTTCAAAGTTTGTATCCTGGACTGTTTGGATGAAATCTCTGCTAACAGCTGATTGTTGTTGTTGTTGTGACTAAAGCAGCATGTTGTGAGGATGTGCTCACAGGGTCTGGTCTGTGCTGAGGAGTTATACAGAGGGTTGAAATGACGGAGCTCTGACAGCAAGGTTTGTGACTGAAGCTGCTGACTGATGGGACTTTAACACACCTTTGTTGTTGACAAAGTTTCCTGTATGAAAAAGATGAGCTGTGTTCCTGAGCTGCATGGATAGTGAGTTCACTGCATCCTTGAACATTTGACTGATTTAGAGACCGAGGAAGTAAACCCGTCAACATCACTGCAGTGATCATCTGAACCATTTATAAAAAATCATCAACATTCAATCAACAAAATAACTCACAGTTTTCCTCCATCTGTATCTGACTGATGATTCAATAAAAAAACTATGAATTTATGTGAGAAAGAAGAAAGTTCTGGAAATATTAAAGAATTCTATGAACATTTGAACTGGGTTAAAAAAACTGAATAAACATAAAAATCTACAACAGAAACAGACAAAGACTAAACTTACTCCAGAGTCTCCAGTTTACAGTTTGGACTCTGCAGAGAGTCACACAGAAGCTTCACTCCTGAATCCTGCAGCTTGTTGTCTCTCAGGTCCAAATGTCTCAGATGGGAGGGGTTGGACTTCAGAGCTGAGGCCAGAGAAGAACAGCTGATCTCTGACAAACTGCAGCCATACAGTCTGAAAAAAGAAAAAATCATGTAACCTCTGAAGAAACTGTTCCTGTTTTTAATGATTCAATGTTCTTGAGCTCCTGAAGGACATGGAAGAAGAACTTTTTCAGAGTTGATCTTGAGGAACTTTGTAAAATCCTCTCTAAACTTTTTGAAGATCTTGAGGAATTTTTCAGAAAACTTTAGTGAGATCCTGAGAAACTCCTGTGAGAAATCTCAAAGGTTTTTTTGTAGTCCTGAATTCTTCATGAAGATGAAAACAGTCAGGAGTTTATTCAGGGGTCTGTCCGTCTGCTGTCAACAACTGACAAACTACTCTTAAATAAACCAACAGATCATTGATCAGAGAGGTTTTTATGGACCAACTGGACAAGATGATGTTCATGTTCAACAAACTGAAGTGAAAACTGCAGAAAAATCTGGATCTGGTTTTTACATTTGAACACGACTGAGCAAAGAAGAAATTCAAGTTTTCAAGAGTTTCCAAATGAAATCTCCAGAGTTGGATTAACTTTGTTCTTCAGGTTTCAATCTGCAGCTCATCATTTCTCTGACACTTCATTCATTCATTAGTGATCACATTAACTGTGGATCAGTTCAGTATCAGCCTTTAGTCTCTGCTGCTCCTGCCCTCTACAAGCATGTGTAATATTTGTGGGACTGATTTTCTCCTGCTTCCTTTCTACATCCATCGTTCTCCTCAAAGTCAACTCTGAAATGTCGGATTTTTCTTCCTGTGTTGAAGTTTTACAACGACAAATTCAAACTGCTCGACCAAAGTTGATGGAAAAACCACAGAGAAAAATCTAAGGCAGCAGCTGTCACATCTTATTGTTAGATCAGAAGGAAATGGTGTCTCACTTCAGAGTCTCCAGTCTGCAGTTTGGACTCTCCAGTCCTGCAGAGAGAAGCTTCACTCCTGAATCCTGCAGAGTGTTTTCACTTAGGTCCAGATGTCTCAGATGGGAGGGGTTGGACTTCAGAGCTGAGGCCACAACTTCACAGTGAGTCTCTGAGAGTCCACAGAGAGAAAATCTGTAACAACATAAATATCAAACAATATTTCATTAAAGGGTAATTTGATGTTTCTCTTCCCCAAAAACAAACATGATCTTTGGTTTGACAGACGGCCTGTTTTTAACCAGACAGATACTAATATCAGGACCACAGCCATGAGAGAAGACAGGAAGTCAAAGTTTAGAAGAAAAAAAAACTGTTCAGATGTTCAAGACAAATGACTCCATGACTTATTTTAGTCCTTCTGTTCTCTAACAGTGTTGTCTTCATGTTAGTGCAGCTGGATCATTATGACTGAGTGAATTCTTGAGTTCTGGTTGGAGAAGGGGACTGAGAACCAGGTTTTTGGTCCTGGTATGTGATTGGTTAGTATCCAAAGTACCTCTTGGAGGATCAGTGCTCCTCTCAGTGTTTAATGTTGACATCCTGCTGTAATGTAAGTCTGTCCATAGACACTGACTGTTGACCAATCAGAGGACGACTCACTAAATCACAGCAGCTCCGTCTTCTCTGATTGGTTCAGATAAAATCGTTTTTTAGCAGGTTAGAGCTGGTTTGACTCTGAACATTTGAAGAGTTGAAGATTTCTTTGTTTTCACAATCAAAGTTTTTTCTTCATGTAACATTCGCTTCAGCAGCAGAAACACGTTTATAAAACCTGATGGATCCAGAGAGACCTTTAAGAGACAGAAACAAAGACCCACTGAACCTCTGTCTTTGGGCTCTGGTCATCTCTCTCTCTCTCTCTCTCTCTCTCTGTCTGTCTGTCTCTCTCTCTCTCTCTCTCTGTCTGTCTGTCTGTCTGTCTGTCTCTCTCTGTCTCTCTCTCTCTCTCTGTCTCTGTCTCTCTCTCTCTCTGTCTCTGTCTCTCTCTCTCTCTCTCTCTGTCTCTGTCTCTCTCTGTCTCTGTCTCTGTCTCTCTCTCTCTCTCTCTCTGTCTCTGTCTCTGTCTCTCTCTCTCGGCACATCATCGTCCAATACTTCATGAATGAACAATAAAGATAAAAACAAAGTTAACCCTGAAGAGCTGTGGTCAAAGTTAGGGTTGAGGTTATTTGAACTCTAGGGGGCGTACGTTCTCATGACTCCTCTAAAAATAACAGACTGAATTTTTCTAGTTTGTGTTTCATAAAGAAAGAAACATTTGGAGTCAGAGGAAATAAAAGAGATTCATCTTTGAACGTGTTTTCTTCACTTTTTTAAATGTTTGCACTAAATCATGAAGTGAGGTATCAATAATGAGTCCTGATCATATCAACATGGAGGATCAATATGGGTACCTGCTTTAATTCAACCTAATGACAGCCATGCTCGTTATAGTCCTTTAGACCTGGTCCAGTCTCTCAGACTCAGACCTGGATCAAACCCCAGTCTGCTGCAGTGTTTGTTTAAAGGCTGTTTCAGCAGAAGGCAGCAGTCTGACCAATTTACATCAACATCTGAAACAGAGGCGTGCAGCTGAGTGGGAGAAATGAGACCGCGGAGAGAGAGAGAGAGAGAGAGAGAGAGAGAGAGAGAGAGAGAGAGAGAGAGAGAGAGAGAGAGAGAGAGAGAGAGAGAGAGAGAGAGAGAGAGAGAGAGAGAGAGAGAGAGAGAGAGAGAGAGAGAGAGAGAGAGAGAGAGAGAGAGAGAGAGAGAGAGAGAGAGAGACATTAACATCCTATCTCCACCATTGTTTTCAGACACATGGAGCTGCTGTCCAAATACCTCCTGTGTTCTCATCATTCATATGTTCTAGTCCAGCAGATCATCTCCAGTGAGTGGTGGAAAATGATGTTAGTTTTCATGGTTGTATTGATGATGAATATTGAATGATGAACATGATGGTAAAGAGACAGTTCTGCCACTGTGTAGAAAATGATCCAGTTCTATTTTCACCATCAATGCTGTCAACACCCTCATTTACAACAGATTCATCATTTCCAACCTGAAAACCAGCAGGAAGAAGCTGCAGACACCTTCTTCAAACTCAAGTTCACCACAACTGACTGAGATGTTGATCTGGACTGATACCATCATCAGAAGACCTCTGTGTGTCCTCAGATATGGTCGCTGATTTGTCCTCAAAGTTCCACTTTATTCATTACAGACACGATTCAAAACAAAGAGGTCCTCCACAATCAGGACAAGTTCTCAGGGGTCCACAGGTAGACCTCATCCTGGGCTAACAGGACTTTAGACACCAGGATCATGTTTTTGCTAAAGAAACCCCCTCCCTGATATTTGATTTCTATTTGAAGAAGAACATCATCAGTAACGTGGACATTAGAAGAACTACAGGGATCATTTACACTATTCTGAGAATAAAACCTGGACTTACTCAGCCTTTCTGCAGTTCCTCACAGCTGGGATCAGTCTCTGTCGTCCCTGGTCTGATGTTTTATACTTCCTTAAGTTCAACTCATCCAGAACCTCCTCTGACATCTGCAGCATGTAGGCCAGAGCAGAGCAGTGGATCTCTGAGAGTTCCTTCTCTGATCTGTTCTCTGACTTCAGGAACTCTTGGATCTCCTGATGAACTGACAGATCGTTCATCTCCATCAGACAGTGGAAGATGTTGATGCTTCTGTCAGGAGAGACATCTTCACTGTTCATCTCCTTCAGGTTCTTGATGACTCTTTGGATCATTTCTGGACTGTTGTCTGTGTGACCCAGCAGACCTCCTAAGAGTCTCTGGTTTGACTCCAGAGAGAGTCCATGAAGGAAGCGAACAAACAGGTCCAGGTGACCGTTTTTACTGAGAAGGGATTTCATCATGACACTCTTCAGGAAGACATCCAGAGATGAGAAACAGACATCATGGTTTTTAGAAGAATTAAAAAACATCTTGAAAGAAAACATTTTGTCTTCGTTGCCTCTTAGGAAAGTCTCCAGAGCTTCTGTGTTCCTCTTCTTTGTGAAACTGTGGATCATGTAGACTGCAGACAGAAACTCCTGAACGCTCAGATGAACGAAACAGTAAACAGTTTTCTGGAAGATCACACTCTCTCTTCTGAAGATCTCTGTACAAACTCCTGAGAACACCGAGGCCTCTGAGACATCCAGACCACACCGCTCCAGGTCTTCTTGGTAGAACATGATGTCTCCTTTCTCCAGATGTTCAAAGGCCAGCCTCCCCAGCTTCAGGAGGACTTCTCTGTCAGCCTCAGTCAGCTCCTGAGGACTTGTCTCATGTCCTCCTTCATACTTCTGCTTCTTCCTCTTAGTCTGGACCAGCAGGAAGTGTGAGTACATGTCAGTCAGGGTCTTGGGCAGATCTCCTCTCTGCTCTCTGCTCATCATGTCCTCCAGAACTGTCGCAGTGATCCAGCAGAAGACCGGGATCTGACACATGATGTGGAGGCTCCTGGAGGACTTGATGTGTGAGATGATTCTTCTGGACAGATCTTCATCTCTGAACCTCTTCCTGAAGTACTCGTCCTTCTGGGCGTCAGTGAAGCCTCGTACTTCTGTTACCCTGTCCACACGTGAAGGAGGGATCTGATTGGCTGCTGCAGGTCGAGAAGTTATCCAGATGAGAGCTGAGGGGAGCAGGTTCCCCTTGATGAGGTTTGTTAACAGAACGTTGAGTGAAGACTTCTGTGTGACGTCAGACAGGACCTCAGAGTCTGTGAAATCCAGAGACAGTCTGCTTTCATCCAGACCGTCAAAGATGAACAGAAGTTTACAGACAGCCAGCGTCTCTGCTGTGACCTTCTCTAGTGTTGGATGGAAAACATGGAGCAGACTCAGAAGACTGAAGCGCTCATCTCTGATCAGGTTCAGCTCCCTGAATGAAAGCAGGACCACCAGATGGAGGTCTTGGTTCTCCAAACCCTCTGCCCAGTCCAGAGTGAACTTCTGCACTGAGAAGGTTTTTCCAACACCAGCCACGCCGTTGGTCAGAACCACTCTGATGACCTTCTCCTGTTGGTCAGGTAAGGTCTTAAAGATCTCATGACACCTGATGGGTTCGTCATGGAGGGTCTTCATCTTTGAAGCTGTCTCCAGCTGTCTCACCTCATGTTGGGTGTTCACCTCTTCACTCAGTCCCTCTGTGATGTAGAGCTCAGTGAAGATCCTGTTGAGGAGGGTTTGACTACTTCCTGTTTCATCACTTCCTTCATTCACACGTTCACATCTCCTCTTCAGACTGATCTTATGTTCATCTAAAACCTCCTGCAGACCGACATCTTCTGAAAGAGAAGAAAAATAAAATGAACCAAACTTCTCAACACTAATAAACACACAGTTGTATTTATTTAACCTGTTTTTGCTCTTTGAGAGACAGCACTCCAAAGTTTTTGTTGTAAATATGTTTGATACTCTTCAAATTTCTGAGTTCAAATGAAAAATCTGTTCATGAAGATTTTCTGTTTTTTAAAACTCAAAAAATCTTATTTTGTTTTTGTGTTTTTCTTTATCTTAAAATGTTAAAACACTCTTTTAACAGACAGTAAACTGTCAATGACAGACAGATATTGAAAGTTCAAACTGTTCTGGAAAAATGTGTTAAAACACTCAAAGGACATTTTCTGTTGATTTTATGGTTAAAATAAACAAAATAATTCAAGCAGAAATTGTGTAATTTAGGGTTTAAAGGACAGATGTTCAGACTTACTTCCATCAGAGCTGGACTGACTGTCTGTCTGAGAGACAAGAACTGTTCTGGTTCTTTTTCCACACTGGGGACAGGAGGTGTGTCCTGAAGAAGTCGACTGGTCCCTGAATGAGGCGAGGCACTGTCTGCAGAACCGGTGTCCACAGCGGGTAGAGACTGGATCCTTCAGGACGTCCTGACATAAAGAACAGCTGGACAGCTGCTCCTCCACAGAGTCACATCTCTGAGTCTCTCTGTGGAAATAAAGAACATTTATTTTCTTTATTATTTCATGTTTGAAAGATTCAGAATAAGAAACATTTATTAAACCAGAGTTTCTCTTTTCTCCAACATAAAACAGTAAAATATTCAGCTGCTGCTGCCTCAAAGTGTGGAGACAGGAGAAAAAACTCAACTGTGATTTTTGAAGGTCGAGAGATTTTCTCTGACAGTTTCAAACATTTTTTAACAATCAGATCTAAAGGTCTAATAACAGACAGATGCTCTGAATGAGTTTTTATTTCTCAGGATTTATTTCTTCTTTGGTCTTCTGGTATTTTCTGACCCACAGACTGTTTTCTGGGGTCTATACACCACAGTCCAAAGACTAACAGGCTCAAAACGTCCCAAACACAGGAACCAAATCAGAAAATACAAGAGGTCAGGATCCTTTTCTAATGCTGTTTTATACCACCTTCATTTTTATCAACATCAGGAATAATAAGTAAATCTGAGCTCAGTGACTTTTTCTTTACCAGACCTTTATCCAGGTTGGAGGTTAAAGAGGAAAATCAGCGTTTTCAGAGCAGAGGAGAAAACAGAGGGGTCAGGATTTAAAGTTCAGATTTTGAAACATCAGCTGTTGTTGTTTGAGAGTTTGGAGGGTGAAAAGTGTTTCTCTTACTGTGAATCTGAGGGTCCTGGTTCTTTACTGAAGTCAGGAGGAGGATCTTTAGACCGGTCACTCTTCATAGACAGACAGTCGGACATGACAGACTCTGTTCTGCCCTCCTCTGAGGGTCCTGGTTCTTTACTGAAGTTCCATGGAGGATCTTTAGACCGGTCACTCTTCATAGACAGACAGTCAGACATATCAGACTCTGCTCTGCCCTCCTCTTCCTCGATACAATCACTCATCTTCTCGATCTTCTGTTGTGTAAATTTATGGAAGATGAAACCGAGTTCTACAACCTGAGGACAAAGTAGACAAACAGGTGAGACACAAACAGGAAGAGAGAGTTTCAAAATAAAAGAGGAATCAGAAAGGAAGTACAGAGTCTGAAAACAGCTTCATCCCCCTCTTTAAGAGTTTTACAGGTTTAATCATAGATATATGTATATAAACCTTTCTTATATATGTCTATGGGTTTAATATCTGAACTCTTCTGATGTCTCCCCACCCTGCAGGGCCTCTCTCTGATCCTTGTCTGATTCATGGTCCAAACAAAATCAGCTGTGAGGTCCCTGAACTCTCATAAAAACTTAAGGAGACTGGATTAAAGTTGAAATGAGAGGCTAAAAAGATTCTGATTTTAGTTTTTACCACAAAGACAAGTCTGAACAAAGAGGAGGAAGAACTGCACGTACACAGTTTCTGTATGAAGAACTGATCCAGCTCTTTGTCTGCTCAGGTTTCTTTGTTTTACAGTTTTTAAGTGTTTTAGTCAGTAAATCATTTTTCATTAACAGATAAAACAGATAAAGAGTTTGACATTAAAACTAAAACAGAGTAAACTCTCACCCTGTCTCCTCGTCCTCTCCTCTCTCTTCGTTTCTCAAAATGGAGTCTGTTTTTCAGCTCACTTACTTTCACTTTCACTCTGACTGTTTTCACTGAAACCTAAACCACCAGATCACAGATTCTTCTCCTCATTTACTGACAGTTTTTCATCATCTTTAAAATTCAGTATTCCTGACAATCATCCTCCTCTCCTGAGTCCAAATTCAAAGTTCACTAAAACAGGAACTTGTTTGGTTGGTTGAGTCTCAGTTTATTGTTAATGCAGCAGCTCCACCTGCTGGTCAAACCAACAAACTACAGATGAGCGCTCCTCTCCTCATACCCCAATAAATGTGAGGGTTTGAGGCAGTCCACTAGATGGCGCCAACGTGAAACTCTGTTTAGATCAGCAGACTTTAATAGTGAACGATTTTCATCTGTTTTTGTATTTAATTCTGTTCAATATCAAAAATATCGAGTACACAAACAATTTTCAAATATGAAAACATTTAACTGAATTGAAAAACATGTTTTTAAACACCGCTATTTAGTTTCAGTTAAAGTAAAAAAAAAAAAAAAAACTTTTAATGAAAAACAACAATTTTGTTAAATGAAAAATATGAAATGCAAAAACATTTTAAAACCAAATATATATATATATATAGTAAACAAAAATGAATGTAATTGACCCTCAAACGTAAGAAAAGCATAAAAAGGACAATATTTAGTCCCAATATTTGTTCGGCAGCAAACAGACAGACAATAGAGAAGGTAGCTCTCCTGCCACAGGTGCTTTATATAGGAGGGGAGGGAAAAGGGGGAGGAGCTGATCTAGTTTTGGAGAGACTGAACAGCATGCAGCCTCCAAAGAGAGAGATTCAGAGAAAACACTGGAGGGATTAAACCCCCTCCTCTTCATCCACTCATCTTGGGGCGAGCCGTGATTTTTTCAGAGACCTGTCGTTTACATCACCTCTCACCGGTCCTTGGTAGAAATTTCAGTCTCATGACTCTGAAGTCCTATTTGACAGAAACACACCGAAACAATAACATCCAGCAGTCAAAGTTTAATGAACCAAAATAAGACAAACTGCAGTCAGTGTTTAGACGAACATTCATTTGATCAATCTGTAAATATCCGAGGATCCTTTCACCTCCTCCTAAAGACTTGTTTTCTCTCTGTGTGTGCAGATATTGGCAGAAACTCAACCCTGATTCATGTCTCACACTCATTATTGATCACCTGTTAATCATACTAATGCACCGCTGCATGCGCATGGAGTTAGAAACACTGAGCGTGCATCCAGCAGAGAGTGCATGTAGTTCCTGCAGAGGTTGAAGGAGGGCAGAGCGTCAGAGATCCAGCCTGATCCACAAAGACATGACCTGTGCAGGTGAAGAGACTGGAGGATAAGAGAGCAGAGAAAAACACAACCATGATGATTTGACTCGTGTTTTCTCACCTTCTCTAAAGTGACCCAGAGCGTCACCGATTCATGAGTTTGAAAGCATGTGGTCGTATCGTAGCGGATCACAGAAACAGTCGTATTTACAGACACCAAACCGAGAAAATGAAGACAAACAAGTTGGAAAATCTTCAAACTTTAGAGACGGAGCTGTGTGATAACAGAGAAATATGGAAGTCAAACTGTGCCATCTGATCTTCAATTTGAATTTATAAAACTGAATTTCTTTTGCATCTAAATCAGACTTTGAATTTGGAAACTATTGAATTTCAAACACACATTTTTATTTCTGACACTAATTTTTTTTACAATGATGAAATAAATTCAGTGTAAAAAAATCAGTCTGTTTAGTAAAAATTCAACTTAAACAAACTGTAAATAAAAAATATTCAATGTCAAAATATTCAACTTAAAAAAAAATTCAATGTAAAAAAATTGAGTGTAAAATAGACCGACACAACATCCGGGTAACCAGGGAGAAGCAATCGATTCCCGGTTCAATCATCCACCATCCAGCCAATCAATGAATGCTAGATTGGTCATGTGACCCCAGAGGAAGATTGAAGAATCGATTGCTTCTCCCTAATTACCCGGATGTTGAGTCGGTCTATTTTACACTAAATTTTTTTACATTGAATTTTTTTTTAAGTTGAATATTTTGACATTGAATATTTTTTATTTACACAGTTTTTATAAGTTGAATTTTTACTAAACAGACTGTTTTTTTTACACTTAATTTATTTCATCATTGTGAAAAAAATTAGTATCAGAAATAAAAAATGTGTGTTTGAAATTGAATAGTTTAGAAATCCAAAGTCTGATTTTGATGTAAAAAAATTCAGCTTTAGAAATTCAAATTCAAAATCAGATGGCACAGTTTGACTTCCATAGAGAAACACTTTCAGAAACCCCTGCAGCATCAGGACAACCCTGTGGGTGAATCTCACACACTCCTCACAGGAAAGGTTCCCTCTCTGGTCCCAGGACACAGGATCAAATAAATCTTTACAGACTTGTTTTTTTTTTTTGTTGCCCCGGAGGTTGACCGAAACCTCTGACTCTTCATGATTGTCAATTTGGAGAACAGAGTGAGAGTTTCTCCATCACTGACCATCTAAATAACCATGAACGCCTCACACGGCGCTCCAAAATAAGATGTCGAACCTGAATCTCCTTTTTTCTGTCTCTGATCTGAAGCATCTGAACTTTCAGCTGTTGGGGATCCAGTCCTGAAGAAATCATCTGAGCTGAGCGAGCAAACGGCGTCCCCTCTTATTCATCCAAACATCCGCGTGACGGTGGGCGGGACGTTTCTGACCTTGGTGAGGTGAGAGGAGAAGTCAGGCGTGGATTCATGAAGCTGTGTCTTCTTCAGGAGCCAGAGGTAAAAAAACTCCAAAATTATAATTATCATCATCATCATCATCATCATCATCATCATGATTTTTCTTACTGCAGGTTATCAGGAGACTTTAGAGCTTTTGGTTTTTGATCTTTGGCTGAAATTTTAGATCGTCACTCAAACTGAAAACCAGAGAAAAGAAGCACAAAAAAAAAAAAACAAGAACAGGTCTGCAGCAGAAAAGGTGGATGATGGAGGGTTGATCTCAGTTCCTGCAGGAGTTCCTTCAGTTTGCAGCACACAGTCAAAATACAGTCATTGTTGATTTTACAGCTGCAGGGGTTCAAGGTGAGATCCAGATAAACCCGAGTTCCTCTTCTTCTCAGCGTGCTCTGATCAAATATGGCTCCACACGCAGCAGCAGGAGGTTTTATTGCTTTAATCGACTGAATTTGGGACTAAAACCCTTTCAGAGGTCGTCTGTCCAAAAGTGTTTTAGTGTTTAAAATCCGTTTTAATCACGTGTTTATGTTTTAACCATGAATCTGGAAATATTCCTTTAAAGGATGAGAAAGTACGGTGGCCTTGAAGGTCAAAATAGTCTCTTACAAACAGCCCTACTCATCCATCAGTAAAAGTTTTTAAACAGCAGTTTTCGATGATTATTTCTGTGAATGTTTTCTCCTTTTTGTGTCGTTTACCGTCTGGTTTTTTTTTTTTTTTTTTTTGTGTTTATTTGAATATTTTTGCTTCTTGTGAATGTATTTATTTTTGCTGCCTGTGAAATGTTTTTTTGTTTTCCTGATGAGTTGTCCTTCAGGGCCTCCGTACTCACTAACCTACTGAGCTCAGTTCTAATGTCTGTCCCATGAGATGAGCTGAATACGAGTGCTGACAGTGTTCAGTATCTAGTGTGTGATTCTTGGTTAGATTTACGTGTCAGAAAGACAGATTGATTCTATAAACATATTTCTATACGTGTATCTATAAATATACAGCCTATCATACATTAGTGAGGGTGTTAGTCATGTGGTATATTTACAGACTCTGAATTTAATCTTTTCACTTTGTCGTCATGCAGAAAAAGTTTCAAACTTTGATCCAAGAAACGAAGAAAAACTCAAACGAAGCTTCAAAGCTGCAGGGACGGTCTTCAGCCACCAGGGGGCAGCACCGCTCCAGGCCCCCCCCCACAGGTTCTCATCTGTTATCTGTTCCATTCAATCTTCATCTCCTCCTCCTCCTCACTGAGAGGCTCCTCAGGTAAACGCTCCACCTGTCACTTCCTGTTCAGTCCCTTCAAAGTAAAAGCTCTGCAGCAGTCAGACTCTGATGATGCTGATGGAGGACGAGGCTCTGTGCAGCTGAAACACACACACACACACACACACACACACACACACGAGTCATCATCAGGGTCACATACATGAACATGAGGTGCTGCGTGTGGGCGGGACTTATGCACAGACATCCACCAATCAGAGAGCTGACATTTACAGGTGTGTGCCCCCCCCCCGACTTTGTGGCGTTTCTACCTGTGAAATCTCAGAAACGGCGCTCTGACCCGACAGCCCGGATGTTCGTTGGCTCTGAGGCAGCGGGTCGTTGAATAAATCACGTTTACAGATGTTGTTTTTGAACGTTCTTCTGCCCCCGGCTACAAAACAACTCGCTTTAGTGGATTTGGCCTCTAAACCTGTTTTGAGTTGAGATCCCAGCGCTGTTTTAGACCCCTTATTCTCTAATCCATCACGGTCCTCCGGGGGTTTGGATCCGGTCCAGACTTAATCTCAGAGGTCTTTCTGCAACTTTATTAAATCAGGACGTTTCCTCAGAACTTGATTTTCAAAAAGCGGTTCAGGGAAAATGAGCTGCAGAGCAGGGCCGTACTCAGGCTGGATGAGGGACGAGGGGGCCCCAGGGCACCCAGGGGGGATTTATGCAGATCTGTTTTCTCTGACCTGGTCTGGTTAGTCCTCTGTGTTCAGGAGGTTGAACCTTCACCCCCAGACCGGAACCATAAATACTCTGTGCTATTAATTACTAAAAAAAAATACTAATATCTAATTAAAGATGCACTAATTTACAGACATTTCAACAAAGACCCTTTAAAAAATTCATGCTTTATTTTGTTGACACACTAGAGTCAGGGGGCTTTGGATATCTGTTTTTATCACTCTGTAAATGAGAAAATACTCTCACCACCCCTAAAAAAGTGTTTTTTTTACATCCTTTGTATTCATTCTATGGGGGCTTTATCCATTGTTTTCTCTACATGTATGTAAATTAGTGCATATTTAATAAGATATGACCTCACTTACATATTTAAACAGAACATTTGACTAAACTTGTAATATAAAAAATATTTGTCTAAATGTAGGTTATAAACTTGGGAAGTTTCATGGTGATATCTGTATGGAAGTCAAACTGTGCCATCTGATTTTTTTACATCAAAATCAGACTGAATTTCAAGAACACATTTTTATTTCTCACAGTTATTTTTTCACAATGATGAAATAAATTCGGTGTAAAAAAAATCAGTCTCTCAAAAATTTGTTTTGTAAAAATTAAACAAAAAAAAAAAAATTAAAAAAAAACTGACCTCAGTGGAAGTTTGAGGAATCGATTGCTTCTCCCTGATTACCCGGATGTTGAGTCGGTCTGTTTTAAATTCAATTATTTGACACTGAAATTTTTTTTTATGTTGAATTTTTTTGCAGAAAAAATTTAAGTCGAATTTTTACCAAACAAATCTTTTGAGAGACTGATTTTTTACACTGAATTTATTTCATCATTGTGAAAAAAAATTAAGTGTCAGAAATAAAAACGTGTTCTTGAATTAAATAGTTTTGAAATTCAAAGTCTGATTTTGATGTAAAAAAATTCAGCTTTAGAAATTCAAAGTGAAAATCAGATGGCATAGTTTGACTTCCATAGCCCTGGTCTGTCTCTGTCCTCGCTCTGCTGCTCCTGTAGCTGCAGCTCCAGTTGCTAGGAGATCTGATGAAACTACAGAAGCTCTGCTGAAAAAAACTACAAACTGTGATGGAGGAAAGCGCAGACGCGCGATGTAACGCACCCTGCTGCTGCGCACGGCTCCGTTGTGGTAGAGCGGCGAGCTGGCGGCCGAGGCGTTGTAGTAGTAGGAGGTGGAGCGGACCAGCGGCCTCTTGGCTTTCTCCTTGGCGCTGCTGGAGTCGTTGTCTTTGATGATGTCATACTGGCGGCAGAAGAGGGCGATCACGGCTGAGGAGAGAGAGAGACATGAGAGATAGAGAGGGAGGGAGAGAGAGAGAGACAAAGAGAGAGAGAGAGAGAGAGAGAGAGAGGAGTTTTAATCTTGTTTTTATCTTGTTTTTAGTCCCTTTTCCCTCAGATTTAGTATTTTCCTCTTGTTTTTATCTTGTTTTTAGTGTTTTTAATCTTGTTTTTGTCCCCTTTCTCTCAGAATTACTGTTTTTATCTTGTTTTTATCTTGTTTTTATCTTGTTTCTAGTCCCATTTTCCTCATATTTAGTGTTTTATCTTGTTTTTTTAGTGTTTTTAACTTGTTTTTAGTCCCTTTTCTCTCATATTTACTGTTTTTATCTTGTTTTAAGTGTTTTCTCTTGATTTTATCTTGTTTTTAGTCCTTTCGCCCTCATATTTAGTGTTTTTATCTTGTTAACTTGTTCTTATCTTGTTTTTTAGTGTTTTTATCTTGCCTTTGTTCCCTTCGCCCTTATATTTAGAGTTTTTATCTTGTTTTATCTTGTTTTATCTTGTTTTTATCTTGTTTTTTGTGTTTTTATCTTTTTTTATCTTGTTTTTATCTTGTTTTTAGACCCTTTTCTCTCAGATTCAGTGTTTTTATCTCGTTTTTAGTGTTTTTATCTTGTTTTTAGTGTTTTTATCTTTTTTTATCTTGTTTTTATCTTGTTTTTAGACCCTTTTCTCTCAGATTCAGTGTTTTTATCTCGTTTTTAGTGTTTTTATCTTGTTTTTATTTTGTTTTTAGTGTTTTTATCTTGTTTTTATCTTGTTTTTGGACCCTTTTCTCTCAGATTCAGTGTTTTTATCTCGTTTTTAGTGTTTTTATCTTGTTTTTATTTCGTTTTTAGTGTTTTTATCTTGTTTTTATCTTGTTTTTGGACCCTTTTCTCTCAGATTCAGTGTTTTTATCTCGTTTTTAGTGTTTTTCTCTTGTTTTTCTCTTGTTTTTAGTGTTTTTATCTTGTTTTTATCTCGTTTTATCTTGTTTTTATCTCGTTTTTATCTCGTTTTTAGTGTTTTTATCTTGTTTTATCTTGTTTTTATCTTGTTTTTAGTGTTTTTATCTTGTTTTTATCTTGTTTTTATCATGTTTTTTTGTGTTTTTATCTTGTTTTTATCTCGTTTTTAGTGTTTTTATCTTGTTTTTATCTTGTTTTTATCATGTTTTTTAGTGTTTTTATCTTGTTTTTATCTCGTTTTTAGTGTTTTTATCTTGTTTTTATCTTGTTTTTATCTTCTTTTAGACCCTTTTCTCTCAGATATAGTGTTTTTATCTTGTTTTTATCTTGTTTTTAGTGTTTTTATCTTGTTTTCATCTCGTTTTATCTCGTTTTTAGTGTTTTTATCTTGTTTTTATCTTGTTTTATCTTGTTTTTATCTCGTTTTTATCTTGTTTTAGACCCTCCTTTTTTGCCGTGCTGGAGATAAACCCTGAGATCTTGGAAACACTTGGACCTTCATTTATCCTCAGACCTCAGCTGTGATCTTCTTCTCCACCTCAGCAGAACACGCACAGAGTCAGACAGGTGTGCGCCCTCACCTGCCCACAGCAGCAGCACCGTGGTGATGATCAGCAGCTCTCCTGTCTGGAGGTGAGGACTCATCCCTAAACCCTCCATGGCCGGCTCATCTGAGGAGGAGAGACAAACAGACAGAGATGAAGTTGAGGAGGATCAGAGGGTCATCTGAGAGGAGCTGAGGAGCTGAGCTGTGTGTGTGTGTGTGTGTGTGTGTGTGTGTGTGTTTACGGTGGTCCAGGACTCCAGCAGGATAATGGTCCGTCTTCTCCAGAGTCCTGAAGTGGACGGCTCGGCTGGGCTGGCTGTCCCCGTGCGGCCCCACAGACTGCACCTAAAGAAGGAAGAGAAGAAGAAGAAAACCCTGAAGAGGAGCTGGCTCAGAGGAGACCTTCAGCTCCTGGAGGACCACGAGAGGAGTAAAGATGGAGCTGAGACTCCTTCTGTGACCTTCTCTGGGACGTTTGCAGTAAAAATCCACCTCAAATAAATAAGTTTGATGTTTATCGAGTTTTTATTTTCAGGACACGAGGCTGTGAGGCGAGAGAGAGAGAGAGAGAGAGAGAGAGAGAGAGAGAGAGAGAGAGAGAGAGGGAGAGAGAGAGAGAGAGAGAGAGAGAGAGAGAGAGAGAGAGAGAGAGACAGAGAGGGAGAGAGAGAGAGAGAGAGAGAGAGACACAAGAGCTGTGAGGCGAGAGAGAGAGAGGGAGAGAGACGAGGCTTTGAGGCGAGATAACAGAGAGGATGAAGCTGAACAATCACAGAGACGGAGGGAGAGAGAGAGGATCCGTCACTGCAGCACTGATAGATGAACGGCTTTTTGATGCCACCTGTTTCTTTTTTTAATCCTTGAAGTGTGTATTTTCAGAATATGTCAGGAGCCGAGGTGAATTAATGTCCAAAAGGATCATTTTTAACCCTTTAGTGTACTAACCCGAAATCTAAAAATCTAAATATGAGTGGGATAACTACGGTGGCCGAGGACTGACACTGCTGCCAAAAAAAAAGGAATGCAAAAAAAAAAAAAAAAAAACACAACTGAAGTTAACGATGCAAAAAAAAGTGGCAATGTTAAAAAAAAAAGGAAAAGTTACTACGGAATCAAAAGGATGCAAAAAAAAAAAAAAACTTAACAGAAGTTAAAGACTCAAAAAAAGTGACGATGCAAAAAAAAAGTTTCTAACTCCAAAAATAGAAGGATGGACAAAAAAAAACAGAAGTTAAGGCCCCCCAAAAAAGTATTGATGCAAGAAAAAAAGTTACTTATCACAAAGATAAAAGGATGCAAAAAAAACCAAAACAAAACAGAAGTTAAAGACACGCAAAGAAAAGTGGTGATGCAAAAAAAGAGTTTCTTACTGCGAAAATAAAAGGATGCAAATAAAAAAAGCCACAATGGAAGTTGCAATGGTGATGCAAAAGAAAAAAAAAGTTACTTCCTAAAAAAATAAAAGGAAGCAAAAAAAGCCCAAATTATGTAAAAATAACCAAATAAAAACTTGAAATGGTTGAAATTGTAATCGATGAAAGTTTTTGAATGAAATTATGGAAATGAATAAACTTTTGAAAGATATTCTAATTTTTTTTTACAGGCTCTGAATCTGAAGTCCTTGAATGGACAGAAACTCGCTCTCATTAAAAGTTTGATCCTCTCACTCTCAGCACAGTCTCTCATCTCTCTGCTCCCTCTGGATGAAGCAGAAAAAACTCCTCTCCTCCGCTTCAATGTCAGAGGTGGAAAAGTCGGAGTTTTCCGAGCTCTCGCTGTTGGCCGGGCTTCAGTCAGCTCGCTCGATGACTCTCCTGCAGGACATCCTGCTGCTGACGAGCTCATTTAACGAGTCCTCCAGCTGAAGGACAGTCTGTGTCAGTCTATTATGGACCATCGAAGTTTAATGGAGTCGTGATGATGGAGACGCAAACTGAGAAGAAGAAGGGAGTCATGACTGACTCCAAAAATCTGCTCATCTTCAAATGAACGCAGCGCTCATACCAGGGCAAAGTGTATGGAAGTCAATCTGTGCCATCTGATTTTCAATTTAAATTTCTAAAGCTGAATTTTTTTGCATCAAAATCAGACTTTGAATTTCAAAACTTTAAAAATTCAAAGACTATTTTTTTTAGGATGAAATAAATTCAGTGAAAAAAAAATAGGTTTCTGAAAATATTGTAGTAATGTATTGTAGTAAAAATTCAAAATTTCACATAAAAAAAATCCACTGTCAAATAATTCAGTGTCAAAAAATTTAGTGTAAAACAGACCAACTCAACATCCGGGTTATCAGGGAGAAGCAATCGATCTATGGAAGACTATTGAATTTCAAAATGATTGAATTTCAAGCACGCATTTTTATTTATGAAACTTATTTTTCACAATGATGAAATAAATTCAGTGTTAAAAAAATCTGTATTTGTTTAGTAAAAATTCAACTTAAAAAAACTAAAAGTTATAAAAAATAATGTCAAAAAATTCAATATAAAAAAATCAATGTAAAAAAATTTTATTTAAAAAACTGTCAAAAAAATTTATATAAAAAAATTTCAATGTTGAAAAATTGAGTGTAAAACAGACCAACTCAACATCCGAGTAATCAGGGAGAAGCAATCGATTCCTCAAACTTCCACTGGGTCACATGACCAATCTAGCATTAATTGATTAGCTGGACGATGGATGATTGAACCAGGAATCGATTGTTGAGTCAGTCTGTTTTACGCTAAATTCTTTGACACTGATTTCTTTTTTTATGTTTAATTTTTTTACACCATTTTTTTAAGTCAAATTTTTGCTACACAAATATTTTTAGAGACTGATTTTTTTTACACTGAATTTTTTTAATCGTTGTGAAAAAAAATAAGTGTCAGAAATAAAAATATGTGCTTGAAATTAAATAGTTTTGAAATTCCAAGTCTGATTTAGATGCAGAAAAATTCAGCTTTAGAAATTCAAATTGAAAATCAGATGGCACAGATTGACTTCCATAAGCGTGGCTCTACAAAGACTGAGGTCAGGGGTCATTATCATGTTCATGAGTGTGTTTCTCACCTGGACGCTGTAGTGTGTGTTCTCGTCCAGGTCCCACAGCACGCACCAGCGGCTGGACGTGTTGACCTCTCTGATGGAGCGCTGCATCAGTCCGTCCTGACGCTAAACACACGCATCAGAAGAAGAAGAAGAAGAAGAACTCTGGATTTCATTGGTTAAGAGGTGAGAACGAGCTTCCGAAGAGCCACGCCCACTTCAGCTACGTTGACTCATCACTTTTCATGTTAGCAGGTTATACACACACACACACACACACACACACACACACACACACACACACATATTTATATGCAAATGTAATCCTGCGGTATCATCCACCTCTTCTAATTGCAGCTCTCAGGACTTCATGGTCCTGTGCATAAGAATAGGTGTGCAAAAAAAACAAGTGTGTAAAAAAGAAAATGTGCAAAAATAGAACAGGTGCAGAAAAAAACAGGTGTGTAAAAAAAACAAGTGTGTAAAAAAAATGTGCAAAAATAGAACAGGTGTGAAAAAAAAAATTGGTAAAAAAACAGGTATGTAAAAAAAAACAGGTGTGCATGGACACAGGTGTGTAAAAAAAGGTGTGTAAAACAACGCGATGTTGAGGAAAAGAAGGTTTCTGAAATTCTTGCTTGTTTGTTTGAATGCAGTAACACTTTGAAACACCAGGGGGCAGCAGAAACAACAGAAACAACAGAAACAACGTGGCGACGCCGATATTTGCTGACTCAGCAGTTGCTGATTTTTGCTGCAAAGTTACGACAGAAGATTTTTTTTTTTTTTACATCTTTAATCTGCTGCAGGATGAGCCGGAAAAAGGTGATGAAAGAAAACTGAAAAAGTCAAACTCTGAACTGAAGAAGGTCAAACATGAAACCAAAGTTAAAGAAGCTCTAAACAGATTTCATCAGAACAAAGAAAAGTGTCATCTCGGCTCTGTTAAAGCAGAACTTTAACTCTGAACTGTCTCTCTCTCTCTGCAGCCTGGTGGGTGTTCAGGTCTAGTCGGAGCGACACTCAGGTTTTCCCGGCACATTAAAGCGGCTGTGAAGCAGTAAAAGCTGAAGAGGAGTCAATAAATAAAAGAAGTGGCAGGACGCTTGAGGCGGTCCAGATGTCTGAATCACCAGAGACTCAGCAGAGTCCAGACGAGGGATCAGAGACGGACGATTTATTGTCCTACGGCACAAAAAGACCAGAGGAGAGTGTTTCTGGATGTTCATCAGGGGTTTTCAATCAAAACAGGTGACTCAGCTGAGATTATGCAAGATTCTGGACCTAAAACCTCCAAATCCATCACACTTAGAGAGAGAGCGGCCAAACACAGCTTCAGCCAAAAGAGCAGAGAAACGCCTGATTCAGGCAGAAAGGAAAGAAATGTGAGTGTTTTCAGATTCACCAGCAATTCCTGCAAAAAGCATCATCTGTTTTATCAGAGTCATAAATCTGATCTACACTGAATTAGAACAGAGAGACCGAAACTAACAGACTCTTTACAGCCCTGAGTTTGGTCTGCAGGCCTGTTACCTTAGCAGCCAAACCAGAGGGCAGAAAAACGGCAGGCATGAACGTGATGTGAGCCGGAGTGTGTCGACTTCTCCTCTCCGCTCTCAACATCATGAACACACTGCAAAAATGGGAGGTCTAAAAACAAGATAGAAACAGAAATACTCGCGAATGTCTTCTTGTGAAACTTGAACTTCTCCTCTCCTCCAAAGTTTCTTTTAAAGTTGAAAAAAAAAGCAGAAGAAGAAGAAGAAGAAGAAAAGGTCACCCAGACTCTTCTGATCGGTTCGATCCACTTAACCTTCAGCCGGGTTCATCAGGCGTTTCTGAAAAGGTTCTGACCTCAGTGAAAAGTCTTTTTCTCTGCCGCAGACTGACCTTTGCTCCTCCTGCAGGTGGAGACGGAGTTATTTTGGGGTCATGTGAGGAGTCGACAGCAAACAAACAGATCTGTGTTTTCAGTCTGCGGGTTAAACATCCCAACACGTCAATCATCTCTCTACCTCGAGTGCTGAAGAGGTGTCAGACTCAGAGTTTGTGTGTTTCTAAAATCAAACCTCTGTGTGTGTGTGTGTGTGTGTGTGTGTGTGTGTGTGTGTGTGTGTGTGTATGTGTGTGTGTGTGTTCCTGTTTGTTGCGTAACGTGTGAATCCGTGCGGGCGGAGGAGATCTGGGATTTGGAACAACTTCAGATGAGCGAAGGAGGTTTTTGTCTGAGCAGATTCACTCGTCCTGCTTCTCCTTCACAGAAACAGAGACTCAGCTTGTCACGCACAGATAATACCCGTGAAATAATCTCCTAAAGACGCTCACTGCTGCTGCTGCTGCTGCTGCTGCTGCTTATTTTAGCCTTAAAAGCTGATTTTTGTCGGAGCAGAATCCTGCAAACGATTCAGTTCTTACCGAGAAAACAAAACCCAACCGTAGATCCAGAAGTGTTGGAGAATTTCTCCTGTTTTCAGAGTCTTTAAGTTTCCACTGTAATCTTCTCTCCAACAACCTTCTCTTCTGTTTGTCTCCAATAGTCAGGAAATCTTCACATGAGAAAAATAACTGTTCAAATCAGTTCTAGTCTCATCCAAAGGAATCTTGTTTTCAGATTCAGTAAGCCTTGTTTCAAGATCAGCCTGCTTGGATTGAGACAGAGTTTAGTCATTCTTCACTAATACTGGGTATTTGTTTTTTATTGTTTTTTAGTGTTTTTAATTTTGTTTTTAAACAATTTTCCCTCAGATTTAGTGTTTTTATCTTGTTTTTTTATCTCGCTTTTAGTGTTTTTATCTTGTTTTATCTTGTTTTTAGTTTTTTTTATTTTGTTGTTATCTTGTTTTAAGTGTTTTAACTTGTTTTTAGTGTTTTTTACCTTTAATCTTGTTTTTAGTGTTTTTATCTTGTTTTTAGTGTTTTTATCTTGTTTTTTACTTGTTTTTATCTTGTTTTTAGTGTTTTTTATCCTGTTTTATCTTGTATTTATCTTGTTTTTAGTGTTTTTATCTTGTTTTTATCTTGTTTTATCTCGTTTTATCTCGTTTTTATCTTGTTTTAGACCCTTTTCTCTCAGATTTAGTGTTTTTATCTTGTTGTATCTTGTTTTTATTTTGTTTTTACTTTTTTATCCTGTTTTATCTTGTTTTTATCTTGTTTTTAGTGTTTTTATCTTGTTTTTATCTTGTTTCTGGACCCCCCTTTCTGCTCATGTCCTATAACCGATGTCAAACGCAGACGCAGCAGCTCGAACTCCTCCTCCTCCTCCTCCTCCTCCTCCTCCTCCTCTGGTCCTCCTTGTTCTCCTCCTCCTGCGCCTCCTCCTCCTCTCTCCAGGAGCGCAGCCTAAAGGTTATGACAGGAGATGTTTTACACTCCCCTCCTCTGGTTCTCCAGGAGGTTGATGGATGGTGAGTCAGACGGGAGGAGACTTTATCAAAGATAAATAAATAAAAAACGGTTTTGGCAGCTCCGCCACCGAGGATGTCTCTCCTGTGAGACCGGACCCTCGCCAAATCATTTCCACTAATGGAGACGACTCCCACTCCTGATGTCCGATTCTGCTCTCTGCCAGAACGGTGGGAGGTAGAAAGTGATTAGGACGGAGCGAGCTGAGTGAGCGGGCGGTGTTACCGAGACGTGAGAGCAACATAATGAGGTGATTTATGAGCAGAATTAAAACAGAGATGTCTGACCCAGGTCCAGGGGACTCTGCTGAGCGGCTTTGTAGAAAGATCTGAACTCCAAAAACCTGCAGAGTGAGTCAGCCGTGAGGAAGGAAGGAAGGAAGGAAGGAAGGAAGGAAGGATTCAAGGTGCTGGGAAGGAAACCCAGGACAGATCAGATCTAAAGGTTCAGACATGCTCTGGTGTTGAGTAGACTAACCCTCGGCTCCTCCTCTGTCCTGTCATTTTTTCCTCTCTGTCTCCTGTAGTTCTCCTGTAGTCATTTTAGCTCCGCCCACCCTCCTCTGTCCTCAAATCGGCCAATAGACTTCCATTAAAAACAGCGTGTATTTATGTCACCATAACAACATATTCCGACCTTCTTTTATCGGAGTCAGTCGATCAGCAGGGCTCTAAATCTGACTTTCCCACAGTGAGACAACAGACTGAGCCGCACATCATTTTAACCCCTTCAGTGCCGCTTAGAAATGATTCCTATCTTACGGATATCTGCTGATTTTATATGTTTATATATAATATTAATTTATTATGAACAAATGAATTCAATCACATTTGATTTGGTCGAGGACGAGGCTGATTAGTTCAGCTGATTATTACTTTATCAATAAATATGACATGGTGAACAGAAACTGGAATAAAAAGGGAAAAACATCAGATTTATTATTCATTACTTTTTTTAATAATCAGGGCTGAAGTTGTTTTAGAGATCTGAGTCGAAAAAATTTTAAAAAAACTTTAAAAATGATGTTTTTATGAACACTTATCTGCATGTCTGTTTGAGGGACAAAGGAGGCTGTATGGAGGTAAAATACGGAAAATTTTCACTACAAAAAAAATTTAAATGCATCAAAATCAATTTTATTTCTCATCATTGACTCTTTTTATTTAAAAAAATTAATCTCTGTCATTTTATATGGAAATATGATGATTTTTTTTTCCATTAAAAATAACACTGACATGTCGAACAAAAACCGTCATTAAAAGAGCAAAACTTTGAATTTTCTATTTATTATTTAATGATCAGGGCTGAAGTTTTTTTTAGAGATTTGAATCAAAAAAAGTTTTAAAAAGTTTAAAAATGATGATTTTATGAACATTTATCTGCATGTCTGTTTGAGGGACAAAGGAGGCTGGATGGATCTTAAATTAACAGGAAGTGAGGGTTATAAACGGTTCAGAGGGTCCGGGTCCAGACTGGGGGACTGGACTGAGAGGGAAAGGTGAGACAGGTCCTCAGTGTGAGGACAGGTCTCATTACTCTGACATGAGGACACACTCTGGGATCACAGGGACTTGAGCTGACGGGGTTCAGGTCATAAAATCAGGTCCACCTCAAAAACTACATCTCAGTAAAAACCGTCTCCTCCTCCTCCAATAATCGTCTTCTTCTTCTTCTTCTTCTTCTTCTCCTTCTTCTTCTTCTTCTCTAATTGGACCCTCAAAGACTCTCTGGTCGTCTTCAGTAACAAGGACATCAAAAGCAGCTCTGTCTCGACCCTAACCAGCTTCACAGAGAGTTTCACTCTCCCCCTGACTCGGAGAGGAGACGCCTCTCGTGATGATGCAGCGTTTCAGAAAATCCCCCCGTGGACAGAGAGAGGACAAAATAACAGCAGCGAGTCCACGAAAAAAACAATCACAGCCGATCCATAATTCAGCTTCAGAGGGGGAGCGGCAGCCGTCCAAGGTTTTCATAATTTATGTCTCTTCAATTTGTCCCCCTGAAAAATTAATTGGCCTTCAACCAAACGAGCAGAAAGACCGGGAGAGGTTCAGACCGGGCGAAACCTGACGGCTGACGGATGGACTCCATTTAAGCAGCCGTCTGACCAATCATTGTAGAGCTTTTGGAGGATTAAACCAATTAAGAGGAATCGATCACACACACACACACACACACACACACACACACACACACACACACACACACACACACACACACACACACACACACTCAGACTTTACCTGTTGGGAGATGGCGTATCCGATGACGGTGTCACCCTGTGGGACGTTCCAGGTCACCATGGCCGAGTGCGCCCTCAGCTGGGTCACCGACACGTTGACGGGGGCCGCCGGCACAGCTGTGAGAACACACACACACACACACACACACACACACACACACACACACACACACAGAAACCTTGTTTAAGTTCACCTTGATCATGTCCACAGACAGTTTATGAGTATCAGGTCATCTAAAGCTGTGGTTCTCAACTGGTGGGTCCCCACCCAAAAGTGGGTCGCAGACACGTTCTGGATGGGTCGTGAACAGCTGGTCAAAAAAGTGAATATTTAATGTGAATCTGATGTTTGACACGTCTTTTATTTTGAGCTCTAACTCGCTGTGAATTAATTTTACGTCAGAATATCCCTTTAAAGACATCAAACAGAGAATGAGGAAAAACTGTCAGAAAAAAGTGAAGATCTTTATCAGCCGGTGTTCAGAAAAACAGAGTCCTTATTCTGAGTGGAAACAGACACACAGACACAGACACACAAACACAGACACACAGACACACAGACACAGACACACAGACACAGACACAGACACACAGACACACAGACACATAGACACACAGACAAACACAGACACACAGACACACAGACACACAGACACAAACACAGACACACAGACACACAGACACAGACAGACACAGACACACAGACACACAGACACACAAACACAGACACACAGACACACAGACACACAGACACAGACACAGACACAGACACACAGACAAACACAGACACACAGACACACAGACAAACACAGACACACAGACACATAGACACAGACACACAAACACAGACACACAAACACAGACACACAAACACAAACACACAGACACAGACACAGACACACAGACACACAAACACAGACACAGACACACAAACACAGAAACACAAACACAGACACAGAAACACAGACACAAACACAGACACACAAACACAGACACACAGACACAAACACAGACACACAAACACACGAACACAAACACAGACACACAGACACAGACACACAGACACACAAACACAAACACACAGACACACGGACACACAAACACACAGACACACAAACACAGACACACAAACACAGACACACAGACACAGACACACAGACACAGACACACAAACACAGACACACAGACACACAGACACACAGACACACAAACACAGACACACAGACACACACACAGACACACAAACACAGACACAGACACAAACACAGACACACAGACACACAAACACAGACACACAAACACAGACACACGTCATCGTCATCATGTGTTTCTGCCTGTTTCTCGGTTCCTCGCCGTCCTTCAGCAGGACGCTGTGAGGACGGTCTCAGGTCCACCCCCTCTTCACTGTGAATCAGCGGATTAAAGTGTCAGCTCTACATAACTGTATGATCATGTGCAAAGACACACACACACACACACACACACACACACACACACACACACACACACACACACACAGACACACACACACACACACACATTAAAGCTGGTGTTAATGAATCTCTGGAGGAAGATTGAAACTAATGGGAAGTTTCTGCACAGAGAGATTTTTTTAAAAGGTGCTAAATCATCAGTAAGAAGAGGACGAGCGAGAGAGAGAGAGAGAGAGAGAGAGAGAGAGAGAGAGAGAGAGAGAGAGAGAGAAACGTAATTTAAAGGAAGAGAAAGAAAAGGAAAAGTCAAACCGTAGATTTATACAATCCACTTAATTTCTACGTCACATTTTAAAAAATTCTCATGTTTGCCAAAGTGCTGCTGCTGCACAGTGAAGTTTAAAAGAACAAACAGAAAACATCACCAGGACATAAATAAAAAACATCTAAAATGAAATAAAACAAATAAAAACACAAAAGCATCAAAGAAATAAAAGGGATAAGAGATAGTCGGAGCGTGGGGGAGTATAAACATTTAAGAGGTCAGAGACGTACTGTGGTTAAAAAACAAACAATAAAATATTAAAATGGATTTTAAAATGAACAGAACCGTGGTGATGTGGTCATGTTTTTGTTGTTAAAAGACGAGCAGCAGCGTTTTGGACAAACTGTGAGTGAGAGAGAGAAACCTGATCAAAAAAAACAATAAAAAATAAAAACAGGAATGACTTTATTAAAAATCATTAAAAGATAAAAAGGATTTCATCTGGGATAAAAGCCTCAGATGATTAAAAAATGGATTTAACAACAGAGTTGATTTAAAATCTGTGTCGACTTTTACACCACGATGTAAAACTGTGGGTTAAAAATACGGTAAAAGAGGGTCCAGCTCCCTTTTCTTTTCATTAAAGTTTAAAAAGATCAAAACTATTCAGAGAGCTAACATCTCTTTTCTTTATCCAGAGGCAGATCTGAGTGTCGTCTGTGTGCAGATCTGATGATATAAACTCTCTTTTCACCTGTGAACTCTTCTTTTATCGTCTTTTCATATGTCTTTTACATCGTTGGTTTTATTCCTCAAAATTTTCTGTATTTTAAATTGTTTCATATTTTTTTTCTTTGTGAGGCGTCTTTGAGCATCTGTAAAAGCGCCTTATAAATAAAAAATATTATCATTATCATTATTTTATATCGTGCTTTTTAAAAGTTTATGAACAAAATATATCTGTCTGCCTCAGTCTGTCACCTCCCATTTCCCAGCATGCCCTCTGACAGTGAAGGCGTATGAACCTGTTGCACTCAGCCTGAGTGGGAGCGCTGAATGAAAGCAGAGAGAGTGGGAGAAAAAAGCGCCATGTGTGGCTGCAGTGCATGCTGGTCTATTTCCTGACTCTGTGGGCGGAGGAACTGGCGGCTGCTGCGGCGTCTGTGACTAAAACCTTCATGAGAGCGTCCTGATGAACAGCAGCTGCAGAAACACGAGTGAGGCTGGAGAAACAGGAGTCAGGCAGCTGCAGCTGTATGGAAGTCAATCTGTGCCATCTCAGTTTGAATTTGAATTTTTTTAAAGCTGAACTTTTTGGCATCAAAATCAGACTTTGAATTTCAAACACGCATTTTTATTTCTGAAACAATTTTTTTTCCTATAATGATGAAATAAATTCAGTGTAAAAAAATCGATTCCTCAATTTTCCACCAGGGTTGTTTTTTTTAAGTTGAATTTGTACTACACAATTTTTGGAGAGACCAATTTTTTTTACACTGAAATTATTTCATCATTGTGAAAAAATAAGTGTCACAAATAAAAATGCATGCTTGAAATTCAACATCTGATTTTGATGCAAAAAAATTCAGCTCTAAAAAAATTCAAATTCAAAATCAGATGGCACAGATTGACTTCCATAAATCGATTACTTCTCCCTGATTGCCCAGATGTTGAGTCGGTCTGTTTTACACTCAATTTTTTGACACAGAGTTATTTGACCCTGACAATTTTTTATGTTGAATATATTTAAACAATTTTTTTTAAGTTGAATTTTTTGCTACATTACTACAAAATCAAAAATGCGTACTTAAAATTTGATGGTGCTAAAATTCAAAGTCTGATTTTGATGCAAAAAAATTCAGCTTTAGAAATTCAAAATTTAAATCAGATGGCACAGATTGACTTCCATACCAGGTTTGACATTTCTAAACCACCAGAGCTCATAGATGCTGAGTCTGAGAGAGGGTCTGTTCAGGACAGAAAATGACAGAAACTCTAAAATATCATCCTCACAGCAGGTCCTGAGGAGTCTACACACACACACACACACACACACACACACACAGGGAGAGAGAGAGAGAGAGAGAGAGAGAGAGAGAGACATGCTCCCCTGTCAGAGACAATGACAGCAACTTCTCCCCTGAACTCTCCTGTCACGTCACGGCTGCTAAATCCCAAAAGACCCCTGCTATTACATTATGTACAGAGAGAGAGAGAGAGAGAGAGAGAGAGAGAGAGAGATTAAGAGGAGGACAGGAGGATAAATGAGTCAGAGGAGAAAAAAAGACGAATTATCTGAGGCTGAAATCAGGAGATGGCAGAGTGAATTTTCAACCTTCTGGTTCGGAGGGAGAAGAAAAGACGAGAGGAGAGGAAGAGTGAAGAGAGAGACGGACGGATGGACGGAGAGGGAGGAGGAAGAGGATCAATGTGAGAGAAAGAATAAGAGAAAAAGAGGAGGAGGAGGAGGAGGATGTAGGTATTGATTAAGTGATGAAATATAGCTGCTCAGATGAATGTAGGAGAGCGCACACACACGAGCGCACACACACACACACACACACACACACACACAGAGCTCGTCCTTGCTCATCCTTCAGCTGGTTTGTTCGGATGAATTCTTGATGCTCCTTTTATCATTTTTTAACGTGGAGGAAGCGTTCAGATCCTGTCATGAAGGTTTCTGAGGTTCAGGTGAAGCTCTTCTGTTCACTCTGTTTCTATAGAGCTAGTGTCATAGATTCCACCTCTCCACCTAAACCGTTAAACTCACAGGCCTCAGGGGTCTTCACACTCTATTTTACACGACATTTTGGAGGTTCAGGGTTAAAAACTTTGGTACATCCAACGGAAGCCTCAGACAAAATTTGGCGCTTGTTTCAGCAAAAGTACAATAACAACAACAACCGTTACAATAATAACCACAATAACAACAACAACAACCAGAATAATAACAACAACAATGACCACAATGATAATAACAACAATAACAACAACCACAACAATAACAACAACAACCACAATTATAACAACAACAACTACCACAACAATAACAACAAGAATAACCACAACAATAACAACAACAATAACCACAACAATAACAACAACAATAATAATAACAACAACAACCGCAATAATAATAACAACAACAACAACAACAACCACAACAATAACAACAACAATGACCACAAGAAAAAACACAACAATAACAACAACAATAACCACAACAATAACAACCACAACACCAACAACAACAACCACAATAATAACAACAACAATAACAACAACAATGACCACAACAAAAACAACCACAACAACAAAGAACGACAAAAAACAACGACAACAATGACAATAAATTTTACAAGAACAACAACAAAAACGAGGACCACAGCAACAACAAGGACAACAACAATAACCAAAACTACGACAATGACAATAACAACGGCAGCATCAACAACAACAATAACCACGACTGCGACAATGACAACAACAACAACAACAATGAGGGGGGGCTGGGTGAGGGCGTGTTTCCATGGTTTCTCTCAGAGCGAGTGTCTCTCAGTGACGTAGGAGGCGGAGCCGACAGTCCATCATAAATCAGCGCAGCAGTTAAAAACAGTCTGCTGATCCACTCAGACAGAATAATCTGGATAATGGCTCCACACTGAGGAGTCTACTCTGACTCTGTGTGTGTGTGTGTGTGTGTGTGTGTGTGTGTGTGTGTGTGTGTGTTTTCAGAGTCCAGTTACGACCTGTGCATGCTGATTAAGAGGAAGTTTCGCCTCTTACATAAGAGCAGTGAGCAGCTGACTCTGTCTACAGGTCTCTGCTGGTTTTGGTGGTCTCTGCTGGTTTTGGTGGTCTCTGCGGGGTCACTTTGTCCCCTTGTGGTCCTCTCTAATCATAGTCTCTCTCTTTCTCTGAGTGTTTCTGTGACTTTAATTCTCCGTTTATAGGTTTATCCCCTCTGCATCCTACAAACGATTCAGTTCTTACCAAGAAAACAAACGTAGATCCAGAAGTGTTGGAGAATTTCTCCTGTTTTCAGAGTCTTTAAGTTTCCACTGTAATCTTCTCTCCAACAACCTTCTCTTCTGTTTGTCTCCAATAGTCAGGAAATCTTCACATGAGAAAAATAACTGTTCAAATCAGTTCTAGTCTCATCCAAAGGAATCTTGTTTTCAGATTCAGTAAGCCTTGTTTCAAGATCAGCCTGCTTGGATTGAGACAGAGTTTAGTCATTCTTCACTAATACTGGGTATTTTTTCTCTACATTTCTATTTTTGGTTGAACTAATCTTCAGCTTCATTTGATCAAAGGAAGAAAAATAAATATGTCATTGATTAGATTTAGTCGATTTCACTGATTTTAGGGCTGGAAAAGTGACATTTTTTAAGTTATCTCATCTTTAAAGCAGCATTTTATACTTATTTTATGCTTATATTATATATATTAAACTTTATTTTGGGGCTGTAAAAGTTCTTCTGGTCTATCTGCAGATCTTCTGAGACTCTGTGTTGTTGTGAACGTTTTAGTTTTTGTGCTCCTACACAGTCATTCTGATAAAAACAGGTTTATAAAAGAGTCTTTTCTGACTAACCAGAACATTCTGCAAAAACTGAACTGAACTGAAATGTCAGCAATTAGAGGAGAACTTCAATCTGCCCTCAAACCCACAAATGACGACCAGGAGGAGCTGCAGAGACGCAGAGAAACGACGACGGAAGAACAGACGAGCAGAAGACTGAGAAACAGAGATCAACCAACAACAACTGCAACCGCGACAATGACAACAACAACAACAACAATGAGGACAACAATGACAACAACAACAACAACAAAACAACGAAACAACAACAACTGCAACCATGACAACGACAACAACAAAACAACAACAATGAGGACAACAATGACAACAACAATAACAAAACAACGAAACAACAACAACTGCAACCACAACAATGACAACAACAAAACAACAACAACTGCAACCGCGACAATGACAACAACAACAACAACAATGAGGACAACAATGACAACAACAACAACAACAAAACAACGAAACAACAACAACTGCAACCATGACAACGACAACAACAAAACAACAACAATGAGGACAACAATAACAACAACAACAACGAAACAACAACAACTGCAACCATGACAACGACAACAACAAAACAACAACAATGAGGACAACAATGACAACAACAATAACAAAACTACAACAACGACCACAGCAACAACAACAACAACAATAACTGCAATCACAACAATGACAACAACAACAACAATGAGGACAACAATGACAACAACAACAACAACAAAACAACGAAACAACAACAACTGCAACCATGACAACGACAACAACAAAACAACGAAACAACAACTGCAACCATGACAACGACAACAACAACAACAAAACAACAACAACTGCAACCATGACAACGACAACAACAAAACAACGAAACAACAACTGCAACCATGACAACGACAACAACAAAACAACAACAATGAGGACAACAATGACAACAACAATAACAAAACTACAACAACGACCACAACAACAACAACAATAACTGCAACCACAACAATGACAACAACAACAACAATGACCAAAACGACAGCAGCTTCAACAACAGCGACAACAATGACAACAATGATAATGATGACAATAATGATGACAATAATGACACTAACAACACAGACAATGATAACGAGAACCACAACATCAACAATAATGACGACAATGACAACAACGATGACAATGATGGCAACAACAAGAACAACAACATAACAACAACAATGAGGACAACAATGACAACAGCAACAACAAGAACTTCAGGAGGAGTGTGGGAGTCAGAGAGGAGGACACATCAGCGCAGAGATAAATACAGGAGTGAGTGTGGGGACCTTTGGGGGTCTGGGTCTTCAGGAGCTTCAGCCTCCTGCTTTGAAATCCAACAAACACTTTGAGAAAACAAAGAGACCTGGAGAGAGACTGGAGATGAGCGCCAGCTCTGCTCCTGCAGACCAACACACACCGGGAATGTTGTTGTTAGCTATTCTCCGAGAGTCTGACCTGACTGCAATGTCACGGCGTGTCCTCAGAGCAAGACTCCAGAGAGGAGACCAACAGGTGTCTGCACACAGGGATAATGAAGTTAGCTGCTCTCTAACCTACTGCTGAAGAGTCTGAACTCCTCCTCCTCCTCCTCCTCCTCCTCACTCCCACATCTCTGCACAAACACTCAGAGGAGAGTTTTCAAGTCAAAGTGAGATCTGAAAACTGTCCGAGTGTTAATGAGACAGAGGAAGAGTTCTCTCACATGACAGGAGGAGGAAGAGGAGGAGGAGGAGGACAAATGTCCAAGTGTTTAACTGGGTTAAAGGTCTACATGCAAAAACAAGGAGATCTGACATCCTCCTCAAGATTCTTCTGAAGTCAGAATAAAACGACTTTTCTGCAGAGATTCAGGAAACAAAACAAACAAAACAGAGAGAGGGAGAGAAAGAGAGAGAGAGAGGGAGAGAGAGAGAGAGAGAGAGAGAGAGGGAGAAGGAGAGAGAGAGAGAGAGAGAGACGTCCAACAAGGACAACCAATCCTGGAGGGATATATTCATGACTGCAGAACTTAGGGTGGCCGAGAGCCGCCACTGCTGCAAATAACAAAGAAACACCAAAAAAAAGAACGCCACTGCTGCAAATAAAATTAAAAAAAGGACTGAAAAAAAGTTTCTTTCTGCAAAAATAAAAGGGTGCAAAAATCTGCACCGTTTCCTTCGGTTTCTTATTTTTTTGCATCGTTAACTTTTGTTGAAGCCCTTTTTTTTATCTGCACTGTTTCTATTGTTTTTTTTTCAGCAGGCTTCAGCTTTATTTTTATTTTTATTTATTTTTTTGCATCATGAACTTCTGTTGTGTTTTTTTTTATTTGCATTCTCTTATTTTCACAGTAAGTAACTTTTTTTCCCATCGCTCCTTTTTTTTGCGTGGTTAACTTCCGTTGTGGCTCTCGGTGTAAAAAATAAAAATGCGTGCTTGAAATTCAATAGTTTTAAAATTCAAAGTCTGATTTAAAATTCAGCTTTAGAAATTCAAATTCAAAATCAGATGGCACAGATTGACTTCCATACGAACTCAGCTCTCCGCTCTCATTTAACCCTGAAGCTGCTGAGACTGTTTTGGTTTCTGCTGCTGGACTGTAGAAATCCTCTTTCCAAACCTAAACGTGACATTTGTGCTCCGGTCTCCTCTCAGGTGGAGCCTTCTGTGTGTTTTGGGGCTGAAATCTGTTGGAGACACTTCCTGCTGTTTCGTCGTTGGTTGTGACACTGACCCGGCTGTTTTCCCATGAATGAAAGTCCTTGTTTCACCCTGAGAATCCAGCCTGGCAGAGACGATCCCCGCAGCTGAGAGGTGAAAAAAGAGCCGCTCTGCAGATAAATCAATAGAAGGTTCGTAAACGAAGATTAAGTGAGGAGGGCGTTGATCTGGTTTCATTCGCAGAGGCGTAGCTCTGATTTTCAGGGGAAGGATAAAGAGAGCGAGGGCGGAGGGTGGCGGAGGAGGGCGGAGGGTGATTTAAGTGCCTGCTGCAGCTAATTAAAGCGACCTGAGAGAGGAGGGAGACGGCTGTGAAATTCCAATCCCAGGATAAACACTAAATTAAGCTTCTGACAGTTTTACTACAGCGGTTTGTCTGCGTGAATTATGAGGAGTAAACACCGCGCAGATACCCACAACACTCAACCCACAGACGGCGAGCGGCGAGCAACGAGCAGCGAGCAGCGGCGGCGTGTTCATGGAAGCTGTTCTGTCCAGCCTCTGAACAACGAGTCCTCCTTTTCACCGAGTCTGTCCGTCAAATTAAAGATCTGTGAGACATTTTTATTTAGTTTTTCATCATCAGCATCCAAAAACATTTCTGAAAAATAACCGCACATGATTTCTGCACCGCTTTAATCTTCCAAATACATTTGTAGACATGATTATTTCTAGACTGAACAATCTTCATTCACGAAATCTTGTTTAGTGAAATGATCTTGCTGCATGGACAGATCATTTCATAATTTTTCTATGTTGATTTTTTTTTTCCCCACAGTTGTTTTTTTAAGTTGAATTTTACAACACAAATAATTTGAGAGACTGATTTTTTTTACACTGAATTTTTTTTATCATTGTGAGAAAATAAGTGTCAGAAATAAAGATGTGTGCTTGAAATTTGATGGTTTTGAAATTAAAAGGCTGATTTTGACGCAAAAAAATGTAGCTTTAAAAATTTAATCAGATGGCACAGATTGACTTCCATACTTCTCCCTGGTTACCCGCATGTTGAGTCGGTCTGTTTTACACTAAATATTTTAAAACTGAAATTTTTTTTACAGTTTTTTTTTCTGTTGAATTTATACTACATGAATATTTTGAGAGACTGATTTTTTTTTTTACACTGAATTTATTTCATTATTGTGAAAAAAATAAGTGTCAGAAATAAAAATGTGTTCTTGAATTTTGACACTTTTGAAATTCAAAGTCTGATTTTGATGCAAAAAAACCCTTCAGTTTTAGAAATTCAGATTTAAAATCAGATGGCACAGATTGACTTCCGTAGCCTGGCCCCTGGTACTCACTCGCTCCGGCCGGCTCCGGGGTCTTCCAGCAGGCCAGCAGCAGCAGCAGCAGCAGCCCCACGTCCAGGTGAAGAGAGCCGGTCATCTCTCCTCCTCCTCCTCCTCTTCCTCCTCCTCTTGTCTTGGTCTCTTCTGATGTTGAACTAGAAGTTTCCCCTCATCATCATCCTCCTCCTCATCTTCATCATGTCCTCCTCCATCTCCGTCCACGTATCGGGTTTGGACCCAAACTTGCTCAAAGTGGGTCAGTAGTAGGTATGCTGCGGTGAGGACCCCGGTCCTCCGGCTGCCTCCCTGTGTGCAGCAGAGGCGGAATAATAATCCGGGTGAAGCTAACAGGTTGTCCCTCCACTCCGCGTCGATCTGGACGCTTGAATTCGGTTTTCAGACGCAGAATTTCGCCGTTTTTTGCCGCGATGATGAGAATCAAGGATCAGCACCGAGGACAGCGCTCAGGCTGTGAAATCAGTGATGAAAAAAACAACGAGAATCATCGTTTTAAGAGCGTCAATATAAACCGGTGAAGGTTTCAGCACCGAGGACAGCGCTCAGGCTTTTAGTACACTTCATAAAAAAACTACAAAAATCCGCGTTTTTCCGGGTCTAACCGAACAAACGGAGAAGAAGAAGAAGAAGAAGAAGAAGAGAAGAAGCTGCTCTGTCCTCCTCCTCAGAAAATGTCTGTCTGCAGGAGGTTCACGGAAACTCCCACACAAACACAGCACGAGGCACGCACGAGACTGACGTGAAAATGGAGGGGGGGGCTGTCAGTGATCACTGTTTATAATGTAATCAGATTACAAAAACCGCAGTATCGGATTAAAATAATCCCATAACTGCAGAGAAAACACAGACATGTATGGAAGTCAAACTTTGCCATCTGATTTTGAATTTCAATTTCTGAAGGTGACAATTTTTTTGCATCAAAATCAGACTCTGAATTTCAAAACCATCAAATTTCGAGCACACATCTAAATTTCGGACACTTTTTTTTCACAGTGATGAGATTAATTCAGTTTTTAAAAAATTGTGTTTCAAAAGATTTGTTTATCTAAAAATTCAACTTAAAAGAATTTTGTGTCGGGAAGTTGAGTGTAAAACAGATCGACTCAACGTCAGGGTCATCTGGGGTCGGTGTATGGAAGTAAATCTGTGCCAAAAGATTTTGAATTTCTAAAACTGAAAATTTTTTGCATCAAAATCAGACTTTGAATTTCGATACGATTGAATTTCAAGCACACATTTTTGTTTCTGACACTTTTTTTTCACAATAATAAAAAAAATTCAGTGCAAAAAAAAAAAAGATTCACATGACCAATCTGGCATTATTTGATTGGCTGGACGATGGATGACTGAACCGGAAATCGATTACTTCTCCCTGATTACCCAGATGTTCAGTCGGTCTGTTTTACACTCAATTTTTTGACACTGAATTTTTTTTATGTTGAATTTTTTTTTCACAGTTTTTTCTTATGTTGAATTGTTTTTTACACAGCTTTTTTAAGTAAAATTTTTACTGAACTAATATTTTTAGACTTTTTTTACAGTTAATTTATTTAATCATTGTAAAAAATAAAAAGTGTCAGAAATAAAAATGTGTGCTTGAAATTCAATAGTTTCCAAATTCAAGGTCTGATTTTGATGCAAAAAAGAAAATTCAGCTTTAGAAATTCAAATTTAGAACCAGATGGCACAGATTGACTTCCATATATTTCTGTGTTAATCTCATATTTTTGCAGATTAATCTTATAATTTGGAGGGAAAACTCAAATAAAGAGGTTTCATATTTCCACAGAAACATCAGCAGACAGTAGAGAAAGATAGAAATGTTTTTTTTCTGAGTGTTTCGGTTTATTTTGAAAACTTTGTTTATGATCAGCGTCAGTTTATCAAACTCAGGATGCAGCAGATCGACCTCGTTCGTTAATTCTCTTCTCTAAACCACAGACCTTGAAAATCCTTCGGCGTGGCGTTCGCTGGCATTCCTCCCAGATATGATGTCAAAGCTAAATACATCCTCAGACCTGCAGGGCGGCGCTGACAGCTCTCACACCTCATTAATCCTTAGCCGTGGGATTATTTCACCCTTTTTTTAATTCATCCCAGCTCTGCAAACTCTGCACGCTGTACTGTTTGACTTCTGTGACACCGCACATCGATCCAGGATCAGAGGCAGCCCGGGGTTTGGCGTCGGATTTTCAGGGATCAAGAGGAAATGTTCAACAACCTTCAGGAGGAGGAGGAGGAGGAGGAGGAGGAGAAACTGCAGGAGGAAAAGTCAGAGGGAGACCTTGACAGAGGAAGGAGAGTCTGCAGGAGTTCAGTGTGAGGAGGATTATCTGTAAAAATGAACTTTTCTTCATGAAGTACCTCCACCGCTCCTCTGCAGAGGTTGTTCTCCACTTCTCCAGCTCAGGATGAAGACTCTTGGGTCCCTCAGCTGTGTCTCCGTCTTTTTCTCCCAGCTGCTCTCCCTGCTCTCTCTGATTTCACCGACGGCAGCTGTCTTCAGCTTTGACACTCAATAATCAAAGAGTTTCTGCTGAATTTACAACATTCATAAAAACAGATTTAAAATCAGCAAAGAAGATTTTTTTTTTCTTCTTAAGAATAAAATCAAATACATTTCCTGACTGAACTTTTCAGAGTTTCACTTCCTGCTGACTGATTTTCAAACTGCAAATGATTTAAAGAAAAAAACAAACGTAGATTCAGAAGAGTCGGATCATTTCTCCTGTTTTCAGACTGAATTTCTTATTTGAAGTTTTTAATTTTACTCTTTAATCTTATATCAAGATTTTACTTTTAGAGTTATCTCATCTTCAAACCAGCATTTTATACTTATTTTATACTTAAATGTAGTTTATTTCACTGATTTTAGGCTGTAAAAGTTAAATTTTAATGATCTGATCTTAAACCAGCATGTTTGTCTGACTTTAATCTTCCAAATACATTTGTAGACATGATTATTTCTAGACTGAACAATCTTCATTCAAGGAATCTTGTTTAGTGAAATGATCTTGCTGCATGGACAGATCATTCATCTTGTTTTTAGGACCTTTTCCCTCAGATTTAGTGTTTCTATCTTGTTTTTAGTGTTTGTATCTTGTCTTTATCTTGTTTTTAGTGTTTGTATCTTGTCTTTATCTTGTTTTTAGACCCTCCTTTTTTTTTGCAGTCCACATGTCTTCATCAAACCGTACCCGAGTCTTTTCTGTGATCGTCTTCAGGGTCTCAGATTTTCACAGTCTGAAGAACTTTTTCACTCTTTTCTTTCGTTTCAGTTTGACCTCCTCCTGCACGCCTCCCTGTGGTGAATTAAGGTCCTGCAGGGAGAGGAAATAACAAATCAGAAGATGGGGAGAAGATGCTGGAGGGTCTGAAGATCCTGTGTGGAGAGGGAACGCCTCAGGATCCTCCTGCAGGACCTGAGTCCTCCTCTGACGGCAGAAGAAGACCTCCGAGCTGCAGAGAGGAAGAGCGAATAATGAAAGTTTTCAACAAACGGAGCAGAAGAAGAGAGTGACCTTTTCTGTTCCCTCACAGGTTCATATAAGAGCAGGATGAGCTGAAGAATCTAAACTGACGTTATCATGAACCTCGTAGTTCTGATGTTTGATTTTCTAAAGTCAGAGGAGTTTCTGTTCAACACTCTGATCTTTCCTGTCATTAAACAGACTCACAGTCATTTGTTTTTCTTATTTAATACTTTTTTATTTGGTTTTTGTCCTTTTTGCCAATAAACTGGAAAATTAAAGTTTCTTTTTATTATAATCAAGTTAATCAGGAAGAAAGGAAACAAGGAAAGGAATCAAGGATGACTAAAAAGGGAAGAGGAACAGGCTTTTGAGGAGTTGTTGTCGCTTTCCTGCAGTCTACTATTCCACCACTAGAGGTCACTAACCTGAACATGCTGCTCTCAACTCCTTGAATTTACTGGAACTGGGTGGAAACTGGGAGCTGGATGGATTTCCAGTTTGGTTTTTCCTCATCCCTCCATCTCATTTCAGAAACATCCAGATTAATCTCACATTTCAAAGGTTAATCTCATTTTTTTAGGGATTTAACAGGTTAATCTCAGAATTTTGCAGATTAATTTTATATTTTTACAGGATAATCTTCTTTTTTGCAGGTTAATCTGACAGTTTTGCAGGTTAATCTCATATTTTTGCAGGTTTCTCTCAGACTGTGACTCTTGGTTGTTAAATTTCCTCTTTGTTGATGTACTCTCTGTTTACTCCCAGGACTGTACGTTAAAGTCTCTCCCTGTCGTTTGTGTCAGGATGCTGATGTGTTTCTGTGAGAATGGAGCAGGTAAAGACCTGAAGTGAAGCTGCAGAGAGACAGGATTAGCCCTTAATCTGCCTGGAGTCGTAAAAAAAAACACAGGATCTGTAAAAACAGAGCTTCAAAAACATCTCCAGCTGACGATTTCATCTGTTTTATTCTGATCTTCACAGAGTTTTAGAGTTTTTTCAGTCTCAGGACAGAAAGATGAAGCTCAGGTAGTCAGACTGATGAGTGACGTGGGATTAAAGACGATAATCTGAACAGTTTCATGAGGTGGGCTGTTAATCCGGTTGATTAATTTCTCTGTGTGGATAATAAAGTCATCTGATCATTGTTTGAGTATTTTATGGTTCGATCAGATCATATGGATGTGTTTTATCTGTAAATGTGATTAAAATGAAATCACACTGAACACGACCCCAGATTACTGCTGTGGACCGATTCTCCCCACCAGGGGGCGCTACCGGCCTGCACAACAGTTATCTGTCCTTTGGCAACGACGCCAAGATTATGAGTCAACCAACTTCAGATCATGTCTTCCTCCAGCAAAGAACACACACACACACACACACACACACACACACACACACACACACACACAAACACACACACACACGCACACACACACACACACACACACTCGCAGTGAATCGAGGCCAGAGCACATCAGCACACGCGCTCAGATCCAGTGTGACTCGTCTGTGCTTTTGTTTAACCTTGTTCGGCTGTAAAACATGAGCAATCGACAGCGCAGCTTCAGGGGCGGGAACTGGATGCAGCTGGAGTCAGAATATT